TTATTATTCTCATTATTATTATTATATTATTAGCCTCTTTAGAAGTTATTCTTTCTATAAAAAGAGCTAGAGAATTAATTATTTTTATTATTATTATAGAATTAATTTATAATATTCTAATTTAAAAGAAAAAGTAACTTTAGTAATACTATAAATTAAGAGGCTTTAAGTAGATAGCTTATTATATTAATAGAGTTCTATAATTAGCTAATAATACTAATATAAATACTAATAGAGTTAAAGAAAATAAAAGTATATATTAAGATACCTTAATAAATATTAAGAAGCTAATTATAAAGGTTTTTATTATTTCTCTATAAAGTAAATAAGCTTTTTTATAATTAAATAAACTTAATAATTAGCTTCTTTAAAGTATTCTTTTAGCTTATAAAAGGGTTATTCTTTATAATATTAATAAGAATAATATCTCTCTATTTAATAAGATAAGCTTATTTCTTTTTATTAGTTTTAAAGTATATCTTTATAATTATAATTATAGTTATTATATTAATATTATAGCTTAAGCTATTAACTATAATATAATTATAATAATATATAAAAGCTTAGCCTTTAAGTATAAAGGAGAAGATATCTATATATTAATACTTTTAAATATTAAACTTTTAATAGTTATTATAAAAGATAAATAACTTAAAGTTTAATATATTATATATTCCTCTATTATACTTTAGCTTATTAATATATAACTTTATAAATATTATAAGGGATTATAAGTTAATATTATAAATTATTAAGGTTTACTCTTATTTATAAAATAAAGTTTTATTATTATTAGTTCTTTAAATATAATAGTTAAATAGACTTAAAGTAGGGAGTAAAAGAGAAAAGAGAAAAGAATAAAAGCTTAAAGTTAAAGTATCTCTTATAAAAGGAGTATTAAGCTAATTACTCTTATTAATAACTTTAATATAAAAGCTCTTATTATTCTCTAGTTATTTATTAAAAATTCTATTCTTTTTAATATAGCTATTAATTTCTATTTTAATTTAAAAGTAATAAAATAGCTAGGTTAAAATATTATAAATATCTTTAGAAATATAAGTTTCTATATAGTTAAATAAGACTCTATTATCTATAAACTCTTTTAGAGGTAAAAAAAGATTAAAGTATAAATACTTATAAGATTTTACTCTTTTTAACTTTTAAAGTCTTTTTTAAATTTAAAAAAGAGATCTCTACTATAAGATAATAAGTTATTTTTATAATATTTAGCTATATAATAGATAAATAAAGTATATTATTTAGAATTAATTATAGCTTTATTAAACTTATTAATCTTATTATAAGTAGTTAAATTAAAGTAAAGCTTAATTTTATTATAACCTTTAAAGTTAAGCTCTTTTATAATAGGGAGAAGAAGAGGAAAAATAAGAGTCTTATTAAAAGATATTATTAATATTAATAAGAGTTATTCTTTATAATAAATAAAAATATATAATTAAAAAGAATAAAAATAAAAGAATAAAGTAAAAAGGTTAAAGAGTAAATAAAAATTCTTTATTTATTTAGATAGAGAGTATTAAAAGAAATAGAAGACTAATAGATATTATAAGTTAGTTATTTTATTATTCTATAAATATAGAGTAATAAGGTAAGATACTCTCTATTATTAAGTAAATATTCTATTTATAAAGTTATAAAATAATAATATTAAGTAGCTTTATATTTATACTTAAATATAGGTAATTCTCTTTAGTTATAGTGTTAAAGTTAAATCTATTTATTAAATAACTTATAGCTATTACTATTTATATTAATTACTATTTTATTTCTTTATAAAAAATAGTTAATAGTTAATAGTTATAGCTTTCTAAATAAATATTTATATTTATTCTTTCTCTAAATATACTTCTTCTTAATAGGGATAACCTAGAGAGAGATATTATTAATATTTTAATTATTATTGATATTATTATTAAGTTATAGGAGTAAGAGAGATAAGCTAAAGCTATTATAATAGTTATTTATTATTTATTTAGTTTCTTTCTCTCTAGTTATTAAGTATTTAAATAATATTATTATAAATAGTCTCTTAAGGTCTCTATAGTATATTAAGTAACTATAATAGAGTTACTTTAAATTATAAAGTATAATAAAGGGTTTAATAAGTAAAAAATAGATATAGAGTTAGTTTTATTTATTTATTTAATAATAGAAATAATAAAAAGAGATTATTTCTTTTATATTTTAACTATAATAGATCTCTAAATAGAAATATAATAATTTCTAAACTATTTACTATTATAAAAGCCTACTTTAAATAGTAATAAAAATAAAATCTTTATAATAATATATTTAAGTTAAGCCTTTTAATCTATAAGTTCTAAAAGTTATTACTATATAATTTATAACTTATACTTAAGGTATAATATTATAAATAATAAAGTATTATAAATAATATTTAAATAGAGTTTTTATACTCTTTATTTATAAAATATTTATTTTAAATAAATAGAAAGTAAAAGTAATAAATAATAATAAAAGAAAAAATATATTATAAATAGTATTATTATTATCTCTAGAGGTCTTAAAGTATATTAGATGCCTATAATAGAGTTACTTTAAATTATAAGATATAGGAGTATTTAAATAAGAGATTAATACTTAATTATTACCCCTTTAGCTTATTTAGTTATCTCTAAAGAGAGTAGTAATAGCTATTTTTATATCCTATATTAATATAGCTAAGAGAGAGAATAGTAATATTAATAATATTATTAATTAATATAAAAGCTAACTAAATAATAAATATATAAAAAATTCTTTATAATTATATATCTAAATAAGCCCTTTTAATAGGTTTTAGTTTTAAGTTAAGCTTTATTTATATATCTTATTTTATATATAGATAGTAATAATAAATAAGATAGTTTCTTAAGTATTAAAAGTAATAACTTTTTATTAATTATTTAAACTAAATAGATAGGTATTAGAGATAATAAAGAATAAGAGAGAGTAATTATTATTATTAATAGCTTATTATAATATATAGAGATTATAAGACTTTACTATTTATATTTATAACTTAAATAGAAGTAAGAGTAATAACTATTTTATTATATTAAAGCTAATTTAAAAGCTAATAAGACTAAATTAATAAGCTTACTTATTTTAAACTTAAAGAAGCTAATAATAATATTTTTATAGTTATTATTAAAAGTAATAATATTATAATAAAGTTTATAATAAAAAAGGAGGTTTATTTATTATAAATCTCTTTATTATTTAGCTTAATTAATAACTATTAATTTACTTAAAATATTTAATATATAATAAATATAAAAAGTAATTATAATCTTTAAGTAAGTAATAATAACTATTTAAATAGATCAAAAGTCCCTTAAGTAGTTAATAATAGTTAACTAAATAGAATTATAATGCCTCTAAGTAGTATAATAGCTCTATCTACTAATAGATTATAAGATCTATAGTTAATATAAAAAATTACTTCTTCTTAATAATCCTTATTAATCTATAGTTTAAATAGTATAATAGTAAAGTTAACTACTAATTAATATTAATATTATAAGGGGTTATATATATATAATATAGGGCTTTATTAGTAATAATGTATTAAGTATAGAGAAGGGAAGTTCTAGCTTAGTAGGTATATACGTAATAGCAGTAGTATAGTAGGGGTGGAGGCTGGGCCTCATACCGCCTACTTATGCCGCCCGATTCTGCCGGCTAAACCCACATTATTAAAGGATGAGGTGTCTATATTGCATTCCAAGGATGAGCAAATCGCATAGTATTTCAATTGGCCGCGTGCAAATAATCTCTCATGATATAAAAGTCCACAATGCATCCATCTCATTAGAAGGGTTTGATGTCCCATATGTGAAGAAATATGCATCTAATTACCAGACCATCTGGAACTTCAGTTGTGGCTCGGCTTGCAGGGAAACGCCAGATATACAGGAAAGCCGAGATGAATCCAACCACCGGAGGAGCGTCTCCACACAACCCCGCCTTCTTGGCCGATTCCGGCGCCGGGGACGCGGGCCAACTCCGAACGCTTCGGGTTTGCTCAGCTCAGCTCCCAGCCTTCTATTGACGGAGTAGTAGACAAAGTCTCGTGATTCAACTGTGAGCTGACCAGAGTATTTGGAACAACACCGCTTCTTTGACAATGTTCCAATTCGCGATCACTAATCGAGGATCAACAAGGCCATTCAGCCGTCAGTATGCGAAGCTCATGACGGAGCTCTTAGTGAGCAGACCGGTGATGCACCCCGAAGATAAGCTCTTTAGCGAGCCAATCGCGCCTGGGGTTCTCCAAATTTCTCCCACGGGGCCAATATTTAGTGCTGGGGCTCTTCTGAATCATGAGCATTCTCAGTGGTTGGTCGCACTCCGTACCCCGGAGAATCCTGCCGTCTTGGCTTTGACGTGCTGTCACGTTGGCAACACGCACCAAGAGAGCAGGGAACACAGCTCCTGAGAGATTGAGATTCTATTCGATCGTTGTCTCCTAACGTTCATCTCATCTCCATCACTCCGGATGGAAACGAAGGTTGAACCATCGATGCCAACTGGGGAAGTGACAGGAAATGGAGAAATGGGCGGCGGCACTTCGGCGTGTTCCTTGAAGCTTGATGCAAAGTTCTGTTTCGATTGAAGACTGTAATATTTTGGTTAAGATCAAATGCCCAAATCTGTCGGCAAATGCCTCTCGAAGCTTTTAGTCCCGCGCTATTTCCTAGGTCCCGGCAAACTCCCCGGACGAGTCGCGGCTGCATCCCCCGGCTTGGACTCGTCCTTTGTCGGGCCTACCACTTCCTCCCATCCTGCATCATTGTTCGCATCCTTTGACTCATGGATGACCCCGCCTATGAATTAGTGCCCATTGACATTCATCCCCCCGTCAGTTCGTCCCAGGATATAAGGGCTTGCTGTCGCCGTCGCCATCTTCCCCGGATGACAGTCAACCTCACGGCTCACCACAAGAACTGCGACAATCCAAACCAAACGCGACCATGGAGAGCCCCGAAAAGCCGCAGGAGGAACTGCACAGTCCTCACGCAGAACACCACGAGGACCAAACGCCATGGCACGGCATGTCTGCAGGCCGTTACATCGGGACGCGCTTCACCACGTTGAAGCCACCGATGCTGAGTGCGCCGAATCCGTTGAGGTTGGTCGCGATGATCAGCCGCCGTCAATGGGCCTTCTTCGCCGTCGCCTTTGCTGCCTGGGTATGTGGTGGGACGGCCTGATCTCAGGATTCCGCTTGCTGACTGTTCTTCGCAGACATGGGACGCATTCGACTTCTTCACCGTATCTCTCACCATTACCGAGCTCTCAGAAACATTCGACAAATCCAAGACTGATATCACCTGGGGCATCACTCTCGTTCTCATGTTTCGATCTGTCGGCTCCATCCTCTTCGGTATCGCAGCAGACAGGTACGGCCGGAAATGGCCCTTCATCGTGAACAACATTCTCTTCATTATCCTGGAGCTGGTAAGTCAGAAATCACTCACTTGTTCCACATTCCGTCAGCCATGATTGGTCTCAACGGCAAGTTCGTGCCGAGCCTGGCTGCAGCAGACAAGCTTTCCCCTCCGCATCTCGCCCGTCTTGGCTGCGCTGTTGGGGAATCCCTGCGTTCCCCCACAACCCAGCTTCCCCCTCTTCCAACCCCAACCACCTCCACCAAGCTAAGTCCTCGCTGGTGACATCACAATGGCAAACGGTGGCAGCTGTGGTCATTCGCAGAAGTTCTTTGTTGGTTTGTGTACCTTAGCTGACAAAAGCCGTTTCTTTGTTTTAGGGTACGGGTTTCTGCCAGACTTACGAACAATTCTTAGCATGCCGCGCTTTGTTCGGAGTCGCCATGGGCGGTCTCTACGGCAACGCCGCCGCGACGGCCCTTGAAGACTTGCCATCGGAGACGCGCGGAATGATGTCCGGAGTGTTACAACAAGGTGTAAGTGCTGAAACGAAATCCACGAACACCTTCCCACCCTCATTTCCCAACACCAAATACATCCGCCAACCAACAAAACACACCGTGAGTGGACGCTAACGTTTCGCCGATCAGTACGCCTTCGGATACCTATTGGCTGCGGCCTTTGCCCGAGGTCTGGTGAACACCACCCCGCATGGATGGCGTCCTCTCTTCTGGTTTGGCGCGTGTCCCCCAGTTCTCTTCATCATCTTCCGTCTCATGCTTGGCGAGACCGATACTTTCCGGGAGCACAAGCGTCTACGAGAGGCAGCCGGCAGACATGCGGCAGAAACGGGGCAGACGAATGTCACCTCTACCTTCATCAAGGAGGGCAAGGTTGCCTTGAAACGCCATTGGCTACTGTTGACTTACCTCGTCCTCCTCATGGCTGGGTTCAACTTCATGTCGCACGGAAGCCAGGATCTCTATCCCACCATGCTCACCAACCAGTTCAACTTCTCTGCCGACGCGGTCACCGTCACGCAGGTTGTCGCGAACTTGGGAGCTATGCTGGGCGGCACGACGGTTGGGTACTGCAGTCAAATCTTCGGTCGGCGATTCAGCATCATCGTCTGCTGCGTTGTCGGCGGCGCTCTACTCTACCCTTACACGTTCGTTACGACGGAGGCTGTCATGGCTGCCGCGTTCTTCGAACAGTTCTGCGTCCAAGGTGCTTGGGGTGTCATTCCCATCCACCTGATGGAGCTCAGTCCAGGCGCCTTCCGCACGTTCGTCGTTGGTACTTCATACCAGCTTGGTAACCTGGTCTCGTCTGCCAGCTCGACCATTGAAGCCCGTCTGGGCGAAGACTTCCCGCTGCCGGCCAAGGGAACCACCAAGCGCTATGACTATGGAAAGGTCATTTGCATCTTCATGGGATGTGTGTTTGCCTATGTTATCTTGCTGACCTTCATCGGACCGGAGCATCTTCGTCGCAGCTTTGATGTTGCCGATGACTCTGACATGCGGGAGGTCGCAGGAAACGATACTATGGACGCAGAGCTTCATGGTCGTGAGGCGAGAGTAGGACAGTTAGGACACAGTGATGAAGAGGTGGGACACCAGGAGAAGTCGGCTACTCATCGTGAACGACTTTGAAATGCTTGAAGCCTGTGTTAGGCCAGTTATCCTCCTGGGGCAAGATTAATGATAGGCATGATACCAGAACGGTAATGAGTTTTGCGCAGTAGAAGTACAATCGCTTGTTTTGCAGAAAGTTTAAAGCTCAATCACTGGATTAATCCCAGAACCCAAGGGACCTCTGACATTGCCAAAATGTGTTATCGGGCCGTTAGTTTGAGTTTATCTTGCGACAGATGCAACATCCAGCCAGCGTAGAACTGTGTTGGATGGTTAGCTTAACCTAACGTTAGTATGTTAACATATCCCGCGCGATCGCTTGCCGCGCGGCAACAGAATGAATTTCCCGTTAACTGCTTTGCACCGAGAGCGGGGCCGGCACCGGATATGTGGATCCGTACGGGAGATTCCCGCCGGGTCTCCCCACCGGATTGCCCCGGATTCTTCGGAGTCGTTCTGTAAGTTTTCCATTCTTCGGGCACCTTGTCATCTGATGTTTTCTGTACTGTCAAAAAGTAGCCAAGAGTTCCCGCCAGCCGATATCCGGCGAAAGGTATCTACTCCTGGAAGAGAAACCTGGCCGATGCATCCGATTCTCCCCCGGCCAAGTCTCGACGCAAAGGTTTGGCTGCATGGGCAAATATGAACACGAGGTGATTGACAAGATGTGCATGCAGGTGCATGCGCCTGTTGACGGATAGTTATCTATGGTTGTATTTGACTGATAAAGGGTTCTGCAGGTACTTGATAACCCCTGGAGATTCAATCGCGCTTCCTGGACCGGAGATGATGCCATCTCGCGCGATAGGTCACGAGAATCCCCGGTCTTTGCCCTTTTGCCGACCGGGTTATTCTTATTCCTTATCATTCACCGTGTTCTGTTCATCTCAACACGAAATTTGGCATGCGCGAGGTCATTTGAAGAACTCTCGTCCACCAGGGGTAACGTCTTGGCAGCAGCTGTTGGGTAGTATTCCAGTCGCTCAGTGCATATCTTACCCCTCAATCATGGCGCGTGAATCTGAGCTCATTGTCACTGTCCTCTGTTCTTCCTTCGTCTGGCCGGTTGATCAACAGTGAGCCAGCCATCATGGGGTTTGGGTCGCAGCAAAGAATTGTGGTAACAGTCTGAAATACGAGAAACCAGGCGATAATTACTCTGTCTGTCATCAAGTGAACTGGATCCTCCATCTCAAACTGGGTAAAGAGGCAGCAAATGGCCTCATCCGCGATAGTTTGCCATCATCTGATCCCGGAACCGGCCACCAAGCTAGTCGTCCCAAGAAGGAAGCTCATTTTACCAACTATGGCGGTATCACCAACATCACAGCCCATGCCCCCGTATCGGCAATGCAACGCTGCAGTGAAGGATCACGACTCGAAAGACAGCATCTTATCCACGACAACCTGCACGCAATGGATGGACATTTAAAGAGTCATCCCACCGGCGCAATTGCCTTGGCTTTCGAGCGGAAGCATTGCACGACGCCAGATCTTAGTCGGCATTGTCAAAGATGCAATTGTTTAGCATCGCCGCCTTCTTGGCGCTTCCATCTCTCGGGAGCGCCGAGTACCTCAACACTCGGCAAGCCCCAGAGGGGGAGACCAATAACTCCACGACGCCTGTTGCTCGTAGCTTCATTATTGAGTACACTCAAGTGAGCTGCCCAAACACCTTGTGAGGTCACTCCATGTTGCTGACGACGGATTTCAGGGTTCTGCCAAAGCTCGCCGTGATGTTGCATTGTCAGCCGATATCAAGATCGTCAAGGATTTCGAGACCGACATCTTCTCGGGTGCCAGCATCGAGACGGACACCCACAACATCGATACGCTCCAAAACCTTGCCGGCGTTGCTCGCGTGTGGCCCAACACTCGCGTGACCTTGTCTCCTGTCGAGGGCTTCCAGGCAATTGAGGGTGCTGCTGCTCAGAATTACACTACCCACAACGCGACGGGCGTGAGCAAGTTGCATGACAAGGGCATCTTTGGTAAGGGTGTCAAGGTCGGTGTCGTTGACTCTGGCACCTGGTACAATCACCCCGCTGTACGTATCAACACGATGGAATCTGCTAGTCCCACTGCTAACTCTGGAATAGTTGGGTGGTGGTTTTGGTGAAGGCTTCAAGGTTGCGGGTGGTTATGACTTTGTTGGTAACGGCAGTGAGTCCCGAGGCCTACTCGTTGCTGAGTCGGGTGATGCTAAGCTGGATAGTCTGGCCATATGAAGACAAGAGTCCGGATGACGATCCGCAGGACCAGATGGGCCACGGTAAGTACCTCTTGAGGCCCTGCAATACCATTATCTGACCAGTAATGAGGCACTCACGTCAGTGGAATCATCGCCGGAAAGACCGATTTGTGAGTTTCTCCAGACTTATTTGTTGTACAACGCTTACCAAGAGCCCTCTCCAGCTGGACCGGTGTTGCTCCCGAGGCCACCCTGTACTCTTACAAGGTTTTCGCGCAGATCGTGAGTTCGCTTGATCGCTGCAACTGTTCTACGAGTTGACTGAAAGTTGTTAGGACTCCACAGATGATGCCACCTTGATTGAGGCTTTCCTGCGAGCCTATACCGATGGGGTGAGTAACCGTCAAACATGTTTGGTCTCTCAACAACTGACCTGTGGATTAGGTCGATATCATTACTGCCAGCATCGGAGGTCCTTCCGGATGGTCTACGGGAGCCTGGGCTGAGGTCTCCTCACGCCTGGTTGAGGAGGGAATCGTTGTGACGATTGCCAACGGCAACTCAGGTGCTGCTGGTCCCTTCTTCGCAAGCAGCGGGTCATCCGGCAAGAACGTTCTGGCGGTCGCTTCAGTTGAGACCGAGACATTCCCGGCTTCGCCCTTCGAACTGACCTCTACTCTTGATGGAAAGACGGAGACTGTGAAGGTACGTCTGGACTGACTGAAATGGTTTCGAGAAACCGTAAGTCTAACCGTGAATAGGCCGGATACCTTCCATCCACTTACTACTTCTCATCTGACGTAGTTGACTGGCCTGTCGTTCCCTTGAACTTCGACACCACCGACCCGGCGGATGCTTGCGAGCCTTACCCTAACGGTACTCAGAGACTCACGGGCAAGATCCCTCTTGTCCGCCGCGGCACATGCACTTTCGCCACGAAGCAGGCCAACTTAGTTGCGCTTGGCGCTGAGTACATCCTCATCTACAACAATGACAGTCCTCTCATTACGCCAGGAACAGATGATGATGTTGGTCTGATCGGTCTTATTACGGCGGATGCCGGTGCTGCTATCACCGACACCGTGAAGGCGGGCGGTAACGTCACCGCTGACTTTTCCGTCAACCCGGAGCAGATCGTCGGGCTGGAGTATCCAGCCGGTGGACGGCCCAACACGTTCACATCGTGGGGCGGGACTTATGATCTTCAGATCAAGCCTGACATTGCCGCACCCGGTGGCCAGGTGAGCCAAAACTGACTTCAAAGCATGAGGCATGTCACTGATGAATCTCATTGCAGATCTTCAGCACCTATCTTGACAATACCTATGCCATTCTGTCCGGCACCTCCATGGCAACCCCTTACGTCGCCGGTGTTGCGGCACTGTACATCAGCGCCCACGGCGGTCGGTCTGTTCATGGTAAGCTGCATACGTCCAATGAACATGTCCTCTGATGATTGAATTCAACTCACCCATGCATCTAGGCAAGGGCTTTGCCAAAGCATTGCACCAGCGCATCATCGCAAGCGGAACGTCTCTCCCATGGTCCGACGGGACGGCCACCGACTACGGATTCTCCGCGCCCGTTGCACAAGTTGGAAACGGCTTGATCAACGCGTTCAAGATCGTCGAATATGCGACCGATCTCGCCTTCGAGAAGATTTCTCTGAATGATACCCATTTCTTCAGCCGTTACCACGACATCACTGTCACCAACAACGGAGACAAGGACGTGAGCTACAAGCTGTCGTACGAGGCTGCTGCTGGTGTGGAAATTCTTGGATGGTATCCCTTTGTGGAGCCCTGGGCTGGTGAGAAGAGGGTCAAGAGCTTCTCTGAGCTGACGCCCACGAGTCTTGCCGTCGAGGTTTCTGTTCCTAGAGATTTCACACTCAAGGCAGGAGAAAGCAAGACGGTTTCGTAAGTTTGATCAGACGCAAAGTTTTCAATGCCACAGCTCTAACCTGCATTCCAGCGTCAGCTTCCCTAACCCTGACGGCCTGGGCTGGAACTCCTCCGCCTTGCCCCTTTACAGTGGCAAGGTCATCGTTTCGGGCAACAACGGTGAACAGCTGTCTGTCCCCTACTTTGGTGAGTAACGCCAAACTCCCAACCTTTTCTCTCATTGGAAACATTGAGCTAACATGATGAAAGGACTCGGAGCCAACTTGAAGGCTGAGATCAGCCCCATCTACCGCCCCAGCTATCCTTTCACTACCCAAAGAGACTAGTCAGTTAACCATATCCTATCTTCGTGGAAGGTCATCTTACTAACTTTCGACAGCGTCTACTCTTTCAACCTTGACAGATTCGCCGCCGACTTCCCCATAATCTACTCCAAGCTCATTTGGGGCAGCAAGGAGGTTCGTTGGGATGTACGTCTGCCTGAAACTCAGTGATATAATCACAATCACAGAGCTGACACATCACGCAGATCTACGAAGCCGGCTGGACAGAGAGACAATGGGAATATCCCCCGGTCCCAGGCAAGAACGGATACATCGGGCCGGCTACCAGCCACGTCGTCGCCGGAAGCGTCTCTTACTTCGACCCCGACGTCTACGATCCCGATGACACTTGGACGTATCCCAAGGTCGACCTGTACCGCAACGCCCAAACTCAGGCTTCATACCACGAGTTCTGGTGGTTTGGTAAGCTGGGCAACGGTAGCCAGATCGAACTCGGAAACTACACGTGAGTGACTACACGCTAGGGTTCCTCGGAGCAGTGCTGACTAGATGCGGCTGATATTAGAATGCGGTTCGCCACTCTCAGGCCTTTTGGTAACCCGGCGGCTTCCGACAACTGGGATGTCTTCCAAACTCCTCAGATCCAGGTGACGGGCAAGTACGAGAGGAGAGGCTAGGAGCATCAACGAGCAATGCATAGTTGAACTTGACGCGAATGGGCTCATATTGGCTTGTTGCTTCGTAGGGAATGAGAATTCACTGTCGTATATTCCGCTGGAATTCCTTGATGTAAGCAGCTTGTTTCTTAGCTGTAGTTAATCAACGCTGTTCAACTTGCTGGGCCGCGCCAGCGCATTGCTTTTAACCTCGCCGGTTACCCCGCGTTCTTTTCAACATGGTAGTGATTGTATTGCCGTGATTCGGTCTAATGGTTGATGGACTCGGTCAGAATAGTCCGGTTGCTTGCCGGAGTGGATCTGTCATCCCGGCTCAACCCCACAATCTCGGTCTCCGGGACGCTCGGAGGACGAAGGGTGGGATGCCTACCCCTCGACCGTAGCATCCACCATGTTCGCGGTTCGCGTTTAGCCAGAGTGGCTCGCGACCATTAACGCGAGCCTCCACCAGCTTAGACTAACCGGAGCTAAACACGTTGAAGCTTAGTGCTTCTTACGTTGGATTTCTCACGTTGGATGGACTTAAGCCCAATTCCAAAGCCGACGACTCCTATTAGTGCGGTCGGACTTAGGTCATTGTCGATCGAGATCTTCTTAATAATAAATATATCACTTCTTCTTCACAAACCGACAAAGACTACGAAAGACCCCACCATCATTGTCGTCGAAGACCTCCACATCATCATGACTCAGCATTCCAACATCCTTCTGAAGAACGGCGTTCTCCTGATCCATGGAGATGACGGGAAAGTCACTCCTCAGCGATCGGATCTTCTCATTGAAGGTGACAAGATCGCTCGGATAGAGGAGAATATCCAGCCTACCGGCGAAGTGAAGGTGATTGAGTGCGAGGGCAAAGTTGTTTCTCCGGGCTTCATCAGCACCCATCACCACGTGTGGCAGACTCAGCTCAAAGGACGACATGCGAACCACACCTTGATCGAGTATATGTCGTCGGGAAACTTTGCAGGCGCTTTCTATACACCGGAAGATGCCTTCTGGGGAGAGTTGGGTGGCGCTCTTGAGGCCATCGACGGTGGAACTACTACCGTCGTCGACCATGCGCATCTCAACATGGGACCGGAATATCGTGAGTTCTCAATATCAGTAATGAAGGGTTTTGAGTGCTGATGAAACAAATATAGCACCTACGATGATACAGGCTCTGGTTGCCTCCGGCCTTCGAGCTGTGTACTGCTACTGCGCCCCTAGGACAGTATCCAGCTGGGAGCCGTTCTCGTCTGAAGATGACTACACCTCACCCAGTGTTCTCGAAAACTGGAAAACGCTGGCTTCAGCGGGTCCCTACGAGGGCAGAGTTCACCTCGGGTTCTCGGTAGACAACATCTACCAATCTGCCGACGCCATGAAGAAACTCTACTCAGAGCTCCGAGGCGCGAAGGCCAAGGTCATCACAACTCACGCGGCTAGTGGTCTCTCCTTCGGCAATGGCCCATCCGCCGCGCAGATGCTGAACATCCACGGGCTTCTCGGCCCCGACGTCCTACTCTCGCACGCGAACTTCCCCAAGGACGGAGACGCCGAGCTGATCGCGAAGAACAACGTCTGGATCTCGACAACTCCCAATACTGAGCTCCAGATGGGGTGGCCGACACTTGCACTCCGCCCTGAATTCGAAGCGCACTCTAGTCTGGGAGTAGACTGTCATTCGTGGGGCAGTAGTTTCTTGCCGAGCCAGATGCGCCTCGGGCTTCAGTACGCTCGTCTTGAACGATCTGAGGATCTTCGCAAGCAGGGCAAGTGGAGCCGTCATGTGAAACCTACTGCCGAGCAGGTCTTCAACCTGGGGACGATCGGTGGTGCTCGTGCTATCGGGATGGAAGGAGAGGTTGGGCAGATCAAGGTTGGTGCCAAAGCCGATCTTGTCGTATTCGATGCCAGTAGCCCTTCGATGATTCCCGCCGCGGAAGAGGATCCCGTCGCCGCGATTGTTCTGCACTCTAGCGAAAGGGATGTTGAGACCGTAATCGTGGGTGGCGTTGTCAGAAAGGAGAATGGCAAGCTTTTGCCGGTCTCGGTCGCGAAGGGAGTTCAAGGTGCTCAGGACTTGGGCTTGGTAGGGAAGTCGATTCTATGGAAGGATGTCGCGAAGAATCTGTCGGAAAGCAGGCTCCGAATCATCCAGAAATCTGAAGGTGTCGACTTCAGGGCTGCCGAAGAGGTTATCATGGATTCTTTTCACGCAAACCGAAAGGACATGCTGGAGCAGGCATGAGATACCTGTGTGCACGATGATTTGTACACGAAGAACTTACCGTGTAAATTTGATCTTATCTCGAGTATCTCCGTATCCTAATAATTGTGCTGCGGATTCAAGCTGGGTGAGTGAGTGGCTTGATCGTTGTTAACATAGGGATGGGTCCCGTGGAGGCGGCAAACCACGTAACTTACTCCTTGACCCTACTTCTCTTTTCTTCGCCCTTGGACTTGCCACATGAATGCCACGCAATAATTAGATGCGCTTGTCTTATCATATGTTGCTCATCAGTCAAGAGTTCCCACTTTCTGGCTGAAATGGCTGTCACGTTTGAGTCATAACCGCCTAAGTAGGCTTAGATCTCAGCCTCGTTTGCTGTATGTTTCATTAATTTGACCAACGCCGGCTCCAGGTTTGAGTCTGTTCAATTGCCAAGGTAGCCTGCCTACGCCTGCGAGGGCGCCTGCCGTTTCAGTGACTGCTGATCTGCAATGAGGCTAAAACAACAGACCACCTCGGAGAGACACGGATGAAACGCGACTGTTGCGAAAGACACAGCTACAACGAGCACATCGTATGTTTCCGTACCTTCAATAGTGTGACGACAGACTGCGTACAGCGAATGAGGGTCTGTCTGACGGTCGCTTTGCTGACAGGTCTCGCATATTAGGGATGTCGGCGCCATTGGAGATGGTAATGAGTTAGAAGAACCGCCGAAGGCTTTCCCGGGGAGCGAGGCGCGATATAATAGGGAAGCGGACCTCTCACAAGGCTGTCGATGCTGCGAAAGGCCAGGCCTCGGCACAGCTGAATGCACATTGCCTGGAGTGGCGCCCAGCAGGAGGGAAGCGAGGGGAATAATGACGCAACCCCCCCCTCTGAAAGCGTTGAAAGGTAGACCAACTTGCAGCATACTCTTCTTGTCCCAATACTGAGCCGTCAGGCTGGGAGTAGGAGTGGCAATCTCTTCAGGTTGGTACATAGCTAAAGGCAACATGTTTGAAGACTGGGCTTGGCTCAGCGGCAAATTTGCTTTGGAAATACTTAGCTAATGCTCGAGGCCCCTTCATGTCACAGAAAAGGATTACCGTGTTTTGTTTGGGCTGACCTTACCTGACGTACAAATAAGCCCCATCATAGCCCTCGATTGAGATATGCTCAAGGCCTACGTCGTTTCGTTCAATTACCTCCCTTTTTGTCGACTTAATCGGGATGAAGATCTGCTTCCTACCCAGTCTACCTGAGGGTCTGGTGCCTCGAGACCGGTGGAGAAGAGGTGCTCTTTCTTTTGCGGCCGCTGCGCTTCTCACATTCATTGTGAACCTATCTTTCGCCATCTGGGGGATGACAGTTGAAGCACCCGATGGTGTCGGCCTCATCTGGGAGGGCGAACAGAGCAGAGTGAAGGCTTGGAACACAGCTATGCACGTTGTCATCAACATTATCAGTACAGTTCTACTTGCGGGAAGTAACTATTGTATGCAATGTTTAATGGCGCCAACGCGAAGCGAGCTTGACCAGGCACACTCCGAGAGGAGGTGGCTCGATATTGGGATCCCAACCATTCGAAACTTCTGGAGTATTACTTTACGGCGAAAGATTCACTGGATCATTTTATCGATTTCTTCTTTTCCACTACACTTACTGTACGATTTCTGTCATTTTTGTCGAAACTTATTCAAGCTGACACAGTCGCAGTTTCAACTCAATTATCTTCGCATCGACTTCAGCAACCGAATATGAGGTTTTTCCAATTGACTCAAAATCGGTGACCACGGGCGACACATCCTCCTTCCTATCAACGCTTGATACACATCGGCGCACTGATTTGCCCGACTATTTCCCAGACGCGACGCTCAGCCTCAGGAACGTGTCGAGCTGCCTGAACGACTATGGCACTGCGTTCCAATCTAGGCGAGGGAGCGTTCTCCTCGTTGTAGATTTCACCGGGCTTAACCAATCATTAGTCCAAGATGAAGTGAGATTCCCTTTGACAGGGGAATTAGGATCGTTTGACTGGGTATGTAAGAACGCATGGAATTCCAGCCGCTGGGATTCCAGCCCCGCGGATGAGCAGCCCTGTGACGAGCGGATCGCCGGCATCAAGAACGATCCCAATTCCTGGAAGCCTTTTGGTCTGGAACTCAAAGCGTGCTACAGCAGGAAAACACGCGAGCGCTCGAAATTACTTTTCAGCAGGTCTATTTGCTGGATCGTGACTTCAATGAACTTGCTGAAGGCTGTGGTCATGCTATTCGTCGCATATGAGGGTATTGGGAACGACGAACGACCAATATTGACGGCCGGAGATGCTGTTGCGTCGTACCTTCAGAGTCCGGACAAGCACACGAAAAAGATGTGTCTGAAGTCCAAGAAATGCATCGCCGAGAAGAATTGGGCACCAATCCCGCAAGGCTTCAACCCCAAACGTCACCGTAAATATAGTGCTGGCAGTGTCGGTCGATGGATTGTGTGCATTTCACTGTGAGCGAGCACTCTCCTTCCCTATGTCAACTACGGGACGCTGACAAAGCCATCAGGTGTGTGCTGGCTCTTTGTGTTTGTGGCTATCTTCTACACCTCGGAATTTCCGGTATCCGCCGTCGATCTGTGACGTCCACAGTGTCGTTGGGGAAGTATGGTCCCGGTGTCGTCCACAGCGATACCATTATGACCATTTTCAACTTCGATGCCAACTTTCTTCTTCTCAGCGTACTTCTGGTCAATACCCCGCAAGTCCTGATGTCGCTCATTTATTTCAACTATAACGCCCTCTTCACCTGTGTATCCCTTGCGACTGAATGGGACAGGTTCTACAGCGGAAAGAACAAGGGTCTTCGGGTCTCTACTGGCACCCAAGGTTCCCAACGACAGAACTACTTTCTCCAACTCCCGTACCGATACTCTTTGACACTTGCCGTATTTTCTGGCGGTCTTCACTGGCTCATTTCGCAAAGCATATTTCTCGTAAGGATAGAGTTTTACGACGACAACGATGTGATTACAAAAGACATAACGTCTTCTGGGTGGTCACCTATTGGAATTATTCTCGTCATTGCTGCAGGTGCTGGCTTGATCGGGTTCCTTGTCGTTTCGGGCTATTTTCGTCTTCGTTACGGCGGAATCCCCGTAGCTGGTAGCTGCAGCGCGGCGATAGCTGCTGCATGCCATCCGGACTCATCAGAACCGGCTTCATTGGCGACATTGCCTCTGACTTGGGGCGTTGTTTCCGCAAAGGATGTTTACCCTGGCCACTGCTCCTTCACGAGCAGGGAAGTTGAAAAGTCAGTGGAGGGCCGTCTTTATGAGTAATAAGACACGATGTTGGCGTTATTGTGGGAAGACGTAATACTAGGCTTCACGATGTAGTTGCAGTAATTTGGGAAACGAATTTGCAATTATCGAGTGTCAATCTCATCCCACACCACTCTCAACTGCCGAATTCCAAGACAAATGAATCCTCTCAATTCCCTTGCTATGTCCAATCTCGACAAGTCTATTCAAGACCAGCCGAGAATTCGCAATCTTGGCCTTGGTATTATTGTCCCTCATCCACGAAAGAAGCTGTACCAAGGTGTACGCCACTGTTGATTTAGTCCGAAGCGATCAATGGAGCGGCTACCAATTTGCGGACTTTGTCTTTCTCCCATACCTATTCTAGTAGTTCTTGAGAATGCTGTGGTTGAGGTAGACTGAAGAGATTTTATCAAATAATTCAGAAGGTCTACTGTATGCGACAGAGGAGTCGAGAACGCCGAGGGGACTTTGAGACTGGCCGAGCGTGTGTTAGTGAGGCATATATATGAAATTGTAGTCTTCGTTGAGCTAGAATCTCTACGCCAAACAACCAACCAGACCAGAGGTCTCCTTCACGTGGCATTCCAAGCAACGAGTCAGTTCTGAACTCGCGATTGTGCACAATTGGCTTATGTAACTATTCGTTTACACAAATACACTGGGAATCCGAGGTGAACCAACCGGAGGGAGGCCCGGGTGGAAACCCTCCGAATGCCCCCACTTTTCTATGAATCTCACCTTCCGATGTTGAGTTGCACACGTTTCGCCAATTCACGATCGAATCTCATGTCAGCAGGCAACAAGTCCTGCTTCTGCCATTGATCAGTCGCCAAACTCATTCTACACTCTTTAAATTCATATATCATTCGATCTGTCCATCAACACTCTCACCTAGCATCTCGACATGTCCTCCCCGAAGCCAAAGCTGCTCTGTCTCCACGGCGGCGGTGCCTCGGCGCAGATCTTCCAGATCCAACTCATCAGACTTCAACGCCTCCTCGACGCCCGTTTCGAACTGGTTTTTCTCGATGCTCCGATTGAGACGGAAGCAGGGCCCGGCGTGCTGCCGGTCTTTGAGGGATGCGGGCCTTATCGGCGCTGGGTTAGCGACGACCCCGCGATCCCGGCGGATGAGTTCCAAGCGCAGAAGGACCGGGCCGTGTCATTCCTCAAGTCGTATGTGAAGGAAAACGGGCCGTTTGCTGGATTCATCGGCTTCTCACAAGGCGCCCGTGCTGCGTCGAGTCTGCTTCTTGAGCAGCAGCGTGAGCCTTTCGTCGACTACAAGCTCTTCGCGCTCTTCATCTGCGGCACTTTCCCGCCGTTCGTGCCGCATGAGGAGAAGATTACTGCGCCGACGATCCATGTCATTGGATTGGAGGATCCGTACGAATCAGCCAGCGAGGATCTTTATGAGATGTGTTCCGACAAGGTCACGCGGAGGATTTTGAGGTTCCCGGGAGGTCACCACCTGCCTACGGAGCCGGACACGATCCAGCACATGGCGAACATGGTTTCGAGTGTGTACAGGGAAACAACGAGGAAATGAGGTAGAGGATGTTGGTTGCTTTTGAGCAGTCGAAAGAGGGCGTCTCGGATAAAGTGTGGCCGGTGCTTGGGATAAAGATAGAACACACTAGCGGGATTGGAATTTACGACATAACGATGAGTAGATCATTTGGCATCTCTTGTATATGAAAGCACTTGGAGATATTCACAGTGCCGACCAATAGAAGAGATGTAGCGCTCATTCCACGTGCCGATGCGCCTCTCATCTGAAGCCGGGAGACTCTCTCAATGGCAGGCGAATAAGGCCGATGGAGACGAGAAGTACGTGGAATGAATTCATTGACTCAAAATTATGGCCGTTGTGTAACATCAAGATTCTGAACCAACAGAAAATCTCCGAGGACGGTTGTCTTGGACGGCGTTCAGGCGTTGAAGCGTGAGGTGGCAGCCAAGTTTTCGGAGCAGAGGCGTTGTGGGGTTATCCCGAAGATGCTTAGCGTCAATTGCACCGGTCGGTCTCCGATTATCAGCATCACGCCAAGAAAGAGCTGCAAACTGATAAGGAGGTACGTATCCCCGGTCGTGCACCATGGCGCCCCGCTGCCGGACGACGTCACTGGCAACCTCCCGAGGACCTGAAGCTCCTGCCTCCTGAACACCCGCCAACAAAACAAGGAAAAGATGCGACAGCCACCACGACGCGCCGTAAGAAGTCAAGTTTCGTCGCTTCTTCTTTCGTCTTGATTTTTCGAGCGTCTGACCTCCCTTTCCAGTCTCGATAAGGTGTCTTGCCGTCAATTGACGATCTCCTGCCATTCTCACGACAATTTCGGCCCCCACACGGACTCGAACCCGACGCTGGGAAGCGCAGACGCGACGACACGATCGACGATAGGCGAGGAAATACCGAGTGGAGGCATTCGTATCTGAAGCCATCATGGGATCGTCCAACTGGTTCTCCCGCCTCTTGGGCTTGGACAGACACCCCAGACACCACCACGACTTCCACGCAGACTGGATCCGAGACGACCGTAGACGACGTATGTGCTCTTTCATCCCATCCCGTTCTTCTGCATTATCAGATGAGCTACTAACCAAACTGTTGCTCAGTCCTCCCGCAGTACCGAACCGAGCACCTCCAGTCTGCGATCCCTGCCCCCGAAGTAACGAAGATCGCGCTGAAGCTCCGTCATCTGATCGAGCTGGCCGTTCCATGCGAGCTGGATGAGGAGGAAATCACACAGGCACACAGTAAAATCATCACCAACAAGGTCATCAAAGCTGCCAAGGAGGCTGGTGGCTCTCACTATGGATCATGCGTGGTCTTCTGCCTTGTCGTCTGTAAAAGATGGTTCAAGCACCAGGCCTTGGTCGAGCTCTGGGACGCCGACATGCATCGGGTTCGTGCCATCGCATGTGAGGTAATCGCGAAGCAGATGTGAGCCATGTTCCTTGTCGAAGCCTATTGAACCATTGCTAACCCGCCGTTGCAGCATCGAGACAGAAGACGACTTCAACTACCTCATGCACTCCGTCCTCCTCCGCCGATACTCCATCGTTGTTGACGGTGAAGCAACTCCCCCCGCCAACGTCGTCGAAAAAGCCGTCGATCTCCACGCCGTCAGGGTTATCGGTTCCTCGGGATACCAAAAATGCATCCAATACCTCTGGAAGGGCTGGCTTGTCCAGGATGAGGATGATCCGTCAGTGTTCGTCGACTACAAGGACAGGGATAACACCAGCTTCTACGTACACATGGACCCCGATCGCATTCGTGCTCCCATGTACCAGAACGCTACCCAGGTCATCATCTCCTTCGTTTACATCGGTCTCTATACCGCCGTCATTAACTCCGTCAATCCTTCCGGTGTCTTCGATACGGCAGAGGTCCTGATGTACATCTTTACTCTTGGATTCATCTGCGAAGAGCTCACCAAGTTCTGGAAGGCTGGCTACCACATCCTCGGGTTCTGGAACGCGTTCAACGGTGTACTCTACAGCTTCATCACTCTATCATTCATCCTTCGCATCATTGGCCTGACGCACCAGGAGGGTGATGACACCCGTGAGTTCTACAGCAAGATGAGCTACAACTTCCTGGCATTTAGTGCGCCCATGATTTGGTCGCGTTTATTGCTGTACCTCGATAGTTTCCGCTTCTTCGGAGCCATGCTTGTGGTGCTCAAGGTCATGATGAAGGAGTCTATCATCTTCTTTGCGTTGTTGATCGTGTTGGTTATCGGATTCCTCCAGGCCTTCATTGGTCTTGACTTCGCAGACGATTGGGTGGCGGATGACATCTGGTTTATCCTCCAGGCTATGGCAAATGCAGTCATGCAGAGCCCCGACTTTGACGGCTTCGACAAATTCTCGCCGCCATTCGGAATCATTCTGTACTACTGCTTCACGTTTATCATCATGGTGAGTTGGCATTTGAAGCACGTCATCATTTAGACACTAACACCGCTCAGGTCGTCCTGCTCAACATCCTCATCGCGCTCTACAACTCCGCATATGAGGACATCTACGGCAACGCCAACGACGAGTACCTCGCCCTCTTCGCCCAGAAGACGATGCAGTTCGTCCGCGCCCCCGACGAAAACGTGTACATCCCGCCGTTCAACCTGCTCGAGGTCATCGTCATCTGCCTCTTCTGGTGGATGGAGAAGAGCAAGTTCGAGCGCATGAGCGACGTCATCATGGGCATTATCTACTCGCCGGTCCTGGTCATCGCAGCCTGGCACGAGACCCGAACTGCCGGCGAGATCCGAAGCAACCGTGCTAGGGGCGAGGAGGACGACGACACGGTCGAGGAGTGGGAGCAGATGATGGACCAGGTCGACTTCGAGTCCGACGGATGGAACAAGCTGTGCATGAGCGCGAAGACGAACCTCGAGGCCGATCCCACGATTACCGAGGTTCAGAACCTGCGCCACGAGGTCGAGGAGCTGAAGAAGTTGCTTGTCGATATCTCGAAGGCTGTGTCTGCTGGAAATGCGGGCAACGGTCAAGCCTCCAACTTGATTGACCTTGAGGGTCCGTCTCAGTCGCAGAGCAAGAAGAAGAAGAAGGCGAAGAAGAACAAGAAGGAGAAGAAGACTGGCGACGATGGAAACGCATCGAAGTCTTCGAGCTCCAGCGATGAAGAGTGAAGAGCCTTCGTCTAATGGATGGTCTCGTTAGTCTAGGCAACCCCGCTTCTGGTCACCAGCTGTACATCGTACGGCCTACGCTGTTACGATCATGATTTTGTGTTAGGGTTTGGTCAATCCGCTGCTACTTAGGATCGATGGCGTCAGGTTCCGGTCAGCGTGCGCATGTACTGTCATAGTCTCAATTTCGTATCGACGATATGCTCTTGTATAGCAAAGCAATAGCAACTCAATAGCTTAGTCTTATCCAAGAAAATTCACAGATTTCCAATTGTCGAACACCACACATGGTCTTAGAAAGCGAACAACTTCGAAAATACCGTTCCTGCTCTGGTGTTAACATTAAAAGGTGACGTTCGTCGTTTCTAGTGCGACTTACCCAGCATCATGCCTATGACCAGGGGAATAAGCCAACCCCAAGTTCCAGCCGCGTCGCTGAGAGACACGTTCGTGGGAGACTCCTCTTCCAAGAGTTCCGGTGGAATCTCCTCTGGTTCGAGGTTGGAAGGGGGAGTTTCTTCGAGAAGACGACCAGTTTGTCTGGTCTGACCGCGTATGAGGCTCAAAATCCGATCCTTATTCTCGAAACCACATGCTTCAACAACCCGCTCCGGTCCCCAATCTTGCATTTCCTCGATTTGTTCAATATCAAACCGACTATCATTTTTGTCAGTTTCCACTCTAAAAGTCCATTGTGGTTGTCTTCCGGTCTGTGTGTTGGTCTGCTTAACGTATAGCATCGCGTGCTTACTCGATTCCTGAAAGAGTGAAATTGTGAAGTCCAGAGCCGCGGTATTCTGGGCCGCGGTATGCTGGAGTAAGGCCTCGATGATTGAGCCAGCCCAATATGCATCCTGATTTCCCGCTACTAAAGCGGCCGCCATGAAAACTACATGCAACAACGATGGTGGTGAGTCTTGGTCGGGACCTTCGTTCTTCAGTGGATGAAATGCGCATTTCATCGGAAAGTCAGGGGAGACCAGTTCTTCGTCCAGCAATGTCCTTATAATATCAGGTCCCGTGCGAGAACTACGTAAACCGCTCTTGACATACTGTGGGGGTGGGGCGAAACCAAGATCTTGACCTAAATGGAACGACAGCGCGCAGCAAATGAGAAGGGATATTCTCAAGTCATCCTGCCTGAATTCAGGCCTATTACTTGCTTGCCAAATTGCGTAGTCTGAACTCCCAGTTTGCGTCAGTGTTAGCATCGTGCTGTTGACATGGATCCGAGGTTTTTTCCCTTGTGTATAAGGATGTTCCCACATCCAAACAGTTGTCCCTCTGCGGAGGGGGATGAAGAGACCGGTCTGTAGATTGTCGCTCCGCGCCGGGGCTCTGCCTCTGTCCCAACACCACTGGACCATTGGCCAGCTAGCCATGTCTATGCTGCGCAAAATAACGTATGGTTCCGTGTCCAAATTGCGCATTTGCCTCATACTGAGAACGGCTGCGACTGTCAAGCTCCATGGCACCAGATCATCATAAAATTCTGCTGAGGCATCATTCTCTCCCCGCGTCATTTGGAGACGATGCTTTTCCTGGTAAATCAACTTGCCCGCTAATATATGAATTTGCGACAAGGCGTCGCAGAAATCGATCCGGGAGTAAGCTTTTTTCATGTCGTTTTCTGTATCAGGCTCAAGTAGGAAGTCGCTGACCGATCGGTGGGCAAATTTGAGTTGGCTGGTATGATCGTCTTCACTTATCTCTAGCAGTCCTTTGCAATACCGTCTTACGTCCATTCTTGATCGTTCGAGCATCAGCGCTGTGGTATTACTCTCCGCAATGACATGTGTCGCGGCGAAGTCTGGCTGCTGACTCTTCTTCCAGTCTCTGAAAAACGCGTATGCGATCGCCATGAATGGGAATCTCCAAGATCTCGCTTCTTGCATCATTGCAAATGTCTCATATGCAACCTTACGGACAGGCGTTTCGAGTGAGATGAGAACATGTCTGAAGAGTTCGTAAAGCCCATCGGGAAGTGCATTGATCTGGTCCAGTAATTCGTCCATCGACGCACCGTCTCCATGCTGCTGACGAATATTTTTTGTAACCAAGGCCACCCAGAAGAAAATGCCTTGTGCTTTCTTGACGATATTGTTAGAAAGAGTATCGATGTCGCTGGCGTTGGCAATACCCTTGAGCCTATCCCTGATGTAACATTGCATGTCCAGTCTTGTGAGACGGTGGAGGTGTAGCCTTTGGCTTTCGGGAAAGCCATTCAGGAATACCAAGTACTCTCGGCTCGAGGCGCAGACTTTGACGTTCCCGGAGCTCTCGATGACCCATTTACTAATGGTTGCCACCAAGTCCTGGTATGTATGTGTTGTGTTTTCCTCCATTTCGTCGAGACCGTCGATGAAAAGGAAAAGGCGCAATGAGCCACTGTTTGCGGTCTCAGAAACAAGACGTTCGAGGGAGTCTTTTATGGCCTCGTTGGTGATCTCTATGATCTTATTGGCTTGCCACGGAGTAGAAATCGCGTCGGTCCAATGCGAAGGAAGAATCCGAGGTATCAGTTCGGGTTTAGAGCGTAGCACGTCATACAAGAGGCCGCGAAACATGCCGTTGAGAGTTTTCTGGTAAGGTGTGCCGGCTCTCCAGAAGAAGAATTGCCCAAGAAGGAGCTCGCGTGTGCCTTTCCAACACGAAAAGTTAGATGAATCCATCAACATGATTTGAAAGAATTAGCCGGAGCTCATCTTACCTGCCCATTCCCTCAGCTTGGCCTTGACGGCGTCGTGGTTGCAGGCCTCTTTCATTAACGTCGACTTTCCCGCGCCTAGCTTGGCGGAGAAGTGAAATACACCGCTTCCAGATGAAAGCCATTGGGCGAACAATTGTCTATTTCTTTCTCGTGCCTTTTGCTCATCATCGTATTTGTAATCGTAGTGGGCAGAATGTCCCGCTTGCAGCAGCTCCTCGGAGGTCGACTTTTTGTCGGAGAAAAGCCAATTGAAGGTTTCGAAATGTGCTGGTCGAATGTCGTTGAACCGCTGCTCGATTCCGCTGAACCTGATCCCCCCGAGAATTCGTTCTTGTGCGATGGCAGCAAGAGTCTCCATTGGGAGACGTAATAACTCTTCAATCTGGGTTTTCGCAGTCTCGTTCCAAACCGAGGACTTGAGGGTCTCCTGAAATCGAATAACACATTCTTGCAGCTTTTGCATCTGAATATTGTTGTCTTTGGATCGTTCGAGCAAAGCGCTGAGTCGAGTTATGGTTTCCTTGCTGTTTGGAGTTAGCATCTAGTGCGCAGGGTAGAAAATACATGTAGAGTTCCATTCCCTACCGTGTGTAGTAGTCGAGTTCTACTTGAAATTGACTTCGGCAGAACTCGAGCTCTTTGTCCAGTCTGTCCTTCTTGCTGCGATTCGTTTCGTTCTTCCAAGCCACCCGAACCGCCTGAGTCCAGGACTTTGAATCCGTTATCCTCAGTCCTTCGAGCAGCTGGACAAGTTCATCTGCAATCTTCTTGCATTTGAAGGCCAGCTCGCGTAACTGAGCATCATTACCCGTAAGTGTTGAGTTGGAAGAGTCTAAAATCGATAGCTCCTCTGAGACAGCCTTTGAGAAGTGCTGCATACGGTTGACAACATATTCGGACGTCGCATTCTCTTCCAGGACGTCGGATTGAGCGTCGTGTATTTTCTTTGCGCTGCGGAAAACCTTCGTACTGAAATCGATGAAGGTCAGTATGGCGGACGCCACACCGAGTGCTGAGACGGGATCCATTGTATCGTCTGCTTTCTCCTCACCGAGGAGATGATAGCATATCGAGTCCGATCGAGGGTGCGTCCAGTTCGGCCTCGAGCTTTCGAGAGGGCTCTATGCGGTATTTACTCCTCGTCCGCCCTTAGGCCGTGACAAGTGACGACCCTCATTCGTGACTGCATGACAGCGGGCGACTTCAAACTGTCTATTGAATACTGCATTGTCGATCTCCCGTCCGGCCAACCTGATTGGCTGTCGTAGACGACCTAGAGCGTGATAATGCATTGCGTCCATTGCAATGACACGGCGACGTATTTTAGAGCTGTCGGTCAGCCGCAGAGCGCGGCGAATCAGCGCAATAGAAACCCTGCAAATTCACAAATGAGGCAATGGAAGTGGCCAAGTCGTTCAGCTTTGTCGCGCTAATGCCTTTCAATGGATGTGGTTTTCCGCCAAGCCTGTTGGAAATAATACACGAAAAGACATCAGTACCAAACACGAGTCACATATGGGTTGGCAGAGGCCACCAAGATGGACTCAATAATGGGTGCAATGGTCCTCAGAGGCAACGTGAATCTCCATCTCCTTCAAAGCGCGAGGAGCATTCAAGACGATGATGACTGTTCATGACAACATCGGTGCGAAATGCTGTAACTCTGTATATGTGCCGGGGCACTCGTTTGACTCAAAAACTGCCTTCTAATACCAGCAACACAGACCATCTGGTTGCCATCTAGTCTCCACTGTTGATGAGATTTGTCAACTGAGAACGTACGGTGGTAAGCATCAGTAATACCCCAATCTGAATGACATAGCAGCGCATTTCCTTGGCTAAGAAGTCACGCGTCACGAAGAATTCAGGCCCCGTTTCTCCGCGATCGGCTCCGGTCAGATTGTTTCACCCGACCCGGGACATGAAATGAGTAAATACCCATGGCCCGCCATTCCACGATTCAAATTGTCCCGGATGCCGGCTCGGGTCCTACGCGAGGGGGGCTGTGGTGCAGCATCAGCGGAGACAAGCGCCAGCCAAGATGGAGACCCTGGAGAAACGAAGGGGAACAATTCCAACCTTATTCTTACCATTGGGACTGACCTTCTTTTGACCTCCCCAACTGGGACTGAGGACGTGGAGAAACCAAGCAACATTGAAGAGGAAAAGGGCTGACAGAAACGAGAAACCCCTTGTTATCCCGTTCTCTCCCTGGTCCAAACCGGCATCTCGAGACGTGTTAGAGTTTAGTGGCGTCCAACGATGCCCCGGCCCAATTAGCTACCCCAACAATCGTTTTCAGCAGAAGTGACTGGCCTGGAACCCTGGCCATGAGTAAGACTCGGCAACCTTGAAGCGAGAAACGCCCAGCCGCTGGGTTCACTACCTAATGTGTTCTTGATTTTGCAATGGGACGAACGGTTTTGCCTTTGTTTCCGCTGAAGGCCAGCTTGATTGACCTTGAGTCGGATGCAAGGGGTGATTTGAATAGGGGGGGCGTCATCTGTTGTTCTGTGGCTGCTTACGCACCTCAGCTTATGGCAATTTACATTGACAATGCGATTCAAGGCTGTTCAGCTCCAGCCCCAACTCGAGGCCCCCAAGTTTCTCAATTTCTAGTTTCTACGGCCAAAGTAGCGGCCAACACGAGGCCAGTCTTGATACTTCCCCCTGGCGCTTAGGCGGAATGATTTTCGAAACAAGACCCGAACGTTAGTGCGGGACAAACGGCACCAGTTAGCCGCGGGCTGTGTTTGCCTCGACAGCCGTCCATCTCGGCCAGTACCTCGCGTGGTTCCTGGGGTACCGGGCGTATCGTCAAACGCCAAAAGCTGGACCTCCTCGCCTCGCCTCCTTTGCCCTCCCCTCCCCTGGAAAGCAATTTAGAGCTTGGACCTGACTGTCACCCATTCTGGTGTGGCACCGTTTTTAGCTCGTCCCAACGCGCATCCTTGGTCTCCCGTCCAAAAAAGCTTGGCCTGCAGGGCGGTGTCCCTGGGGTCCCACGAAGCACGCTTGCTGCAACCTCGGATGTCAGATCCCCCGGTCCATGGAAGGACTCTCTTCCGCGGGGCGGAGCTTATTTCAGTCGTCTTCACTCTTTGGTGATACTACTGATGCTACCTAGACCCGAGACAGGTTGGGTACGTCTGGCTTCCGTCCTGTCCGGATGGTGCTGTTGTGAGGCCGCCACGCGCGGCATGCTCGAGCCGAGATGGCGACGCCCCGCGAACCTTGAGACCTTGGAGTCGGAAACGAAGTTGCCTAGGGTGGCTTGCTGAGGACGCCTTGGACGTTCCAGGGAGACCGCCAGGAGACCTTCTTGTTTCTTTAATCTTGCCTCGTCGTAGGACGAGTTCTATAAGAAGACTGTCATCGTCCTGTCAGTGTCAGTCTTGCTCCTTCATCAGCACAAACACATCTTTCATCTCATCTGTCTATATCTGCATACCGCACTCTCCTTCAACTTCTTCCAAGTAATATCACCACCATCAAAATGCACGCCCAGACTCTTCTCGCTCTCCTCCCTGCTGTGGCCATGGCCCAGTACGGCTACGGCGACAACGGCAGCGACGACTCCGCTGCCTCGGCCACGACAACCGCCTCCGCCGCCGCCGCATCCTCTTCCTCCTCCGCCTCCAACGTCCACATCGTCAAGGTCGGCGACGGCGGCCTGACCTTCTCCCCCAGCGACATCAAGGCCGCCGTCGGCGACATGGTCGAGTTCCACTTCTACCCCAAGGCGCACTCCGTCGCCCAGTCCTCCTTCGACAAGCCCTGCGAGCCCCTCACCAACGGCACCGCCACCGGCTTCTTCAGCGGCCCCGTCCCCGTCTCCTCCGGCGAGGGCACCGACGTCTTCACCCTCGAGGTCAAGGACAACAACCCCAAGTGGTTCTACTGCGCCACCGGCAACCACTGCCAGAGCGGCATGGTCGGCGTCATCAACGCCCCGTCCAGCGGAGCGAGGACCCTCGAGCAGTACTCCGCTGCCGCCAAGAAGGCCTCCCAGAACGTTGCTCCCGCTTCGACTGGCGGCGGCACCCTGGGCCCTGCTGCCACTGGTACTCCTGCCTCCAGCTCTGGCAGTGACGGCAGCTCACCCTCTGCCACTGCCTCTGGCACTTCTGATGCCTCTGGCTCTGCTGCCGCTTCTGCGTCTTCCACTACCAGACCCAACGCTGGTGTTGAGACCCGCGGCGATGTCCGCTGGGGTCTTCTCAGCTTCGGCATGGCTGTTGCTGGTGTTGTTGGCGGACTTCTCATCTAAGGAGTTGTTTGTGATGTCTCTTTGACTAATTATTGGCATGACATGGGATTGGGGGCACGGTACGGCATTATACCAGGGTGCATCAACAGATTGGTCTCTAAAATGGGATGGTCTGGGTTTTCAGCGAATATTCATGTGTACAAAGTACCACACTAGTTAGGCGTTGTTTAGTTCAAATTTGATCAAGCTGAGCTTTCAAACTAAGTTTCCTTACATAAGTTTCTCGGTCGATGTTGCGTGATGTCATCTATTATATTACTATTCAATGGATTGAACCAGAAATCCTCATAACCAGTCTTCAAATTAGGTGTCTTCAAACTAGGTGATCAATCAATTAGACACTATCATTTAACACTAAAACATCCCCCTTCTAAATATGATTCCGGGGTACAATACACGACTACAGCCAAGAACCACTCCCAAGTGCCCAGCATCTCGGGGCGGCCATCCTGCTTGGCAGCCTACATGACAGATTTCTTGCCTAGCTGGCAGGAGGGATCATCTGCCAGGCATCAATCGTGACAAGGCCCTTCTCCCTATCAACACTGGTCGCACCAACGACCATAATGTCGTTGACCCAGTAGTAGTTCTCAGCACCGGTCTCCAGGCTGAGATAGTGCAGACCTTTTCCATTCGGGGTCGGCCCGGTTCCGCGAACGAAGATGTTGGCGCCGTCGGCCGTCTGGAACTGGAAGACCGTGAGGGCCTGGAACCCTCCTCGAGCATCGAGAAGTCCCCAGTCTCCACCGACGGGGAGAATCACGCCTGAAGAGTTTGGTTAGATTTTCCATCATCAGGAGCGAGGTTTATAAGAAGACGACTCACCATTCAGCTTCGGTCCCTCGAACGATCCACCAAGGATAGGGTCACCGAACCTGGTACCCCGCGGGCCCAGCCCGAAGTTCACGGACGCCCCAAGATTCATCTTGAGCGAGAACAGCAGTTGAGAATCGGGAGGGATGGGTCCGCCATCTTTGTGGGTTGGCGTGGCAGAGGCGCACGTTGCCAGAGTTGACAAGAGTCCGACCGAGGCGGCGCTCAAGATGTTCGTAGGCAGCATGATGATCTATGTAGTAAACCGCTTTTCGAACGAGTGAAATATGCGTACAAGTATGTGTAGTGAAGGCTGAATGGGCAGAATATTAGTGTTGAGTAGCTAAAGTCTGAGGGAGACAGGGCTGAAATCGTCTCCCTTATGTATCCGTGTCGACACACGGCGATGTGAAGGCCCTTTTCGACAGTGTCGATGCGTGGCTTTCTTGGCCACCCATAATGATTGTGAAATTAGGCTCTACCACGACTCAACAGAGCGAAAGTCGAAGATTTGGTCTTCGGCACGGCGGTGCTCTAACAAACTTAGACGTCGGCAGCCCTTGCGCAGATATCCTGCTCGACCACCTCTCCCGAAAGACGTCACGTCAATTGTCGGGGAGAAGAGACCAGGCACGCACGTTAAACGTCAAAAAGGATCTCATCAGACGACACGGTGCCACCTCTTGAAGTGCAGCTTTCTAGAATAAGAGTTGCCAAGCCGGCCTCACGACAGAAGCCTGTCGGCGCTGCTGTCATATGTGTGAAAGCTTCACCTCATTGGCTATGGGCTTGGATGATGGAGCGGGTGAGGTCATGGATGAATGGGTGACGGCGGTTGGAGCTCAGGCTGGATGGTCTTTTGAGTTGGCAGCCAGTGCTTCGGCCCGGAGCTGGCCGACACGTGCGCGGTGGAATACCGCGGATCTGGTGATGGGCTTGGACGGTGGTTGCGGGCATCAAAGCGCGGATGTGATGGTTCCCCTTGATGCCTCTAGTTGAGCTTTCTCTCTTCAACTTTGAGTAAATGATTGATTGATACCAACCTTTTAATTCTCCCTAGTGAAAGTTGTGTGTGATTATGACATTAATGAAATGGCGCGACACATTATATGGTCATATTGAAGAGGTTTACGTCCGATCTCTGGTCATCTTGCTGCTCGCGTATCGAAGAAACACATCAATACCCCGTGTGTAGTAAACATGCTCAACTTGTGTTCACCATGGCCGCGACCTAGAAATGTTAGGCGTTCTAACCACTCCGATCTTTCCACTCATGCCGCAGGATCCCATACGTGGCCATGCCATAACACTTGCGATCATGGTAGAAAGACTCCCGGCTTCGGCGTTGTTCTAGGAAACCCAACATCTCGAATACCTTCTGCGCCCTCTCATTAAAAGTCAACAACGCGGTGATATCCCAAAACAGAAACGCCTAATCCGAAGCCAACTTGGTCGCCTCCCCGCCATATCCCTTATTCTGGTATGCCGCAGTCATGGTGATGTCGATGCTGGTCTTTCGGTGCAACGCTGCGCTTGGTCCGCGGGAGGCCCGTCCCAGCCCAGATTGAGATACCCTATCGGGACGGGGGCCGAGTTCTTCTTATCGTCCGACTCATCGGTTGCTTCCCCGGCTTCAGATGTTTCTTTGTGCTCTGTCAATCAATCTTGTCTGCGGGGAGACAGAACGTGACGGTGAGTACGGCTTCTGCGAGTTGTTCCTCCATCTCCTCGACATACTCTTCAGAGTGTGGTCATGTCGGTCATGTGTAGAGCGATGTTAATGGGATCGGTCATGATATGAGTGTGCAGGAACTTCCTCTCACTGTCATCGCGTATCACCAGGGCAAGTCTTAGAACGAGGCCGTTCTTGCAATTTTCGCGGAGACAAGCGATTGCTATGACTTATCAGTGTTTTGATTACCGGGTTCGATATGTTCTGCAGCATCCGTAGACGATAGTGCTCACATCATCAACTCAAATACTTCGGATTCGAAACTTACGCGTTGCGACGTACAATAGTATTCAAAAGTCGCGGTCTTCCGAGGCATGTTTGTGGCCACGGGTGCTGACACTTGGTAACGTCAAGTCCTTCCAGTATGAGGCCAATTCGATGAACCGGTGATAATAGCTAGGTTCATGATTATTCGCCGACACAATGTCTTGAAAAGGATGGTCCTATGCCGCGACACGGAAGTACATGTAGCCGTCCTCAATGACCCTTTATGAAAGGCGCATTCTTGAGAGCTTCCGCCTGAATAGCCCACACCTTCCGACCCAAACACACAAGCTCCTCCCCAAACTCCTCCAAGACATGCTCCGCATCAAACTCCTCCCTAGCATCACCTTCCATGTCCAAAGTCGCCGCCTTCCAGACCTCCTTCCACTGCTCGATAGCAACAAGCGCCTCGGGACTCCGGCTCCTGACCTCCGTCGCAACCATGTAGAACGAAGACCGCTTCGCGTGTCCCGAAGTCGGCTTGAACAGCCTCAACCGCCCACAAAACCTGCTGAACCGAAACAGCTGCAGCACCGTATCCCGAGCCTCCACCTTGTGGAACAGCACGACCATCGTACCGCCCGGGTTGAGCCGCTCCAGCCCGAGGGCCAGCTGGCTGGCGGTGAGCCTGCGAGCCTCGCTCCGCTGTCTGTAGTCGGCGACGTGGTGCTTGCGGACGACGGAGCCGCTGCAGATGACGAGGTCGAACGTCCGTCCCAGCTCGAACTGCCGCGGCAGGAAGTCGTAGGCGTCCGGGTGTCCGACCGGGATCTGGTGGAAGCCCAGGTCGCCCGGCAGCATGGTGACGTCCAGGTATCTGATGTCGACGTCCGGGCCGCTTGGGAGCACGACCCTGTAGCCGCCGTCGGGGACGGGGAGGCTGAGGCCGAGGCCCTTGGCGCCGGGGTTCTTGTCGAGGGCGGTCGCGAGGAAACCGCCGGGCGCGCATCCCATGTCGAGGATGTGCGGGTAGTCGGCGCCGGGGTTCTTGATTCTGAAAGCGAGGGTGGAGTGGTGCATCTCGTTGGCGATTCTTCTCATCATGTCGTAGAAGTACCTTTCGGTCCGAGAGTCGGTGTTGTCGGCGTTGTTGCGCAGCTGTTTGAAGAATACGTCGCCCTCTGGGTTCTTCCATCCCTAAAAACGTATGAGTTAAGATGCCCTTGTGGATTGGGGGGTGGGCTTGATGGTCTACCTCAGCTCTCAGCTCTCTCAACTCCGCAAACTCTGGGCAGTTTTCGATGAGGTAATTGATGATGGTGTTCTCACTGCGAGACTCTTCCTGATCAGCCGCTTCCTGATGATTTTCCGCGACGGTCAAGCCTTTCATCAGCTGGACGTGGGTATCATCCGCGGAAGCGTCCTGATGGTTGTCTGTTGAAGATGCCATTTTTGTTGTCTGCTGAAAAGGTGATCAGCTCTCTCAAATCGGCTGATTGATGGGATGCCTACTAGCGGTCTTCAAGAGCAAGGTGCCTCTGGTATAAATAAAAATTGCACGTATCTTGAGCTGACCAACAAGATGATCGTTTCCCGTGGAGTCATCCAGACCCGTTGTTGATGTCCAGGCACAAAGAAAAGGCATCTGCAGATGTAGCTTTCCAAACTTTGATGACAGCACGGCTTTCACGGAAGTTTGGCATTGTGTGACAAAAGATACTTAGTTCAGATCCTTTAACGTAGCCAACCAAGACTTCAGGACAAACTCAAGAACGACGCGTGAGGAGACATATATAGTTCACCATTGGACCTCAGTGTCTGTCACATTTTCATAGCGGGAATCAACCAAGCCACAGCTAGAAATCCCCAAGAAGTTTCCTTTACTAGTACTAGTGAAAGGAGTTATTTGTCTTTAACTTCACAAACTAAACCTCTTATTCCCACAATCACAAAACAAAATTTAATAAAACCCTTTGAAGCTTATTAGGATAGAGTTTTATTCTTTTAGAATATTGAACGTTCAATATGTACTCGTTGGGTATGGCGAGATATCTATGACTAGATTATAAGGGTGGCTGCATTGTATTGCGCGGCTTATTGCACTTGTTTAACAAACCCTTCGTCCTCCCTCCTACACCCTCAGACTACCAACAACAGCAACCCCAAAAGCAACCCAAGCCCCCAAATCAACACTCACCATCCTCACAAAATTAACCCTCAACCACCCCTCCAACAACCCATTCACATCCTCCTCCACCTCCGCCTCCTCCGCCTCCACCAGCGCCTGAACCCTCGGCGCCACCGCCGGCACGTACGCCAAATGTCCCAGCGACAGCCCGGCCCCGGCCGCATACCACCAAAACGTTCCCCTCGCCCGGAGCGCCCCCGGACTCGTCCACAAATTCGCCGCGGCCGTGGCGGCCGAGAGCGTGATGAAGCTCAGCACGATGGGCAGCCCGCGCCGGAAAAACGTCCGAAAATACGACTGCACGACCGTTTTGCTCTTCGGTCGCACCTCGGGGGCGTTGAAGACGTTGAGGAAGAAATGCTGGTCCCACGCGTAGAGGAGGGTGCAGGTCGACGAGATGAGGGGCGCGGCGCGGAGGGCGACCAGGGGGTCGAAGACTAGGCGGGAGGCCATTTTGAGGGCTTTGGGTGAATCGATGATGATGCTTTTGCGATTTTGAATGGATGAGGGAGAAAAACGAAGAGAAATATTTCTTTGGGTGGTCTGGCATCTTAAAGCATCTCTGCTTACGGTTCGGGTCACCAGTGGCTTGGACTGCGCCGTACGGAGGGTGAGACCGGTTCCTTCGGGGAGATCCCGGCGCCCGGCTCATGTGATTCCCCACTAAATATCAGCCGACGACCGGGACGGGGCTCGGTCTTTTCGGGTTACGACATGCTCAGCTCGAACTGTGTAACAGCGACTCTCCCGTCCGGATTAACAACGAACAATTAGGCAAATTCAGGAACGGCGACGTGGGACAACGATGAGACAGATGAACACTATTGATGACGACGTCAGAAAGAGACGGAAAGAGCGACGGAAGAGGACAATTCAAACACATCAACGCTCTATACGGAGAACTACGCTGCCACTAATTCAACCTGCGCTACGTAACAATTAAGCCAAGCGTACAGACAAAAAGGTGTGACCGGTGGCCCATTAGGTGTAGCTGCGCATGGCGTCTTGATAGCCCTCGCCACCCTTGAGGTGGATATCGAAGCTGTTTTGCACGTCAAGAACCTGCCGAATGTGCTCCATGCTAAGGGGCACACCCTTATTCACAGCCAAAGCCTGAGCCGTTCGTATGGTGTTCTTGATCTGCCTGCCGTTGAGGTCGTACCTGGCCAAATCGGCGTAGTCCTGCTCGCTGAATGGCTTGAGATCGACCTTCTCTAGCTCACGGACCCTCTCGACAAAGATTCTGAAGATGGCCTTCTTCGCCTTGACTGTGAGACTCTCGTACCGAAGAGCAATGTGAATCCTGGATTGGAATGCGTCGTCGAAGGTTTCGACACGATTGGTGGTCAAGAACAGAATACCCTGGAAGTACTCGAGCTGACGGAGGAAGATGCTGACCAGAGCGTTGCGGTTAATCTCGTGCAGGTTTCTCTTCTCAAGAAAGACGTCGGCCTCATCGAGAAGAAGAATGGCGCCCCAGGCGTGGCAAATATCCAGGATCTTCTGGAGCTCCTGCTCAAGGTAGCGGGGGTCAGTACCCAATTCTCCGGCTGACGCCATGTAGAGAGGGCACTTGAGCAACTCGCTGATGCCCTCTGCAGTCAGGGTTTTGCCGGTGCCGGGCGGTCCGTGGAGGACGGCAACCAAACCCTTGCCCTTGCCTTGGATCACGTCGTCAATGCTTTCGGTTGCGTGGTATTTGTGAGACTCGACGAGTGCCTTGACGATGTCCTTCTGTTTGGGCTGGAGCACCAAAGAGTCGTATGCAGTCTCGTTCCAGTGGATCTCTTTGACGCCAGACACGGTGAACTCCAGCCACAGCTTCTCCGAGAAGGAGAACCCCAGGACGATAGGAGAGGCGATGAGGTATTCCTCGTCCGAAAACTCCGGAACGTCCGTCTTGTTGGCCTTGGCGGGGTCGTCGACGCCCTCCGTTTCGTTCTTGCTGCTGTCGTCGAGGCGGGCGAGTGGCTGCTCGGAGGCTGCAGGCTCCTCCAAATCGGACTTGGGAACCCGAATCAAGTGTGCCTTGCCCTTACGGTCGTGAACGACCTTGGTGACCATCTTTTCACAGCCACCTTCGTCGCTGTCACATCCCTCCTTCTCGTCGGAGTCGGATTCGTCGTTTGAGTCGTCAGACAGGATATCATGGTCCTTGGGCCGCACTGCAGACACTTGGTAATTGGGGTTGATTCGGCGATGAACTGCAGGGTCGACCATGATGCGGCCGTTGATGTTGACTTTGACGATGGCCTTCTTCTTCTTGTAGTAAGCAAGACCCTCGTGACTTTGGTAGTGCACACCGCCAAGCTTCACGAATTTCTTGCCACGCTCGATCAAGGAAGCGACAAGTGCGTCTTTGTCCTTGTGGTAGCTGAGGGGGTAAGCGTTGAGGCTGGTGATCTTCCGAGCTCCACGGAACTCCGGGATCTCTTCGGCGAAGGTGCCGTAGCCAAACTGCTTGCCATCAAATTCAAAGTACTGCCGAATTGTCAGAATGGCAGGTCTGAGGAATCTTGATTGCAGAACATACCTTGCCATCAAGCCAGTAGAACTCTCCCTTCACCATGCTACTGTGACGCTCTGCCTGCTCGACTTTGAAAACGCGAGGTTCATTCTGAGTACCGTAGGTGGCCGTGTAGACAAGAGTGTCCGGTTTCCAAAGTGCCCACAGCAGTTCGAAGGTGATGAGACCATTTTCCAACATGGGGTACAGACTTGAGGCGATCAGTAGGTGATACTCGTGGTATCATGAGTTTTCTCTCACCTTTTCTTGACATGAGCGTAGTCCTTGTCGAGATACTTGAGCAAAACTTTGAGGTGCAGCCGCTTGTTGTTAATAGACTTCTGTTCCTTTTTGCGCTCCTTCTTATCGGTGCTGATAGGCTTCTTCTTCTTCAACTTCTTGGCGTATGAACGAAGATCCTCGAGATACCTGTCATCAGTGTTAGCCGGTTATTATCCGTGTCGGTATGTTGGCACCGTTGCCGTTACGGGACATGTGCATTAGTGCGTGTGTAGGTAGTACTCACAAGAAAAGAAGATTGGGATCCAGCTTAGGGACTTCGTCAACCAAGCTGACACCCTTGACATTGCCAATGACGTCCTGCAGACACTCGCGCAGGATCTTGCTCTTGATGTCGACGAAAGTAGTCTTATACTTGCCCTCCCAATCAAAGGTGCGTCGGACCTGGAGGACGTAGCCGTCGTACTGCGAGTCCGAGGTGGTCTCGGTGGTGTCCTGGAGCTTGTAGTTGTGGATGGTGTTGTCCCAAACCTGGTCAACGCGCTTATAGTCGAGCTTGCCGCGCTTGTTCGGTGCAGGTAGATGCTTGAGATGGTTGGGGGCAAAGGGGTTTCCGGCATCGATAAGGCCCATCGGCATCCTAGCCGCTGCGCGCCTGGGCGGCGGGATGTCGTGGAACGGCTGAACACCCAAGGCAGGGTTACCTCCAAAGGACGAGAGAGGATCGGTGCCACGCTGCAGGTGTTGCTGGAGAACCTGGATTTGTTGAGGTGTTAGGCGAACGTTGGTCAAGCCGTCGTCGACATCGTCGGACGAGGCGGAGTCTGTGTCGGATGAATCACTCGAAGAAGCCTTGTCGGCGCGCTTGCCGAGTTTCTTGGTCTTCTTGGAGCTGGAGGCAGCAGACGTCTTCTTAGACTTCTTGAGGTCGGCGATCTTTGACTTGTTAGACTTGCGCTTGACATTGTCGGCAGATGCGGAATCGTCGCTGGAGTCGGCATCGGAGGATGATGACAACTCAGCGTCAGAGCTGTCTTCATCATCGGTGGCAGTATCCGAGTCATCTACCAATTTGGACTTTTTGGGCTTGTGCGTTTTATTCTTGGGCAGCTTCTTGGCCTTCTTCGCGATCTTCTTCTTGGTGGTGGTGGGATTGGAGTCGGATTCAGGCTTCGGCGGGGAAGCCGAGTCGTCGGCGGGTGGCTTGCCGGCGTTTACCTCGTCGGTCCCCGTCTGCCGATCCGTAGCGGCGTCGATGGTATCCATGATGGGTGGAAATACAGAGTAAGACGGCGATAATGACGATAACGGACCAAGAAAGACGATGGAAAAAGAAAAAGATGAAGACAGCAAGGGTGAGATGAGGCTTAAATACCTGCCTTACGTGGAGGCCGCAGAATCAAATGTTCTGGTTGGAAGGAACGTTTCTGTTCTGTCATGTCGTACCTGCTCCAAATTCTGACACCTCACTTTCCATTGATGGAAGACGAAAGGGCACCCCACACCAAAGTACGTCACTTCCATTGTACCAACATGCATTTCAGATATGGGTGGAACATTCCACTTACTGTAAGAAAATACCCTTACTGCTAAGATAGACAGCAGGGACATGTCGCTTTACCTGTCTTGGTTGATGCCTTAGATTGCCGTTGTTGCTTCTATCTCCGTCACTTTCCATGGCTTTACAGTCTTGGAATACATCAAGGGCAGCGACCGAACAAGTCTGCAGCACCAACATTGAATTATAGGTACCTTGTAACAAATAAAGGACCAAAATAAATAAATATGTATGGTACTTTTAATCTTGAAAAATAAAAATGAAAATAAGAATGAAGAAAGTGCTGCCTGCCAGCCAGCCTACCTAGGTACGTGCTTGATGGGAAGGGGCAATAATACAGCAGGGGCGCCCAGGTCGGGTAGTAAGTATGTCACAGTGTCGGGTGCTCAGGGTCGCTCCGGGGCTTAGTCATACCAAGTTCCAGTGCTCTTCGGGCGGCAACTCAAACTGGCGGCGGATCAGGAAGGAAGCCCAAGAAAAAAAATATCCATCGCCTACATTCTTCCTCCCATTCTTCCTCCAAAAACCTTTATTAACCCGATCGATTGTCTCACTTTGCTGCAGTATTCGTACACGGTCGTTAGATCATTTCCTTCACCAGAGCCTTTGCAAGCAGGCAGCATCCCCGCCGCTATGAGTCAAGCCCATGTCATCGGTCCAGCGCTTCTGCTGTTGGACGGCCCTTGATTACTGCACCTTCATCGCTAAATGGAAATAAGACCCGATCCAACAGGGCCGCCTCGAAGCGACCACAACCTCAGTCCGCACCAAACAAAGAACGCCTCGCGCCAAGCACTCGATGCAGCCTGCTTCCATAGGCTCGTCAGGGAGAGAGGCCTACGACGACATCGGGCGGACTGCCTTGAGCACTGCAGGCGAACCATTCAGTAGCATCACCATCAGCCTCAACCAACGCTGGTCAGGTGGTCTACAAGCCAACGATTCACTGCATTCGGGGCGCGAGAGCACGAGAGCACGAGAGCGCCGAAAACCAACCATCTCTGCCCGAGACGACGTATCCGTCCCTACATGTACGGATTCCCTCGCCTGCTGTCGACTCTGATTCCCAGCTGACGGGACATTCGATGGACAGTTCATCGTGCCTCGAGGTGGGCAACCACTACGTTGCGTGTACTGCATGCCGTTAATGCATTGCTGCGGCGCCCACACACGCATCCCATCTCAACGGCTGCGAGGCGGCTCCAAGACAACCCCGCCAACAGCAAGCCATCCCTCCGTAATCTCAGAACAATGAGGCGGTTCGCCCACGCGATTGGGATCCAGCTCCCCGGCTGATTTCCAGGGCCCTGCTGGTTATCTTCGGCGTTGGCTCAAACAGTCTGTCCTTTATTCGCTCTCTCGTCAGCCACATGCTTCGTCACTCTGCGCCCTCGCACCAAAATTCTGGTTACACCGCATTCGCCGGCCCGAGCATACTCATCCCTTCGTCTCCCGAGCCCACGGACACCGCCGATGGTCCGGACGATCTGGATCCCCGTCCGACATGAACCCAGAGAAAATACTCTTCCCCGACCTTCAAACAAGGTTACCCGCACGGAACGTGTCGGTGTGACAAGCGCATTGCCGACCAGTAGAGTTGACCTTGTTTGTTTGTCGTGCAGTTAGTGGGACCGCTGCAATATTCAGAGCATCGCTGATGGGCTCGCCTAAGATCCGCCGGCGGCAACATGCATCGGCCCCGGACACCGAGTATTCTCCACCCAAGGTAACTCAATCTAGCTTTCATTCCGATACAAACTGTCCGACGGGAGTACTCTGGTATAAACAGATTGAACGTCAGCAAGCAATCTGACATACAGTTGGTCATTGTAGTTTGACTTCACGTCAGAATTTATAAGGGAGTTGGAAGCGTAGTCGCTAGCGGCAGCCCCGCTTCTCATGATGATCATCACTGTTGGCGGTTCCAAGTCGACGAACTGGAGCTTATCAGGACAGAGTTCTATGCTCTCTGAATATCTGTGACGCATGTGTTATCGATGGGTATAGTGAGATTTTGATTTGTTTCATTGGAAGACAGCACGGGCTAGAGTGCTAGTATCGTGATAAACATACTCTGGATCTTGTATTGGTAAACCGCTGTAAAGGTCATTCAGAGCCGGGCACCAGTTCATCTTAATAGTGCAGTTCTGAATAACCTCTTGAAAATAAATAAAAGAAAAGGCTGCTCCAGTGTAACTCGCGGGGAATCGGAATCTTCAGGGCCCGAAGCATGATCTATCGAGGCGTCTGGTAGAAGACTATCAATGAGACCTCTCCCAGAGCATGAAAAGCTTGTAACAGTGCGCGTAAAATCTTGAGAATCATTCCCACGAAAGACGAGATGTTTACCACCCCGTTACTATGAATGACCTCAACCACCACCAAGGTCGTGGGAACCTAGTGACATTGGCGTGCCCGGCAACCATAAGTTGGGGTTTCTGTCAGATCTTACTGCTTTCAGCAGAGGGAAGTATTCGGTTCTTTCGCTATAAATATACTCAATATAAGACTGCGCTTTTTCATATTATAAAATCAAAAGTCGTGATTTGACCAAATGAGCACGAAAACACATAACCATAACGTGTCTCATTATAAAACGTCGCCGTCTCACCTCACTACGTATCCCATCATGAATGTTATAGAGTTATGTAGTAGGGATTGCGTTATGATAGCGAGTCTACGGGCATCTCAGCCACAGAGGGCTCCAGAGCAACACGAAGACACTTGAGTCTTTATGCTACATCGACCAGGCCACGTAATCGTCTCGGAAACGACTTTATTTCAAAATTTCCAGAACTAGACGTCTCTCCAAAATCGCCGCGCACAACCACAAATCAAGATCTTGGATGAACGAGCCAAACTCGTACCGTAATGGTATATGTAGCCAAGCTCACTAGCAAAAGATAAAACTCTAGGCAGCTAATGTCATCCCAAATCTAAATGGCACATCGACGGGTTCTGACTCGTGTTCAGCTGCCATTGCCACTCAGTATGCCTAACGGCTATTTGAAACGACTCAGATCCGTAGGTTCCTGCGTCTTTAGAAAGGTTCAGCTGATCAGGCATTTTGAGTCTCCTGTCGATCATCTTTCACAGCTTTACGATGCTAGTCTTTTAGTGCCGAGTATAGTCTGTCAAAATATGGTACAGCCATTCCATCTGCGTAAGCTGATCAAGTCGACATCCGTCTACGTACAAGTTATCAATCCTCCGACTTCCTTTGCAAATTTGACATACGCACGTAGATCCTCCCGCAGAACCTGAAGAAGGACAGCGACTCCAGAGTTTAAATGTTAACCATAATCTATTGAGGGAAGGGATTTCAGTGGTAGCGTAACGTCGTATATATCGAATCTCTCGTATTCTGTTTCCCCGGCCTAAGCCTCCTTCGTATCTCGCAACGAATCCGAGCTGCTTCATCCACTTATCTCAGCCCACTAGCCTATGTTGTCACACTCCGCTGGATGAATCGAACGCGCGGGACAAGCCAGACACTCTCCGCGGTGACGGGGGCTGTGTTCTTGGCGAACGGCCCGCACCCTGTCGTGGGGGTTCGCAAGTGCCGAAGCATGTTTTCTGGGGCGGCGACGGAGTTCGGGGACTAATCTCAGATGCGTGGATATAATAACGTAGAGTATTCTGTGTTTTAGAGGCGTTCTTGATTTACATCTGTCATCGTTTTCTCATCAACTGCAAGGCGTCTGTTTACACCAAATCAGGGTGTTGCTATTAGTATTTGCAAGTCTTTTGTCATGTGTCCCGACTCTGGACTCAATGTCCCCATCTCGGACAAACCCATCGTCGGAGCCTTGACCTTCCAAGGCTTCTTGACTCTCGCCGGTGGCATTCTCATGATGACTTCGTGCTCAATGTCATTCTACCAAATATTTCGCCATGCCACCAACTACACCAAGCCTGGAGAACAACGCCAGTGAGTTGTCTCAACGGTTCGCGCGGGCTCCAACGGCAGCACTGATACATGTCGAACAGAATCATCCGGATATGTCTACTCGTCCCGATCTACAGCATCTCGGCGTTCCTCTCGATCGTCTTTTACAAGAAACACGTCTATCTAAGCGGCATATACCTGACATACGAAGCTTGCGCGCTGGTCGCCTTCTACGCTCTCTGTTGCGAATACTGCGAGACGGACCGTCACAAATTAGCCATATCGTGGGACGAAGATGGTTTGAAGAAATGGTTCTTCACGAAGCCGTTTGCGTCGTGTATACCGTCGGCCAGGGGGACGTATTATGCTCAGCCAAAGGAAAACCACGGATGGGGGAGATTCAATGCAAGTTCACTTTCACCACAACGTTGTTTGAAATAATTCGCTGACCTGTGCTGCAGAGATGCTGGCTTTGCATTTATCAGTACCCCTTCGTCAAGCTGCTTGTGACCATAGCAACGTACGTCACGGAATCCATGGGCGTGCTGTGCTCCGAAGAGGGTGGGACGAAGTACGCTGATTTCTGGGTAAGCTTGCTATTGATCTTCAACTGAATGGCAGCGTTCTGACTTGAAGTAGCTGAGTACAGTAATCTCGGTGGCTACGCTGATCACAGCCATGCACTGCCTGTTTCAGTTTTACTACCAGTCCATGGAACATCTAGAGCCTCACAAGCCCGTGTTGAAGTTCATGGCTATCAAGATCGTAGTGTTCCTCACGTTGATGCAGGACGTAAGTCATGAGACAGCGCATTCATCTTTGCCAGGCACAGAGCTAACATCGCTGCAGTACATCCTGGACGCAATCGTAGGAAAAGACGATCAACCCCTCGGTCCGACCGACGCCATATCATACCCTTCACTCTCCATCGGGGTTCCGAATCTGCTTCTCTGCCTCGAAATCTTCGGCATCGGAATCCTTCACTTATACGCATACCCGTGGTCGCCATATGTTCTGCCTACCAGTTCCGGGGTGGTTGTTTCGGAGGGTCACAGCGTTGAACCCGACTCCGGGGACTCCGGAGCAAAAGGTGGACCCACCATGGTGGACATTCTGCCGGAGGCCGGCGTGGGTTACAGCCAGGGCGGATTCCTGGGCTGGACGGCCTACCTCGACGCCCTCAACTTCTCGGACTTCGCGATTGCCTTGTACAATGGGGTCTTCTGGGTTTTCATGCGGTACCCGGAGCAAGATACGAGGGGCAGGAAGTGAGTCTCATGACCTTGGACGGCGTCTCCTGCGGCAAGTTGCGTGCCTGGGTTTGGGGTTTTTGCAAAGTCAACGGACGTGGAAAATCAGGAGGGAGACGGAGTAAATTCGCCCGGGAGCATTACAGCAAGCATCATCATGTACATCTACAGTACCATTGTGGCTCGTACGGAAGAATCCGACAACCTGGGACGACACCCCTGGCCATGTTCTCCATCCTTCATCCCCCGGTCCGCACCTTGCAGGGTCTTATCGTGTGCTAGACAGCTCATCGGGGACAGGCCTTACACAGGAAAACACGATGCCTGACTTGTCATAGAATTGATCTATCAAACTTACTAGTATGACCCTGTATCACACGACTCAGAGCCTACCACGAGCAGCCTCTTCCTGCACGTGTTCAGCAAGGGCTATCAGCCTCAACACCAGCTGACATCCGGTGATCTTCAAACACTGCTCTAATTAAGGATATTTCACTTGATTTCTGCGAGTAAGTTGCTCAAGAGTCGGTAAGTGATAGATTAAACCTTTCCAGATGTGGAATGCGAATATCCCGGTGGAGATGAGCTTGTTATTGTCCTTAACCTCATGAAGCGTACGAAATCTAGCTCGATAAGTCACTCTCGAAACCTATTTAAACCCCAAGTTTTCGCTGAACGAGTTCTCAAGCTTCTTCACTTCAATTCATCTTGTCTCACTTCTACTTCAATACTTCTTATCTTCCACAGTTCCCGTCACCATGCAGCTGACCTCCATCCTCACTTTCGCGGCTCTGGCCGCCAGGTACGTCATCCCCAACCTGTTCTCGCGACTCTTCATCGTGAGACCGCTGACACAGAAACCAGTGCCACAGCTCGTCTGCACAGCTCCGCCGTGTGCGTCAACGCCGCGAAGACCGGAAGCACAGGCAACGGCACCCCCTGGGGCCTTGGCTACGGCTCCTACACCGACTACGAGCTCGATCTCGAGGCCACCAAGTGCGCCTGCGGCTACTACCGCAACCGTAACACCGGTAACAAGCAGTGGGACAAGTGCCCTGACTGCACCTTTGTACGGCGGTCCCTTCCTTGCCGAGATGTGGAGGGTATGTTCGCTGACATGGGGCGACCTAGGACGGTCTTCAATGCAACTCTGCCGGATGGCACATTGGCGGCGACGAGGTGAGTGCTAAGCTTTTGGGGGTGAGACTTACAGGGCTGACGAGGGATTCCAGATGAACCACTACTGCCGCAAGTACTGTGGTGCCGAGGGCAACGACGGCAACTGAGTTGATAGGGCTTTGCTTGGGATGCCCTGGCCAACTGGTGTTCATCTGAGGGCGAGGAATGATCTATTTCAGTTCGCATCGTATATAATTACTTCAGACGATTGAATAAAGTCTACTTGTACATCACTGATGTTGCTGCTCTTTGGGAATGCTGTGCCCCTGATATATCTGTTCCTGCTCTTTCAAGCCTGCCAAACTCATTAATGCATGATCAACCACGCCACACATCATGAATCTTCGATCTTGCTCACCTATGTTTACCCATATGCTTGATAAAGAGCCTGTGGAGGACGCGGCAGTTTGAGGTTTTGGAGCACTGTTGGGAGTCAGTCGGTCGACACTTCCCCAGCCGAGAGTTTTGCTGCCGGAGTCATGACTTCGTGGGCTACCCTTCAGTAGTCCCGACCCAAGATCCTTGAGATTGCGGACTTTTTAACCTTAAAAGCACGAACGGGAAACATCCACCCGCGATATGCATGGACCCTGAAAGGATCTCTAGGCGATCTCAATTACATCGACCAATGGGTCCGAGACTAAGCTACCATTTGTGACAGGAGACTGTCCTGGGAATGACTCGATCACCGAGTGACATAGAACTCGTGGGCCACTCTTTACAGATATGGGCTTGCCTGCTTCCCTGGTCTGCGAAGCTAGGCTTGAATCACGATTAGAATTACTTCATTGAACCGTTGGCTGTAAAATAAAACCAGGATTGGGAAGTGCGTGTAGGAATGAGAATGTCTTGAGGATTTGAGCCGGCTGGTTGACCACACCTGCGGCGTGTTCCACTGTCACGCAGAAGATGAATCTGCTATTATTAGAATTCAAGTGAAGGGCTCAGAGATTCGCTATAACCGCGACCTGCCCTACAAAGTCCGCCAACAAACGTCTACCTACATGAGAAACGGGGGAACTGCCAATTCTCAACAATACGTGCCGTCTACATGCATTTAATTTATTGATGACATGATGTTGGCATTAATTGCAACATGGGTTGACAACAGGGGTTCAAGATACCAGAACTCAATGACCCACTTCAAAACCTTTTCCCCCAGCGACATCTCCTACGCAGTGAAACGCAGAAGACTGTTTTTCTTCTTGCTATTGAAAACACCATAACCAGCAGAAACCACGTCTCGAAAGAATGAGATTCATGAGAAAAGCAACACTGATGTTGACATCGATTCTACGTGGTCTGATGACATGACAGTGACCGAGGGACCCCGGGAGCCTTGCATAATATGATACTTCTGTTGGTCGCCGGTTGAAAATAACGCCAATCAAGTAGAGGGAGCGGATAATCCTTTCGATTCCAAGACGGCGCAGTTTCCGAACACAGCTTCAGTCCTGCGGCGTAAACGAAAGTCCCTAAGCTCAGCCCCCAAACCTCAGAATTGACTTGGCCCTCAAAATCAGGTCATTGCCCAAGTTCAATGAACAAAACCAAACTGCAAAGACTGTCCTTGTTTGGTTTTGTTTGACTGAGAATACATTGTTCTTTCTGGTCTTTTAAACAACATCATTGAACACCTGGTTACTCTTGTGTTGGCGAATGACTTCCGCCCCGTGAAGACCACTTGTGTGTACATCGTCATCGGCAGGATACGCACCTGTCTCACCTGCGGGTCATGATGGACGTCCGATACCGCAGCGATAATACAGCCGCGCAGCTCAAGCGCAAACCAGTTCAGTCCAGCCGTGCCATCACGAATGCAGATGACGAACCACAGCCACCTGCCAACCATGCGAGCGAACCTCTTCTCTACGAACACGAGTTGCATACTCAACAGGATCCAGTCAGACGCAATTCTACGACTCAAGTACCAGTGTCCAACGTTGAGGATGCCCTAAGTCGTACGGACAGTAGCGATCATACCTCGAACACGGCTCAGGCTCAACAAACGATATCAGAAAAGCCTACCAATGGTGACAAGCCGCCGAACCAAGGAGGAGGAAAGAACTCTATATGGCTTATTGTCAACGGTTGGTGGCAAGAGATTCTTTGCTGCCTTCTTGGCTTAGCATCTCTTGTTGCGCTGGTATTGATACTGAGAAAGTATGATGGACAACCTTTGCCAAACTGGTCTTCGGGGATCACTCTCAACACCGTCATCGCTTTCCTATCGACAATTGCCCGGACCGCCTTCATCGTCCCAGTTACCGAAGGCCTTGCCCAGGCGAAGTGGACTTGGTTCAAGAAAAAGCCGCGCCCACTGGAAGACTTCGAGGCTTTCGACCAAGCTTCAAGAGGGCCATGGGGCAGCCTCAATCTTTTGGCGCGGACTAAAGGATGGTAATGTTGTTCAAGTCCTAGGCATGTGGAAGTACGGCTAATGCGACAGCAGGCTTATTGGAATCCTGGCAGCGCTTTTGCTAAGCTCTACCATTGCGACCTCAACCCTCACCCAGTCCGCAGTTACATATCCCTCGAGAGAAAGGTCCAGTGACAACAATGCGGGCGCGGCTGCTTGGAAAGTTGATCAAGATTGGGCATTCAACATCGGCGAGATTGGGCTTTGTAAGCTATTCCCGAGAGAATATGCTTTTCCTCTGAGGCGACGTTAACGCTGATGGATCTGCAGTGAACAGACCGGTTTACACCAGAGGAATCGCACAAGGCCTAAATATGTTGCCAACTGAAAGCCTTCCGTTTCGACAGCCAGAGTGCCAGGCGGCAAACTGCACGTGGCCGGCGTTCAGCACACTTGCTGTGTGCCACAAGGCAACAAGTAAGTCTCAACTCTAATACATCGACAAAGACTCGAATGTATTAGTTGATTACCTTTCGCCAGTTCTGTGCTAACGGGACTTGACCTTCTGGATAGATGTGACCCATCTTCTACAAAAGACATCCGGGGGGAGAGATGTCGATCCCGTCTACAGCTTGCCGAACAAGGTTTCAATGACACTGGCAAGAGCCATGGCCCGATACACTTATGCGGAAACGGCCGTACTTAGTTCAGGTGACAGTATCTCTCACGAAGACCTAGGAACAGCCAGGATCTGGACTTACTTTGGCATTCACTGGCTGCCTGCCTACTCCAACTACCCCCAAGCCACGGAAGTCAGCTTCCACTGGTGCGTTAATACGTACAAGGCTTCGGTGACAAACAACAGGCTTTCCGTGGAGAAAGTGGCGTCTCACGCAGAAGGATCATCTGACTAAAACAAAGCATTCGAGTTCCTTATGTCACCAAGTGACGGGAATACGAAGTATTACTTCCCCCGGGGAGCCTTTTCAGATGTTCTGAACACAGTGCTGTCGGGCGACGGCTCTAAAATGTCAGACCAACCCTTTCGTGGGACATCCAGCGCAGCCTTACACATTCAAGCAGCGATAGACATCAACCAAACGTACTTTGAAGACGCACAACAGATCGTTCAAGGACTTTCTCTCGCAGCAGCGTCACAACAGTCGTGGTGGGACGCCGTTGATGGCACAGCGAGGAATGTTGCCACTGGACTCACAAATTCGTAAGTAGCCCCAGAGCACAAGTCTTGATACAAGGCCGTTCGAGATGTGCTGACATGTCTTGAAACCAGGCTTCTTGAAAAAGAAGCAAATGTACAGGGAACTGTCAAAGAATGGGAAACCTATGTCCAAGTTCGCTGGCCTTGGCTGGCGCTTCTGTCGAGTCAAATCTTACTGTCTCTCATCCTCCTGGTTGCTGTCATTGTGGAGACATGGCAGGCCGATATGGATATTATTAAGACTTCTACTTTACCTGCACTTTTCGCCATCAGCGGAGACGAGAAAATGAAATTGGAAAGTCGAATTGCGGAAGGAGAGAAGTTGCTAGGAAAGAATGAGGCCGTGTATGTGCCAAAGAGCATCGGAGGGGCGTTGCATAACAAGGCTGGAAAATGGATGCTTGCAAGCATCTGATGATTTGAGCTCAGTTATTAGGCATATAGCTGGTATTATTGGTCTCACAATTGTACAAAGACGACTACTGCATTTTGTGATTGTTTACTCAGTCTTGTACAAAATCATTAAACAACATTTTGCAGATGAATGCTCGCGTTATCGATCCAGTATTTCCATTCATGATCACTCCTCCCACGACTTCAACCGTTCAAGCTTGTCCATATTCCCTCTCCAAAGATCATCTTCATCGGCATCGATGCCATACTTCGCGCCTTCGCCAACCACTTCTTCGTCAATGCCTCCGACCTCCTTCAAGCGTGGAAGACGCTCTGCCTTCTTCTCCATGAACTCATTGACGTGCGCATCGACGTCGAGGTTGTCTCCCTTTCGATAGCCATAAAGACAAAAATGCTCCAAGTTAACAGGCAGTGCATCGATCATTCGGAAAGGCGGTTGTTCGGTGAGTGTTTTCGTGTAAGGTGGTGTTGAGGCACTCTTGCTAGGTCCCACGATAGCCTGAACGTTGATGCTCAAATGAGTGAGCTGGTCGAAGTCGTGAAAGGAACCGATGGTGTAGCCGTACTTCCTTGTGTCAGGGAGTTCGTTCGAGAAGAGAGGTCCTGTTGCGAATGACTCGGCTATCCGGAAGTATTCATCCTCCCGAACGGAGCGCATACTCACTCCTTCTACATCGTAGTCTTCATCGACGTCTTGATCGACCATCTCATCTTCTTCCTCAGGCTCGCGGGCGTAAATGCCGTGCTCGAGATCCAGATCAATAACGCGAAGAGTGTCCTTCTGGTCCAGCAGGCACTTTCCGAGCGTCTTCAGTTGGACCAATGGGCTTCCTCCATCCCCTGACCACAGGCCGCCCATGGACACAACGACCTCTTCCAAACCCTTAGGAGTTCGAAGAAGCGTTCCCAACACGCCACCTGAAATATCTGTGTGTCTGGCCTGGATGCGCTTGAACGACGGTGATGATGACTTCGGCGGGAAAACCTGGAGGTCAATTTGGTATTCTGCGGTTCCGTCCACAACGTAGTTTCTGAATTTTGGTAGACGATGGAAGTAGTGAAGATGGGCTAGGTACTCCAGCCTGAAGTAGTTGCGTTCGTCGTCATGCCACGACAAGTCCAGTACCTCGACAGTTTCCAGGCTCTGGAACGCCCGATGTTCAGCTGGAATGAGGCCATAATTGGATTTCTTCAAATATTCCTCCAGAAGGGGCCTCCAACTAATGCCGCCGCCGACGTAGAGATGGTTGATGTTCCTGGCGTAGGAAATCAGGAGTATTGAGGCGACCTCGGCGTAAAGATTGTTGTGTTTCGCGAATCCTTTAGGTGAATCGGGCTTCTGACCAAGTAGATGGGCCTTTTTCCACGCCAAAGTTCGCAGCATGACCTGTGTAGCCTTGTCGCTAAGGCCAAGCTTTCGTACGCGATCTTCAAGAAGGCCATGGGCTGTTTCGTCTACGGGTTTGACTGGTTCGTCGAGAGGGGCATTCGGATCCCCCATAAAGCAAGAGATGAATTTGGGCCAGCCATCGGGATCAAGGGCAAGCTCTGTGAGATGAGATGCGGAGGCGGGGTTGACGGCGTAGAACGCCAGCAGAGGGTAGGTCGCTTCGATCTGGTCCCGGCCTTTGCAAAGCTTCACGAGAGGTGAGAGTGGCGGCGATGACCACGACGTGATGATTGGGGGGCTCATATCGAAGGAGGGATGGAAATCAGAGTGCAAATCTAAGACGGCCTGGGGTGAGTCTTGTTGAGTTGCAGAAGTTGAAGCGGTGATGAGGATTAAACAGAGCGAGGAGAGCAACAAGCCTCGTTTTATGGGGCAGCGAAAGAACATCGTGGTTGACCAGAACTAGTTTAGCTTAGGCAGCCGTGGCCAGGGAGAAGTGACAATGGGGTTGACGTCGCTTGCTGAGATTGTTGAGGGTATCGCGAGAGAAAATTTGTTGGCGAAGGTGAAGTTGGAATTCGATCCCCTGAGCTAGGAGCGCTAGGCATCAGCCACTGCCTAACAGAACCCGGACGCAATGGGTTAGTCATCTACTACGTAGGGCCGTGATAATACCCTTGCTAAATGCTAGCATGAATCCTTCCCGGCTCACACGGAACCAACATTGAACAGTCAATTGGCAGACTTGACATCTCAGGCTGCGAGTACCAAGGACTGAGATTGAAACAAAGAAAGCGATCTCATGATTGATGGCTATGGTTTCTCACTTCCATAGGACATCCTAGAGTTCTATAAGTTAGTCGTGTTTACAAGACATAGAACATTGAGATTTTCGGCCAGAAAAGTCGAGAAATGTTGCAGTTGATCAGACTTTGAAGTAGCCCCTCCATAATTTCTTGAAAACTCCGTCGGGATCGTAAATCTCCCCAATTTGCCTTAATCGCCGGTGGTTCTCTTCACCATACCCCGCGTAAACGTCCTGATTCTTTTCGGCATAATTCATGTACGTGTATCCCGCCGCTAACCCTCGCTCTTCCGCAAGCTTGTCGATCTTGGCGATGAGATCGGCTGCAGTCTCCTGAATGTGGCGGTCCAGAAGACTTGTTTCCCAATGCGTTACAACCTGAATATGCACCAATGGCCCCTTTTCAGGTGTAAGTCCGAGGGCATTCCCGCCGTTCTTCTGCATCGCCTCCAGGATGTTGGCTGTGATGGGCTGGTATATGAGATAAGGGGTGGCAGTCTCATTGGTAATGTTTGCCTCATTGGCAAGATTCTCAGCGAACACCTGATAAAAAGAGACAATGTCTTGAAGGAGTTGCTCGGAGCCTTCCTTCAAGTAGACCGACGTACCCGCCCACGCTTTACGGCCGCCGTACGGTTCCGCGAGCCCCTTCGACTGAGTGGTGACATTGGCAATTGTTGTCGTGTTGACCAAAGATCCAGAGATTGATGAGCTCTTGACGAATATCGGAGGCGTTTTTCCCTCTGAAGGGGGACTGGCATGGAAGAGATAGTTCAAGATCAGGAAACCCCCAAGGTCAGGCACATGTGCCATTACAAAGAAGGTATGGCCATCGACATCTACAGGCAGTCCGTTCATTGCCAAGTCGACAAACGCTGGGATAAGTTCGTTGCTTAGAGTGAGAGGATAGATGGCGTTGTGAAGCCATACGTCGCCTTGCTCGAATACCGCGAGATCGAACCGAGTGACAATGCCAAAGTTGGACCCTCCGCCACCACGAAGAGCCCACAACAAGTCCGTGTTCAACTTTGGAGAAGCATTGACGACTTCACCAGACGCCAGTACGACTTCAAAGTTGCGGACATTGTCGCAAGCCCACCCGTATCGCCCGGAGAAGAACGAGATACCTCCGCCAAGGATTAGTCCGCTTACTCCAACATCGCTGACGCGTCCGCCCACAACTGCCAAGCCCAAAGGATCGAGCACTCCGGAAACATTGGCCCATCGATTTCCAGGTCCAATGGATACGGTTTGACAATCTTCAGAAAGTGCGATGTCGTTGAGACGTGCCAAATCGATTGTGACGCCATTCTCGATGTTGGATCCTCCATCATACGCGGTGTGGCCGCCGCTCTTGACCGTGAACGGTGCAGATAGAGATGCCAATGTTTTGATTGTGGTGGTGACATCGTCGGTGCTCTCTGGCGTCACAAAACAAGCGGGCTTGATCTCGCCTTGACGGTCTGACCAATAAATATTGGACACGGCGTACTGGGTCGAATTTTGAAAAGAAACCTTGCCTGGAAGTTGGGAGGCTAGAACGTGGCACTGGTGAATATGTTAGCAGTTTTCATCTTACAGGTTCAGGAAGACTGACCGCCTCTCCAGATCTCGAGGCTAAGTAAGCGGTAGAAGTCTGCGAAAGGGCAAGAGTGGCCCAAGTGGTCTTCCACCCCATTGTCGAATTCTTCGTTATGATCCGACCTCGTTCAAAGATAAGATGTAAAGAGAACCGAGGGACTGACGGATGCCCGCCAGGAAAGTTTTCCTCTTAGGACATCGAGGGCTTATCAACATTTGAGTGCCGCGACCAAGACATGCATGTCTAAGACTACTCCATTGACATGCCATCCGATTCGTGCGGTCGGCTTTGATCCTGCAACTTCTCCAGCGTGGCATTGGGAAACAGCCTATGGCTGACTGTAGTAATTTCCGCTATGCATCTGACGTAGCATTCGCGTCAGGTAGCTTCTCTGCGGGATTGTTCTTTTTCTGCAATGGTCAACGATCGGCCTTCGGGCGAAAGTACGTGTACACCGTTATTCCAAGATAGGAAGTAAGCTGACAAGCGAGTTGTCGGAGTCTGGAATTCTCGTGGCCCTTCATAAACACTAGAGGACCCGGCAATTGATTCAGGCATACCATTTACCGAGAGTGAAATCTGGAAACATTAAGTTGGAAGTGAAACTTAATACCAGCTAGAAGTACGCATGTCACGTGTACAGAGGGGCCCCACTTCCGGGTGCCTACCTCTAGACTTCCCCTGGGCCCTGGGGGCCCATAGAACCTCCCAGTTACACATCACACACTTCACAAGAGACTCTGTTGAACCCAGCTCTGCTAGGCAGCCTACTATTGAACTTATTCCATTCCATCGAAGTCGAGGTCCTCTGGACCTGACAACGCAGAAACCTGGACTTCTAAAAGTCGCATGCTATTCCCATGACATACTTGCGGTTGTTACTCTCTGGTCATTTCCGCAACTTACTCCTTCACTGCCGTCAATCCTGTGCACGCCTGCCTAGGCTCCGTATTCTAGCACCCCAGAACCACAACACAAGTGGTGTAGGGAGTCCCAGGACCATGAAGATGAATGCTAACAGACTATTACCCCATCCGTGTCCGAGGCTCTTGTATAGCTGTGGAGCGAAGATGGGAAACACAAATCCCAAAACACTCGCCAACATGCGAGATGCCGCGCTAGCAGATGCCGCATGCTTGAACTCGTCAAGAAGATAAGCGTTTATTCCCGCGCCTGTGATGAAAGCCCCACAGGTGAAAACAGCAACACCGACATCCACAAAAGCCCAATGCATGCCGTTCTCTGCACCCCATCCGTACCAGAGCAGGCCAACTGGCAACATGATGACCCCAATAGCCATATACGGGGCTCGGAACTCCGGGTTCGTGTCACCGTTGGCTCGACGACGCAGGTACTGGAATATTCGATCCATGAGGGGGCCTCCAGCTTGTGAGGAAATGGTAATCCCGAAAGCTAGGGCAATGTAGTTGAGCGTGCTTTGGGTTTCCGATTGACCGTATCGTTCTATCCAGAGCGTCGCAAAACTCGAGAGGACAAGAACGTAAAGCCCAAAGCTGATTGCCCAAATCCAAGAAATTACCAGAATGACTGGGCGCTGTACGAAGAGTTTCATCGGCCGCAGGAGACTGGTTGAGAGGCGCGAATGAAGACCTTGGTAGGTAGAGCCTTCACCTGCCACGCCAGTATAGCCATGTGATCGGGCTTTTCGTTGAAGCAAGATGGGTGCGTATGTCTCTCTGACGATGAAGAATGCCAGCAACGTGTTGGCTGCAGAGAAAATGCTTAGAATCCAGAAGAGCCACGGCCACTCAATGTGATTCGAGACCAACCCTCCGACTATTGGGCCCAGAGCAGGCCCGAAATAGGGAATAAACGATGCAATTGCTAGTGACTTGCCGCGGTCTTCAGCTCGATACATGTCCGCCATGATTGGACCCGTAAGCTAGTTTCCTGTTAATGTGAATGAATTCCACCAGTCGTCTTTATAGTCAAACTTACCACGACTCCCGCACTTGCTCCGCACCCAGAAAGAAACCTCCCCGCAATCATGATACCCTTACTTTTCTGTACGGGGCAAAGGGCATTCCATAACTGGTAGAAGCAACAGGAGATGACCCAAACAGGCTTCCTTCCGTATATCTCGGATAATGCCGCAATGAGGAATGGGGCAAACGCTTGTCCCAGTACGAAGAGCGAAAAGGTGATTTGCGTGGTTGAGTCATTTATACCGAGGTCCTGAGAAATTTGAGGCAAAGCAGCGGCCGTGACGCTTGTCGACATGAGAGTGATGAGCTGACCAGTAGATATAAGAATTGCAGTTATTATTTTCCGATATGTTGGCCAGTTGTACGGGTCTTCAGTGTCTTCTGGGTTTTCCCAAGTCGCCTTGCCGCGAAGCCCAATAACGTTAGCCGCCAGTGTTTTCTGCAGTAATTGGAGTAAGACTCACTCCATGCTCCTCTAACAGAGTTTGCAACCTATTGCGAACAAGTCCAGTGCCGTCGGTTTCTTGCAAATTTGTCTGTGGTTTCTCCTCTATTCTGCTTGGTGTGACAGCTGGAATAGCTGCCTGGATGGCTTTTTCTTCGTTCATGATCCCGATTCTTATAAATGAACTTAGATGTAATAGGGATGATTGACAAGGCCACGCCGTTGAAGAAGCTGGTTCATCAAAGGCGATCTTATGGTAGTCTCGGTTCTTCTTTGACATCTTAAAACTTTCTCTACTCTCGATATATTTCGGCGTCCGAATCGTATGAAGTCGGATCCGAACCTCCGAGGCACTTCCTGGTTTCCAAAAGTTCCGACAGTAGCTTACTGTAAGATTACCAGTCAAAATGTAACAATACCACGCTCTCGGCTCGATTAGGCTGCCACCAGAATTATCTTATCAATCAGACATGAAGCCAATCATGAACGCCCAACGCAAATCACGCCTCTCTGTGTCCTATCGGATGCGCCGCCAGGTTGCAGCGCGCATATCGCGCCGAGACTAGGTTTATACAAGAATTATTACTGCTTTTGGTGTTTCTCTAATTGTGCCAGTGAATTCGAAAAGGTGTATATTGAACTCAAATTGCACTTGCAAGTATTCGATGATGTGGTGTTCCTTCAGCCAACAGCCCAGTCTTCAGTGCGGCAAGCATGTAGTGCATTGGTACTACTTCTTACCCAAACTTGCATAGAAACATTCTGGCAACTCTCTGCGAAAACTAGTCCCATCACATGAAATTTACTGTTCTTCAAAGTATCTGAGGTCGAAGACTGTTCTAAGCATCGCAGCTCAAACCAGTGCCTGCCTTACTAGCCACACTGCACAGCCACGTATTGGCTCATGTTGATTACTAAGGGCCCATCGTCGCATGTGCCAGGGTCTGTCTCAAGCACGCGTAACGACAGCTCACCGACTCAGCAAGCTGATTCGCAGCCTGCAAAAGAATCGACGATGTCACCACCACCCACGAACACGGCCAATTATGCCGCCAACGACCTTTCTAATGCGGCTCTAGGAGGATCGATTGCCCTCAAAGATGGCATATTTGTCGACGGTTATGGACGCACTTTGTCGCTCCATGGCCTCAACATCTCCGGCGCCAGCAAGCTGCCGACTAGGCCGAACGGCCTATCTCATCTCACAGAAGGCTTCTACGAGCACCGCACGGTGACATTCGTCGGCAGACCTTTCCCTCTCGAAGACGCACCCTTGCATTTCCGACGGCTGCAGGCCTGGGGTCTTCCGCTGATCCGGCTGCTCGTCACATGGGAGTCGATTGGGCACGCGGGGCCGGATCCCCGTACTGACCTCGACCTCGAGTACATCGAGTACCTACGGAAGCTCGTCGAAATGATGCCCTCGTATGGTATCAAGTGTTTTATCTGCGCCCATCAGGATGTCTGGAGCAGATTCAGCGGTGGGAGTGGTGCACCTGGATGGACCTTCGAGGTTGCTGGTCTAGATGTTGAGGCCTTTACCGACACTGGGGCTGCGTATGTCCACGGACAAGACGAGCTTCGTAGAGCTTCTGCGCCGGTCAACGAGAAAGAACCAAGTGGTCCCTTTGTGTGGCCATCCGGATACCAGAAGCTAGCAGCATCAACGCTGGCGACCCTGTTCTGGGCCGGCGATGCTCTCGCGCCTAAGTTGCGATGTAGTCGATCATCCAAGAATGGGAAAGAAGAGACCGTTTCTGTGCAAGAGCTTTTGCAAGATGCGCTGATCGAAGCTTTCGGTCGGCTAGCAGACGAAGTTGCCGGCCTGGAAGCCTGCATTGGCTTCGAGCCGATGAACGAGCCCCATCGTGGCTTGATCAACCTCCACGGCTTTGATGGGTGGAACTATGATACGGATCTTCATATCGGTTACTTTCCGTCGCTGACGCAGGCCTTAGCACTTGCGAGTGGCTATGCCCAGGAGGTTGACTACTATGTCAAATCATGGCCGTTCCCGACACGCATTTCTCATCGAACGGTTGTTGATCCGAAGGGCCGATCAGCATGGCTCCCGTCCAAGGTTAAGAACAAGGGCTTAGGAGAGTGCGTTTGGCGCGCACACGGGGCCTGGGACTGGGACAGCACAACGAAGGCCCCAAAGGTGCTTTCGAAGAACTACTTTGAGGTTGACCACCGACCTGGTCGTGAGGGAACACCGATTGAATGGTATCGCGATTTCTACGCACCATTTCTGAAGCGTTTCTCGGATCGTGTCTCACGTAAAACACCTCGTCACTTCTGTTTCGTCGAGCCGATACCGAACGAGTTCATGCCTCCGTGGATAGACAATGACTCCAAAGAAGTCTCCCAAGCACGGAGGCAGAAGTACGCCACCAAAACAGTCATCGAGACCAAACGGCCTGACAACCTTGTCTTTGGTCCTCACTTTTACGATCTCAATGTGTTATTCAGCAAGCACCACTCATTCATGAGCGTCAACGTACAAGGACTATCTAGAGGCATGTTCATACTCAAGGCGCTCTACTTTGGTGCGCGAGCGCTTCGAAAGAACTATCGCCTTCAACTCGGCAATATCATCAAGTATGGAAAGGCTTCGTTGGGTGAACACGTGCCCGCCCTGATCGGCGAGGTTGGTATACCCTACGATATCAACGGCAGGAAAGCCTACGCCACGGGTGATTACGACGACCAGCGCGAACTGATGCACGCTCTCATTTCTGCCATGGAAGACAACATGGTCGGCTTCACCTTATGGAATTACAACCCAGATAACCGTGTCGAGTACGGTGATGGGTGGAATCAAGAGGACTTTTCGGTCATCAACGGCGACAAGGAGGAGAAGCCAGGGGTTATCATGCAAGACTATGCCAACCAGCCTCATGCGAATGATGAGTTGTATCGAGGCGGAAGAGTTCTCGATGTCATCATCCGACCCTACGCCGTCAAGATCGCGGGTCGTCCCTTGCGATCGGACTGGGATCCCCGAACTTTGAAATATGAGTTCGAGTGGACCAGCCAAGACCGGGTTGGTGAGAAGCAGTCCGATAAGCTACGAACGACCGAAGTATTCATCCCGAAATACCACTATGAGGGCGGTATCAAGGTCAAAGTCAGCGACGGCGATTGGTCTTATGATGCCGACTTGCAGACGCTTTATGTGCGTCATAAGGCTGAGGTCTACCGTCACCGTCTTGTCGTCGAGGTTCCCAACGTCGGGAGGCGCCTCCTGGAGAGACTTGAGCGTCGGCGACTGGTGAGGCCGAGTAAATTTCCTCTCAATCTGCTGTCCCCAAGCACGGAGCTCGCATTGCAGGAGCTTGACTCTGGCCTGTTATTCATCATGTTGCTGTTGCCAGCTATCGCGCTTGCCCTGGCTGTTTTTGCTCAGAGACTGAGGTGAGAAAGTTCAAAGATATAGCATCCCATGTATGAAGATGGAAGACCAGGAGGCATTTGTTGTTAGACACGATGTGTGGAGCGCAAGTAAAGCGTGGCTGCTATATATGGGATCTCCGGAGCGTCTATCAGAGCTGGTAGATGAAGTACTTATTCTCCAAATCAGTCAAATCAAGTAACGAGATGTCGACCTCCACCTGTGTCACATCTCCATTGTCATCGATCTGCTCAACCAAGCCGACCGGCCTACGTCCCTGTGCCTCCTGAGAAGCAATCCAAATTTTCCTCTCTTCGTTACGCCGGGATAGAATCCAGTGGATGGCAAGCAAACAGATTGGCGTTCCAATCCAGCTGACAACAATCTGAGCGATCCACGCACCATAGTATCGCGGGGCATCCTTAGCAACCCAAATCTGCGGCGAGACCAGATTAGAAATACTGTAGCCAGCCATCCACACCACATTCCGCACCAGTTTTTTGGTGTATCCTCCGGCTGTAGCTGACGTCCATCCCAAAGCGATGATGTATGTGATCCCAAACGTGTTGGCTGCGAGCAGCATGCACGCAAGCAGCGGAATGCGCGACTCCCATGACAATGACACCATGCCAATACCCCCTGCGACGGCTGGTAGACACCAGAATGCCCCCCCAATACGTGCTTCGGTTCGGGAAGAAATGGAGAAGGATCGTTGCTATGATGCAGCACAACACCGCGAATCCTCCTCCAGCAGCCGAAACCAGAGTTGAGCCTAGTCTACTCACGCCCATCTTGAGGAAGATGAGGTTTTGTTGGTACGCCAGGTTGTTTGCCATCATGAGACAAAGCGACGCCATGAAGAATAGCCAGGTGACGGGGTCGCGAATTGCCTCCTTCAGTTGCGACTTCTTGAATGTCTTTTGCTCAATGGAGCTTTTCGTGACCTGGTGGATTCGTCGAATGGCGTTGACTTTCTCCTCCAAGCTCAGGAACCGAGCATGTGCTGGATTGTTCGGGTACCAGAACCATGCCCATATCGCGGTCAGGAACGTTAAGCTCCCTGTGATGATCATAAAGAACTTCCAAGGCAGGATTGTTGGGTGATGCGTGTGTAGAAGACCGTAAGCGATGAAACCGGCGGGTACAGGGGCAGCCATGCAAGATATCCAGAACAATGGCTGAACGCGTATCATTTCCTTTGGCGTTAGGAACATGCCCATGGTTACCTCCATCGAAGGCACGAGGACGGACTCGAAGAACCCGAGAAGGAATCGGAGAGGGATCAGGGCAGCGTAACTCTTCGCAGTACAGTGGAGGAATATGATGATAGACCACAAGAAGATTGACACCGAGACGAATTTCCCCAAGGGGAGCTTCTGCATAAGGTAGTGTCCAGGTCCCTGAGCGACAATGTATCCTATTCGGGGTGTTAGCTTGAGTCAGTCTACAACAGACGCTTTTGTATCTTGCCAGCATAGAATATGGTGTTCAAGTTGTTGTACTCGGTTCCGCCGATATGCGTCTCATCGAAGATCCCCAAATACGACGAATATGCCAACGTCGCCTTGTCAATCTGAAACTCATCAGTCAATATCAAGCATCAACCATTGAATTTGTAATCTTTCGTTCTTACGAAGAGAAGTAGGTTGATGATGAACACCAGAGTAACCACGTGAAGCTGAATCTTTCTTCTCGAGGCTTTTTCACCCTGTTCGGCAAGTGGAGGTACCTTATCCCCATATTCCTCAACAAGCCTCAAGGTCTCGTCAGCGGCACTTTCTGAGATAATCTTTCCAGACCTAGCAGACTCAGTGTCCGAGGCTTGAAGGTTTGACGTTACAGTTGTTGCTCCCATGTTAAACAGCCACTCAAAGTGTGTCAGCTTAGTAAAAATGGAATCTGAGCTGGACTGGAATGGGATCGACGAGCTCGTTCGAGACGCAATAGACTCTGTACTAATAGATAACATTCCAAGTCTTCTTTCCTCCCGATATCGCAGCAGCATGACTGCAAAATCTCAAAGCTTGCTTATTTCCGGACATGACGACGATAACCCCACAGATCACGCAAAGAAGGTTCAAGGGTTCAAGTTGCGCCTCAAGTGGACTTTGAGGCTCAGAATCGTCCGTAAGGATGATGAATCGCTGCCGGTTACCCGCAACTATGACATGTTATCTGACTGTTAATACCTCTCCGACCTGTGACACGCTCACCAGAAGTTCATATTCCTTGTTCGCGGGTCAATCTTGCGCTCTCAACAGCTAATCAGCATTACTCATTTTGAGTGTCAGTGTTTCCGCCGGCAGGCAGACAGTCAGTCTGATTTTCAAAGTCTTTTCTATGTGTTGGTTTTCTAGATTCACTTGAAATGTCACTTTTCTGTCAACTACCAGACCAAGCTGGCATACCTTCATCGTACCCCGGCCTCGGTCCATACGTCACCTGTCGTGTGGATTGCGTGCCAAGGCAGAACCGGGCGAACGGTGGAGCCGACGCGTCCCGGCGTGTCGTTCCTGCATACCGTTAGCACATGCAGGTTAGACGAACCGCAAGCCTCCGACAAACCAGATAATACCCGATGCCGAGCCTGCTGGAACACCTATCATAGGTTCTTTCAATCGTTGAGAAGTCAATATGCTCTACAACTGGCTGATCTATTGGCATTCCTCACATCAAAAACCATAACAAGGTCTTGGAGTTACGTTGGGCAACGTTCGTCGGACTGCATTTTTCTCGACGTAGTTGTTGATCTTTCCACTGAGCCTTACAGCGCACATCCAACTTCGGTTGCTTTGCCGCTGTGTTGTCTATGCCAAGCTGGATAAACTGGCGACGGTCTGGAAGTATTGAGATTAACCGAAATTCAACGAGCTTAAAGAAAGGGACTTTTGGCGGCGCTTCCTATACCAACGGTTCTTCGCTGGGAGAGACGCCTGTTTCTGTCAAACATGAGTTTATTCCCCAAATCTCCATTCGACACAAAATGACGAGTGCCAAGATCAACAGTCTGGGGAATTCTGTTCTCAACCCATCAATCCCGCCAGCCAATGCTGCTCGTTCGTGGCACAGCAGCGTGAGGTCGACCTCGTTGCCAATCGCTTACTGCATAGCAACAAGACGTGAAATGTTTCTATTTTGCCTATTCATGTCTCTAGACCGAAATTGCTGCGAGAGGGTTGGCTGATCTAAAGTTATTTACGGCACAGTAACAAATTTTAGGTATATTATCAGAGATGTTCCCTTTGCAAAATTGCTGCTGTTTAGTTTCGGAAATACCGTGATTATTATCATTTACTCCAACAAAGACGCTGACTGCGCCGAAAAGAACGATCCATATCATTGGAAGACAACCCAGCAATCCGAAGTCAAGACAAGCGTTCATATGCTGGGATGGGTTCCAGCAATCTTCTTCTCCTCGTGCTGCTGCCACTCATCAATGGAGTTATCTGCGGGCTATTCGACACAGAACGTGTCATAAACGGCAATGCCTCGCAAGCACCTTACCGTATACTTCCAGCAACATGGGGTCGCCTAATGTCCAACCCTAATGCAACAGGTCGCTTTCCTTTCCGCGGACCCAACATATCGGAGCCTTACCCGGCTAACGATAGCACCCATCCAGCTCCTCTAGATTGGGCTGTCTCGCTCGACATCAAAGCCGACATTCCGCTCCTACAAACGCAGGATCCAACGGTGTTCAACAACTCGGCCTATGTTTCCGGTGGTGTCCTGTCATTGACGGCACCCGTTGACTTGGTCAAAGAATCCCTGGACGCCAACGAGCCCTACCGACACCATCATTCCTGGAAAGTCTGTGCCTACACCAGACCGCCACCCACGTACGAGGATTTCAAACAGCAGAAGCAGATGCACGACGAAGGCAACTGTCAGGCTGCCTGGGACAACGAATGCGCTGACTGGTTGACTTCCGCCATTCAGAATGCATACATGGAGAGATTGACCAGCGACGTCTATGAAGACGAGAGCGATTGTCCATTTTTCAGGTTGGATGGCCCGTGTGAGATGAGCGGTGCTTGGTTGCATGGTTATCCGGTGACCCTGAACCGGAGTGACCACACGATGTATGCACCATGGAACATGACTTTATCCGACGAGCAACTCAGATATAAGGAGGCCACCACGAAGCCCTTTCCCGAGGAGATCGGTTACACCAACGGCTCTGCCATGTTTCAATGGGCTTCTAACTTGGGGGAGAAAGGAAACCTGACGGCTTACCATCAGGACACTGGATTTTACTGGCCGCTTGTCGTGGCCTTTGGGTTCAATGAGACTTGGATGGCCCGAGATGCGAATGCTTCCAACATGAGTCTCCCCCAGCCTCCCTTGGTGTCACACTTCTGCGTCAAAGCTGAGCAGGTCGCACCGGGCAGCGTGTTGCCCGCAAGCGGGACGGAAAGCGAGGCATCGTTCGTGTCGAAGAGTCGTGGTTGGTCGTTGGTTGTCTTAGCGGCCGTGATCCTGGGATTGATTTGAGCGAGTGATAGGCATGAGAACTTTCTGTTGCTTTCATGGTCTCTTGAGCATTCTTCGAGGGTTTCTCAACGACTTTGTCAAGTTTTATTGGTGTTAAATTTCAGAACGGAATGCTATTTGGTGATGGAGCCGGCGTTGTAATTAGTCGTCACTTTCAGTATTTCTCTACTCAATGCAAGTTGAAGCGTTGTTGCTCTCTACGACGGTACGGTATGAATCTAGGCGCAAAATGAGTAGACACAGATTGACGTAGTAGCAAGCGTACAGTTCTACATGGGTTCCGCAGTAGATGCCGGATCAAAGGCTCGGGTGCACGGAGGCTGCGCCGGGATCTTATGATCGTGTTCCTGCCTATAGGTAGGCTGGCTAGCACACTTCTGTTGTGCATGTATGAACACCCAAAGACTTTCCTTCGGGAGTTGTCAACTTTTGGCTGGAGGTCCATTCGTGGTTTTTTCTTTTTTTTTTCAAACCAGTTCTTTTCAAACGCAGAGAAAAGCCAAAACAATTCACCTAGTACAACTGTACGGTGACTTTCATAGCACTCCTTTCATAGTGGGTACAAACTCCGCGGAACGCGTGGAACGCGATCGCTTACGCGCATCCAGCTAGCAGTAGCGGTCCGTAATGAGTTGTAGAGAATACGAGTACGGCCTGCTCGGGTTTGTAACGGACAGCGAGACATCAGGGTTCTCATAAAGTGGGTTTTGTTATAACAAGATGTAAGTTGACGTTTTGAATCTGCCAATGATCTGCGCGTTGAACGCCGTTCCACCAACAACCGAGGAACTCAAATATGTAGTCGGCCCTGGGGACATGATAAAAGTACAACTACTATACCTGCCTTTGAACTACCGAATTCTCTTTCTCGGAGAACTCTTTTCAATTCTGCTGCAACTTCTCACTACAACATGAGTTCGTCAACTCGTCAGCTGAAACGCGGCGGTTTCAGTCTTCTACCTATTGCTGCATCCCTGCTTCTCCCTGGAGTTGTTGCTAGAAGTGAAGCATCCTTTTGCTCTAAAGATCATTTTTCTTTTCCAACAATCTTGGGTACTCAGCCACGGTCAATAACTACCTCAATACTCGATGGATTCAAAGGCAATGCTGGATTCGCGCCTGAAGCTGCACTTGTCAGCCCAGAGGGCGTCAAAGCCTGCAACGTCACCGTTACCTATGGCCATCCTGGCCACGGCGATGAAGTCACCGTCAACATATGGCTGCCGATTTCGAACTACAACCAGCGCTTTGTAGGTATTGGTGGTGGCGGCTGGTCAGCCGGGGAGATCGGGACGGATTTCAGGTCTTCTCTCACGTCTCAGGGTTACGCTGTCGCAACTACGAACGCTGGCTATGACCACGATATGTTCGGTACAGCTGATCCCTGGTTGATGAAAAGCCCGGGCAATTTGGACTACCCTCTCATCGTCAACTTCGCGCACCGCTCTCTTCACGAAATGACCATCATTTCGAAGCACATCATCGAAGAGGCGTACGGATCCGCCCCAAAGTTCTCTTACTGGCAGGGCTGCTCAACTGGCGGGAGGCAGGGGCTTACCATTGCTCAGAAGTTTCCGGAAGATTATGATGGTATCCTTACGAGTTGCCCGGCAGTCAACTTTTCTGCACTGTTGTTGGCCATGTATTGGCCGCAGCTTGTCATGAATCTGAAAGCCAGCTATCCTCAGAGTTGCGAGTTTGAGGCGCTAGTTACAACCGTGGCGGAGTCCTGCAAGGGAGCTCTCGAAATCGACTCATGCGGGTTCGAGGTATCCTCGTTGATTGGCAAGTCTATCGACTGTCAAGGAACACCAAGGACCATATCGGAAACCGCCGTGGAAGTATACGATGCAATGCTCAAGGGACCAGCTGATCCGGAGGGGGCTCAGCTTTTCCCAGGAATCACTCTTGGAACGGCAGTCGTCGGGATGATGGCAATTGCAAACACCTTCTGCGAGGGCGAAAATTGCTCACGCGGCTTACCTTTCACAATAGCAGACGACTGGATCCGCCTGATGGTCAAAAAAGACCCGTCTTTCGACCCCTCGAAAATGTCACATGCCGAATATTCTGAGCTATTCCGAGAGAGCGTCATGGAATGGGACGCAATGTTCAGCAGCAACAATGCAGACCTTCAACGATTCCGACTGCTCGGCAAGAAGATGTTGGCGTGGCATTCAACAAACGACGAGGCTGTTCCTATGAAGGCTATGCGGCAGTACTACGACCGTGTGCTGGCTGCAGACAACTCGCGCAATATCACAACTCAGCACTACTATCGATACTTTGAAGTCCCTGGAGCTACACATTGCCTGGCACCTGCTGGGGTACCGTACCCCTTGAAGGCTTTGGACACACTACGACTTTGGGTGGAGAAAGGAATCGTCCCAGGCGAGTTGCCTGCCGTAGTCTTGGATCAGGGGCAAGACAAGGGGGAATTTCGACAACCCATCTGCGCCTACCCTGCCACAGCGGTATCCGAAGGCTCTGGATTTGCTTGCATGGAGAGCTTCAGCAAGCCTTCCGAAAACACACATGTCAGGGATGAGTTATAAGATTCAAGCCAATTGGCGAATGGGTTCATGTTTGTAGCCTTGAAGGGACAGAGACTGTGTATTAACTCTTTGCAAATGTGTCCTTCCCCTATAGAGTCACACCACAATTCATAGATCCTCCAAAACCACATCAATAAGACTGCGTAGACCACTCAACCAAGTGGAGTAATTTCCAAAATAGCGAATTGCTAGAAACTTGCAGGCAAATACCCGATCTTGTTCCGCATCGAATCACCACATGTCCAAGGGGTTGGTCGCGTTGTCCGGTCTCTCCTGCATCACATCCCAGTGCTCCTGGACACAAGAACCGTTGAACCGAAACAAGTCGACCACTGCGTTCGGGCGCGGGGTACCAGCAACATCCATTCGCAAGTACACGAACGCCAAGTCTCCATCGATGCCGCTGAATGTGACGTTGAACTTGACTGTCTCTGGAGTGACGAATGAAAGAGCCTGGATCGAGTTGTCGCGGCCAGAGAGTGCGTACGGGTTGTGCTGGATGTAATCCTCTGCCGCGTGGTCGAGCATGGCTTGGGTGGCGTTGATGTCGACATAGAGCTTTTGATAAAACTCTTGGAAGATTTGACGCTGTTCCGTCGGGGAGGCAGGGCGCGGAGGGCAATAGGTGGCAGCTTGGGCCGGCATGGATGCCAAGATCGCAAGACCGGCGCTGATACTGGAGATGTTGAGCTTCATGATGTTAACTTGAACTTGAAATAGAAGTAGTCAGGAAATAACAGTGCTGTGCTTGATTGACAGTCTGGTGATATACTCTCGACGATTCTTGGACCTCCTTATATATACATAGTAATCTCTGTTATCAACAGCTCGTCGCTGTCGGTGTCTTCGTGTAAATTGACTTCTCCCACCGGAAGACAATATGAGAATCCCGCCAAAACGGAGCTGTCCGTTTGTCCCAACATCCGCTATCCAATCCATACATACATGAAGTCGACCGACAGTTTAGATCAACTAAACATCCGAAATGCTGAGCGCGCGCTACGCACGTTCCACCATCAAGATATTAATTGAAGTGCTGACCAAAAAGAGGATTGCGGAGCTTTCGGGTGGGCTCAACATTAGTCAAGGCGGATATAAAACTCCTCTTCCGCCAGCTTTTGCAGACCACCCATCCATCGTGACCGTGAAACGGAGTAGTCCGGCTTGCCATAACTCATTTCCAACAACGGAAGTCAAATCATGTGGGATGCCGTTGGATCCCACCGCTCGGCGGTGAGCGTCGATGAAGCTACATGACGAAGCTCGTCGATGGAGTATTTAGGCACGGACCGGAAACCTCTCTGGTCATGATGTATGCAACGCAGTACCTGCAAGTTCCTCATCAATTCTATCTCACATACTGCCATCGCTTCTATCTGTTTAAACTCCCACACTATGAAATCCATCTTCCAAGCTTTCAGCCTCGGCCTGCTCGCCTCAGCAACCGCCGCGTTTCCAGGCTCGACTGCCGCGGCGATCAACACCGCCTCATACTGTCCTCCCCGCGAGGCCAGTCTCGAGGAGCAGCGGGCTATATTCGAGCAAGCCGTCCAAACCATCATCTTCGATCAGAAGTACACCGAAGGCGTCCCCAGACACTACGACGAAGGTTACATCCAGCACGACCCCTTCCTTCTCTCTGGTCGACAGAACGTCTTGGACTACCTCGCAGACTTTGATCCCGAGTCAGTCAAGTTCACTGTCATCAACAAGGGGTTAGACTATAACAGAGCCTTCATCTTCCAGCGCGTCGACTTCGCGCAGGCAGGCGTCGAGCCGCTTACTTGGGTGGATCTTTGGAGGTTCAACGGAACTTGCATCATGGAGCACTGGGGAGTCAACATGCCCAAGCCGGCTGACGCGATTAACCCGCTCCCGATGTGGTGAGAGACTCGCCTGATTTCGATTGCGAGCTGAGCGCCGGGGATCCATATCTTCGCGATACGTCTCGTGTCGGTGTAGGACCAAAAAGGGAATGTCACAGTGGTTCAGGATTTTGAGTTACTTTGAGAGGCTATTTAAACTAGCATTAAATATAATCCGAGAACATGCTCCATGAAGATTGCGTTCCTCATGACGTCTTTGACTTCAATGTTCTATCTGTGCGCCAAGCCGCCTCCCTTAAAGAAAGGAGGCACCTCTTCTAGCTAGTTTCGCAGCGACAATCATTCGAATTTGCAACGCAGGCATTCAGACGTCTTCAATGAGTATTTTTATATGAAACTAGGACTCTAACTAAGAAAACGAGAAAATGCAAAAAATAAATAGAGTCATCAAAGCAATGACAAGGTTTCAAAGATTACAGCCCGGGGATTCGAACCAACGACACCAGGTCATGGCCGAATATTGCAACAGAAATTGAAACTGAAACATCTGGACCAACAAGGGTCCTGAATTCGAACGTGAACCCAGGCCGTCAGTCAAAGATTTGAGAATGCCTTTAGAAGCTGGGCGCTGGTGAGATTTCCCTTCTGCTCTGTGAAGACTGGAGGTAGGGCTTCACGGGTGAGGGGTGAGAACATAACAAAGGTTCATAGTCATATGATGCAACAGCTGTGCTGATGAAAGCATCAGGGCTTAAGATTGGCTCCCAATGAAGAAACAAAAGATACAATGCAAAAGTAGGTTACCATCAAGGCATGTCAGAACAAATACACAAACGTAACTTCAATGGCTAATGAGTACGTTCCTTAATATGAACTAAGCAGAGACTCGAGTCCGCGGCTATTAAGAAAGAGAAGGAAAACACAAAAAGTAGAGAGAAACATCAGGTCAGAAATTACATCTTTGCTGAGCAGCTTTCCTCGCAATTGACTACTCCTCATCCATATCCTCATCCTCATTTTCATCTCCAGAGTCTCCGCCTTGAAGATCTTCCGCCTTTCATATGTCAGTATGAAGCAACATAATATTGGGGTTGAGGTCACTTACGTCTAATCCCCCGTCAGTGTTCTGCAACTCCTTCATCCGGTACACCTTATCAGGGAGCGCAACATCCGCTGGGGCCGTAATGATGCCGAACTCGACCAGCCCGTCAAAGTGATGACCCCACCAGCTTCGGCCGTAGAACCCAACGATCTTCTCATCAGATTGCGCGTCTTCTCTGAGTTAGTATTCCATCATGGTCAACAGATCCATCGTGAATGACTTACCCAAAGTAAGGGTCTCCTCCTCTCGTCCCTCCCCATATCCCGAGAGTGCGCCACCCGACTTGCCGTTTCTGAAGTGGATTCTCATGCCAGCAAGAATGTTGCTCTCTCTAGCAACCTCGACCTTGACAATCTCTTGCCCCTTGGGCACGCGTACGTCCTCTGAAGCATGCCCACCAAACTCGTGTGTACCACCTCCCCAACGGCTGATACGCGGACCGCAGTTGACGCGCTTGCCGTCGGGGAAGTGCACGTAAGCACCGTCGAGAATGCATCCAGTCCGAACATCGATGCTCGAAGCATGCACAATGTCGCCGTTGTTCTTCTTCCGAGTGAGAAGGGTAGCCCAGCTCCAAAACTTGTCGTCAGATTCAACACCTTCCGACTCCTCCAAGTCCTTGGTCATGACGGAGCGCTTGCGGAGAACGACGTCGGAGTCTGGGATGCGGATGAACGTCGACGAATCAAACATCTTCCACAGGTTGCGGATGGTCTTGCTCTTTCCATTCATGCCGACCAGTGTCATCTTCAAGTCCTCATCCCTGGAAAATCGAGTTTCGAGATCTTTCATGCCGTAAAACCACACGTCTACCGGATGCGCGATGGTCGCGTTCCCCTCAGCTTTGCCGTTGAACTCGATGCTTGCAAGATCAGAGACACATGAAACCTCGACGCCCACGTTTTCAGTGTCGATGTTTACAAGAGCTACCGTCGGCGCGCTTGAGCGGGCGTTGGCAGGCATCTTGACATCGCCGGGCAGCCAAAAGTGACTCAGCATCCTGAAGGAGAGGGCGTCCTTGATGTCCCATCGAGCGTCGTTCTCTGTCTCGCCATCGACAACCACGAAGCCTTCCTCGTCAGTGTGGAGAGAATACGCCGTCTTGACGAGGAAGTTCCGCGGCCAGTGGCGAGAGTAGCCACGGGCCATGATGCCGGTGGTGTGCGGCGCTCCAAAGGCGTGTCCGACCTCGTGCAAGAACGCACCCTGGCCAACAGAGCACGCCTCCCATAGAGAGTCGCACTCGTTGTTGTCATCGCCGACTGTTGGTCCCGGATAACGGGTGTCGAGAAAAGATTCTGATACTTCTTCCAAGAACCGAGGCCAGGAGTATGCCAGGTGGCTTCCCATCATTCCCAATGAGATGCCGTTGGGGTTGTGACACCCCAAAGCGGCATGGCCGAGAATGAGCTTCTGCTCCATGGAATAATGGGAGTCAAGGATCATACCGGCGACTACAGGATGAGACGAAGCTTCGAACGGTCCGCCGTGCTTCGCCAGAGCGTCGAGGAAGTAGTCGAACAACTTCTCCCGACGGCTTCCAGACTCGTTCTGCTGAGCAATCTCCGCGTCGCGAATCTCAGCAACAGTTTTGTCGGAGCGGATGATGTGGATCTTGGCCGAAGATCGCATGGCACCAGTGGCTTCCTTCGCCTTCTCGTGGGCGCTGGCGATGAACTTGCTACTCGTTGTATCGGCCGTCCACTCCTCCTCCAGTCTAAAGGCGCGACGGCCGAGACCCTTCATGCGCATGTCTTCTGCGGTGAGAGCTTGCCACATGTACGCCGACATGCGGAGTTTCGCGACTGCGGCGTCGATGGAAGAGTGAGCAGTGGAGACAGGGCCGTACTTGGCGGGTGGGCAGTCGATGAGCAGGGGAGAATCCTTGGCTACCATGATGGCGAGATGCAGAGCAGGGTTTTGAAGTAGGGGAACATAGTTAAGAGTTAATTCATGGGTTTCATTGTCTTCGGTGGTACCAATGGTGCGTTTGATTGCAAGTTTGTTGACACCGGGAGACAGCAGAGCGATGATCCTAAAGCGATCGTCGGCGATCGGCCACGTCTGGGTCGGGAAGATCGTGTTGGCGCCGTCGCTGGCCTCAACTGTTACAAAGGAGCTGTCGCACTCATCGTGAGAAGATTCGATGAGGTATCTGCCCTTGATAATGACGCAGCGCTTTTGAAGCAACGGTGTTAGCCATAGGTAGACGACAACGGAAGGCTCTCAAATACCTGATGAACGGTCTCGCCTTCGTGAAAGTTCTCAATTTCAACAAGACGACTGCCTTCGGCCGCATCGTCGCGAGGAAGAAGGCACTTGCGCTTGGGAAGGGGCTGTTGGACACACATTTGGATGGGCGTAGACTTGGACTGTTCGTGGTCGATGTACATGCTTTCGATGGAGATAATGGGCATGAGTGAGGTCTAGAAGTGGTTTGAAAAGAGATAGAGTTGCTTAATGATGACAAGAAGACAAATTTCCTAGAAGAAGTCGTGTTCATGTTCTTTTATATCTCAATTCAGAGAGCTCCTCGATGCCCCTTTACCGCGCTGATGATGATGAGACGGCTCGACTTACACGAGACGTCCAGGCAGAAATGGGCTCTGATTGGCCTCATACCAGGCCCGAGCGGGTCTCCTGCCTAAAGTTCCCCGGTGCCGAGCCCCACTTCCCCGGCCCCATCCCTGGCCGGTCCGATCCCTCGGGTAGAATTCTAGGCAGCACAGCGTCTGGGCGTCTAACAGACTCAGTAAGAAATGAAGTTGAAGTTGGTGAACTCGTCTCATTTCTGTTCTGCGAGATATGTGCCGTCAATACCGTGTAGCGGCACAGCGGTGGTGAGTCACGATACGCCATTCGCTTCACCCGGCAGCCGGCGTTGCGCTACCAGAAGGTCTGGAACATTTCCCGTCCAGTGCGACGAAGGCAGCCATCTCAGATCGCAAGATGGGATGGCTTGGTTTAGAAGCTTGCTAAAGTGATAAGCTTTTCGTATGCAAACCTCGGATGATGACTAAGTCTTGGGGTCGCCCAGGGAAACATGGACGAGCGGCTTGCCTGAGTGAGGCTATATGCGAAAGGTGTTGTTTTCTTTGGGGTTCCAATCTGACAGCCAATTGAAGTTTTCTCTGAAGTCATATTCTCCTACTTAGTCTGAGACCAACATGAGGGGCATTCCCTTCTAGAACTGTCATTTCCTGTCTGGCCATCCGACGGTGTTGCAGATGAGGGAAAAGGAATACCGGAAGCACTCGAATCTACCGTGATTGTCTAAACACATCATAATGCCAATGTGCTCTCTGAGCGCCTCATGACTTCTATCTGGAAAGCCGGATCATCTCACTCGAGGAAGCTAGAGGTCCCACTTACAAGGGCTAAACCAGCTGAAGAGGACAGATCTACGGCGCAGTCAGCCATGCCTCTCACACTAGCGATATCATCTTCCGAACATTTTAACCTTCCAGCTTCATTTCAGAGGGAAAAGTTCGATGATTGTCAGAAACATTCAACCCCATCAACCAATCGAACAAAGTTCTGAGAAGTGATGGCCTTCCCAGGCAAAGCCAAGTGCCCTTCCAGAGCTTCCAGCGGCGTACTTCTCATAATCCTGGCTTCCATATTTCTTGTCCCGCCAGTCAGAGCGTTGGAAATCGAGTCAAACTACAAAAACTGCATCGCGATTGTAAGCTTAGCTGATCTATTCTCTTCTTCGAGTATCGCGCTGGCTGACCAACTTCCGTCGCTCTCACCTAGAGTCTCGGTACTACGCATTCTAGCGTTGCAAAGATTCTACATCCTCCTGAAAGAGCTCTCCTCTCGCATCAAAGTGAGCGAGTGTCCTAAAGTCAACTCTTCGAAAGCGTTCTAACATCATTCAGGCTACATTCCTCTCAATCCCAGCCAGGAAACTCACGAATCTCACACCCCAATCCTCACAGATCTCCTGTTCAATCCCAAGTAAGAACCACCAAACCCCTCACAAATCTCCAGTAAAACTCATCTCTCAACTTCCCTCAGATACCTAACCTGCCCAGCAAACAAGCCCGAACACCTCTTCCACCAAACCATCCAGAACCCTCCCCTCTCACCCCCCTCCCCCACCGACTTCCTCCTAGAATGGGACGCCCTCCATCACATCCCATCACGCACCCTCCCGCAAACGCTCCTCCTCCTCAAACACCTCGCCGAGGACCACACATCCGCCCCGGTCCGCTTCGCAGTCCTCGTCGTCCCCCACAAACCCTCCAACGCAGACCGCTGGGCCATCCAAAACGCGGCCCACGCGATCGGTCTCTGGGCCGTCCGGGTCTACACCACCTCCCAAGCCGCGCGCTTCAGCTCGTGTGTGAGCCAGAGGGCGGAGCGTGGTCTGAATGAGGTCGTGTTTAGGTCGCGGTGGAGTGACGTCAGTCCCGAATGTAGAGGGGAGGTCGAGCTGGACGGGGTGGATCGCGCGGTGTTGGGTGCCGCTGTGGTTGCTAGTGTGCTGGAGCCCGAGGTGTACTTCGATCTGCAGGCACTTCCATTGCCGCATACAGTCGTCGACCGCACCGTCAGCTGGGTTGGGCTAGGCGGGCAGAAGAACAGGGTGATTCAGAGAAACCAGCCCGTTCCGGCGCGGAAGAACGTGGTGTTGACTACGGCGATCGATGACCAAAGGAGGGCAATCATCCCGATTATCCAGGGACAAGCGGAGGAGGTTTTGATGAATGATGAGGTGGTCGTGCTGAAACTCGACTGCATCCCAGCTTTACCTCGCGGGACGGCCAGGATCAAGGTCACGGTAGATGTCACCGAGGACCCGGATGCGAATAAACGTGTTCTCAAAGCCACAGCTTATGTTATCGGTAGCGACGCCAGCTGTTACGACGAAGTCCTCGCTGTTCTTCGAGATTACAACTCGTCGACTGAGCTCTCGCAAGCCGAACTTGATGCCGAGATACGGTATATGGAAGATAAAGATGTCGATCCTCGGGGTATATGCATAAGGACCCGATCACCTGTGGAATACGATCATCTGGTGCCTTTCGAGGACAGCGTTTGAGGGGTTGATAGTAGTAATATCAATGTCACAAACGCCGGAACACCTCTTTCGTAATCTCTCGAATCGAACAGACCAGGAAGGAAATCAATGTGAAACTAAAAGAGATCAACCGCCAAACGCACAAATAAAGCCAAATAACGAAACAAACCTAACCTCAAAGCACCCCAAGTCCCAAGAAACCCTCACCCCTCCGCACAATCCATAGCATCACCCGACTCCTGCCTCTTAAACTTCGAAGACGCCCTCCTCTCCGGCCTCGGCGGCAAGGCGGACGACGGCGTCGCGGATACAGACGCCCTCTCGACCCGCCTAGGCCCCGTGGCCGGCACAAAACCCGCGTTAGCCCTCATCTCCGGCCTGCGCGCCGGGGACCCGTCACCCGGATCCCTGAACCGACTCCTGAAATCCGGCGTCTCAGGCGACTCCGCGATGGTCTGCAACCCAGGATCGCGATACGTTTCCGTGGCAGATCTCGTCGACTTTGCAGCTTCCGCTCTCGCCACCGCCGCGGCTCCTGCCTTGAGCCTCGCCTCGAGCTGCAGGTCTTCCGTGAAGGTCGCGGTGAGGCCATACGGCGCGGGAAAGATGCCGAGGGAGCTCGGTCCTGTACTCTTGACTCCACACATTGGTTCCGGAGTCGGCAGAAGCGGCAGGGAAGTGCGACCGAAGTCGAGGCTGAAAGGCTTGCTTTCTGAGAACTTCATCGGCGTGAAGTTGGTATACGCGCTGTTGTCGGAAGTGCGTCTCTTTCCCTTCCCCTTGTTTTGGCGACCCAGCCTCGCAACTGACGTTTCCGAGTACCTTGGAGGCTTGTAGTTGATACCAAGAGATGCCTTGGTAGCTTGGGTGATGGTAGGAGGATGCGGCAGCTTCGGGTGATGAAGACTCGGCGGCTTCGTGTATTTGACTCGCTTCCCGCTGCGCAACTCCGGCTTCCCCATCTCCGTGCGCTGCGAAGCAACGCTGGAGGGATCCACGTTGCCCTCGGGGACGACAACCGTTTCTTCGACCGTGTCGCCGAACTTCGACTTCAGCTTGCTCTCCATGTCCGCGACAAAGCTATCGAAACTCCTCTTCGAATGAAGACTCAGCATCTGCGCGGCGGGCAGAGACTTGGACTGGAAACGAGCCACCATCTCCTCGATAGTCTTTAGTTCTGCGATGGGCATAAGCTGAACCTCGCGCTGCGCGAAATACAAGATTCTCTGTGACCCCGTGCGCTTCGAGTTACTGATTGTCGGGATCAGAGGCAGCAGCTCCTGCCAGTTCTGCGGGTTGATCTGGCGCAGGTCTGCCGCCCAACATTGGAGCTGTGTGGCCAGTTGCATGAGCGCGAAGTACTGAGGCCCAAATTCCTGCTGAAAGTCAACGGCGACTGTCGATTTTGGTAGATTGTGCAGTAGTTGGACAACACTGCCCTGAAGCTCCAGTATCTGGCTGATCCGCTCCTGCAGCCTATTCACATTGTCTCGCTTGATGAACCTCTGCGATGCGAAAAAGGCCCTCTGCTCGTCCGTGAGTCTGAAGACATCAAAGTACAAGTCCTGTATCATGTTGACCTCGTACTGCAGTTCTCCGTACGCCCTCACCAGCACGTTTCGAAGTCTTTCGGGGGCCTTTTTTGCTACGTCATTCTCGAGGATGCCCCAGAAATCGAGGTCTGGGTCCACGTCTTCATCGTCGTGGAGGGGCTGAAGTAGAGCCGAGCCTTCGGGAAGCTCGAAATTGTCGTAGCCAAACTTCTGCTCGTGCGTTTTGACGTTCAGTCTGTAGGTTGATTCAAACTGCTTCTCCCACATCTCCAGCGCACTCGGTTCAAAATGCAAAGCTTGCTGGTGATTGGATGACATGATGGCCTCCTCGGTAATGATCTGGGTCTGCATGATCATGTTTTGGATAACCTTGAACCTAGTTGGCCAAGTCTGGAAATCCTTCGTCCATTTGTACTTTGCGACAGTCAACCTGAGATACTCGATGCTGAGCAGTTCGAGGAACCTGTTGAGCAACGGATTTCTTTTAGAGAGATTGTCGGGCCAGGCGCGGAACATTTCGTCGACGTCGCCGTCAAGCAAGTCCAGGATGCACTGCAAGAAGTCCTCATCCATGGTGGGAACGACTCGGGCAGGTGCACTTGAGTTGAGACGCATCGCGGCGCTGCCGTAACGAGGCACTTGAGCTGCCCAAAACTCCTCCTTGAAAAGGCGTGCTACCCGTGAGACTTGCACGCAAGTGCTGTAGTTTGTAGCCGCCATAGGAGGTGTCTTCAACACGAGGCTCGACGGAGATGCCGTTGTCACGTAGCTCGATGGACGACTCGCTGTTAGACCCGTTGGCCATCGCGTTATGAGAATGCCACAAGGCAGGAAGAAAAGGTGTTTGGCAGTCATCTTGTAATCGCTGAGTAACGGCCAAACCTGACCACCAAAAAGCTGCTCGTGGTTAGAAGGATACTGAGTGAGAGGTTGGCGTACTTAGTGACGTACATGGTTCTCCAGAGCATAGCCTAGCTCAGTCCTTGGTTCTTGTTCGAAGAACGGTTCCATATCACCACGAGGTCCACCGAACAAGGTCTTTGCAGCTAACTTAACCTGTTCCTGGAGACTTGGAAAACCGACAAGGCCTTCTACCATGCTTGGCCCTGGGTTGACGAGCCAGCGATAGTGTGCGTAGTTAACAACATGCTATTGAGTCGATTAGCTTCGTTGCGATAGGAATCGCCTGATTGGCGAAGTGGTATGACAATAAGAGGAAAAGCTCACCGCAAACTCATGAACGAGGGTCACGGCAAGGTAGTAAGATGTGACCAGCAGTTCGTCCTTGCTGTAGCCATCTACAAGCAACGGATACATGGAGTCAGCAGCAAGCGTGATGATGATCTTTTCCCCGACGGTGCCATCATTTCTGATTTGGCCGTACGTAATGCCTGAAGTTGGTATAGAAGGGTTTTCCCCTGGCTCGTGATATGCGCTGCCGATCTGTATCTCGACCATTTCGTCCATCGCCTTTTCAGTCTCTGCGATCGGGTCACAGGCCATGTGTATGAGGTCGCCGACCGCTGACGGGCCGGCATCCGGGTCTTTGGAGAAGGTGAAGGATGGGTGTTCGCTTCTCTGGGCCACGGATCGATCATCACGGCTGGATGGGACGCGCACTCTGTTGAAGATATCCAAGAGGGCTTTCCAAAACGGGTCATTGTCCTCGAGGAAAGACAGCATACGAGACGCCAACTTGAGCGCTGGCTGAAGGCGTCTCCAGAGATGATTGTTTCTCTGCTCGGGATGATCCATCAGTCAGCGTCCCCAGCATCTGCACCACGTTTCGTGCCTACCTTCGGATCCCACTCACCCTTCTGGTTACCAGCCTGGTAGACCAGTCTGGGAAAGTCCTCTTCGGTTCCTCGATGCAAAGTGGATGCCCATTTGTCTCGCCGAAGATACCTACGCCAGATGAGTTAACCATCGATGGAGAAGAGCCGTGAAACTAGTACAGTCATCGTACCTGTGTATCTCATTCTGTAGCTGCACATCATTGTCATCCGTCATGGACAGAATACCTTCATTTATAAGCTGTTGAGTCTCAGTACTGAATCAGTATCAGTTTGAGTAGCAGAAGACTTACCTCATTCGTAGTCATTCCATGAAAGAACATCGATTGCCAGTCTTCATCCTGCTGCATTTCCGTCATTCTCTCGAGGACGTACTGCTCGTGTTGAGATAGTTGACTTCGTCGGTTGGCATCCAGTTTCGAGTACTCAATCAAGAGATCATCCGCGCCGGAGACGTTCTTGTCACGCGCCATGATTTCGGCCTGCTGAGTGATATATTCGCCATGTACGTCGGGTCGCTCGATGCCTTCCACGAAAAATTTGCGAAACGATTTTCTCGTTGGCGTCATCCGGGAACGTCCATCCTGGCGCCCCGGGAAGATGCCACACCTCAAGGCCATGCCCGTAGGCCTTTTGGCTTGATCCATGGGAAGTTGGGCGGGACGCATGTACCGCAAGAAATTGTGCGGCCGAACAAGGCGCTCATTATCCCCAGATCCTTCGGTTTCCATCGCGGGGTCAGACCATAGAGGATCTGTCCATTCTGGGATGAACTCGACATAATTCCAACATCCTTCGTTGTTTGGTTTTGGTGGGGGTTGCGGGATCTCTGCATTCATGAGTGGAGCGTGGGGATTACCCGGTCTTTGAAGCGCGATATATCTGGACAGTTCGTCGTGACCCCTCACTGCAGCAGTCGCATGCGTCGCAACCGTGTCGCTGGAATCGGGGCTGTCCGGTTCATCGGGATATTCGCGACTGGCGCGTTGGTACCAGGTGTTGTCGTAAACACCCGCGGATGGTGCGTCGGCCATGACGTTTAGCTTCTGATCTGGTGGAGGGATTGCTCAAGTGCGTCTCGAGACACCACAGGTAAACGACCTAAATGGTTTACTTGGGGGAAATATGACTAGACGTTATGTGGCCGGCGGTTTGTGAGTTGTCTGGTTGAATACCACATGTATTTGGCTTTCTATGGAGGTATTCTTTGTACATTGTCGCGAGGAAGTCATGAAAGCTCCGTCGGGTTCGGAAAAGAATGAGTTGAGCACATTGTCCCTGGGGCATTGGACCAGACATTGAACCTTTGACTCACTCGATCAAAGAAACATCCCGAAGACGATTCAAAGAGAGAGATCCGTTAGGGAGGAACCACCATGATTGTCATCGAGATTACTGTGTGTCATCTAAGGAAGAGGCAGATCCTAGCTGAAAAGATGAAGACCCGACTCGACTGCTGGAGGGTTGAAGACCGTGTCAACTTGTGATATCTATCCAATCGAACTTCCGATGGGCTGAGCATGTCAACTTGCGAGATTGCGGATTTCGACGAACTTTCTTCACCGAACTTTCGGCAGTGTGCTCTTCTTCCGAAGTCGATGACGGAACGGTTTGCAGCTATTCGACACCCAGCAGGAGTCTTGCAGCCTCAGACAGTGACTGGCTGTCCTTTTGTGCGACCAATGGTGGGTAATTGAGATCCTCCCTTCCAAGGGTAATGGGGATGAGAACAAGGACGTAATGGCCGTACGACGTGACAGACAGTCGAGAACCGCCGCTTGCGGTTTGTGCCTTGCCAAACACGAGAATACGCGACGTAGGCCCAGACCACCGAGAGACCGAAGTCCTCAAGACAACAATGAAAGAACAAGTGTTAAAAGCAGTCGCTTCCGAGGTATACGAAGGAAAACCTTGACAGCGGACTGCCAGCGACACGCCGCGGTGAAAACGCGCGTTGGAGTTTGCCGGCCCAGTTTGCTGGGATATTAGGCAAACCACTCTATCTCTGGCAGCGAATTTGGTAAACAACGATGAGGCCGATGGCGTTGCAAATTCGCACAATTGACCTGAAGGCAGGCCGGCCATAAATAGGTAAACGAAGACGGCACAAGGGTGCTGAATGAAAGGGATGCATCGCCACTCTGTCGGCATCCATTCGTTCTGAGATCGGTGTGTCGGTTGAGAAATCCCACGATGTTCGTCTCAACAGTTTTGTTGCTTCCAATGGCGGCGCTTGCCGCAGCCGAATGCGCAGCCGACAACTGCCTCCGAGCTCTCGTTGCAACCCAGACTCCAGAACACCTCAATTCTGCACAGGCTTTCTGCAGGACCTTCACTGCCACTTCAGTTGCCAGCACCGAGATCCCATCGTTCGCTTCCGACCATTGCGCAGGATTTTCGCCCGATGACTTCTCAACTCGGCTGTCCAGTGCCTGTTCTTGTGTTGCGGCTAGGACCGCACCGGTCACATCTGAACCCACGAGTACATCAACGACATGCTCGAGCCCAACCAAGACGGAAGAATCCACAGGGTCTTTCACCGCAGTCGTTAGACCCTCAACAACCTCTCAAACTGGTGGCGAGGATAGCACGAAGACTGCATGCGCTGTCGTCAGTAGCAGCTGGGCCGCGCAACTATCTAGTCGGAGTAAGTGCTCGCGTGGATGCATTTCCTGGCATAGTACCAATCAGATAATTGTCAGTTCCCGTTCCTACCGTTGAGGCCAAGCTGGCCCATGATTGTTTGAGGTCGGTGCCTCTGCACAAAGAGGCCGCCATTCAGCTTGTCGACTCCATCCGGCCGTACGTGGAATGGCAGTCGGATCTGCCTTACTTGAAGAGCCCGCCCAAAGATTACGAGCCTGGCCCGTTTGACATTATTGGTCATCTTGAAAAGATCCGAGGAAACCTGGCAACGGACAAATACAACGGTGAGTTGGCTTTTCAGCAAGACTTGTTTGCCATGACAGCTCAAGTTCGAGACGGCCACTTTCAGTTCATGCCCGACGCTCTGACCGGAGTATTCGAGTATCTTCGTCCATTCGGTTTAGCTTCGTACAGCAAAGACCCCGTCTCATTACCGGTCATCAAGAAATGGGAGGAAGTTGGCGCAAAGCAAGATGCAGCTAGAGTCATCACACGACTCAATGGGGTTGTTGCTTCTGATTTCGTGCAAGGAATCGTCGACTTGGCCTCCGGAAACCAAGATATGGATGCCGCATACAACGCAATGTTCTTTTCCCGGGCCAAGTTGAATGTTGGCAGCGTCTCAGGGCTTTTCAGGGCTGGCGGTTGGCACAAGTATCTATACCCTGGCGAGAATACGACGGCCGAGTTCGAAACTGGAGAGGTCGAGTCCGCCGTCAACACCGCTCTCGTCAAAGCCAACTTCGAGGGCGTGACTGATGGCGAGTCGTTCTATCGGAAGTTCTGTGCCGGAAAGCCGAGCTCAGTGGGACCTGCGGCTCAAGGGTCGACGATGGAAGCCATACAGCTCCCGGGGTACCCTCAACCTATTCTGCGTAGCGCCGACGACAAGGTGTCTGGCTACTACTTGCAAGGCGACGGCGTCAACGATGTGGCCGTGCTGTACATCTCGGGCTTTGATCCAAGGAGCCCTAGAGTTTTTCAAAAGACGGTGGATCTTTTCCTGCAAGAATGCAAGATGGCCGGGAAATCGAAGATCATCATCGACTTGCAAATGAACGGAGGCGGCTATGTCTTGCAAGGAATCGACCTGTTTCGGCAGTTCTTCCCGAACATCGAGCAGGATGGCCTCAGCCGATGGCGTGAAAACGACCAGTTTCTAGCATTGGCCAAAATCGTTTCAGATGCCGGCGAGAACATCGACCCCCGAACGACTCCAAGCTATGAGGCAGTGATGCTTTCACAAAACTGGTGGAATTACCGTTACGACTTGAACATTTCGGGAAAGCCATTCGAATCTTTCGACGCCAAGTACGCTCCTCAAATGTCTGCCGGCGACCCATACACGGCTCTTTTGCGATGGGACCTGGATAATAGTTTGACAACCGTCAACGAGACGTTCGGGCTTGGCATCGATATAACTGGGTATGGAAGTCGCCGAAACTTCACCCAGCCTTTCGAGATTGAGAACATCGTCTTGTTGACGGATGGCTTCTGCGCGTCAACCTGCTCGATCTTCGCGTCGCAGATGCAGATACCAGGAAAGGTCAAGACCGTTACGTTTGGCGGCCGTCCGACGAAGAAACCCATCCAGGCAGTTGGCGGCGTCAAAGGTGCCCAGGTACTGCGATATGGCGACATTTGGAATATGACGCAGCAAGTGTTGTCGTCAGAGCTGGCAGTCGTGTCTGAGGAACAGAGTGCGTCCCTCTCCCAGCTTTCCGACTTGCCTTCCCGTCGCAGCACAGAAGCCCGACTCAATGTGCGTGATCAGATCTTGCGCGGGAACGTGGCGGACGGCATTCCTGCTCAGTTCGTGAATGAGCCTGCCGACTGCCGTCTTTTCTGGACGCTGCCTATGCTCGGCGATGTCACTGAGGTCTGGAAGGCCGCAGCCAACGCGGCCTGGAATGGTGCGGGCTGCGCGGTCGGCGCAGGATTTGACAATGGAGGCATTCGGCCAAGACCTATGGCTGGCGTGGCTGAGCAGCCGTCGCGAGAACCCATCGTGATCTCTGCAGCGGATGTCGAGCCAGAGCATCAGGTCTCGGAGTTGCAGCTTGAGAAGCACAACCAGAAGGTTCACATCCTGTAGCGTAACAACGCAGGTTGCTTCGGTTGTCCAGTAGTCGAGTAGATAGTCTTGGAACTGTGTCGAGGTACCGCCATTGCTGTGTTTGCCAAAGATTCCCGTAAGAACATAATGTGAACAGAATGGCTAACTCGTGTTGGCCTATTTCGAACAATCCGACAGAGTCCTGGTCAAGGCCACACGAGAACATAGCAAAACCAGGGTCTCCCTGTCGCGATCCCAACTTGTTGGAGTCGTCCAGCAAAGCCTTGCTAGCAAGCCCGGCCCGGAAGTATAATCTTGTTCGTCCGATTCGCAGAAGGATCGATGGTGGTTTTGTTGGGATCGTATCGTACAGGTCGAGGCGACAGCAGGCTACTGTTTCGCGAGCTGCAATTGGGAAGTATCAGTACGGAAGGCGACGCGTCTGACAACAAGTTTTCTCGGCGACTGACTCTTGCTCACTGAAGTTCGGAAGCCGTATCCCTATGACGAGGACTTTCGAAACGGGCGCATACGGGTAGGCCCGAAGCAGGTTGACGTCAGGTTTTCGAAGGTTTGTCGGGGTGTGGTAGTCGCGGGAGCTGCGTCATTGAAGTAAGGTATTGTGTATTGAATCTGGTGACTGAAGGAAATTCGAGTCTAGACCATCAATTGCCTTTGAGAAGAAGAGGTCCGAAGTTTGCTTGACGGGAACACCGTTCAAAGTGTAGTTCGCGTCATGCCCTCTCTCGTCGGGGGTGGATGGAAACTGAGTTGATTCCGAGCGATAGATGCCGAAGCAAACACATGGGAAGAATTGGGGAAGAGTAAAACCAGAAGAGAAAAGGAAAGAAACCTATGTGAAAAGGTGCAAGGCTCTGCCGGCGTGTCAATTGAAGGCAGGAAAGAGGGTGCGATGGATGAAGCCATTCAGACGGCAGGAATGTCACTGCGATGGGATCAGGGGAAGGAGCCAATCGGAGCTCATCCAATGCTTGCTGGAATAATAGCCGAACTAAAGCCGGCGATGACAAAGTGGGATTTCGACGAATCCAACATTGGAAGGCGGTTTCTGACGGCAGAGAATGTTGGGACAGGGAAGGTGGCACTCAGGACGGACAGGGGGACAGAATTTGACGGCGATTTTTTCCTGACATGTGCTTCAGATTTTGAAATTGGCAGACTCTCGAAATCCAGGCATCCAGCTGAAGCGACCTCGCCTCCAGCATGGCAGATTTCTTCTCAAGAACCCCTCACTTACTGCCCGTCACGAATCCAGGCGGTGAAAAAGACGGGAGGGCGTGCGGCCCTTGCTGCCTCGTTGCCCGGTTGAGAGATGACGAACGAAGCCGCCAGAAGGGAAAAAATTCTACGGGGCCCCACGATTATGTGGAGTGGTTTTTAGGCGCTATCGTGGGGAGGAGCTGGCGGCGGCAGAAAAGGCTTATCGATACGTTCAGGCCATCCTGCCACGATGGCGGGGTCGATAACACGGGCAGCGGGCTGGCGGCGGTAATATCGACGACGTCCGTCGAGAGATCCTGGGGAACGGGAAGAAGAAAAGCGACAATGGCTTTGCTCCTACCAGATGCGGTCAGGAAGCCGCCCTGCAGATGAGGGTTGCATGCATTGGCTGTGCGTACAGATGCAGATACAGCATTTGCTGTGTGCGGCCACCAAAATAGAAAGGCGGTGACAACGTGCTCTCGTTGTCAGGATGTCGATCAACCTGGCCACAGAGGCCTGGCTTCCCAAGGCTTGCCTGGGCCAGTCTCAGTCGCATCTGCCTCAGCCTTCCCACCAATCCGCATTCTCTCTCATCAGGCTGGACCAGAACTGGATCCGCGACTAGGGGTGGGAGGCGGAACAAAGGTCAAAGACCCAGCGATGGACTCGGGCTCGAGTGAATGAATCAAGTCGAATCGGGCAGGCCGTGGCAAAAAGGGACGATCCGAGTGGTCCGGAACGCCAAAGAACCCAGAACCGGCTTCCATGGGCGAGCAAGGGAAACATTCTGACGGCAAAGAAAAAAAGAGAAACGATGATGGCAGAAAAGTCAAAAGTTGAGACGAGACGAATGAGCCGATGTCGCTATTTTCACATGGGCGCAGCCAGGTAGCCGCAACAGAATTAGAGATATTAAAAATTCGTCAAAATTATTAGGAGACGTTTCCCATGAGAAAGTCAATCTGCTGGAGAATTTTGGATTCTAGCGCCGTTCCTGGCGCGCGTCCGCTGGGCCAGGCTGCCTAGCCTCTACTGGCGCAAGAGGGTGTGAAGATGGATAAGCAAGTGAGTGAGTTCGGATATTGAATGCTTCATGTTCCTGGGCCTTGCCCGTCGAGGCATTGAAGAGGGACATAAAAGCCGGGGTGGCGAAGCCGAGGCGCAAGGGATCCGGTGAGATCTGTCCCGTCCAGCCACGACCTCTTGTGAGATGTCTTTTTTGGCGGTTCACCACCTTACCATGCCCGGTAACGACTCATACGGGCAGTTGCCGGGGTAGGGGGCGGTAACACATGGAAGATGGCCGTCTCACCCCCCTTTCCTGGCCGCCGCCGCCGCCATCATCTCCTCCCCCATAATCCGCTAGACGCACGGAATACAGGACTTGGTATCGTGAGCCACTCAGCAGTCACGTTCATGCCAGCCTGCTCTGTGCGTCTCTGGGGGTGAGACGCTGGGCGGGAGGAATTGGATAGGGGTGGTTAGGGGGGCAGGATGTTGACGACATGACGGATGCCGGCTCCATGGTGGCGTGGAGCTTGAACGAAGAGAACGGTGTTCTGCAGAATGTAGCCACTGTAATTTGATGTTCTGATGGCAAGAGGCGAGGCAGCGGATACACGTGTAAGGCAACGTGGCATTCACAGTTGGGATGGCAAATTGCCGACGCAGTCCGAGGTCCTCTCAAGTAAACATGGCCTTGAATGCACAGCAAAACATCCAAGCCAGAAAGAATGAGACGAAGAAGGGAATATCTCGGAGGTTTACTCCGTGACCGAAAGGCCAGCGTCGGGGCTTCAGGGGGATACGGGCACTACACGTGTAGAGCCGGCTTGTGTTTCTGAGACGACCGCTATCTGATATTGCGGCGATAAGAAAATAGTAGCTGGTCGCTGTGTGAGAATAACAAAAGACACACCGGGATCCCTGGGAAGGACAGCTCAACAAGAAAATAGGTAATCCTCCAGAAAAAGGCCAGCCAACAGCCAGATTTGTCGCTGCAACGTGAAATGGCAATGTGGCCGCGTGTGGGCCTAGGAATGCCCAACTTGGCCGCCTTTGCCTTCCATTTGCCTTGGAAAAAAAATGCCAGAATTGCAGTTGCATGAATGGGCATTTCCCTCACCGCCTTGCTGGGTGTATCCCCATCGGGACTAGCGCGGGGTCCGATAGCCCCTCCGATAAGCCATTACTCGCCAGGGGCCGTGTTCAGCGCCTTCTTACTGGAGGGGCACCGCTGTGAGGCACTCAAGACAGGACGGTGACACCCAGTCAGTGGACGGTTTCCGCAGTTTCTGATTTTTCTGATGTGGGGCCCACCCTTGCCGCTAGCGTCGCCGTCGCCGGGCCACGAAAGAGGGACACCTCTGAAAAAAAAAAAGTTTTTGTTGGTGGGCGAGAGTGAGAGAGAGGCAGTGGGAATCCCAGTAATGGAGGGGTGAAAATGTGAGAGGAGGGGACACTGAGGGAAGGAGGGGGCAAGACCGATAACACAGGCAGCCCAATAGAGGGAAAAAAAAAAAAAAAAATTGACCCAGCCCGGCCAGATAAAAAAACTCATCCCCGCCGCCGTCTTCTCCCCCTCCGGCCTCTTTTTTTTCTTTCTTCCTCTCTCGAACCTCTCTCTACCTCCCCCGTTCCCTTTCTCTTGGATTGTTCCGTCTTCCTCCAGACGTATCTCCAAATCAGTCATTTGATTTCTTTTCACATCGTCCTGTCTGCGACGGTTGTCAAGAGCGCTTTTCTGCTGCCCCTGTTCAACCCCGCCTTCGCAAGAAGATCAACAGCGACACCCCTCCGAAGTGCCATCTAGAGCAGAAGAAACACGATCCTCCAGTCGTCGTCTCTTCACGCGGGCCTTCACCCAAAAACCAAATCGGTACCACATTCGCCTTTCGGTTGCACGATAGAGCATAGACTTCGCATCTAGACGCTTCAGACGTTCGGATCGATTTTTTCACCTACGCAAACCACATCACAACACATTTCGATCGACTTAATACCCGACCGCCATAATGTCTTCCGAGAACGCTCAGTCCGTCAAGGTTCTTGACGAGCTCTTCCAGAAGCTCACCGTCTCCAAGGAGGCTGCCGACATCAAGGAGTCTGCCAACTCTCTGGCCTCCTTCATGAACGGCCGCATCGAGGACCAGGATGTTCCCACCAAGTGAGTTTTTCTTGCCTCCCGCTTCCGCCCGCTACACCACACGAAAGAACGGAAGAGTTTTTGGCAGATGCGACCCTCCAAGCCACCGTGTCCTCGGCCTTGGACCCCTTCTCCAAATTCTCCCAATCTTTTTTTTTTCTTGCTTATTTTCGCCTCGTCTCGGGTGGCATTTACGCCGACCCGCTGAATCTGCAAGTCGGCCTACCCTGGCCACTCAGCGACGAGCTATTTTCGGTTCACACAAAATTTTTTTCCGGAGCATCACAGCTGACAAGGATTTCCCCGCAGGAGCATCGAGTCCATTCGCAAGCTCTTCAACAACAAGAAGGATGCCGCTGCCCGTGAGAAGGCTGCCCTGGCCATCACCGCCATCGCCCAGCACTCCGAGGTCTCCGCCCACGTCGAGCCCTTCCTTGTTGCCCTCCTCCCCAACGTCCTCGCCGCCGTTGGTGACAAGATCACCCCCGTCAAGAATGCCGCTCAGGCTGCTGCCCTGGCCATCGCCGAGGCCATCAACCCCAACGCCGTCAAGGGTGTCTTCCAGCCCGTCTCCGACTCCCTTCTGCACGCCCAGAAGTGGCAGGAGAAGATGGCTGCCCTCGACGTCCTTGAGACCGTCGTCCGCACCGCCCCCGCCCAGGTCGCTTTCCGCGTCCCCGACTTGATCCCCGTCGTCTCCGAGTCCATGTGGGACACCAAGAAGGAGGTCAAGGAGCGTGCCTACAAGACCATGGAGCAGATCTGCCAGTTGATCGTCAACAAGGATATCGAGCGCTTCATTCCCGAGCTCATCAAGTGTATCGCCAAGCCCGAGAACGTCCCCGAGACCGTTCACTTGCTCGGTGCCACCACTTTCGTCACTGAGGTCCAGGAGCCCACCCTTGCCCTCATGGTTCCCCTCCTTGACCGTGGTCTCGCCGAGCGTGAGACTGCCATCAAGCGTAAGGCCGCCGTCATTGTCGACAACATGTGCAAGCTCGTCGACGACCCCAACATCGTTGCTCCTTTCTTGCCCAAGATGATGCCCGGTCTTGAGAAGAACCACGACAACTTGGCCGACCCCGAGGCCCGTGAGAAGACTCGCCAGGCCCTCGACACCCTCATCCGTGTCGGTAACGTCGTTGACGGCAAGATCCCCGAGGTCCGCCGTGACTCCGACGTCAAGGTCATCCTCCCCAAGCTCAAGGAGGTCATCCCCTCCAAGCACAAGGCCAAGGCCGACAAGCTCGAGATCGTCCTCGAGTACGTCGCCGCCATCGCCGGTCAGCTCATCGACGAGAAGGAGCTCGAGTCCCAGGTCTGGGCCGAGGCCCTCAAGCCTTACGTCACCGTCATCGTCGGCGACGAGGACGCCCAGAAGGTCGTTGACGACCTCCGCAAGAAGGCCTCTCCCGGCGCCGCCGAGGAGGAGGAGGTTGACCCCGATGACGAGGAGGGTGAGGATCTTTGCAACTGCACCTTCTCTCTCGCCTACGGTGCCAAGATCCTGCTCAACCAGACCCACCTCCGTCTCAAGCGTGGCCAGCGCTACGGTCTTTGCGGTCCCAACGGTTCCGGAAAGTCCACCCTCATGCGTGCTATCAACAACGAGCAGGTCGAGGGTTTCCCCAAGCAGAGCGAGGTCAAGACCGTCTTCGTCGAGCACGACCTGGACTCTGCCGACACTGAGATGACCACCATCGACTGGACCATGATGAAGCTCAAGGAGGCCGGTGTCCAGACCTCCCAGGCTGACGTCGAGGCCAAGCTCAACGAGTTCGGCTTCACCGAGCAGATGGTTAAGGGAGAGATCTCTGCCCTCTCTGGTGGTTGGAAGATGAAGCTCGCCCTGTGCCGTGCCGTCTTCGAGGCCCCCGATATCCTGCTTCTCGACGAGCCTACTAACCACTTGGACGTGAAGAACGTCAAGTGGCTCGAGGAGTACCTCAAGACCTCCGCCTGCACTTCCATCATCGTCTCCCACGACTCCGGCTTCCTCGACAACGTCTGCCAGCACATCGTTCACTACGAGCGCTTCAAGCTCAAGCGCTACCGTGGTAACCTGTCCGAGTTCGTCAAGAAGAACCCTTCTGCTAAGTCCTACTACGAGCTCGGTGCCTCCGAGATGGAGTTCAAGTTCCCCGAGCCCGGTTTCCTCGAGGGTGTCAAGACCAAGGCCAAGGCCATCCTCCGTGCCAGCAAGATGTCCTTCCAGTACCCCGGTACCTCTAAGCCCCAGATCACCGACATCTCCTTCCAGTGCTCTCTCGGCTCCCGTATTGCCGTTATCGGTCCCAACGGTGCCGGCAAGTCTACCCTCATCAACGTCCTTACTGGTGAGCTCGTCCCCACCGAGGGTGAGATCTACCAGCACGAGAACATCCGTATCGCCTACATCAAGCAGCACGCTTTCGCCCACATCGATAACCACCTGGACTCCACTCCTTCCGAGTACATCCAGTGGCGTTTCCAGACTGGTGAGGATCGCGAGACTATGGACCGTGCCAACAAGGTCATCACCGAGGCCGATGAGGAGGCCATGAACAAGATCTTCAAGATCGAGGGTACCCAGCGCCGCATTATCGGCATCAACTCCCGCAGAAAGTTCAAGAACTCCTACGAGTACGAGTGCTCTTTCGCCATTGGTGACAACGTCGGCCAGAAGAACGAGCGCTGGACCCCCATGATGTCCGCCGACAACGTCTGGCTGCCCCGTTCCGAGCTCCTGGCTTCTCACCAGAAGATGGTTGCCGACGTCGACATGAAGGAGGCCCTCGCCTCCGGTCAGTTCCGCCCTCTGGTCCGTAAGGAGATTGAGTCCCACTGCGCCAACTTCGGCCTCGACGCCGAGCTGGTTTCCCACTCCCGCATGCGCGGTCTGTCCGGTGGTCAGCGTGTCAAGGTCGTCCTTGCCGCTTGCTCTTGGCAGCGTCCCCACTTGATCGTTCTTGACGAGCCTACCAACTACTTGGACCGTGACTCTCTCGGTGCCCTGTCCAAGGCCCTCAAGGCCTTCGAGGGTGGTGTCATCATCATCACTCACTCTGCCGAGTTCACCAAGGACTTGACTGAGGAGGTCTGGGCTGTCATGGACGGAAAGATGACTCCTTCCGGCCACAACTGGGTCCAGGGCCAGGGTGCTGGTCCCCGTCTCAAGGCTGACGACGGTGAGGAGGAGGAGAAGTTCGACGCCATGGGTAACAAGATTGTTTCCACCAAGAAGAAGGTCAAGTTGACCTCTTCCGAGGCCCGTAAGAAGAAGAAGGGTAAGTTCACAGTCCCAACAATCACTTGACGTCGCACAGATCGCTAATTATCATTATAGAGCGTATGGCCCGCCGCAAGCGTGGTGAGGAGGTCTTCTCCGATGAGGACGACATCTAAACCACACGTCCACGGTCGCTTTCCTTTCCATTTGTCACGAGCCTTCCAAAAGTCTTTTTCGGTAACGCGGGTTGCATGGTTACGGACCTGTTTATGATTTCTTTGACGAGCACCCATGAGATTCCCCATTGAAATGATTCGCCGGATGAAGGAATGACCATCTCGCTCCCAGGATTGGAGGATCCTGCAGGCGAGGAGAGAGGTTCCTGGCGATATGGGAATAGTGGGGTAGAATTAAGAGGTAGAAAGAGTAAATAGACGGCAATACATGCCATAGACATTTCAACTTTGTTCCCTGTGTGACGTGCGTGACGCCATCTCGATTTCCGGTTGTATGACCTGAAAATTCTGCTTGTCTTTGTCTCTGCCCTTGGGTTGTCGTAAACTCGCAACCACGTTTGTCACTCGGTCATCAACATTGTTGTGGCAAACAAAACCGCCAAGTCCATTGCGCCATTCGTATCTATCCATCATTCTCCGATTGACCTCGCCCTTTGCATCACCAAGAAATTCCACAGCACCACACCCGCCAGCCTGACCTCCCACATCATCTCGCCCCTCTCCAGGGTCCTCTCTTCTTGCTCCTTCGCTTGGTCTGTACAGTCGTCCACGGGCCCTCCCCGTCATCATCGTCATCATCTCCATCGACCAGACCCTGCGGCACGTTCTTTGTCGTCCACCACCACATGGGACCCGGTTTCGCAACACGAGACCCTAGACTCCCTCCCCTGCCTCCTCCTCTGCCTCCTCCTCTCCAAGACGAGGTCCCTCCCCTCCAGGTTGAACTCCCTCCCCTACCAGCCGAGCTCCCTGGCGTCCAAGTCGAGCTCCCTCCCGTCCCATTCCAGCTTCCTCCCCTTCCAAACGAGTTGACCCCACTGCCTCCCCGTCCACCACGCCCTGGTCTCTGGATCGGCTGGACCTTCGACTTCGACCCCGGCTCGTCGGGTGTCCCCTGGATCATCTCAGACCAACTCAAGTCAACCGTCGGAACGGTCACGACTTGCGGCGGGTTGAGGGGCTTCAGTGGGATCGGCCGCGGCTCCGTCTTCCAGCACGTATTGCACTCCTCGGCCCTTGAGTACCGCGCAATAATCCGATGTCGACAATTCTCCCTCAGCCAGGTCTTCGCCCGTCCATCGTCTTCCGAAGTACCCAAATACTTCCCGGCCCATTGCTTCAGGTAATTCGTGATGTCGTTCGCGGGACTGTACCTGATGAAAGCTGCAACGCGTCACAGTCAGCTACCATCCAATCTTCCACGGATAATGAAGACTTACACGTCATGTTATAAACAAACTCCCCATCCGAGATCCAAGACTCCTTGGACCCGACCCTCCTCCCGCCCATCCCGATCGCCTCGCCGCCGTTCATCTCCCGCAGCGTCGTCCGTGACATCAACCGCATGTTGTTCGGTGGAGTGACGACCTTGGCCGAGACGTATTTGCGTTTCTCGTACAGCGTTTTGAGGATACTCGGCGGTTCCTGCTGACACATCGCGTACGTGCGGTCGTGGCCCCAGTGCGGCTGCAGATTCTCGAGGAACGCCTTGTGATCGGGGTCGATTTCTTAACATCGCAACGTCAGTCCAGTAATCTCACACCACGGAAGCAAGGGTCTCCACGTACGTTCGCGCCCGAAGATGAGCTCGCGGATCCGGATCTGCGTCGACGACAGCGGTTGTCGGGCTTCTTGTTCGGGCACCACCCTGCCGATGCGCAAGCTCTTGAGGGTTCCGTGCACATCCACACCGAAGACGGAGTCGTTGCTCGAGTGGACTCGGTACCATGCCTCGGTGGCGTTTCCGCCGGCGTATTGCTCGATGATGGATTTCCCGCCCGGGTGGACGTCGCAGTACTCTGTTCTCGTTAGCTTGTGTTTATCTGTCAGAGAGTCGCGATGTTGACTGCGCACCTGTGAAGTCATACACGTAGTTGTTGATGATGATGTAGATCCCCGTCTCCCGGAACGCGTGCCATCGCACCTCCTCGGCGGTGAATATCCGATCTATCCGCCGCTTAGCCGTTTTTTCGGGCTTGATCCAGCCGATCTGGTAGGGGCGGAGGTTGGAGAAGATGTGTTCGTGGTGGTAGCCCCTTTCCATAGCATCCAAGACGGGTGTTTTTGTCTTGCTTGTGAGGAGTTGTTGCAGTTCCAGCATGTCGGGGGGTAGTTCAAGGTCTGTCAGGCGTCAGCAAACCTGGTCAAAATCCTGAAGGGACAATACCCACTCGTAACATCAAACACATCCTTTCCCATAGCAATCCATCGAGACCGTCCGTCTCTCCCATGATCCAATTCCACATCCTCCCTCCTTCTCCAAAGCATGGCCCGCCCGATCGGGCCCTCTCTGAGCATCTGTTGATACTTGGTCAACCAGAAGGCCTCGCAATGAAGGTAGCGGCCCACGGGCTGGTTCGTTCTGAACTTGGGCACCACGGCATTGTTCCTCAGACCGGTGTCCCAGGTCTCGGGGACGTAGCCGCTGATGTCGAATACCTCAGCATTGCGTGGGGCCCCGTTGATGCATATGGCCCATTTCTTGCCATCTCCCAGCAGCTGGTGATCTCCAATCTCACCGGGAGTGAAATACGTCACCCTCTGCTGCCTGGCTGGCTGCCCACCGGCGGCGGTGACGGGCATCGCAACAGCCCAGGTCGGCAGGTCCGCATCCTTTTCATCGTTCCACGTCAGGTCCTCGAACCCGGTTGGTAAACGGATGAATCCCTCGTACTCCGGCATCCGGAATCCGCAGTCCAGCCAGGTGTCATCCTCAGGAGCCCTGTCCAGCCCAGTCCGGACGACTTTCAACGCGGTCTCGAACTCCCTTACAAGCTCGTCGCATACGACAGCTCCGCCCCTCCACTTCCAGAACGCCCGCTGGGCGTTGAACAGACACAGCTCCCTGGAATGCGAAGGGCCCTGCGCGGGTCCGATGGTCCTCTGCCTCCTCTTGGCCTTGCTGTCTCGTCCGACATCCATGACCTTCTCCAGCAGCCCCTCCGGACCGGCGAATCTCCTGCCGCGCTCCAGACGCCGGGGGTACTCGCCCACCGTCTGATCAGTCCACTCCTCCACGGAGTGCCTGACAGGAAGACACGCGAGCGCAAGCCATGCCACGGCCCTATAAAACCACCTCCCCATCCCGAACCTACTCACATCGGTCGTCTTCTGCGAGAGATCATCCGTGTGCGCCAACGGATACAGCATCCTCTTCGCCGCATCCCACGCGTCGCTCTCGTGCTTCACAGACCACCCCGGCGTCGTCAACGCCCCCAACCCCTCCCTCAACTGCGTCAGCGCAAACGGCGTGAGAAACCACATCGCGTACTGCGGCGTATACCACGGCCTCAGAATCCTTAACTTGCTCCTGACCAACCACAAATTCTCCGCCAGACCGCCACTCGCCGCCTGCCCGTTCTCCCCGGTCACCAGCTCCGCGCGCTCTGCGGACCACTCGTTGCCGACGAACTTGCTCCGCGAGACTGCGACGCCCGCCTCGTCCATGCGCAGGCCTTCGGGGCCGTACCTGTTGACCTGGACGTCCCAGAAGTCCTGAGAGGAGAATTTGCAGGGGAGGCTGGCGGGGATGGAGCGGCGGTCGTCGATGAAGGGGTCTTCGAAGGACCAGCCGCCATAGTACTGGAACCTTCCGGTTTGGCAGGGCTGCGGGCCGCGGATGGCTTGCCAGGCGAACCGGGGACTGTCGGAGGGCCAGGTGTTGCGGAGGAGGGTGCCGAAGAAGTTCATCTCGAAGGAGAAGCCCGATTCGCCCCATTTTTCATCGTTGAAGAACTGTGTTTTCTTTGTGGTTAGTCAAGGGCGGGAGGAATGATGGGTATTAGAAAGGTGAGCTTGCGAGTTCTGAGGATCGGCAGTTGTAGGTACTTGTTCTCGCTACATGTTCGCGGAGGAGTTGTCGGGAGATGGCATGCTAGATACGTTCATCGTTAGTGTCTAACCCGATCGACAAAGTAAGATGTGAGGTCGTACCATCAGCTCATGCATCATCTGAACACAAACGTCAGTCAACATCAGTATCTACAAGAGCATGGCAGGGTGAACATACTACCACGGCAACTTCGCACGCAGCCTGTCTCCCATGCGGATCACCCCTCGTGTCTCTCACAAATAAACCCTTGACAATTCGAGTCTGGATCGTGCAAAACTGGTACGGATTACCGAACGTCTTGCCCAACATACCATCGAATTCGTCGGTGTGGTGGAAACCCCAGAAGATGTTCTCGGAAAGCCTGTTCAACTCGTCTACGGGGACCTGCATTTTCCCCCGGCGTCTCTCGGAAAGGGGGGCCACGTAGAACACAGTCGTGTTGGGATGTCTCCTCTCGTCCACCGTGGTCGTCACGTTGTGCTGTGCTCTTATTGAGTTCTCGGCGAGGAAAGATGCGAGCCTTGATTTCAGTCAGTATCACTATGGTAAATACTCAGTAAAACAGTAGAACAGAGGCAAAACTGACCATGTGTGGTTTAGAGCTTGCTCGAGCATGCGGTTCGCAACCTCGATCGCCAGGCTCAACCGCCCCCAGACGACGTCGTCATCGATGTTCAACGTCTTGCGACCAAAGCCCGGAATCTCGAGGTTGTAACTCGCCCATTTCTCTCTGCGGAAGACGTTGAACCATCGACTCTCGTCCACTTGGATGGTGTCATTCGCAGGTAAAGTGGCTGCTCCTTCTAGCGCCTGAAGGGGAATAGACTCGAATGTGCGCAGGCCACCGAGCTGAAGAAGCTGCTTCGTCTCTGCGACAAACAATTCGTCCAACTCAGCTGGCGACGGGCGTGGAAAAGGATCCTCCGCGGAGGGGAAGTCATCTGCGGTTGGGTACTTTGGGTGGAGGTAGGCTGGTGTGTTTTGGTCCATTGTCAGTTGCTATGTTGCTATTTTTCCGACGCTGAGTTGAAAGTGCAAGATGCAATGTGAAGCGATCAAAATTTGAAATAACTCTGCAAGTGGTGCGGTGGAGGTCAGGCGTTTTCCAAGGAGGCATGAGACTGATTTCAACACCGACATGTCACCTGCCATGGAGATTTCAAGGGGTTCATTCTGATCAATTATGTCGTTTGATAAAACGAATTCCGTGTTGATACTCGAGTGTGTATACTTTGTCCTCTCTTTGGAAATGTTGCAATTCCTTTGTTTCTTGTCTCCCTGTGGATGCCTATTTTTGACATCTCGGCATTGTTGTTTGTGTTCTTTGCACCGTTTTCGGGAATGATCCTATTGCTGAATGTTATTGACGATTTGACAAAGAAAATTGGTGGTATTGAATGGTTGAATTTGGATATCGAAGAGGAGCATGGACTGACATTCAGGCCTCACATGTTTCGCTCATCTTATGATCACGTTTTTCTCTCCAGACTTCCTTCTTCCCCAGAACCTTCCCATCTCAAAGTTCATTACCTGCACTCACCAAGAGCTTCAAGACAACTTCTATGAATATTCCAAACAGTTTCATCCCTCGTCGCTCGAAAGATGCACCCCGCAGACCTGCCGAAAAGCTCATGGAGTCAGGTCTACAACACCGGCCCAACTCGCCCGCCCCTTCGAAATGGGCTATCATGGATGGATCCGACATACCCAACCATCGACCCGAGGACCCTCGAGGAATACTTGGGAAACCCCATTGTCAGTGAAAAACCAGACCCCGCAGCTCTCGACGACCTCTTCCTTTCCGAACGTTGCCAGAAAGATCGCCAATTTGGCATGAAGACGTATGAAGCTTCTTCGATGGCCAGACTTGAGGCGTATTACGCAAACCAAGACAATGCCTCGGACAACCCAGATGGAGACGCGCTAGTTGTGGACGAAAGCCAGTGGCTCAGGATTTGGCGCAGAGAACGCTGGTGCGTCGACTTCAGGCAAGACACCCAGACGACGGGTTTGCCAACGTTCATTTGGTCAGCAAATGACCTGCTTGTTTGGCAGGAGCTGCGGAAATGCATTCAGCTGGCGGATAACATCCTCAGAATGGGCGCGAAGGACATCTGGTATGTAACACTTTCGATATCACACGAATCTCATTCGTCACTAGTGACATATTCTCTGACGTCTGACTGAGACAGGTTGCAACAGCTACTCTCCGCAGATGGTCTCGAAGCAGTGAAGGTCAAAATTCCGCACGGGTCAGAAAACGAGGAAACAATCTGGCGCTTCAAAGCCAACGAACACTACTACCCGGCAACCACAGAGGGCGTATTACAGCACTTGAACGACCCTCATTTCTATTGTAATGTCTACTGGTTGTTCAGAGATGCATTTTGGCATGTCATCAGCACCAAATCCCAAACAGAAGTCGGAACGGCAATTTCCTACCCCCATGGCCAGCGACTGGTGATGCCGATTACTCTCGACGTGCTATTTCTGCGAACACTCATGGATCCGACGGCAACTCCCTTCGCGAAGAAGACGGCCCTGTGTCTACAAGCCATTACGGTAACCGAGGCCCGGCCCCTATCACGAAGTGCACGCTGACTGATTTATAACAAGATAGTACATGAGGTGATGGTAATTATTTCATCTTGACATTTCTTCTTATGTACGTGCCACAAGCTTACGCTTCACGCAGCATCATGTCAACACAGATCTTCAAAAAAGAGGTGCTCTACTCGAACCACCGCTATTGATCGAACCGCCGTCTCGTGCAAATAGAGAAACTGTGAGATTACGGAACTGTGTAAGAAACTATAATAAGCAACTAACTCGTGGTGCAGTACGGCAAAACTGAACCCCTGTCAGAGATGGGACACTCTTTTGAGCGAGCCACCACCGGCGGTACAATATGGGGCTTAGAATCGAGCATAGGTCCAGACGCACGGCAGGCCGCCGGAGGAGCCAGTCTCCTGACTTGTTTATGGCGGTTTCCCAATCTTGACAGTGGCAGCTGGCAAAATACCTATGGCATCCCGCGACCAGCTGTTTTTGAGATGTTGCAATGGCCCGTACCGGCGGTATGGTTGTCATCCGTGACGTCGCAGGACTTTTGGACAAGAACCATCGGGGTCTACGGGCCCAGCGCTTTTAGAATGCCAAAGGCCATCATGTCTGTCGGTGATGACATCGGCCAGGAGTCATCTAGGGCAAGAAAACCTTCAGAATGGTTCTGGATAGACGGGTACATGCCTCCGTCGTATCACGCTCCGGCGTTAAGCGACATGGCACTCCGGCTGAACGCAAGCTACCATCGACACAAAACACATAGGCCGTGGTACGCGGACAGTTATGCCATGTGGCAGATGACGCCTTGGAGCTATCATGGGCTTCGGGAATCCCTTTATCAGGCCACCGACATCCACTTTCTTCGAAGGTATCGCCGCGATCAAGAGCGAATAGAGCGCATCATTGGTCAACTGCTGCACCCCATCTCTCTGGATGCCCAAGACACTGAGAACGCATCTGCGGACATTTTCGTCCCCGGATGTCTCCCAAACTTCATCGCAGAGCGCTCTACCACGGCATGGTTCTTCCGCGCCATCGGCTTTCTCATGGCTGCTGCTCTGCCCGCGCGCCACCACGAAGGGACGTATCAGTACGCGGAACCCAAATGCAGAGAAGGCCTTGGGATCCCCTGGAGCATCCGGCAAAACCTTCACATGAGTCGCGTCGAGCATGATGATTTGCAGTATGTTATCGGGCAACTCTGTCGCTCCAGATGGGTTTACCCACAGTTCAAGCTTGGGGAGCGACACACCGCACCAACAGCGCAGGGTGTACGCGACCGCCGACTACAGCTCATCCGGTTCGCAAGAGACGCCTACGGCATCTTCGAACTGTTTTGCGAACACCCTCGCGGCTTGTGGACGGTCTTCGACCAGGCTTGCCACGAGATGGAAATTCACCTCCATCTGGACATGATCAACGATTACGAGTCTTGGATTCCGTTTCCCTTTCGAATGCCAGAGTACCCCGGTGTGTGGGAAGACGGGACGGCATCCGACTTGTTCCAATTTGGCGCGAGCGCGTGGGAGGGTTGGAGTTTCGTCCGACCCTTGGCAGGTCATCACAACACTTTCGTGGGCGAGCGATTTATGGCGGAAGAAGTGCCCAGTCCCGACTTCTTCCCACCTTGTCCGGCATGGGCCATGAGCGGCGTCGCCGGTGCCCCTATTCCAGTGAGGACGCTTACCATTGCGGACATGTACGATGAGTGGAAACGGCTCGGAAAGGCGCTCCTCATTGTACCGGGAATCGACATGGATATCTACGAGTGCGACTACGTCTGTAAGACTCTCAACATCACCACGGAGCGACAGTGGATGGAAAGCGTCGAGACAAGCTGGTATGGCCTCCAGCTCAATGCGCTAGCAGCGGCCCGTTTTCGCGCATCCGATCTTGAGGCGATGCCTTTGGGGCGGGCGGTAAGGATCATGAGACCTGATGAGATCTTCTCGTGCAACGGCGAGAACGGGAATCCCCTCGGAATCCGGATCCGAAATTTCATATATGACATCACGAGTAAAAGCCCCGAGAGATGCATGACGAGTGGATGTATATGCTAATGCTTTACAGGTCTGACATGCTCGGACATGAAGCTCTTGAGACTGTTGAAAAGTGCGCCAGGCCGGGATCCCTCCAAGAATGTCATGATGGACGGCTATGAAATTACAGAAGTCGTTGCAGGACTCAAGCCGTATCGGGTTGGGATGGTGTATCCGACGCTATGTAAGGCTGCCAACAAGCACTCTCTGAAGGTTTTCACGGAGAGAACGCTGCGAAGACATGAGTTCAAAGAGACGGGGATGTATGTTGCGATTTTCGGCAAGGTTTACGACATCACAGGTAAGGTTCAAGACAACTCATCCTCAGATAGTGGAACGCTGACACAAAAATTCCCTTCAGACTACGCAGAGTTCCACCCAGGAGGTCTCAAGTTCCTGGAGGAGAATGCGGGACGAAATATCACGGAACTCTTCGTACAGCACCACTCACGAAACCTCGACCGCGTCATGAAATATTTGCCAGAGCTGCATATCGGAAGGATGGTAGAAGAACGTACAGAGGTGACGCAGGATCAGACAATTGATCAGCTCCACGGCGCACACATCACCTTCAATCACGACGAGATCAAGTTCTACGAGACGGTTTATTCGGTGACAGGTCAGTAGTGCCATATCCAGCCACCCAACGCCACCATTCACACATGATAATGTTCTGACCTCTCGCTCATACCCAGCTCTACAAGAGTCCGGAGAGGATCCAGAGCTTGTTGAGAAACTCAGACCTTACCTTGGAACCGATGCAACGGCAGATCTCCAGGATGAAGACGCCGACGGCGGGCCTCTGATGTGCTTCGCGCGTCTGAGAGCTTACATCGTGGCCACAACGCGCAGGCCAGACAGACAACTCCCCGAGATGTCGATCTCTGATTTGGCGAAGTTCGATGGCATGGTAAATGAGCGAGAGAAATGGCGAAACGACGCTTATGTGGCCGTTGAAGACCTGGTCTACGATGTCACTGGTGAGCTCAACTGGCGGAGCAGACTTCACGTGCTGACATACGATGCAGAGGTGATTCAATACGGCTCAACATATGAAAGGTATGCCAACCTAGGACAATATCTTGGTCAGAAGGTCCACAATGAGACCTTGGCTACGTACCTGAAGAACAACTGTGGCCACCGAGTCGTCGCCCGAATAGTCTCCTCGAGGATACCATGTCCCTTTGATCCCAGAAGGGCGCTGCCTGGTAGGTTATGCGAAATTTCAAACATACTGAAAGGGAAAACTGACGGAACATCTCCAGTACGAGCCGATATCACCGCTTGGAAAGCTCGGCCGAAACGAAAGAAGCCTGAAAGTGCCCCGAAGAATCCTGCGCCGAAGAGGAATGACATAGCACCATACCCGCAAACCGTGGACGATCTCAAAAAGAAAAGAAAAGCAAAGAAAACCGGAAAGGGCCACACCTTTTCGCCTACTCCTTCTATTAGCAAGTTGGACTATCTGGTGCAGAGTCTTTCCAGGACGGCCCAAATCAATGGAGAGCCGCAGGTGAGCAACAATTACGAAGGCACTCGCCGCTGGGTTGAGGCACAAAGAATCAAGACTACTCGAGTGCGAGAAGGCATAACTGTCAAATTGCCGGCGATTGATCCAAACGCTCCCGCGGTTGTTCACCTCTCTACATGCACAGGAGCTTATGGGTCTGAGACTGAGGGTGGAGGCATAGGAAGAGCTGAGGCAGACGATCTGGTTCCCTTGGAGCTGAGGTCTGGAGGCAACCCGGTCCGCTTCACGTTAAGAAAAACCGGATAAAAGGGAGGGTTTTTCATGGGTAGAGGGTGTTTTGAAAATATCATTTTGTCCACTATTAGATCTTCCTTCGTGCGAATGAAACTGAACGTACATGATGAGAGACGTCGTACTGCTAGTCCCTCAAGGTATCGCCGTCTAATCGTCCTACTTCCTTTCAATTCGTATGTCTTGATCATATTCATGAGGTTTGGTATTGATGATGACAGCTTCGAACCGAAAACCAAATCACTTTCTAACCCTCTCAAACCAGACCAACGGCCCATCTTCACCCTCCATTCTGACATCTAACCCAAAATACGTGACTGAGCCAGTAATACCAACCTTAAATTCCGCACGCATGCACGCGAATGGTGTCTGGGTGCGCTTACCCTTCCCCAATTCGAGATATTCTCGGCCAACCCAGAAATTGCCAGATTTCGGCTCGAGATACACAACCGGATTGAGGTACTCAAAGCCAGCCCCTCCCACACCAAGGACACGAAGTCGGCATTTTTCGGCATTGCTGCCCTGATGTCCGAGTAACGTGGAGTCTGAGTCGTCGCAAAATAGATGGATTTTCAACGTTCCGTAGCCCGGATCGTGATACTCTCCTAGATGACCCGACAATGGGAGCGTTGGTAGAAGAGGTGGGTCGGGTACCGAGGGGTAGATGTGCTCAACACAATGCTTGAGGTACTGATGCTGAGCTTTTCGGTCGGATTTGTATCTGTCATCTCGTTAGTAATTGATTCCTTTAGAGTTCTTTAACCTGACTCACTTCTCATTCGGGTCATATCTTTTGGCTGTTGGGACCCCGAGATGTTCATACAATATGTGGTGGGCAATCAGTTCCGGCAAGGGCGATTCTGTGTTCGACATGACCGTCACCGCAAGGTGTTTTGAGGGTACCATGATCATTATAGAAACGAACATCGTGACCTGCCCAAAGTGAAAGAAAGCCCTCTCGCCTTCAAAAATACCCTGGTTCCAGCCATTCGCGTAAGTGACTGGGCCGAGAAAAGGCGGGTTCGACATGCTCGAGAAGCTCCGCGGCGTCTTCAACTCCCGATGGCCCTCCTTCGACATCGGCGCCTCCTCGTTCATCATGGTGCGTAGATACTTGGCGTAATCAAGCACAGTCGAAATGATTGAGCCGGCACCTTCTTCGGCTGCCCAGGGTTCATGGGGGACCTGGATGAACGCCGCGCTATCGGAGTCATAATAGTACTCGTCGGCGAGGAGCAATTCACTTTTCTCCGCATCCTCGAGGGAGAAATACGTCTCGTTCATTCCCATCGGCTCCCACAAGTGCTCCCGGAGGAAGTCGCCCAACCACGACCCGGTGAGGGTTTCGATGAGGTAACCCATGACACCGAACATTTTGTTGGAATACTGATACTTTGCCCGTGGCTCAGCAGTCATGGGCAGATTTCGCAGATTCCGTACCATTTCCTCCGCAGTGGTGGCCGTCGAGGCGAAGTCGTGGCGCGGGTAGCCTGTCCTGTGACTGAGGGCGTCTTCGAGAGTGATGTGTTCCGTCGCCCACTCATCGCTGAGAACGAAGTCGCTGAGAACGCTAGACACGGGTGTCTGCCAGCTGAGGTCGTTGTACGCGCTGGCATTGTCGATCAGGAGTGAGATTCCGGCGGCTGTGAAGGACTTGGTGGTGCTGCCGGTATAGAACAGGGTATGGGGTGTGATAGGAGTCGAGTTTAGAACGGCATAGCCGTAGCCCTGGATGATGTTAGCACAGTTCAAGAGACCGTAAGTTCAGCCGCAGCAGCGTGATAGGACGTCAACAGGATTCCGCGCAGCTCCTCGCCAAGGGAGTGAACATACCTTCGCCCAAGTCTTCTCCGCATCCACGATTGACACAGCGACTCCTGGTACATGCCATTCTCCCATCAAATCCTCAATGAAGGCATCGAGATCCGGTGAGACGACGCGCGGATCTTCGTCATACCCGCGGTCGTCACTGTTGAGAATTCGCTGTGCGGCATCATCCCCAACCGCCAGACCAACAACGCAAAATGCCACTGAGGCCGTCGAAACCCGCATATCGCGTGCTGTCTCTTTTGAAATCACGGTTTTGGAGAAGGCGAAGTAGAAAAGAAAGTAGATCCGACCGTGTGGGGGGACATGTCGCACCAGCCGAATGCTCTCACTGCACCGCGAGCTTGATATGAGATGACGTTACCCCCTGGAATCCCCGAACCAGTCGCGGCGCCGCTTCGGCCTGCCGTGCCGCAAAGCAGCCGAGAACTTACGGTTAAGCGCCGCACTGCTGTCATGGCCCAATGTGGAAGGTGCTCGCCGCCTGCAACGACATGTCATGTTATGGGGTTGATGACGGTTCATTCAGCGGTTGAGATTTGTTCAATTTCAACATTCTAGCTGAGGGCCCGGACATGCAACTGGATGAGGACTTAGAATCAGGTTCTGTCTGCAAATGAAGACACCATACAGTACAGCGGCAACGAAGCTATTGTGATGCGGGGCTGGAGGTTCTCAAGGAAGCAAAAAGCACAGCGAGATGAATTCAAGCAGATAGATTTACAAAGAAAACAATCGGAAAAGCTGACAATGCTATTGTATTCGTTAGATGTGAAAGACATTTGAGGTTGCCTTTGAAGTTCTGGTCTTCTGTTCTTTCAACTGTTATGCTCTTTCTACACCCCGGCTTTGATATGGAGATTCCTGATGGATATTTCGCGAACCCATTTGAAAGAAACACAGAACTTCCATCGTTCACCAGAACACACTCTTTGTTCATCCAACAGTCAAATAAGCCGAACATGCGCACGTTGGTGGTGGATGAGCTGCCCCCAAGATCTCATTAATCCAAACACAACTCAGCACATCGACATTCTTCTTTTTCTTTTTTAATACTACACGCGAACGACTGTCAAAAGCCGGGAAACACAGGATTTCAGCAGTAAACCATGGACATCCCCAACCTCACGTCTACATATACGGAAAACCAGGAGATGGCCAACCTCCTGCTCCTCGCCGCCGTCACCAGGATGGAAGGTTTCAGCGAAGCCACAGAAACGGCCGGGACCAACTTCTTTCTGAGCCACGAAGAAAAGTTCTCCCACGGCACTTTCGCCACTTGCCGGGACGAATCGCACCCACGAACCGCCCTGGGCGAAGGCACGTACCACGCAGGCACCGAATTCCAGCCGGTCGAGGCAGATTATGAACAACCCCGACTGGACTCCACGGTCGACGACGGCTTCACGGACATATTCTTGGACGATTTCATACACGTCGAGACTGGGGAGCACCCTACGTCTTTCGAACTGTCCCTGTGTCTTGAAAATTTTGACTAAACTCGACTAAACTCGACACAAGTGCATTTCACCTCGTAAGGCAGATACGCCGGGGACCGGGAAAAGGTTGGGGGTGGGGGATACGACAGCAAAATCAGCTTTAGTCCCGGGACGCACCATAATCCAGGAAAGGCCGTTTGTACCTATCTCCAATGGCAAAGTGCTCGAATTTCCATTGGTTCAGTTACACCTCCCATCACGGTGCGGCCAAAGTGTATTTGCAGCACCAAAGCACCAGTGGTGATCCTAAACTGTGATTCGCCGGGCAAAATAATGCAGCGACCCTGATTTTTGAATTTCCTCTTTTACGTTTCGATACGCTTCTTCAGTGGTGATTGTGCACAACCTTGGGACCCGGGATACCATATATAAAGAGGCCCTCATCCCCCTCGTCTCCCAGATCTTCTCTCCCCTCATCCCAAACATCACACACATCCATCTCTCATACTCGGATACAACAACAACAAAAAACAACATCACCAACTCATCCCCACTACCAACCTACCACTACCAAACCGCAAAGATGCAGTTCACCGCAGTCACCGCCGCCCTCCTCCTGGCCGCCTTCGCCAGCACGGCCTCCGCCTTACCCACCACCCGCAGAGACGCCATCACCATCCCCTTCATGAACGAGGACTGCCTCCGCACCTGCGCCGTCACCTGCGCCTCCAACACCGGCGTGGACCTCGAGACCTGCGCCACCCAGATCTGCGACTGCTTCGACAAGAAGGCCTACATCGACGCCAACCCCTTCGAGTTCCACCAGTTCGGCGCCCAGATTCAGGATTCCCTGACCGGCAGGAAGCCCGGGCAGTTCACCAAGGCGCAGAAGTCTCAGCTCGGTCTCGTCGAGGACAAGAAGAAGAACAACAACAAGAAGGAGGAGGAGAAGAAGGAGAAGCCCAACCCGGTGCCGTCCGAGTCCGTCGACGAGGTCAACAAGGTCAAGACTCCTCCCGTCGCGACTACGGACAAGGTTGAGAGTGCGGCTCCTACCATGACCAAGAGGCCCGCGAGGACAGTTGAGGCGAAGGAGACTGGGGCTCCTGTTGCCGAGAAGAAGAAGGAGGACGAGACCCGTGTTCTCGAGGAGAAGACCAAGGAGTCTGAGGTCAAGGAGAACGAGACCCGTGCTCTCGAGGAAGACAAGGTGGAGGCCGAGACCCGTGCTCTCAAGGATCAGGTCCAGGAGTCTGAGGACCCCTGCGACTGCGGGAAGAAGTGCAACGCAGAAGGCGTCTGCGTTTGCAACGAGTGTGTGTGGGTGGCCATGGCGGTCGAGACCCAGGAGGAGAAGAACGAGTCCAGCTAGAACTACTACTCACGTTCACAAGCAATACAAGGGACTTTCACTCATTATGGTAATCAAAGTATCTCAGAGCCTGAAGCTTTTCATGTACACACATCAGATATGGGATAAGAGGTTCGAAAAAGGAGGTTGTCGCACAATATGTCGATCGGAATCGAGTTTTCGGATCATCTCATAAGACTACTGCATACCTCGTGATAAAGACCGTCCAAGACCATGACGAATGAAGTATCGTGCCATGGCCCATGTCACCTAGGCGTTCGAAATCGCAGCTTAACCGCACCTTCTAATCTTCGATCATCATTCATCAAAGCAATCGTCGTAGTAGGTATTGGATATCTGTCTCAGCATGGATATCTCCCAAGCAACTCCGTATTCACGATAAAGTGACCTGACCCAATTTTACCCGTAATGTTCAACTCCACGCCAGGAACAAGAGCCAAAGCCACTTTTGACAACCCCAAGACCAGTGCCAACGCCACGACACCACAAAATTGCCATCTGCTGAACAAAGAACAGGAAATCATCCTCGTCAATCCTCCCCGCAAACAAATCAAGTACGAAATAATGACGCGACTTGAGCTTCACATCGCAGCCTCCGCCTTGACATGAACACTGCCATGAGCGCTAGCTCGAGCCTCGTCGTTGAGTTGAGAAGTCAGCAGATCGTCAACGTTGTCATCGTCACCTGCAAAAGGGTCGACCTCCTCGGCGGGGCCCTCATCTTCAGTTGCAGAAGACTTGGCGAACCACTGAGCCGTGTCATAAAGGATGGGAAGCATCTCGGCTCGCAAAAGGCGTTCAGAGCGGGGCAGGCCAGTCGGCTGGACATTGGAATCGATGCCTACTATGACAGCCAAGTAGTCGCGAGCCAACAGGTTATAAATGTCCTGCACCTGGATGGCCATGTCATCCTCCACACGCTTGCAAAGTTGCTGGAGCAGTACCTTGACGGTATCGGTCGCGTGGCGAAACATCGACTCGCGGTTCTGCTCGACATGAGTGACCATATGGTTCTTCATTCGAGCATAGGAGCCAGAACCTGTGCATTTGTTAGCTCGCAGAAATTTCGGAGGGGACAGTTGAACACACCTCTCTCCTCAACACAAATGTCATAGGCTGGCTGCATATCCTCTGTGATGATTGGATGGAAACCTCTGCTGGCTTCACGCTGGAGATCCTGAATGGTCGTGCGAAGAAGTCCGGGAATCTCCTTGAGTCTCGTAATGTGCGTTCGGAGTTGCTGGCTCAGCATGTTGATGCCTGCGAAGTTGGTACCGCGCTGCTGGGAAGTGGCGACGGCAGCACGATGGAAGTTCTCCAAAACCAAGCGGGCACTCATAGAAAAGCCCTCGAGAGCTCGGGGAAGATGTCGTTGAAAAGCCTTTTCCCACCCCGTTGCAAGCTGCTTGCTAATCGGTTCGAAAAGCTCTGCATTGAAGTCGCGAGGCCCAGATGCGCCAGAGTAAACACCGGCGCGGCGACAAGTTGCTTTGTACGTGGCCCAGAACATACCACCCATACTGCGGGGAGCGCCCCAGGACGAGGCGGTGGGGACAGCCGCGTCGGCAGCGGAAGGGATCGTCCGGTCGAAGTGATCGTAGATGCTCTCAGCCAGGGCATCCTTCATGGAAGTAAGGCACTCATCGACAGCTTTGGCGAACTCCTGCAATCGGTTAGTCAACGGTAAGAAAAGAAACATGTTCACTCCAAGCAAGCTATACATACCCTCTCGAGATCAAGCAATCGTCGGCGAAGCTGGCTCTCCTCGGTCTTCTTGTCTTTGTCACTCATGTAGGACAAGGTACCGTCATTGGTAGCCCACATCTTCATGGAGTTGAGGAGCTGACTCAGGTCGTTGAGGAACCGACGGCAAGTGGCAGCACGACCGCCTTCGGTGAGTTTCTTCGCATGCTGTTGAAGTTGGGGGATCTCGGTTTCGCTGACATCGCGAAAGCCATCGTTGTTGAAGTCATCCTTCTGCAGCCGGCCTCTCATCTTCTGGTAAGCACGGCTACTCACACAGAAGACAGGAAGGTTGCGCGCGACTTCATCGTAATCTCTGATGTCCTCGTCGGGATTGAAGGTGTTCTCGTCCTCTTCGATGGCGGCTTCTTGGTCCAACCTGCGACAGTTAGAATAGGGATAAACATCCTCGAATCACAGAAGACTCACTCTTTGATGCCCATGGCAAAATCACGCTGGATTGCACCCTTTGAGTATCCATTTCTGCCTTGGATGCAAACAGCCTTGACAGCTCCTAGAAGTCGGCTCTCCTCGGCCTGAAGCGGCTTCATCTGTTGTCGAATGTCCGAAAGGCTGGCATCGACTTCTTTGCGCAGTTGGCGGACTTCTTTCCGCTGGGCCTTCAGCTCTGCCAGCTTCTCCTGGATCTGATCATCGGTCAAAGGGACTCGGCCTTCGTCCTCAGGCTGGTTCTCCTTATCACTAGCTGATTCAAAGTCCGAGTCCGAGTCGCTATCGTCCGAATCAGATGACATGTGGTTCTTGCGGCTCTTCTTGGAGGTGGCGCCACGCTTGCGCTTTTTGCTGTTCTCCGAAGGAGCGTAGACGGTCTTGCCGTCGCTAAACTTTTGTGAGAGCTCGTCCCAGGTCTCCCATGTGCTGTCGAGCTGCTCGAGCTTATCGATGAGCTCTGCCTTCTCGTCCCTGCCGCTGGCCAGCTCCTTCTTAAGAGCTCCGATCTGGCGGCGGAGATCATCGATCTTGGTCCAAGACTCGGAAACGTCAGACTCAATGTCGAGACTCTCGGCAGCCTCGATCACCGAGATGTCGTCCGTCTTGGAGCAGATGAAGGTCACAGCGGAATAAATACCGTCGTACTTCAGCTGGCGTTTGAAAGAATCGCCAAGAAGAGACTTTGCCGTTTTGTCGTCGACAGCACGATTGATAGGAGCGACGATCCAAAGACCCGTGCAGGCTTTCATGTACTGCTGCGCAACAGCGGCTCGGGCAGCGTTGGAATCCTGGACACCAGGCAAGTCGACAATGACGGCGCCAGTCGACAAGGCATTGGCCTTGGTGTAAATCCGAACGACCTTGATCAGGGGCCAGTACTCCATGGAAACGTCCTTCTTGAGATGGTTGTTCTTCTCCTTGCTGTCGACGTAGCGCTGCATGCCGTTGTACAGCTCCTTCGCTGTGGTAGACCGCAACTTCTTGACGCTGCCCAGAACACCTCTGACGGCGGGCTCATTCGCCAGGCGCTCAGGACTGCTGTCGGCGATCATGTTGTTGGTCTTGGATGGGTAGACGGACTTGATCTTAGCATAAGCGATACCAGCCTCAGTGTCAGGATTGGTGCATTCTCGGGAGACATTGCCGTTGTCATCGAAGAGATCGGTGTACAGGGTCTTGAGCTCCTTGATCCAGTCGTCGGCAGAGATGAACTCGATCTCGGCACGGTAAAGCTCAAAAGCGTCGTCGGAGTAGTTGTAAGAGATCTCAGTGGGCGAAGCAGTGCAGGCTCGGAGGCAGTTCGTCGGAAGAAGTCTCTCCTCGTCCAGCAGAGCGTTGATGACGGAACTCTTTCCAGCGCCAGTGTTGCCGACAACGCCGACAATAGTCTTTGATGCCTTTGAGCGGGACTGTAGGTCCTTGATCGCGTTGAGCCATGCGGGAGCCTGGGTGTCGGACAGGGAAGCAGCGGCGGCAGCATTGAGAGGGAACTTTAGGTTCTCCAAGAGATCCAAGCCGATCTTGACACCCTCCTCGAGAACCTCTGGCGATGTCTCCTTAGCCCACTGCTCGAGAGGGTCGGGTTCTTGGTGCTGATTGATCTCGGGAATGCCGGATTCGGGTTCGCCAGTCGGGATGTCGTGGTCCACATTTCCAGCAGGAAGCTCTTGCTTCATCTCTGACAGCGCACCACCCTCGAGCTTGATTTGCCGGGGTGTTTCTGTGTCAGCACGAAGCGTTGTTGCCGAAGAAGGAGCAGTCACGTAGGGCGACTCGTGAGAACCCCTAGCATTCTGATTCTGCAAAGTTGCGAGGGGGGTCGCAAGCAGATGATTGGTATCTGACGGCTCGGGCTTGACGCCGCCCTCCATCTTGATTGGGGGCATCTCGTCCGATCTGGTGAGTGAGATGTGACTAAAAAAGTGAGCAGCCCAACACCAACAGGTGGTGCAGGCGGTTGGACGAAATAAGTGGTGAGAGGTAAGCTTGGGTTGCGGCTAAGGCTGGACCCATGAGGTAGGGGAAAAGGTGGTGCCACCGATGAATGATTGTAATGAAGTGAAATAATTGCAAGACGGCGATGCCGATCGACAACGTCAGTAAGGCCGACGCTGGAAGGTATCGACAACGTCAGTAAAGTCGACGCCAACACGAATGAACGTTTGTGAAAGTGACCAAGGGTGTTGTTGGCGATGGCGACCCTGGAGACGCGTTAAGTCGAGAGGCAATTAGTTTTCGCGTCGAGATGGGCGGGGCCGGGCAGAGACCAGTCAACCTGGAAGACGCTATCGATCCCTGCAGTGCCGATTACCAGTCGCCTGAGAACCCTTGCGAGTTCCTGCAGGAAAGAACGCAATTGGTGCCTTCCCCAGGAACGACGACGATGGCGCCCATGACTAAGCAGATTCCACAGAAATCTAATTTTTTCATTGGCTGATGGCCGACAAGAGGTCCGGAAAGGAAGGGACGACAGTTTGGCGAGCGCTCCTTCCCAACGTCTCGGGACTGGATTGCAGCCTATCACGATCGGTTTTGTCTAATTCTTTTGGCATTTTGTTTGATATTATTGGAGAAAGGTGAAGAACTCGGCAGAAATCAAGGCTGCCATATTTTTGAAAAAAGATGACATCAAAGAGAATATCCAATTATTTGTCTTATGCTGTTTGAGTAACGATTGTCGAAGCCCGGAGAAGAATCCGGATGAAGCTCCAAACAGCTTGTACTCCGATAAGGCTCTTCTTCCTGGTTGAATACTTGTGTGATAATAACGGATAATAAAGGCAATACTAGAGCTACCAGCAGCAAGGATAGGCATAGAGGTAGCGAGAAGTACGGTCAAGTTATCTCAGTTTTGGTGAAGTCGGTGAGCTCGGTGTAGCTGAAGCGGCTGACTCGCAACCTTCCCAATCCGTCGTGAGACAACCCCTTCTCCCCAAATCGCATCGTTTTTCCGTTCCGCCGGCGATTTATCCATCTCGGGTCTTGGTGTCGTCGGTACGAAGCTCGGAATTCCACAAACTCAATTGTTGATGCCAGCTTGCCCGCGCCAACCGCCCGTCGTTCATTCCATCACCAGCCCTCACCGACCACTGTGCCACATTCGCTACCAGTCCACATAACTTTCCCGCCGACGCCGACCACCTCACCTATTCATTCTCTCCTCCTCCAAAAAAAAAACCACTATCAAAAATGGGTTTCATCGGCGCCACCGCAACGGGCCTCGTGGCCGGCCTCCACGGCTACATCCTCGTTCTCGAGATGTTCCTCTGGACCTCGCCCCGCGGCCGCAAGGCCTTCCGCCTGACCGCCGACTTCGCCGAGAAGACCAAGACGCTGGCCGCCAACCAGGGCCTGTACAACGGCTTCCTCGCCGCCGGTCTGGCCTGGGGCGTCGTTCACCCCGTCGCCGAGTTCGCCGACCAGATCCGCCTGTTCTTCCTCGGCTGCGTCTTTGTTGCCGGCGCGTACGGCGGCGCCACGGCCAACCCGCGCATCTTCATGATTCAGAGCGTGCCGGCTCTGCTTTCCATCGGCGCTGTCTTGTCCGGCATCTAAGTTGTGCATAGGCAGACGGTTTTGGTATCAGTGCATCTTAAGCTCCCGTGGAGGAAAGTTGTCGCCTTCACGAGTGAGGTGTGGTTCGGACCTGTCTCACCGAGGTCTGATGCTCGTAGAGGAATATTCTTTGTGTGAATTGGTAGCGTTTAGCCTGTATACCTAGAATAGCGAAGATCTGTTGTTTCTCTCTCGTACTGAATGGAAAGCTGATATTAAAGCTCCTCTTTATCGCCACGTTGACGTCTCTCCTCAGCCCTCAGCTCCTCCTGAAACTTTGCCTGTCTATCAGTTCTTTCCTCCCGAAGCCGAGACTCTTCTCTGAACGCTTCCATCTCCCGGAGATGGTCCTGCTCACTGAATTCTTCCACAGGCTGGCTCGGATCAACCCAGCCATACGGGATGCGTTCCGTGGTGAGGTCCCGGTAGATCGGCTTAAACATAGGATTCGCCGCCATCTGTTTCCCCAACACCTTGCGCCCGGCCTGTATAATACCATCATGAAATATGGTTCCCCAGATTCCTTGAGCCTTCTCCGGGGCTGAGTCTATCGGCACCCAGGCCATAGGCTTGGGTGGGTTCTTCTTGAGGTACGCAACAGCGCGATCCCTTCTCTGCCGATACGCTTTGTACTTGGCCTCCGCCTCTGCCTTTTGGGCTGGAGTCAAGTCTAACTTGAATCCCTTCAGCTTCTCACTTGAATCCAGGGCCTTTCCGGTAAGAAGTGACGGAAGATACGTGGTATCGAATCTGGTCTCCCAACGCTCTGGCTTGTCCTTGGCCGAGGTGAGCGCCCACCAGTGGTCGTGTAGTCTCTTCACACGCTCATGCAAGTCGTGGGGCTCCTCTGGAATGGGGCTGTGGTGCCCGCCGCGGTTGGCGATGGCCATTATCGTCTTGTCGATGCCGGTTTCTTGGATGATGAGCCACGTAAGATCTTCCCGGCCTTCCAGACTCAGCAGCATGGTCGAGTAGGTGTCGTAGTCATCATCCGGCAATGACGTCGGCAGCAGGCCGTCTCTGAGCGTATCTCCGATGAGAAGGACTTCCTTGAGGGTGTCGTGAACCGCGGGATCTGACGGCAGGTCTCGCCAGGGATTGGTGGCAGAGAAGTCTCCCGGGGTGTCTCTGGAGAGCCCGAACGAGCCTAGCACGGTGGGAGACACCCAGATTACGAAGAGAACCGCGACGAGGCGGGTGAGCCAGCTCAGGAGCGAGCGCGTGAGTCCAGCCTGCGCCATTCTGAGCGGGGGCGGTGTGTGGGAGTTGTTTGGTGAGACGTCGTGCAACGAGACGGCGGGGAAGGGCGTGATGTGATATTGGAGGTTGAAGTTGAGTTCCAGGGGCGGTTTTAGTTATGAGATGACGCACTAGGCCCAATGGCGCCAGCCCTGGTTCGGCCGAGAGGGCATGATGAACTTGGCGATATGAATGCCAGATTCCACATATTGACGGACTTAGGACGACACGGTAACGGCGGGACACGTGGGAACAACAGGATGACCCAGCATTATTCTGCTCGTGCCGCCGGACACGGCGCCGGTCGCTCACAGATCAGGCGGCTCCGCGGTTCACAATGATGTTGTTGCACTTCTCACGTTTTTTGGTGTCACCAATCACGGTGCAAACGCAATGCACGGATATTTCACTGGCAAGTCGTCAAGATGACTGAGTAATGACACCGCCGCTAGCCCTCAGCAGCAGAGGCTATCTAGCCAGCCATGTTTGCGCTGAGAGGATAGCCTCAAGTGAGGGGTCGAACGTCGTCTCAATTATGGTGTCTGATCAGCGCGCTCTCATGCCCTCTGGGCAGACGAGGCTTGGAGGCGCGCCCATTTCCTGTCCAGAGACCGTTGGCTGCATGAAACAACCCAAAATAATAAACTCTCCCTTGAGCTTGTTCTGAAACTGTCGACCAATGACACCTGCAGAGGGAGTGAGGGATGCGAGTCGTGGGAGGAATGAGACTTTTGGACCAAGACATGGGATGAGGAGGCGGGCAGCATGCTGAGGCGTGGATGGAAGCAGTTGGTGGTGGTGCAGCATGCTTGGAGCAAATGGAATGGAACACCTCAGGAAAGAGAGAGTCAAGTTTAGGTGGCCTTACACAGAAACAAGAGGTCAGTGAGCCGAGGCGACCCCTGAATCGAAGCTTAGCCAGAATTTTAGCACCCGATCCAAGTGCGCATCCCAGCCCAAGCCCTGCACCACCGCCCGATTTTGACTGGCACGGGGGGGCCAACTTGCATTTTAAGGCTTCAACTTCAACGTCAGTGTGGGCTGGAGGGGTCACGTGTGACGTACCACGTGACGTGATGGCTGCAGGCGTCATTGGTTGCGGTTAAGAGCGCGGGATTGGGGGATATTCGTTACTTAACTGTGTCAGAGATGAGCCAACGAATTAATTCCAGAGTCTTGCATTTGGTAGCTATTCTGTAAATAAAAAGATATCGAAAAGAAAGAAGACACCCAAATTAAATCAATCCTATCCATGCATGCAACAGGCTGGTCAACGTCATCCGGCACTCACAAAAACGTGTGGCCGGCACCGGATAAACCCCGGGGGCTGCCTCCTCGGGCTTAGCGCGACTGGCCGTTCCCACTGTTCCTCGCCGGTCCACACCACCTCATCGTGGGTCTTTCCGAGCTGGCAATTTTCCTTTCAAACCTTTGATTTTTTCGACGAGACAGCTCATCCTCACCACCCTCGCACGACGACCGCATACGCTCGCGAACCGACCCCTCGGTCTCCCGATCAATCCATCGTTTAGCAAGCCTCCATCAAGCTATCTGTACCACGCATCACTCTCTGTGTATCATCATCACTCCCCGTCGCGCGCGACACACAAAACAACCTACCCGCAAAAGAATCCCTTTCGTGCCTTGTCCACGAAAGCGAAAGTCCGATCAGACCAACTACCGATCCCCAAAAAAATATTCCCACACAACCTGCGCGTTGCTGCACCCACTGCGACCCTTGCTCAACGCCAGCAAACTTCTTTAGCAACCCTTCTTCTTGCGCAACATCGACGCCAATCGCCATGCCTTCGACGAATCTACCATCGAGTTTCGCCTCAGCCGCCGCCGGCCAAAACGCAAACGCGAGAGCCGGTCGAAATGACGGCCGTGGAGCAAGCGGGGAATGGTGAGTCGCCGCCCGTGCTGAACCCTCTGCGCATCGTCACTCTGCACGAGGCTTCATTCCTGTCCGTCTCTGCAGTCGGTGATGATGTTGCATCTTCCATCACAGTGCCTGCATCGTGGTCGCCCGAGCCTGTGGAGTCGGCTCCATCTCTCAGCCTTGCCAAAACGTCACAGCACCATGACTTCACGTCCTTCGCCAAGCAATCACAGGCAGCACGCGCGCTAACACATACCACAGGGCTCGACGTGACGGCAGAATTAACGGTACCCTGACCTTCCGCCGACCCTCGACGACTCCCGGCCAACCGTCCCAACCCGCAGCTTCTTCCGAAAATGCTTTCGCCGCGTCAAACATCGACTCCAGTGCGATCCCGCAGACCCCGGGCGCCAGCAGCTACGACCCGAATTCCTCACAGTACCACAAGGACTCCATCCTTAACCTGTACAGGAACGGCGCGGCGGATTCAGACCCCTCCAGCGTGATAGAACCGGGATGGACTCCGGGACACACAAACGGAAACGCCACGCGGGGTTGGGGAAAGAGCAATAACAACCACAACTCTCAGGACCCTTCTTCGTGCTGGAACTCGCGCGGCGACAGCCATCCTGTCGGCGTCAACGGCATGACTGACGAGGAGGAAAAGGTGGGCCACCCTGACGGACCTTGCGGCCTGGGACATCATACTGACTTTTACAGATTTTCGCGTCAGATGTCAACTCTCCTCTGAAGCCCCCGCTCCAGAATAAGGAGGGAACCCAAGGGCCCGGACCTAATGGACGAAAAGCTTCCCTGTCCCACGGTAGCGCTGCTGGATATGGGTTGTCATCTCCAGTTTCTGCCTCCAGACCGGGAACGCGACGCCGCGAGACGACAGACACCTTCGGCGGCGGTCCCCTCGCTTCCCCTAGTGCGACGCGCTTTTCTCGCGACGACCCGGCGTTCCTGTTTGGCCGCAAGAACAACGACGTGAAGGAGCAGGATGCGGGCGAAGATGATGGTGCTGGTCAAGCGCAGACGCAGGCTCAGAGCAAAGCACCCTTCGGCAACTTGACTAGGAGCAACACGGCCGGGAATCCCACTATGGGCGCAAACATCAGCTCGCTCTGGGGCAACTCCCAGCCGGCGTCTGCTGGTGGAATGGGTGGTGGTGGAATGGGCAGCTTCGGTCAGTTCGCGCTGCCGACTCCCACTTCGACCATCGGCTCCGGAGCTCGAGGTGGAAGCCGCTTCGCCAATCTGATCAACAAGGAGAGCAGCGATAGTCCCGTCAAACCGAATGAAGCCTCCACCCCCGACGCGGGTCTGTCCTGGCGCCCACGCAACCGCACCGACACCGACCCTTTTGCGGGAGACGACGGCCTGTCTGGCAGCGCAGCCCTGGGAGGCGCCCAAGACACGAGCCCCCCGGCGGCGAACCCGAACCCTGCTAGCAATATCGGCATGTTCGAGACACCTGTCAAAGGCTCAACCGGTGATTTTGGCATGTCTGGGCTGAACCTCGGTCGCCAGCTGGATCAGGAACCCGGCCCCCAGAGCCCTGCCGAGACCAACCCGTACCGCAGCCCCCCTGCTGAGCGCGGCGAGTCCCAAGAAGACGCCGGCGCCGACAAGCAACACGGTGCGGCTGCTGGTGCTGAGCACAACCCCGCCTTCAACTCGATGCGTGGCTTCCCCACCCATCCTTTCGACGGCAGCGATCGCAGCCAAACCAGTAGCGCTGGCGCCCGAGCAGGCTATGCATCCGGCTGGCCAGTTCCTCTGTCGACCGGCACTCCTGATAGAGAACGGGGTGGCTTCGGAGGTGTTTTCGGCAGCTCTCTGTTTAGCCCCATGGGCGCTGAACTTCAGTCTCCCGGTCTGTCGAGCATCGGAGGTGGCGTGTTCGGCCCTCCCAGTGCTGGTGGTCTTGGGGGAGCAGGAACCATTGGCCGTAGCAAGCTGCATTCCCTCTTTCCCCCGGCCATGCAAGCTCAGATGCAGGGCCACGAGCAGGAGAACCTCAGTGATTCACTTCCTGACCTGCGTCAGGCTACAGCTCTGGGTGCCATTGGTCGCAGTAACTTCGCCACTCAACCTCGCGACACGGGCAGTCCTTTGCGCAGTGGTCGCGGCGGCATCTTTGAGGAGATGTTCCCCTCCGACCCTACCCGCACCCACAGCGGCTTTGGAGGTTCTGACCTCTCTCATTCGGCGGCTGCTGCTGTTGGACACCCCCAATCCTTTACACCTGGAGCTTCCACCGGCGCCGAATACGGCACGACCCATCGCCAGATGGTCATGCCCGATCGCATGCGCTGGGTCTATCTCGATCCTCAGCAGCAAGTGCAAGGACCTTTCAGTGGATTGGAGATGAACGACTGGTACAAGGCCAACTTCTTTACGCCCGATCTCCGAGTCAAGAAGGTTGAGGACCATGATTTCGAGCCACTCGGTCAGCTGATCCGTAGGATCGGAAACTCTAGAGAGCCATTCCTCGTTCCTCAGATCGGCATTGCCCATGGTCCTCCCACCCAGGCTGGTCCCTTCTCTCCTGGCGGCAGCACCGGCGTTATTCCCCCTCTCAGTGGTGTCTTCCCTAGTTTCGGTAGAACCTTGACTGCGGAGGAGCAGAACAACCTGGAGCGTCGGAAGCAGGAGGAACAGCAGGCCATGGCCCAGCAGCGGGATTTCATGATGAGGCAGCAGGCTATCACGAGAATCCAGAACCAAGGCCCAGGTGGTGTCCCCGGTCTTCACCACCAGCACAGTGCTCACAGCCTGCAGAGCCAACCTAGCTTCGGCAGCATCTCGTCTCCGATCGGTGCTCATCCTCAACAGCCCCCCATCGGTGGCGGCGTTGGACCTACATCCGGCTTCTTCGATTCTGCCCCGCAGAGCGCCGCTCAGGCTCCAGTTGGCGCTGGACTGGATCATTTTCGTGAGGACGAGCTGGCAAACCTGAACCCTAGTGAGCGCCAAATGCTTGCCAACGTTCAAGCCCCTACCAGCCTGTCGAGTATTTTCCCGCAGCAACCCATCGGCGCGCCCGCCAATGACACCAACCTTCGCGGCAACCTTCCCAGCACCGATGACCTGGACAAGGATGAGGAGGGCTTCAGCGAACGTCTCAAGCAGTTTGAGGACCTTCGCGCCGAGCATGAGGCTGAGAAGGCCCAGGAGCTGGCTCAGCATGCGGAAGAGCATGATGACTATGGAGCTTCCGCCCCGGGCCATTCTAGTCACTCCGTGATGCAGGAGCAGTCCAGGTCACCCGCTCCCGGTATCAAGGAGATTATGGAGGAGGAGCAACAGCTGTCTCTGACTCAACAGGTCCAGAAGGCTCAGGCTGCTGCTGCCGCCGCCAAGAACGCCGCTGCTGGTCTCCCCATGCCGTTCCCTCCCCCGCTGCCCGCCACTGGCACGCCTCTTCCGGCCCCTACCGCCCAGCGCGTCCGCTCCAACCTCCCGGAGCAGTACAACCGCTCCCAGACCGGAACGCCTGACACTGGATCGGCCACTGAGCCGCCCCCGCTGGCTCCGTGGGCCAAGGAAGCCGCGAGCCGCAAGGGTCCCAGCCTGAAGGAGATCCAAGAAGCCGAGGCTCGTAAGGCGGCCAAGGCTGAGGAGGTTGCTGCTGAGCGTCGCCGCCAAGCTCTCGAGCAAGAGGCCGCCGCTCTGAGGGAGCGCGAGAAGGCTGCCTCTTCCGCGACTGGCCTGCCCACGACTAGTACTTGGGGCAACGGATCGCCGGTCGGAGCTGCCAGCCCTTGGACCAAGCCCGTCGCCACCAAGTCGACTCCCGGAACCAGCACTCCCGCCAAACAGAAGACGCTCGCCGATATTCAGCGCGAGGAGGAGGTTCGCAAGATGAAGGCCAAGGAGATTGCCGTCCAGACTGGCATCGCGTCCGCCGCCGCCGCCGGCAAGCGTTATGCCGACCTCGCCACGAAGTCTAACGCTGCTCCCGGTCTTGGTCAGCCGAATGCTGGCGCCCCGCTCACTGGAACCGGCTGGGCTACCGTCGGAGCCGGTGGTAAGATCAAGGCGCCCACCGGACCTGCGGCCCAGACCCGGTCTGTTAGCGCCGCCGGTGTCAAGCCCACCCCCGTTGTTGCGAAGCCAGTGTCCAAGCCTGTCGCCGCTCCCATCGCCGCGCCTACTAAGACCGACATGGCGATGGATGAGTTCAACAAGTGGTTGACTCGGGAGCTCTCTCGGGGCATCACTGGTGTCGACAGTAAGTGTTCCATGCCCCGCGATACGATGTCGTTGCTAACCAAACCATCAGTTGACACTTTCGCCGCTACGCTCCTGATTCTGCCGCTTGAGAACACCATTATCGCCGATGCAATTTACGCAAACTCAAAGACGATGAACGGACAGCACTTTGCCGAAGAGTTCATCCGTCGCAAGAAGCTCGCCGACAAGGGTGTGGTCGAGAAGCAAGGTACCGGCGGTGACAAGTCTGGCGGTTCTTCCAGCGGATGGAACGAAGTCGCCAAGAAGGGCGGTCACAAGGAGCCTACCCCTACCGGCGATGCCGGAATCCAGGGTGCCGGCTTCAAGGTTGTGCCCACCCGCAAGAAGGCGGGCAAGAAGGTCTAGAAGAAGCTGATGTAAGAGGTGCTGGACTGGAGAATAAGCAGGCGTGGGCGTAATCATGTACCTTCAGCAGGACGGATGTTCTACGAGGTTCGGACAGCGTTTTGTCGTGTTTACCATTCTATGTTCAGCTCGCATCGAATAGCGCCGTAGTGTCAGCGATAGGTAGCATTGTCAGAAGCAAGTGTTTTTCTCGCGATATCTGGACTATTTCATGAGGCGGGTGACGATGCATGTAATTGATGCTCGGTGAGGGGTCGGTGAGTTGCTTATGTAAAAGTGATGGCAGGTGAAAATTTGCCCCGCCCCCACCATGGGAATTTCGATTTCACAGGGCATCAAAACACCAGAAAAACACGCCGTTTGACTCACCGGACGATCGAATCGAGCCGGAAATTACTGCTTCGCTAGCGGTCGCACAGCTTCTGACGCCGAAATTTTGCTCACGTGTTGTATCGCTGATTTTGCCGGATTCTGGGATTTTCGAAGGGTTTCCAAACGCAAAATACCCCGCCGCGGGGCAGAGAGCACTGAAGTCTCACGATATCAAGCGAAATACGTCAATTTGCGACAACGCGAAAACCATGACGACAACGCAAGCCAACGGCAACCAGGCCTCGGTCTCTCCTTTCTCCAAGGTCAACGATGGCGCATACATCGACGTTCTCACGTCTCCCGTCGCCAAGGATCTCATTGCCAAGTTCACCTCCAGCCTGGCTGCACAGACCAGCGATTCCTCCACCGGATCAAAAGAGTCGCTCTCCGAGGATGAGATCGCCGTCGGTCTCGCCGCTCTGAACGCATTTTTGCAGTCAAACGTCACAGGCCCCGTACTGGAAAATGTCGACGCAGCTGAGAAGCTCTTCACTGAAGCCCTGGCAGCGGCAGACGCCTCTGCGACAGACACCCTCAAGGTCCTGAGGAGGAAGAGCTTCAAGACCCTCGAGGTCGACGGCGTCTCGCCGTATCCTTACATCCCCAACATCGAACTCTTCGCCCTCGCGCGTCACATCTTCGCCGAGACATCCTCCGCCAGCGGCGCCCTCATCACTCTGTCCGACTCCACGCGCATCAGCCTGCCGTGGACCCGTCTGAGAGTCGACGTCTGGCATTTCAAGCTCCTCAGTCAGCCCTCCCTCGGCCCAGGATCCAACTTCGCCAAGGCGTCGCAGTGGATCGACGTGCCGACGCTCGCGGAGCAGATCCAGGTTGGCTTGGACGCCGTGCGCAAGCAGATTCTCGACGAGGACGTGTGGTCGACGAGCGAGAATGGCTGGTCTCGCGAGGACAAGGTGCAGTTCCTGCTCGAGGCTGCGAACACGCATATCATGCTGGGTCGCGACGATAAGGCTCGCGAGGCATTGAAGGAGGCTACGCAGATCAACAACTTCGCGTACGCGCTTTCTGGTGCGTTGGGTAAGAGGACGAAGTTTCAGGAGAAGAGCACCAGTCAGCTTGTCGTTCTCGCCAAGAGCGATGTCCCGGCTGAGACTACGGATGAGGAGGACGATGCTAAGCCTGAGGCCGTGGCGTTGAACGACGATACTCTTCTCGAGGAGATTCAATTTTCAAAGGAGGCGAGTGGAAAGCATGGCGAGTTGGCAGCAACAGGATCAGGTCTTCCTCCAGCCTTGGCTGATCTCTCCCCCGACGACCAACCGCGTCTGTCCCCTCTCGACCAAATCATTCTTCTCACAGAGGCTACTCTCAAGGACACCTTCTCCCCCGTCGACACCCTGACGTCCGAAGAAGTCCTGCCCTATGCCGTCCGCGTCGTTTCGGATAAGTCCACCAACTGGCAAATCTACACCCAAGCCCTCCTCGTCCGCTCCCGCATCGAGGTCCACCGCAGCAGAACAGTCGAGCGCGGTGTCCTCCAAATGCAAGCCGTCGTCGACCAAGTCGTCGTCGACACCTCCGAAGCACCAAAGGTCAAGGCCGAAGACGTCGCCGACGTCGACGTCCCCGCCATCGCAGTCTCCTCGCCAGACGCGCCCGCCGCTCAAGCACCGCAGCCGGAGAAGCCCACCTCCTTCTTCCCGGCCGCCAAGGACACCGAGACCGCCCCCGCAAACGTCCGTCTGCAGTACATCCACGCCCTCTCCTCCCCGCCCCGCTGGCATCTCGAGTCCGAGCTCGCGTACTCCTGGGCCGGCGTCGGCTCCCTCGTCTCCGCGCTCGAGATCTTCAAGCGTCTGCGGCTGTGGGCCGAAGTCGCGCTCTGCCTCGCCAGCAGCGCCTCCTCGGAAGACGAGGACGGCCGCGGCAGCGGCGGCGAGCAGAAGGCCCGCGCCATCGTCCGCTGGAGACTCTTCCACAAGACGGGCGCCCCCGTCGTCGAGAACGCCGATCCCGACGCCGAGGACCTCGACGGGGACGTCACGTACCTCAAGCCGGCCGATTTCTCGGGTCCCGAACGCGTGCCGCCGCCGCCCAACGCGCCGAGGTTGTTCTGCATCCTCGGCGACTTGGAGAACGACCCCCAGCACTGGGAGCGCGCGTGGGAGATTTCGAAGCACAGGTTCGCGAGGGCGCAGAAGTCCCTGGGCGAGCACTGGTTGGCGCAGAAGGACTGGAACAAGGCTCTGGAGGCGTATCAGGCGGCGACGAAGTGTAATCGTCTCAGTCCCGAGCTCTGGGGCAGGCTGGGCGATATCAACCTGCGCATGGGCAACTTCCCTGACGCCGCCGAGGCGTACAGCCGTGCCATCGGCGCCGCGGGAGAGGTTGTGGGCGGAGAGGATGCAAGGACGTGGAGTAACCTCGGCTCGTCGCTTTGGAGTATGTATCTCGAGACGGTGGAAGACGTGAAGAAGAAGCTTCTCGACGAGAAGAACAAGAAGGGAGACGATGAGGAAAAAGAGGATGACGAGGAGCCGACACAGCAGGAGACGGACCTCAAGGACCCCGCGGCTCTGTTGTCACAGGCCTTGGCAGCGTATAAGCGCGGCGCGACGATTGCGCAGGATAACTGGCGGATCTGGGATAACGTCCTCACTCTTGCTTCGAGGATGAGGCCGGTGGCCGTGCTGGATATGGTGTTGGCTCTGAGGGCCATCATCAGGATCCGCAAGAGCGAGGCCGCCCTCGATGACGATGTCTTGAGAGCTCTGCTCCAGGAGTCATTGTTGACGAAGGAGAAGGTGGAGGATACCAAGGAGGGCATATACACGCCCCCTCGCGGCACCGTGGAGAAGGCCGTCGTCGCGCTGTTTGAGGAGATCGTGGTACCGCTTATCACCACTCGCTCCGAACTCTGGGAGTTGATCGTCAAATTGAGGGTCTGGAGGAGGGATTACGCCGGGGCTGTGGATGCCGCGGAGAAGGCGTGGCGTGCTGCCATGGGCGCTGGTGCGGGTGGCGGACTTCTTCCGTCATCGGCCGGTTCTGGGGGCACCGATCAGAGCAAGAACTGGCTCGTCGACGCGGGCGCTTGGAAGGAGGTTGTCGCGAGGACCGATGAGCTCGTCAGTGTCCTCGAGAACTTTGGATCTGAGGTCGAGAGCGTCGGAAGCAAGTGGCGAGGCAAGGCAAGGAATGCGGTACGGAGTGTCATGAGCAGGGGCAAGGAGAGCTGGGAAGGAAGCGAGGAGTGGGCTGTTTTGGAGGGTTTGATGGAGGGTTTGAAGTTGTAGATACGATCTTGTTGATCAATGAGGTTCACGCCGATGATGGATAGAAAGGAATACTTGCCCAGGGTGCAACCTGGTTCTGCCACGCAACTCAAGCTTCAATCATCCGTGCGGTCCCTGAGTCGGGAAGTGGACAGAGGAGAAAAGGGAACAGAATGTCCCATGTCTGTGGACCAGCCGCGCGGAACGTGTTCGAGCCGCATCCTTGCTGCATGTTGGTTTGGCGTTTCGCAACGACACGCCTTGCTTCGCATTATAAGATGACAGCCACCCGTCTCCTCCCACAAGCTTCCCTTTGACTTTCTCCTGTCATTGTGTTTTCCCCACAGCGTTCATCTTTTTCACACCACCTGTCCTACCGCACACGATGCAGCGCCCTACCCTCGTCCTGTTGTTGAGCAACGCCCTTGCAGCCTGGGCCAAGACGCCCGATGGCTTCGCGCCCGCGTCCAACGTCGACCTCGTCGTCGCATATGGAGACCAGTCTGCGCTCAATGGTGTAGATCTGGCCAAGAGCCGTAAGTATCCCTCACTCTACGAAGCAAACCTAGACTGACACCATCACCAAAGTCACGGCACAAGAGCCAACAGTCGGCACAACCGAGCCCCTAACCGGAAAGTCCTACGCAATAATCATGGTCGACGTCGACATCCCCACCAACAACCCGCCTCAAACCGGCACATTCCTGCACTGGGCCCAGACAGACCTCACCCCGGCCGGCGCCCCGACGACCCTCAAGCTCTCCGACGGCACGCAGCGCTCCATCAACACGCTGACCACCAACGCGGCCGCCATCGCGGACTACAAGGGCCCCTCGCCGCCGGCGCGCGTCCCGCTCACGCACAAGTACATCGAGATCCTCGTCGACACGAGCGAGATCACGCCGGACGGCACCGCGGCCCTGCAGACGCTCTCGACGCGCGGCGGGGTGGACGTCAACGACGTGCTGACCAAGGCCGGGCTGGCGAACAAGGTCGTCGCGGGCAACTTCTTCACCGTCACGAACCCCGGCCCCGCGGCGAACGCGGAGAGGAGGACGAACGGGACGGGTACCACGACGCCGAGCGGGGGCATGACGAAGCCTTCTGCGGCGCCGTCTGGGATTTCGATGGGGTTCAGGGGGGTTAGTGTGTCGGTGGGAGCTGCTGTCGTTGGTGTTTTTGGTTTCTGTATGGCGGCATTCTAAAGCAAGGCGCATTTTGGCGACGGGCAGCTGTGGATCGGGATGATAAAAAAGCTTGGTTCATTGTGTTTTTACTTGGCTAAGAGCGGTTATTGCCCGACGAGGAACGCGCGGCGCAGGGTGCTGCGTGTTCGTTTCCTGGACGGTTTGGTCCGTCTCAGGTAATGTGCGTAATAATACAAGCTCAGTTTCATCTCATCTTCGGAGGCGTGTCCCCTGTTTCACAACGGCCGGGACTTCGATCGGCACGGACATGCCGAAGTGGGGCCGTGGGTATCCGATGCGGGGCGGAGCTCCGCCGAGAACGACTCGTTCACAACACGGGAGGACTTGCTCTGCTGCAATGGTTTTGCTTTATGGAGAAGTTCTGTGTCCGTGGCTCTCATTGCGGTTATAACCGAAAGGTAGGAGAAGAATGCATTTTGACATTGAAACGCCCGTAATTCTTCGCCAGCGCATACTTGCAGATGAGGCGTCCTATCAGAAGATAGTAGCCGCACGCAAGGCCACACTGGCTGACATCAAAGCAGCGGGGTAGTCTAGGCATCCATCTTGGAATACCGTCGATGGGTAAAGTGGAAAAAGTGAGGGACAGGCCGAATGACTTCGGCGGCCTGATTTTACACGTTAATTACGCGGAACATTGCCTCTTATCTGAACACTAGGGATCTTTCAAGTTCTGTAACTCATATCTAACGGATATGTCTCTTCAAGCATTCTAAGCCGAGATCATTTCGTTCCGATCATGGCTAATTGGCACTCAGACTGCGTTCTACCTGATGTCTCCGTTGGGGATGACATGATTCCACGGTGCCGAACTTGCGAATCGTCCGCACATTGCCTTCTCGATGACATAAGAGAGCATTCCAAATCACTACCTTCAATCCCCCTCAACGAAACGTATGGTGACATGAATCTTCATTGGCCATCTACGGTACCTTATCGGCAACTGCCTCGGCCTAGTTCATTGCAAATCAACTCACGCTCTCCCAGCGACGACAATAAATCATCGCAGGGCATTGGATACCATACGGAACACACCCGAGCACGCATCGAATTCAAGCAGAACACGTACAAAGATAATCTGGCATCTGATCAGTTTCGCCTAGCTGTGTTTTCCGCGCCGCCAAATGGAAATCGACGTTATCCAATCCACCTGTCTCTGGAAACGTACAATGATAATCGTTTTCCTGAGTACGATGCAGTATCATACACATGGGGCGGTGAAGGTGACGATTCTCGCCGGTCAGTATGCCATATACACATTATCAGCTTTCTCTAGAGCTCTGACAGAGTTACCCTGAAGAAGCCCATAGCCTGTTGGATGAGGACCTGACAATAAGTCACAGTTGCCATCCTATTTACATCGGTGATCGATGGGATGTGATATTTCAAACCCAAAACTGTTGCGCCATGTTGCGGTACCTCCGTCCTGTACGAGGAATACGGACGCTCTGGATCGACGCTATCTGCATCGACCAGAGCAACGCGGAAGAAAGAGCAGTTCAGGTGTCTAAAATGGGCAATCTTTACACTAAATGCTCACAAGTATGGGCATGGCTCGGCGAGGATCTTGTCAGCAACATGGGGCAGATGCCACCGGCTAGGCGTTGGCTTCACGAGCTTGATACAAGGTAAGTTTATCCGCACGGTATTGCTGCCCGATATCGTTCTCACGCGAAAACAAAGTTCTTCTTCAGGGTTCACGGCTATGACCATAACCAAGTTGCTGCAAAGGCGGTATTTCAGCCGGCTTTGGGTGATCCAAGAGTTGACATTAGCTCCCCGCGTCGTCGTTCCGCTTGGAGACACCGTCTTCTGGGCAGACCGCATCACCGCCAAGAAGCTCAAAAAGCCTACGTCGAACCGTGGAGAGCTCTCTTGGGGGAAGACAGCTGCATCGTGGTTCAAATACGTTGCTCGAGGACAGAAGAAAAGCATAAAGCTATGGGATCTGATGGTGTTGACCTCCAAGTCGCATGCTTCAGACTTCCGAGACAAGTTGTACGGCGTACTTGGTCTGCTACCAGCGAATCCCGACGCAGCCGACTTCATGATACGTGCCAATTATACAATCTCCGCTCGACATATGGCCATTGGTTTCTTCGCTCACTGCATCGTCAACGACCACAAACTTGAACTATTCTATTCTGCAAGAGGAACTTCCGCAAGTCACGAACCATCTTGGATGCCCGCATGGGAGACCCAGAAAGATTGGGAGCAGATATTCAAGCCGCCTGTTGAGCTTATATCAGATTTCCACAAGTTTGACGAGGCGGTTTGTAAGTACGGAGATGATCTGGCTGATCAGAAACTTAACCGCCAAAGGGATACCCGCTCTGCCCATGGAATAGTCGTGAGGAAAGGAATACGATTCACTGCAATTCAAGATCCCGCAATAGCTTACGACAATTGGACGCCACTCACTGATTTAAAAGAGAGAAACGACTTTCGACCGCCTCCTTGGCATTCGGATTTCGGCATGGATCCCAATACTGCCTCCATCTCTCTATGGCTAACGAAAATTGCCTCCATTAATTCGATTCCAACGCCGGTGAAAGGCAGCTGTTTTAAATATATGGCTCTTTACGAAATGAAGCATGACGCCACAAGGTCAATTTTCGTTGCCAGCCGGCATCCTCTCGAAGAGATTGTCCAGCAAGGCGACGAGATATACGTCTTGAACCCTGACCAGCACCAGGATGTTTCCAAGCAGCAGAAGCTTGTTTACATGATTCTGAGAAGGATAGAAGACCAAGCGTTCAGATTGGTAACCTGTTTCTCTTACCTTTGCTTCAACACCATCGTGAGCTCTGTGCTCGACAGTACAGTACAGGAACGGCCGATAGCAGAGATCCAAGAAACCCTGGCCGAGAGAATGAGTTCTGTTCAGGGGCATTTGAACAAGCTGCTATACGAATACCGAACTTCGTCTGGAGATTGGATTTGTCACACACTTCGACAAGCTTTGCCCGGACACAGGACTACAACTCTATGGGAGGTCCTCCCCGTTCTGACCGGCAATGAGACTTTCCATTGGCTGCACAAGAACTCCAAATGCACGAGACTGCAAAAAGGAGTTGCAGATGGTTTCCTGGAGTTCACGTACGGGCCTGAAGACTGGGAGCTCGAGAAGGATGTTTACCTAGTGCCTAACCTAGGTATCAAGTGGGAGTGGCGTACGCAGAATCGACGCTGGAAAGGCTTCCCTCAGCAGCGCGTAAGCGACATTTGGAGTGATATACCACTAAACCAGGGAGAAAAGGTTTGTTTGAGATGCTCGATTGAGAACATCAAAAGCCAGCTTGAAAAGTTGGAAGACGTCGTTAGAATTAGGGCATTATGGAAGACCGGACTGCTAGGAGACACCCTCGATAGTTTTGAGTCGAGGCTCTGAGCGGGCCCAACTGAAGAGGACTACAATACGCCCTCGCCGGTACGAAGGGAAAGCCTACTCAGCAATGCGAACTTGGACGGCGGCACATATCAAGTCATTATCATGTGACTTCCAAGTTTTCATACAACAGCCAAGTCATTCGCACCCAGAGTCGTAATCATCTATCAGGATAGCACCAAAATGTCGCGGGGAAAAAGGTTGAGATATCAAATTTGATCAACGTACGTCTTTTATCTCTCGCCTTGCATACACTGCATGTGATGTTCAAAAACTCATGCTTTCTGCGACATACTGCTTCCCGCTGCCAGTATTGTTATTCTGAGTTCCAGAGCCCGTGTTGTTGAACTTGATGGTGTGTCTACCACCGGGAGAACCTTCATCTACAGCAATCGGCTTGTCTTGTTGGATGTACCGATCCAAAATGGCCCTCGTAGCGGCTGCAGACGTAATGGCTGCATAAGGCTGCCACCTTTTATTCTTGTGGCTATCTGCATAGTCGCAAACTCCCTTCACGACAACGCACAGGATTTGATCCCACATGCCAGCACCTTCCATTTCGAAAGCGATGATATTATGCTCCTTAGCGAGTCTGTCGCGATGCTCTCCAGACTTCATGACGGTGTCGCCAGAGGCTACGTTGCCGACATGAAGCCGAGGAAGTTGAGTTTCTGAGTCGCTGAGACGGTCTCTCGATATCGTATGCTCTGAGTCACATCCAAGGTCCGTACAACATGCGCTAATGGCTATATCACAGCCTCCAGCGTCGCTACATCCACAGCGTCTTGTTTTCCGGTCTTGATGGAGGTGGAGATAAGTTGACCTGAAGAGCTTATCCTCTATCGTTGCTGGGCGAGTATACCGAGTTCGACGGCGCTTGACAATGGCCTTCTGTTGAATAGAATCAAGAACGTCGAGTGCTCTGTCCTCAAGCCGACCCAGTCCAAACTCGGTCTCGAAAATCCCGATTAAAGAACGGATATCCAAACTAGCCCGACCAAGATTGTCGTCAACGGTATCCTTGCGGGTGAACTTGTCTGGGTATTGTCGTCCAAGATCGAACTGGACGACCCGTTTGCTAACCACAACGTCTCCAAGAACGATGCCATTAACCTCGCCTCCATGACTGGGAACGCCACCGCAAACGCCGGCCAGGATGGCAATCTTCAATCCCGTATAGCTAGAGCGCAGAGCTGCAGCTGCTCCTGCCGATCCGACTTTGCCCATGTTGGGAAGCAATGCTAGAACAACGTTGTGGCGTCCCATGCGCCCGGTAGTGTAGCTATTCGGGTCATTCTGGGCTTTTCCGAAGCGGTCGCCGTCCTCGTCCCAAAACTCATCAAATATCAGCGTGGCTGCATCGTATTCGAGAGGTAAAGCGCACACCACGGCGACCTCGAATGCTTCGCGGCGCTGAGGGGGAGCAAAGTTAGCCATCCAGGCGACCTTCACTTTGGAGTTGATATTGTATGTTTCCCGGTTTGAAAGGCTCAATTGGAAGAGATGGCATTGAGATCGTTTGCAGGCGAGTCTCGAAAGATTTGAAAAGACCTAGCCTGGTTTCACGAAGAGCGGCACATGATGAGTGTCTTGGAAGTCTGTAGACTAGGCACAATAAGTCAATTGTAATAACTCCGCCTCATTATCCGGCACCGAGGTGAAATGCTCGGTTTCCATTGGGTTAACCCTCAGACAATTAGTGTGGTTCCACCGGCCGTTGGGTATGGCGAGATATCAATAACCAGATTATAAGGGTGGCTGCATTGTATTGCGCGGCATATTGCATTTGGTGGTTCCACCGGGCTGACTGCATATGCACTTCCCCTCACTCGACAAGGCGGCGAGGCAACCCGTCGATGTTTTTAAACTGGCATCCGTCGCCGCAGCTTCTTCCTTCTTTCGTTTCCTCAACGGCGACTTGCTACAGACACTACACAGCGATCATTGGCGGCTCTGCGCCGCTCGTCCGGCCAAAAGGGACTATTGCCGTGGATACCCAGAATCAGTCGGTGAATAAGCCCGCCATGGTATTTTCCAACTATGGCACTGGGACTCAGAATAACAACACTGGCTCTGGTAATCAGTACAATGCAATCAACTTTTGTGAGTTTATCGAAGTCCGGGGTGATTCACAATGAGCTGCTAACGTTTTATCCAGTGGCAGAGAAGAAGTCAAGCAGTTTTCTTGCCGATCTACGAGTCACCGACCCACGCGATGACAAGATCCGAATCGAAGACACGAAAGGGGGCTTACTTCGTGATTCATACAACTGGATTCTCGAAAACGAAGACTTCTGTCAATGGCGAGAGGATACACAGCGTCGCCTACTTTGGATCAAAGGCGATCCTGGGAAGGGAAAGACCATGCTGATGTGTGGTACTATTGACGAGCTGAGACAGAGCGGAGAGGAGCCCATACTTTTCTTCTGTCAAGCCGCCGACGAAAGGCTCAACACGGCGACATCAGTTCTTCGAGGGCTTCTCTATGCGTTATTCTGCCAATGGCCGTTACTCACAGAATCCTTTCTCGGTAAATACGAAAACGCAGGAAAACAATTGTTTGAAGACGCTAATGCTTGGAATATTTTACGCGGAATGATGATGACCACAACGTTGCACGAAAGCCTCGAAGGCGTCGTCCTCGTCATAGATGCTTTGGACGAGTGCACATCAGGTCTTGATCAACTCCTTCGCGTTATCACAAGTCTTTCGGCCCAAGTCAAGGTCGTTGTGTCTAGCCGCAACTGGCCAAGCATTGAGAACGGCATGGCAGCTGCGACAGACCAAGTCCGAGTTTCTTTGGAACTAAATGACCAGGCTATCTCCGCAGCCGTGGATAACTACATCTGCCACAAGGTTAAAAGGCTTTCAGCATTGAAAGGGTACGACGACACCATGCAAGAAGATGTTCGGGCTCACTTAACCTCAAATTCCAACGACACATTTCTTTGGGTGGCCTTAGTATGCGAGCAGCTGGCAGAGCTCAGAAGCTCGAGACGACACACACGCATTCAGTTAATGCAATACCCACGGGGCTTAGAGTCACTCTATGACCGGATACTGAGCGATATTCTGAATTCCCCGGACAAGGACACATGCATACAAGTCCTGGCTCTTACATCCGTGGTACACCGACCACTACACCTCACGGAAATGACGGCTTTTCTTGATCACAAGTCCCCGCTGGAGGATATAATTAGCGAGTGCAACTCAATTCTCACTGGTAGAGGAGGCTTCGTCTGCTTTGTTCATCAGTCGGCAAAGGACTTTCTGCTTGGGCCAGCTATTAGCAAGGTAATGCCTTTTGGCATAAGTCGCATACATGATTTGGCATTTTCGAGGTCGCTAAAAATCATGTCACGCACTCTTCGGTTCAACATGTGCAACCTCGAATCACCTGGAACGTCTGTTGAGGATGCGCCGGTCGACGTTGATGATCCACTGAAATCGATTCGGTACTCATGTTTTCACTGGATCGATCATCTTAGCGATATCAGGCCAGCACGAAACGAGCAGCTCGGTCAGGTCCTGGCATTCATGCGGAAATATTACCTTCACTGGGTGGAAGCCGTGGGCCTATTACAAAACTACTCTGAGGGCGTTGACTGTATATCCAAACTCTTGTGCGCTATTCAGGTACGTTGAAAAGGACCTGGACACACTTAATGCACATATTAAATATGATTAGGACTCGTCGGAATGTGCCAAAGAGAGACCATTCGTCCAAGACGCTCTTCGTTACATGCGATACTTTCGTTCTGGGATTGAGCAAAGTCCACTTCAAGTCTACGCAGCGCTTGTATTCAGCCCGAAGCGAAGTATCATCAGGACACACTTCCGACAACATGAACCGGACTGGATACTTACAAAGCCGGAGGTAGACGACGAGTGGACAGTTTGTTTGCAAACACTGGAAGGCCACAGCGACCAGATAACATCGACCACTTTTTCGCCGGATGGACTTACACTGGTATCTGCGTCATTGGATGGAGCCATCAAGCTCTGGAGCACAGCCACGGGTCAATGTCTGCAAACAATCAAATGTGACAGACCAGTCATTACTGCAGTGTGCTCTCTAGATGGGTCAATGATTGCGTCGGCTTTGGATGACGGAACCATGAGACTTATTGACACATCCACCGGTAAAGAAATCGTCACACTCGAAGACGAGTCTATTCGCTTTTCAAAATCGACAGTTATGGCAATTTCTGGAGATGGTACGCGTGTAGCTTGTATCAGGGCGGGCAGCATTCAGCTCTGGAGTACGGCCGAACCCTACAATTCGCAAGTCCTTCGCGACTACACTGGATGGGCCATCTCAATAGCCTACTCCCCCGATGGCACCACTATAATCTCTTCACATCAAAACGGAACCTCTAGACTTTGGAACTCATCCACAGGTGTATGTTTAAGGGTCTTGGCAACCAGTCTTGATACGATGAGTCCCATGGTCTTCTCTGCAGACGGCTCCTCCGTTCTTGGTTTCCGTACTTCTGACTACAGCCTCACGGAGTGGAGTGTATGGACGGGCGAGTGTCTCAGCACACGAAAGTTGCCGCTTCTGACGCGATCTTCACATATTGGCAGTGTGACTATGTCGGCGGACGGCAAAAGAATTGCCGTCGTTTGCAACAACTCCGGCCAGGATGAGGTGGAACTATTCAATTTGAACACAGGTGATCACCTGGGAGTATTGGAGGGTCACACAGGCCACATTGAATCCCTGAGAATCTCAAACGACGGGTCCCTCCTCGCAACTGCCTCGTATGGGTACACCATTAGGCTATGGAATATTGAACAACTCGAGAATTCGAAAACACGACTTGAGGATACTTCTCCGATGGAAGCGTCGCAATGCATTGCGTGCGACGAGTTCCAGTCGGGTTCAGGCTTTACCGCAAAGGTGTCCTCTATGTCACCAAGCAAACCCGAAGACACAGTCGGTGAGGCATGGATGTTACACAGATACGTTTCCAATTTGCTAACTCATCCAGCTCTCGAAGCAGGAGTTGAGGGCCACCTTTCGTTTTTTCACGGGCTGCCGAAATACATGGCCGATGAGCTTCCAATCGCTTTCTCGGCTGATGAAAAACGCATTGTCACTATTTCTAACATCGTTGCTAACACTGACATTAGTGTTTGGGATGTCGAGCTGGGGCTCCGCGTTCAGCGACTTGCAAGGCCACGAGGCCTTTTAAACGTCCTATCAGCTTACCTCTCCGACGATAAATTTCTTGTCTTCGGCTGCAGCAAGGAAGTCGAGGATGAGGATCAGGTTTTTGGAGTATATGATCTGACTACTACACGTGGGGTACGCATAAGCAAATGGGGTCGGGGATCTGAAATCACCTTGCCATATGAGTTTATCTTTCTGAGGAACGGTTCCCGGCTCGCGCTGGTGTCCCTAAGGCGGTTCAAAAGGAATCGTGTATTGGAGGTTTATGATGTGGCCTCTGGTGCTCGCAAGGGGGAAACCATCCTGAAGGAATTCGATCCCTTCCTACAAACAGAGGATATAGACTGTCTAATGACGGGATATGATCTCCTACGTCATTACGGCAGTATCAAAACGATTGCGTTGACCATGAAAACGCTTGATGTTGAATCGGAAGTCGGGTCCGAACTGCACTGGCGGTACCTGTTCGGACCTGGGGTGGTTCTCCAAAAGAGCTACTCGTATATTCCAGACAGCGAATGGATCAAAAAGGGTTCCAACAACCTGTTGTGGTTGCCCCAGGAATATAGGACTGGGCTGTTCGTCATAGGGAGCTCTTCAATATGTTTGGTTGGGCGCCGAGGTAGACTTACTTTATTAAAATTTGCATAGCCCTGACGGAAGCAAAACAGAGTTGCTTTGTCTTCAAAAGAATAATTTCACATGTATGATCATAATTCCATTCCCAACTCGAGATACCCGATTACCTGGCCACACGTGATGCTTCAGTCTGTTCTCAGTGCAGACTCCACCTTAAGACGTGCACGCAAGTTGTTGGCTCGGAAGCTACTAAACCCTTCAAGAACACTACATGGCATTTGACCTTTGTCAAGCTTATTCAAAATGCAAGGAAACCCTATTATTTTGGCAAAGGCATTCATTCTCAAAAAGGGTATAGATATCGTGACTCAACATCGCTAACATTGCGCTGACGTTTCACTAAGCCGGCACGATGCCCTTCATTGGTCTGGGAACATGGCAAGGCAAGTCTTTCCATAAGTGAATATTTTGCTGTCCATGTACTCATCAGAGCCTGTGTACATTGACTTTACTAACCAGCCCAAAGGCCAGCCCGGCGTCTCGGACGAACCCGCCATGATAGCCTCAATCGTCCACGCCCTCCGCGCCGGTTACCGCCTCATCGACACCGCCCAGATGTACGGAACCGAGTCCGTCGTAGGCAAAGCCATCCGCGAAAGCGGCGTCCCCCGCGAGGAAATCACAGTCGTCACCAAGTTGTGGCACAGCTACCACCACATGCCAGGCGAAGCACTCAGCAAGTCCTTGGAACGACTGCAGCTGGACTACGTCGACGTTTATCTCATGCACTTCCCGTGCGCTACCACGCCGGACATGAAGCCTCTTGGCATCGAGGGTTCCCCGACTTTTGTGGAGACATGGAAGATGATGGAAGGTCTTGTTGGTCCCAAGTGCAGGGCTATTGGTGTGAGCAACTTTACGCAGAAGACGTGGGCGACCCTGCTCGAGAACGCGAGTGTCTTGCCGGCGGTCAACCAGATTGAGTTACATGCATTGAATCCTTGCTTGAACTTGGTGCCCTACTGTCAATCCAAGGGTATTCATGTCATGGGTTGCGGGTATGTCACCTCGCGGGGATATTGAAGTATGTGGGGCTGATGTCTTCTTAGGATAATGGGAGGCGCATACGGACCTCCTTTTGACCAGCTTCTGACTAATAAGATCTTTGTCAATTTGGCTAAAGCCAAGGGCTGCTCCGTCGGCGTGATCCATCTCTCATGGGTTGTTCAGCGAGGTATTACGGCCATCTTCACCAGCAAGTCGCACTCGCGACTCGAGGATAACCTTCGACTCGTAACTCTGAACGACGATGAGATGAGCATTATGAACTCTGCGAAGGACATCATTGGCGAGCGCCGAATGATTGACATATTGCGGGATAAACCTGAGGGGAAGCTGACCGTCGTCGGCGCAAGTATGGTTGAGTTGGGATTTGAGGATGACGAGGGCAACTTCCTAACCTAACCTTAGTGTTAATGAAGTTATCAAACTCAGTTGAATTTCAAGGATTGCCTCAATACGCTCCGAAAAGTTTAATGTTCAATATTCTATTATCCTGTCTTATCCTGTCTTATCCTGTCTTATCCTGTCACTATCTAGATTCTATAGTATCATGCTCTCGATCACTTTCCGTAGCAGCTGCTGGCATTACGATGCACACTGTACCTTCAAGCAAGTCCCAGTTCCCTTGCACGCATATAACCTCTAGTGGGTATCGTTTCCAACTTAAGCATCCTGATCACAGCTCTTCCCGTCATCCTTCTCCTCATCTTGGGGGAAGTACGGCGCCTCAACCGCGGGCCCTTGGTTGACAACCAAGCTGTACTTGAGCTTCCATCGGCCATCCTTGGGGTCGACGACAAACAGATCATCGCACCGCTCGTAGATGCGGAACGTCTTGGTGATGTCGTGCAGATTGGCGGAGTCCCAGCGAGACCAGGTGAGGTACGTGCTGACGTTCGCCGAGGTGGCCTCGGGGTTGTTGAAGCGGATCAGCGCGTTGCCGACCTGGTGCTCGATGAGCGCATCACCGAAAGCTGCGGCGATGTTCTTGCTGGTCTCAGCGAGGCCGGTGGAGAGCCCGCCGTAAGCGCCCAGGGGACGGCTGTCGTAGATGATGTCGTCGGTCATAGCCTCGTTGAGGCGGGAATACTGCTTGGTGTCGAGGAGGGAGGCTAGGAGGTAGGAGGCTTGGTGGATGGCCTCGTAGGGGTCGGGGGTTGGACTGCCTTTAGGAGAGCCGGCGACGGCAAAAGTTGCCGTGAGGAGGGAGAGGACTGCGGTGGTAGCACGCATAGTGACGATGGTAGATCTGGCAGCGTCGAGATATGAATGAAAACAGGAATGAATGATAGTGCAATAAATAGAAGTAAGAGTGGGTGATCAAGATAGAGAGAGCTGAATGATTTTCAAGAACGGACCAGAAGGTTATATAGACTATTATATACTGGTGAAGCCAGAAGTTGGTTGTCCCGTTTTCTGACGGAAGTTCCTATGCTTTGCTAAACGCATAGGCAATGCGCTCACTCCTCCAGAATAATTTGGTGGCGGGGCAACAACGTGTTGAGTTTTGGAGGAACAAGCCTCAAGTCAGCCGCAAGGGGATCGCGCGCTCTTTCGTTACCCAACCCCAGATGTTGCCCAGTAAACGCCATGGGACAGACTCATGATCAGAGGTTCTTTCGTAGACCAAAACCTGTGAGGCGTTCGATCATGTGGAGGCAAATGTTTTACTCTTTCGGGCCGTTTAGATGGGTCAAGGACATATTCATTCGTGGTGCTTGTTGACTTCTGCTGTGGTTCTAAGCATTGACGCCACAAACAAGCCACGATGTATCAATACTCTGTCCTGTACCAGTGGATTTCTCAGTACCTATTTCGAAAACCATGGCTTAAATGCCTTCTTCATATTTTTTCAACTTGGCCAAAACCCTCGAGGCCAACTAATCACCACAGGCTTCCTATCCGGCAAAGCAACCTACAACGCTAATAAGTGCCCTTACTCTAGGTTTGGAGACTCTACTTACTTACCACATTGATAGACTGGAGCATTCAAGTAATATGTCGACTGAGCTCCAATACCCTCCTTTGGAATACCCTCCTTTGGAATACCCTCCTTTGGAATTTGTTTTGGCAAAAGAATATTCTTGCTTCGAAATCCTGCTGCTAGTCAGTGGCGTATAAGTTGCTGAATATAAATGCTAGGATAATGACATTGCGGATCTAGTGCCACTGAACTCGACCCGCCCACAATCTTCTTCAGATCAATTCATCTTACGAGATGTCACATATTTGAGATGTGGGTGTGTCTATTACATTTCTTTTCATTATTCATAGAGTCGTCTATCTACATCCGTCTAGGCCGCTCTAGTGTCCACATGGTATCACATATTTACAGCTTGCGAACGACGCGGTTAGCAGCGCCCTGCTCCTCCTTCTCGTCCCAGATGTTGATGTTCCAGCGGGGCTTGTAGGTGAAGGGGATGTTGTAGCGGCGGGGCTGCTTGCCGATCTCGTTGATGGCGGCGACGTCCTCGTCGGAGATCTTGACCTCCTGGAAGTTGGAGACGATACGGCTGGGGGTGACGGACTTGGGGATGACGGAGTGGCCGCCGACCTGGGACCAGGCGAGGACGACCTGGGCCGGGGTGGCGTTGAGCTTCTCGGCGATCTTCTTGACGACGTCGTGCTCGATGAGCAGGGGCAGGCCGAAGCCGTTGTTGCCGAAGGCGGAGTAGGCGGTGATGTGGATGCCCTTCTCCTTGGCGTACTTGATGAGGGTGTCGTTCTGCTGGAGGAGGGGGTGGCGCTCGATCTGGTTGACGGCGGGGACGACGCCGGTGGCGTCGATGATGGTCTGGAGGTCGTCGATGGTGAAGTTGGAGACACCGATGGCCTTGGCCTTGGTCTTGGGGAGGTCGATCAGGGCTGGCAGACATAAGTTAGTAAGTGCGCGGTGAAATCGTTGGTGTGATGTACTGACCCTTCCAGGTGTCGACGAGGGAGACACCCTGGTCGAGGTCGACCTCGTTGTCGTCGCCGGCAACCTTGGGGAAGAGCTCGCCGCCGTTCTTCTTGAAGGCAACGGGCCAGTGGATGAGGTAAAGCTGAAGAAGTTAGTTCGCGTTCATGTTTAAGTCATACCAGACGGCAATTGTACTTACGTCAAGGTAGTCAAGGCCGAGCTCCTGGAGGGTCTCGTCGAGGGCAGCCTCAACGTTCTCGGGGCGGTGGTTGCTATGGAATTATTAGAAAGAGGACTTCATGAGCCACAGGTTTGAACCTACTTGTTCCAGAGCTTGGAGGTGATGAAGATGTCCTCACGCTTGAGGCCGGGGACCTCAGCGAGAGCCTTCTTCAGGCCCTCACCAACCTCGGGCTGGTTCTGGTAGATCTTGGCCAAGTCCTGAAGGAACAATTAGTATCAGCCACGAAAGTAACATAAGACCAAGTGAAGACTCACGAGGTGACGGTAGCCGGCCTTGAGGGCCTCGTAGACACCGACAGAGACTTCACCGGGCTTGGACTGCCAGGTGCCGTAACCCAGAGTGCTGGAATGAGGGGTCAAAAGTCAGTGAAGCTCAAAGCAGGAAGCGGGGTAATAGGATCGGCAGGGGACAGAACGGGAGGATTTCTGACGGCGGGAAACGTACGGGATCTCGGCGCCGGAGTTAAGCTTGGCCTTGTTACCGAAAGACATTTTGACGTGAGTTTTGCGAGGTTCAGATATGGGATGAAGAGTTTGGGAGCTATCGTGAGAATCACCAGCAGATGTTGTGAGAAGGTAGGTGGCCTTTTTAAACAAGTGAGGGGTTTCGGGGACATTGCATCATCGTTTGTCAGAATGAGCTGCGAACCCTGATGGGTGGGAGCCGTGACGCCCGCCGTCGGACCCGCTCTGCCCGCTTTGATGGCTCCGAGCAACGCGACACTCGTCGACTCTTGGGCCACGACTCTTCAAGTTGCTTCTTCGAGTCGTTACGGCGGGGCGCCGATGACTAGTGACGCCTGGGGACCCCACACTTCGGAGCGGGAGCCGATGCCGGAGGCGGGCGATGGAGATATGGAGGAGGGGAAGATGTGGTTCGCTTCGATTGGTGACGCCGAGATGTGTCCGGCTGGGCGCGGGACGGGAGCGGATGCAGTCGAGGTGCCTCCGAGCGGCAACGGGTGGTATTCTGGTGGGTTGAGTGAGACTTTGGCAAATTGATGAGAGGTTATGAATAGGAGATCGTGAATGAGATCCTTTCTCATGAATCCGAGCTTTCGGGAATGAAATGAAAATCACGCCTTAGCTGTGACATATGTCGACTTCACTCATCACTATTGCGAGATGACGTGCAGCTTTGAAAGATATGGCGGGAATGACGATTGAAATTGCGAACTCATCTTCGATCGACTGGATCTTGATCTATCTCGCCAGCTGTCGCAAGGTGATGTGATCCGCAGTCGGCTACTCTGAAGCGCGCGAATGAGAAGCTCAAGAAATAGTTGTTGTAGCTATCATAAATGCGGGTCACAGGATAAGTTTCACACATCGATCATGTCTCTCATGAGACACCTGTGGTCGGTGAAGCTATCATGAAGCCGATGAGGCTATGAGAAATTCCTGGAAGCCACGATATAGATGATTATGTTGTAATGAATAATCAAAATCACGTTTTCGTAGCTCGCGATCCGCCTCACTGTCCACATCTCAGTATGAGCTGAGGGCGAGGTCACGCTTTCGTTTGCCAAAGTGCGCCCCCCACGCTAACGATGAAATAAGACAACTGACATCTGCCGGCGACTAGATCGTGTGAGATCCTCCGCATGCATAGACGTTGGAAAAAGAGTCTCACTCAGAAGCCAAGTCAGCAAACCCGATGACACCTGCATTTGGTCAGCACATTCATCCAATCACGCATCCCCATAGCCGAACCAGAATCAGTCTCACATCTCGCCTACCGAGGAACGATATTCCGACGATCAGGGGCAACGGTCCGTTATATCCACAACTGTGGATAACTATAAAATTAGAGTATTGGAGAGGACCGCCACATTCATTCAGCCCTCAGACGCCATAAAACGCCAAAGATTTCCCTTCACCAATAGGTGTATGCCTGTCTGATTACCAGAGACCATGAGCCTTCAACAGAGGATGGCCGATCACATTCCCTTCTCATTGAGCAGTTCAATCACTCGTGCCGCATGGGCATGCGAACTACCAAGTTCTTTTGTAGCAAACAACCCCTTTTCTTAATGACTGCCAAGTTCACCAACCAACAAGCCCCAAAAACATGTCGCCAACCGCCTCCAAATACCAACAAAGGTCCCATCACAGCCGCCTTGCTATTTTAAAGTCGTCTTGGCAGGGATGAGCAGGGTCCGGATGGTTGCCCGAACCCCCCGGCGGGTCCCTCCGGCCTGGGGCCCGCGTGTTTTGACTTTGACTTTCATGTCTCACCGTGTCGAAACGTTGTTCCAGCCCAGCCAGCAAAAAACCTGTTGGGGTTGGTTGGAATTTCTTGACACCTAGACACATTTGATTCTGTCCAAGTGAAAGCCTCACACTTCACACGGCAGAATAATCTCAGCCTTGTGAACATCAACATCACCGCAACTACCGACTGACCTCTTTGTGTCCTGCTTCCCTGCTCATCTCATCTCATCTTGACCGGCCAGCATACAGACACTCATCGCCGGTCCTTACATCATCGCTTCTCCTCATGACTCAAACTTAATCCCTTTCCTCGGCTCACCACCGGCATCACATTCTCATTTCTCATCAGATACCCCCAATCACAACACCAAATCTCATCAATCACCATGACAGCAATGTACCGCTGGACCAGGGTCCGCACCCTCGCCGCCGTCCTCACCTTCGGCAGCGTCCTGCTCTACTACCTCTACACCACCTGGTCCCGCTCCGAGTCCTACCAGCTCGAGCGCTACATGAACCTGCAGCACATCTCCCCTCCCCCGGCCAACACAAAGGCGAGCTTCGACTGGTCCTCGGTGAACTACAAATTCCCGCCCCAGACGCCCCTGACGCCGCTCCCGAAGGGCCTCGGGCGCGGCCCCGCCCTCCCGCGCGTGCAGCACCGGTTCCCCGCCGAGTCGCCCGCCGCCGCCCGGGCCCGCGAGGCCCGCCGGCACGAGGTCCGCGAGCTGTTCCGCAAGAACTGGGCCAGCTACAAGAAGTACGCCTGGATGAAGGACGCGCTCAACCCCATCTCGGCCACGGCCAAGGACCAGTTCTCCGGGTGGGCCGCGACGCTGGTCGACTCGCTCGACGTGCTGTGGATCATGGGGCTGAAGGTCGAGTTCGAGGAGGCCGTTGCCGCTGTCGCTACTATCGACTTTGGATCGGCGAGTTCGGGCCGCGTCAACACCTTTGAGACGAACATCCGGTATCTGGGCGGCTTGATGGCGGCGTATGATCTCAGCAAGCGCAGGGTTCTACTCGACAAGGCCATCGAGCTGGGGAACCTTCTTTACGGCGCTTTCAACACGGAACATCGCATGCCGGTCGACTTCATCAACTTCGAAGACGCCAAAGCAGGCACGGGCCTCGACGTCGAGAGCTCCGTCGTCTCCGCCTCGCCGGGGACGCTCTCGCTCGAGATGACGCACCTCTCGCAGCTCACCGGAGACCCGAAGTACTACGACGCCATCGCCAAAGTCATGGACCTCTTCCACGAGGGGCAGAAGAAGACCAAGATCCCGGGCATGTGGCCCATGTTCGTCTCGATGCGGAACCGCGACGTCGTCACGGGCTCGCAGTTCACCATCGCCGGCTGCGCGGACTCGCTCTACGAGTACCTCCCCAAGATGCAGGCCCTCCTCGGCGGGATGGAGCCCAAGTACGAGGACATGACGGAGGCGTTCCTCAAGGCCGCCAACGAGACCCTCTTCTTCCGGCCGATGCTGCCCGGCGGGGAGAACGTCCTCATCTCGGGCAACGTCAACGTCGACATCGACGGGCAGAGGCACCTGGACCCGGAGAGCGAGCACCTCGCCTGCTTCATCGGCGGTATCTACGCCCTGGCCGGGAGGTTGCTGGGCAAGGAGGAGTGGGTGACCGTCGGGGCGCGGTTGACGCTGGGGTGCTACTACGCCTACCAGGCCATGCCGACGGGCATGATGCCGGAGCGCTTCAACATGCTCGCGTGCGACAGGAGGGACGACTGTAAGTGGGACGAGGATCGGTGGGAGAAAGAGAAGCGGCTGCGGCCGGAGTTCAAGGAGCATCTGCCGAAGGGCTTCACCACGGCCAAGGACTCACGGTACATCCTTCGCCCCGAGGCCATCGAGAGCGTGTTCGTGCTGTACCGCATCACAGGAGAAAAGGGTTTCCAAGATGCGGCGTGGGAAATGTGGAAAGCCGTCAGCAACGGGACGCTGGTCGAGAACGGCAACGCGGCGGTGCTGGATGTCACCAAGAAGGTCGACCCGCTGCCCAAGGAGGACTATATGGAGGTGAGACCCGCGTTCGAGGTGACATTGGCCATGTTGGCGGAAGTACTGACCGATAAAATAGAGTTTCTGGCTGGCGGAGACGCTGAAGTATTTCTACCTCGTCTTCTCACCCCCTGACCTTATCAGTCTGGACGAGTACGTCCTGAACACGGAAGCTCATCCCTTCCGGCGACCCCGATGAGGCAGGTAGTCACGCGAGCTCAGAACTGTGACGGACAGCTCCGTCACCTGTGCCTTCGCGGAGGGTTGCAGTGCGTGGCACATCATCTAAACTCGAGACACATGTGGTCATTGCTCAGGCTGAGGAGAGATGAACATATTGTCATTAAGTAATTATGGACCGGCGATGTTGTTGATAGCGATTTGCGTATCTCCGTCAGCTCGTCGTACCGAGGGCCATCACCTATGGCAGGGTCGATTCTGATGACGTTAGACAGTCGCCCTAGACTATCATTCAGCTTATGCACCATGGCTGTGAATTCAAGCGGCAGCAGAACAGAAGTGGCGGACTAGAAGAATGACTTTCTTGGAAGTCTTGGGCGTACGTCACAGGAGACGCCAACATCATCATGTAGCGAATGCGCTTTACAAAAGGGCAATTGCCAAGTCTTCCGTACTATACCAGATCAGATCCAGATCGAACAGAAGAGAAATGAACCAGGAAATACCATGACCATAGTCACCACTTTGCGGGACGGCAGTGGAATCGCAGGAGAACGCAATATGAATGAGACGCCGGCGCGCAAGGCTTGGACCGAGCGCCACGGTATACCGGAGAACTCGAAAGCTCGCAGCAGGATAGATTGAAGCTTGTTTTAGAGTGCACAATAATATCGCTCCAGATTTGATCGTCGGCCTGTATTCCCACCATCCTGCGGGCTGAGCCGCGGGAAAGTTGACCGTTCCGGACCATTGTGGTGAGCGCGCCCCGGGACTTTTGAACATTGACCACCTGCTAGTGTTGGCGTTGGCTGTCGACTGATGTGAGTGAGAATGTCAGGCATGATCGAACGAACACCTGCGGCCATCTTTAAAATAGTCTTAGAAACTGACTCGGCGTCAGAGTGCTGTCAATGTCATCAAAAAAAGAATACGTCTCGCCTCGTCCTCAGCTCTCTCTTGGGTGCCATCCGGCACATCACTCCTGCAGCGTCGATCAGTCACATCGAAAGCGGCCCGATCACCAAGCCCGTCTTCCGTCACTGCCAGCCACTCAACCAATATCGATGGAGGATGATGTCTTGGCTGATGGGCAAAACTCACAGAATACCCATCCTCTCTCCTCCGTACAGCCCGTGAAGAACATGCAACCACCCGGTTCCAAAGTGAGGCTTATCGAAGGCTCATCCATCACCCACAACGCCCCAAAAGTGCATGAATCGCGTGACGGTTAGAACTCCGCAAAGTCCCTCCCCAGACCTCTCTCTCTCTATATCCCCGTAAGCGGGCCCGAAGAAAAGTCCCGTAAGAGCCCACAGCAAAACAACGACATCCCTCACAGTGCAACACCCGCGCCAAGAACCCATTGAAACGCCTTCATCGCCAAGAGCATGATCAAGCTCATATACTCGATGGCTTTTAATAGCCCCAAACACAACTGCGTACGCGCCAAGGCGCGACCGTCTTCTCTACCTCCCTAAAGCCAGACTCTGGTTGTGTCCGTCTCCCCTAATCGGCCTCGCCGCCTCCATCCCAGCACTGTTAGCCAAGAACAGAGGGACCTGCGCGCATCGAAGGCCACCACCGGCACCCTGTAGTAGCCAGAAGAAGAGATGCGGTATTATCGTCACGAAGGACGGCTCCAGGACTGGAAATAGCATCCTCCTTGCAACCCGTCTCCAGCCATGCCATCTCGACTCTTGGTCAGTAGAAGGGCGGTGTCAACCGACCCTCCTCCGGCAGCTGCCAATGTTTCCAAACCTTCTTTTTCTCGCTCTCTCTCGATTGTATAAGTAGCAGACGATCATCCCGCCTCCTTCTGACTTTCGATGCCATCCCATCCTTCATCCCGCACATCCACAATCCCGCAACGAACACTCCCTTTTCCCACATCATCCAAACTCTTTCTCTCCCGCACCACCAAGACACCCACCCAGAGTCACCATGAGATCCGTCTTCGCCATCGTCACCCTCCTCGCGGCCACCGTCGCCGCCCGCTTCGACGGTCCCTGCACCGACCTCGCGTGCGGCGAGGCCAGCGTCAACTGCGAGGCCGACGGCATGGTCTGCGTGCCGTTCCCCAGCGTCGACGTCGAGAAGCGTCTGGGCTGCACCTGCAGCGTCGGCTAGACTTTCATTTACACTCGCGTTATGAACTAGTATCGATCACAATTTGTAAGTTCACCCGGAGTTGTCTGCTGGAAGATTGACCAATGCTAATTGGAGTGTCTCTCAGATCGATACTCGGTTCAACGAAGACACGGCGTTTGGGGTATGACTTTATGGCACGAACGGGAGCAATTTTGCATCAACAAGACTTTTTGGGGAACTCAGGAAAAAAGATGGATCATGACAAGCATGAAGACGGAATGAATCCATGAACAGTGTGGACACTCTCTCTAGACAAGATATCCAAAATCAAGCGAAATATTTCCAGAAAACATTATCTTCTCACATTCATTGTCGTGCTACCGTGGTAACCTACTGAGAACGCCCGCTTCGGTATCCGCCGCTCATGAATCGAGTGTCCTCGCCCTCGGCCAACGTCCTCCATACCAAGCCTCAGATCTCACACCCGATCTAAAGTTTCCTTACCAGAAATCCTCCGGGACGGACAGATTCGCCACAACCCACCATCCCAGCCAAGCCAAGCCGCGCCGCTGCCCGCGGGTTTGAACGTTGATCATACCGAACCACCAAGGATGAACCTCGTTAGCAACATCAAGGACCTTGTGATGAACACCGCCACGAGGCAACGTGGCGCGGCGAAAAGCTAATAGACGGGTTCGCTGCCTAAGCCCTCGCGATAGCGATTGCGATGATTTTGATGAGGCGGTGATTCGGATATTGAAGGGTCCGATGATCTCAGCTGGGGACTTTTGATTTACAGTTGCAAGTAAGACTTAGGACACGCCGCGATTGCGAGAGCGATGGGTTGATTGTGACGGTGGCTCGGACTTTGAGGATTCCGATGTCATTGATCGTCACTAAGGCCTGGTGTGAGACATGTTCGTATGACGTTAAGAATCTCCCCAAGCCCGCGGAATGACAGACGCCCGAGTCCGATCGCGACAAAGTCACAGCACAATATCATAACAACATGTTATCAAAGTCTTCTCATTGGAATAGACTAAACAATATTCGAGATCAACTCCCTGGTACCGTGTCCCCAGTTTGTGGTATCATACCCAATAAAAACCCAAGTCCCCGCCGCCGATAACTCCGAGCTAATACTACACAAAGCCCATGGTAATACAGAAGAAACAAAAGACAAAAAAGAAGTGGTGTACAGGGAATGCTTCGCCTGCTTCAGCCCGGACAAGACGCATCACGTAGACATCCGTCCCCAACCCCTCACGAACCCCCTCTGCGCCCGATTCACCCTTGCCAGAATCCCCAACCCGACGTCCTCGCCACCGCCCCAGCCGCCCGCCCTCTTCACACTGATCCCGAACGCCGTCTCCTGCTCGCGCTCCGCCGCCACGATATCCACCCTCCGCTGCCTCACGCGCTCCCAGCTCATCTTGAACCCCATCGCGCGGCTGCCGTCGAGGAAGCTCCGCTCGACCTCCTCGGTGGGCATCCACTCGGCGCCGCGGCCGAGGAAGCCGAAGACGTTGCCGTCGACGAGGAGCGCCGCGACGGAGGCGATGCTGCACGGGTTGCGCGGGAGGATCGTGTCGGTTCCCGGCGTGAGGAGCCAGGCGAAGAGGGTGAGGAGGAGGAGGAGGGCGAGGATGGACTGGATGATGCGGGTGGAGGCGTCGTCCTGCACGAGGCGCCGGAGGCTCGTGACGGTCGTGTCCTCGAGCATGCCGGGGATGACTTCCTGGGCGGTGAGGTCGGGCAGGCGTCTGCGCGAGTTGACGTTGAGGTTTTGGGCGCGGACAATGCCGTGTTGGCGGACGATGGCGTCGGCTACGCGGCCGCTCTTGGTGAGGCCCGGGTCGCCGAGGTTTCCGGCGGGGATGGCGAAGCGGGAGGTGACGAGGGAGGAGAAGAAGGGGTCGAGTTGGTTCCCGGTCGTCAGGTTCGCCATCAGGCCGTACTGCAGCGGCAGGAGGGTCAGTTTTGTGGGCCGCGCGGTGAGTTCCTGGACGCGAGGGGGGTAGGTCGGGTCGATGTGCAGCGAGGAACCCGTGAGGCGGACCGTGGCCATGACCGTCTCCAGGGTCTCGTTGCAGCCCATCGCGGAGATGTATCCCACTTGCGAGGGCGTGGTGTCGGCCAGCTGGCCCCAGACGTAGGTGAAGTCGGAACATTGGCTCGAAGTCGCAGACCGCGGTGTGGCGACGCCGAAGACGGATGAGGGGGATACACCCGGCGGGAGGACCGCGTTGGAGCGGATGGAGGGGTCCAGGCATGGTTCTCCTGCGATGTCGATGCGCATTCCCTGGTCCTTTACGAACTGCTGGGTAGGAAGATCCGGGATCGTGAAGTTGGTGTTGATCTCCGACTGCGGGTACAGTCTGCAGTCGAGACGGGACCGCAGGGCGGGGAGGTTGACGAGGATGGTACTCGCGCCATCCTGCATCGATAGTGGGGTGGTAAGCTGCACGCCTTTGAAGTTGAGGTCTTCGAATGTGAAGGACGGGAACGTCAGGTTCGCGTCGAGGATAAGTGATGCTAGGAGGGTGTCCGTGGTACATGTCGGACACGGCGCGGAAGCGTTGATGAACTGGTCGACAAGTTGCAAGGTAACCGGTCGAGTAGATGGGATCGGGACAGTGGTGTATAGCGCCCCTGAGAACGTAGCGAGAAGCGAAGCAACAAAGACCGAGATCGTCGTAACGATAACCGCAATGTTCTTCGTCTTCGCGGCATCATACACAATCCTCGGCTTCGACTTATCCATGAAGTCCAACCCGACAGTCGTCTCGAACGAGCCACCCTGCCTCAGCTTGGTATAGGGCGCAAGGCATCGCGTGGCACAGTCCGCGGAGGCAAGGTACAGCGCTACAATGCCAAACAACACGCCTGGGCCAGTTGTCCAAAGGAAGTGGCGATCCGTATTCGCTGTGACGGTCGTGATTCCCTGGTGTGCCTCGGAGAGCCGCAGCACGACCTCCAGAGAGATGATCATAGCCGCCATGATGAAAACAGCGGCTAACCGAGCCGCTGGATGCAGCGGGAGTGGATGGCCCCAGTTGGACGTCTTGACAAACTGAGGGGGCGTATCCTGCGGCGGCGGGTTGCCTCCGAAGATCTTGAAGTATCCCGCACCCTTGGCCGCCTTCTCGTACGGTTCCACACCGGTGTAATAACTCGTGCCAAGCAACCTCTCGCGGACAGTCGACACGTGCGCAGCACCCGTCCCACGCAGGCATTGTAAAAGCGACCTGCTATGGGCAAGGAGTGTCGCCATGTTGATGATGGTGTTCGGGTGGCGCGGGAGGAAGCCTGTTCTCGGGGCGAAAGCGACGGCGACGAGGGTGAGGACCAAAGCGAAACCGAGGAGGCCGGACAGCAGGTGCGCCGGGATGGGCCGGACGTTGAGGCGTTCTCCGATGATGACTGCGGTGCCGGTGGTCTTCTGCTGCGGGACCGTCTCGGCCATCAACGAGTTCCTCGCGACGAGGGCGGTGTACTGGCGCCAGTAGTTTGTCACTATGCTGGTGAGATTGTCCGTTCGCAGCAAGTTGTCAATCGGTGGGATTCCGTTGTCCTTGACTTCCATCGCAACCGCCGAGTTCATGATCGCGTCGGAGGCAACGACCGCGATGCCAGGGTACCGACTGTTCACGTTGGGCATGGCTCCGAGGATCTGAGAGTCGGTTGGATACGATGCGAAATGGCCTTGCACAATGTCCATGGGCTGGACCAAACTCAAAGTGCGGTTCTTCGCAGAGCGGGGTCGGTCGATATCGATGAGTTGCGTGTTGTTCTTCTTGACGTGGACAGTCGTCAGGTTGTACGTCGGGCGGCATATCAGCGCAGCAGAGCGAGTCACCCTACCCGAGATCGGGACGTTGAAGGTATCGCTGGTGACCGGAAGCGACGAGCTGTCGATGGTTATGGCGCCCGACATCACCACCACCCTCCCATCATCCGGGGACTGCGAGTTCCCACACGAGCCCGCTTGGAAAGCGGTGAAGAAGGTCGGGAGAGTAAACCCGACGAGGGCCATGTTCGGGATCTCTTGCGTCATGAAACACGTCGGAGTCGACACGGTGACATTGAGTTGTGTATCGGAGGCCTGGATGAACTGAATGCCGGTGAGGTTCAGCTGCGCCGGCTCGCACTCAATATCCGACTGGAAACCTTCCACGTCTGCCCGCAGCTCAGCCGTTGAAGGAATATCCGACGAAAAAGACTGGAACGCAAACTCCTTCGAGGTGCCGTCCGGAAAGTTGAGCCCTTTAGTCTGCAGTCCGACCATGGTGAAGAAGGGCAGAGCACCCGCCGATCGAAGTCCAGAGGGGTCGTTTACGAACGCATTCTGCAAGTTGAGACTCACACCTCGCGCCGTGACGATCTGGAACGTCGGGCTGACAAGCGCCACGGCAATGACGATGATGAGCTTCAACGTGAGGCCGATAGATGCAGCAGCCGCCACCAACCAATCCCGATTCTTCGTCGCTTTAGCGATGGCCCAAGGTTCGAACATGAAGACGTAATCCAGCATTAAAGTCCGGTCGACGCTCGCCGGTCCCTTCGACATGCGAATCCACGGGGCGTTCGCTTTTGCTTGGTGCTCCGGTCTCGCCCACAGCGCCGCGATACACGTGAATATGAATGCCGAGCCGTACTGCCACAAATACCTGAACCCGTGGTCCGGCGACCCAAGACCGCCTCTTTTGTTCGATAGATCCAGCACAGCTTCTACCGTAATCAACAACCCCGCGAACAGAATCGCAAACGAGCTCAATACCCTTCGTTGCAGGTAGAAAGGTCGGTATGGTAACGATACGTCCATCAGGCCATCTCGCTTCTTCAAATCATCAGAGTCGGAGCTCTGCGGTGGTATGCGTATTGTAGGCTGCAGCATCTGTCGGATCGGTTGTGACGGTTGTAGTGAATGTATTGACGGCAGTGGTTGTCCCTGCGGAATAGGCCGCATCGTAGGAACAGCTAACCTCGCGACTGGTGCAAAATTCGACTGCCGCGGCGTCAAGGAGTACCTCGGTCCCGGCGTCGACGGTTTACTCGGGCTCGTGATCATAATCTCTGGCACCGCCAACGTCGTCGTCCCAATATCTCCATCACAATCACCGTTGCTGCTGCTGCCGGAGGAGGAAGAGGCGTCCAGCATCGAAGGGCGTGGTGTGCTGAACGACCGGCCGGTATACGGCCTCTCGACGACATCGTCTTCTCGCACCATGTTCGACTCGGCGACGTAGCGGTGGTACGAGTCCATGCCGTTGGTGCTCTGCTTCGGTCCCTGGCGGGGCACGTTGGCCCTGGCCCTCGCGTCGGAGTCCATATATCACAGGACTCCTCGCGCAATATGTGTCGATCTTCACAGGAGGATCGGAGGGGGGAGGTATATGAAAGGGGAGAGGGAAGGGGGTCTGGGGGCCCGCGGTCACCGGAAGTTCATTGTCGCCCAAGGCCTCTGAATGGTAGAATAGATGTCTCGCGTAGACGATGTTTTGTTTCTTCGCTAACTGCCTTGTTGGGAAACACAATCAAGATCGTTGTAGGGTGTTTGTCGATCGGTCGATTAGACTCGTGGACAAGAGCGCGCTTGTTGCGAGTAAATTGAGGCAAAAAACAAAAGAAGCGGAGAAGGGGTCCGTTGGAAAGGTGGAAGGAAGAAGGTCTATCTCAGGCGGCAACGTATCGTGCCGGGTCCAGTAGCTGTGTTCCTTGCCTGCGGGATGCCGAGCGTCTCGGTTTGCAGCCGCGCGATTTGCATGAACCGGTCGTTTGGGCGGAGGGGAAAGCAAAGTATGGGATTTCTTGTTACTGGAGCCAGCCAAGGGGGGGAGGGATAAGAAGAGGGTTAAGACAAGGAAAAGGCAGACAAGGACAGGCCAGTCAGAGAAGGGGCGGCGTCAGGAACGGAGGAGAAGGAGGAGGGGAGGGCCTTGTTGTCCCGGGCGCGGGACGATCACTGGTTCGGGCATGATATATGAGAAGGGTGGGAGGGCGAAAGAGGACAAAATACCATTATCATCAAGAGGACGAGCGCGAGCGGGGGTGGAAGGGGACTACCGCGGCGTGTGAAGTGCGTGCGGTGCGTCCAACGGAGATGGGGCGCTGCCAGAGATGCGTTGCCGAGCTGTCTTCTGGTGTTAGTCCCTGCCCTCCTGCCTGTCTCCTGTCACCTCGGCCGTTCCTTGTGCCTGTCTGTCTCTTGTCTTCCGTTCCGCTGTCTGAGAGGTGTCTGTCGCTTTTCATCCCAAAACGGGGACGCAGGGCAGGGCACGACACTTGGCGCGCAAGAGGGCATGCAGGTTAAGCCTTGGGGCCACCTGAGAAGAGAGTTGGGAGAGAGAGGGGGGAGAAACAGCCCGGACGGGTTTCAGAAGCAGGTCGGTCGGGGCGCCGGCTTGGACGAGGCTGGACGACCTTTTTTGGTGCTGGTGTACTTTGCTTTTTGGTGGTGTTTTGGTGTGGTTTGGACGTACTCTGCGGCGCAAAACGAGTGAGCAGTTGAAGTGGGATTAAACGTAGCGGGAGAGACGAGGGAGAGGCCTCATTGGCTCGAGTGTTAGCCCGCCAGTTGGGGAGGCCACGGTGAAACTGCCGCGTGTGGCGGCTGTGTGACAGAATGTCACAGACCCCGGTTTCGAAAGATGTGAGCTTGTTCGTTCTTCCCAAATGTCCCCTCTTTTTCGGTCTGAAGTTTCCGTGCCCTTAAGAGAGTACCTTGCCTTAGTCCTCTGTTTTTAAGGCTCCGTGACCTGCTGTGGGAAACGGACAGATTGGAGCGGCGGAGGAACGTGGGGGAGATCTGCAGCTAGCAGGGAACGGCTGACGAGCGTAAAGCGACCGCCTGGTCTGGTGTTCTCCAGAGTCGAAGGACTGGTCATCGTCCATCGCCAGAACTGTTTTGGTCGGCTCAACAGTGCTCCAGTAGATGGCCGCCATCGAGGAACACGACGCATTCGAGTTTGGACTGAAAACAGCAGCTGTTCCCCCTCGCTGAGTCTGAGGTGTCCCGAAAGGAACAGGTGAAACGGGAGAAACTTTGCTACAACTGCTCCGTATAGCCCCATAATTTATCCGAAATGCCCCACTACGGGACGGGACGGTCTGTGCGGGTCCTCGCCCGGAAACCTCCGGCTCTCCGGCACAGCAGCTCCCTCTTCACACTCTGATGCTGGTCATGTTTTCTGCGGTGAATTCAAGTCCCTGGCTAGCGCCCATTCTCAGCCCCAAATCGGCCCCCAAATTCGTTTCTTAATCAATCTGCCCGCTAGTGTTTCTCAGTAAGGCTGGCTGACTGACTGACTGACATGGCCGGTGACCGACCGACCGACCGAACCGACCGAGTGATCCCGTCTCCCGCTCGCCACTGCGGGGACCCTTTTCCTCCTGAGGCAGGCCGAACGACCCCTCACCTGGCAAATTTCGCAAGGTGAGGCGAACACATGTGCAAGCCGAACGACTCTCACGAACCTCGCCTCCCCTCCCGCTCACGAGAGTTCGGTCGGGCGTGAACGCCGGGCAGCCGGAGGTCGGGTCGACTCGACCCAGCCAATCTACATCATTCATCAGCTAATCACTCCAGCCATGACCTCCTACTCGTGCACCAAAAGATGGGAATACAGGCCTGACTCGTCGTCATACCGTCTCATGCTCTGTGGAAGTCGTAGGCGCTTTGGCCACTTCATCAGGGTAATCGGGGATTGATGGCATCGGCAGGTTCAGGAGCGGCGAAGCACAATGTCCGATGAGAAAATAGAAGTGAACTTTTCCGAAGTACATCGGATTGATGACAACCTGATATTAGGTGGTTGGTAGTACAGTACAGGTGAACCCATAATGACTCATGTCCATTTCGTCTGTCATATGTTACGCGGTCGCCCTTCGTCTCCTCTTCGTCAGGGGAAAAGGTCCCTGGTTATGTGTTGCACGAGGTCACATGCGTGTGCATTCTGGTTGAAATATCAGAAAACCAATCAATCGCCCTGGGTATAATGCGAATGCCCTTCCGTCCTTCTTTTCGTTTCGAACAAGGTCGATCGTGACCATGATTCCGTCATTTCGTCGCTTCATGGTTGCCCGCCAAACGCCAAATGCTTCTGCTTCGCTATTCGTACAAGGTAGTGCTGCGTGTCGGCGTGAGGTATATGCGGAGGGCGGCCTCTCGTCGTCGTAAGCCTGGACCGTGACTTTGGAGCATTCCCCAAACTCCATAAATCTCCCCCGGGTTGCTGTCTCAGTGGAGATGGTTCCCTGACTCGCCGGGTCTCTGGCGCCCCACGACGAAGATCCCGGGGCCTCGTGGGCTGTCGTTTCAATTCGGCAAAGCCTTCCGCCGTTGTTTCTCGTCGCCAGTGTAAGAAATGGGTATTAATTTTTTGCTTGTTGGACTCTGCAGTTGTCCTTTTCGTCGTCTTAATCAAATTCCGTAGTTTTGGGGCTTCCAACTGCGAGCGTTGATGATATTTCGCGACTCGGCCTTGACCAGGAACCCCGCGTCGCAATATGACATGTCTGGGCGGGGAATTTCAGGCGGGTAATGCTGGGTCCATCGTCAGTGATTGCGTCCTCTCGATCTCGGTCTGATGTCCACGTACCAAGCGCATACAACATGCGTCTGCCCATCCCGTCGCACACGTTCCCAGGTCCTGTCCGAATTTGGTCTTGTACTTTCCGCCGTTCGCCGGCTCGCACTTTGTCCCGACTCGCAACTTGTTGTCGATTGTTCCCTTACAGCAGTGCGGCTGTAAGGTGATGAACGGACTCGCGAGCTTGTCGGCGGGCGGGAACGGGTAGCAATGGAACGGCTGGCTTTGCGCGAGAATGACGGGAAGGCCAATTATGAGGAACAGAACGACTGCGACGGCCGAGAAGCCCAGCGGGCGGCGCATTGTGGGCGGTATGGACGAGTGTATGCGGACGACGAGCGCGGAGGAGGCGACGGCGGCGAAGATGCGCGAGATGTGATGGTGAGCCTTGTGGAGGAGTTCGCGAACCGGTCGAGGCAGATGTTGAACGAGCAGCTGCAGGAATGTGGCCGTAATGGCGAGAATTGGAGGCGGCGAAGAGGATAGAGGTGGCATGGCTAACCTACTTAACGGAAACGGTATTATTGTCCCTTGCAATCCTCTGTTTCTATTATTGGCCGGATGGTGCTCTCGACGACACACACACTCAGAGGTGCTCCGGAAGACGGGTCACGAATAGAGCGCCCCAGCTCTGGCGGGTGGAACAGGCAGAGCTGTTTTGCAAGGCAGATGCCGGACGGCACCGAGCCCTGTGGGTGATGAGATGGCCTAGCGCAGGCTCCCTTGGGCTTGGATTTTCGGTATACCACGGCGTGATGCGACGTGACAATCGGCGACGGGGCGGTGGTCGCCGCTAGCAAAAGAGCAGCACTTGGACTGGGCTGCGGTCTCTGCGGAAGGAGAGGAGGGATCGCGCCGATGAGGGAGGGGTGCGTCGCAGTGTTCTGAGCTTAAAGTGTGGCTCTGCCGGGGGTATCGCAGTTTGGTGCTGTCGAGCGTTCGATTTGGTTTGCTGGAGGGCTGGTAGGATTGCGTGGAGGCCAGGCGGAGATGGAGGGAAGATCGATGTCGGATGTGAAGATGCGCCGGAGAGTTTTGCGTGATGATTCGAAAGGCCGCGCGGGCTCGCCCAAGGGAACGGGACTGAGACTGGATGGACGTTGAAGAGGTGGTGTGGTCTGCTGCCGTTGAAGACAAGGGACGCTGGTCGTCGGATGGAGTGGTAGTCGGAGGTACGGCGGCGATGCGATAGCGACGATGAGGATTAGATGTAGACAAAGGTTTGTTGTTGGTGGCGGTGGTGGTGGTGGACGATAGAAAGGTTCGCGGAGAAGAGAAAGGAAAAGAGTCACGTTTGAGCTGCAGACAGAAGGAAGTGGCAACGCTTTGTTTTACTACCTAGCTACGAGCAGAAACGACTAAGAGCTACGGATATGTAGATAACAGGAAGCCAAGGTGAACCGAACAAATTAGAGGCTAGCTCGCTAGCTGCGATTCGACCACGTTTGAGAAGCAGGAACTGATGAGGACATTGTGCGAGCTAAGGCAGAAAAAAAAGGAAGGTGTAAGGGAGGCACAAGCATCGAGACATGAGAAGGCAGGGAGATTGGGAGAATAAGCCAATGAAGAGGAAGAGGGGGCCAGACCGGGCCGGAAGTCTGGGCAACACCAAGCCTGGAGAAATAAAACGAAATAATAAAACATCGCAGAAAAGCTGTACGATCAATTGCGGCCAACAGGAGAGGGGGAAAAGAAGACGTAATTACTCGAATCGGCTGCCTGCTGCGGCGCGGCCCCTCTTGACAAGCAAACCAATCGTTTTGTACCACCAACACTACCAGGTAGGTAGTAAGCGCGTGCTCGAGTCCGATGGAATCCATCCAATGTCATGGCCGGAGAAACACCAGAGATTGGATCGTGACGCTTCAAACCGTTCAGACCAATAAGTTCTCAACCACTGCCCGCCCCGCCTGGTCACCGCATACTGGGTAGCACGCCAAAGTCGGGCGAGTCCACCCCGCCCTACGCGAGCTGCCCAGCCTGTCACTATTCCCAAATGTCTCCAGCTACCTACGTAAGCCGGGCTGAGCTCTGCCCTGCGGCACAGCTTACCGGGTTGCAGGTCGCCTCGCCAATGGATAATGGACCCTGGGTTTCTTCACCCCAAAGTTCTTCCTCGTCCTCGGCGACATCCAGGATTCTTCCATCATCGACCCCAAACTCAGAATCACGGAGAGTTCATGACTAATTTACCCGCAGAAAGTTCGTGCAAAAGTCTGAAGATTGCGTACGGATACCTCAGATGACAGCCAAATCTTGCGCTCAAAAGGACAAAAATCCAATGAGACCAGATCAAATGAGAAGAACACCCTCCTCACATCCCATTTTATTTTTTATTTTCCCGTTTGCCTCACCTCCCCTGCCTGCCTTCCTACTGGGGATCCCCAGCGATGCAAGGGCGGCCGAATCCTACGCCCCCACCTCTCGCCCGTCCCCGCAATTCAAGTCGTTCTCATTGGTCATTTTTTAAAAAGTCAAACGATTCCACTCTCTCGCCCTGCCAGCCCGTTGCACGAATCAGATGCGCCCGCCTCACGCCGAATTTTGCTTGGCTCGCCCAACTGCAACGCTGCCCTGGCAGCCCTGGCAGCCCTGGCTGGCCCTCACAGCCCTCCCACGAATCCTGCACGGGCCCGTCCGCACCCCCGGCGTCCCGATTAAGGTTATCCGGCCGGCCACCACTTATCCCGGGGGTCCCGTCGCCGGCCGTCAAGGTCCATCACCACAAACACCGGAGTATGCCTGCTGATTACTGACCTACCTTGCGGGCCAAGTAAAATTTCCGTCCGAAGAAGAACCCTTACTTTTCGTTCTTTTTCTTGTCCGTGGCTCGGGACCTCATTTCCATTCTCTTGGCAAAAGCAATCCCGTTATCGTCTGAATTATTACGAATGGTTAGCGAATCTATCTGCTCAAAGCTTATCGTCAGCTCTTCGATTATTCTCCAACAGTTGGAGTCCACGCTGTCTTGCTTTGACAGACTGACAACGGCGTGCTTCTCCATCTTCTCCCCCCAAGTTAGGAACACCTTGGTTGACTGTTGACAAGTACGTGCCGCAACTTCCGGGCACACGTTGGCGGGTTAATTGGACCCTGTCAATAGACTTTTCCTCAAAAGTCTGATGAGCGTGATCGACAATATGTCACCGACTCAGGGTGGAAATTCAGGTTGATTACCACAATCTGTCATAAACTGCAACTCCGTCGCGTTCATTACGGACGGGTAGTCAATATCTCAGGGCGTACCGGTTTGAAGGGTCCAAAGCCTAAATGATGCGATGTCTAGTATCAATGCCTGGATGTGCTGGTCACATTATGGACGGCCAGGATGCGTAATCGAAATACATCAGACGGGGAGGGCTGATCTATCTGCTGCCTCATCAGGTACTTCGTCTTTGATCATACTCTTGTTGAATCACTCGAGATTTGTGTACCCTGGCCCGTCTATCAGTTCAGCTCTCGTATGTATTATTGGATGCTTGGTCAGAAAGTTCTGCATCTCCGGCCCCAGTCCAGACACAGCAGGCAACTATCCGTCCGTAGGTCAAGTAACATCAGCTGTGTTCAGAGAGGTATATATTTGTGAAGTGTGACAATCAAAGCTCTCAACTCATCCCTCGCGGGCCCAAATATCACGCACGAGGCTTTTCGAGCGGCTGGTACACACATTTAGCCGTCATGCGCTGGCATATATCGACCTCCCAAGTGAATGAACCATCCCAAGTATAGAACCGCTCGTGAAATCCCTCTCCCTCACTCTACCCATCCTCATCCATCCAGAAGAACCAAAACCACAACCACCGACCCCCCAACCCACAACCTCCCTCCTCCCCATCCCCTCGATCCTCCCTCCTGCACAACAACCCTCACACACTCCCTCCCAAAATCGCAAACCTCGCCCGCCTTACAACATCCCCCACCACAACACCTCTCCCCCTTCCCGCAACCACCCTTTCCGCAACACTCCCCATCGACACAGACGCCGCCGCAGAGCCTCTTGCCGTCCGGACAGCACTTCCCGAAGCCCAGGTCGACGCAGTGCGAGCCCGCGGCGCAGCAGCCGGGTCCGCAGCAGCGCGCGGACGAGGGGCAGCAGTTCCAGTTGTGCGGGAGGTGGCACATTACTGCGAGATGTTAGAGTGTTGAGAGAGGGAGAGGGGATGGGTTGGGTACCTGTGTCTTTGGGGCAGGTGTTCTCGACGTTGTCACGACTGCGTAGAGCCGGGATTGGGATTTCGTAGGCTGTGATGGTGGAGTTGGAGGTAGTCGAGGTTGATGGTGTCGAGTGGGCGGAGGTGCCTGGTGCATAGAACCACGGGAGGCCGGTTACTAGTATCAATAGTATTTGAAAAGTTCGAGATAGCATCATCTTGATTGTTGGTAAGACGAAGGAAGTGTCTCCAACCTCAGACTGCTCTCACTTGCAGAATTAAGTAGGCACCGCGAATCATACCAGTGATTCATTCATTCCGATGACACCAGCTAACAAACAACAAACGCAATCATTCACTAAGGTACCACAGTGTGTGGTCTTTTGCTTGGTATTTTCCCGCCGTCTATGCAACTCCAAATGCTCCCACATCGCCTAATCGCCCTCCCCAGATCCCCCTTTTTCGCAAGCACTTCACAATCAGTTCTTGTTGGCGTCTTCCTTCAGCGACACAATACGGTTGAGGATGATCTTGTCGTCGGTGCTATCGGAGTCGACAGCCTACAAATGGTTAGCTTTGAATTATAGACCCTCCTGTCGATGGGATCACTCACAAAGTAGGCAATACGAGTAGCCTGGAAGCGGACACTCTCCGGTCCACCCTTGCCAAGCTCACTCTCACCAGCAGCCTCGGGCCAGGGAGCGCGACGCTTGACCTCGTCGAAACCGCTCTCGATGATGGCTTCGGGGTAGACCACCTCGCTGTCGGGGTTGATGTCGTTGAGGAAGCCGCCCTCGGCGTCGTCTGGCTTCTCGCTCTTGAACAGTGAGTTGTGGATGCGGGCCTCCACCTTCTTGGAGCCGTCGGTGCCAACCCAGTTGATGAACGCCTTGGGCTTCTTCGTCTCCTTGTCGAAAACTGCGCGGATCTCGGTGACCTTGCCGGTGGTCTCGTCCTTGGTGTAGGATGTCGCCTTGATCGGGAAGGGGGCGTTGAGCAGACCGACGGTCTTGTTAGGAGCAAGGCGGAAGTAGTCCTTGCTGTCAACCTCTCTGAAATCGGCACGGTCAATGTACACAGTGGGGGTGAACTTGACGGTATGCGATCCCATCTTGGGGTCCTTGGGAGAGAAGGGGAGCTCGACATCAGTGGTCTCAGCATCCTCGATAACAACGGGAATGGGGTCTAGAACCATCATCAGTCTAGGGACGGTACGCTCGAGGTACTTGCGCACGGTCTGCTCGAAGCGCTTGATCTGGATAACCGAGACGGAGGTCGTGACACCCAACTCGTTGACGAAGTCGAGAATGGCTCCAGGGGGAACACCTCTCCTCTTAATACCAATCAGAGTGAACAGACGGGGGTCGTCCCAGCCGCGGACAATCTTCTCCTCGACCAACTTCAGAATCTTTCTCTTCGAGAGGACTGTGCCAGTGATACCCAAACGGCCGTACTCGCGCTGCATAGGCTCGTAGACGCCGAGAGTCTTGTTCAACCACTCGTAGGACACACGGCTCTGGACGAACTCTGTTGTGCAAAGAGAGTGGGTGATGCCCTCGAAGCTATCGCACAGGCAGTGCGTGAAGTCGTATGTGGGGTAGATCTTCCAGTCCCAGCCGGTGCGGTGGTGAGGGGTGTCGGTCTTGATGCGGTACGCCGCGAGATCCCACATCTGAGGGTTACCATCGGTGATGTCCTGCTTCATGCGAAGGAAGGCTTCTCTGGGCTTGTATTTTCCATCCTTCATATCTCTGAACTTCTGGAGGTTATCGTCGACGGTCTGGTTCGCGTGCTCGCATCTGAATCGGGGGCTGGAGCCCTTCTCTCCGCCGCGCTGGAGTTTGATCTCGGTGTCTGAAGGTTGGTTAGCGGGCGCAAAGTCGCACAGCACAGGTATGATTCTTACCACCGCAGTAGCACACGTAGGCCTTCTCCAGTGTGATCAGCTTCTCGGCAAGGTCGTACAGCTTCTGGAAGTTGTCGCTCGAGTAGGTAATCTTGTAAGGGGTGAATCCCAACCACTGGACCATCTCCTCGATCGCTGTGAAGTATCTCTCCTCCTCCTTCTCGGGGTTCGTATCGTCGAATCGCAGGTAGCAGACACCGCCGTGATACTTGGCGAAGCCGAAGTTGACGGCGATGGCCTTGGCGTGACCGATATGCAGACAAGGGGACAGTTAGTGGCATGACATACATCGGCCGATCTCTCAACACCTACTATCCATTGGGCTCAGGGGGGAAACGCGTAACGACCTTCTCAGATGGCCTCTCCTTGTAAACCTCCTCCAAGAAGCCCTGCTTGAACATGGCCTGGGGGTCCAGCACGACCTCCTCGACCTTGGGCTTAGGTGCAGCCTTGGGCTTGCTCTCACCACCGCCAGTGGCCTCCTTAGCAGCCTTGGCCTTCTCAGTGGCAGCCTTCTTTGCGCGCTTCGCCAATCGCTTCTTGAGCTCGCCCTTGCTCACCATCTCGCCCGTCTCCTCGTCGAGCTGGAGCTTGGCCGTCGACTCGGCCAGCTTAGCGGTGGGATCCGCGGGAGCGTCCGCCATTTTGTCGGTATTGAATTCGGAAAGGCAACGGCTGCGTAGGTTCTCGGGTATAGTGGGTATCGTGTCGTCGTTTGAGTTCGCGATCGGTTCAATTGAGTTCAACCCAGGAAGACGAAGGTCGAAAATGTGTCGTTGTGGTGGCGGGGCAGCACTTCTTTTACGGCGGGGATGACTCAACTGAATCCGGATAAGGAGGGGCGAGGGGCAGACGCAGTGACCTCCGTGCGACAGAGCTGATAAGATAAGTCCATATCGCGATATGATAATGAATGGCGCTAAGATAAAGCAGCTCGGCAGGCGCCTGACGCTCGACGCCGTCCTCGCAAGCTCCCAAACACGGGACCAAAAAAGTAGAGAACAAGTACAAAGGGTGTAATTGAGGTAATTTCCAGAATTAACGAAAACCTAAATCTGTTATTATAAGATCCTCCCACCGAGTGAATAATGAACCATCTTTGCTCCCTCCTACACCTTTTTCGCTGCCTCGTCCGAACTACCATCATCCTCCCAGGCTAATTCGATAAGCCGATAAGCACCGATAAGACAGCTCAAGCTCAGCGCGGGGCTCTTTCTTTCGTCATGGGCTCCCACCTCTCCCGCCTCTCCTGCTTTCACTCAACACCACCGCAACCGTCTCCCGCGCCGAACCCCGTCGCGAAACCGAACCCGAAAAGCCCTGCCAAGTCGCCCATGCCAGTTCGACAAGCCGTCAAAATGGCCACCACCGCCGCCGCCGACATCCCAACCGTCGAGCTCCTCTACAAGCTCGGCAAGCTCTCCGCCCCCACGAAGCCCCTCTTCCCGCCCAACGCGTCGCACAACCAAAAGGTCGCCGTCATCCGCGGCGACATCACCAAGCTCGGCGTCGACGCCATCGTCAACGCCGCGAACACCGGTCTCCTCGGGGGCGGCGGTGTCGACGGGGCCATCCACCGCGCCGCCGGCCGCGGTCTGCTGCAGGAGTGCCGCACCCTCAACGGCTGCGCCACCGGCTCTGCCAAGATCACCGGCGCCTACAACCTCCCTTGCAAAAAGGTCATCCACGCCGTCGGCCCCGTCTACGACGAGCTTGCGCCCGAGTCGTCTGTCGAGAAGCTCAAGGGCTGCTACCAGACCAGCTTGGAGCTCGCTGTCCAGAATGGCTGCCGCAGCATCGCGTTCAGCGCCATTAGCACCGGTGTTTACGGATACCCCAGCCGCGACGCCGCGCCGGTCGCCGCTGGTATTGTGAGGAAGTTCTTGGACGGAGAGAACGGCGATAAGCTGGACAAGGTCGTGTTCTGCACCTTCGAGATGAAGGACGTCAATGCCTACAACGACACTCTCCCGTACGTATTCCTCACTCTTCTTTTGCTTCCATTGATTGCTAACGGTAATGTAGTAACTTCTTCCCCCCTACCGATAAGAACGCGCCCCAAGAGGAGGTCTCAGACGGCCCGTCGAAGGAGGAGGCCGAGGAGGCCAAGGCGATCGCTGCAGAGCTTCCCAGCGTGCCAAAGGCCGATCCTTCTGCATAGAAACTTTCCTTTCGGCAGGGATTTTGGACCTTACAGATATCACCACGCTTTCCTCAAAGGAAGTTTGGGATACGGAGTTTGGGGAGTTGGGATGGGCAAAAGCAAGCCGGATAACATACCTATAGTATTCATAGCGACGACATGAAAGAGACGATTTCACATGAATCAACTGAGAGACGACGTCTACATACACCACAACGCTCTAGGCCTTGGCTACGAATTACTTTGACACTCAATCAGGGGTACCTGAGTGCTTCCCCTACTCAGGGCCACAAAACAGGAGCCTGATACTTCTGCAACATGGACAAGTTCAATTTGGTTTGGGGTCTCTTTTACCTCATTCATGTTCGATAAACTGACGGATTTGAGAAGCGGAAGACACGGCAAAGAATATGTGGCCTACCCCTTTTGACCCAACGTCACCACAGATGAACCGTAAGAACGTATCAGAGCTTCCGTTTTCTCAGTTCCATAGAAGATTTAGTACCCACCGAACGAAAAAAGAACTTGCGTTCGACAGGTGAACACGGGCTCAATCTTGCTCTTGAGGTGAGGTGAGGCACCTTGACATCTTGCCACTGTGGAACTCGGCGCTTGCCTCAAGAATCCTGGCGATTCCATTGCGGAAGGTTGCAAACCTTACCGCACCTTGACGACTCTTAGGGAAGGCACCAGGCTCGGGATTGCCCTATCTCGTTCGTGACCTAGGTACACCAACCATGAAAGCTGCGATGCTAGGAACAGCAGGATCAGACGTTCCCTCCAGCCTCCGCCGCCACCATCGCGCCTGCCTCTCCATGCTACCGGTGACCGTTGCTTGAGGTTACCATGGTCGAGTGGTTCTTGTCCATGAAAACTCATGATTTCGAAGGATTCAGTTCGATTCCTGCATGTATATTGTCGATATATTCATTTTGCTACCTGGTATATGTGGAATTCTGACGCCAAAGTATGCGGAGATGTACGGCCAGATGAGGCGAACATTTTGGTGCTGGCTGCACCTTGATAAAACGACAGGTGGATAACTCGTAAAAAAACAAAAAATATATAAAAAAGTGACTGCCCCCGCTTGGGGGCGTTGTCGGGCCCTCCGATAACTTTGAAGTGTTTTTAGCACTTTGCGACTGAGTCGCTGGCTTAGTAGCAGGCGCAATTTTGTTTCTCGTCTTTGGGTGAGAACTTTTGACATATTTTGGATTGATATAGGCATGCCTCCGTCTGCAGGGAAAGCAGGTGATGCTGCTACTCGCGACGGAAGGAAGGTCTTGCCTTCTTCTTGCCTGTCCCAGTGGTCAGGGCATGTCGAATGTCGCTCCTATGAGGTAAGAGGCTGGTCCTTCCCTAGAGCTCAAGCAGGCGCGTGAACATGAACTGTGATGAGAAAGCAATCTTGGAGCAACAGGGTCTCTCCTTGAGAGATTCCGTGTCAGACTTCGTAGATTCTGGTTCTGAGTTCGCATACATATAATCTCTTACAAAGCCGCCTCTCGTGGTACAGACCGAGAGGGGTTAGCACTTTGCGACATCGTCGCTGCCTCACATTCGAAACACGAATACGTGAACAGTGATGAAAACATCAATCGCGGAGCATATTTCTCTATTGTGGAGAAGCTGTAAGACTTCATCGATTGTGCTTCTGAGTTTGCAGGAGTCCTAATCGGGCGCTCTCGTTGCCCAGACTCACTGTGCTTAGCACCTTGCGACGTTGTCGAAGGCGCAGCAACGAAAAGCACAAGCATGGGAATAATGATGGGAAAAGAAAGCACGGCACAGGTCTTCCTCCTACGTGTGGAAAGGCTCCGCAGATTGCCTCTCTGAGGTCCTGGGCATGATGAGATCCTCTAGTTTTTCATGACTCCCTCTATTGCTTGTACTCCCTTCTTGTTTTATCGAACAGTTGCGAATATGTTGGTACGAAACCGCGAATTCAGTTACGTCTTTCCTCAGAGTTGGGTGGTGATGACACGACGCCGGACTACAACACAACAAACCTACTATCCAAACCGCCTAGGTAGGTAGGTCCAGTCGGGTGCAATTAGGTAGGCGTGATTCATCCAGGGGATTTCCCTTCCTTCCTCTCTTCTCCAATGCCAAAGCAAAACAACCAAATGGGCAGGACGAACTCGAGACCTTCACCTTCCCCGGACAACCACGGGCGGCTGCCTTCTGTAGACGGTTGCTACTGTGCGAGGATCGATGGCCGAGTTGGCATCAACACGAAACCGGTTGAATCCTTGCAAGACGCGTTCGATTCTCCGTTGATGCCATTATCTCAGACTGTTTTGCTTCCGAGGCCGCGCATCGCACCTCGAAGTTCGATGCACCAGAATAACAGCACAAACGAGCGTGTTTTTTCGGTGCCGCTTTGGGCCCAAACAACATGCAAAAAAGAAATCCCCGCGAGCCATTTATAGAGTCAAACGGTCCCTCAGATGTATTATGCGCGCTTCTCCCTCTATTTGCCCTAGCTTGTAGCTAGGATCATCATTAGCGGGACCGTTCTTCTATACTGTGTTGAAGACTTCGGCAACTTTTTCTATTAAATACCCTTCTCTCCTAATGGAGAAAGAAAAGAACATGCGGAGATGTGTGGAAGGCGGCGAGTGCTTCTTTGGCAGCACCTTCCCAAGAGAGTAGCTTTGAGGAAGCGCTGATTAAGTGTCCTTCACCCCAGAAAGCAATCTCCAGAACCTGGACACTGGTGAAACGTAGAGATCTTTCTCGGAATCCGGGGTGGGCTCGATTTCCGGTTGAAAGAGACCCGCCAACTCGTCCAACTGATCTGCGTCAAATATCCCTTTCTCCTGAAACACGTCAAACACCACATCGACTTGCTTCCAACTGAGTCCCGTCCGAACGGTTGGCTCACAATGCGCTGACTCCGAATCGGCTGCCCAACGGAGATGGTCATACCCCGCAGCACTGGGTATGGATATATGTCTCTTCGCGCCATGCCGTATGAGAAGTTGACAGGCTTGGAAGATGTTTCGTGGACCAGGGCGAGATCCATGATCTAACCGAGCGATGAAAACCGCCCAATTGAATTCAATTTCCGAATACTCTCCTCTACAGCGAATAACGCCGTCCAGAAGCTCCAGGTCAATCAAGTCAGACGTTGACCAGGTGGCATAGTCGCCAACTTCGACGGTAACATTGCCTTCCAGGATATATGATTCGAGCGTCTTTCGATACCTCATTCGGGGGTAGCTCGCCCAACCTTGCCTTAGTGAAGGCTGTGCCATAAGTAACTGGGCCATGGCTTGGGCTATCAATAATTCCATGCCGTTGATGTTGATTCCGGTTTCCGTCATGGCGTTTACGACTGAAAGGCATCTGTATAGTCTCTCGCAAGTTATCCAGAGGTTTTCTCCATCACGCCACAGCTCGTCAGGCTCAGCCTCTTCCATGCAATAGACAATTCTGAGGATGAAATCAACACAGATCTCTGCGGAAATGTATTCCATATCAATACTGCAGAAAAGTAACGCAGCAGACAAAAAGTACCGAGGACTATGTCTCAACTGTGATTCGAATTGCTGTAGAGAACCTGACCCGCGGAGGAAGTCAACCACAGTCCGATGAAGAAAGCCAATGCGGATGCTTGTTGAGTCGTCTCCGTCAACTTGCCATGACTGAACTAGATCGCGGCACCGCGCAAGGACTTGGTCCCTCTTCTGTTCACGTGATAGAGTCTCTATCACTCTAGACCCACGTGAGAGTCTTTCGATGTTCTTTGGATGCCAAGCTGACGATAACTCGACGTTGTACAGCAGGTGCCTTTTGGACCTGAATTTCGAGCTACTTGATGGTGATGGGGGTAGATCTGAAGCGATTGATGGGAGTAGGTCCAAAGCGATGAAGACATCAATCGGCAGAGGCGCGCTAGATGACAGTAATAAGATAAAGTCCAGTCTTGCTTCTTCTCGGTAGACATCTTCGACGGAGTCCAGCATCCGTTGGAAGAACTGATAAAGATCAGATGGAAGTTGCGATAGTCTTTGTTGGAGAATGTCAAAGCCGTCTTGGTTGTTGAGTCCTCGAAGAATCGACTTGACCACCAGCGATACCCAAAAGAATACGCCTTCAGCTTTGTTAAATATAGTTTGAATCAGTCGTTCTGACGATTCTCGCTGCTCCATACGTAGATCTCTGAACCGCTGGTTTTGTCCCAGATTGTCCTCGATGAACATTCTCATGTCTTCTCGAGTCAAATGTTGCATTTCGAACTGCCAAGGACCATGGCCGAAAGCCTCTGAAAACTGAGACCAAGGCCTGCTTGCGCAACAGACTTTAATGTCTGAGAATCGTGCAATCGCGCTAAGAAATACCACCAGGGCCTCATGATCCCCAATGTACTCATCTAGCCCATCAACAAGGAGCAGAACGCGGCGTGGAAGCTCGTCAAAGCTCCGAAGCTTGTCAAACGACTCCGATAGCTCCTCTATACTCCAAGTATCCAGCGCCAGAAATGGGTTTAAGTACCTCCGAGAGCATACTCGAGGTATGATTTCTGGACAATGCACCAAGATTTGGAACAGCAACGTCCTGAGCAACCCCTCTTGAGACCTCTGGAGCCGACTTCCAACACTCCAGAAGAAGTGACGGGCGATGACCAAAGGTTTTGATCCAGACCATTTGCGTGCCAGCGGAAGGGTCTTGGGATGGTTCAGAATGAGCTTCATTAACGTGGACTTCCCCGAGCCAGGTTTGCCAGTGATCCAGAAGACGCCACCACTAGGCTTTTCAAGCCAAGAGCAGAAGTTGACCCTGGAAGATTCGTCAAACATCCATTCGAACGTGTCCTTGTGGGCTTGCAAGATCTCATTCTGTCTCTCCTTGATCTGGGTGAACTTGAGAGACAAAAGGATGTCCCTGATGGCACCTTGCTTTTTAGATTCGTCTGCAAACCTTGACAAGGAGCCTGCGAACGAGAGCATCTGAACAGAATGGACTTCTGATCCCGAGTGGAGCAGGTCTCTAAGCTCCTTGGCCATGGCGTCCAGTCGCCGTCTTGTGGCATCGTTCCAGGCTGCGGATGCTTCACCCAAGGACAGCATCATTTCCGAAGTTGACATCGATACACGCGTGTTTCTACCGCAGGCATTAGACTTCATCTTAAGCAACGACATAAATCAAGTACACACTGGATAAGTCCTTCAAGTCTCCCAAAGATTTCAGTTTTAACATCCATCATTCTGGAGTGAAGACCTTCGATGGCGCTCTTCTTCCAGTTGGCTTTGACGGAAACGACAAATTTCGCCCATCTTGGATCGCGTTTCCCGGCGGCAATCGTGAGACTCTCAAGCTGCGAGAGCAGTTCATTTGCTATTTTGATACAGCGACGCAAAAGCTCCATCGTGATGGCATCCGCTCGTACCCCGGCATCGCTTTGAAGTTGGGTACATCGGTCTTTGAGGCTGGTGGTTATGGAGCTGAGGTCGACATGCCGTGCCGCCAAGCCTTCGGTGTCGATGTTGCGGTACGTCTCAATGATGGATTTCGTGACTTTGAACCCAAGTTCCAGGAACTGGACAATGTTGGCGGCAACGCCAAGCGCCGCGAGAGATTCGGCCATCGTCACCTGCCGACCGTAGGAATGAGCAGATGTTGGATTGTGGTGTTGGAACACCGCCTGAAGGGAGATTGAAAGGAGGATGAATCGCGCAGCTCAGATCAGGCTGGGAGTTCGGAGTGCGCAGGAAGGTAGTAAGCAAGGCAGAATTGGCTGTTGCGGGTGTGGCACAGCAATGTCAGCTGGTTTTCTGCTGCAACTTTCATTCGTTCGGTTAAACACCAACCATATCACCACCAGACAGTTGAGAATCTCGTGATTAGTGACATCTCAAGTGCCAAGATTCAAGCTGGTTCAACCGTAATCATGTTTCTTTGGTACACATAGCGCGCTGCCGCTAAATCTTCGTGTTCTCGATACCGGCCAGAGCGAGAATTTAATTTGAATTTAGAAGTTCCGTTAGGACAAGGGTTGCCGAGGAGGCTCGCATAAGATGTGCTGCCTTGACGGGATGAAGTGGCTTGCCAAAGGCAACGGCTGTCATCGCTTATTGATATTAGTGATTAAGCAATTCAAGAAACTCCGGGAAACGAAACAAGACTTATGTATCTGCAACAATATGCGGGTGATGCTCGTTCCTAATGCCTTGAGAAACGAAGCCTTTGCTGACCCAACAGAAAAGACGGTGGCCCAAGGCAGTGGAGGTCGCAAGATAGTTGACAGCTGCCGAGAATAACATACCAATTTTTGGTCCATGGTTTTATTGCACGGGTACTCAAAACTCCAGCGAAAAGACAGCTTCCGAGTCAGGCAAATGGACCTCTGAACATGGCGTCCGACGAGTGAAAGACCGGAGGTCGTTGGTTTAAGGGCCGTTTTCCCGGGGGCATCAAAGACTATCCCAAATCCCAAGTGCTCCACAGTCCCCGCCGTCGGGCACTTGTCGCCTCCCGAAGCTACTGCATGATCTACATGACGCGGGTCGTAACGCATGTGAGTATCCGAAAACACCGCGCCTGATTCGTTAAGATCGTTTCGCGATGGAGTTCTAGCGGGTCCTCCCTCGTCACTGCCAACCACGTTAAGTTGCAATTCGAGATCTGTCGGTTAGTTATTCCGACATGTCTGCGACGATGCCTTAGAAAATAGCCTCATTCACTTCAGAATTGGTTCCTAGGCTTAAGTAATACGGACGGTAAATTTTCACCTCAAACTCGAACTCAGAGATTATAAATAGCGGTCCGGTTGCTGACTTTCAAATTGCTTTCTCATCAGTTCATCCCATCAAGGCAGACTTGAGTCGCCCTCGTTTCTTCTCAACACCACCTTCTGTGACGGGTTGTCACACGTTCTTTTCAAATGGATGTCATCCAGACTCCAAAACATCTCCTTTCCTCGTGGTCGGAATCATCTTACTTCACAAACCTGAACATCTGGTCATCCTTAGCTCTCGGCATCGTCATCCTCAGCCTCTTTACCACGATACCCCACTTACGCAAACCGTCTCGCAAGCTTCCTTGCATCAACCCAAGACAGTCGTTGGATCTCTTCAATCAGAAGAGAAAGACTCTTTTCTTGTTCAATGCCAGAAAGTTGATGGAAGATGGCAGAAAGCAGTTTGCTGGGCAGCCATACAGGCTCATGACGGATGTTGGCGAGACTGTTGTCATCCCACCGGAATTCGTCAACGATATCCGCAACGACCCAAACCTCAGCTTCATGCAGGCATTTGCTGAGAACTTCCATCCCCATCTGAACGGATTTGAAGCCTTCGCAGTTGGAAACAGGCCCGATGAGCTCTTCCAACTAGTCATCAAGAAGCGAATCACCAAGCTGTTGAGTAAGTTGTCGTCAACTCAGCTCTCACTGATGTTACCCCACACCCCACATTGTTGTTGTGCCCTCCACATTGGCTTCAGTTCACCTCTACTTGCCTTGGATCAGATGAATAACTAATACGCATTTGATTCTTCCAGATCAGATCACCGAGCCCCTATCGTCCGAAGCCAAGCATGCCGTCGATCTGCGATTTGGAACATCTAACCGTAAGCCTCAACCCCACACCCACTCGAACAAACTCGAATAAGACGACTGACACACGACCCCACATACAGAATGGCGCGAGTTCAACATCAAAGACGACGCCTTGGATGTCATTTCTCGGCTTTCATCCCGCGTCTTTCTCGGCGCCGAAGTATGTCGTAACGAAGCATGGCTCCACATCACGAAATCCTACACTGTCAATGCCTTCATCGGCGCTGAGACTATGCGCATCTACCCCAGCTGGTTACGTGGGGTAGCTCAATGGTTCGTGCCCCAGTGCAAAATTCTTCGAGAACAAGTCGCAGACGCAAGACGCATCATTGAGCCGGTTCTCCAGCGGCGCAAGGACCTCAGAACTCAGGCTCAGGCCAGAGGCGAGCCGGTTCCCAGATTCAACGATGGCCTGGACTGGTTCGAGGAAGATAGTAAGGGGAACCAGTATGACCCTGCTGGTGCACAACTGGGACTATCGGCTGTTGCTATTCATACCACAACAGACCTTCTCGTCGAGACAATGCTACGAGTCGCAGAGCACCCTGAACTCTTTGATGCTCTGAGAAAGGAGCTTGTGGAAGTTCTCAGCGCTGAGGGTTGGAAGAAGACCGCTCTTTTCAACATGAAGCTTGCAGACAGCGTGTTGAAGGAGGCGCAGAGACTTAAGCCAGTTACTTCAAGTAAGTTCAGACACGTAAGTGCAGCAGACAGATACTGATCAGGTCTAATAGGCGTCATGTTCCGTGTTGCCACCCGGCCCGTCACACTTCCGAATGGTCTGCAACTCCAGACAGGCGAGCGGTGTGTTGCCGATCTAGGGCAGATGCAAGACCCCGAAGTCTACGAGAACCCCCATGAGTTCGACGGATACCGCTTTGCACGCATGCGTGGCAGCCCTGGTCTTGACAGTCAGGCTCACCTTGTCAGCACTTCTCCTGCACACTTGGGCTTTGGTCATGGGCAGCACGCCTGCCCCGGCCGTTTCTTCGCCGCCAATGAGTTGAAGATTGCATTGGCGCACTTGATCATGAAGTACGACTGGCACCTCACTCCTGGATACAAGCATTGCTGGCAGGAATATGGTTTCGGTTGGTCCTCTGACGGGACTGCAAAGCTGCTAATGAGGAGAAGGGAAACCCCAGAGATCGATATCGATACGCTTTGAGCCAGTCGTTTCAATTGGACGTATTTAAAGGATTTCGTTCGCATGTTGTCATAAAATCAGAGGATAGAAGGTCGAGCGGGTGTTGGATTGTCATACTACACGCCCGAAATAATACCAGACGTAGAGGTAGAAGCAGGAATAAGCCACACGCACATGATCCAATGTCTCGGCGTATGCAATGATGTGAGAATCACTTGAACCCACGGGACGGCTCGCCCATGCCGATCTACAAATTTATACGAGTGTAAGCGGGTATCCAGCCACTATGATTTGTGCGAATCGCTGCAGGTCGGGCACTTCTCCTCTTTCTCACAAAATTGTGGCCCCCGACCCTGCATGATCTTGCGCTCGCTAAACCAACAGAGCTGTTGGCACAGGGGTTTCACGGATCTACCTTCCGTAAAGCGTAAGGAAATGTACAATTGGTACGAAATCCCACATGATTGCATATCGTCCTGCAAGGCGCATTCTGGTAAGATTGGATAGATGCCACCTTCGATGTAACTAGGTGATGAGGGGTCGTTCAGTAGGGCTTGGACTGAAACATGTATATCAGAGCGTTTGCCGTCCGCAGTTGTTCAATCTACAAGATTTCGAATCTCTGGGATTAGTGCTAGACTAAAGCAAGAGCACAAAATGCAAGACTCAACGCTCGTGATCGGCTTCATCGCCGTGGTTTTGGCTGTCTACGTTGTAGACAGGTTGATCCAGGCGAAGAAGAATGCCAACCTTCTTCCTCTTCCTCCTGGACCCAAGGGACTCCCACTCTTAGGAAATTTGCTCGACTTGCCGAAAACTGGCACATTTGAGGCTAAACATTGGGCAAATCTTGCTGAGCTGCATGGTGAGTACATGATTCCTCTCCACAGACTGCATCTGAGTTAACACGCACATAGGACCTATCAACTCAGTCAGCGTTATGGGGAAAACTCTCATTTTGATTAACGACAGCCAGTTGGCGCTTGATATGTTGGAGAAACGATCAACATTCGCTTCTAGACCGCAATTCCATTTCGCTGGAGATATGTGAGTGATTGCTGATGCTCTGAACTTTGAGATGTTTTCTGACACGGACTCAGCATTGGTTGGGGACGAATTACCGCCGCTATGAGATACAACAACACATTGCGAGATCACCGCAAGAGCTTCGCACGTGTCATCGGAACGAAGTCGCTGGCTGCACAGTACCACGAAATGCAAGAAGCCGAGAACGCACACTTCCTTCTTCACTTGTTGGATAATCCCGACATTCTCAGAGATCATATCAAGAGGCAAGGCAATGTTTCGAACCTGAACTTATTGCCTGGGGTAGAGTGACTAATTGGTGGAATATAGACAAGCAGGCTCTTCTATCCTGAAAGTTGTTTATGGCTATAACGCGGAGCAAGAGAAGAGGGATCCTCTCATCGACATGATTCAGCGTTCCATCGATGACTTGTCTTTAGCTGCGGTCCCTGGAGCCTTTTTGGTTGACATTCTTCCAATTCGTAAGCTTCCAAATCCGCCATGGATTCATCCTGGTCCAAAGATTGCCCTATCCTGACTCTTTCTAGTCCGCTATGTTCCAGATTGGGTTCCCGGAACGGGCTGGAAAAAGACAGCGAGGAGGTGGGCATACGAACTGAATGCTGCGATCGAAACACCCTATGAATTCACGAAGCACCAGCTATCCGAGGGAAGAGACAACCCATCCTACATCGCAAATCTTATCAGGACCAGCGAGAACACCCCCGAGCAGATTCATAGTCACCAGTGGTCATCTGCAGCTCTATACAGCGGCGGTACTGATACGGTAAGCATAGGCCCAATATGCTGTTCGTTTGCTCTATGGTGAACTACGAGCTAACCCATGCATGTTCGCTGCAGACCGTGTCTACTACCGCTTGTTTCTTCTTGGCTATGACGATGTACTCCGACGTCCAGGCAAAAGCTCAAGCGGAGATCGACCGTGTGGTTGGCACTGGACGCTTACCTAGTCTCGAGGACCGGGAGGCTCTTCCGTATGTTGAAGCCGTCTTGAAAGAGACGTTGAGGTGGCACACCGTAATTCCTATGGGTCTACCTCATGCTGGTGAAGAGGACACCACTTACGAGGGATACCGTATTCCAAAAGAGGCAATGATTATGCCGAATATCTGGTACGTTCAGCAGATCTCATCCGCTCATACGAGGCTAACATCATTCCTTCTTTCACAGGCGCTTTACCCATGACCCGGAAACCTATCACGATCCTGAAGAATTCCGGCCAGAGAGACACTTGGAAAGTGAAAACCATCAGCCGGAGACCGACCCTCGGAAATTCGTTTTCGGTTTTGGGAGACGCATTTGCCCTGGTAGGATATTTGCGGATAACGCGCTGTTTCTCACCTTTTCGCAGTCTTTGGCTGTTTTCAACATTCGAAAGAAGTCTGTTGATGGCAACATTGTTGAGCCCAAGATGAAAAGCATGCCGGGTTCTATCAGCCATTTGGGTCACTACGAAACTTCGATCGAACCACGCTCTGCTCACCACGAAGACATGATCCACTCTCTTGAGAAACGATATCCATGGCCAAAGTCTGATGGGGAGACACTGAAGAGAATGGTACCTCCACAGGTGAAGAACGTATCCATTTGAATGGTGGAATAGCGAGATATATATGACCAGATCATAAGGGTGGCTGCATTGTATTGCGCGGCGTATTGCATTTGGTGGAATAGAAATACGGGTTAGCGAGTCGATCGAGAACTTGATCAAATGGACAGGGCTTTACTTCGGATTGTTGGCTAATAGCCGAGATGTTCGGCGCTTAATTTGTTCTCAAAATATCATAGTGACTCCCATTTGGAACCCCGGTTGGGACCATGGAACTTAAAACCGGCGTCAGCCTCTATGTCCTGCGGCCCGTTGACGCACCTCGTTCGATGAAGGTAAGCCGTTGGTTCGTTGCCTCACCGTTGCCTCGCCGTGGCTTGAACCGCCAATCATTCCCTTGCGCGAAGCGCCGACGTAATCAACGCGCTCCCCGCACTTAAGACGTCCATTAGGTCGCGTTCTTTTCATCGTTTCATGCTCCTTCAAATACGGATTTTCACTGCAAAATAACACCAACCTGCCGATTCGTGTCAGCCCTCGCTCCTCAAAGACAGAGATTACGTGGCTGATTGCATTCAGTGCCGGTCAAGACGACTGCTAGACAATGTCATTGCCAATTCACCCAGCCGTCGGCGCAATGTTTGCTAACGAGTCTCGACGGCGGACAGACCCTAATCCAACGGAGACCGATCATTTGGGCAACGTCTATACAAAGTCAGACGTGTTCGTCTATCGCCCTCTGGATCCCACCGTCGACTGCACACGCTTCGTCGCAATCGAGCCAGCCGACGATGAAGATAGTCCTGTGGTCTGCAGACTGGTTCACTTACCATTCGGGCAACGCCCAAAGTTCGAAGCTCTCTCGTACACATGGGGAGACGACAACCCCAATAACGCTATCACAGTAGACGGCTGCAAGTTCGAAGTCCGGAGTAACTTACTCGACGCCCTTCGGTTTCTACGAAGACAGGTTTCTCAGGATGCCCTTTTCTGGATCGATGCACTATGCATCAATCAGAAGGACGCCGACGAGAGGAATCGGCAGCTGCGCATGATGGGGCAGATTTACTTCAGGGCCAGCCAGGTGATTGTTTGGCTCGGCAGGAAATACTCGAAGTTTCAAGAGACGATAGAGAGAATATCTGCGGAGTCTCCGACTGCCAATGATGAGGAAACAGAGCAAGACATCTCAGAGAGGACTCAAAACAAGATCAAAGATGTGGAGAGCGCTCTGTTGGCCAAGTTGGTTTCAGACGATTACTGGGATAGGCTGTGGATCATTCAAGAGATTGGGCAAAATGACGAGAAAAAGGTGTGCTTTGGCACCACGTCGATGTCATGGGAGAATTTCATCCATACGGTCACCCATCACAGCCATTTCAACGGCGAGGGACCACTCCGACTTGATCGCCATCTCAAAGAGAAGTACACCGGTTCTCACACCTTGAGACGTCTTCTTGTGGAACATCGCCTTGCAAAATGCAAGGACAGAAAGGATAAGGTCTACGGCTTGGTCGTACTGGCTGCCGATGGCCACGGTTTCCCGATGGACTACAGGAAGTCTTTGATGGAGATTTGGACCGACACAATGCGATTCATGAACGCGCGGCAACTCTTTCATCCCACGTCAGAATCTGACATCATGGACATGGGCCGCTTGATCAAGTCTCTGCTCATGGAGCCGCATTCGTCACCACTTCAACAAGTTGGACGGCTTTATGAAGCCAAGACTGACCCAAAACTCATAATCGAGAGAGATCATGTATCAAACAACGCCGATGTCTTCCCCGTCAAGTCCTACGTTCTCGGTAGCATCGTCCATGTTGGGCCGCCAGCAAGAGACATGGTGTCTAACATTGGGAAAGCCAACGAGTGGGCCGAGAGTGTCCAGCACAACTTTTCATCTGATCTCGGGGAGGCATATGAGGAGAGTTGTAAGATTTTGCGGGCAATACTGGCCTCAGACGACGCCACACTGGCTGGGAAGTGCTTCGATCACTTAGGCCTTGTAAAATGGACCGCCATGCCATTCAAATATCGCAATTGGGACGGATATGGATTCTCCAGTACCGGGAGGCTACAAGACCACTACAAAACCCCAAACCCTGACTGTGATGAGACAGCGGAATTGCACGTCGATGCAGATAAAATCAGGGCACCCGGGGCAGGCTCTGTAAATAAACAAGACGGGGTGGCAGATGTTTATTTGTATCAACTGGAGGACAACACTTCCAGATCTCAGCCATGGAAGATGGGAATTGTTTCAGCGCAAGCGCGACGGGGCGATCTCATTTGCTGGATACGCGAAACCAGCCGAGCTGTCGTTGTACGAATGTATCAAGGGGAGTCACAGTACGTTACCAGCAGCTTACAAGTTTGTGGGACAGCAGTGGTCGGAGAAGACGTTCGCGAGTCACAGCCAAACCATGTAGATCGCTGTCAGACTGTATGGAATAACACGACTCTCAAGCTAGATCCGGCGACAATTTTTGTATTGATCGATTAGTTGGTTATTAATTAGGAGTAGTACACCTATTCAACTTCCAATATTCGTCCTTTTGGAGAAGCAGTTTTTCAGTCACCACATCGCTATTTCGTTGTTTCATAAACGTACATGTAAATTAGACCGCACATCCACCCATAGAGCTTCGAACGTTCAAGAGTTTGCTAAAACCAAATAATGTGGCGATGGAGGTATTCCAACATCGTGCTGCCGTAAGAATTGTCGAACGCTATGTGCTCTTTGTCTTCCCATTTGTTTGATACTTACGGCTACGTGTAGCATCCCCATTTTCTTTCACAAACATGATCCACGCTGCAGACAGATGCCGGAGAGTTTGCTGTGAAAATTGACGCTGTTTTCGAGTGACTATCAGCTCATGTCACTTCTGTACCTGATTGTTTATCGTTAGACATGAGTCAAGTTGCTTCTGATAACTCCACATGTTTGCGATTGGCAGAGATCGTCACATCTTTCGGGGTAACTGAATACCAGGATAGCCCTGATAAGAACGAACGATGAACAGAACACGGTTGACTTCAAGATTCGATCGATTGGACTCGAAAGCTGTATCAAAAGTCACAGCTTCCTCGGCGGGTGAAGCTCGAAAACACCCTTCTCAATGATTAGGTCAAGTGAGTGACTGCACATTCGTACTTGAGTCGGACTGTCGAAGGCTTCTGGTAGAATTTCTGACCGGAATCAACATCTAGACCACTGACTCGGCAGGCGCTGGCGTCAAGATTACCACCAATAAAATGTCAGCATGGTTCTTATCACGCCGCAATTTAACATCGACTGGGGAACCCCTCTAATACCCGGCCACAGAGGGGAACCCATAAAGCTTTGCTTCGTGTACTCTCATAAGACGTCGCTACTAGTGACTACATAACGAACGTAGGTCAGGCGAAGTGTTCCTTTTTCGACGTCAGCCAAGTACGACCCCAAAGCTTAGCCAATATGTCTGCATCACAAACAGCGCGCCCACTCATCTTATATGCTGTTCCCCCGAGGGAGGGTCACATGCGACCAGCTTTACAAATCAGCAAGCATCTGACACAAAGAGGATTTGATGTTACTATCCTGGGAACCAAAAGATGGAAGCCGACCATTGAAGCAATCGACGCACATTTCAGTCCCATTATCGGCCTATGGGGAACGTTGGATGATCCAGGACGCTGGCCGGATATTGCGCATGCATCAGACCCCACGGCTCGGCTTGCAGCGTCTCTCGACGGAGGGTTCACTTCACTTCTACCTAGCGGACTCGAGTCCGTCCGCTTCGCACTTGCCGGAATACGCCGAAGACAGCCAAAAGCTCAGATTATTGTGTTATCGGACACGTGCTTTTCGGGAACCTTGGCCTTGAAACTGGGTACAGACTTGCCGGAAGGTTTCGACGAGGGAGAGGAGATTAAGACAATAGGTATCGGAGTGGTGCCAACGTTCTGGTCAAGTCCGGAGCGACCTCCTTGGGGATCTGGATTGTCATTCGACGACAGCGAGGAAGGCAGGAAAAGGAACCTTCGTGTTCTGCGAGAAACGTGGAGCAACGCCGCCGAAGAGCGTGCAAGATGGGTCTTGGGTATGATGGGATGCCAGAAACCGCTGGAGTCTTTATACGACAGCCTCCCAACAAACATCGAACACCCTTTCTGGGATGCGACGACAATTTGCCACGACGTCACGCTTCAGATGTGCCTGCCATCTCTCGAATTCCCGTCCAGCGACTGGCCATCTCATATCAAATTCGCGGGAACACTGCCGATCAAGCCACTGCCGGCGAGCCTCATATATCCACCATGGTTCCAGGAGATCATCATAAACAGCGCTTCGCTGCATGCATCAATACCCGGACGAAAGAAGATCATCTTCGTGGCCCAAGGAACGGAGGTGTTGGATCACCGCGAACTCATACTCCCAACGATGCATGCACTATCTGCCAATCCCGACGTTATAGTCGTCGCATGCCTATGTGTCTCCGGCGCAACACTGGACACGAGCAGCTTTCCCGAAAACAGACTGCCCGATAATGCGCGAGTGGTGGATTACTTCCCGTACGATGCGATCTTGGCTCACGCCGATGTCTTCGTGTCGAATAGCGGATACGGCGGGTTTCAGCACGCAGTTTCCAACGGGGTACCGATGGTCCAGGCTGGGAATTCCTTCGATAAACCAGACATTGGGAGGAGAATCGAGTGGTCTGGGCTGGGGGTATTTTTGGCAGATTCTCCTGCTACGACGGAGTCTCTTGAGAAGGGGTTGAGAGAGGTTTTGACGCAAGATGCATACAAGAAGAGGGCAGAGGAGTTGAAAATTGAAGCCAGGTCCTTCGATCCTCTGCAGAAAATAGAGGATGAGATAATGGCGTTGGCGGAGGAATAATGTGTTTGTTTTATGAAGCCTACGGAGCGTATTCCTTCAGTAATATCACAGGCGTTGCCAGAATCACTCCCCGTGTAGGAATTCCGCTGTGCTTCAACTAGAGAGTCTTGTTTGAATTCATTTCTCACATTCTCCGGCGAAAGCGAATGTCGATGGGTCGTGATAGCCGTCAATCAATACCTTTCCTGGTGTCGGGGATCGCACAATGCACGTTCGGTAGACGATCCGAGACATACCCGGAGCTCGTCCGCGGGATTTCGGGAGAGGAGTCCTTGTTGGAGCCGGGGTTCAGGGGTCAAGTCGCACCTCCACTCTTAATTGAAATGAACGCGCCAAAAGCACTCGAGGAAGCCAACGATATTGCCAGAAATGACGGGAAGATGCATTATCAGAGCAGGCTCAGCTCGGAATTCCGCGTCCTGCAGTACCATAGTCACGGCTGTTATTCCTGGTCGAATACTTGAGCAATGACAAGGACGACGGATAATAAGGACAATACTAGAGGTACTAGTAGCAGAGCAATACCGGCAGCGAAGGCAATACTAGAGCGACTAGCAGCAAGGACAATTGCAGAGGTAGAGAAGTAAACGACTGCAATTGCCGGCAGCTCAACGGCCGACTTATCCGTGATCTTCATGTATTTAGCTTCGACAAAGGTGCGCTCTGGAGATGAGATTCCCTCGTATGCCAGGCAAGCGCAAGGGGCGGCCCCAGTCGGGGAGTAACCTTGCACAACGACCTGCCAACTGAAGCTAGCGGCTCATGTGGTGTACACCTTCTCCAGTATTTCAAATGTTAGCAGTACAGGGGTTTACTGTTACTACCTGCCCGTAACTTCTATTCAACTAGTAACAGTAGGCCCGTCTCACACTAACATTTGAGACGCTGGAGTGGAAGGTGTAGACAAAACAAGCTCATGCGATTGATATGAACGCCCACTTTACGCGATATGGTGACATCGCAGGACCCAGACGGCGGCCGAATCTCTGCCCACGCGAATTGTGGATGACGATTACAAGATGGGCAAGTTATGGAGGGATATAAGGATGCGAGGAGACTGCGCGAATGCTTGGCTTTTCAGGCCAGCTTTCTGCGGTACTCCGGGTCGAAAGCCAAGTCCGTCTGAACCGACTTCAAGATGCGAAGCTCCTTTGCTGCCGTGCCGGCTCTTCTGGCCAGCGTTGTTGCTGCCCTGAACAACTCGACGACGACGACAACGGCGCCCGCGTACGGCTCTCCGACCGAGCCTTGTGCTGCCGTCAGCGCAGCGTGGGCATCTCAGCACGCTGCTGCCCCGACGGGTAAATATGTCCTTTCTCGTGATGTCCTTTCTCGTGCAGCGGTTGTGTCAGGAGCGATGCTAATTCAAAGCCTCAGTCACCCCCACCGTGCCTGCCCAGTTGGCTTATGACTGCTTGAACTCCGTCCCCCTTGGAAAACAAGAAGCCATCGACTTGGTCGACTCAATCGTGCCCTACCTGGAATGGCAGAGTGACGCCGCCTACAAGGCGGACCCCCCAGCCGATTACGATTTTCCTGCCTACGATATGTTCGCTGCGCTTGAAACTATTCGAAGCAATCTTGTTTCCGACGTTTATACTAGTGAATACGCGTTCCAGTCTGCCTTATATGAGGAGGTATTCGGCCCTGGGCATGATGGGCACTTCGTCTACTACCCGGATCTGTTGACTGCTGTTTTTGAGTGGACCCGTGAGCGCGCTCTCGTCTCCATTAGCGAGGACGGCTCATCTCTACCTGTGATCAAGGTCTACGGTAAGATAAGATCCATTCAGATTGGGCGTTGCACTAACAAGGTCTCAGAGGATGTCGTTTCATCTCCGGAGACTGCCTCCGCCGTCAAGCTCATCAACGGTATTGATGCTGCAAAGTATCTCGACGAGACCATCAACAAGGCCAACTGGAATCGCGACGCAGATTCGGCTTATAACTCTGTCTTTTTCGAGCAGTCTTTGTTCGCCACAACAGGCGGAAAGGGCTACTTCAGCTCTGGGGGTCGCATTCGGTAGGTTTCCAAGTGAGATCGTCTCAACTCGAGCTAATCCACTCAGTTACGTCTACCAAGGCGCCAACACCACTCTCACATTTGAGAACGGCACCGAGGTCACCTTTGAGAACCACGCTACTATCAAGAAGGCACTCACTGACGTCGTCGACGGTCCGTCTTTCTACGCCAAGTTCTGCAACCCCCTCAGCCCGGCTGCCGATACCCCTGCAAGCACGACCCCCTCCAGCTCCGGCTCTGGTGCCCTTCTCCCGGGTTACCCCGCCCCCGTTATCACTACCCCTGACGGTGTGGTCTCTGGATACTACCTCGAAGGCGAAGGCCTCGAGGATGTCGCCGTCATCGTTCTTACTGCCTTTGAGAGCGAAAGCCCTGAGGAGTTCCAGTCAGTCGCTCGCGACTTCTACACTGCTGCCCTTGCTGCTGGCAAGACTAAGCTGGTCATCGACTTTCAGCAAAACGGCGGCGGTTACATCCTCCAAGGCTACGACTTCTTCCGACAGCTTTTCCCAGATGCGATCCAGGAGGGTAACTCCCGCTGGAAGGAAAACGATGGCTTTAATGCTGCAGCCGAGATCGTCTCCGATGTTGTCAACGGTCTGAATGTCTACACCAGCCCCAACGCTGATCTGATCAGCTACGCCCAGACCTGGTTCAACTGGCGCTATGACTACAACCTGACCGACGAGCCCTTCACCTCATATGATGCCAAATTTGCTCCTCAAGTCTTCCAGAACACTTCATACACCAACCTGATGCGCTGGAACCTCAACGACCCCCTTACCACCTACAACACTACCTTCGGTTTGGGTATCGAGATCAACGGGTACGGCAACCTCACCAACGTCACTCAGCCCTTCGAGGCCGAGAACATCATCATCCTCTATGACGGCGTCTGCGCCTCCACCTGCACTTTGGCTTCCGAGTTTCTTCGCCTCCACGGTAACGTGAAGTCAATTGCCATGGGCGGTCGACCCAAGAAGGGCGGTATCGAGGGTGTTGGTGGTATCAAGGGTTCTCAAGTCCTTGACTGGAGCTCTATCTACGGCTTCACCACCGACCTTCTGAAGTACGCCACCACCGATGCGCAGAAGGCTGCATTTGCTCGTTACAGCGACCTGCCCCTCAACCGCAGCCTGGCTGCAGCTGTGAACGTGCGTGACCAGATCCTGAGAGATAACGTCGAGGATGGTATTCCTGCCCAATTCGTCAAGGAAATCACCGACTGCCGTCTCTATTGGACTCTGCCAATGATCAATGACGTCACTGAGGTGTGGAAGGCGGCCGCGAATGCCGCCTTTAACGGTGGAAAGTGCGCATTTGGCGGTATTACGAAGAGAGATGTCGGCGACTCGGCTGAGGTGAAGCGCAGCAACTACCTCGCCGCGTCTCTTCTGCAGGAGCGCTCCACTGCGGCTCGTCGCAGCCTGCCTCCGACGACTGAGCGTCATTGGCAAGATAAGTACGTTCTCAAGGCCATCGACTGAAAAGGTGGTCCGTGAAACCTGGTATACACTACTCCTCGGTTGGTATTCCTAGCCGAATACTTGGGTAGTAACAACGATGACGGATAATAAGGATCGCACTAGAGCTACCAGCAGCAAGGCTACCGACAGCAAAGATACCAACAGCAAGGCTACCAACAGCAAGGGCAATGATACAGGTAGCGAGGAGTAGCTGCAAGGAAAACAATAGCCGTGGAGGACTGTAGTTCCAAACCTACCCAGTTCATAATAATTCTATTTGTAATTTGTGAACTTGAAGAATCGATTGGAGAAACTTCTTATGCCATGACACGAAGAATACTAACAGTCACGAGAGGGTTGACACCCATGTTGTGTCGGTGAAAACCTAATGACAGAAGGACTGAGACCATATGGAAACCGAAGTCATTCCGGCTGGAAATATGATGGGCAAGGCCTGACTTTATCGAGGCCAACAACGACTCAGATTGAACGCTGACAGCATGACCATAGCCGTTAGTAACGAAGGCTTACCCTTATTCCCTCGGATTCCAAAATAGGCAAATATTCACCGGAACCTAATTTGATGGGTCGCATTCACCTAAGACGATATGAACTCGCAGCTTAAGGTGAAAGAAGTTGAATAATCACCCCGATATTGACATCGCTATCGCGGCGGTGCCTGTGGGTTCTGGCCTCATGCGCGAAATAGATTGTCAAACCAAGACCCAGAGTCTTTAAATGCTTCTCGACCCCTTTCGAACCCCTCTCAAAAACAAATAAGGGTTCGCGATGCTGCAGTGCTGACAGGCGGCCAGGGTCCATTTAGACTTGGCAAGTCAACTCCCGGTTCATCCGTTCCTCCGGGGCCTAGGTCACTTCCGGACTTCCAACCTTGTTCGGGCGTCCATCGTGACCCTGTACGGGCATACCGGGCGCAAAAATATCACCGAAAATCTTCAATCCCACGCACCGGCCTGCGAGGTGATATTACAGTTATGTACCCCGCACGAATTCCCCCACAATCGCCCGTTGGCTTTCCCATTTTGCCAAGCAAGCTGCCAAGAGACTTGGCGGGAGAAACCTCACATAGTCCCCGTTTTCTCCATGTTTGAAGGTTGAACACAGCCTTCCAAAGCCAAGAGAACAACGACCTTTGGACGAAACAAAATCGTTTCGATGCGCCCTTTTTTGCATCGATAAAAACCCGGAACGACAATCGGGGTGCTCAGACCCGCGAATAGGTAACTCGCCACACTCATCTCGGCGGAAAACCTTTAAGCGATAATGCGAGCGAGTCAGTAGGCGCGCCCCTACCCGCACCCGTACGACGGACGTCGCGATGACAGGCTGCGGAACTTCAGGCCCCTTTTGAGAGATTCTTTCGACAAGGGCTCATCCCGGGACATAGCCGCGAGTTTAATTGCTTGGCATGAGTGATGGGGCCCCCTGTATCCATGCCGTCGCTCTCGCGTGCCTGTGCCTTCCTATTAGACTTTCTTGGGTTCGCCCTGGTGGTGTCATCTGGATTGTCAGTCTTTGGACGTCGCGGCCTATCATGGGGGTGCATTACGGGATAGCAACCAGGGCATTCCCGCGCGGCTGGTCGTGCGGATGATGTTCCTGGATGGACCGGTTTGGATGCGACTCTCGAGTAAGCCTACTTAAATGCTTGCGGCGGCCGGTCATTGCCCCGAGAATGACACATGTGCGTGTGCTTTTATCCGTCTCTCGTTCACGTTCTGAGCTTAAAGCTTGTTTTGACCAGCCTCAGTTTGAGTATAATATCTTGACAACTTTTGTTTGCTTATATACATACATACGCCGCCAAAATGGTCAACGCCACCGACATCTTCGCCGTCTTGGCGGGAACTTACACCCTTCTGAACACATCCGCGTAAGTCATCGCTGCGACCCTTTTCGACCAGCAACATGAACTCACAATCACCCTTTCCAGTACCAACAATGGCGTTCCAGTTGAAGATCGCGTCTACGGCTCCAACCCCGTCGGAATCCTGACGTACAGCAAGTCCGGCTGGATGTCCGCCACGATCACATCAACAGACCCCGAAGACCGCCCCGAAGGCCTCACATTCCCCTACGAACTCAACCAAACAGATGCCGACTGGGCGCAGGTCGGAAGACACTCCATCGGATACGCCGGCAAACTGCAGCTCAGCGACTTGATCCCCGCGACCGCCACCTCTGGCCAGGTCATCCACGGACCTTTGACGGTTGCGAACATCCCGTCAATGGTCGGAACCGAAGCCAGGCGGAACTACACTCTCTTCGAAGACGGAAAGATTCTGCTTATTGCCTCGCAAAGAGACGGTGGCAACCGAGGTGAACTGTGGTGGAGGAGGCTGGATTGAGTGTTCCAAAGCAGCAAACCTTCAGTTGTTCTTCTTGTATCATATCTTCCAGGAGTTCGGCGTCTTAGACGAGCCATTGTCGCACATATACAATCACGAAGTCTATAATTAAACCAGATGAATTACTACTCAGTTCACACACGCACGAACGAGAGGACCATATCATGGAGGTCCTGTCCCGAGATATCTCGGTGTTGGGTCACAGGGGGCTGCTCCTGGCGTTACTAAGGTTGTTGTTCCTGTTGTTCCTGTTGCTTCTAGAGTATTTACTGAATACGACAGAATAATGATTCCGCCTATTCTTGACGTTTCGTCAATGCCCAGCTGTTGTCGCATCACTAGACATCACGGAAAGGCCTCGGCTTGACAAGCACGAAGTCATAGGCTCAGTAGACTTCGTTGGCATGAAGTAACAGACTTGGATTTTCTATGCTATCGTTCTCTATTGGTTCGCTCTCGCAAGCCATTCTCTGATACCCTGCGATGCCGGACGAGACAGACCCTCATACTTCTTGCCGCCATAGGTCTCGTCGATCGAGTTCGCAAGACGCTGCGCCTTGAGAACGTTGAGGCGCTTCGCGCCCGACCAGTGAACTTTGCTGAGGAAGTCATTCGCCTCAGCCACCAACTCGTTCCTCTTCTTCCTCGTCGCAGGCTCGTCAGTCTTCTCAGCCGCACAGAGGGCACAGTCGCACTCGAAGCCCCAGGTAGTCATCAGAGCAGCCTTCCTCGTCTCGTAGTCGCTAGACTCGTCGTACATGTGGAAGATCTCCTCGCCCTTGGAGATCTTGCGGAGGGCGCGGACAACCATGAGGTCGCCGACGAATTCTCTCTTGGCGTTGGGAACGCAGGAGTGGTTGATGTAGGCGGCGCGGACCCAGAGACCCGTGCTCGGCTTTGGCACACCTCCCAGATGCTGGTCGTCCGCGCCGAACGCGTTGCGGCAGACGATGTCGTGTATCCTGAAGACGTCGACGACTGGGCCCTCATCGGTCTTGACGAGGCCCTTGCCGTCTCCACGGTAATCGCCCCAGAGATCAACAACACCCTCGATGCGCGAGGGGTTGTTCAGAAGTCGTTGAACGATAGACTTTGTCAAACCGATCGGCGACACCCTGATCTTCTTGTCCCGGACGTCGTATGTCATTCCGGTCAGAGCCTCGCTCTCGTGGCCCCAAACAACAGACGATGCCTTCTCAATCATGATGATCTTCCCAGACGGGATATCGCGGGTAGCGAAGAGACCACGGCCCCGACCCTTGCTGTCCTTGACCTCGGTGTCGCCGTTGTAGGTAGCTGCGTCAGCTCGTGATGAGGATCGTGATAGGCCAGCTCTGATCTTGTTGAGGTCGTGAGTTCCCTCGGTTTGCTCCTTCAGACGCACGGTCAATCTCCTCAGGTTGGCTTTCGCGCCCTTGTCTTCAGGCGCAAGTTCCAGTTGCTTCTCAAAGAAGCCCTTGGCCTGCTGGTACTCTCCAAGGTTGTATGCTCCAGTACCAGCGCGGAAATAGGCCTTGCTATCAAGCTCCTTCGACCTGTCGTCATCCTTTTCAATAAGAGAAGCCTTAGCATCGGTGATGGCCTCGTCCCATCGGCTCAGAAGAAGGTTGACGTGAGCGCGGTTGCGGTAGATATCTCGGGCCAAATCTGCTGCCTTCGCAAGGTCCTTTTGAGCGAACTCTAGACCTTGGGTATACCGTGCATGAGCCAACCCCAGCTTCTTTTTCGTGAGAGCCTCATTGCCCAAATCCTTGCACTTCTTCGCCATGACCTCGGGCTCCTTCTTGTCGGCACCTGGGGCCGGATCCGTCCTAGGAACAAGGTCTGAAGGATGATCGATCCTAATCGTTGCCTCACCTTCTTCAGTCAAGGTGAAGAAAGGTTCCTTAATCTCGAAAACGGTAGCAGACTCCAGCAGCTCTCCTCCGTGCATGGTCTTGTGGAGGCAAACCTCCAATCTTTCCGTCTCTTTTGCTTCTTCATCCTGAACCATGGTCCACGACCGGGCCGCATGTGTGACTACTGGGGCCGCACGCTTGATGGTGAGTCTCCGACCCTTATGATGAGTTTCCATCTTGAGGTCAGCGAACCCCATTGGTTCCAGGTCTCGAAGAGAGGCTGTGGATGGCAGGTATGCCTGTCCGACACCGAGAGCAGGCAGCGTATCCTCACTGCCCGACCCTGTCATGTTGCCCATATCCTGCATGAGGGATGCGCCTGTCGCCTGGCTGATGGCGCCATGAGCATCTCTAAACTCTCGGGCCTGACCAACAATGCCGGCACGCTTGTCTACATTGTCCTGGACGGTTTTTCGGATGCGCTCCGCCTCCTGCTCAGTCAGGTGGACTGTGTTGGTGTTGTTGCGGGATGCCATGGTGACTCGTGAGTCAAGTCCGTAGATGCCTGCCGTGAAAAGACTAATTCGGCAAAAGCCGGAGATGTAGAATATTGGTAACAAATAGCAACTCCTTACGAGGAGATACTAGGGTGTGTGCATTCAATGAGACTAGAACCGTACCGGCTGCCGTTGTGCAGTAAGATATCGCCGTCGCGGGGTTCGAACTGCCCCTCACTGAAAAAAAAACCTCGACTCAGCGTCTGAAATATTTTCCTAACAAAAAACGTGGTGCCTGCGACTCGGTTCCCACCATGTCGTCATGCCGATGTATACCGTGTTCGCGCCGCACGGTAATTCTGTAGAAGCAAGTAGATGTAATCTTCAGTCTCTCACATCCATTCCACAAAACAGTTGTTCTTGGGGATAATGAAGCGAATCTGAAATTGATTAAGGTAAGTCTTGAAACTTGACCGTCGCACGAACCCCAAGAGTGCTGTTCAGAAGCCTACTGATGTACTGTGTTTGAAAGTAGAGTCGACGGCTGATTGTGACTGTGTACAACAGTAGTCCAGTCCGGTCATTCTGAAATCCACAGATTATCAGGTCTGGAAGACATGATTGGTTGAGATTACTGATAGAAGATTAGATTGACGAATCAACATCTACCAGATTTAAAATACAACATGAAAGCTATCACTCAGGGCCTGCCTCAGACTGTGACCTGAGGCGACATACCAATTGTAAATGATGCAGCCGAATTGAGCATTTCAGTCATATGCTGATGGCTTCTAGTTTACCTCTGTTGTATTGTGTGTGTTGGTGAAGTAAGGGCCGATGGCTCGTTCACACCGGAGTGCCCACACCACCGGTACTGTTCATGTTACTAACCCCATTCTCATGCTTTGCCTGCACTTGTGTTACAAGCAAAATTTAAACAATATTGAATTGTCGTCGTGGGCTCTTCTCAGCGTAAGTTCTTGTCATTGAATGATTTGGTTCAAGTATTCTTTTCTCTTGCGGTTACACTCGAAACCTAACTTTGGTCATGACTAAGCATTCTGAATCGCTCGGGAGTACCTCATTAAGACTAGCGCGTAGTCTCGGCATCCCCATCTGGTAGTTCCGAGGCTCCCGCCCAGTATTAGTTGAAGGCAACGAGCTGAATAGAGAGAGGGATGGAAGCAGAATATGAAGCCCTAGCCCGTGGGATGGGCTGAGAACAAAAAGGAGTGTTACTTGGATAACCGTTAACTTGGATTGTTGAAGGTTGTTCAGACGGAATAGATCGTGCGCCGATGTCTTCAAATAATCACGATTGCTTCCTCAGACTCCGGGATGGGTACGTAATAGAGCACGAATTGCTACTAATGCCAACGGCACAACGTCTTATTTCTGTTCAATTACCCAGTACTCTGATAATGCTGGCAAGCGAAAGCATGCGTAAATGTCGCAGACTAGAATCTGACACGTGATTGACACCTCTTCAACGTCGGGTGACATTTCGACCCCACCAAATCCCAATTTCCGCCTCAGACTCTCCCAGCAAGACACAAGCCCAAACTCCAGCATCTTCGCACACCATCGCCGACAAACCGCAAAATGCAGCATTATGGCGGATATCAAATTATCGGCTGACGGGAATGTGCAATCTCCCCGGAAAGCCAAAGCACCGACCTTCCGCGTTTCCACGATCAATGACTTCAGTTCTAGCAGTCGTAACGAACGAATCCGACGAAGAAGCGGACTGCCTTCCACGGCATGCCAAACCTGCCGCTCGCGAAAGGTGAAGTGCGATATTGCATCCAACAGTCTGAAATCTCACGGCGACGAGACACGATCTGGCCTTCCGCGTTGCCAGGCCTGCCAACTTGCCGACATTGACTGTCGGTGGGATACGGTTGACAAAAGAAAGCGACGGAAGGCGAGGAATGACGAAGGTCGCCCACAGACTCACCAGAGTCACAATCCAGAAGTACTGGGGGGAATCATACCCGCAGGAGCCGAACGACCAGAGCCTGTATCGGATGGTCAAGATAACAGCTCAAACTCGCATCAAATTGATGTTAGTTTGAACAGTCCCCAAAGATGTTTCGACGTGGATGCAACGGCTGCCTCAAATCTAGATGGCGCCGCGACTGTCACAGATCGGCAACACTCGAGTCACCAGCACTCCGATGTTGTTGGGCTTCCGGAGTTACACCCGACCGTGCCATCAAGAGAAGTGTTCGCTCTCGAGGGGATGGACTGGTCTGAAATTCAAGATTTCGTGCTCGATTTTGAGGGGATGGACAACGTCAGCAACATAAACTGGGACAGCATCCTCGAAGAAGGGCAGCTAGAGAGCAGTACCGAAACGCCAATGACCCCTTCCAAGTCAATTCGTCTGCGGCTTTATCGTCGATTTGGCCCGACCGCTGTTCTGCCCGGGTTGAGAACACTCTCTATCGCCGTCAATATGCGTCAGGAAAGCCACGATGTAGACTCTGACAAAGGGAGCCCTCATGGAATGTCAACTCCGAACTCTCGAAGAACAGGCTCAGCAAAAGGGTCAACAGCAATGCGCCAAGGTGCATTACCAGATGACTCGCCATACGATCTATCCATGGACGCACTACGCCGAGTAACCGATGTCTTCTTTAATCGTTTGGCCGGCCACTTCCCGTTCATAAACGAACACATCCTTCATGGCCATGTCCGGTCTGGGCAGTGCTCCAGCTTTCTTATCAACTCTGTGGTGGCTGTGACCTTGCGTTTCTGCCCCTTTGAAGTGTTTTCAGGAGGCGTCGAGACGGTGAATGAGAGCCCATGGCGCAACGGAGCCTACTTCCTGAAACGAGCAAAGGAACAACTCATGTCTTTGCTGGCCATACCCACCACAGATGTGGTATCCGGAATCTTGATCCTAGCTTGGGCCGAGTTTGGCGACAACAACGAAGCAGGTATGTGTTCACTTCGGTATTCAGACGAACAGACCCTGCCGAAAAGGCACCCCTAGAAACGGAAATACTAACTTACTCATTGTAGGACTGTGGATGCTGTCTGGGATGGCTATCCGTATGGCACAGGATATGGGGCTTCATAGAACTCCCGAGCAAGAGAACAACCCGACTGTCGCATTCTGGGATCGTTCTCCGCTCAGCCCAGATGGGAAGGGACTTCTAAGCGACGAAATGTCCAAGATACATCAAGCAAAGTCCAAGTTGTTGTTGTTCTGGGCGGTCTTTGCTCTGGATGTCTCGGTTTCCTTGCTTACTGGTCGACCGCCAACTCCGAAGCGCTCCGAAGTTGATGTTCCCATACCAACAGCCCAAGATTTGAAAGCTACACAGCTCGATTTCACAGAATCTGTGTCGATGAAGAATATGATCTTCCCAGAGGTTGCTAGATTCATGCTGTCTTTCTCGGAAGCGGTTGAACTTCTGAACCAGACATGGCCCGAAGACCACGATGGTGGAGGCGGCTCACGTGAATCTACCAAAAGAGCACGACTTTCGAAGGTCAGGGACAACATCATGAACCAATACCACTCCCTCAGTTCGGAGTTAACATTCACCATCGAGAACTACAAAAGGGCTGCAACAGATAAGCAGGCAGGTTTGTTCTTGATGCTTCACGTCTACTTTTACGCCTTTACAATACTTCTGTCTCAGGCAGAAATGAGAGATGAGACACTGCACTCATCCGCCGATGCTTATGGTGGAATTCAGCAACCACAGGCTGCTCTGTTAGCCTGTCAAAAGATTGTACAGATTTTGAACACTGCCGAACTTATCGACGACACCGGTTATCTGTCTACGCCATTCATCAATCAGGGCTTGTTCATCGCGGCATCAACCATTCTGGAAGAGCAACATTTGAAGCAAGCGAGTTCAGTCGACAGACCGAACAACTTTCTCTCTCTGGTCAGCAGCTCCGATGTCGACTACCTGTGCCGAAAGCTGAAAGAGATGTCGCACTTCTTTAAGGGTGTTGGAGGAACCTTGGCGGCGATTGAGCGGAAGAAACGCGAAATGCTGCTCAAGATAAATCAAGACAACCACGCAAATGAAGATGAGGAGTCTGATGACGAGAAGAATGAGGTAGTTCAGCTCAGCGATGGGGGCATAGTGAACAGATACTCGATACCTGAGGGGAGAAGCTAGCTGCTAGGGTTTACCTGCTAGATCATTAAATATGCCATTGGTTTGGCGTAGTCTAGGAAAATCGAGCTTATTAGTATTACGTAGAAAGACCATCTATATCCGAGAAGGAACTAGGCCATGTACAGCTTGCCCTTTTTAGTAATTCCGAGCTGATGAACTCTGAGCATGATCCTATGCATAAAGCCATGCAAAAGATTTGCAGCCTTGAGCTTTCGAATGATGACCGGAGTGATACGAGATTTTCGTCTGTTCCTATTGACCGTAAGACTCATCGATTCGCCAACTTTCCCTAGCGGTGCTGAGAGCATCTACCGTCATGAATTCTCAACATCACCAAGACGACCCTGAAAAAAGGGTCAGTTTCGCAGCCATCCTATTCGATCTCGATGGTACAATCGTTGACACTACGTCGGCCATCGTTCAACACTGGCATCGGTGCATCACCCTTGCGACCGATTTTACCCAAGCCCAGCCCACTAACTTCATGCCAGAATCGGGGCGGAAGTGGGTGTCCCAGCCGACACGACTTTGAAGACTTCTCATGGTAGACGCACCATCGACACGCTGAAGCTTGTTGCTCCTGAAAAGGCCAATTGGGATTGTGAGTCGATTTGTAACCTTGATGATCAACCATCAGTCACCGCCCGTCCTAATTTTGAAGTAAATTAAGTCTGACCTCTTGTCCCAGATGTCCGAGAGGTTGAGGTAAAGTTGCCCGACATGTATGGGCATATGGCCCAAGAGATACCAGGCGCCCGAAACTTTCTCGAAAGCGTGGCGCAGCTGCCTAATCCATGGGCCATCGTCACGTCGGCCACCGAACCACTTGCCCACAGGTGGTTCTCTCTTCTGTCTCTCCCAGTGCCGGATCACCTTGTCACGGCCGAGTCTGTGGAGAATGGCAAACCGGACCCCTCTTGTTACCGACTGGGCCTTGAAAGACTTCAGCTTTCCCGCAGAGCATCAGAAACACTAGTCGTCGAGGACAGCCCTGCGGGCATAATTGCAGCCAAGGAAGCGGGATGCAAGGTTCTCGCTCTTCTGACTACGCACACTGAAGATCAAATTTTGGCGGCTGGACCTGATTGGATTGTAGCAGACTTGAGAGCTGTGCGTGTGGTCGGGGGCGAGGGGGGAAACGTGGTTATTTCCATCTCGCATGGCAAGTAGTAAGTCTAGCCATGGTGCTGAGACGACCTTGTAAAGCATAGAAATAATCTTGCGCAAACCTTAGTTCTTACCCTCTGAGGGATTACTATATAAATACGAAGAAACCTTTAGAGTACGGTGACAAGCAAACTGAATGTTGCCATTCAGGGTTCCATGAAGTCTTCTCGCTTCCTATGCCCGTCATTCTGTTGAATGCTTACCCGCTTCTGCAAATGCGCCATGACACTCATTTGTTGATCCGATAACAATCCAAAATTCTGGATATTGGCTTGTAACCTTTGCGGCCCATATATCTTTGCATCATGCTCTCAACAATCGACTAAACGGCTTCAATTGAATCTACGATGGTACGTATATGAAAGAGGACGTTTCCGTGGCTAGATATGGCGAACTAATGGGAGCCATAGAAGAAGGGTCGCTGCGTTGAATCTCGAGCGTCGAGAATTGGGTTTGTGAATAAGTGAAACCAATATTCATCGACACCTCAAGGCTGAGAGCTGATGTCCGGAGACTTCTGGTTCTCATCAGGAAAAAACACAACCAGCGGTCCCTTATAGTCGCGAAGGTCTTCCACGAAGGTGAACCATGGTTTGTGCTTGAGTTCGTCCCAGATTTCCATAGGTACTCTGAAAGTGATTCTGCCAGGTCTTGGCGTGGGGTTTGTAGTGAAGGGATCGGACCTGCGGCGGTTTCGGTCCACAAGTAGCCAATCTCCGAGTTGCCAAATCAAGTCGTCGTGAATGTCGCGAAGACATACTTGGGCGTAGACGCCAATACTAGTATTCCCGATTGAGTAATCAATGTTGCACTTGGCATTTGCTTTGCGTAGTAATATTTCGAATTCACTGGTCGTGATAGGCCTAGCAGGGCTTGCTGATGTCGTTGCCATGATAGCGGCTACCTCGTTTGATCTTGTAGGAGGACTGGTGACCATGCGATTGGTAAGGTAGTGAGGGGTGATAGATGGCGCAAGATGGTGGGTGTAACAAGTTTATAAAGGCACTGGTCTTCGAGAGTGTGTGAAGATGATGGTACTGCCTCCAGTATTTATATTTGCCGAAATGTAAAGCGAGGATCGCAATGGCACCGTTTTAAGTTTTACAGAAATAGGGAACGCCTGAAGAAGACATCACAGTTTGGGTCTGGGGCGGAACTGTCTTGCGTTAAGTTTATGGAACTGAACTGGCTGACTCCGATATGGTGCACCCTAGGATGCCGAGTCCCGCATGTACGGCTTTCCAGAGAAGAAACAGACCTAATTGCATCAAGCGAAAACTTATTGATATGAGGCTAAAAGGGTTGTGCGTTGTGTTGTGCCGCTCAATGTCGCTGACATCAAGGTCTAAGCCACGCCCACCTGATGTCAAGGACACAGAACACTTAATCATTGTTTAGGCAAACTTTTCCGTATCTCTAAGAACCTGAATCTCTTTTTATTCCATGCATTGGAATTGATTAGCTAGCGGTCTGCATGTGACCGAAGGTAACACCATTCCACCAGAGTCGGTGGCTATCACATGATACTGTCGTCTGCGGTTTCTTTTTTCAAGGATTTCTGGGAAGTTTGAGGGTCTGTATATGACATCAACTCTCTTCATTAGAAGTATCTTAAGGCCAAATTCTAATACGCTGCTGGTATTGGGGCGTAATATTGAAAGTCTCAGTGATTTTGCACTATTTTAAGAATTTCCTACCGCAGGCTGGCTCATACTGCACAAGCATAGATATCGGATCAAATTCAAGCATCCACTTTGAACTGTCTAAGAGTTTGAAGATCTATCATGCGCATATAAGTGTATAGCTGCCCGAAATCCACTGGTCTAGTTACATTTGAAAAGCTGTTATACATGTATATTATTTCATTGCGAGATAGCATGGGCTAAAGTGCTAATATTGTGATAAATATATAGTGTAACGTTGTATCAAGAAACAGACACAAATTCCATTCAGAGCCCTGCACAAGTTCATCTTCATAGATCTATACTATTTCATGCCTACATTGGAGTGCTTCATTCCAAACTCAAGAGAAATTGATAGCCAAAGACGTGCGTGCACGATTCGAACAAGCAACATGAAATTCAATGGGACGGAAATGTGGTTACTGATTTGCAACTACCGTAATGATGGGTTCAATGTTTAAGTGACCGAGCTTTCAGAAGTCCGTTGCCTAATGCCAGACCAAAACTTCCTCCCCCTGTGGTGCCGAGATGAAGCCCGAGCTGATGCGGTTCTCTATGTCTGAATGATCCACCCAGATGTATGAGGCGCTGAACCTTTAAGGGCAACCGCCGAAAGGTCCCTTGGAGGGGTCAAAGACACAACCCTGACGAGCTTGAAGCTCAGGTTCAGCCTGAGTGTCGGAGGGAGCCGCAAGGGCCAAAGTAACTACAATGAGAGCCATCGTCAGTATGGTTGAGCCCACTTTCCTGTTGAACATGACGTACCGAAAAGGGCCAAAACTTGGAAGAACTTCATTTTGATGGGGAGGTTGGAGGTATATCTCGGAAAAGGTGTTGCTGAGTGTGATGATGAAGAATGAGAAGTGTTCAGAAGAAACTACGAGTCGGCATCTTTATAGATCGCAGGCCGGGTAAAAGGTTGAGGACCCCGAGATGGATTGCTATCTTTGCTATCTCATCCACGAATCTCAGCTTGACGGTCACGTATACTAAACACGCAGATCGATTACTGAATCATGCGGCGAATGCTTTCCCATGCAGCCCTTTGATTGAGTCAACCCCACAATGCTCGGGTATTCAGATCTGATTAGATGAGATAAGTAACTACAACGGCAACTATCGGGCAGCGAGATATGAATGGAGTTACACGTCCGTTCATAATACCACACCAGACGTCATGTGCCAAGTTTGACCGACAATCCAGGAGCGTGTGGAGTCATTCATTTGCGCCGATTGATATCCCGTGCGGCTGGTAGCCCGCGCGTGCTCCATGTTTCGCGGCATCGAAAATTAGCCGGAAGTTTACTCGCATTCTACGTACTGGTAGAATGGCCGCATAAATAACCGCAAGTCCGTGAGAACATTAAATGAGCACACCGCATGTGCAATCCTTGGAAACATGAAACCAGACATAGATTCAATTCATGAGGTTGAACCTGAACCAAGGTCATACTTGAGTAAACCCACTGCGATAGCAAGACGCCGTTCCATCCAATGCCTAACGGTCCATCCAGTGTAGTCTTAGTCGAAACATCTTTTCACAGGATACAAGTGTCCAAGTGAATCGTAAGGCCACCTCAATTTGCTCCATTAACTGAAGAAGTCCGGAAGTGTTCACATGGGACTACTTTCATATAAGCGCAACGGCTAACTGTGCACACGAAACAAGTACATGATTGGTCATTCTGCCCCTTCCGTGTCGTTGAATGCTGCGGCTAAACACCAACGCAGACATAAGTCTTTGCCCACATGCTCCTACAATCTGAACCAACACCGGTGTTCCACTTGACAAAGTCGGCGAGGGTGATCTTATTGTAGCTAATAATTTGATCGCAGGTGTTTCCCTCGGATACGTAGTGGAATTTCTTGCAGTTTGTGACCATGCCGGGTTGGGTCGGTTGGGGCGTCTGTATACCATTGCCAGCAGAAGTAGTTGTAGTTGGCTTCGTCGTTGTCGGTGAGCCTCCCATGACACCCACACAGACATTGACTTGAGCCCACATGCCGGAGCAATCACTGTTCACAGATGGGTTCCACTTGAAGAGATCGGCAAGGGAAATCCCATTTGTAGTGAGGACCTGACTACAGCTGGTGCCAGAAGCCACAAAGTAGAACTTGTTGCAGTTGGAAACCATGCTTGGCTGAGTTGGTTGAGGAGTGACGATACCGTTGCCGGCGGTCGTGGTTGTAGTTGGCTTAGCCGTGGTTGTGACTGCGCCGCCGCCGCCGCCAATGACGCCGACGCAGACGTTGACCAGAGCCCACATCCCGGAGCAATCACTCTTCACAGAAGGATTCCACTTGAAGAGATCGGCGATTGTGATTCCGTTGGCACTTAGCACTTGGCTACAGCCTGTTCCTTCCTCTACAAAGTAAAACTTGTTGCAGTTGTCCACCATGCTTGGCTGGGTGGGCAAGGGGGTTGAGATCCCGTTGCCGGTAAGGGTGGTGGTAGTAGTGGTGATGGGCTTCGTTGTGCTGGTGGCAAGTGTAGTTGATGTGACTGTTGTAGTCCCAGGCTGAGGCTCTGGTTCCGGCTCTCCCCAAGCCTCGATGCAGTATGAGTGCTCTGCCTCAAACCCTGAGCAAGAGGCTCCGATGGAGGGGTTCTATGATGCCGACGTTAGTCAGTTGCGTTGCGTATGAATAGAATTATAGCGAAAGGTTATACACACCCATCGCCTAAAATCCTCCAGAGTGATGAAATTGTCGCTTAGGACCCGAGCGCAGGCTTGAGTTCCTTCATTGTCATACCACCACGAGCAGTAAGGGGTCGTATTGGGGTCGGAGGGGTACTTAGGCTCAGCATCGCGGAATGCGGCCTTGAGAGCATTCACTTGGAAGGCCGAGGCGGCAACCAAGATAAGGCTGTACCTTAGAATCGACATGACTAGCGCGACGGAAAGTGAGGCAAAAGACGAAAATGATACAGTATGCGCCTAAGGAATCTCAACCATTCAGAAGCGTGAGCTTGGAGATAGACGGTATCACTAGAATCCTCGGATGCTTTGCATCTAGTTATACACATTCACTCCTTGATCTTCGACTACTGTTCTCCCTTGCCACTATCGCGGTACCATAAGCTCGAGAGCTTCCATGCAGCCTCTGGTTGTCCACATGCAGGATTCCACCCGCTCCGGGCGAGCCCCGACACGCGGGGACAAGGTCACTGAGATGAGGCGCGGCCTGACGGGCCGGGATATCTCAATGTCCTTACCGAGAGCTGATGTGTGTGCTACGAAAGAAATAATATCAACGTTGCATTGAAAAACAGATTTAATAGGAAAGTGCCGCAGGGTTGCACTTGAAGGATTTCATAAAGTCAATAGTTGCTGACTTGCATTACTAGGCAAACATCTGCTGACAACCATTCTATCACAAGAAGAATTGCCTGAGAATGAGCACTTGGGATCTAGATTTTCGGTCTTTTCTGGCAAGGTCGCGGAGAATTCTAACCGGCGTCACCGACCTTCACATTGCTGAAATGGGGAAAGGAAATGCTGTCTCCTCGGACTCACGCATGGCAGTCACAGCCTAATGCAGGGGCCGTTCGACTGGACTTTAGCCATCCAATAGGGATGCTCGCATTTCTCGACAAAAATAGACGGGCAGAACTACATTTTCCCCCCTTGTGTTCACATGATGATGATGCAGTCGCTTGCTGTGGATGGAATTCGAATTTGCCGTGTCGTGTTGCATGATCCTTCTTTTCCATGCCGAAAGCTGTGTCTGTGTTGCGTCGTATGCATAGAACTATTTCCACGGTAACTCGTGAGGCCAACCTTAGTCTTAATATCATGAATCAGATCGAATGGCTCCCGCATGTTGACCGATTTTTTTGGCTGTGATACCCTGCCTCTGGGACAAAAATCTTCTCCGCGTCACAATTGTCGACGAAATAAGCTGATGATCAGAACTTCAACTTGACTAATGAATGTGAATCAATTTTCATAACTCAATAAATTAGTTCTCGAATAACTCAGAATGAAACTGCCACCTAGGTAATACAAGGACGGCCTAAAGTGACTGTGCCATTTTCAAGCTCTAGAACCGAAACCGCTTAGGATCCGCTGGAACATCGTACCCGCATCCTCCTTCTCCAAAATCAACACTGCCGCCGGTTTGCTTGGCCATTGCTTTCCTCAGAACCGTCTGCTGCTTTCTTACATCTTCGTGGGTTTTGGCCTCATTGCCGCCCCAAGTGACGTCCTTGTCCCCAAATGTCCCTTTCTGACCCCATTGCTTGGCCAGTGCCTTCAACCTTTCCTTGTATGTTGGGAAATTTGCATTCTTTCCCACCTTATTCTTGAGTTCTTTGACAGTGGCTTTCACGTCGAGTTTTGTCACCTCCTTATCTTTGAAGAGCTCTGATTTATCTCCTCCTTTGATGCCATTCTCCTTGTCTCCCACTGTGGTTGTCACAGAGATGAACCACTTCTTCGATAGAATGGGTGTCTTGTTCTTCTCCTTGTCAAACTTCAGAAGGTCGTCACGTGCTCCTTCCAATTTGAACTTCTCGGCCTCCAACGCTCGTCCCATTGATGCTTCGCGGAGAGATTCGTCCATGATCTCGAAGAAAGGCTTAGCGCGGGTTGAGTCTTGCTTGTGTAGCTCGTAGCCACGCTGGCCAACAATCTTGAGCAAGTTGTCGAACATGAAGTAGTCGTCATTTGCCGGTCTTCCCTTCCCTTTGTTCAGACCTCCGAGAATCTTGTCCAGATTGAAGCCAGCGAAGGTGAACTTGTCCGTGCTGAGAGCCTTGGGGTCGTCAGCAGGCTTGAGCTTTCTACCGTCATCAGGCTCGAAGACGGCAAGTTTCTCAACGTCCTTGAGACTGGGCATCCATGAGTCGCCGATGCGGCTGGCGAGGTCCTTCATGGGATAGTTCGAGTTTCCGTTCTGGGTGGCACGAATAAACGAATGCCAGTTGAGGCCGTATTTGCCTTCGCGGCCGTCGGGATAGTCTGTGTCCACAGAAGTGTCCTTGAGATCACGGCCCAGCTTCCAGGGCTTCTCGCTATCAGGATCTTTTGGATCCCACGTTCCATCTGCGATGGCTTTTGCGGCGCTGATTTCGACATCCATCCTGTAAACAGCGTATAGATATCGCGCTTCAACGCCACGAACTTGCCATCCCGCCTCAACCAACCTGAAAGTGAAGCTGACGAGGAAAAGAAACAAAGATTTGACAGTGAGACGCATGGCTTCAGAATTGCCTGATAATCTGTAAAACGAACGAATTGTTAAGGAAGTGGCGAAAGGGGGCAGTCTGTAAGAGTTGAAAGCCAGTGCAGCTGATTTATTCCATGATGGAGACTGGTATTAGTCTAGCCAAGGTCATGTATGCTTGCCAAGCCCCCCAGATTCTTTCTCTCTGACAACCTTTCTCACGTGGCTGAAGAACTGTCCTCGTTTGGATGTAATAGCCGTTACATCCGTTGTTGCTGCAGAGGCAAGGTTGGGGATCCATGGCGCCTGAGTCTGAGCGAGGCAATATTCCAGTGAACATCAACTTCGGTCAAGCCTGGTGCCCAACCACCTTCCCGAGATATCTATCATTCGGCTTAGAAATGAGTGTATTCACGCAGACACAAAAGTTCTTCCGTACCCGTATTGTGCTGTCTAACCTAGAAGTCAGGTGAACGATAGTAGTTTGGTGAACATGAAGTCGATGACATTCCAGACCTTGGGTTGCCACCATACCTGACAATTACATGTACGACCTTCCTTTAACGGATCGCCAGTTGCGAAAATTGCTTCCTCCTACGATGCATGGTGGCGAATGGCATGTTAAGCTTATTGTATTTTCATTAGTCCCGGTAAGCTTAATCTCGCGGATAAGCAATGCAACCTTAAGATTACTATGCCTAGCCATTTAAGGTCAATCGATCACAACTAGTCTACTGCAAGACAAGCAATATAGGCTTCCGCCTCAGGGCCAGATCTCCGGAGGATCAGCTGGCCTGCGCCCGGCCACGAGCTGTTCGGACCTTAATCATCTAGTCAGGGGCAATATGGACCTAACGGCCTCACGGCCCGTCGAGCATGGGTTGCCGGGCGGACTGAAAGACCAGGTCGTCTCTTAGGATGAACTTCGCAAACTTGGTGTGACTGTCACATTTAGCCGGAAGATAGCTATTTTCAATCCCTCTTGGCAGCTGACAACCCTCCTGGTACATGATTGTCTCTAGGAACGGCACCAATTGACATCAACTGTGCCTCATTGCAACTTGCCAAGCCCGCTATGCCTGCAGGCATGGAGCACATGATGGAGTCGACTTCGATGTTTTCCATCGAGTGAGAATCACATCATCTTACGTCTCACATTCCCGATCAAGAGAAATTCGGTCCAGGCTTGAGTCCACGACGCAGCCTCATACTTCCTACCTGTCTTTCAACGCAGCCAACCAGAGATCAATCCTGGATTATTCGACGCGACTGAATAAAACTTTCTTCTATACAACGAAACTCTGATATCTTGCTCAGTGAGCCCGTATAAGTCAAGGTCGGTCAGTCTATCGAGTGCGAGTAACATACCCAAGTCTCGTTTCCTCCTTAAAATATCAGGTCGCTAAGTGTATTAGCTCGCATCACATTCTTTACATATTAGACCCTTTTTCGGAAAACATCTGCAAGCTTCTTCTTTTGCGTTGCCGTCGACCTATTCAGTATGGGAGGCCACAGTCTCCTTGCCTTCACGAGAGGCTGGCTAGGTCTCTCTGTTTTACTGGCACCAACACTCGTTACAGCAGCCTCGACCTTTGATTTCGAGACCTTTCCACCCCCCGCATTTGGGCGAAAGCCAACTTTTCGAGATCTTTGCCCTGTTCCTTGCTCAGAGGCAGGGCCCACAAGCTTCTCATGGTCGGTCGTTCCATCGACCACGGCTCTCAGGAGTTGCAACGAAACTCTACTCTTCGAGTCTTCCCTGCAATACTCCATCACTGCCACCAACAAGGAGAACACTCTTAGAGCCTGCAGCGTCCCAGATACTCCTTCCAAGAGGGCCCCAATTGCAGACTCGAAGTACGGTCCTCCGTGTCTGGCTACTGCAAAGCTTCGCTCTGCCAAGGCGGATGTTGAGGTCAGCTGGGATGGAGAGACTGTCAACAACGGGAAATCATCAGATATCATTGATGCACTTTTCCAATTGCAGAAGAACGTCGCCGAAGACCCAAATTGCGACGCGATAGCTCTGCTCGCAAAGTCCGGTGATGCCGTCGTCGGTGTCTGGGTTGGTAGGCAGATACAGAAGGCCTCTGCTGCTGGCCTGTTTGAGTCGTTCATTGAGATGATTCAATCTCGAGAATCAGCACTCCCAAAGAAGGCAGCCGCCCAGATCTGCGCACCGGCTTCGAAGAAGCCAACCAGTCAGAGCTTTGGTGTTTTCTACGACGCCACTGGCAAGATTGATGATGTCTTCTCTGCGATTCAAGGCTGGTCCAGGGGTAACTGTCTGTCAGCTCTTGGTCAGACTGAGACTTGGGCAGAGCAAAACTTGAGCATCATTCCCGCCTCAGCCCTGAGCATGGGAGCCGACAACGCCTTGGCTGGAGTTGGGAACTCGACCTACACAAACTCAACCTCATCGTTGACTGTGAGCAAGGCGACCTCTAGCGCAGCATCGCAATCACCAGCTACCTCACCATCTGCCTCGGTAGAAGCTGTAAAAGTCACTGACAAGGAGCTTGTCTCGAGGGATGAGTGCCATGCTGTCAAGATTGAGCCCACAGACAGCTGCCACAGCATTGCAACGCAGAAGTGTGGCATTAAACTTCAAGACCTCTACAAATTCAACGGTGGGGACTCTCAGTTTTGCAACAAACTCCAAGCTGGCAGCTTCGCCTGTTGCTCGGAAGGAGCTAAGCCACAGCGCCGGATGGCTCTTATGGCCAGCGAATGCAAGTATGTCCAGGTTGAGCAAGACGACACTTGCTGGTCCATCGCCCAAGAATGCGGTATCACAGAGAAGAAGCTCTACGAGTACAACGGCGGGAGCGATGCTTTCTGCAACAACCTGAAGCTTCGTTCAGCCGTATGTTGCAGCTCTGGAGACAAGCCGGACCTGAAACCAAAAGACAACGCCGATGGATCGTGCTCTGTCTACGTCGTGCAGAAAGAGGACGTATGTTTCTCTATTGCCGACCAACACTTGCTCACTGTCACGGAGCTCATCAACTTCAACAAGGGCAAGACCTGGGGTTGGGGAGGCTGTGACACCATTCAACCACTCCAGAAGATCTGTGTCAGTGGTGGGTCGCCGCCAATGCCCGCGGCCATCGAGAACGCCCAGTGCGGTCCGCAGAAGCCCGGCACAGAGAGACCCAAGAGCGGGAACATAACTGACCTTAATCCTTGTCCTTTGAATGTCTGCTGCAACATCTGGGGGCAATGTGGTACAACGAAGGACTTCTGCATCGACACCAAGGTGGATAATACTCCAGGAACAGCCAAGAATGGGACATATGGCTGCATATCCAACTGCGGCATGGATATCGTCAACAACAAGGTTGGACCAGCCAAGTTCCAGACTCTTGCTTACTTTGAAGGCTGGAACTTCAACCGCCCCTGTCTGAATATGGATGTCGAAGACATACCTGACGGCAACGACATCATTCACTTTGCCTTTGGCTGGATTAGCGAAGACTTCCAAATCAGTGCCGGCGCTGATGTCAAAGAACAGTTCGACAAGTTCGTCAAGATGAAATCCGGGTTCAAGAAGGTCATTTCATTCGGTGGCTGGGCATTCTCCAACGAACCGGCCACCAGTCACATCATTCGCAACGCGGTCAAGCCAGAGAACGCCGTCAAGTTCGCAACCAACGTTGTCAACTTCGTCACTTCGAATGGCTTAGATGGTGTCGACTTTGACTGGGAGTACCCTGGCGCCGACGACATTGAGGGTAGTCAGCCTGGTACACCAGAGGACGGGAAGAACTACCTTGCTTTCCTGCAGTTGGTGAAGAGAAGGCTTCCATCTGGCAAGACTCTCGCCATTGCCGCACCAGCTTCTTACTGGTATCTCAAGGGATTCCCAATCGACGACATCTCCAAGGTCGTTGACTACATCGTGTACATGACCTACGATCTTCACGGCCAATGGGATGTGGGCAACAAGTGGGCTTCGTAAGTGCTCTTTTTTCAGACATAAACTCGATCACGAATAATCTCTGACGTATGACTCTTTAGTGATGGCTGCGAAGGCGGCAACTGTCTCCGTTCGCATATCAACAGCACGCTCACGCATAGTTCACTGTCGATGATTACGAAAGCGGGTGTCCCCTCGAACAAAATATTCGTTGGCGTCAGCAGCTATGGTCGAAGCTTCAAGATGTCCAAGTTTGGTTGCGAAGGTCCAGACTGCACTTTCCTAGGCGGCCGCAATGATTCGCCTGCTAAGCACGGTAGATGTACGGACACTGGAGGCTACATCGCCGACGCGGAGATGATGCAGATTATGAACCTTGCAGACCAAGGGTTTGACGGCAGCGAGTACCACACCTACTGGGACGAAGAGTCTGACTCGGACATCTTCGTCTACGACGAGGTCGAGTGGGTTTCGTGGATGAGTCCGGTCACCAAGGATCGACGCAAGGGTGAATACAAAGGACTTAACATGGCTGGCACCACCGACTGGGCCATCGATCTTGGTCGAGACGTGGGCACGTCCAACAAAGAGACGAGCGAGCTCGACTGGGACCTGATGGACCTCACCTTCGACTGCAAGTTTGAAACAACCTACTCTTCACTAGACGACCTGGACAAAGCATCCGGTGACATGCATCCTATATGCGCATCTATGCACGCTATTGAAGTGCTGGGAGAGATGCTTAAGCACTCGCTCGACGGTTACGATGCTGCTGCTGACGGATATGACGGCCTTTTCGACTTCTACAAAGACTACATCATCAAGACACTGGAAGGTCGCCTGGTCAACATCATGCTCGCCTCAAAAGAGGACGGCGGTCGTGGTGACGAGTTTTTCAACTGTTTCGCAGTACAGGGTGGCATCTACGCCAAGCGAAGCGATGCTTCAAAGGCCACTTGCTCCGACCTGCCTGAAGGCCAGCCTTTGGATGACTACGTCTACTGGTTTGAGCTTAAGGACAAGGAGGGTTGGGAGAAGGCGCTTGGAGAGGAGGGCATTCTCGCCGAATGGATCAAGTACGATCTCAGGGAGGTCAAAGACGACGGCGGGTGCCAACCGCAAGGAACTTCCATTTGTCTCTACAAGAACACCTACTTCCACGACTTCCCTGTGCCCATTGAGCACTCGAAGATCGAGGTGCCTGATCCGAAAGAAATCATCAAGATGGCCAGAGAGAACATGGACAACATTACCTCGACGTTCGACGATGTCTTCATTTCCATCGGGCTGGAAGATTGGAACGAAGGCTACGAGAATGCTGTTGAGGTTCTTTCGGTACCAGTCTTCATGCTGGAAGATGCCGTCGCGTCGATGAAGGAGGTAAAGGATATCGGAAAGGATTGGAAGGAAGAACAAGAAAAGAATCTTATTTTGAAGATCATCGAAGGCGTTCTATTCCTTCTGGCCTTTGTGGGCCCCATTGTTGGCACTTTGGGGAGAGTTGGCGGTGCAATTGCTCGTCTGGTTTCAGCTCTTGAAGGAGCTGCTGGCGTTGGCTTGGGCATCTACAGCATCATCGAAGATCCAACCACGGCGCCTCTTGCTATCTTGATGATGGTTATGGGCGAGCTTGGTGGTGCAGCCGGCAAGAGGGGCCAGTTCGCTGGCTTGAACAAGAAGAAAAATGACATGACCTCGAAGGAGAAGGACAACATGGGCGCCTCGTATTCCAAGAACACGCCCAAGGTCCAGTCCATCATGGGCAAGTCGTGTGGGAAGAAGTAAAGGTGACCGGTCCATAAAGACTGATGAGAGTCTGAATGATGTCATTTTAGTTTGCTCAATCCTAGCCTTTAATGCTTCGCTTTCTGTTACAGTTCCGTGGATGCTGCGTTACCAAGAAGCATCGAAATCTCTTCGAACATCGTGACACGGATCAATGCCATGAAGATAATAGAAACTTCCAGGCTGCTTCTCTATCATACCTTCGAACCTTCAAATCGTGGCCTATGTACCAATATTTCAAGAAAAGCAGCCTTTTCATGCTTATTTTCAGCCGCAAGCTCCTTCTGGGGCTTCTGTTGTTTGTATTTCTTTGGGGTATTTGAATTTACATCATACTATGCCGAGGTTCATTATTCGTCTGATTATAGGATTTCCTGCATTGACTATGACGCCGACTAAAACCATCCGGAAAATACAGTCAGCCCTAAAAGTCCGTCAGACTTCAGCCCATGAGATACCAACTTCATTAAAATGAAGCTTACGTGGGGTCTGCAGCTAAAGTCTTACCATACCTCCAGCTCCCTGTTTGGTCGTTCTGCAGTTCGAAGTGCACGTCTCATTAGGAGCAATCCATTGGGAGAGTACGGATAAAAACGCAGTCAAGGTCTACCTGTTACTTCAATCGCAGCGTGGCATGCATGTGATCGGAATATTGAGTTACCGCAATTGACCATATCATGACATCAGATGTTTCGTGGGTTGAGCGGTCGTCCCCATCGGACATGATAATAACTAAGTTCCCGAAGTGATATAAGACACTGCAGCTGACCATTCCACGCTGTCGCCCAACTCTCTTCCTCTCCCAGATTCTTCACATCCCTTCTTGGTACGAAGATTGATTACGTTTTTCGTCGCCCACAATGTCGCAACAGAAAACAGAGACGGCCTTCTATATCACAGTCTACTTGAATCCTGATAAACTTCAAGACTGGTTCGAAGCTAGCAAGCCTGTTTTTGAGAAAGTCAAAGCAGAGAATGGCCTCGTGTTCTTCGAGATGTACCAGGTTCCGGATACGCCGGGAACTGTCTGTTGGGTCGAGAAATGGTAAGATACTATATAGCAACCGGGGACTTGGTGGTTGCCTTGTCTCGATATCTATTACAGTTCTCAGCTGTTGCTAACTCGAATCTTAGGTCTCAGCCGCTTGACTGGCTGATGCAGGTTGGTAGCCGTCCATTTCGTCTTGTTGCTAGACAGATGTTCTAACGTGATGTGGGTGCAGAATCAGATGAACAAGGACTACTACAAGGATTACTTCTCGGCGACCGAGGCCATGTACACTAAACCGCGCGAGGTGAAGGTACTTAGCCCTGTTGGTCCTCCGTTCTGCCACTCGTAATCCTGATGGTTCATACTGCACGAAGGAAGCGGCAAGGCATCTGCGGGACGGGCGGTCTCACGAATTTCACTCTCGCTCGCTAGTTCAGAGCTTTGCCGGCAAGGATGGCAGAGGCTCCCTTTGGTTACGCGTTTGTCCCATTACTAAGTTATGCCATTTTTCACAGCCTTCTCTGTAGCGAACCGCTGGGAATTCGGAATTAGTGTTTTCAGATTGCGATACGTATGCTTGGTTTAAGTATTCGCCATACCAGTCTACGGCGGGTAATAGTCACAAATAAGCCATAATATAAGGTTACTCTATGCGACACGTTTGCGGTCAGTGTTTCTGAGCAATGGTGGACAGTCAAATATTCCCGACAACCAACCCCTTTGTCATTGGCAGGTTATTTAGGCTTAATATCGACAGCATCTACATTATCGAGAATTGTTATTGTAACAATCAGAATGAAAACGCTTTGTCTTGTCCTGGAATCCTTGGCCGAAAGGAAAGCGATCAGCTTGTCCATCAGGACACGGAGTTGCATTCCGTGTGCTCCGGCCGGCATCATGCCCCACCCGGGGAGAACGTGAGGTCCGGGCGTTCGCGGCCTCCCGCAACAGTTTGCAGACATGGTTGCTGGAACATTGTTGAACTTGGGCATTGAGTCACGTATTCATATCTTCCAAGGCTCTTATTACAATCAACCAGCCCCCGTCGCAGCGCAAAGCCGGCGCATGGGATAGCCTGGATAGATTCCAGCCGCGGAAAAATGTTTCTTGCGGCACCACCCCGAGCAGCTCATGTTGAGGCCACCCCGTTTTCCTAGCTGTAACAACAATGAAAGCACCTGGATTGCGACATAGGATGCAGACAAATGCCATGTCAGCATAGTAAGCAGGCAAAGGAAAAACCTCGACAGTGACGAACTGCGCGGATGAGAAGCGAAACGACGTCTTTGCGACGGACGGTGATCAGGTTTCTTCCCGTTGTCGGAAACCGGGCACATACTTCTTTTAGCACCCCGCGAGAAGACCGCAAAGAACTGGCCTGCGTTTGAGAAGCCGCCAAGCGCGCTGTTCTCAGATCAAGAATCGACTATCGAAGAGGTTTTCTCCATCGACGAGCAGGGAGCTGCTCGAGTGAGTCGAGTCGCCCGGTATGGCGATAATGAACCACAACTACACCAAGGACCAAATGATTGGTCTCGCTTTGGGATTTATGATTATCCCATCAATTTTCTACGCTTTTCGTATTTGGGCGAAGCTGCTCGTCAAGCGCTTCGCGTGGGATGATTACCTGGCAGGATTGGCGCTCGTCAGTTTTTTGTCTGCAATCTCGACTTCAGTGAACTGACCGCGAGATAACGGTAGCTTGTTTCCATCACTTGTTGCATTCTGCAATTAACTAGTATGCCTGAGCGCCTTGCATCTCTGTCTGCTCAGGATTGACGCTCTTATCAGCGGCCACCTACGGACATTTGGGCCAACATCAGCCTACGTTTCCCGACGGCTCACCGATCATGGACGATCCAGGACTGATCCTGTTTGAAGAGGTGAGGTTGATTTCAATGCACCTATACGTGGACCATGCTAACAACCGCTTTTCCGCTTAGACGAAGTTTGCCTTGAACATGATATCCATCCTCGGATTAGGGCTCGTCAAAGCCTCGATACTAGTGCTTTACCGCAGTCTTTTCCCCAGCAACCGCTTTCAATACGTTGTAAACGGTGCTCTAGCCTTTGTCTTTGGATGGACTGTCAGCTTCTTCTTCTCCCATCTTTTTACTTGCTACCCAATTACCGTGTTCATCGAGCCGTACTACGGAAACTCTTGTGTCCAGACAGTGCCTATGTTCTTGGCATTACTGTACACTGACGTCTTTGCTGACTTTACTATTCTGTTGTTGCCGATCCCGATGGTGCTCAGGGTTAGAATGCCCCTGAAGAAGAAACTGGCGGTTATTGGAATGCTAGGATTGGGCGCTGCGCATGTTTCGAAGTCTTTGAAGCTTCACAATACCGTAAAACATAACTAACATTCAGTGATACAGGGTTTGTGCCGTAAGCGTCACGAGAGTTGTGGCGACATTTTCTATTGCTGAAGAATACATCAAGCACCCTAACGACGTTATATGTAAGACAACACTCACCCACTGGGTCAACTAGATAGTGGTCTAGTCGGATTGTCTCCTGACCTTCGCTCATAGATTACACCGCTCCTGTATTCTTCTGGACTAATATTGAGCTTTCACTTGCCATTGTCTGTGCATGTCTTCCCACAATGCGGCCAATCTACCTCTACTTCTTCCCAAAGCCCGCCGCCACCGGAAATACTTCATATCGGTATGGCTCATCGACACGTTATGGAGCCGGTAAAAGAAGTCTTAGAACGCCACCCTGTGAGGAGTTAGATGAGCTGGAGCTGACTCGTCCTGATGGGTTGGCCAGGTTAGATTCACTGGGGGAACATGACATTGTAAGGGAGACAACCATACACCAAACGATTGAGCCATTGGATAGCTCTAGCACCGCCAACCTGAGAGGGAACAGTTTCGGATTTTGATAGAACCGAGTGTCACTGATCATTTGTTTGCGGTTTAATTTACAAGTTATGTCGATGTGTGTCACCTCCTGATCATTCGGCCTATCCTGTCTCTTTGCCGATGATGCGATTTACATTGGCAACCTGAAATATGACTTCTCCTAGCAAAGTAGACGGATCCATGAAGAAATTGCAGCTGAATGTTGTATTCCACAACAAATGCAATATGCCGCGCAATGCAATGCAGCCACCTTTAGTATTCTGGTCAATATCTCGTCATGTGACTCATGTCCAACGAGTACATATGTTTTATTCCACAAGATGCGTGATTAACTTCATGCTTCTCTAATCAAACCGAACAAAGCCTGACTCCTTCGCCTAAGGCCTGGAAATTTCGGGCTTTGAGTAGGAATAGAAATTATTGCGCCTATTCAAGAATCAAGCGATAAACCGGAGCACGGGAAAATGAGGGTTTGCTCTACAGCTACTCTCGCTTGTTCTTAGCTGGCTCTTTTCCTACAAAGGGTTGCTTTAAGTTCAATCGTGGTTAAAATAGCCTCGATATCCACAACATGGGGGAGGGGCAGTGGGGAGAGAATAGTTCTGGTCAGGGAAGAGGGCGTTTCCTGCGAAACGATATCGCGAGTGGCTCGGAACAAGACTCAATCAGCCGGTGAGCTCCACATACGGCCTGAAGACCCTCACACTTCACAATGACCTTGCTTTTGCTGGGTGACGCAATTTCGGACCCCGGGGAATGTAACGCTGCGTTGGCTATGTACGTTGGTTCAGCCAACGGTCCCATTGGTGTCGTTCGGACTGGCGTCGTACGATTGAATAATCGGACTTGTCTCCGCATATTAAACCAGTACACAAGCCCTGAAATATTACCGTGTGATTCGGGATGGATAAGACAATTGCCCTTGCTTGCCCAGCCACCTGTAGATACACTGCGAACCCCAACACAATCGGCAATTGATTCTTCAGCTGCGTATGGGTAGGCGAATCGGACTCAGCCGGGGCTTCAGGGGACCTCTGTGGCCGGCCATCCCACGCGGAAAAACCTGAGAACACCCTCAGAAACCCTTAAGATCTCAACCCCATCCTTCCATGCATAATTTCCTTGGCTCTCACCGCTTCTCGTTGACGATCACTTGACGTTGTAACCGCGCACACTCTCGTTTTCTACTATCATGCGGCTCCTACTCGCGGGTGTACAGTTCCTATCCTTGGTAGCAGCAGCTATCATTGATATCAGTGCTCGGTCTGTAGCCGATGACTTGCTCAACCTCGTGTCAACATCGCCGGTGGCCGTCGAGGTTCGAGAGCGATGGAGTGACTTCGATCTACCCACGTCCTCTGTGGTCGTCAATGCGACTTGCGAAGAGGACCTGAAAGCTGTGGTGAGTCAAATTCGTGCTTCCGCAAATAATATGCTGTGCTCTCGGCGCTCATATTTTCTTATCACATAGGTCAAATACTGTTCACAAAATGGCGTGCCATTTCTCCCTCAAAACGGAGGCAACGGTTGGGCAGCAGGACAATTCAACTTGGGCACAACCGGAGTCCTTATCAACTTGGCCGGTCTCAACCAGGTCAACATCAGTGCAGACAAGAAGACGGCCACCATTGGCGGAGGAGCCCTCATCGGCGATGTCATCGCCACAGCTGATACTGCTGGCGTTTTGATTCAGACGGGTAACTGCAATTGCGTTGGAGCCCTCGGAGCAGCTCTAGGTGGTGGTTATGGAAACATCATGGGAGAACATGGCTTCGCTGTTGACAACATCCTTGAATTGAGAGTCGTCACGGCTACAGGAGAAGCTCTCACTGCCTCGAAAACCTCCAATCCAGACCTGTTCTGGGCCCTTCGTGGCGCTGCGCCCAACTTCGGCATCGTCATGCAGGCTACAGTCAACGCTTTCCCAGTCGCCGACCGCACGTCTTGGATCATGTCTCTCACCTTTGATCCTTCGAAGGTCGCCGATGTTGCCCAGGCAATCCAGGACCTTCCTCTGCTACCGCAGCAGGTCGTCTATCTTGTTCTCACCAACTCCGGCGACGCGCTGAACACGCCGGCAGTTCTCGTTACGGGATTCCTCCGTGAAGGGACTGAGGAACAGGGCCGGGAAGCATTCGCACCCCTCTATGACCTTGGACCGCTCACCAACTCCAGCGCTGTCACACCCTATACGCAGTGGAACGCCGCGAACGACAACTTCTGCGCCCGTGGGGGTCGCAAGCCTGCTTTCAGCACGACCATCAATAACATGAAACCAGACACCTGGCCTGAAATCTGGTCTCTTTACACGAGCTTCCAGAATAAGTCGACGGCGCAGAACTCAGCTGTGTTGATTGAGCGATACAACTTGACTACGGCCAAGTCATTGCCCACTGGATCCGCTGCAATGCAGGATGAACTCCGTCAGGAAGCCTTCGCACAGGCTATTGTCATTCCATGGTACGAGGAAGAATCACTGGATACCGAGGCGCTGGCCTTTGGCTCCAAGGTCAGAGACATCTGGAGCTTTTTATCAAGTGCAACAGTCAACCCCACGTAAGCAATTCTCTTATGCTCCTCAACGTTAACACATGCGCTTACTGATTGGATATAGGTACGTTAACTTTGCCCATGGCGATGAGGAGCTTCAAGCAATCTATGGATCCAGCTTGGATAAGCTCAAGACACTGAAAAAGCAGTATGATCCTACTGGTGTCTTTGGCCAGTGGTTTAAGATTCAATGACGGCATAGGAGCTTATATGCATGCAAAGGCACAACGTGGCTCCCGCCAGGTATTGTTCAAATGGGTCAAGGAAAGGTTTCTCTAAAGTGCATATGTTTCCGTGAAATGGAGATACTACATGCCTGTGTAAACATTAATAAGCCTATGTTAACCTGACACCTCTCCTGTTACAAATTGGCATCTACACTAGATGATCATTCTCGCGTTCCCCAGGTCAATCTCCTTGAGATGAACCAACTTCGTCCTCTTCGCAATCTTCCAACCGACTGCTAAAATGATGAAGAGCAACACCACGATATAATTCTGAAAGAAAGCCTCGACATCCCACGGCGCAAACGCTGTCCAACCTTGGAAGAAGATGAAGAACGTGTTCCCAGCGAGTCCCAAATAGGCGCAGAACCGCCAAGCGGGAGCCTGGAAAGGTAGGACGTCGGCACTGATGTTCTGAGCAGCCAACGCCATACGCAAGCGGATATGATTAAGTGAGATGAGCCCCCCTGTGAGGAACACTGGTCAGTCATTGCCGAGGGAGGACATTGCCGAAGAAGACAAAGTACTTACAAGTGATGAAGGTCGCAACACCGGTAATGGAAATAATCCAGGTGTACACAACACCAGCGCCTGACGACAAGTTGAGAAGAGATAGAAACCCAATGAGATTCATGGCAATCAAGGACACGATTGGGACGCCCTTTTTCGTCGTCCACGCGAAGATCTTCGGCGCCTGCCCCTCCTGTGCAAGCCCGTAAAGCGTGCGGGAACCGACGTAGAGCGCGGCATTGATCGCGGAGAACATCGTGACCAAAATGATTGCGTTGACCACGTGTGCTCCGGCAGTTGCCCCGACCCTCGTGAAGGCAATGACGAACGGTGACCGAGCCGTCTTGCTAGACGCGGACAGCAGGTTCGGGTCGTTATACGGGACCGTGATAGTGAGAAAGAAGATGCCCAGCAGGAAGATACCGCAGATGCGCCAGAGGACGGACTTGACTGCCTTGGGGACGTCGCGTTGGGGGTTGGACGACTCTCCTGCGGTCAATCCAATCATCTCCGTGCCGCTGTACTGCAAAGCAGCGAAGACAAAGACCTGGAAGACGCCCTTGGCGCCGTTCGCAAACGCGCCTGGGTCGTGGTAGAATTTGAAGCCAATCTTCTCGCCGCCAATGACGCCGGATGTTATAAGGATCGCACAGAGGAAGAAGGCAAAGATGGCGACGACTTTGATGAGAGCCAGCCAGAACTCTGCTTCACCGAAGGACTTGACGCCGAGGAGGGTGAACGCGAGGAAGAACCACCTGGGTAATCAGTTGTTAGTGGGACTTTGGAAGCCGAGGGTAGGATGGTTACTTACCAAAAGATCAGAATCCACCCCCATCTTGGCAAAGCCGTTTCCCAGTACGTCAGTACAAGTCCAAGATTGTCTGTTGATTAGCGAAGGTCAGCCGAAAACCTCTAATACGACAGTCGGAGCACTCACTGTACTCTGCGATTATGATTCCGGCCCATAACAGCCAATAGTTCCAACCGAGCGCAAAGCCGACTGCTGGGTCGACAAAAGTGGAGGTGTAGTGCGTAAAAGAGCCTGAGAACCGCAACCAACCGTTAGCAACTCGGATGGCAAGGTAAGAAGTCAGAAAGGGGTTCAAGAAACAAACCTGACAAAGGAATGAAAGCGCCGAGTTCGCCCAAAGACTGCATAACAGCCCAAAGCAGCACGCCGACAACTGCAAAGCAGAGTAGAAGACCAGCTGGGCCAGCATTCGTTAAACCCGTGCCCATTCCCACAAAGTAACCTGGCCCAATAACACCACCAATAGCCAACATCATCTGCATGGCGGCACCAACAGCACCGAGTTAGCCCACAAACACGGCGCAATATATTGGGTCTCGGCAGGTTAAGCGTACCAAGTGACGGCCTGACAGACCGCGATGCAGGCCGGGGCCTCCTCCGGTCGTAGTTGCGGTCTCCCCATCGTGGGCGGTTGAGGTATGCTTCAGGGCGTTGTCGTCCTTTGACTCGGCTTTCAAGTCCGCCATTTTTCGACAATTGACAATACAGTAACAGAAAGAGTGAAATAGCATACGATCTCAGCAACTCGGTTTTCAATTTCCGACCTGGGTCAGATCGTGGATGTATATACCATCACCCCAATACCAGGCATCGCTAACAGAAGATACTTCGGGCCGAGTCAAATCACAACCGTGCGTTCAAAGTCGCAAGTCTAGGGCGCGGATAAGGGGCCGGATTGTGGTGGGCCGCCACAAGCCATTTGGGCCGAGTCATATCTGGGAAATCGCGGGGTTGAGAGATACAGCCGGCAGATCCCTGGTTCTCGAGTGGCTGCTGACGTTTGTAATAATTCCCTTCTGATAGGGGATATTCCATTGACTAATTGCCTGTTAGATATGGGACATCTCAATCAATCAAAGCTTGGTTCCATGTATGAACGATCGTTGTCTTTTTTCTGGACACCAAAGCTCCCAGCTGAATGATTGAGCGCGAAGAAAGGCTCACGTGTCCAGTTGACAAAGTCATCCAGCAGAGTAACGAATACATGCGACAGCCTCATGGCTATCTTCTTGAATCTCGCAAGTTCTGGCACAATAAGTTCGCAGCCTATGTCGACGAAGGACTTCCCGTCGTCGACGCGTATGTTGGCGAATCTCGTATTGAAGAAAGAATAGGTGGTTTAAGACATGAATGCATCATAAAGTCATTTCTATCTCTTGCTTATAATACTTGTGATAAATAACAATTGCAACTGAAAGGTTGCTATGAAGAAAGATATTCCACATCAGGTGGTGTTCACAGCTTGCAATATTGAAAATAATTTGATCGGTCTAAGCGAATGAGCCTCTGCCGCGTACATTCGCACGCGACTGCGATCTCATCGACTGAGCTTCAGCTTGTTGCTCGAACTGTCTGAGGGCACCGGACTCCTGCTGGTGATGGTGGTGATGGTGGTGGTGATGGTGATGGTGGTAATGATGGTGGTGATGTACCACTTGCTGAGGTGCAGTGGGGTATCTGAACAGATCTGACGGCAGACTCTGGCCGAAGTCGTCGGTGAAAAGCTGCAAGTATTGGGACGGAGGCGCGAAAGCGCCGCTGTTGTGAGTCGAAGAACCAGACGTAGCCAGGAGGTCAAAATCGGTCGTGTCTATTGTTGAGCTTGTGGATTGTGGTGGCCTTGTGTTTCGTGCTCTATTTGAGGTGCGGGGAGCATTCTGGCGATTCGAGACAGCTATGTTGGGTATGCTGTCCCATGCTGCCCTCGGTGGCGTTGAGGCACAATCTGAGCTGTCTGATGAAGCCCCGTTGAAGTCTTGGTGATGGGTGGTGTCTGTATTGCCGAGCATGTCCAGGCTGACCACACCGCTCTGATTGGGAAGTTGTGATGGTCCGGGTAGAGCATTGAATGACTCCGGATCAGCTGCGAAGCCGATATTTTCGTCGCCCAGACCGGCACTGGTGTCCATCATGCTTGAGGTGAGACTGTCTAGATGAACTTGACTTCGCAAGTCAGTTTCAGCGCCAGTTGTTGTTGTGACCAGGTCAGGAGTCTCCGGGGAGACAGCGTTATCGCTTCCCGACATCTGGCAGGCTGTGGATGACGGCGTGCTAGTGTCGGGTGATCCTTTGGAATGTTTGGATAAGGCTCTCCACCTGTTGCGACAGGTAAGAGGAGGGCGACCAGGGAGTTTGGCAGATATGGCGGACCACCTGTGTCCGAGGGAATGAACTCCTTCCCTCAGGATATCGTCTTCCCTGGGACTCCAATGGCAGAGGCGATCCTTGGCTTGGGGGTTGAGTATATCGTTGTATCTTTTAGCACATTGGTCGTCTTTCCTGCCAGGAATGAGAATAGCTGAGCACAGGACATGTCAGTTCATGAACCACCTGCAACTGATTAGTGTGGACGTTGAGTCGTACCGATGTCATGCCAGGCGGGGCCTAGTCGTGCATATGCTGATAGCAGGACTTGATCTTCTTGAGCCGTCCATCTGCCTTTCCGAAGAGATGGATCGAGTGAATGGAACCAGCGTTTGCGACAGTCCTTCATATCAGGTGAGCTTGGTCGTACAATGCGTCCAGATACTCGAGAGAGCTGACCTTTGCTGTGCGGTCTTGCAAGCCAGCAGCAATGTCTTTCCACTTCCCCTGCGGACCCCTTGCGTCACCGTAGTGGGCGACAAGGGCCTTGAGTATCGCGTCCTCGGCGGGTGACCAGATCCTCCGCGGTCGAGTACCGGCGTTGGCAGCTGGAGAGCGGGGGGACGAGTCCTCGTGAGACATGACGTGCGAGAAGGGGGTAATCGTCGGTATATGTGACAAGCCACGGCGACGGAATTGAGCGCCATCAACCAGCTTTGAATCTGTCCTCAGCAAGCCAAAAGCAGACCAAGCCGGTCCCTCGGTGTACGTGACTGTGACTATCTCTGGTGGAGGCCCCTATTTTCCCGCCTGACACCTTATCTCTACCGCCTCCGCAGTTTCTTTCGGAGCGTCCCCGCATTCTAGTAGGTGGAGCCCGCATTCCACGCTTCCCGATGCTTTTGACTCGGCCCAACACCGACAAGGGTCAACGGTGATTGGCGACGAGAATCCACAATGGCGGACCCATCTGACCCGGCCGGGGAGGCCGTGTCATGCCGATCCGGACGGCCGACCGAGTCGTCTTTGACTCGGCTTCGGCATGCGTTCGAGGATATAAGCGAATATTTGGGACGAAATGGGAGCCCTCCTTTTGCCTGGTTCATCATCATTCGTTCTTCCTTCCTTTTCATGCTCTTTAGTTCCGAAAGCTACCATCATGTCTTCTTCAGAGCACCTTCACCCTCTTGACCCGGCCACCGCCGAGGAGATCCAGATCGCCACAGATTTGGTCAAGACGCTCTTCTATGGCATTCCTCTTCATTTCAAGGCCGCTGGCCTCGATGAGCCCCCGAAACAGGAGATGGTGGCTTACCTCAAGGCAGAGCACGCCGGCCAGCCTCTCCCGGAAATCCCTCGTCGCATCTTTGCGATATGGTACATCAAGCGCACTCCTCGTTTGTTCGAGGGTGTCATTGACGTTACCAACAAGCGGGTGGTTCAGCACGAGGAGTTGCCTAGGGATTTCCATGGCCCCGTCGACCGTGTTGAACTCAACGAAGCTGCTCAGGTGGTCATGGCCAATGCTGATGTCCACAAAGAGCTTGAGCGTCTGAAGATTGAGAGGTCCAACGTGGTTCTCGATCCTTGGGACTATGGTGTTGATGGTATTGACACCCAAGAGCGTATGACACAGGTAAAGTCCCCATACCACCGCCCTTAATCTCGCCGCTCTCAATTACCCCTGGTTTTCCCACTTTCGCATCGTCCACACTGTTTTTCTCTCGGAATTTAGCATTCTAACATGTTGGCAGGTTTTCATGTACATGAAGAACCCAAAGAACAACGATGTCGACTCATCACACTATTCCTTCCCTCTGGACTTCATGGTCATTGTCGATCTTTGTGCCATGAAGGTCAAGAAGATCATCCGACTACCCCTAGGAGCCGACGAGAGCACGACAGAGGGAATGGATGACATTGCACACCGCGAGACCGACCCCGCCGAGCCGGAGTACGACCATCGTCTGCAAAAGAACCCTCCTCGCACATCCTTGAAGCCGTACAATGTCATTCAGCCCGAGGGTGCATCCTTCACTGTAAAGGGCCATCTGATCGAGTGGGAGAAGTGGCGCTTCCGTGTCGGTTTCAACTGGCGCGAAGGTATGTTTCTGCTGAAATCGCAGACCAAATGACGCCGTACTGACTTGATGCAGGTCTCACACTTCACGATCTTCATTTCATGGATAGAAGCACATTCTACCGCCTGTCTTTGTCCGAGATGTTTGTCCCATACGGAGACCCTCGCAGCCCCATCTACCGCAAGGGCGCCTTCGACCTCGGCAACGTTGGTGCTGGAGTTACCGCGAACAACCTTCAACGTAAGTCTCTCATCACCTGGTCTAGAAAGGGTTACTGACAGATCTTAGTGGGATGTGACTGCCTGGGCACCATCAAGTACATCAGCGGCTGCGTTGTTTCTGCAGACGGCAGTCCCGCTCCGCGACCCAACGCCATCTGCATCCACGAGATCGACAACGGCATCCAGTGGAAGCACACCAACCACCGCACCGGCAAGGCCACCGTTGTGCGCAAGAGACAACTCGTTCTCCAGCAGATCATCACCGTCGCCAATTACGAGTACATCTTCGCATGGATCCTCGATCAGTCAGGCGAGATCTCCTTCGAGACCAGAGCGACCGGTATTCTGTCAACGCAGCCCATCGACAAGGACTCCAAGGTGCCGTGGGGCACCCGTGTTGCCGACGGCGTCATGGCTCCTTACCACCAGCACCTCTTCAACGTGCGCATCGACCCCGCCGTCGACGGCCACCAGAACACCTTCACATATACCGACTCTGTCCCGATGCCCTGGGACCAGAAGCTTAACCCCCTGGGAACCGGCTACGTCAGCAAGGAAACTCCCGTCATCCGCGCCGGCCCCGTTGAGGATAGTCTCAAGGATGGTCGCGTCTTCAAAATCGTCAACGAGAACATCCAGAACCCCGTTTCTCTAACGCCGGTGGGCTACAAGCTGGTCCCGATCCGCTCGCAAATGCTTCTCGCGCAGCCGGGCTCGTGGCACTGGCGGCGCTCCGAGTTCTGCGAGGCCCCGATCTGGGTCACCAAGTACAAGGACCGCCAGCTCTTCCCGGCTGGTGACTACACCAACCAAGGTCTCGGCGGCACCGGCATCAAGTCATGGACCAAAGAGCGCGACCACATCCCCAACGACGACATCGTCATCTGGCATACCTTCGGCTTCACGCACAACCCGCGGGTGGAAGATTTCCCCATCATGCCCGCCGAGATTGCCCAGTTCCATCTGAAGCCTTACAACTTCTGCCAGTACAATCCCACGAATGACGTACCGCCCTCGAGCCAGGCCTTCAACAAGAGCACGTTGTATGAGGAGTCCAAGACGGGCTCGTGCTGCGGCACTGATACCCCTGCTGGGTCGGCTTCCAGCAAGGGTGATGGCGAGAGCCCGTTCGTAAAGGTCACTCTACCTACCAACACAAAGGCTTAGGATGGGAGTTGTATCTGATTGGAGGCGAGGCAAAGTAGATTCGAGGCGGAGGATTCGTTGTAAATAATGACAATGTTGCAAGTTAAACCTGAGTTCCAGACGGCTTTCTGACCTTGATCTTTCCCAAGTTCATGCACGGACCTTGATACCTTCAAAATCAAAAGCTCGAAGGATCAAAATGACTCCATCCAACCTTGGTCCGTGCACTCAACTGGCTATCTCACTCGTCAAAAGCAGGCTTGTGTCTCTCGATTCTCAAACGGCGCAGCAAAGGTCCTTCTGTCGGAACCAACACCGATGAATCTGCTGACGCTTCACAGAACATCATTTCATGTTCATTGGCTTGAATTGAGAATCTGCCTCCACTTTCCACTCCATCTTAATGGTACGTATCTATTGGGCGTCTTTCCTGCAGGCAAGAAAAAACGTATCTCTCTATCCTTGGCTTGCAGTATTCCATCCAATCCAACGATAGCTTCAGTCTCCAAATTGGTCTTCGAATGGAGGCAGTGGAGATAAAACAGCGAATCAATAACGAGCTCTCAGTGCCATCCCTGTCTCTGACTTGGAGTACGTATCTTTGAGCAGCGGCTGTGAAGCGGCCTGCGGCATGGACAGTCCCTCAATGAGTTGGAAATCAGCAGTCTAGCTGCCTGCAACGCCTTTCCTGATCTCTTCCCCTTGGATATAAGAAAGTCATATTCACGCTTCCAATTTTCAAAGCTCTTTACTCTTCAAACTGTCCATCTTCAAGCCCTCAGATCGTCTCATCTCATCTCATTTTCACTTACAACAACATACAAGCCTTACTTCCTGGGTTTTACAGGTCTGAACGCCGTCGACCTTGATATCAACTTGAATTTTCCGTCCATCTATCACGTCGCAACTTTCTACACTCAACATGTTCTTTCAATGGCATACCGCTGTCATCGTCATCGCTCGCCTCCTTCACCTTGGTCACCTTGCCTACTGCCAGACTTCTGGTAATCCTTCAACCTCAACCTCCTTAGAACGTCCTTCTTCTACAGATGAAGTTATGAATGGTGTCATGAAGAATGTATGGAATAAAGAGTTCGTCCCCAAGTTCGAAGAGCTCGACCTCGACTGGGATATGATGGAAAGAGTCGCAGCTGAGCGTCAATATCTTATAGTAAGTTCAATACTTCCAGGATCCAAATCGCTTTTACCTTTCGACTTCATGTTAAAGCCGATGGTTGCTAACTCTATTTCGATTAGTCCACCTTGGTCCTTAAGGGGGCAAAGGATGCTTACAAGCTTGTCTGGAGAGCCGATGAAGCATTCGTCCACCAACTCAGTCCTCTCCGAGACACCCAGCTCACATTCCGAGAACTCATCGACATCGCCGACGACGAATCGCTCACCACTATATACGCATCTTTTCTAGCTGCACCCCTCGATACCGAGGAAGAGAAGACGGCCGCCCGCGCCGCTCTGTGCAGGGTTTGGAGCAGGCCTTCTAATTGCTCCCTCAAGGGCAGGCCGAATTACTTCGAGTTTCAGGACGCATCGGCGAGGCTCTTCGCAACAGTCGGGGTAAGTCATTTCATTCATCTTGTGTCGAGTCATGTCTCTAATACTGGATTTCAGAAGGTTTGGGCGCCCGATCACCCGGAAAAGGCTGAGAAGTTTTTCCGCAGACTGCTGGGGTTTGGGGACGTCGGTGAGGAGTCCCAGAAATTCGAGGAGCTGAAGGTCATGGCGGCGGATGAGCCTTTGCTGAAGAAGGCTCTTGACGACTTCATTTATGAGTTCAATGTACCGTATTAGAGGCTAGGGTCACTTCTCAACTGCGCAGCTTGATAGTGGGGTTGAGACTGTTCTGGACCTTTCTGTTCCAGCGGCGCCAACATATCGATGTTTCCATATATCGGCTGCGTTATCTTAGGATTTGGTCTTTTCTTCTTGCAATAACATCGTTATCGTCAATGTCGTTGTATTGTTGGTTGCACTCACGTACATCCGCGAATAGTTGGCCACATTCCCAAGGTAAACTCCTTGAATTTCCTTTCTGCGGCTTTGTTGGACTGCTGCTCTCTTGCGTCGTCCTTGTTGTCTTTAACTCCTGTGAAATGGCTGGAGACACAATAGTTGTTGGTGCGCATTTTGGCAACGCGGATGGTTGGTTGGCTGGGATCAGAAAACTTGGCGTTGGAACCATCCAGGGAGGTTTCCATTGATGGCGCTAAACCTCTCTTCGGAAAGCCCCTGAACGGCTGACTCCAAGGGAAGCGTCTCTCATCGGCTCCTGAAGCATTGTAGCAACCGACTCGCTCTTTACATAAATTTCACTTCTAATGCGGCTAATGGCCTCGTCGTCTACAATGTGGCCGAAGGCCTTTTCGAAGCCCATGCCGACCATCACCAGCCGCTACCTTCTGCGCCAGCAGGCCTCGGCTCAAGTCATCACCCATCGGCCGTTTGGTGCACCCTTCACAATCACCCCACCGCAGCTGCGTTTGCAAACGCATGCTTTCTCCCAGCGGCATTTGACATCCTTCTCGATGCGGCCTGTTCCGCAAGAGCCACCACCCAAATCCATCAGCGGCGAGGACTGGGAAGCCCTCTCGCCCGAGGCGAAGATCCAGTGGCTCGGAGACGATAAATGGGGCTGGGTCGTCTACCGCTGCTCTTACGCCAAAGAGTTCGACGGTGCCTGGGGAGACCTCAAGCGCCGCATCACGCAAGGCATGCGTGGGGCTATCGCCAGGTCAGACGCACCCTACATTGCACAGACGATGGACTTCGTGTTTGTTGAAGACCCATTGCTGGAGGGTGCTTCGGTCCACGAGCTGAGACGTCGCTTTCAGACATGGGCTCGCGAGAACAATACTACGAGCATCGACATGGAAGACGAGAAGCAGGGTTCGCGGGGCTCAAGGTACGAGTTCTTTCTCAGGGTCGATGGCGAGGGGTTGTGGAACGGCTATGTTGGTCTTGTTCGGGGCTGGCCTTGTTCTCCTGGAAGTGAGGACTGGATGAAGATCAGGGCTGGGGCGGTTGCTCCTGCGCTCTACATCATGCTGGATGATCCCGAGGTGTGGTACGCGTATTATACGCCGCCAGAAATAGGGGTGTGTGGTGCGTTGTAGTAGTTTCGTACCACAGGTCTACCGTCTCTCGGATATACACCCTAGATGATCCTGATTGGATAAAGACAGAGTTCATCAGACTTCGAGATCACTCTGGCGACCACCTTCTTAAGGCCGTCGAAATCCATGCTCGGCCACGGTAGTGTAGTTCCAAGAAATCAATGGTCTCCAAGCTGTTGAACAGAAACTCTCAATTGGGTTGACACTGCCATGAGTCTCCTTATCATCTGGCTTGTATCAAAAGGGATGGTGAGACTGCCGAAAACGCTACGGTCCTCAGAATAAGCAATTTCTACCTAGATTTAAGCAGCGTAATTTCCGAAGGAGTCGTTGCTTGCATCTTATATGTAAGGAACCTCCAAGTTGAAGCCCTCGATGAGTCCATCAATTCCCAGTCAACCACAAGCCACCTAATACCACCCGCATATTCTATGCCTTTAATTTGTCTATGTCGCTGTCATGACCCTCCAGCAGATCGCGGCAATCGTTAGAAAGATGGTTCATCACAATCCGAAGTTGACCCAGCCACCTGAGACGCAATAAGCCAACGTCGCAGAGAAGAGCCGAACAACTCGACTGCAACGAATCAAACCGCCGGGTTTTAATGAAAGCCCAGAGCCCTGGGTCACCCCGGACGGGAACGTCGGTAAACGAGCCGCCCAACATCACTCTATTTCCCGGACCATCATCCTCCGCGCGATCCACCCGGAACCATCACCGGATCCTTCCCAGCCCGTCCAGGGCGGTCCAATTCGCCCAGACGTCGCAGCGGACCAACAAACATCAAACACCACGGCCAGACGCCAGCCAGAACGAAGCATCGCGGCCGGCCCTTCGCCGCCATGGCGGTCTTGGCTCGCGAGGTCACCTGGTTCCAGCGCAACCCATCCCGTCCCTCCCACGTCGCCACCGGCCGGCTTGACTCTCCGGCACGAAGAAGGGAAACTCGACGAAAAGGGTAGCAAGCAATATGGTCGGTTTTCATCTATATATACCATCTCCATATCGAACCGCATGTTGATCACTCCACCCCTCGCCCATCTCGCAGATCAACCACTCTCTCCCCAACTACAGTCCTCTCTTTCTGAAACCACAACACTCATTCCCTTCCCACATACCCACCGCTCCCTCCCGACAATGAAGTTCCTCCTCCCCCTCCTGACCGCCTCCGCCGCGAGCGCGCACACGATCTTCTCCTCCCTCGAGGCCGGCGGCGTCAACAACGGCGTCGGCAACGGCGTCCGCGTCCCCTCCTACAACGGCCCCATCGAGGACGTCACCTCCAACTCCATGGCCTGCAACGGCGCGCCCAACCCGACCTCGCCCACCTCCAAGGTCATCACCGTCACCGCCGGCCAGAGCGTCACCGCCGTCTGGCGCTACATGCTCAACAGCGCCGGCTCCGCGCCCGCCGACATCATGGACAGCTCCCACAAGGGCCCCACCATCGCCTACCTCAAGAAGGTCGGCGACGCCACGTCCGACTCGGGCGTCGGCGGCGGCTGGTTCAAGATCCAGGAGGACGGCCTCAGCAACGGCGTCTGGGGCACCGAGAAGGTCATCAACGGACAGGGGAAACACTCCATCAAGATCCCCGCGTGCATCGCCCCGGGCCAGTACCTCCTCCGCGCGGAGATGATTGCGCTCCACGGCGCGGGCAGCTACCCCGGCGCGCAGTTCTACATGGAGTGCGCCCAGATCAACGTCGTTGGCGGCACTGGTGCTAAGACGCCCGCCAACACCGTCAGCTTCCCTGGTAAGTAGACCTCTAATCCGCGGGTTGAGCATAGTAGTTCTAACAGATCAAAACAGGTGCTTACAAGGGATCTGACCCCGGCGTCACCATCAACATCTGTAAGTCATAAATCCTCGGGATCATCCACGCAAACTGCATGCTAACATGTCTTCTGCAGACTACCCTGTCGTCACGTCCTACACGATCCCGGGACCCGCGCTCTTCACCTGCTAGATGCATTGAACTGCAACCAGGCACAGGAGGAACTTTGAAAAGCTCTGCGGGAGCATTCAGTCGTTTGAATAGCATTCTTAGACTAGGTCGAGCTTGTCTTGCCTAGAATTCTTGTACATAGTTACCATAACTGTCAATACGTCTTTCCACACGAAGTGGGTTTTGCGCAACTACTTATACTTGAAAGGAAGCAACACAAGCAGTCAAACGAAGAAACGACAAAGAATGCATCGTCGCTCAGGGGAGAGCCTCGATATGCGGAGGAAAAAAAAACAAAGTAGGTAGTAGAAAAAAGAGGAAACAAGATCGTTGTGGTGAGTCAGTAGCCCAAAAAGCAAAAAGATTTTGACCAGCATGGGGGTCGAACCCACAATCTCCTGATTCCACGTGTATCGTAGTCAGACGCCTTGCCATTGGGCCAACCGGCCAGACAATTTAGAGCACCTTGGGTGCCCGTCTGTGGGAGTAGCAGCGGCAAGGCAGCTCATATTGCGTTCGAGTTGTGTGGGCATGGACGGCCTCAGACGGCGCTCTGGGATTTGCTTGTTGGCGTTGGCCAATTGCACCGACTCAGTTGCTCGTTTTGGTGGGGTTTTGGGATGAAAATTTTCTGCCGCTGCCGGCGGGGTGCTCCGAGCGTTGCGCCAGCCGATGTCGGGGTTTCGGCCCCTCTTCCGGAACTTGCGAGTGACGAACGAGAGCATTTCAGTTGCCTAAAGCCGGTATAAGAATTCAGATGTGATCAAATGCGGTCTATTCTTTTCGTTTTCAATCGTCTATGAACAGTGCCACCGAGATGTCTCATCTCATTTTTCAAGACCCGAATTCCTCACCTCACGCTATTGGTGCCCAGAAGATCGCTATCTAGTACCCGCGGAAGATAAGGTCCTCTCTCTTGGGGCCAGTGCCGATCCAGACGACCTTGACACCCGTGAACTCCTCGATGAACTCGATGTACGCACGCGCCTGCTTGGGCAAATCGAAGTACGTCTTGGCGCCCGTTGTGGGCGAGTTCCAGCCCTCGAGCTCCTTGTAGACGACCTCGGCCTTCTCAAGCACCTTGAGATCAGCGGGGAAAGAGGGAAGCTCCTCGCCAGTGCCGGGGTCCTTGTAGGCGACAGCGACCTTGATGGTGGGGAAGGTGTCGAGAATGTCGAGTTTGGTAAGGTTGAGAGCGGTGTAGTGGTTGAGCTGCGTCGAGTACTTGACGACGACAAGGTCAAGCCAGCCACAGCGGCGAGAGCGACCGGTAGAGACGCCAATTTCGTGGCCGATCTTCTGGAGCTTCTCGCCAACCTCGTTGACCTGTTCTGTGGGGAAACCACCGCCACCAACACGGGTGGTGTAGGACTTGACAACACCGACGATGTTGTTGATCTTGCGGGGGTTGAGGCCGAGCTGATGTCTTGTCAGAAATGCAGCTTTAATGATGGGTCATCGCACTTACGCCAGTGAAAACACCGCCAAGGCCAGTGTTGGATGATGTAACGAAGGGGTAGGTTCCAAAGTCTAAAGCGTTGGTCAGTCAGAACCACAGGAGCAAGGTGCGCCTTCACATACTCAAGTCAAGCATGACAGCCTGGGCACCCTCGACGAGAATCTTGTTGTTGTTCTTTTGCGCGTCGGCTATCATGGGGACGGCGTCAACAACAAAGGACTACGCTTGGTCAGTATTTTATCCGCATTCATGTGGAACGGGCCAGCATACACGGAGATCCTCTCTGTACTGCTTGAAGCGCTTGATCTCATCCTCGAGATCGTAGACCAGGAGGTCGCCAAAACGCTTCTTGAAACCGTTGGCGAGTTGCGTCAACTTGCGCTCAAAGACCTCCTGGTCGAACATCTCGCTGATGGTGATACCGTTGCGGGCGGCCATGGTGCTGTAAGTCGGGCCAATACCACGCTTGGTGGTGCCGATGCTGTTGCCGCCCAGCTCCTGCTCCTCGAGACCATCGACCTGGATATGGCAGTCGGTGATGATGTGGCATCGGTCGGAGACGAGGAGACGCTCGCGGATGTTCTTCAAGCCCTTGGCCTCGAGGTCGGCCATCTCCTTGAAGAAGGTCGGGACGTGAACAACGGCACCGGAGCCAATCAGGCAAAGGGACTTGGGGTGGAGGAGACCGGAGGGGAGAAGGTCTGGATAGAGGCCCAGTATTAGCCAAGGAGGCAACGCGCCGAGGCTGGGAAGAGGAACTTACGGAAGTCGTAGCTAACACCATCGGCGATGACGGTGTGGCCGGCTGAGAAGAGGTTCGGGTTAGAACTACCTCGATTGCTGGCCATCAGGAGCTGGAGTGACTCCTACCATTGTGTCCGCCCTAGGGCCATCAGCATGCCATTTATTATCCAGAAGGTACCGAAGTCCCAACCTGAGCTCTGGCGCAAATCTGCGCGTCGCGTCCAAGACTGTTCTGTGGGTTAGAGGGCGAGGTGATGGACGGAGGGAACAAGGGAGCTTACACGTCAACCAGCTTTCCCTTGCCCTCGTCGCTGCAGGTGACATGACGTGTTAGTTCTTGAGCGTGTAGAGCAATTGGCGCAGCAGGACATCGTGAGCAGATGGCTCTGGATGATACACATGCTGCCTGGTGGTGTATGCGCATGTGTGTCCCAGAGATCATGGCAAGCTCGCCCTGCTGGCTGAAGCCATTGGTGGCATAGTAAGGTAGAGCAAGGAGGTAGAGCAGAGAAGGGCAAGATATGCGAACAAGGTAGTGACATGAGGCAGAGGATAGAGAAAAGGGCCGCGAAGAGTTGGCAGCTTACCCCCACTGGGCGCCGAGAACGATGTCAATGGTAGACATGGCGGCGTCGGGTAGTAATGTGATAGGACGTGAATCCAATTCGTGTTTCCACGTTAGGTAGCGAGCAACAAACGAGATTGTCAAGTATGGGTTGCTGCGATCGCAACGTCGGTCTGCGATAATCTCGAAAAAACAATCAGAAGGGAGAAGACGCGGGGTTTAAAAATTCCCATGGAGGGGCAGGTTTTGCTTTGGCGGGGTTGCCAATTCGCGCTTTCGGCTCCGCTTTTACCTCAGGAGTCACTGACCACCAACCAGTGACTCCTTCCTTCAGCGAGGTCCAGTGCAATTACCTCACTGGAGGATTTGTGCGACTGCGCGATCGGAACTCCACGGTACGTACTGCGGTAATTGCGCGCCAATGACTGGTCCAACGGGACGAAACTGCCCGGAGTGGGCGAATCCAGTTAGGCAAGACCGGCAATATGTCACGTGCACCAACGGTTCAGCCATTGACCCGCCCCCGCCGCCCGGTGGATTTCAGGGCAAGCCACGCTTTGCTAAGCCACAGTCAATCCCAGCCACACTCAACGGTTCACCGCCCCGCCGTCAGGCCTGGTGGACTTAGATTTCTTTCCGTTATTCCATCATCCCCGGGTAGACGCTATTTCATATCTGTCTGGCTTATAGTATGGATTCAGAGCCTGCCACTTTGTTTATCAAGATCAAGAAGTGAAAAACAGGAATTACTCGCTCAAACCGTGCCAATGTCACTAAATCCTAAGGTAGGCTCACTTAAGCTTGTTTGACATCTATGCTTCTGTAACTACGGTTGCTCTCGGCGGTTCTGGGCTAAGGTGCATAACGTACGGCATCAAGCTGAAGCTCCGCCAACCCAACTCATCATTGATTCTAGTCGGTACATGGAGGTTCCACATCACGTTGTCTTTTGAGCCCTTTTCAATTCGAGTGTAAGATCTGAGGAGCTATCAGCCTAGCTGTATCAGGTCCACCGCCATCCATAGCTGACCTCGTTACAGCACAGCCAAACAGCTTTGCTGAATGGACCCTAAGCAGTACTTTCACGTGGCAATGCTTCGCAAATCAGTTGACCACCTCGGATGCTTGGCACCTTGCCCGACCAACAAGATCAAAACCGCCATCCATAAAAGACTCACTGTCACCTCGGAAGACTTGCCGAACGTGGGAACCCCAGACCCATCAAGGCGAGCCCAGCTGAAAATTCGCCCGACCCCAACCCTGGCCATCCGAACGCCATCCAATCTTATCTGATGGATCAGATAAACTTCATCCAACCTCACCACACCCCCTCAGGCCATTTATCAATCTAGTCACCTCGCCCGACCAATCATCATCCTCACCACACCCCACATCACCGTCAAAAAGACCCTGGAGGCGGCCCAGACGATGCACAAGAGTCAAAAGAGCTCTAACCGAGCCTCCGAACATGGGCAAGCGCGTTGGAAAAGAGCTTGAATCCCTGTTCCACTGGCCGGGCCTTGTTACCTTCCTAGGTCGTGGATGCACGACCGACGCACCCAACACGAGCTTATTGCCCTTTTCTTTCACTTCAGATGTTGGTAATGGCAGACGATTGGTGCCAAGAGGGGCTCTTGAAATCGAACATCCCCCTTGGGCGCCACCATGCAAGAGCTTGACTCTCCTGCTCCATGTCGGTTGGTCGTTAGACTGACCGTTCCCTCGGGCGAGTCGGATCTTAAGGCCAGACTCCATTCTCATATAAGGCGCACTCACATCCCCGGGCCGAAGTCATGCGAGTATTTCCTTCTTCTTCGCGACCCCCCCAGTAGTACAAGCGTCCATCTCAAGCACCCACGCAAAGTCTCACCGCTGGCAACCGGTAACATGAAGTACTCGTTCGTCCTCCTCGCCGCCGCAGGCCTCGCTGCCGCCCAGCAGAAGTTCACCGACGTGGTCCCGGAGTGTTCCAAGGAGTGCCTCGTCGAGGCCGTCAAGAACGGAACACCATGCACCAGCATCGACGACTCCAAGTGCATCTGCGAGGCGACCAACTACCGAAACATCTACACCGTCGGAGTTTCCTGCGTCTTGGCCGCTTGCGGTGGCGATGTTGCCACCGGTACGTCGAGTCCTCAGACTCCTCACCTCTGCCATCCACCAACCATCCTGTTCGGACGCGGATGAACTTACTGACATGCTTCCGGCACAGGTCAACTCCTCCCCGCCGCCGCCAAGTTCTGCCGCGAAGTCACAGGCGGCGCCTCCGCCCCTCCCGTTGGTTCTTCCTCGGCAGCCGTCTCTTCCGCCGTCTCCTCAGCGATTGCCTCCGCCTCTGGAGCCGCCACGAGCGCGACCGGTAGCCTCTCCGTTACAGTTACCCCGACTGGATCCGCTGCTACCGCTGCTACCGTCGCAAGCACCACCACACCGGCCGCTGCCGCTGCTAGTGCCGGCTCCATGGGAGTCATGGGCATTCTTGCTCTTGGTGCTCTCGCTGCTTTGTAGAAAGGAGGGTGAAGATGATGATGATGGAAAAGCTTTAGGGGAGTGTGATGAAGACATGTGATACCTCTACATACAGCATATGAATTGACACCCAATGATCGTCTTAACATCTTCATGGTTAGGTTGCCTTAGGCTAAGACGCCTCATATTCGTTGAATTGCTACCAGCTTTATCATCCAAGATGTCACTCTTGATTCGCAGGAGAAAAGACTCCATTGAATCTGATAAGCACAATTCCGTGTATTAATTGCTTGACGTCTTGTAGTAGACTATGAGTTGCACCACTCTAGTCCTCCTTGGTTGCCGTCGCTGCCCTCATCTTCGTCTTGAAGCCATTGAACATACACAGTAGCTCTTCTCATTGAAAGGTTCATCTCTCCAGATACTCGGGCATTACTTCCGACGCTCCGTGCAGTTCGAAATAATGGTCTTATGCGAGGAGCTGCACGTTAGTCGCCGTCTCTGCCTCGAAGCCTACGAGCTTCTGCCAACTGATACATTCCCGCTCAGCAAACCGACCTGAATTCCCAGAGATTGCAGATCTTGCTGGTAACTGGGCTGGTTATCTGTCCTCATTTTCCACACGGGTTATTTCCTGGAAACGACGCAAATCCACGTAGACCAGTATGGTTTGCACGTTTTTGGGATGACGATCACCAAGCCCCCTTGTGCATAGTAAGAAGATCTAAACTTCCCTCAATGTGGCTTATCGTCATGATTGATTCTGATTCGTTCGGTGAGATATAGTGCTCCTTCCAATCAAGTTTGTTTATCGAGCAGTACTGAGCGGCATAATTAAATCAAGAAGTTGACCGTTTTGGAATGCTTTCTCAAAGGATTGTTGATCTAGTTCTTGTACGAATATCTCATTAACATTTATTGAACCATTAATGTGACATGGATTCTCTTCGCTTGAAATTATATATCCTGATCAAAGACTTCCTCGGCTTTAAATTGCTGGTGAACTAATACATGTAGTACATGATTACTGTGTGCCTGCCTGAGCCAGTCATAGGTTACATCTCCGTCTCTTTCTCTCACTCAAGGCACTAAAATTATGGGATCTCATAGCGCAAGATTCTTCCAGACCATCCTGAAAAGGATACTTTAAGTATCTTTCAAAAGCTGCGGACGTTTAGACAATATCATAGGAAGTCTGTGAATGTATCTAACCATACCAAAGTGAAAATCCATATTCCCCACAAGAGGGCCTAAACTCAATGGATCACATATACAGACTTGTGCGATAACTTGAAACAGCAGTCCAACGACTTGGTAACTTTCAGAATGTTGGAGAAGACAGTATGTGACGAACAAACAGAAAAGACATTGAATGTGCAACGACAGAAAGGTGTAATGAATTACTACGTTTCTGCCATCAGTATTCCTATTTTAGTTTGCAAGTCGACTGTGTGTCTACTCTAAGCCTAGTATTACAGTCTGGGCCCTTGCTTCTTCTGACTCGCCTTCCAACCGTCGATGACAGTATTTGTTTTGCTATCCAACCTTGCCTGGGTAGCCTCATAGATCCTAGGAATACCCGTACTCTTGAATGTCGCATTCTCCATCATCATCGACGCCACACCCTTTGCGGACAAGAAGATATTCGGCATGCCATGGCCTGAGAATCCAGCAAGTATGAACTGGTTCTGCCGTCCCGGGACAAAACCCACATGGGGCGTGGAATCAGTCGAGTATCCCATAACTGAGAAAAACCAAATGTCAGCTGCTGCCAAAGAAGAACTGTGAAGAGTTTGTAACTTACTTCCCGTCCACACCTTCGACGTACGAGCGCCGCTATCCTCCCACCCACGGAACACACGTTGCATATATCCATCAAAGTAGTTCTTCGCAGAGTCGATCAGCTCGTCGTCGCGGACGGTATTATACCACGAGTCCAGATCCTGCCAGTACTCCGACCGCGCGCCTCCCACGACGATGCTGCCGTCCAGTCTCGGGATGAGGTACTCGTACTCCGTGTCCGACCAGCGGACGATGTACGAGTGAGGCAGTAGCGGAGCGGGGGTCTTGGCCGGCTCGATGTGGCTGCAAATCCCCCGCACGGGGACGATCTTTTCCGAGAACTCCGGGAGGATCGACGACGTGTATCCGTTTGTCGCGTACACAATCTTCTTGGCCCGAATCGGGCCACGTGAGGTCATCAGGGTGAGGTAGGCCTCCGCGTCTGGCGCGTCTGTGACACTGGTGACGGGCGTGTTTGTTTGCAAGTTGACGCCGGCGGCGAGGGCCTTGGACAATAATCCGATGATCATTTTATATGGGAACAAGTGCCCGGCTGAATACGACAGGCAACCTTTGGCACCCTTGACGCCGGAAAGCTGAAGAATGTCTTGTTAGTGTCAACTCATCAAAACCAGTGGTATTGCCGCTTGACTCACTTGCTCTGCCTCTGCACCTTTGGCGAAGTAAACGTCATCCATTACTGAGACTCCATGTTTCCTCAGCAGCTCAACGCCGGATCTCATCTTCTCGCAGATGGCATCGCTCATTAACGCGTCGACGGCACGCGTCAACACGAAATCGCACTCAATGCCCTCAGCTTCCACGGCCTTCTTCACGGCTGGAAGGTTCTGCGCCTCAAAGACAGCAACCTCGGCAGCGACCTCAACACCATGAGTGACGGCAAGACTCGAGGGACGGTTGTAAGGGTCCGGTTTCAGATGCCCACCTGTCGCAAAATCTGATTAGAGAGAAACTCAACTTTCACAAACAGGTGGGCTTACCATTCCGGCCCGTAGCTCCTGAGGAAACTTGCCGAGCCTCGAGTATCACAATATTCGGTGGCGGTGTCCCCTTGGACTTGCAGATGTCGAGAATGTGATAGACGGTAGACACGCCTGCATAGCCGGCGCCAATGACGGCGATATCGACTTGTGAGGGGACTTCGGGGGTAGACCGGTGATTGTCAAGCGGATGCGGGTCAGACCTCCAAAAGGAGGTCGTGGAGTTCGGAACCGGGAGCGGGGAACGCGGCATGGTTCTCCTTATCCGAGCGTTTCGGGTGTCTATGTAAGCACAACAACAAACGAACGCAACCAACAATAGGGCGCTATCGATACGTGTGGCTGCAGCAAATGATGGCCTCGGTCGTTGCTGCTATTATAAAGTCCGCCGGGCAACTTGTTTGATGGAGCGCTATCGGTTCGCTGCTGGTCCTTTCCCCGCTCTCGGCGAAGATACCCCAAATCGAGCTCCATCACCCCCGGAGAGGAGGCGGCGGGGGCTCCACTGCAACGTCACCCACAGATAAGGCGGGATGGGATGCATTGCGGGATGCCGTGCTGTCCTTTGCGTACCCGGTCCCGGGATCTTATCAACGCCCTGGAGTCAAGCGTGGTAGCGTAACTGTCAGATGAACCGGAACCGGGCCGGTGCAGATAAGAGTAGCAAGCGTTGGTTCCGGTCCTGGTCATGTGTAGTCGATGCCACATGAGCAAGGAGGTATGCGTGGTTGCTTGGCAGGCATCCCACGACTTCATCCAGGATATGCGCGGGGTTCGAGAAAGTCTGACCATCTGGGGAAATGGTTCATGTACCTTGATGGAATTCAGTTGAGCATTATTAACAAATAAGCCCATTCGTGCCTTTTTCGATTGCGCAATTGTGATTTGAGATGAGTTTAAGTTGCAGATAGTTGAATACGTTGAAGTTTGGTTCACAATTCAGCAATAACATGAAGTTAGGTAGGCGTAGCTGGGTGTCGCCAAGGACGGTAGAGGTTTGGTGGCAAGGTTAAGTAGCAATTGCTATCTGTCAGATAAGTACGAGTCGGGGAATTTAGAACCCCAAATGTTATCTTCAGGCCGGTGCCATGGATGACAATGGCACACCTCTTACTGGCTATTCGAGTGCCTGGGGCTCAGAAACCTGTCTTTGATACGGGCGTTTACAAGTCCGGGCTGGGCAATTGATAAACGAACCCGAAAGCTTGAATATATAATTCCATTCCTTCGTAGACCTGCTCATCCGACCTCATATCCACGATACGCCTGTTTGCCATTTCCTCACCATGGCATCCTCCTCACCCTCAAAAGACAATACCAAGGTCGACGACGCCGATCTTGCGGCAGTCCCTAGTCACATTAATGATGGAGTCCAACACGACATTGACGATGCGTACCTACGAGCGACCAAGTTCACCAAGTTTTGGAGGAGTGTTCTCTGGCAAATGATCTTGTTTGGAGCGTGAGTCTACAACAATTCAAGGCTATGTTTGAATAGAGTCGGAGCTAACCGTGTTGTAGTCTCTCCTTCGTCGGCCCCGCGATGTCCGACGCCATCTCCAACCTCGGAGGTGGCGGCCTCTCCACACCATACCTGGCCAACTTGGCGACTTCGCTCAACTACGCGGCCGGATGTCTCATGACACTCTTCGGAGGCCCTTTGATTAATAAGTTTGGTATCAAGTGGTCTTGCATGGTTGCTGCTGTCGCAATGCCACTGGCTGGCTCTGCATACTACGTCAATGCGAAGTACGACGTGGACTGGTATCTTCTCTTCGCGAGGGTAGGCAAGATTCAATTCAATGTTCAATTTCTCTGTCTGACAAAATTCTAGCTCATTGGAGGGTTCACCTCTGGATTCCTCTACGTCGCCGAGACGACAGCCATGTTGTCGTATCCTAAGCCGAACGACAGAGGATTCTATCTGGGTAAGGGTTATCCAGTAGCTTTCAATCGGACATCTTAGACTTACAAAGATAGGAATCTGGTCTGCGATGCGCAACTCTGGCAGCGTTATGGGCGGCGCGATCAACTTCTCCACCAACTACTCCAAGGGCTCTGCAGGAGGTATTGCATGGTCAACATACCTCATCTTTGTTGCCTTTGGTAGGATTTCCCTCAAGCATTGGACTTGAGTTCAATCAGCTGACCGTGAGGATTTTTAGAATGCACTGGTGTGATCTGGGCGTTCCTGCTGTCACCAACTGCACGCGTCCGACGTCGCGATGGTTCCAAGATCCCAATGTCCCCGAGCACTACTTGGAGGCGAGAATTCGCTGCACTCTGGAAGCACGCACAGCGCAAGAAGGTCAGCATCCTGTCGGAATAATATCTGTGTCATTTGCTTACACAAAACTTAGACCTGGCTTGTCTTCATCCCGGCCTTCTACTCGTTCTTCTACGGCGGAACCATGGGCACTTATCTGTCTCTGCACTTTTCCGTCCGCGCTCGAGCCCTGTCCTCCCTGATCATGCGTGAGTAGATCCAGAATTACCAAGATGAACAGAACTTCTCTAACCAGCAATGACAGCCTCCGTTACCATCCCTCTTGTCATCGCGTACGGAAAGCTTCTTGACACCGCCCGCTGGTCTCAGAGCAGACGCGCATGGATCTCGTTCGCCATGTGGTCCATCCCGCAAGCGGCCTGCTTCGTCTGGATCGGAATTGAATACGGCAAGTTCGGATCATCGAAGCCCGCTCTGGACTATGAACTGTATGGGACCCCCAAGGACGTCGACTTTTTGAGGATGCATGAACTGACAGTATTCTCCCACAGACATGGCAGAAGATGGGCAGAGGCATACATCCCGTACCTCATCATCTTTTCGACCGGATACTGGACACAGTTGTCCCTGTACTGGATTCTGGGTACTTTCTCTACCGACGTGGGATCCAGCTCTCGTACCGGTGGCTTGTTCCGTGCCTTCGAAACCGCCGGTCAGGCCGTGTCATACGCCATCAACACCAACTCTAGCGCAGACCCGAAAGTCGCCTTCATCGTCAACTGTGCTGTGTTGGCTCTTACGATTCCATGCATGGTGTTCTTGATTCGTCTGGTTCCCGAGGCACCGGCTGATACGGACATCGACGCCGGTGATCTCGGAGTTATTGACGGGGTGCCAAATAAGGGGCAGACGCTGGCCGAGGCCCCCGAGGAGCGCCGGGACTGATTCAGAAGAAGAGCATATCATTTTCAAATAGTATATAGTAAACAACAAGCGTGCATTCCTTTTTCATGACCCTAAGTGTCGTTTTCACTCGTGACTCACTAATCATTCGGCTCAACCCGTGTAACTTTACACTTGCATACCTCCAACAACGATTTGACTGGAATCTTGAACAAGGCGACAATACGCCAAACCTCACCATCATGTCACATGGTTCTTTCAGAGAGCCTTCAGGCGTATCTTGAGACTTGACTCCCTGGTCATTGAATCTTATTATCAGTAACGAACGGTCGCGGGTGGTCACCTTCGGGCGTGCATAGCTGATCATGCACAGTCAGAGGAACTCCCCTTGATCATCCGCATAAATATACAAGAAGTTTTTAAATTGACTTATGTACGTTCTATTACGTATTATTGTGACAAATTTCCATCTAATCGCCATCAGATCTTAGGCCGGCTGCGCTCGTCGTTGCAGAACGGCTTCTTAGCACTCTCCAAACTACTCTTCGCATACTCGGCGAACTTAGCTGCCGCATCCACCTTTTGCAACGAGCTGACGCGCTCAGCACTGGCGTGGAAAGGCTCGGGAAGAGGAGGGAACGGCGCAACCATCGCAGGAGCGCTGTACTTGGCACCGAGTGAATCCAGGATCAATGGGGTGATGTGCGCGGTAGAGAGAAGGATTCGAGGCATGCCTGTCACTTCTGTTAGCTCATGCTTCACGATACATGTTTACGGAGCTCTTACCGTGACCAGAAAAGCCAGCAGCAACAAAGTGTCCGTCTCGGGCCGGGATTGCGCCAACAAAAGGGAAGGAGTCGATGCTCATCGAGTCCACTGCCCAGCGTAGGGGTTAGAACTATCGATCTTCTGGACAGATGATGATCACACTTACCACCAGTCCAGACTCCTCCTTCATTGTCATCTTTGGCGAGTTCTGCTGGATTACTACCTTGCCACCCCACCACATCAGATGCGGGCCAAGATTTGAAGAACTCCGGGACACCCTCAAACTGCTTGTCTTCCTCGTCGTTAAGATCACACTTCTCGGGGAAGTGACTGAGTAGTTGTCTTGCACCGCCAAGAATGATGTTGTTGTAAGGCGGTGGCAGTTGAAGGTGGTAGTTCTGTGACTGTTAGTCTCCATTCTCTCTCATTGACAGGATGCAGACGAACGTTGACATTGCTATCCCAGTGCTGCGCGCCCGTGTGCTTGATGAAACCCTCCGGGGCCTTGATCGACGCCAAGGTCGCCCTATCGCTAAAGATGAGGTTGCTGAACTCTGGTAATAAGTGAGAAGCCCATCGATTCGTCGTGTGTACTACTGTCTTCGTCCGCACATCGCCTCTAGGTGTTTTGACGGTGAACCAGCCCTCGGAGTCTCTTTCCGAGACGCTTTCCGCCGGTGTATGGGCTTGCAGGTTCAGGTTACCCGCCTCTAGCAGAATTCGAAGCAACGCATGTACAAACTTGTAGGGCCATCTGCACGAAACCTGTCAGCAAGTTTGAAAAGCCGTCAAACGTTAAGATGAACTCACACTTGACCGGCAGGGTGAACCACTGCTCCCAGGCATCCCTTCATCTGTGTGAACTCTTCTGCAGCTTTGGGGTCCTCGATGAGCCTGCAAACTTTCACCACGTCGTCGTCTTCACCGTGGTCTTTCTTCATGGCTTCGTAGCAGCCCTTCAAACGTGTCCACGCCTCGTCTGACATTGCTGCATCGAAGGTTTCGCCAAACTTCAAGCACACCTCTTCAGTGACCCCCTCCGCGCTCATGAGCTCCCGGAACGCGGGAAGATGTGCCATCTCATGTTTAATGAGATCCATCGCCACTTTCGGCCCAAAGCGTTGGGCCCATGGTGTGTACCGTGAGTAGGCATGAGGTCTCAGTTGCCCACCTGTGTTGATGTCCGATTAGTGACATGGGTAAACGACTCAATGGGCAAATGCAACGAACCATTGCGACCTGTAGATGATCCGCAGATATCTCGGGCCTCGAGCATAAGCACTCGGGGCTTTTGCTCACTCTTCTCCGTGAACTTATGGAACAGTCAGATTGCCTCAAGACTTAAGAATCGGCATTGAGACTCTCACCTTGTGAAGCCAATAGGCTGTTGTAGTGCCTGCGTAACCACTGCCAACAATGACAATGTCCGTTTCCTTCGGCAACTCCTCAGTAGAACGGAAATTCCGGAGAGGGGACTCAGCCCCCTCAATCCAGTATGACTTCGTGGGGTTGCTAATCGGGAGAACCATCGTTCAGAGCTGTTGATGTTTGATAGCGGGGTAGAATAGGAATCAAAAAGCTGACTCGGTGGGTATTCACTAATTGGCCGTGATGCGGTCGGAGAAGACTTCAGTTTTAAAAGATGATAGTAAATCGTTGAGACCCTGGAAGGTTATTGCCCGTTTCAACCCAAATCAGGCAACTCTGATTGACTTTACCGAAGGTGAGGGCATCCATGGCACCATTATCAGTGGAGACCTGGAGTGGCAGGGAATCCGATAGGAATCGCTGCATGTCAACACAAGATAAGATCTACGGAAGGAACATGTTCATACAAAACGCACCGGCCCGGCGGCTATCTTACCCCTCGAATCCAACCGGCCGGCACCAGATCGCAGCCGGTGTGCACGGAAAAGTATCCCTTCCGGTCCGGGATGGCCCCGAAACCGCTCGGGGCCAGAATGCGGGGAAGACACGGACGCGTCTTGAGAGATATGCATCGCATGCGATAAGCATCTTATTTAATCAACCACATCTTGTCTCGACCACACATCACACCACCAACCGGCCAAGATCCCCAGCTAAAGCCATACTCGTCAACCGGAATCCCTTCTTACCCCGCATCTCCTCACCATTTCACAATGCCTGCCTCAAAGAACGTCGTGTTCGACGTAGTCGGCACCCTCGTTTCCTACGAACACCTGTTTGAAGCTATCGACCAGCGCCTCGGCGAACGCCTTCGCGCCAGAGGCATCCAGCCCAAGCTCCTCGGATGCTGCTGGCTCGAGGTGGCCGAGCGCGAGTACACCTACCTGTCCATGTCCGGACGTTACGTCGTTTTCTTCAAGGTCTTCTCCGCACTGTTTTACCGATGCCTGCACTACGCCGGCGTGGAAGACCCCCGCTCTTTCGCAAGCGAGGAGGACGTCGCTTACCTCATTGACGAGTGGAAGAAGCTGAACCTGAGAGAGGGCGCTGCGGAGTGCGTGAAGAAGCTGCGTGACGCTGGTTTCACTGTTTGGTGCTTCACCGCGGGTGATATCGCCCGTGTTGGTGGATACTTCTCCCGCGGAGGGGTCGACATGCCTGTTGAGAACCTCCTGTCTTGCGATACATCGGGGCTGGCTAAGCCGACGCCAGAGGCTTATGCACCTATTTTGAAGAAGCTCTCTGCTGAGGGTACTCCTTGGTTTGCGGCTGCCCATCTTTGGGATGCTTCTACCGCAAAGACTGTCGGGTAAGTTTTCACTTGTGTCTCGCTATGGTGCTTCGGCGACCTAACCCCTTTTTTAGATTTAACGCTGCCTACTGCGAGGCATTAGAGGGAGAAGCTCTGCCTGAAATCTTTGGACAAATGGATGTGGTCGCCAAAACACTTCCGGAAATGGCCGATAAGATTATTGCGACTTTTCAGTAGGAAATGAAGGAGGTGTACTATGGAAATTCGGATAGCGTTGTGTAATGAAAGAGTGCTCAAAAAGTCCACGGGCCGCCACGGAAATTCCGGTACGGCACAAAGACCCACTTGCGGATTCGCCGATCGGGTTTCCGGTGGTCGACACCGACTTTTCCGGGGACAGGAAAAAGAAACCATTTGCAGTTCATGAAATAAATATTAATGATATTCACGATAAAGCTCTCTTGGACTCTGATTTACTAATCACTTGGAATTGGCCTTTCCTACTCATGCCATAACCCGGTAGACGGGGTACTCGTCGCCAACGGAAACGGGAAGTATGTTGAAAGTGGCGTATGAGTCAATGCCTTCCGGCTCCAGAGTGACAAACGCATGAGCGGCGTTCTTCTGTCTGGTGCTAACCCAGAAGCCTCCAGCCGGGATACGTACATCTTTCTTGACGATAGCAGTCTCGACAGTGGACCTGGCTACACCCTCGTACTTAGTGGCAGCGACGGCGACTCTAGTAGTGTTGAGTGCTTCAACCTCGCCCTGGAAGTCATATTCGAGCGTCTGAACAGTAACTCCGGCAACGCGAAGACGCTCGGCGACATCAGCCCAGGCTCTGGAGAAGACATACGCCTCAGGACGCGCGCGGGTAAGGTTGGCGACGACTGGCGTGGTGTTGAGGAACTGGACAGGGATATCGACGAGGTTTCCGGTAGTAGACTCGATGAACTGCCAAGAGATATTTGTCGGGCGGGAAGACTCGGTAATGATGATGTCCTCGGTGCTCTCGATGAACTTGGTGCGAGCATTCTCCACTGTCTGGTAGACCTCCTCGGCATGATCAGCAGCAGTCTGGACGATGGTCTGAACCATCGTGAGGCCTGTGGCCGTACGGCGCTGGAAGTGCTGATCGGCCAAGCCGATACCGCGAGTTTCGGTCAAGAACATGATGGCCTGGCTCAACGCAACAGAGCTGTCACCGATCTTGGCGTCGCCCGTCGTCTCCTCCATCACAATCTCATCCGTTCCGTCGGATCCGACGACGTAGGGACCCCACCGCAGTCCCCTGCGCTCCATGGCTGCCGCAATGGCATTCGCGAAGACGGCTTCCGAGATGTTGCGGATATCGGCGTGGATGTTCGCGTTCTTCATCGCCGAAAACTGGCCATCCTGCGCATCGATCCACTGCTCCTGGGCACCCCACGGCTGGGTCGGGCTGTACTCGTGACAATCGACACCCACGTGCGGCGCGAAGCCCATGACGAGCTTCTTGATATCGCGAGTTTGTTGACGCGCAAGCTTAGTGTGGTCGCGGTTCGGGTCGAAGTTCGTCGCGAGGTAGCGCTGGAAGTATGCTACGCCGTCGGGGTTGTAACGGGGAAGCATCATGATGTCGACCTTTTCAAGGATCGAAGCCGCCCACGTTGCGTTGGCATCGAACCTGCCGAGGAGTGCGAGGAGGGCCTGGTCGCCGCCTGGCTCGTTGCCGTGGACGCCGCCTTGCATCCAGATGCGCACCTTGCCCGCGGTCGAATTCGCATGGCTGCCAAGGCTGTTCTCGGGGATGCGCTTGGAGTTTGAGAGGTACACGTAGGGAATCGTACGGCCTTCTTCGGACTTGAAGTCTGGGTTGTGGTAGGTCATCCACTCGTTGCGGGCCGCGAGAGTCTGGAGGTAGTAGTCTGCTAGTCATTAGGAAAGTATTCGACACATGATCTGGTTGGAACTCACCCAGAGTCGCCTGGTCGGTCGGTCCGCTGGTACCATTGGCAAAAGTGGCGGGCACACTGTCCGGAGTTGCGAATGCAGGAGAGAAGAGCTCGACACCCTCGACCTCGGGGAAGTTGGCAGCGACCTGCTCGGTATCCGGGATCACCTCAACCTGGTTGCTGGCATAGGTCAATGCCGTGGCCAGGCCTGCTTGGAACAGGCCCAGAGTTGCGGTCTCGTGGTAGCGCATTGTCGCGATCGTCGCAGGACTTGACTCCGACTACTCAATGGGTTCTTGACGCGAGATGAGAGCGGCGGCGATCAAGAAACAACGCCAACCGAGACCACCAACACTGGCTACAATGGCTTTTAATACTCCCCGCCGCCCATCGGCCCCTCTCCGATTTTCATCGCGCCGCCAAGGAGTCAAATTTCTCGCTCATCGACCCATAACGTCATGACAGCTCTGCCAGTCGCGGTATTTGTCCTCGAGCTATGCGAGAATAGGAATGTGTTTATCTGAGTTGTGGAGGAGGCCCCTCGAAGTGTGGGGTTGGAAGTCTTGGGGAGACTGGTAAAAATTTCCGGGGCTTCCACCGAGATGCAGCGACATCGCTTGCCAAGACGTGTTATCTCGCCAAGACGCCTTTATTTACCAGGCCGCCGGGCGATGGGGGCCAATCTTGATTTTCAATTGTCAACAGTATTAACTAAGTCGTTGAGCTTGGAGATGAGAATTTCCTCACATTCGGGCAGAAGCACACCTGTTTTGCAACAACAACGAAGCGATAGCCACAGAAAACTGTAACGAAGTAGCCATCACAGCAGACTGGACCAACAGCAAATGATTCAGTATGAATACTCCATGGCTCGATCGGGGACATGTTCCATAGCCACCAGTCCGACTTCACTAACCATTTTTCCAGCTATCGAACTGTAAAGCACCACCAACATGCTCGATCATACGAAGACTTGAAACTTAAAGCAGCATGGTGGCTCGGGACTTATGAATTGAGAACTCGTGTTGTTTTGAACTAGGCCACTATCCGTAACGTAAACTGAGACTATCTTGGGTCACTGACCACTGCTTGTAACACTGACCTATCCATTCCACGTGGTGAATGAAGATCCATGAGTTCCTCTCTTTCACCAAGTAACTCTAAACTCAATAGTCTTCCTCTCTAACTCACCATAGAGCACCTCGCGGTCCCAAATCTACTGAAACAAGCAAGAGCCGCATGGACTTCTGATTCCAAAGGGATTGAGCTCAACCAACTCAACACTTCGCGCCTGCTCGTCGTAGAAGAGATCAAAAGACATTCCTTGCTCCACCATCAGCTTGTCTGTCTGGCTATGGTCGTCCAGGTCCGCCAGGATATGTTCTCGAGCAGCCACTGCCCCAAAGCACACCATCCAAATAACGTAACTCTGACCGTCCTCCGGAAGGTCGGCGAATCGCCATGGCTTGTGCCAACGGTACTGACTGATTGCGGTTATTCTGAGGTCTCCAGGGCGACAGAAGACTCGATACTCTCGTTCGGAGGCCATTCGATCATTAAACGGTAAGAAGTAGAGTTCGACGGCGCTTGATGATGACAAGCAATCATTGATGGCGGAACGACAGCGGCCTGAAGTGACGAGTCGAAGGATGGTTTCATCAACGGAGTGGAGAGACATCTTGCCGGGGACCTTATGCGCTCCATCCTTGGGCGAGCAGGTGTCCAGGCGAACAAAAAGACCCTCGGGTGGAAATTGTAGTGCTGAGAAAGCAGGTGCGATCTCCTCGTCGAGATCTTCCGCTAGTGCCAGATTGACTCGTCCGATTTGGACGGAGGCATCGCAGGCTTGGAGAAGTAGGCGCGCTTGAGATTGCGTTAGGGTGACCCTTTGAACCACGTTTGGAGAAAGTCGTCGCGACTTGAGAACAATTGGAAGCCATCTTTTATAGGAGTATGGTTCGTTGGATGGTTTCTTCTTGTCGGGGGCCTCGTCTTCCGTGTGGAAGCACGTGTTGAATCTTGTTGGCTTACCGCTGTCGGCATCGGTTTCGACTTCCTCGAAGTCGATTCTTCTCTTGACCCAACTCATCATGTAGTGATGCTGCTGGTAGTCGATTGTGATACTCGTGTGATGTTGCCGTCAGGCTCTTATGTCGCTGTTGATGATGAAGGCGAGGTGTGACAGCGGGTGGTAAGACCAAGAAATAATGTCGGTGGTGACTGGCCAAGGTGATTCTATGGCCGTGGTTCACGAAGTGAGGCAGGAACTCAAGTTTGGCAGCCACAATGGAATATCAGAGAAGGTACAGCCCAAAAGTGACTGCAAGCACCAAAGAATTCATGGATCGAGAAGGTATGGCCCGAATACCACAGTAGCGCAGGCGACTGCAAAAGATGGGATGAACTCCAAATATGCCGTGAGCCCATCTGAACAGGGAATCAACGTCCTAGAAGCAAGATTAGAAGTCTCCGCGTATTTCTCTTTCACGATAGTAGTACGCCATTGAGATGGACATTCACAACATCACTGAGGCTGTTGTATTCAGTCTTGAAACCCGTTTTGAATTTTGCTTTTCCGACGAAATCAGGATCAGAGTAGGTATCAACGACAATAATTCAAAGTACTTGAATGGCGCTGTTGAAACCAGTTGAAAGTTTTGTCTGTACTCGAGTAACCTTTCCAGGCGCCCACTGAATCACACAAAGATAAGAAACTGCCTTGTGTTGTAATACTCAACAATATTTCAATCTAGGCGCCAGTTGCATGCCTACCTATTTTCCCGTCCCTTCCCAGACCAGCTAGAGATTCAAAATGAAACTATTGCTTGTATGGATAACAGTGTCGCACATCCCTAACAGCCTACATTCTAAAAGGGACACGAAATCCCCTTTCATCGTGGGCGGTCTATGTTACTGGCATTCCTGACGAACGCGAAGCTTTTATAAAGCTTAACCGGCATAGGCTGTGGTGTTTCAGACTTCTGCCCGGCGGAATACATGGGTAGGTACAGCTGAGAACTGATTCTAGATGCTCCAAGTTGGTGGATAGCTCCGATTTCGTTCTTGGCAACGTCTGTAACAAACTCAAAGCTCGGGCAGTCCGCCGTCTGAACGCTACTCTCGGCGGGATGATGCGAGTCAAGTCCCATGAATCTCCCACTCGAGTATGAGACGGCCGAACTTCGTACGCGCGGCTCAGATATCAATGCCCGAAAGAGCGCTTTCCGGCGCAATCGGGGTGATCTTCCCTATATAAGAGTTGTCCTAGATCGTCTTATCTCCAAGGGATCGTCTTATCTCCAAGGGATCATCATACTCGGAACACGTTCATCTCATCTCTTCACAATGCAGCCCAACACTATCTTTTCTGCCATTCTGTACATAGCAATGGCCACCCAAGTGACGGCCCAGAAGTCCTTTTGCAGAGCATTTGGAGGCGTGAGTTCCCTTTTCTGTGTCTTCTTATGAGTGTTGGCTGATTTCCATGGAAGATATCAAACCCAGGATGCAAAGGTATCACGGGTGTTTGCACCACCGCTTGCCCGAGAGAGGTTCGTACCACTTCAGGCTACAGGACTAGCAAGGTCTAACAGGACAACAGTGCGGAGCTGGGTTCAAATTGGAGAGCGTCAACATAGCCGAAGGTGCCTGTGGTTGTTTCTGCACTAAGTGAAAGGCTTGCGTCGGGATACAACTGCATCACATTAGAGCATGCTTCAATGCTTTTGAGTTCGCATATTTGCTGAATACTACATTGCTTTGGCGCCAAATACTACTCATGATCAGTCAACCTAACAGTCCTCGAACGTTCATCGCTTTCCCAAACTATAAAGATGACTTTGCGTCCGTAGCCGCATTAACATCAACTAAAATCTTAACTTGATTGTCCTTGTCTGTAATGAGTGCCTTGATTCCGTTTTCAAGGAGGTCGTCCAGTGGGATCTTTCTTGTGATCATAGATGCTGGTTTTAAGGCTCCTATTGACTGTGTTATTACCCATCACGCTCCCACCTCAGCATTGGAATCACTCACCTGTTCTCAAATTTTCGATGACTGCCTGGTAGTCGGCCTTTTGATACCCAAGCACTGACTTATACGAGCTTTCTCTCCATGTCACCCAATTGGGATTAAACGGAATTTCCTTCTCCCAGATTGCGACGTTCACAACGGTTCCTCGGGTCTTCACTGCAAGACATGCAGCTTTGACGCTGTTTACTTGTCAGTCCATAGTCCAGAGCTGGAAAGAATAGATCGAACGCACCTAGCAGGCACTCCAGCGCAGTCGAAAACGACGTCGGCACCAATACCATCAGTGATAGCGAACGTCTCCTTGACAACATCCTGTTCCTTGGGGTTGATGATATGTGTCGCGCCAAACTCCCTCGCAAACTGTTGACGAGCAGTTGCAATCTCAGCAACAATAATCTTCTTCACACCCTTAGCGATCAAGCAGAGAACCGCAGCAAGTCCGATTGGACCACCGCCCATGATCAAAACCGTCGACTCCGGCGTGACGTTCCCGGCAGACACGGCATGCCAAGAAACAGAGAGCGGCTCCACCAGCGCGCCCAGCTCAAGCGGCACGCCGTCGGGCAAAGGGAACACCTGGTCAGCTGGCACCGACACCGCCTCGCTCAGCCCGCCACCTCCGCCGCTGAGGCCGATGAAGCCGCCTGTGTGACATGCGTTCTCGGCGCCGCTCTTGCACGCGGCACACTTGCCGCAGTAGACCGTCGGTTGCACAGCACACGGCTGTCCGACCTTGATTTTGCCCTCGGCCTTAACCTCCGAGCCGATCTCCTTGATGACTCCGGAGAACTCGTGGCCCAGGGTTACGGGAATGGTGTCACCCGTGACGGGATGTCTGGAGGCGGGGCAGAAATTGGGCCCGCCGAGGTATTCGTGGAGATCTGTTCCGCAAATTCCGACGAATGCCGGGGCGATCTGGGGCAAGGAAATGGTTAGTGAAGGGTTCAACTCCAGAAAAGCTGTCACAGTAATGCATTCTTCCCCGCGCGGGGTACCGGCTCGCTGGAGACTGTGGTTGATGCACGGCTCACAACTTGTTTATGATAGATCTCACCTTGATCTGATTAGGCCCGCATGGAGGTTCTTCGATCTCCTCGATCCGGATATCCTCTTTGCCGTAATACCTTGCCGCTCTCATGATGTTCAGTGGGTTCTAATATTTGGTGACTTTGGTGAAAGGCAGATGTGCGGGATGTTTGAGTTTGAGTTGTCGTGGTCTGGACGAACGGAAGCAAGGTGACAGGCTATCTTACTTATGCTTCCCCCATTGGTGGCGCAACTTTCCTCGTCCAAAGTTCCGGGATTTCGGCATCACTGCGGAAATAGTTATCAGGCATGTCATCGTATGACCTCCAAGCACCAACAAGCCGGTTTCATTGCCCCGCACCGTCAGACCACGTGCTTGGCGAGTGTTTTCAAGGATGTCTTCCTTGTCAAATTCACGGTGACTGCGTGGTAAAGAGAATAGTGGATTTGCGCATGTTCAGCTGGGCCTTTCGAACTGGAAAATGATATCTCAGTTCCAATCCCTGGCAACTTAAACGTGGGGGTTGCTGGAGGAACTATCACGTGGCTACGGCTTCGTCACGTCGAGCTTCTTATCGACTCAATGGGTAAAGAAGTTTAGTGACGGGAGCAGACTGACTTCAAATTGAATCAACATGTACATGTGCTCAGTAAGGCGGACTTTGCTCGTAAGTAAAGGAATAATATCGTTGGCTATGGCAGGTGTCAAGTTTTCATTTCCAAAGCAATGAAATGTGGATCTTCAAATAAAACACGTACTATATTGGGTATCTAACGCAGATTTCTAACGGAAACTCCAGCCCTCAAATGGTATATCAGGCTACCGGAAGGTGTGTTGGTCAACCAGTCAGTTCCAGGTTCTCGCCATCTCTAAACTCCTTCTGTCAACTACCAAAATCCCCACCTATTGTTGTTGAGGGCAATCTTGGAGATCGTCTTGACTTCAGGGAGTTAGCGAGTCGTTCTGATAACTATGATTCAAGGAAGAGAAGCAAGTACACGTACAGTCTTGCCAAGTCATTGGCTCTTTCACTTCACCTGCCGACTGGCGCCACACTCTCGCCATCCAGCATGTCACCAGAAGATCCAACTCCTTGTCTTCCATAGCAATCTTGATCTCGAGTTTCGGAAACCCAATTAAAGACTTCTGCTTGTCTCGTTTCGCGACGGTTTCGACGGCGATCACCTCGCCCTTCATGTTCTTCCAGTGGACCTCGTCGGCATGCTTGAGCTGGTGTACCGCACCCTCACCAACTTTAAAGTGATCTTTGACCCTCCACGAGGAAATGCCTGGTTCCATACTGGTCTCCTTGACGGTCCGCTTGGAGCTCATTTTGCCCTCGATGCTCACGACTTCACCGAGTGCAAGTGAATCCAGTGAGAAATCGTAGATATGGTCGAGTCTTGTCCTGATCTTGTCTCCGTTGGCGGACGACGTGACCCGATAAGCTATTTTTTGAACGCCATAGACCAGAAACCTTGCTTCGCACACGTTGTTGCTGACTTCGTAGAGCGGACGTGGCGGATCTGTGTTGGCGAAAATGATCGTTCGATCGAGGAATAGCGTGGGCGTTTCGCCGCAGCTTAGTTGGACCCTCGATTCATTGACAGTGTCATCGTAGGTAGGCGGTTGAACGTCGCTTACGTCGAGCATCGTAGACATGATGTGAGTTGTTGAGATGCTTGGGGGCTTATGGAATGGATGATGGCATCTTGGGGTCTTCAGATCAAAATATGAAATGGGAATGAAAACTCTTGAAATATTTCGCCAGATTCCGGCTTCATCGGCGTCATGTCTCGGCTGCGTGGCTGTGTTACTCACCATCACTGTAGCCAAGGAGATGTTGCGCCCTGTAGGGAATTCGACCAGTGGCGGTTGCGCGAACAGCGGAGGACTTTACGGGGCATGATCAACGGCTCCTCTCTTTTCATTGGGGCTTGCGTTGATGGGATTCGGCCCCTGGTCATTTGTGCTTCAACAGCGTGAGTGAGAACGCCCAACACTGCCACCGTCGCTCGGTCCGACCGATATTCGGTCGTCGTCAAAGAGGTTCGGAGGCAACTGCGTCATTTAGGAAGTCGAAGTTCGAATGCGTTATTCAAATCACAAAGTTGAGCATGGGATTTGCCATTGTTAATCATCATCAAGTTCCGTGTAATCTACCGGGTTTTAATGCCTTCAATATTGCTTAGCGCTGTTAGCGTAGGAAGGATGTCAATCAGAGTGGTGCGAGCCTGGTTTCACAGAGAACACGCTACATTCGGGATTAAACCTTGCATAAGGATAAGATATCTTACTTTTGCTTCACTCTATCTTCAAGGTTTTCGCTGAACAAGGAGCGCGTTGTGAGATTTCCGGTGGTGCGAATGGCAGCACTGACCACCCGGAATTGAATTATGTATGACGAATTCGTGACGCAGACCGCGACGCGATTTTCGATTTTCGCTGCGTCTTCTCACCAGTGATCATCACCTTCAGTCATCTACTCAACTCATTCACGACCATCAGGTTCATGTCAAAACAATCGCAGAAATGAGACAAGGACTTATAAAAGCCAAGCCTGGTATTCTGGCACCGACCCTGAGCCGCATCTCCGTCGCGCCACGCGCGACCGCGTTCACGTCAGCCCACCTATCCACAATCACCTCACAACCTTCGACGGGCGAAAACACCTCAAGCATGGCGCAACACCAAGCGACATCATCACAAGACCCAACAGTCGCCAATCAGAAACACAAGAAGACCATGAAAGAGTTGGATGAGGAACTGCGATTGAAGCTTGAGGGTATGTCGGGTGAAGGAGGCGCCGCCGGCGTTGAATATGAGAACGGAAAGGCGGAGGGTTTGAAGAGAGGGGTCAAGTCCAACATGTTCCGGGTCATTTAGGGAGTGCTGGATGCCAATAGGCTCCTTGATCCAACTACCTCCGCGATTTTGTATCTATATTTGCAGTTCAATCACCTGCCCGTATCCATTTCTCACCAGTATCACCAGTATTGTACGATTGAAGGATGTTTTGGAGCAGCCAGCGTTCTAATCAAGTATGCTTTGAGGGGCTCGTTCGCCCACCAATCGAGAAGCACTGATAGGTCTGGCATCATCGCCTGTGCTCGCTTCATCCAGCGGTGCCCAGCAAACCTCCTCTTCAATTACTACAGGCCAACACCACAAAGCAAACAATGTGATTTAATTTTAGAATCACTACAGCGATTCCCGTGCCCCTCAACGTCTTCGGCCACCTCGGGCTCCAAATACACAGTTCGGTTCCGGACTTGTGCTCCCGTCGAACAATCACCAAGGAAAGGAAAAGAAAGCTAGCTTCTGCGGGCCGCTAGAAGCTGAACACGAGAAGGATTGCAGGTAGTATCCACAGATGGACGGTTGCCTGCGCGCCCTGCCGACCGCCGCTCGTGTTTGGCCAAGCCCGTTCCTGAAGTATTGAAAGGCGGGCAGGGCGATTGCCGCGCTGTGCCGCATCTAGACATACATTGCCGTCAACTGAATGTTCTCCCCGCAACTGATGAGATGAGCATGAGGCCGAAGTGGCTTAATCACATCCAAAAGGCGGTAAATCAACAATGATGGCAGTCTCATTCAACGCAGCGGCAAAACACTGTCCTGGAACTTCGGTAGGAGCTAAATACGAATACCACGCTATCGAATCAATAACATCCCATCATTGGCTCTTGATCTGAATGTAGCAGGGGTCCTTGTCTAGACCGTCTACACGGGCAAGACAGGAAGCAGACGGAAAGGAACCACTTACATCACGCTAGGCAAGATCTCGAAGCATGTAGCTGCAGGTCAGACGTCAGTCCTTTAGTATTCCAAGTATTTAAAGAGAAAATCTTCGTCGCCTGAATTGCGGTTCACGCCATCACCATCGCCTCCTTCAACCACCACAACTCACAGTCGTTTTTACACCTGACTTCCGTCTTTCGCTATCAAAATGCAGTTGTCTACCCTCATCGGCGCCTCTTTCCTGGCCATGGCCTCGGCTCAAAACACCTCATACCCCCCCATCAACCTTGGATACTTCTCATACCCCCACGGAAACCAGTTCATCGCCTGGTCTCCCTTCACCCCTACCCGAACCCAAGAGATTGAGGAGGTTTGCGATACCTACGGCGCCATCAAGGGCACTGCCACCTGGACTTCCATCCGCTCATACAACACATACGTCTTCGACCCGATTTGCCGCAACCCTTTCAACATCACCTCCGACGAGACCGGCGAGACATACTACAACCTTGAGGTAGCATGTGTGGACGACAACATTGAGCTGCAAGGTCGTCCTGAGGTCACCGCTATCGTCGACGTTGCCACGAACAAGACGGTCCAGACGTGCGTGCCCGCGGTCGTTGAGGGAGAGAACTACTCGTCATGCTCCACCTACCGCGGCCAGGGAGTCCAATTCAGCTTTGCTTGTTCGTCATAAATCATGGCCAGGGCAAGGCCGCGCGAGTAATTGAATTACTGCGGGCAAAACAGACCATAGGCTGTCCTGACACCTTTGGACGCTGAAATGGATTCGGTACCACGATGGTCTCAACTTTCGGGCATAAGAGTGTAACGAGGTCAACATACCGCACAATACAATGCGGCTACCTTTCTTTCTTATGAATCTAGTTGAAATGTTCCCATAACTAGCGATTACCCACGGTTCATCCAATCTTGTGATTATTGATGGGTATGGCGCCGAGATTTCCAATACAGTTAGAAAGAAAAAGGTAGCTGTGTTGTATTGCATGGCAATTTGGAATTGAGGAGGGCATAAGCAGCGGAAATATGAGAGAAGACTAGACAAAGAATTAATGAAACATTACAAGTTCTACATTCTTTATGATGATCAGCCCTAATTAAAGTACCATCTTGGCTATCGAATAGTTGAGATTCAGTCAGCCTTTCACCTTCAAGGAGGAAGGCTCATTTGATAGGTCATACATAATTGTCAGGCTTGCTTGGTAGGACGTTTCTCGGTGGTTTTTGTCTTCTCCTTTCAATGACTAATCACTGCATTTGTGCGGCACTTTAGGAAGAATGAGCCTCAAGATCTAATTAATATCATGATCGGACTCACCAAAAAGTATGAGAACGGCTCTAAGGGAGTTATGCCATTATAGTAGAGACTCTTGGAAGATTGATGCCATGCGTTCCCGTAAAGTCGGCCTAGTACATGCGAGCAGTAGCATCAATGACTGATCACCTTATGCTAGGCGGGTAAGAATAGGAGGTCGGATCCGATTCCCAAGATACCCAAGAACTGTAGAAGAGTAAGCCACCGCCTAGATTGTGTTTGGCGGTGACGCAGCACTGGACACCATCATGTTGTTAACGCGGGCTCGAGGGAACAGCTCAGCTAATATCTCATTACCGAAGTGCATAGGACTTCGACATCCGAAACCTGATGTCTCATTGGCGGTTGATGTCTGCTTGCCGTTTGCGGTTAAGGTATTTAGGCAACACGTGAGCCGAGGTCGATGACATCGGACGGAGGTCAAACCGGGGAGGACTCCGCACTGACTTTGTTGACGTCCCTCTTATAAGTGTCTGTCCCATTTGCTCTCTTTACAATTTGCACTTCATTCTTCGAATAATTGCCCACGGTGCCGAGAAAATGGAACCAGGTCATTTACGTAAAAGAACAGCGTCGCGACTTTCAGCACTTTCAAGTCAACTGTCCTCACCCGCTTCGCCAACTAATGATACACAAACCTCAAACACCATGCAGAATCCAGACCAAAATGGTTACCCGGAAAAGATTCCAATCACTTACTATCCCTTGAACACGCAGAAGGCCTTCCGACACAATGAAAACAGAATGAAAGACAAGCTCTACGCCAAGTACTTTCACCGAGATCTCTACCTCTACGCCGACATCCCGCAATACATCCGCGAACAGATGCCAGCGGAGGGCATTCTCCCAATATCCGAGTCTCGTCGTCTCCTGGAACCAGGCTACCACCCTCACGAGAACGGCTGGCGCGCTCTCGCCGACGGAACCGCGTACGTCACGTCGAGGACTCGCTTCCCGGGATCGACAGGAGACATGGTCCGCTGGTGGTTTTGGTGGCACAGCGTCGAGCCCGAGCGCTACGCCCTCTGGTTTCCATACGACCACCTCAGCGCTCGCTCGACTTACGCGGACCGCCTGCACCGCACTGACCTATCCCACACGCAAAAGTGGCTCGGGTCCACGCATCGTGTAACGGAGTTCATCGGGTCTACAAAGATGACCGTCCATATCCACTTCGTCGACCCAGCTCAGTACGGGCTGCCGTGGGATGAGCTCAAGAAAGCGGGCTACGAGGCGGCTGTTTGTGCCGAGTTGCGGGACGGATTGCTCCCAAACCTGAAGATTGGGGACTTTCTACACCTCTGGCGGAAAACCGAGGATGGACTGGAGCTGAGAAGTCGTTATTGGCTGGGAGGCGGGGTTCACTATAAAGTGATGGGAATGAAGGTTGGGATTGATTATCTTGCTGGAGCTTTGGGGTTCAAGCGTCGAATGGCGGGTGAGAATATCGCCTACGAGCATTTCATCCATGACCAGACTGAGTTTACCAATCTGGCATCCTTCCTACCAGAGCTTTACGCGGACCACATAGCGGGACGGCTCTGAGATGACCGTGCTTGTCCCTTTTGCTTTAAGATTATTACGCTTAATGAGTGGGGGTGGAAACATTGAAAGATTCCGTTGCCGAATGGCCGTCTATCACGCTTTTCGGAGGTGACATAGCCCTTGTCCCCTTGATGGTAATGCGGTCATCTCACAACTGGTTTAATAAGCATAGTCTTCTATATCACCGCTCAATTATATGGCCTGGCCTTTTGTCTCTCGAATTATGGTTTATGCCACATTGCATACGCATCGTTCTATCCTATACAGAGGCGTCTTACAGCATTTTGTGGACTTAAAGCTCCCGACGAACATGAACTATTCATCGTCTCTGAGCAAGAATGCCGGAAAACATAATCAGAGAGTATAGAGTCGGAAGCCTTGCGTAGAAAAAATCAAGAATGAGTGAAACCACCAGCTGTGTTGCGTCGTCATCGTCTCTCTTCTCCGTTACTCTCGCTAGACGCCAGGTCCACGTTGCAGTCGTTATGAGCAAGTTGGCCCACATCCATGGACCGCCCTGGATTAATATCAGCTCGCCTGACGAACACGCGATGATGGGGCTCGATGTGACATGACTTACCACGACGTAGTACGGGACAAAGAGAAGAAATCCAATGAAAAATAAGATGATCTTGATTTGTGAATCCGTGACCATATCTCCGCCCAATCCAAAGGTCACTAGGTGTTCTGACCATGGTAGCCCCGAAGCACCAAACAGCTTTGTGATAGATATGGCAAGTCGCATTCCAACAATGCCAAATGTCATCACCCAACCACAGGCGTGGCATATTCGAGGCAACACGTACCAAATCCCAGATCCTACTCTTCTTGCTGTTGGCGGTCCCCAAAAGAGAACATCGAACTCAGAGAGGAGAAATAGTATCCCCGTTTGCGCGATGTAGAGGAAAAGCCTATCCATGTAGGTAAGTCCCAGGTACAGCCGTTCGCTCCATCTTGGAGGTTCGACTTCGTGATAGCCGATCCAGAGAATCAAGAGTTCTTTCGCGGCCGAAAGCAAGATGTCTCTAAGTATCAGATTAGCATTGTGGCTTGAGTCCAGTTGTGGCGTGCGCTGTCAACCGCCTGCTTTTCTATGCGCCACCCACAATTGGTATATCATAACATCCAGCTTCTGGCCCCAAACAGATGCGCCTATGTATGTACATGCACTCACACGACGAAGAGCCTCTCAACAGCCCATAGCCAAGACTTGGATCTTGCTGCGTCAGTCTTTCGAAGACCACCGTGTTTCGATTTCCAATGTCTCTTCTGGGTCGTTCGAAACAACTTTAAGCCGGAAGCAATTAGAAGTAGAAAGTCGAGAGCCAGTCTTGTTGCTGCAAGCCTGCGATATTGGGGCCATAACTGTGGGTGCTGAGCGATGAAGTTGTGCGTTACTAAGGATAGTATGGTTCCGTCCGTGGCATCGATACCTTTCCGCATTGTCGCTGCTCGCTGGCTTCATTCAAGATTGATGTGAGGATAAAGACGATATTTCTGCGAAACACCCAAAGGCAGCCACGACCTGGACTTATCCGAATAATTACGGCGGAAGGAGCTACTGGAGTCTTTGTTTCCTAATGAAAAAGCTCTTTAAACATCCTGCCTTAGGGCGAGCTCAACTGACGTCACGCTACATTGTTCAGTCATTCAAGCAAGGTCTTTTGGGGTCTATGATGACTTCGAAAAGCATCGACTAGGTGAAAATGCCTGCTTTTTCCAGGGCTAGTCTCCCGCACGTATGCATTAGGGCTTCTCTCCAGCTAATGAAATAATGTGAGAGATGTTTAGTGCATGCATACCTGCGTAGCGTCGAACGTCAAGTAGTATCGGGGCGTGGAATACATGAAGACCTCAATGCAGTGAGATGTGCCAAGAGCAACTTACAGTAAACGACCTATGCCCGATTCAGCCGTTCGTATCGGCAGGTTCGACGCCAGGAACAGCAATTTGCGTAATGCATGCTTTGAACACAGAAGAATTAGAATATCAAGTTCATTTCGTGAGAATACCGGCGTCCGGTTGTTTGGCATTCAGATTAAAACTTTGCTCAATCATCTACATCTCATCGGGGGAATACGGTGGGGTGAGCTCGACAGACTCAACTGAAACCAGGGGTGTCGACAGCACCAGTCTCTCATGAAACCGCGTACTGGTAGAAATATTGTAGTGAGGTCATTTTGATGGCGTCAGCAGGAGGAGCCGCAAGCCTATTTAGGGATACACGATGCTTTTTCCGTTCATCAGTTCATCAGTTATCAATAAAAGGTGTTGCAGTCGACGCGACGTTTACACGTGCTCGGACCCGAGACATGTTCGTCGTATGTCAGGGTCGTTAAAGCCCGGCCGAAGGAACCGTCGATCCGTCGCTCCCGTCTCAAGTATTATGGGCTTGGGCGCATATAAAGCCCGGCGAGGTTGCATTCAACATTTTAATCATAATCGAAACTACGGCCTTTCGGCACAAGATGCTCTCAATACAAGCACGTCAATCATCCCACGGTGGAGATGATTGCGTCTGCCCCTGGCTCCCCCACATGCCGGTACCTGAGCAGTGCCGTCCCGCCATGTTTAGACGACTCCTTTCCCGGGGTAAATCCCATCACTTCGATATGAAACAATGCATTTTTGCTGGGAAACATGCCCCTTGAACCCTGACGATCGTCAGAAACACTCCACTGTCAACGAAGGCAACGCGTACGCCAAGCGGCTGGACAGCGGGAGGTAAGAGATTTTGATTGACTGCAACTTCGAGATGAATTCTTTCAATCTCCTTTAGAATAAATAAGACGTGGAAAGACAACTCGTAGCGTTTGATACGATTATTGATAGCAGTCACCAGCGGTTCGACTTCACTGGCATTTCGATTCAACCTCAACTTTTATCGCTGTCATTTTCCAGCTCTTTCAGATTTCGATCATGGTTTCTCTACCAGCTGGCCTGTTGGTCTCCAGCTTTGCACCTGTGATCTCGGCACTTAGCCATCAACTTGTGGTCGGGACATTTGGAACACCTTACCTTTACACCCTTACCTTCGAAGATGCCGCCAAGACACTCACCTTGAGCGCAAACACATCGGTTAACGCCAGCAGCTCGTGGATTTCTCTGAGCGTAAGTTTGTCATACGAATCGATCACTCTTTTAGTACAGCCAACTCATGAATCATAGTACGACAAGAAAAATCTTTACGGCAACGTATTCCAGGACGGAAGTACCGACTACGTCAGCTATCCCATTGGGGATGACCTGTCTATCGGAACTGGAACCACAGTCTCCTCTCAGGGAGACTGCAACGAGCGGTCGATATTTGTCACGCCTAGCACCGTTTCTCCGTATGCAGTGTATGGGTCGCCGTTTGGTGCCTGTGGTACAGTCATGTCGGTGACGTCGGACGGTGTTCTATCTGAGTCGATCCAAGAATACAACTACTCTTCGACATCCGGGGTCCATGGTATGGCGTTCAACCCGGCAGGGACACTTCTATACTCTTTCGACGACTCAGCCAACGCTATTTGGGTGCACTCGATCGATAATTCTACCGGGGAGTTGACGTATGTTGCTGAGGTGAGCGCACCAACTGAGGGAGCGGATCCCAGACACGGCGCAGTGCATCCCACCGGCAACTATCTCTATGCGGTGCACGAAGGGACGAATGAAGTCGGCGTCTACTCTATTTATCAGAGCACCGGCATTCCAAGTTACGCCAACGCATCCTTCCCGCTGATTCCAGATGGTAAGCGATGATGGTGCTGTCACACGCTGTTGGCTTCATCTCACTGACTCTTTTCTAGGGTACAACAGCTCCGACTACTGGTCCGACGAAGTTGCCATCGCATACGGCGACAAGTACCTCTGGGCAACTTCGAGAGCTCGTGATGCCAACAACACCGGCTACATCTCTATCATGACCCTGAACGATGACGGCTCTGTTGAGAAGCAGAACTTCTTGTCCCCAACCACAACGAGCGGAGGGTCTGCCAACGCAATCACGGCGAATCTTTTCAGCGACATGTACGTGGCGCTTACCGACAGCTCAACAGGATTCGTGGAGATTTGGGAGATGGGCGATGCCGGGGGTTCCGCTAGTGTTGTTGCACACTTAGACCTGAACGATGGGGGCTGCTGCGGGAATGCCGTTTGGTTGAACTAGGAGATTTTATTCTATGCATATTTAGTTCGGGCAACTAAGCTACAGCTCTGATATTGTATGAATATCGATAAACAGATGCTGAATATGATAAGCTTATTGTAACGACCAGCAGATTTGCTGATGTTGCTGTGGACTTGGGAGGATCAAGCCGAGGCCCGAACAGTCAAACACCTCCCGTCCTTGGCTTATTCGTATTACCAAGCGAAAAGCCCGATAGGAGGTTTTGTGCCAATGAAGTCCTTTTAAAACGAATTAAGAATTGGATGGGCACATCCGAGTGGCTCGGGTAAATAACTTCAATACCACCTTACAGAGGATTGCCAAGACTCTTACACGAGCCCCTCAACCATTGAAGTTCGCTTTCGTATCACGAGCTGATACCTCCTTCCGGCTTAGGCTTACCCCCTGGATTCGCAGCTGACCTTCAGGATCACTGCCAGGGACGAGTAACAGGCAGGCGTGTTGCTATGTCGTTCCATTGGTGGGACTTGTGGTGAAGAATATGAGGATCCCTCGCGACGGGCGACATTTCTGCGCCAACGAGTCACGACTCCGAGAGTCCGTGACTTAAAGTAGCAAGTGTATAGCATTACCAAGACTTACAGGCGTTTTCCACGACTAGGAAAAAGGCGCCGATGTAGAAGAAAGACTTGCACCAATTGCTTGTGTTGTCTTTGTATATGGCCAAGCCTTGGCCGAAGGGGGTTCTATGCGTGCCAATGATAATACTGGGCCTTAACTTATGCTTAATTCAAACCCGCTTCTAATAGTTCAACAATGATTTCTTCCTCTCTATATAAACAACTCTGTTATCCCTGGCTCGAACTTCAGGGAGATCGTCATCCTCTAAATCATTGATTACGTGCAGCAAAACATACTCAATCTCGTAGTTCTTCAGCAACAATGTTCGCCAAGGCCGGAGCTATTACTGTTGCCATTCTTGGCGCCCTTCCCGCAGCTCTTGGCTGTCTGGGGTATGAGGGAGGTGTCCCCAAGCCCACGTCGACCAAGCAGATCTCTGCGCCTATTTACGTCAAGGCTGGCCAAGTCTTCGATGCAGGCTGGGCCAAGTACGACAGAAACCCGTCATCCTGCAACGGACAACAGGAAGGAGGTAAGATGCACTCAAGCCCCTTAACTAAGGCAAATCGCAAGAGGACACAAGAGGAGCAAATTAACTGATGTTTCTCAACTTAGGCGAGAAGGACACCGCTTTTGTCGTGGAGAAGGGCGGCACCCTGAGGAACGTAATTATCGGCAAGACAGTCGGCGAGGGCGTGTACTGCAAGGGTGGAGGCTGCAACCTCGAATTCGTCTGGTTCGAGGACGTCTGCGAAGATGCCATCTCGATTGTAAGCAGGTCGCGAAGGCTTTCTGAGAACATTCAGCTGATAATGAAACAGAAAGAGGACAAGGCCGGGGATGTGACCTGGATCGTTGGTGGTGGTGCGTATCACGCTTCCGACAAGGTCATCCAACACAACGGTTGCGGAAAGGTCAACGTGAGTTTGCCCAGGTCTCATGAAACATGGCATTATCAGCCAGCTCAAACCTGCAACAGATCATCAACTTCTACGCCGAAGACTACGGCAAGGTCTACCGCTCCTGCGGCACAGTAAGTCTTATAGACCCAACACCTAGCCAGCTTGACGTGACCGTCGCTTGCGTTATTCAAAGATCTATGAGACTAACAACGTTCATAGTGTGCCAAATGTGCCCGTGAGGTCTACGTCGAAGGCGTCACTGCCCGCAAGGGTGGAGAGGTTGTTGGAATCACCAAGGCCAACGGCGACAAGGCCACCCTCAAGAACGTTTGCACCGACGCCAAGACTCCTTGCCAGAACTACAGCGGTCCTGGTGTCAAGGATGGCGCTTGCTAAGCGCGAGATGAAAATACTTCTGACTTTGCTGTTGAAGCGATCACCACATCTGGCTCACGTATAAATCAGTAGACCAAGTCAAACTGGTTTGGCGACGGCTGGAGAGTAGCATGCAGACGCAAACGCGTCACCGTACCTTCACATGTACATATTCAGTGTTTCACTGTATTCTTGAAATCAATATCATACCACGCAAGATGGTTTCTGTACAGCGTTGAAATACTGCGGTGGTGACTCATACGTTCATATGCTCCCATGCGTGCTCACGTTAGATAATCAAAAACTCGAGTGGTCTTGATTGCGAATTCCTTATTACGGTGGTAACTGTCAAGAAGTTTACTCTGCCTTAACCCACCCCTCTTTTTCATTCTGTTCTTTACTTCTCTGACTCCAGGCCGGGGCCTCGTCGATACCATCTTCTTCTTCCTTGTCACCCTCCTCCTTGGTCTTGTGAACAGTTGTCGGCTTGTGTTCTGCTGGGGAGTACACAGTGTACAAGATCAACGGCGTTGGGCCCTTATTCAGAAACTGATGCTTCGTTCCCGCAGGTACAATGACCATGTCGCCACCCTTGACCTCCTGTTCCTTGCCGCCAACTTGAGCCAACCCTTTGCCGGACGTGAAGGTCAAGATCTGATCAACAGTGTGGATCTGAGGTTTAGGTCAGCATGTTTGAATAATGTTTGGAGATTTGGAGACATCTACCTCTTCGCCAATGTCTCCATCTACAGGAATGGTCATGAGTACGACTTGGGAGTAGAGACCAGTCCAAAGCACGCGACGGAACTCCCCAGACTCAGACGGCAAAGCCGTCGTCATATCAGGGAAGTACTGCATCTCATGCTTTGGCGGATCGCTTGAAGGTGTGGGAAACTTAGACATCTTGGTGAAGTTGAAGAAACGCTTGTGCTGGATAGGTGTGACTGATACCGGTGTTTTGAGAGATCGAGTGATTTTCTGAGCGCCACGAACGTTTCTAAGGGAGAACATTGGGTTTAAGTCTGTGAAAAGTGATTCACAATTGGCGGTCTTAGTATCTTCTGTTCGGATTACTGAGATTTATAAATGGCTTCGGTGGATATTCCATGATGTTATTACATCGGGGAATGATACGTCATCGATCGATCACACCCGGTCACTGTTCAAATCCCGTCTAGCCGTATGGAAGATGCGTCGCATCCCTGTCACTGCACCAATGAAGAAGTCGACATTCTCCGCAATTCACCGTCATCGATTTGAGTTTCAAATAACTTGACTTTAGAGGCGTAGACTGTTTCTTTCATATGCCGGACGTCTTTTGCCGAAAGTCGCCGACACAAGCGGGACCCACTTCCCCGAACAACCCGGAGGTCACCGGGGCCAACATACCTTCGAAGCTCATGAGCCCTTCAACCAACATATGCGAAACGATGACACACTTTGTAGCAAGCAACAACTTTTCTTTATTTTTGTAAGGGGGTTGCGCCCCAAATAAGCGTTCGGCGTAAGTGTTGAACTTGTGCCCCGACTACGCTAATAGCAATTCGATCGCGAGTAACTAAAGGAGTGTCGTACCCATGAGGGCGAAATCAACAATCGACAATATAAATTCCAAACAAACAGAAACCGAAACCAGTTTCAACACTTTCAATAGAAGCGAAATGCCACCAGAATTGGTGGCGTCTCCTTTCGTCGCGTCTTCGAGCAGATGAACTCCTCACCGAGCCCTTCTGCTCCGTTATCTCTCCCACTCACACACCCTTCCCAAGAAGAACCAAGTTAGCAACGTTCATGACCGCCATGATAAGCCATGTGATGATCGCGAATGCAGCAGTGTACCATGAGTTGGCCATCTTGACCACATAACCACCATTCCTGGGGTTCGAGTCCTCTTCATCCGAGCTGGTCCTGAATCTGGCGCCGCCCGCGCGGATCGTCATGAACTTATTGCAGCAGGTAAAGTAGATCAACGGCGCTGTTACAAACGGCAGAACAACACTGAGCACCACCTGCGATGCATCAAGAGCCTGACTGATTCCCCTGCGGCCCACCGCACCGGCGATGATGACGCTCGGAACGATGCTGATGCTGCGGGTTATCAACCGTCGAAGCCACGGGCGCATCTTCCAGTTCAACGAGCCTTCACTGACCATCTGGCCCGCGATAGTGCATACAACTCCGGCTGAGATGCCCGAGAGCAGCAAGGCGAGGGCGAAGACGGTGGCTGCTGCCGGGGAGATCGAGTCCTTGAGGAGCTTGTGGATGCTGAAGATGTCGGCATCTGGCGCATCTGGGTTGTTGTACAGCGAAACTCCTGCGACAATGAGGATGGCCGAGTTGACGAACAGCGCGAAGGTGAACAGGGAAATGCTCAGTTCGGTGATGGAAATCTTGAGGGAGTGCTTGATCGCTCTGGCTGACGGGACGTAGTAGCCCTTGTCGCTGTTACCGTCTGCGAAGTCGGACTCGTCTACTCCGGGTGGCAGGAGGTTGTGCTTCGTGTCGTACTCTCTCAGGCGCGGTTGGACAATGCCTGAGCCGAGATACAGACTGTGTGGCATGACCGTCGCACCCAAGATACCACAGGCTTGGTACAGACTAAGGACAGGTCAGCGAGACGTTCGGAGAAGAAAAGAGAGGAGTAAGAACTGACCCCTTTGCTTCGACGATTGCATGAGACGGCAGATACCCTTCGAAGACATCGCCCACCGGAGTCTCTTCAATCAGAGAAAGCTGGATGCAGAAGCACACCACCACTGCCATGACCAGACCGACGATGAAGTACTCAAACATCCTAAGCCCTTTCATGGACCCATGTGGACGGTAGAAGAAGAGAATGAACATCACATCGAGAATAGAGATGGCACAACCAGCCACGAGAGGTATGGCGGGAATGAGCAGGTTCAAGCCCACAGCGAAACCGATCACCTAGAAGATGAATTAGTATCTGGGTCTCAACCGGCATCTTTAGTGTGACGACTGACCTCTGCGATGTCGGTCGCAATGATGGCAACCTCTGCGAAGACGTAAAGCACATAGTTCAACCAGCGAGGCAGGAAAGCCCTACAAGCCTCTGCAAGGTTGAGTCCAGTGACGGTACCAAGCTTGATGCAGAGACTCTGGAGAAATATGGCAAACAGGTTGGCCACAAGGACGATGAAAAGCAATCGAAAGCGGTAAGTTGCGCCGGCGGCAACGTCGGTGGCATAATTTCCAGGATCAACTAGTGCACACAGTTGGTTGGTCAAACAGTCCTTCAAGTAGGTATGCGCAAATACACGGATCGAATGGTATCGGTGACTTACTGTACGCGACCGCAATCATGAAGCCCGGCCCCACGAAAGAGCCGAACTTCGCCAGGGATTTCTTGATGCGAGGGATCAAGTCAGAGTGCGGCTTGTCATCATGCACAGTGCTACTTGGGGAAGGAGGGATTTGTGCGTGAGAGTAAGGGAGAGGGGCCGCATCGGCCCCGTCTCCCGAGGTGCGGCCAAGAATGAGAGTCTTGGCCGTCGTCGGGCCTCCCGGCGCCGGGCCTCCATCTTTATCCCGGGACGGATCAGCTCGGGGTATGTCGGCGTCATCGGCAGCGGCATTATCATGGCTATTTCCGGAGTTTAGGTTTCTCGCATTGACTATGCCGTTGAGGTCCTCGTTCGTGGTCAGGTCATTCGACAGAGGGTTCGGGCTCTGGTTGTAGCCCTCCCCTTCGTAGGGCTCATCGGTTCGAGACGGGCGGTTCATGATCTCGAATTGAGTGCTTTCGATGTTGGGGAATGAGTGAAGTTTGAGAAGTGTCGGGAGAAATCGTAGATGTGTTCTTAGGGCGTCGGAGATGCCGCGTTACCCGGACCTTGTGGTCGTTTCACTACACCATCCACCGATCGGATGGCCGAGGTACCCGAGTCAGACAGCGGTGAGCTTCAGATGACATAATTCCACGCATTTAGGAGTGACGACTGCGATCTTCATTCGAATTTTATCTCTTACTCTCAAAAGCAGACAAAACTCCTAATATTCTAGTTCTGAACAGTCGCAGGATCAAAATCATGAAGTCAATCATATCCATGAGAGAGATCAGACACGGGCTGCTGACCGGTACACCCCACTGACCATGTTTCCTGCGCCTCTTTAGTGCATTTCTCAGTGCGGAGAAAACGATGAATGGGGAAGCTCAGTTTCAATTATCAGCTCCTTCGCCGGGTCGGCTGACCAACGATCTCATATGCCGCCCAAGGCCTTGTGACTGCCAGAAGATGCCGTCTCTTTATCTAGGCGCCATTTCCACTGTTTGTGCTTGAGTCAGCCTTGACGCTTCAATGCTGCCAAAACGACAAAGTGAAGGATGACCGAACAACTGTCGACTTACAGGGGCAATTGCCACTGTGGCGCAAATCGGTTCGAAGTGCAGCTTTCTCGGTTTCCTAGCTTTGTTATCTGCGATTGTGAGCTCTGCGCGAAGAAGGGATATGTCTGGATATACGAAGTAGGAGATAAGCTGCAGATCACCAGAGGCTGCACATCTGAGACTCTCACCAGCTACACGTCCGACGGTGCAGAAGCACTCCAGCACGAAGTGAGCCTAAATCACTGAACCCAATCACGCTGTGCCAAAGTTTGACTCATCCACGCCGTAGTTTTGCTCAAACTGTGGCACAGGTCTCTTCGGAAATCACATCTCGGGTGTGCAGGCTCAGAAGAAGGGTATCAACTTGCGCGCTCTGGTTTCCGGCATGCCAAGCGTCTTTCTGAAAGGCAAAGACGTTGTTACTCTAGACTCTTCGGGCGTAGAAGAAACCTACCCGGGGAGCCTGAGGTACTCGTAAAACCCTTATCAACTCATCTAGATCTTCCCCATGCTGACTTCATACTCAGTCGCATCGAGACTTTATCCCAGCACCAGAGACCTGGTGGCAAGTTCCAGGGAACAGCGCCAGAAGCCGTCGACGAGCATCCGAAGCTCTACATTGGCAGTTGTGATTGTCGCGCAGTCCAAATTGCTCTGAGAACGAAGCCACTAGCCGAAGCTGAGATCAAGGAAGACAACTGCAGCATTTGCGTCAGGGTACGAAAAGCCTCTTTCACTGAAATTTATCCTAATCGTTGACCTCTCGAACTTTAGAATGGCTTCGTCGGTGTTTACCCCCATAAGTTTCAGGTGACCATCTTAGGCAAGGAGAACACCCAAGAGTATCAGTTTGGTCGCAAGTTCAACGGCTCGCCGTTTTGCAAGACGTGCGGCGTCCATTGCTTTGGGAATCTCTATGGTCCTCCGCAGGCAATCATTGACAGACTACCAGAAGCGAAGAAGGATTTCGTGAGAAACCAACTGGAAATTCAGCCTCTCAACATTCGGGTATTCGATGACATTGAGTGGAGCGAGCTTGACATCAACTGGAGTAATGAAGGGACTGAAGGCTACGTCTTGTCAGAGTAACATGTCGGACGATGAGAGCAGTACCTGTACGTGCGTTTGAAACCCAACTGGGATAGTCTTCTGTAGATTCTTTTTTTAATCTCTCAACTTAGATATGCCCGTCCAAAAGAACGTTGATTGCGAAACAAAACCCCCACGTATGTGCTCAAACGATTGAAATTCACCACATATTAGAATGCCCGAGTAAGGTCACAGATGCTCGCGAGCTGTCATATCAGTCTGATTTTGATCCTAACCACAAGTGATTAGTGCCCGAAGTGCTTTGCAGCTGTGCCGTTGACCTGCATACCGGCCTTCATCTTGAGAACCAGGGTCAAAGGCTCGGCATTGCTGTTTACCATGTCCCTGATTCGCTAAAGATTGCTCTGAAAAGAACTTTGGAACCCATCAATACCCCTCAGTAAGCAAAGCAACCCTTGAAGTAGCTCACCACACCAATCTTTCCTTACTTTCCAATCTCGAAGACCTGAACTTGTACAACAGTAGTCCCGCTGCAAGACATGAGCTCGACGAACCAAATGGCGGTTGAGCGTCAGAAGGCAGACGCGTCATTGAACGATAAGTTCGTCCAACTGTCTGACCTGGTTTTCTTGCTATCGGATGTCGGAAACCAACCCGATGAAAGCCTTCTAGGCGAAAAGAATGGCCCTGACCTAATTCTCATTTATGGCTGGGGCGACAGCAGACTCAAACAGGTCGCGAGGTTTGCCGACGGCTTTCGCATCATCTACCCTGAAGCCAAAATTATCATCATCCTAGCACCCATATTCAAATCTTTGTTTTCAAGCCAAGAACAGCGCGTGCAACGAATACAACCTGTCCTCGACGAAGCCTTTAATTCAAACGCTACGCACCTTTCGTCGACTAAACAGCCCTCTATCTTGGCCCACGTCTTGTCCAACACCGGGTGCTTGTACTTCACGGCAACCCTGGAAGGGTATAGACAGGAATTCGGCCACGCCATGCCTCACACCCTCCTGATCATGGACTCCGTCCCAGGCTCCATGGACCACGACACAAGCAACATCGGAACCCTTGCAGATGCCGTCGCGCTCGATGCCAAATCAAGAGTTCCCTGGCCGCCACAGGTCACGAAGGCATTTTGTATCATCCTACTCTACGTCATGCGAGCCATCGAGTTGGCCCGTTCACGAGAGAACCCGATTGTGGTCAGCAATAGAATGTCGAATGACGAGAAGTTTTCAACCAAATCAGCTCGACGTCTCTATATTTACTCAAAGGAGGATCTGATCACCGCCTGGCAGGCCGTGGAGAAGCATGCTGCGGAAGCAAAACAAGCTGGGTATCAAGTGGATTGCAGCTTATCTGAAGGGAGTGGGCATGTAGAGCACATGCGACGATGGCCGGAGAGATATTGGCGTTTGATAGGAGATGCATGGAGCGATGCGATTGGCGAGATGGTAGTTCCGAAAGCACGTCTTTAAGATCCATATATTGCCTTAATACCACGTATAGATAGGTTGCAAGAATCGGATATCTGAGAGTTGTGTTCATGCGGGCAATAGATAGGTTACAAGTCAATTATCCAACATTAATATTCTTCATTTCATCAACGTAAGAGGGGTATCTGAAGAGAAAGGACTACAACTGGAACCGTAGGAAAGGTCCAATACTAGATCTGACTAGGTCTAGGTCGGCTACCTCAGACCGCGACTGGCTTCTTGGAACCATCCTCGTTGAGATGAACAGGCGTTCCCTCGATAGGCCCATCAACCCTCTTGGGTCTTTCGAAAGGCGCCATGCCCTTCTGGATGGCAACATCGTCATCGAAGGTTCCATAAAGGTCAAAATCGTCCTGGTACCCGAGTCTCTTGGGCTTGAAGACGAAAGTCAGGAACGCGTAAAGTGCACCTGCTTCCAAGAACCCAAAGATGTAGTTGCCCAGGTAGTACTTGTAGAGACCATCATTGATCTTGACGTTAGGGTTGACGGCAGCGATCATTCCCGGCATGGCAGGAACAAAGCACACCACCCAGGCCACAAAGGCTCGCCAGTTGAACCCGCCGGTGTACCAGTAAGCTCCATCCTTGGATCCTGTGTAGAGCTGGCTGATCTCGATCTTCTGTCGGCGGATGACAAAGTAGTCCGTCATCATGATACCGGTCAAAGGACCCATGAAGACGGAGAAACTGGCGGCAACAGAGACGAAGACGCTAGCAGTGTTATAGAACTCCCACGGCTGGACAGCCCAAGACAGAGCAGCGGCAATGAGGGCGCCGCGCCTGATGGTGATCCAGGTCGGAAGCAATCCAGCCAGATCCATGCCGGCGGCGTAACCGTTGCCGAGAATGTTCTCCGCGATTTGCCCGAGCACAAAGCCCAGACTGCAGAAGAACGCTCCGGCACGCGACTTGGCGTTGTAGTCATCCATCATCCACTGGGTGATGACAGTCAAGGGGTTCCACATGGGTTCCTCCAAGCCCCAGATGGCCATCGAGGCCGAGGCTGTGAGAATGGCGAAGATGGGAACGATCATGCCCGGGATGAAGAGAGAGAAGACTATTCCAGGGACTTGGCAGCCCTGGCGCTTGGCGAAACGAGTGAAGTCGCTCTGATTCAGAACACCGGCGGAAATGTTTCCGACGGAGGCGATGATGCCGTAGACCCAGGCCCATTCTTTGGTCAGGGTGGATGCTTGCTTCGCGCCGGACTCGAAGAGGGGTCCGGTACCGCCGGTGGTGCATGCCCAGATGGTGATACCCATCATGGTGACGAGAACGATGAGGTTGGCAGTGATAACGGGAACCTTGGCTTTCTCTACACGGATGAGCTGGACGAGTCAGCACGATCATGCTACCGCAGCTTTCAAGAAGACTCTTACCAAGAATGGGATGGAAATCAAGTGGAAAAGAACGAAGCCGATGAGGTCGCGAGTGTTCATGTGAGCACTTTCGGGGAGAGTGTTCTCCATGGTGAGGAACTTGTAGCTCCAGCTGCTCAACATAGCCGACACGCAAAGTCCTCCAAGCCAAGCTTGAGATCCGTACCAAACAATGGAAAGCATGATACGGATGAGCTGGCCGATATAGGCGCCGTTCATACCCAGGATGATTCTAGTCGCTTGTTAGTGCTGATTACGCGACCTCGAAGAAGAGAACATCATTTACCTCTGAGACACAGTGAAGCCGATGTGCCATTCACCACCCATCCACCCGTTGCCGATGACGAGCAAGCAGATGAGAACTCTCGCAAGAATCATGAGGCCGATGGTCTGGGGGATGGTGAGACCCAGCGACAGCAAAGACGCCGCACCAGTCCATGCTGAGATGCAAAGGCTAAAGCTCGTCAGTTCTGCAACCCATCTTGCTTTCTCGATGTGATGCTTACTTGGAGATCGATCCAAACCCAAGAAAGGCCCATACACCCCAGGTTCTACGGTTTGGCGGGAGCGGTGCGATGTCTGGGTTGATCCATTTCGTCGTCTCATACCCGTGCTCGGTATCGTCCCTCACCCTGAGCCTGTCGAGGATTGACTTGGCCATCTTGTCTCGATCCGAGTCGTCCTTAGTCAGTTGAAGGCGTTGAAAGTCTCCACACGACTTTTGCGAAGGATCGTGCTCATATGTCTACCAAACACCCGGGACTTGTTGAAGAGCCTAGATGCAGGAGATCTGGTGGGATGCCGGAAGTAAAAGGAACAGAGCTATCTCTGCGTAAGGGCCTCACTTTCTCTTATGTCGGCAGTGAAGAAAAAACCGCATCACCCCCACACGGGATCGATTCTTACCCATGACAACCCTCCCCGGGATGAGGATGAGAGCCAAGTAGCTTATCAGATTGAGTGGTGCGACTTGCATCTGCAGGCTTGACCCTTATCAGATCCATACATCCCTGGCGGCCCCATGGATCACCGCATCGAGCTCCCACCAAGGACAACACGCCGACAGCCCGCCGAGGTCGCATCGAACCCCGCACCTGGATCCCAACCTCCCAGCCCGTTTGTGGGAAAATCGCCTGACCAGGAAACGGGACCGAGGGTGAAGGGGAGGAAAAATTGTGATTTCCGCTCTTGGCGCAGGAGAGTCGCGGTGGCTTGAATGGTGAGAAAATGCCCGCGTAGAGAAATATGCGGCAAAGCGATCATGGGTCGCGCCCGTTATGACATTGCGGGCCTCTTCATTGGTCAAGTTCCTCGGTGAAGGTCTCGAAATACTGTTATCATTGATAGCTTCTCGTGATAGCGTAGATAGCATCAACCATGCCACGTTTTAGGGTCTTGGGGAATCCGAGACAATGGATACGGCACGGACGAGCCGCGGGGTGTATCCATGACTGACGTGCGTTAAAGAGAAGCCTATTTTAACGTCAAAGATTTCCTTCAATTAGATGATGGGTTCGTCCCAAAAGTTGGTGCCTCCCACATGCCGACTAGGCGAACACTCCCTCGCCCGCTCAACGCCATTCCGAATGCCCACCCTCCACCTCGATAAGATAGATCTTCAGATAGGGAGACACTCCCCGGGATAGCTTTGAGCTAACGTCATCCAGTCCCAGCCCTGACCTTCATCTCTAGCTTTCCACACCCGCTCCTCCACAAACCTCCGCGTCCTCTCCACGGTCACGGTCTTCCGATGCGTTCCTATCGAATCGAAAACATCCAAGACCGCACCTCTGTCTTCGACATCAGACATCTCGCACGCCGCTAGGAAAACAGGCCACAAAAGCATCTTCGTCTCCTCTGGCGGCCCGGTTGCGTAAAGCATTACATCGTGAGCTTTGCTCAGAGCTTCACTATCTGCATCCAGAGACGAGCCCGGGAGCTCGAACAACCGATGCAGGTACAAGAGAGCCCCCGCGCGGTAGCATGCAGCTTGCGCCCTAAACTTACGCGACGAGCGGAAGGAGAGGCTGTCAGATATCATGGGTCTCCAGGATTCCAGCCGCATGCGGAGGGAGTCGGCTCTCAAGGAAATATCGGAATAGCCCGTGTCTAGCCAGCTGTCGATGCAGAGGGACGAAGGCAAAGTGTCATCAGCGGTGGAGATGTCTGCTTGCCCCTCCGTGAGTGCGTTGCTGAGGACTGGCTGGAGGACTCGATCTCGAACCTCCTCCGCTAGCGTGCAGAGCTCCTCAAGCAGAGGCATCATGGTCACGGTGTACCCCAGCAACCGGTCGGGCTTGGGCTCATTCTCGAGCCAGACATACGTAGGTACTCTAGGCCGGCGCAACTGTACCAGTGAGACCACGAGATCCTGCCTCGCCAGCGCCCGGAGGTAATACCTCGCCACAGAGGAGACGTCTCCTCCCGTAGAGACGTGGTGGCTGATGAGGGACGCCACGTTGGACAGGACTGTGGGTATGGTGGCATGGTGACCTGGTTGGGCCAGAGTGACGAGCTAGACCCTGTAAGCATGCGATCCGTGTTCATCACCCGAGATTGACAATCGGATGAGAACGACCCACACGGAGAGTAGAACTCACCTCCATGGCGCAAAGCCCAAGCAGAAGAAAGAGAGCCTCTTCAAAGTAGTAGCTTGACGGCTTCATGCTCCTCAGATTTGCCAGTATCCTCGCTCTGCGATTCAGCACCGGCAAGAGTGAGTTTGCCGACTTTCCGACGAGATACGAATACCCGACCGCCGAGATGGCATCAGCTACTGTTACTGGGTCCTGCTGCAGCATCATCAAGACGTTGGCGTTCATCTCGCTCACGAACTCCTGCCCAATCAGCAGTTCGAAGGGATGTCTGTTGAAGTAGACTTCGAAGTGAGGCTCATCTGCCACTGGCACTGTCCCCGGCGGAATGAGTGAGAAGATCCGAGTACTCCCCAGAGTAGGCGGCGGCCGTGTCTCAGTCCGCGCCGGGGATGACACGGCGCTCAACTTGGTCACCGAGGACTCGCTCGCCGGGGTCTTGGGCGAGAGTCCCGAGACCGACAACTTGCTGCTGCTGACATCAGTGCCGCCTGTGAGAGCAGAAGTCGCTGGAAGCAATGACGCGGTCGATGTTCGCGAGTGGGTAGCAGGCTGTTTGTACCCCTGACAGACATGCCGGCGTCGGGCGCAAGTACCGCATGACGGGCGAATCTCGTCGCATTTGACCTTCGCCTTGCGACAGTCGATGCAGCCGTTCCGCGACCGTCGCGTGGGCGGAATCACGGGCGGCATATTGGTCGTGGGAACGTGGAGGACTGGAGCGGTCTCGACTATCAGACGAGGGCCTTCGCTCTCGGATAGGACTCCGATTGAATGCTCGAAATGTTGATCAAGGTATGTGGCGGGCTGGGAGCGCGCGATAGTAGCAGTGCAGGATCGTTATCGGTTTCCCCTCACCTTTCCCACAGACGCGATATTTTTCTGCAACAGCTTTGTGCTTTAGGGCCTCTTTAGCTGGCCCAGGACAAGGGTGTAATTGTATGCACGGCGGCGGCATGCTGGGTGGTGAGGGATACTTGATTATTATCTTATCAGATCATCTCCGACCCAGAAGGCCCCGCGAGTAAGCCAGGGTTCGCCGATATTAATGAGGGGATGGGGGACCACTTACGGCGGCACATCGGAGGTGACGAACTTGCTCGGCCGGGTCTAGTTCGCGACGTGATGAGCAGTTGAGGTCCACAAGAGGGTCCATCTCGGTAGTTGATCAGGAACAGTTTTCAAATATTGGACGAGGTTTGAGGCGTCTGCTGCGGTACCAAGTGAGTAAATGAGTCATTTAGCTTCCGGGCCGAGGCATCGAGGCTATTGAATGAAGAATCTTTCATCCATCGGCTGGCCTCGGCCGCTGCGGTGAGGATCTCATACTGGAATCTTCAATCCAGCCCGGAAAACCATGTCGGTTCTGAAAAACCCACTTCCCGAGAGATTTTCTCGGATTTTCGGCCATTGTCCGAACTAAACTTGAAGCTTAACATTCACCGAATACTCAGATGCTTTGAAATATCCAGTGTGCCATGTCTTTAGATACCTAAATGTAGGTGTTACGCTGTACCACTTAGAATGTGGCTGTGAGCACTCAAGAATGAAGGTTGGTGAGCCGGACATCGTCCTAGCCGGATGTCTGTCGATATCCCGTGACAAAATTGGCCTGTTGCACGCGATGGATGAAACACAGACGGCCTCCGGTCCACAAGTCTCATGGGAGTGAACAACTTTTCACGTCGCCGGCACGTGGTGTGGCTCATTGTCTGCTCAACAGAATGATGCCTCTATCACCGGGCGACATGATTGCCACAGATCAGCCCAACTCAAATCGATTTTCAGGGTCCATCTCAAGCGAGTTAAATAATAGGTGAATGACAAACGCCAATCGAAGGCTTCACCCGTCACCACACCCGAATCTGGGACTGATCAACTCATCTAACCAGACAAATATTTTCCATATTCCCTGTTTTCCAAGTCTTTCCAGACGTGTTCTCAATTCGCCCGCCGTCAAATGGCTGCCTACCCCGCAATCCTCCAACTGACGAAAGACGTGCTGTCTCTGCCGTGGCTGATCTCACCACTCCCACTTGGCAGTAAGACGGATGACATCAACGGTCGATCCCGTTCGCTAGTGCCTACTGGTAGCTCGGTTTGCCGTACAACAACACGCTGCAGACGGCGAGCTCAAACGTTGAGGATGTAAGAACAGCCACTCGTATCGCCTGAAATGGACAAATCCGTTTGCTGCTGTGCCACAGACGATGTCATTTAGGGTTGTATTTGCTGGTTCTAAGTGAGGCGGTGACACACGCTGCGATCATCTCCCGCGAAGGTGGCTTGACGTGAAGCATGACGTCTGAGAAGATCGCAGAGCATGACCCCCATGGTAGATAAAACAACGAGGAAGTTCCGTTGTCAAACTTGTTCGGATGTCTTTCCTGGCTCATCAGAAAACATCTGGCCACTTTCAGAGTTGCAACAAAACACAGAAGCTATAATCTCTTCCTCAAGAACACCATACATAACCACCCAACATGCCATCCCTACCAACAGAAGCCTCAAACGTAGCTCGTGACGTTGCGTTCACCTTGATCAACCGAGCAACTGGTAGCAAAGTCACCAGCTCCGGTAGAGGCGTTCGGTCCACTGCCAGAGCCATCGGAGGCGGTATCATCGCGGCCATTGTTATTGCTTGCGTAGTTGGTATCGCCGCCATCATCCTCGCCATCTTTTTCTTCCGTCGACACAAGAGACAACGTCAAATCCGCGACAAGGAGATGCAAAAATACTATGGCGACAACCGTTCAAGCATGGGCTCTAGCAACTACAACCCCAACACGGCAAACAACACTACCGCGAACCCACAGGGTGGCTACAATTATGGCCAAGGATACGGGTATGCGCACACTGCCACGCCCGGTCAGTACGGATACGGAGCACAGAACGGCAGCGGCGTCACTGGAGTTCCACCGGCGCACACTGCGGATCATGTCACCACCAAATAATGGGATGCGCCCAGTACTTCAGCTGGCGTAGGATGAGAGTGTGAAACAGACTGAAAGTACGATATATCTGTAATACCTTTGTAAACATATGATGAGCAGCGATCGATAACGATGCATGATACTGTTTTTCTTTTCTTTTCTTTTTTTAGATATACAAGAGATTCCATCATATTCGCATTGAACATCTCGCCGTATTCACTGATTCTTCCAACAGTGACGTAGCTGATACAATCTCACACAAAGACCCATGACAGCGTTGGAAGACATGCTAAATATTTTCTCGTCTTCATCTATGGAAGTTCATGTCGCCTAATCGGGTCAGTATTTGAAGGCGACAGCGTGTGCGATGACACCATGGTTGCGTACCATATCAAGATTTAAGGCCTCCTCAATGAGCACCTTCACAGCTTCATGTACGGACATCATTTATCATTGAAATTTGTGTCAGATTCGTCTTCAATTGGAATTTGCAACGGAGTTAGATGTCTGGAGAGCTCGATATATGCTTTCTCACCAAAATAGCAAAGTAATCTCATTACCAAGTTCAGCCTTCCACTATCTACACCGATCTTGGTATTTTCCCCAGAAGCCCACAAAGACTCCCTAGTCCACGGGATAGTTTGATATCAAACTCACAGGACCAACTGGCGATATCAAGATCTATCGCGGCTTAGGCAAAGTGGATAATGAATTGGTTCAGTTAATATCATTGGGCATTGAGCATACTCATACGAGTTGGTTGTTGTGGATAGTACCAATAGTATAGTACTCTATGACATCAAAACTAAGTCATTTGACGTTTTCATACACTGCCATTGTCGCTTTTTGAACTTCAGAAAATACCACACATGTATGTATGGATTAGGATTAAGGATGTTGTATTGGACACATGCAGCAAACGCTCCATCATCTTCTCTTGCTGAAGTTTCACTTTCAACCTCGTTCGCCTGCACATGGTAATGAAGCTTTGTCCCCTGGCTGCAGCAGCAGCGACTGCATAACCTTACCGTGACTTCCTCCCTCTGAATCTCATAATAGCAAGATTCAGTATTACTCGTATAGTCTCAGAGGAAGTCTTTTCAATAACACGATCTTCCAGATTGTTTCAGCTTTACTCTACTTCGGAAGAACGAATCAGTCACTGCGACCTCTATAAGTCCCTCGAGTGTTTCGCTGGACCGATGGTTACCTCAGAAGGCTTTGGCATTGGCTATTTCTTTTAAAGCAACCGGCATAGTGAGCGTGGTACAGTTGCTGCTGCTAGAATTCCCCCTATTTCGTGGGAGCAAATTGAAGATCAGAATGTTCCGGCGAGATGTAAGTGTGGAATCTGAGGCGGCCAATCAGTTGACATCTATTGATTGTAATGATCTATGAGAAGATAGAAAAGATAACATGTCATCTACGTTGGACTGCAGCGGAAGACTATGTGTTCGAGATAAAGTCATCTTATCACGCGGTATCCACGATGAGACGCCGAACCCTATGCCCTTCAGTCAGAAAAAACTGCCTATGAGATCTATGAGTAATCATAGTCTGATTGAACTTTTTCCGACTTTCAGGCGAAAATTCTCACAGTATTGATATGGTTTTCCATTGAGCAACACTCAAACCTAGCAATTAGTTGCTGATCATTGTACCTGGGCGTGTCTGAGCTGCATTTGTGATTACATGTATTATCGCCTACAAGTAGTTCAAATGAAGATGGGGTATTCTTTCTCTGAAAACAGTGTGAGTTCAACGATATTCGTCAACTTGTAAGGCAGGAACTAACTTGTCAAATGCATTCCTCTCCGTGCCGCTGCATCAAATACATACCGTACTTTTCTACAACGATTCTGAATATTCAATTTTTTGGGAATCTCAACTGCCTCTGACTTATGCAGCCTTATGATTTGCAATCACATTTACAGTAGTGTATACCGCCAAGCAAGTCTCCCACCTCGCACAGCTTGGGTACTTGGCGTTGAGATGGCCTCGGGTTGCGAGGCGGTGCCGGAGGGATATTGCAGACGGGATTCGGTACGCGTGCTGTGATCAAGTGGTGAGTTTTAGTCGGAAAAGTCCCCCGAACGATAATGAAATCAATCGTCAGGAGGCGAATTCGACCAACTTTTCCGACGTTAATATTGAAGTTAATGAAGTTGATGAAGTGGGCATCAACAGATAGCGTTCAATCTCGTGTAGGGGTGTTCATTCAATGTGCCGTGCGCCACGTTCTGTCACTCGCTAGGAGACCAACAAAAATTGGTGCAACTGGATTTCTTCCCTTCCTTCCCGATCACTTATTTGGTCTCGGTCGATGTAGTTGGAGTTTTCCAGGCGGTATTCATTAATTCGAAAACGATGAGACGCAGGTTCATAAGTGAGTGAATGACTCTCAGTTTGTGAGTGCATCAAAGTAAGGACATTCCAGCTCTGCCAAGCCTTCAAAATACGGTGCGTTATCAGAGTCTCCATTCAACGGTGGTCCAAGCATTTGAATACACTTGGCAGCCATTCTCTAACATGAACGCGTTGCGTTGGTTTGAGTTGCGCCCAGCATTTGGAGAAATGCGGTTTGATGATGAGCGACAGGGGCAGCACATTCCTTACTTCTCGACGGTTGCCATCTTTCAAGTTTCCACTAAAGAAGCCAATGCCACTGCATCAGATTGTCTCTCAGCGCCCTCAAGTGGTGGCAGCTCAGCCCCGATTCAGCCAGGGGTTACAGATACACTAGGCCCAAACCAAGCCCTTGGGGCTGGCTCAAAGTCGGGCTTGGAGTCCGATTCATGTGCTCTCGGCGGTTAACCGGGACTGTCGGATGGCCTGTCCCGTTCCCTACACGACGAACCCCCGGGGACCGGTCGCCCGTCTGATACCTGTCCGTATGTTGAGCTAATGTTGACTCCGTGCATTGTTCGTCCGGACTGGAACCGGATTCCCGGCGTCCAAACGTCTGACAGATCTGCCGTGTCAATCGCGCCGCAACAGGCGTTGGCTTCCGGATGCCGGAGACGACTGGAAACATCGACAAGACCCCAAGAGCCCCCAAGACCCCTTGGCCCAAGTGTTCCGGCGGATGATCTCACAAATACGGGTGATGCCCAGGCTCGCCAAAGTCCAATAGATGGTGCTGCCCAGACCAGCCATCCCTGAGGGTATGACATTCCCTTCGCGTTCTTTTCGTATAAGTCTCTTGGCGTGCCTGCACACTAAAACCGTCCAGTCGTGGATAGTGACGGGGCCCGAGGCCAGCTAGAATGTGAGATTGGATGGCAGGACCTGCACCGCCCCAATGCCCAGCCAAGCTGTGCACTCTTGGTGTTTTCCACTGCTTGGATCCTTTTCGACTGCCATCGTCTACACCGCGTCGTCATCCCCTTCTTGGAACATGCCGCCGTAACAGAACTAACCTTCGCCTAAGGTCTTGGGGCCTTTACGTTTCCTGACAGATGGCTCCAGAATGTCCAGTTCTCTCCAACTCTCCCCTGTCGTTCATCCCTTTAGACTCCAGTCAGGTGGCCAGGGCCCCAAATCCATCTCAGGTATGCGAGGTCATCCTGCCACCGGCCTGGCGCCAAGTTGGTCCAGGAGACAAAAGTGTCATCGATGCCGCCGATGCGACCGTCTTGCGTTTCCCCAGATTTTCTTTCTATCCCCGGAAACCTGCTTTTTTAGCTGCATTCGCATCTTCCGCTCGTTCCTGAAGTCGATTGCTTTTGTTTATTCCTACGTCATTCATTCTTGATATTGCTGGCAACGCGATAAGTTTACTGCGTCTGATTGTCGAAGTTCGGGAGCTATCCAGACGCTGTCTCCAAACATCTCTCAACCATACAGCCATACCACGATCAATTTAATCGAAAGCAACCGGATTCGGACATCAAAGCCACTTGACCCCAACATCCCAGCCATACCTCCTGCAAGTGCGCCATCTACCTCTCAAGGTTGCAGACACCATCGACTACCCGATCCTCCTCTCCCCCACCCCCCGTCCATTCTAGAACGTCAACGATCGACCGTCCCAGCGACAACGGTCTCGACGTCGGCTTGCAGTGCAGTTGTGATATCTCTTCATGCACTGAACTCAGCGCGGCCCACGAACTACTTTGCCGGTTACCTCGTCGGAACTTCAGCTTCGAATAAGCCGTCTCAATTCCTCACATTCGCTCGACATGCCGTCATCAATCGTCTTGAGGCTTGCGCCCGCGGCATTGCTGCTGTTGGGTACTGCGCAAGCCGAGTACTCTATAGACACAAGAGGTATGGAGTGTGTGCGCCGCAGTTCTGGGTCGTCTTGACCTCATCTGCCTTGTCTTCACGTCTGGTTATTTGGTCTAACTTATACTCAACCAACAGAACAGGTTCTCACAACAGCTAGCACACTCGCGTACGATCTCATGTTATTCTACCAAGGCAACAAGACGGGCGAGATTCCAGGCATTCTCCCAGGGCCCCCGGATGACGGCAAAGGAGACTACTACTGGTGGCAAGGCGGCGCCATGATGGGAACATATATCGACTATTGGTACTATACCGGCGACGAGAGCTACAACAAGGTTGTCACAGAAGGCATGCTGCATCAAGTTGGACCTGGACGCGATTACATGCCGCCAAACCACACGGCCTCTCTCGGCAACGATGACCAAGGCTTCTGGGGAATGTCAGCAATGTTAGCAGCCGAAAACAAATTCCCGGATCCTCCGGAAGGCGAACCGCAATGGCTTGCGCTCGCGCAAGCGGTGTGGACAACACAAGCCAGTCCGGACCGTCACGACGGGACTTGCGGCGGCGGCATACGCTGGCAAGTTCCTCCCATGAACGTTGGCTATGATTACAAGAACACCATCTCGAACGGCATCTTCTTCAACATGGGCGCTCGCTTGGCTCGCTACACCAATAACGACACGTACGCTCGCATTGCGGAGGAGACTTATGACTGGCTGTGGGCCGTGAACTACATTGACCACGAGAACTACCGCGTCTACGATGGCGGCCACGTCCCGAAAAACTGCACCAACGTCTTCAAGGCTACCTTTTCGTACAACATTGCAGTTGTTATGCAGGGCTGTGCGTTCATGGCGAATTACGTAGGTCTTACCTCGGGAGTTTATGATGCGTAGTAGGATGGAACCCAGGCTGACAAGAACAACAGACCGAAGATCAAAAATGGGTTGATCGCACTGAGAGACTGGTCGAATCCGCCATCCGAGACTTCTTTGCCGATGGCGCTGCCTACGAAGTGCCGTGTGAGATGGACAAAGGACGCTGCTCCCAAGACATGCTGAGTTTCAAGGGCTATCTTCATCGGTGGATGGCTGTCGTTGCTCAACTTGTTCCTACGACTCGCGAGCAAATCGCGCCGGTTCTTCGCAACTCAACGCAATCTGCGATCAAGCAATGCACGGGCGGCAATTCCGGACGCGTATGCGGCTTCTACTGGACCCAGGGCGTGTTCGTCGACCCGGCTGTCGATAAAACGAGCGGTGCCGGCGAGCAGATGAACGTACTCGGCGCGGTTTTGAGCACCATGGACCCGCCCGTGCCGCCCGCCACAAACACCACCGGAGGCACTTCCAAGGGAGACCCGAACGCCGGCATGGACTCTCACCCGTACCGGGAGTTCGAACCCATCACTACCGGCGACAAGGCGGGCGCGAGTATCATAACCATCGTTGTCCTTCTCAGTGCTGTGAGCATTTGGGCATGGATGTCTGTCGGGGCGTCGGAGTGGAATGAGAGCAAGGGCAAGACTTTACTGAAACCGGAGGCCATGGAATCGACATCGAAGGAGAGCGTATTTCCAGCGATGAAGTGATTTGCAAGAAGCGGCGTTGTTGTATTTGGGTTTCTTCTCTTGGCGAAATGGTTGGTTTGGACATTGCGTCCTGAAATTGGGGTCCTTCGCGACCTGATCACAGCGCAAATTAAGCGCGCACAGCTATTTGGACGCAACGGCTTGGGATAAATACTTTGTCAAGGCATTGAGCGGCGTTATTTAGTTAAACCATATTACCACTGGCAGCTTTCGGCATCAAACCCGGTTGTTAGTGCTTCTAAATGAATGAGAGTCATTAAAGACGACCCCAAGACCAGGTCAGACAAGGCATCATAAACCATTAAGGTCTTTGTCTGGATTTTGTGAGCACTAGCTGGTCACACGACCAATGTCGATCTGTTTCAAAATCCCGCTACTATATGTGGTATCTATTTGGCAGTCTCAGCAGGATCTGCTGACTCAATCCGAACCGCGGTAACGACATCCAACTGTATGTAAGGTCCCTCCACGATTACTGGCAACGAATACGGCGGCGATGGAACTTCAACTGATCGCACCGAGCGTACGACGGGCATGTCGTGAGCACTGACGTACGACCTCCCCCATGGTCTCAACCCTCCATGCCTCCACCACCACCACCCCTTGCCCCCGTTACTTGAAGTCGACTGCAGCTCCGAGAGAGGCACCCGCCTGCTTGCTGGCCCACTGATGATCACACGGTGACCGTATTCCCGTATTGGCGTCCTCATGAACGCGTATCTATCGAGGCCCGTATCGTGTACATCTTGTGGTGCGCTGAAAAGGATCGTTGATGTCCATAAGATGCAGTTGAACAGGCCGTTGGCAGCCAAGACGCAGCCGGCGAACGCGAAGTACGGTATACCGAGATCGATGCCGAGGAGAGACGTGATACGGCCCACAACAAGCGGTACACTGCATCCAACATATACGAATGGATAGAGTAGGAAAGCCGGATGGTATCCGGACAGTTCGCGTCGGCTTCCTGACTCCCCGCTGCTTCTCTTCTTAGGTAGGTGTCGGCAACTTCTCTTCTGCCGCCAGAGAGTGAAGAAGACAAAGGAATACAGAAAAACTGTCAGGACGATGGAGATGATGACCCAGAAGTAGTGCGCCCATAGTCGCCAAGGATCGTAAGCGTTCGATATCCAGCACCTAGCAGAGGAAATGGTAAGTCGGCAGCTCGATCCTAGTCTACAATCCCCAGCAAGGGGAGACTTACCACACGTTAGCTCTCATGAAGAAGGACTCTCCAGGAGGAGCGGAGGGCGACGTCACTCCCACACCCGCCCCATTTACCCCAAAATCGAACGTCCACAGGACAGCTATCGCCGTGTAAACCGCCCAGGGTGGGACCTTATACCCAAGACCGACCGTAAGAAAGGTATTAATAGCAATGACCGACAAGAACAAACTTGCAGCGAGATTGCTCGTAGACCCTAGCCATCCTTGAGCCCAACAGACAGACGAAGGGGCATATATCCCATCTGCATATACCCAGTAGAAACTCAGCCCATAAGCCAGCGCTTCCATCATATCCGCCAGCAGCAAATTGTAGACCAGAATCGGAAAGGGATTCCGGGCCTGGACCTCTTCCTCCTGTTCTCGCGCCGCTTCATCGATAGCCCGTTGTCCTTGTTCGGCCGCTAGCCTGTCGAGTTCCTGGAGACGGGCGAATCCGGTCGCTCCGGAGGCCGGGGCGTCGAGCCCGAGAGTGAGGTCCGGGGTGCCTCCGACGAAGATCGCATTCGCATTATGTTGCCGTGGTATCGACTTTTTCTTCTTGGCCTCCTTCTCCTCGAAGATTTCCTTGACGAGCTTGTAAGTGATGAAGAGCCACAATACTAGTGTCGCCAGGAATGACAAGAAGGAGACTGCGGTCAAGATAATCAGCCCACTGCGATGATTATCTGGAAGGGGTGCCAGTGTTCCGCGCAACTGCGCCGCAGTGGACATGATTGAGCGCACATCGAGACATGTGAATGGTTCGTCGATGTCAGCCTTGCGGAGGACGAGATATGTGTAATAAAAGGAGATTTTCCCCCTCAGACGGCTAGGTTCGCCGTCTTCTTCTTCGAGCCTCCCTTGAACTTAGATAGATCCTTGGTCCATGTCTCGCAAGGCCTTTTGGTGCTTGTAGCATGGCGCGGATCGGCGGCAACTGATTCCTTTCCAGTCATCTCAGAATTTGTGAGAACTCTGCCAATATGGACTCCAATGAGCATCCGGACGGCCGGCAAAACTCTAACGCAGGTTGCTTCGTTGCAAAGTCTAAGTCGCGTGCCCCCCGCGCCCTAGTTCGATAAACCACAACACTTGTTGGACCACTCGTTCTTTTTGGCCAATTGAGACGACGATACGCATCAGGCGGAGTCCCAAAAGAGCAGAAGGCGTCCGGGTTTCATACACTTTCAGCTCCCAGCATTGACTGCGCTCCCATGCTGTAGGGCATGGAAGCACGTGGGAAGATTGCTCGGATAGCTTCGACGAGGGCTGTATATCCTTGGACGAGTTCCTGATGGCGAATGATTCCATCTCGAACGGAAGATAAACTTCGACCTGACTAGTGCTCCGCGGTAGGGCGATCAATGGCTCAGACCTCCCGTGGTCCTGGCTTCGTCGCAGCTTTCAGTCGTCGTCGGACTAACTGCGGGGGAGCTGGACCTTCCTTACGTCGTAAGATCACAGGGAAAAATTCGGTCTGTTGAGCCAATCGTTGGTCGTTGCGAGGGGTCTTCGTCTAACCTTACGATCTAGGAAACCAAAGTTGGGCTCGTCGTTTTCCATCCCGCGGGCCCGAAGCATGCGCTGCCAACCGGGAGGCACCCGGAAGATCTCATCCAGGACGTCATCCCTTCGGCCTTGAGCTGGACGAGCCGTTCGACATGATTCTGCCGATTGTCGGTTACGGTTTATCCCGTTCCATTCAATTAGGTCCGCGGAGATCAACTCGAATTATGGTCTGTGAGGTGCTAACGTAGCAAGATGGCAAAAGCTGAATGAGTAACGAGGGATAAAGTATGACCTTAACTACCATTCATGTGAGTTCAGTAGTTGATCAAGAAGCTTCTATACGATCTCCTCATTTGTCCTGGGGATACCATGAGTCAAGGGGACGCATCGCATTTAAGTTCAATAAGGCATACAGCCTACGATTTCTCTTAATTCCTATCTCCAGTCGGGTCAGCATCAACATCACGCCAATCTGGGAGCTTTCTCACTACGAAGACTACAAGCTCAGATGTCCACTAGAACTCTTACGTCGTGAAATACGGTAGCGTTGAGGATGCTGATGACGAGCTGTAGAAAGAGATCCTCAGGTGTGAATACAGCCGAGTTTTCCAAGCCCGGTGCCTTGCAACGACAACTACTCCATGATGCTGATGTGATGGGAACTCACATGTGCCCAAGAACTCTCGGCCTGTGCGACTGGCCACGCATGCGTGACGCAGCTCGAGCACAGCTGACAGTTGGAGATGAGCCTCGGCACAGAATTTCCTTGTTTCAAAACTGCCGAACAACACCACGGAGCACGGCCCAGCTGCGACAAGATCAAAACATCTTAGGAGAAACAAAATGACTTAAGACCCTTGGAATTCGTGTTCGGTTCTTGGAAGATCTGCAGTATCAACAAGAGTCATGGACCCAATCACACTCGTCACCGCCACAGCGTCGCTGGCAGGCGCCGTCCTCACTGCTTCGCTAAAGATCAAGAACACGCTCGATCATCTCGAGAACGCGCCCCAGAACGTGTGTGATATCGCGGAGGAGATCTACGCGGTTCAGTACGCACTGAGTCAAGTCGAAGATGTCGTGCGACGAGACCCGAACGTGATCGATCGACTGGCACTCGAAGATGTCTTTGCCCTGGCTGTGAAGGGCTGCCATGCCACTTTGCAAAGCATCCATAAGGAATACGAGGAGTTGTTCGAAAAGAAAGATTGGAAGACGAAGATACTTGTCTTGTGGAAGGATGGCGAGATGACGCGGCTGCTGGGTCGACTTGATCGGAAAAAAGCTACATTGACGCTACTCACTCAGACCCTGAATTTGTATGTCTTCTGAATGCTCCAGGTGGGCGAGGACTTATAACTCTGGACTCACTAACTTGCTACGATAGACGATCGACGCAGGACATCAAGGACCTGCTGGTCCAGAACCAATCGACCTTGATCGCAGCAAGACAGGATAGCTTCGAATCAATTCCAAACAAAGCTACCCAGAGTCCTCGAGCGAGGATCTCCGAGCCTCTGGAAGATGACGAGTCCGGAGATGTGTTTGGAGATAATGAGTCGGTGCTGAGCACTACCGAGTTCGACTTTGATTTCGATCTGATCAACACTCGCGCCTACAGACGAGCACTTGCACAGGCACAGGCGGCAAGCAAAAGGTCGAAGCCAGCGCCGTTTAACGTGGATAAGCCCCTCCCGAAATTGGCCGAGGAGGATTCACCTGCTTCAATGGTTCCCGTTCCTGAATCAGTCGCAGGCGATGTCGCGGATTCGATCGATCTGTCCGGAGAGACTATGACATTGCAATCTTCACTCAGTCGAGCAACGACACTGCGTCCGGAAAGCGAACTCGCCCAGTTGGGTTCTCAGAGCCCAGTATCTGTGACGACTACGAACGGCAAGCAGTCAAAACCTCAGGCCGAGATCGAAGTTGAGAGTGAGGCGAAGAACAGTCAGAAGACCGGGTCTGACTCCCAAGTTTCTCTGGTAACCGAAGAAGCAAAGAATGAGAAAGACTCCAAACAGTCGATGCGCAAACGGATGAACAAACATGCCGAAAAATCTCGGCTCCAATTAGCAGAGGCAAAAGAGAAGGCCAACCGAAGGAAACCGCACGGAAGGCCCAACTTATCGAAACAACTCAGCGAGGGCGGCTCATCTTTTGCATCGGCGGAAACCATACGAATTGAAGATGCCCAGGAGCAAGATCTGAGCCGTGTCGCTGAGAGCCAGTCGGATGATGTTCTCAATAAGCTCGACAGCCGCAAGCACCGGAGATGTGCTCGAAAGACCGAACTCCGGCACCGACCTCGAGGGAGTCGAACTACTAGTGAGAACTCAGGGTTGAACGTCCCGACCATCTCTCAGGGTTTGAGAGATATGCACATCAAGGGCTTCTCTGACGCGGTTGAAAAGGTGGATGATGCGGTGCGCCAACTCGGTCTTTCGGATCATGCGGCATTGAGAAGGGAAAGGATTCGACGGAGACACGGACAGACTGCTTGAAGAGAAGAGGGTAGACAAAAGGATCAGACTATATCGAGTGATGTGAGCTAGTGAAGAATTGTGAGCGAAGAGGCAGATCCTTACCAAGGTAATGAAGATAATGAGACGAGCAATCCATCATTTGAACGGCCATTACATTGCGTGAGACAGATGCTGAAAGCAAATGGCCTTTCAAATGAGAGACAATGTCGTTTAGAGCTGTTGGACTCATCGTCCGTCCTACGACTATACACAACCATCGCATCATGACTTCTCATGAGTACAGATGCCAAGTCACTCGATTCATAAAGACAGAGCCAGTCTAGTACCTAGGTGCTCTACATTCGGCATGGATGCTCACAGGGTCTACGAACCGAGATCCGACAGTGAAGAGCACCGACGAACTTTCACCTCGACGAAATATAGCCTGCCAAAGGGCGCGGGACGGTTACGCGCCTGCCGCAGGCTTAAGTCAATGTCTTGGCGCGGCGCAAAGATCCCTTAGGCGCGATTCAAAGGTTCCAGACGTTTAAACGATGCCGGGGTCAGGGTCCGGCTTGTAGCAGCGCGAACCCGTTTTGGGTGACAATGTCCGGGGCTGGAACTCACGCCTCCCCGGCGACCTTACCGATTGCGGGTCGAACCTTCAACCTGTGGTCAGAACCTAAGATATGGGAGGCCAATCTTCTTCCTCGATATGCAGTGTGTGGTGGTCATGCTGGGACTCAAATGCTTCGTCAGGCGGGCGCCGATATGTGACCCGGCGGCCTGTCATGCCTGGGGCTCGTTCCCACGCAGAGGTCCTGGAGGGACGTGAGCTTTCTTGCAGGCAGGTGTATAGGGTTGTCGGATCTCTTGACAGCGAGAGGAGGATTGCGGAGACAGCTTAGGAACATTGATGTTGCGCAAAATAGGATCTCATATACATCAGCTTCTTGTTTGGTGATGGTTCGAAAACAGAAGTTCTCGGCGTTGCCTGTCGTGGACTTGGTATGGATCCTATGTGCCCAGAACGGAAGTTTTAGTGAAGGGCGCACGTGGAGACTGATGACATGCCTTGTCGATGACCTCGGACTCATTGGCATCAGAATATGATGGTGATACTGTGATGTGCATGATACTGATCATTAATGAGCAGGACGGGCGGCATGTAGTGAAGGTGAAAGCCTAATTCCATGCGGAGTTGCGCACTCTCCAGGCTCATCCTGGACGCCACATGGTGGTTCACTGGCGGACAGATCGCGAAGGCGGGTACAGATACTGAGGAGGTTGCATGAGTTCGCCCAACGCAACGTAGATCCAACCGGAAGGCCATCAACTGATGGGAGACAGAATAGCGATGAAATGATTGGTTATGGCTTCCGTCTGCGCATGCATGCTGACCAGCCTTACCGTGTCGTATCACCTGGTGCAGTAAGCAGTTCGGTGAAGGAATGAATGTGTAGAATAACTCGGAGTCTAGGGATCTCCGTTGGAGGGTTCTTTTGAATTTCTTCCTTCAAAAAAGTGCCCAGGCATCATGAGGCAAAACAACAGCGACGACCTTCCTTTCTGGAGGTTTGCAAAGTTCGTCAAGCCATCGGAGTATTTTAGGGCGAGGCAATCGCAGGCTCCCATGCTTATCTTGGCCGTCTATCTGTACCTCAAATGAATACCAGTGATTCGCTTACAGATGACTTGACTGAAAGGGATGACTGACAGATTTCACATGGCGCCGACGAGTGGCCGATCACCAGAACATAAACAGAAACCTAGCCGGTAAAAGCGCGATGTCTAAAGATTTTTCGCGTTTAATTGAAGCTCGAAGTCTTGGCGGCTCCGCCTTCATATTCGAACGATTCAACAACGGGGTCTCTTCCCCAAAAGCGACCGGTTCCCCAGTGACGAACAGGGCTCGCCCTGGCTGGGCTAAGCCGGGAGCATCAGCAGTGTGGTGGAGAGTCTGCTGCGGGGGACAGGCAAGGTAGGGCAGCAGGTTTTGGTCATTGCTTAAATTGACACATAAAATCGTTGAAGGGTCTTGGACGGACTCTCGGTGGTCTGTTGTGATGCTGCTTGAGACGTAGGTTCTGCTTGAAGAATGGACATTCAGGCGTACGTCAGTAAGGGCGAGTTTCTACCATATACGCCGAGTTCAAGCATACTGTTTGTGAGAGCCGAGGTTGGATTATTTGATAGAAATGAGTGTCAGCAATAGGGACGCCCTCGGTTGGGTGTGATGAGGTCCAAATTGAACAGGGGTTAGGTAAGACGTTCGTTCCTAGGTACGCATAATTCCCCTCATGTTAAGACTCAGAGGAACCGTTCTGACTCTTCGAGAGCACAGAGTCACACCATGTTCCTCCCCCTCGGCCCCCGACAATTCAAGGGCAAGAAAGCTGCCCCAATCGAGACCCCTGTCGCCCAATATCGGCCGGTCCTTTTGTAGCGCGTCTCGTTTTCCGCGACGAATGGAACGACAGTCAGACTCAAGACCATCAATGATCAATCAATTGTCATTCAAGGCAACTCAGGCAGAAATGCAAAGGACGTTTGTCGAGCCGGCAAAGCACCCACGAGTCGCGACGCGCAGTCTTATCTTGAGGAACGATTCTCGAGCGGAATCGGCAACATCCACTCTTTCGGTCGGTAGACTGTATATCGCATTGCGGGGACGCCCAGAAATCATTCAAGATTTCATCGCGCTCAAGTACCGTCTTGGCTGGGTTAGAGCCTCAGCAGCCAAGATATTGTCGGCAGCAACCGGCTCGGCGATGTTAGCAGTCACATTTCAGCTCGTGCAGCTGAGCATCAGTTTTTGCCTGGCGTCTTTGCGATTCCCAGTTCAGTTATTCTTCCACTTCTCCCTCCCTTCTCCGCCTGGGGAACGGAGGACATCTCTAAATCCAGCTTGGTCTTACCAGCGATCCTCCGACCCCTTGCTAGTTCCGCCGTCCTGGCCGCCGTTAGTGGCGTCCAGTCCGTGACTGACTTCTGTAGCATTTGTCAAGCAAAGCCCGAGTGTGACCGGCTGAGGCCCATGAAGCTTAATCTTGCAAGCGATCGCCGCATAACCTGCTTCTATCTCCAGCCATGGCCTTGAGGATGCGTTCTCGCAGGTAACAGTGTCTGTCTGTTTCTAGAATGCCACTAGAGACGGTTCAAGCATCTCAGATGCAACAGAATTGCAGATATTCTGCAAGACTGTTGGAAAGGCTTTTCTCGATCATTCGGTGACAGCACGCTCTGGAACCCGGGAACTCCTTGAGATGTCAAGTACCTGCCTATTTCAGCATCGATGGGCATCTGAGGCTTACGATGTGCAGCAAAGGTTCCATTCGTTCGGTTGACGCCTTGAACATCGGCCGGGCCCAGAGGACGAACGCGGGGAGGCGAGACGAACGTCCTACACCCTCAACTTGATCAAACGAGCCAAGCGTTCGATACTCGACAGAGGAAAGTGATGTACATGTCTCTTGAAGCTTAACATCTCTGGCTTCGAAAGAGCCTATCACGGAGATTGTGCGACCGGAGGAGTGACTTCTCGACACGGCGAGTTACCTCCTCCACTCAACAAGCATACCGCCACTTACCTCCCCTGCACCCTGCACGAGTTGGCCGAGGGCACAGGGGTTGGCGGTCGATGTATTGTCTGGGGGTCCTTTTGCAAGACCCTCGTGCCATTGACTCCAACTCGACAATCCCTTCGCCGTCCAGCCAGTGGGTTAAGCCTTCCGTATTGCTAGATTTCCTATGCCCGCCGACGGGGGACCAGCATCGTGCATATGTGGCCCGGCGCGGATGTTACCTTGACAAGTATGGCGAATGCGACCTTGCACAAGCAACGGCCAAAGATAAATATCAACTGTTCTATCCCGCCATCACATCTGGCTGTCGTGTGTCGCGCGCGTCTCGTTTCCCTCACCCCGCCATTTGTGTTTCCCACTCACTACCCCGCGTAGGGATTCGCTTTCGCTTCCGAGCTTCTTAGTACCCACGCAGCGAGGTCTTTGAATCCAAACAAAAGCCACCATGGCCGAGGAGAAGGTCAACTCGGCGACGGCTGCCCCAGTCGACGCCGTCGACCCCCGGCCGTCCTACAGCAGCGTCCCCGTCCACCCCGATGAGAAGGGCGCTATGGGCGGCGAATGGACGGAGCCTGTTGTCGATGTCAAGGTCCCCGAGACCGAAGATGTCAAGGGAGAGGAGGACCTATACCGTCCTCTCTTGATGGACCCGGGCATTCCCCATGAAGAGAACATCTTGACCGTGCGCGCTATCGTCATCGGCTGCATGCTCGGCACTCTTGTTAACGCCTCCAACTTGTATCTTGGTAAGTTGCACTGGATAGCCAGAGTCACGATCATCTTTCAGACCTATTCTAACCTACCGATGAACAGGTTTGAAAACCGGTTTCACCTTCATTGCCTCTATGTTCGGCGCAATCTTCGGCTACGGTATCCTCAAGTTGCTCACCCAGACCGGCCTTCCCCTCATCGGCGGCACTTTTGGTCCCCAGGAGAACAGCATTGTCCAGGCCGCTGCCACAGGTGCCGGTGGCATTGCAGGTATCTTCGTCGCCGGTATTCCTGCTATGTACCGCCTTGGTGTTATGGACAGTACTCCTTCGGGCGATATTGGCCAGATCTTCACCCTAGTAAGCAATGAGACCTTACTTTGATCTCAATCCGTGCTGACGAAGCCTGTTCTAGACAATCTGCTGCTCTTTCTTCGGGCTCTTCTTCGTTACCCCCCTCCGCAAGTTCTTCATTATCCGCACTGCGAGGGAACTGAAGCTCATGTTCCCCACGAATACCGCTACCGCCCTCACCATCCGCTCGATGCATGCCGGCGTCACTGGTGCCCGCGAGGCTGTTAGCAAGCTCAAGGCTTTGGGAGCCGCTTTCACTATCTGCATCGCCCACCGTGTCGCTTCTCTCTACGCCATTGGAATCTTGTACGACTGGCATTTCTTTACTTGGATTCACATCTGGAGTGGATACACGTCGTGGGCTATGAACATCGAGTCCTGGGGCTGGTATTTCGAGTGGACTACGGCTTTCATCGGCTCCGGTATGCTCATCGGAATGAACTCTGCGTGCTCCATGTTCGGTAAGCTATCCGCCTCCCTCTCAGCCTGCAGACATGTTCTCTAGCAACGTGAACCTGTTTCTGATCAATATTTTAGGCGGCGCTGTCTTGGCATGGGGTCTGATCGGACCTTTGCTTGTTCATTACGGCGAAACTGTCGGCAAGGACGCCAGTGAGGGCCTGCCTGAATGGGCCGGAACCTACAGCTTCACCTCCCTTTCTGACGTTCGCCATCCCAGCCCTCGATATTGGCTGCTTTGGCCCGGAGTTATGGTTTGTAGCCCTTGAGAACCCAGCAATACGTCTACAATTGAGACAATATTCGTAACAAACGCTTACTTTCCGCAGGTGATGGTTTGTTCTTCCATGGCTGAGCTCATCGTGCACTGGAAGATCATCGCCATCGGCTTCGGCGCCGGATGGAAGTCCATTTGCTCTTCCATTCACCACGTCTTGCAGAAACGCAACAAGCGTATTGGTTACATCGCAAGAGTCGCCGAAAAGGAGGAGAAGGTGGATGAAAACGCCGTCGAGGATCCTGCCACTCCGGATCAGCAAGTTGCCACGTGGATTTGGGTCGTCGGCTTGTTCGCCTCCATCATTTTCACCATCATCGTTATGGCTCTGCAGTGGGAAGTGAATGTTGGCATCACCATCTTGGCTCTCATCCTCGCCTTCCTATTCTCCTTCCTTGCCATCCAGATCGGTGCTGTGACGGACCAGACACCCTTGACCGCCGCCGCAAAGGCCGCCCAGCTCGTCATCGGTGGCGCCACTACTGGCTCGGGATACGGAGTCGCGCACGCTCAGCGCATCAATCTCATCTCCGCAGGTCTTGCCGCCGGAGCTGCCGACGTGGCCACTTCTCTTACGTCCGACTTCCGCACCGGCTTCCTGCTCGGCACTCCACCAAAAAAGCAGTTCATAGCACAAGCCATAGGAACGCTTTGTGCATCATTTATCGCGCCAGCTTTGTTCGTATTGTTTACTACTGCGTACCCTTGTATCCTAGATGCGAATGCTGAGCACTGCTCCTTCGCTGTGCCTTCGGTGGCAGCGTGGGCTGCCGTTGCGCAGGTTGTCACGGAGAAGGACGTGTCGATCCCGCTTTCATCCGGCATCTTCGCAATCGTTCTCGGCATTGTGTCGATTCTCCAGGTCATTGTCCGCCACTACTACCTCAGTGGTCCCCGCGAGAAGTACCAGGAATACCTCCCTAACTGGGGTGCTATCGCCCTGTCCTTCGTTATTCCCGGACCGGTCTTTGTCAACGCTGCTTTCCTCGGTGCCATCATCGCCTTCATCTGGCGCCGGTACAAGCCCGAGAGCTTCGAGCGTTACGGCTACGCCGTCGCCGCCGGCATGATTGCCGGCGAGGGTATGGGCGGTGTCGTCAATGCCGCCCTCACTCTCGGCAACGTCGCTGGAGACAGATTTGGAACCAAGGGCCTGGCCTGCCCTGTTAACCAGTGTTAAGTGCTCTCATGCACAGAATGTGGAATGATGACGAGGGAAAGATACCAAACTTGTAGCGCATCATAATTAGTAATTTTACAGCAGCGAATAGCGCAATCAATACTATTGCACTGGTCTCGAATGATCAGTTGTGCTGCGAAAACCTGCATCCTGTTTGTGATAAATTGCACCCAAACCCGTGGAACACGGTAACGGCCGGTATTCGGCACGGAGAGGTGGGTCAGACAAGTGGGTCATCTTCCGTGCTCTGGGGCCCGGGTTCGTGTCGGGCATGCCGGCGGTGGCACGGTACTGACAACTTGGCAGGGATGAATGCAAAGAAAAAGGAAACAAACATTTTCCGCGAAAACCACCCAATGAGCTTGATCCTGTGGGTGATCTCTATCGATCTACCGTTTGCAACACTCGAGGGAGCGCTTAGACAAACAAGTTCTTTAGAGAAAATGTGGTCCTTTTTGCCAGTTCAAGACGACAACTATCCTGAATGAGACTCCCGCAGATGTTAGTTTGTCTTCCGCCCAGACAGACGACTTTGTCGCTGGGTAAGTACAACCGCTTGCTGCCGCTGTAGCCATCACGTGAAGGGCTCCTCGGACAAAGCATGGAAGCCGGCACTTCATGACAGCCCTGGAAGCCTTTAAGCTGTAAACTCCCTAGGCTTGGGTCGATGCAAGGTGGAACTGGAAGGGACGTTCAATTACAGTCCGAGGAAAAATGATCGATGTTCGCGGCCTCTCAACAGTGCCTTTCACAATGTTTGCCTGTCGCAAACACCAACGAATATCTGATGATATGACCCCTGCATCAAGAACTCGTTCGGGACACACAAGATGAGATGACCAAGCTCAACAACAAACCGTCTTGGGAAGAAGTTTACTGACTCTGTTTAGGGTTTAGTGAACCCAGCATATCCGGCCGTAAACTTGACAACATACCGACAGATTGTTCCGTCCCTCGCAATGTTTGGAATCTTGAGAAACATTTTCACTTAATTCATTTCGTATTGCGAACAAGCACTTTGTTGATGCAACATAGGGACCACTCTTTCAGGTCCGCGCAGTCTTTCAGTACCGCAGCAGCCAACTCTTTGAGCGACCTGGGCAATACCCGTTGGGAAGTCAACTGCCTCGGCACATGCTTCCGTTGCAGTTTACGTGCAACGCCAGGTTCGAGTATTATCCAAGTTTCTTGGTTATAAGACATCCAGCCATTCAGCCGATTTTTGAGTTCTTTCTCGTCAGTCTGTATCCAAATTTCACTCGCTCATCATCCGTCTGCAAATCATCCGCCTTCCAAGATGCGTTTCACTTCTGCCCTCATTCTGCCTTTGGCCTCGGTTGTCTCTTTGGTAAGATATACTCAATCTTGCCACATGTCCATCTCCAGCTGATCGAAACCCTAGATCTCCGCCATGGAAGCTCCCATCCCAGGCTACGACGTCTTCATTCCTGAATGGGAAGTCAAGGCAACTCCAGATGGAGAGACCCTCCGCATCAACGGCACCGTTGAGGAGGTCGTCGCCGAGCTTGAGCAAATCAACCCGCACTATCGGCGATCAATTGGTCTCGACGACCCTACCTTGATGGCACGACAGCAAGAGGAGCTTGAGAAGCGCCAGATGGTACAGTTTCACCGCCAGAACGGCATCTGCGACCACTTCAGGGGAGCCGATACTGGCCAGATCATGGCTGCTGTGCAATACCTCAACTGGGTTACGGGTAGGCCCCGAAACGGCGGCGGCCCGGCCAACTGCGGCCGAGTTTCTTGCGGGTACAAGGTAAGAAATCTCTGACATTCTCCTTCTCTTTACCACTGGTCTACTTTGCTAATGACTTCCAAGACTGCGGTTTGGTTCTGCAACGACGCCCCCCAGCCCAGAGAATTGAGGTCGTTCAGAGACATATCCGACGGCGTCTATGCCATTCAAAATGTCTGCCACAAGAGTCGCAAGTCTTACTCAGGTCAGGCATTCCATGTTGACATGTGGAATGTCATTATCCGCTGGGAGGACTGCTGAGGCATCCGAGTGAGGTACTGATGCGCCCAAGAACGAGGAGGCGGAGGAGACTACCGCCGGTGAAGTGATCAGGAAATTCTGGAAATACTTTCGACTTCGATTCAACATATGTACATCTTCAAACAACTTGGGGAAATGCTACCAGCCCGATGATTCTGACGGACTGAGGGAGTAGACCTTCATTGGATATATGGCCGCCAACTTCGAAATTAGTCATAATCATGTAATACAACATCTTCCGATTCAAAAGATATCACGAATAAGATGCCTGAAACTTGCTTGATGACTTTGCAACACCTAAACAGCTACCTCACCGCCAATAGCTCGCCACGACCTTGAAAAGGCGTTCCACACCACTGTCAATTTGCTGCTTCTACAACCATTGAAGTTAGCAAGCTATCTCACAGTGGCTTTCTTTCAATTGAAATGGAGATTCTTTACTTACTGTCGGTGTTGCGAATGAGAACCGGAAATGCGCCGTGCGCGGATCAGCTCCGCGGGCTTCGGTCGTCATCTTGTCGGCCCCTTGCCAAGCATGGTAATATGAGCCCGGCGTCAAAAGCACCAACTCACTAGCCCAGGCTTTCCACAGATCGTCGGCGAACATTTGTTCCGGATCATTGCTGGTAGCTGAACTCTCGATCTCCGCAAACCGTTGAACGCCGTCAAAGTAAAACTTGCACCACACGAACATGCCGGCACCCGGGTCCACGAAGCTGAAAACAGGACGCAGCTCGTCATTCTCTCGGCCCTTGACGCACACGACAAGTCCTTGCGCGTGAGGCACTGGCGATTTTGCAGCGGGTAAGACCACGAATTGGGCGTGGAAGGCGTCGAGAAGCCAGTCTCTTCTTTCGCGGTATTGGAACTGCAGGTTCTGGAGCCAGGTCAGGTAACCATCGATGCCCCAGCGACGAAGCAAGCTCAGCACCAAAGCCTGACTGAGACCTGCGGGGTCTTGGGTCTCGACCTCGGTGGCTCGGAGAAGTCGTTCTGTGAAGGCTGGGTTGGCTACGAAGTAGCCCATGCGCAGCCCGGGAAAGATGGTTTTCGAAAAAGACTCGAGGCGAATCACTCGACCCTGGGTGTCCATAGATAGAAAAGTCGGTACCAAAGACTCAAGGAATTGCTTTGTTGGTTTTGGTCGAAATTCGGGCTCTTTTGGGGTGAGATATCCAGGGAATTGGAGGAAGTAGTAGGGATCGTCTTCAACGATTATGATATCTAGATCATGTAAGATTTTGATGTCGATCGTCTGAAAGGATATGGGAGAAAAGTACCAAACTCAACACAGATATCGTAGATTTCCCTTCGTCTTTGTGTTGAAATTGTAAGGCCGGTAGGGTTTGATCCTACAGAGACCAGGTAAAGTCTGCATGAAATGAGATTAACACCAGCGCATCGTCACATTCCAAGTATGACTTACACTCTCGGTCTTCGACTGCCTCTTTCCTTCTGATCCCAGTTCTGCATTATGGCTCTGAGATCTTTCGCCAATATTCCTTCGGCATCCGCTGGAACGGGAACTGCCTTGACTCCAAGCGGAATCCAGAGCGCCTGCGCCGAAGGGTATGTGTACTCCTCTACGATGACGAAGTCATCATCTTCACAGAGAAGCTCCACCACCTTGGCCCAGGCATTTGTATTGCCAGGATGCAATAGACACTCGTAATCGCACGGAGGCGCATGCACCTTCTCAGTCAATTCCTTGGCAAGTTGAATCAGCTGAGCATTTCCCGCTCCGGAGCCTGAGGCAAAGTTCAGCGGACATGTGCTATTACTTGGAACTTGTTGCTGGAACATACCGTACTGCAAAAATGGAGTGAGATCTAGATCTCCCGGAGTCTGCGCACGACCGAGGGTGATGCTGAGAATATCTGGATTCTCAGCTCCAACTTGGCGATCCCCGGACAAGGACGCTCCTGGATTCAGACAGTCGAATTTGGCTTGCTCAAGCGGGAACAAAGATGAGTGAGGTAGGCCTGTCGGTGTTAGTTGCGTCTCGGTTTGAGCCACTCAATCAATCTGGGCATACCTCCAGCAAAGCTGATCATGCCGTCAACTCCCATAAACTTGATGATGTCTTTCAACGGCGAAGGATGCCGAGCTTTGCTCTTGGCATTGATGTGGTGAGATAAGTCTACCATCGCAGGGGTCTTGTTGATGCTACCCATCGTTGCTTATCGGATGGATGGAGATGACAATCGAGGAGTTGGACCAAAAGATCTTGGCAGGCTCGCTCAACAAACCGACAAACACAACAACAAGGCCAGAAAAGGTACTTCCAGAAAGTCAGGCAAACAGGCGATGTACTGTTCATCTATGAACTCTTATCTAATCCATGCTACAGCGAGACTTAATGACCAAAGTAATTTCGATTTGTCCGCCATGTACCCAAACAAATGAAACTAAACCTTCGGCCGGAGATCCGACGAGATCAGGATGGCTTATCAGAGGAACCCGCCCGATCTGGCCCCCTATCAGTCGGCCGTTATCGGCCCCGCAGCGGGACGGATCTCGGAGCATCGGAGGCCAGATCTGTCACCGACGTCCTCTGTGCGATCGAAGCACCTCATGACATATTGTCAATAGTTGTTTCCTTCAGCGCATCATCACGGTTGTAAACTGCCAAGGATCCAACACGAAGAATCACCAAACGTCAAGATGGGCAACAATATCTCTTATCAGCAAAAGCCCGTGGACCTGAGTCTGGGCGGCAAAGGTACGATCCGTGGCCTCCAGTTCGACGACAAATCTCGCCGATTTACAGGCGTTCCGTATGCGCTTCCCCCGATCGGAGAAAACAGATGGCGCAAGCCGCAACCGTTGCCGACCTCATACTCATACACCGATGGGAACGGAGGAGCATATGATGCGACAAAATTCAAGGCAGTGTGCCCCCAGAAAGCTTTCCATGTGGTGAAGCCCGATGGCGGGGGCGCTGCACACAGCGAAGACTGCCTGTACGTCAACATCTGGACTCCTGTTCCCAAGGAAGGCGAGGAAAACAAGAAGTGGCCGGTAAAGCTCTGGATTCATGGCGGCTGGTTTCAGATGGGAGATCCTTCGCAAGAGCCGGGGATGGACGCTACAGAGCTGATAACGACGGGCGGACTGAATGCCATTGTTGTGGCGATCGGATACCGACTGAACGTCTTCGGATTCCTTGCCGGAGAGGACATTCTGAAGGATAGCAACGGAGAAGCTGGAGGAAATTTCGGTTTACTCGATCAACGTGCGGCGGCCGAGTGGGTGCGAGACAACATCTCATACTTCGGAGGCGACCCGGAGAACATCACACTCGCAGGTCGGAGTGCTGGAGCATACAGCGTTGAAGCTCAAATGTTGTACGACTTCCGCAAACCTGGCGACAAGTCTTCGCTCTATCGACGAGTTTTCATGGACTCCAATGCGATTCCTGCGCAGCCCAAGTCTTTGGCAGACGTTCAGGGCCAATTCGATGAGCTTTGCGCATACTTCAAGATCGACGCGGGTTTGACAGGTACCGAGAAGCTGGCCATTCTGCGTCAGAAGACTTCCGACGAGCTTGTGCAGGCCATTCCTCATTTGAAGAATCACACATTCCGACCCGTTACGGATGACTTGTTTATACACTCGGGAATGATAGAGTATCTTCAAGGGAAAGAGTTCGCCGATGAGTTCAAGAGGCGAGGTTACAGACTTCTCATTGGAGAAGTGCGTAACGAGGAAACATTGTACTCTTCGTACAACGCGCCTACCGAACCGACACTAGAGGCCCTCCGACTTCAAATCTCCAACTACTATGCCCCGGATGTCACCGACCGAGCTATTCAGCAGTACAAGTTACCAGGATCAGACAAGTTGGAGGATTGGCAGAAGACGTTTGGTAAGCGCTCGTCTAGACTTTGAGACAGGCTGGTTACTGATTCGTTGATTCAACATCAGGTTCGATCGTGGCTGACGGCCAAGTGCGAGCGCCTTCTCGGGCGTTGGCGAAGGCGCTAATTGACAACGGCGTCGACATTCGAGACGTATGGCGTTACCAGATCGCGTACCGTCTATCCTTTATCGATGAGAAGGTGGCGCCGGCTTCTATGGGCGTCGCCCACGCGATGGACAGGCCCATTTGGAAGTAAGTGACACCTTATTTCCTGGACGAAGGTGGTAGGGAATTCCAGGTTTATTGACATGGTCTAATAGTTTCTCCATTTGCCATGGCCCGACCCCGGCGGAAAGACAGTTGATGGCGGACTGGATTCAGATTCTGGTGGCTCTTGTGAATGACGACGACACATACAGATTCGGCACGACATCGATTGACCAGATGAAAGTAATGACGCCGGAGGGCACAATTGACATTCGACCAGATGAGCGTTGGGACGAGCTGATACACTTGGGCAAGATCCTTGCTGGTAACTAACTAATGGTGTCTTACCATGAGTACTAGAACCGATCAGATACCATTAACTTAACCGTCTAACGACTGGATTTCCATACTGGCGACTTTGTATTCTCTTGACTGTGTGCCTTGAGGAGTCAGACTTCATTTGCTAATAATACCGCCGACCTTGAAGTGGGCACTTGCAACAGGAAATCTGCAAGTAAGCACAGAGTGAGACTAGTGTCAGCCACAACAGGGTTTCCGATCCTTAGGCGACCTCATGTGCAACCCGACGGCACAAGACCGAATCAACGAACCGCATCGTCGCAAATGTTATTCTGTCAGGGGCTTCGCGTTAAGTAGCGTGTCTTAATCGCCCGAGCTACGCACCCTGCACAGCCTCTGCAGCAGATAATAAGATAATCCATGTGCCACACGTGTGTGACGGAATTTCTTCCTCCTCAAATGTCGAATGAACTGTCGGATACAACATGTTGAGCTCCTTGCGATGGTCGGCCTGGGGCCCTGAATACTCTGCCCTTGCGGGGGCTATCATCTCTTTTGCTGCCATGGTGACACTGCTGGCTCATTTCGACGGCAGAGATGTGTTCACTTGGCAGGGCGTGACGCTCAACGCCATCGTGTCGATTCTTTCCGTTGCGACAAAAGCTGCTATTGCATACGTCCTCGCCGAATGCATGGCTCAGTGGAAGTGGATTCTGTTTGCACGGGAGGAGCGACCTTTAATCGACTTCGATCGCATTGATAGCGCCACGAGAGGTCCGCTAGGAAGCTTGAGGATCATATTTCGCACACATGGAGCGTGAGTTCTTCACCTAATGCCAAGTTCGAGTCCTTATCTCCAGCTAATACCTTGTCCGGTAGATTGCCCGTCCAGTTCGGGGCAATCTTGACATTACTCGCAGTTGGCCTCGATCCTCTGGCGCAACAACTCATCCAGCTCGAACAGACTGTCCTGTTCACCCACAGCGGCTCAAACTACTTTGACGGTAGTCTCCCCGCTCTCATCTCTCGAGCCACATACTACGCGATGGGTAGCACGATGGTGAATGAACGCTCAAGCAACAATTCAACGCGATCTAGTTACGAGGTGAAAGCCGACACCCCACTTTCCATGCAGGGCGCAGTCTTGAATGGCCTCTCCAAGGCACCGTGGGAAGCAGAGCAAGAGGCCTTGGTTCAATGTCCGACTAGCAACTGCACATTCGGTCAGTTCAACACCGTCGGCATCTGCCATCGATGCAGCGATGTCAGCTCGAACTTGAGGCGCGTCGAAGATTTCGGAGAAGTGTTCCTATCGATCCCAGAAACCGGATATGGGGGAACAGGTGTCCCGAGCACAGCGTTCGTGCTACCGAACGGTCATTTCATTGCCAACATCGATGGTTGCCCGCCGTACAATGGAGTATTCCCGGACTGTCGTAACAGGTAGCCTGTTGGAGTCTACTCCGATGATAAATACGCAATAACGTCTTTCGGCACTGGCAACGCCAACAAAACGGTCACTATGAAAGACATCGACACTATGTTATGGTCGATGAGCATCATCTATCCCGATGTCGAAGCTCTCAACAAATCTGGGTCATTCACTCCTGGAGAAGGCTCTTTCAACAGCGAGAAGGGCCTGGCGTTTTGGCCTGACATCGCTATGGAAGCCACAGAATGTTCGCTCTACTATTGCGTCAAGCAGATCAACTCAGAAGTCCGGGGTAACCAGCTCAAGGAAAACATTACTCAAGCGCCTGGTTTCCGGCGAGATCCCGAGTCCTGGCAAAGACTACAAGAAAAGGAGCCAGAAAACGCCCTGCCACAGAACGAGACTGGCACTCTGGAGTTCAATAGACTTTGGTCAGTCGTTACTTATTCCGATCTGATCATCGAGTCGCCGGACAAGACCCAGGAACGGTATCGTGTAGCCGAGGACTCCGTCAAGTCCTTGAGTGCCCACTTTCAGCAACTGTTCCGCGGTAGTTGGGACAACAGCACTGAGCTACGAGAGAAGCTGGATGCAAAACTGGGGACAGGCGCCGTTGGATTCAACGGGGCATCTTTCGGACCCTTTGGAACGCTGCATGGAGGCATGAAAGCGCAGCCACCTGCGCTAGACGGCCTCTGGACCTGGTCAAGAAATAACATCTCGAGTATTTTCTCTTCTTTGGCAACGAGCATGACCAACGAGATGCGAAGGAACTTTGATCCCCAAACGCAGAAGCAGACTGGACAAGACACGGATCGCTTTCGCGACGGCACCTTGAGCTACTGGGGAAGCGTTGGGAGTTCGTCCACACTCTACCGGATAGAGTGGCCCTGGATCGCACTCCACGGGGGCTTGCTCCTCGCAGCTATTTTCTTCCTGGCACTTACACTTGGCAACACAATCGGGAAGGGCGATATACCATTGTGGAAAAGCAGCTCGTTGGCTGCTATTCGACATGGGCGTGATGTGGGTGGTCTATTAAGTCAAACGAGCACCATTGGAGACATGGAAGCCACAGCGAGGAAGATGCGTGTGAAAATGCGACGAGACAACATAGATGAGGCCAAACCATGGCTAGACTCGTCGGTGGAATCAACTCCACGAGAACCATAGAAGACAGTTGGGCAGCGTCAGGAAACTTTCGTACTTTCAGTTTAGAGACAGGCCACGGCCAGTTTTAGCTACCTTCAGTACTTGTACTTGAAATGTATGTTCTCGCGGTCAGTCATGTCAGCTTCCGCATTCAACCTTCCGAGCCTCTCGCTCTCTGCCTCGGAAATTCCTTGGTCTCTGATCATTTTTGCACGCTTATTGTTTTCCCAAATATCTGTTCTCATCGTCAGCAATCTTGAAACACTTGGCCAATGGTTATTGTTGACTTACAGTAGAATCGCCACGTAGCCATGCTACAAAACTCAACACAGTATAGGACCGCACAGGCGGTGAGTCCACGGATGTACTTGGGAGCATCCGACTCGACAAACATCTGGGCTCCAACAGCATTACCAACGCAGTAGCCCACGAACAGAATCGTCGATGTCACGGTCTTCTTGGTCCTTCCAGCGACATTGGATGGTAGGAAAGTCCAGATCACTGACACGTGTTAAAGGCAGCCTAGAGATGGGCGCAGAAAAGAGAACTTACTCAGTCCAGGAAGGGAACCGAACACTTGCAAAATGTACATGCCCCATCTTGTCCACTTCATAGAGTCGGTTGGAAGGAGGGCCAGCGCCATCATTCCGCTGAAAGCCGGAAGAAGTGAAAACATCATCATCAGGACTGTCTTAAATCAGCATGGGAAGACTTTGCTCGGGGTTCCTTTCCACTTACATCGGAGGTTAGGCTTCTTCAGCGTTACATATCCAACTACCAGGAACCAGCAGATACTGACGCAGTAGTATGGAGTTGATCCCTTCAACAATGTCTCCAGTGGTGTGAACCCGAAAGACTTCCAGATGAGCTTGGAGAATGTGGTATTGGCGCCATTGGGCAGAGCGTTAATGATGGTGACGAAGAAGAAGAAATAGGTTTGCGGATCTGTGAACGTACTTTGGTTAACTTGTGACACATGCAGTCTCCATGCGCGGCTCGCAAGACCACGTACCTTTGAAGGTGGCCCAGACTTGATCCCACTTGAACTCCGACCGCTTCTCTCGATCCGAGCCAGTTTGGTTGGCAATAACACGAGCTATTGCCGCCTTCTTCTCCTTTTCGTTCAACCAGCGAACTTCGCGAGGTGTGCCAAGTATGAACCAAACGAGGACACCGCAGGCAATTGTCAAGCCGCCGAGGAAGAACGAGATTCCTTTCCACTACACAATGATTATGAAAGTCAGTCTAATTAAACTACTATTGTGTCTGGTTGACTGAACAGGCTAACTTACTGCAGCAAGGCCGTCTGGGTTCTTTTGTGCGTGAAGTCCGATGCCGTACATGCAAAGGCCGGTGATGATATTCATACCGGCATTCGAGGTTCCCCATATCAAAGATCGTAAAGTATGCTCTTGAGAGGTGTACCAAGCTCCCGTGATGAGCATGAAGGTCGGACTGATGGTACTTTCCAAGGCGCCTTGGATGAACCTGAGGATCATGAGGTGCGCAAAGTTCTTGGCGAAGGCAATGCAAAGAACTACGACACCCCACAGCACCATCACAACCGACAGAAACTTGCCGGTATGACTCTTCTGTATCAGCCAGTTGCCCGGAAACTCCCATACCAGGTAGGATAGGTAAAAGATGGTGCTGAGCCAGTTAAACTGCTCGCCAACCAAACCGGTGTCCTCGCGAAGACCGAAAACCGCCTGCACACTGAGAGACGTCTTGTCGGCCTGTTGTGTTCCATAGCATACCCACATCAACGGCAGAAGGAATATGTCGATCTTGAATCGCAGCTTCCTGAAGTAAGAGTCTGAGTACTCTGTCGCATCTTCGATAGTACCTGCAAGAACATCGTCGGGCTTGTCAGACACAGCCACATCGTCGAACTTCTTGTCGTCGGCTTCGGATGTCATTGTGCCTATGTCCACAAGCCCAAACAGGTACAGGTGACAATTGATCGACAGCGAGATTCTTGAGAAAGAGAGAAAAGAGGCAAACTCCGTAATCAAGCTATGTAATTGAGCTTCTGGGATCACCCCACTGAGATGCAACTGCTTCCTTATAGTGACCATGCATCCTAGCTGCGGCCACCGCTACTCTGCACGTTGCGTTCATGGGGAAAGCACTTGAGCGTCGGTCGGATCTCTTCCGATCAGCTTGTGCGCGTGGCGATGTCGGAGATAACAGATAGTTCTTTGGATATTATCTTCAGGTAGGGCATACCTTAGCCTGATTCCAGGGGTTGATAGGCATATTCTTATCTCTCAATATCTTTGAGGCATGGATGGGAGACCTGCCAAGCTGCATCGCAGCGGCCCGTGATCCGGCCGAAGTGCTTACCCCTCATGGCCAGATCCATGTCCCATGTTGTCAGCACTCAGGTAAGTGTACTCTTGAAATGTACAGTTCGACAAAGGCATGATCTGAGTATTGAGATTTGCCACTCAGTGATCAAGGACTTTACTATTTCCTGCCCTTCGTTTTGTGGTCAAGTCGACTCTCATTTAGCGAATTCGCCCAATTCTAGCCAACACCATGGCCAACCAAATCAAGTCTCCGGTAGTGGATGCAACGGGCAAGACACGCCTACGTGAGTCTCTTGAGAAAGCGAAGAGAGGTGAGGGTCCAAGCGTAGGACAGTGGCTCGAGTTCCCTGGATATTCTCTCGCAAGAACCGTCGCGCCCCTTGGAGAAGACGTAAGTTATTCTTTCCAGCCCTTCTCTCGCAAATCAGAGTCTGATGTAAGCGGCCAGTGGATTCTCATCGATACTGAACATGGAAACATCGATGACCGCGATATGTATCTACAAGTTGGGGCTATCTCATCGTCAGGAGTTTCCCCGATTGTCAGAATACCTGCATCAGAACACTGGATGATGAAGCGGGCCCTGGATTGCGGAGCTCATGCCGTGATGGTCCCAATGTGTGAGACAAAGGTAAGGAAAATAACTCCAGATTTCGATACGGCCGCTCAAACTTTGCGTAGGAACAAGCTGAAGCGATTGTAAGAGCGTGCAAGTACCGCTCAAAGCGATGGCCGCAGGGTCTCCGGGGAGCAGGCGCGATGTATGCTCATGCAGCGTTCAACCAGACTGGCCGTGAGTACCTGCTCGGCGCCAATGACAACGTCATGGTCTGCGTCCAAATTGAAAGCCTCAAGGCCATTGAGAACGTGGAGGAGATTGCCGCGGTCGATGGTGTTGACATGCTCTTCATTGGCCCCAACGATCTCGCCTCGTCGATGGGCTACATTGCCTTTGACCATGCCTCGATCCCTGAAGTACAAGAGGCCATTTCCCGCGTTTTGAAGGCTGGTCTTGATGCTGGCAAATATGTCGGGCATTTCGCGCTCAGTGCCGACGTTGCTGCGGCAAAATACAAGCAAGGCTTTCACTTCGTCAACTGCGGTGCCGACATTGTGGCAGTTGCGGCGTGGATGTCTGGGGAGATGGGGAAGCTGAAGAGTCTTGTTGCTGCGGACAATAAGTCAAAGGAAACTCCGGAGAAAGTCAACGGACAGCTATCAGAGATGGAGACGCCACCGACAGAAAACGGTGTTGGATACAATTAAAACTGCAAACTTGAAGGTTGAATATCAAGTCTGGAGGCTGTGGCCGTGTCATTCTTATGGTTACTTTGATGACTCTGCGACATGATAATCATCAATGATGTGCTTCACGTTGAGCACCACACTTCCTGTCAGGTTGTCGATCCCATTCTTCCAAGTCACATTATGGAAAAGGCAGATACGCTCAGCCGTCCTTTTTGAGAAACGAATGAAAATTAGGTTGATGATCAGAACTTGAGATCCATTACATTCCTCGTTCAACATACATAACGAGACGATTGAAGTCTCAGTGGCCTACTACCAGGCCCACCTAGCAGTCTGATAACGAAGTTCGGTCCGGGTTCCGATCCGATACCTTTGCACACTCAACTTGAGTATATTTAGTCTCTAGTCATCAACTGAAGCCCAGATGCTCACCGAGTTAATATGCACGCGACCTTGCCTAAAGTAACCCCCCTTCATCAGTACCCTTCCACACCAAAGTCTCAACTATGAACGGCTCTCTCCCGACCTCAAATCGAGCTGTTGTCTGGGCTGGCGCGCGCAAGCTCAACATTGAGCAACGGCCCATCAGAGCCCCCAATGACGATGAAGTGCTGGTCGAAATTATCACCACTGGAATCTGTGGCTCAGATTGCCATAATTGGGAAAGTGATCAAGTCTCATGTCAACTCATCTTAGGCCACGAGTCGGCGGGCATCATCGTCCAATTGGGAAAGAAGGTTGTCAACAGACATCTTGGCCAGAGAGTTGCAGTCGAGCCTGGATTCAGTTGCAGAGAGTATGCGGGCCACCGATCTTTTATCGCAGCTTACTGCTCGGTAACGCTAATGTCTTATACCCAGATGTGAGTTTTGCGGACGAGGTAACCCGAATATCTGCGCAAATCTGAAGTACTGCGGAATGGACCCGACGGATGGAACCTTGAGTCAATATTTCACATGCAGGGCGTCGAACACCGTCCCCATTCCCGACGAGGTGTCCTGGGAGGAAGCAGGGGCGATTCAGCCGTTGGCCATTGCCGTGCAGGTGGCGAGAAGAGCGAGCTTGAACCCAAGCCAAAGCCTGGCGATTTTGTACGTCAAACGCGTTGATCTGATGGAACCAAGTCCTTTAATGCTAACAGCTGACAGCGGATGCGGTCCTCTTGGCCTTCTAATCTTGGCTGTTGCCAAAGCATACGGGGTCAAGAAGATTGTTATGTTCGACATCGAGAAGTCTCGAACCCGGTTTGCCGAGTCTTACGGAGCTCACGTTGGACTTGTCACGCCGAAGCACGAAGACCCATCAAAGGATACACTGTCTTTTGCCCAAGCCTATGCAAAAGAGATCATTGCCAACCACGACCTAGGACACGGATTTGACGTGTCAATCGAAGCCAGTGGTGCGGAAGTATGCGCCACAATGGCTGTGTGCATGCTCAAGGCCGGCGGAACCTGTAAGTTGAGGTAGCTTCAAAGATGAGAATAGTCGCAGATCTGATCAAATGCAGGTATTCAAGCAGGTTTGGGCAAGCCAATGGCTTCAGTACCACTCTTTCTGATTACGGCAAACGAGTTGAACGTGAAGGGTTTGTTTCAGCACCCTCATCTCAATCAAATTAGAGGTTACTGATTTCTTTCCAGGCACGGTTCGTTACACTCATGGCTGCTTCGAAGATGCAATTGGTCTACTGTCCAGGAAGGCAGTCGATCTCAGACCGCTTATCACGGCAACGTACCCCTTGACGCAGGCAAACGAGGCGTTCGAGGCACAGCATTCAAGGAACGATATCAAAATTGTGATCTTTAATCAAAAGTAGAATCATTCTCATTCATTTCAAACTTGTCTTGCGATCACGGGATCTCAAAAGACCTAGCCCCAAGATGAGAATAGAACAGGGTCCAACGGGTCAAAAGGAAATAGCTCAGACCCGGCCACTTCGCCCCAGAGGAAATTGTCGCCACCATGCCTCGGTGATGCAGTTCCCTCGATATCGTCAAATGCCCTCTTGTGACCCCCCTTGTTTATGAGGCCATGCGAGTCTTTGGGTGAGTTGCTATGGGAGGGTTGAGCCAAGGTGAGGCTTCTTTGGTAATGTTGCAGTAATTCCTCGATGATGGCTCTGCTTCTTCTCGCTCCAGACCAACGTAGTTCAACATCCTTCAGAAAGTTGACACACTTCTCGACGTCAGTTAGAATTTCCTTGCTCGTCTGTTTTGGTGGCAATCGCAATCTGTCACGCATATGCGTTAATCCCTGCATGTCGGCCAGGTAGAAATGCTTGACTTACAGGACAATACCGGAAAGCGTCATGTAATGGACGCAGATTGCTAGGTAATGAGAAGTCGGGACCAGGTCTCGTACAATCTCGGCAGCGTTGATGCAACTTTGCGCTGCATTTACACACTGCGAGATAGCACCTGAGATGTCGGCTTCCTCGCCCAGTCTAGACTGCTTGGGGTAGTTCAAGAAGCACCTGCCAGATGTGAGCATTCCACGGTTCACAACTCTGGGTCTTCTACTCAATCATACCGGTAGAGATTCAAGAGAGACCCCGCGTGTAGGATGAAGATGATCACACACATGACCAGAGCAGGATCTCCTCCGGGACCTCTCTCCATGCTATTTGCTGAAAACTGAATATCTGGCGGTAGGCTTTCCAGCCATTTTCGCAGCGCTTGGTCGTGCGAGTCGACACGAGAAAGAAATTTATGCAGCTTATCGACGCCTGCAGAGGCAAGTTTGCGCAGCTGCAGGGGCGAGTTGAGACGTTGAATCTTGCCGGCCAGACGACATAGTCGAGCGAACGCCAAGAATCCACTGACAGGACTGGACTTCAGTGTTGTCAACTCCTCAGTCGCGAGACGACGCCTGCGTTTTTGGTCAAGGGGTTCCAGGTCTTCGTCTCTAAGATCCAGCGGAAGTTCACAGTCGCAATCGTCGTCTTGAATGGCCATGGGTCGTCCAAGGCAGATTGAGGTTACTCTGTGTACACGCGGTCAGCTCTGTACCGAAAGTGGTTTGATAAGTCATCAAAGAGCAAGAAATTACCGGTCAAGAGTATAAACACACCACCAAACACGACGAGAAACCTGGACTCTTAGACGTTCATTGTGGCTGCTGTTGTAAACAGCTGGTGCCAGAGATAATATCTTCTCTACTTGTCAGCAAACCTGAAAACGTATGGTACAGGTGATACGAACCGATCGACTGCTGAGGTGCAAACCCATGTCTAAAGCAGCTCTAACAGCCTGTCCTGCCAGACTCCAACTTTGGGATAGGGTATTCCAACCCGCTGAACACATGGATAGCAAGGCTAAGCATTGAATTCTCTCCAGTGATGCCTCGCCATTAGACGCGTGAGACATGAGAAGTGCTTTCTGGTAGTACTCAATTCCAGGAAGCTCGTTCTCAGAATGTGATGGTAGGAGACTGGAGGAGCATGCACAGACAGCAAAGAACACCATCAGGAACCGGCGGTGCTTCGGCGAGGAGCAGTCTTGACCAGCCTTGAGCAGTTTCTGATATCGGCGCATGAAGTGCGGCCTGAAAAGAACCGGAAACGTGTAATGCAGCTTGTCGAAATACAGACTGATGAGAACATCCGCGATGTACTGTGGTGGTCGCGGCAGAGTCTCTGGTTTGGGGATGAAAGGTGAATCGGGCCAGACTTTTCCCCGGACGAAAAGAGGAAGTTCAAGGTCGTCGATACTCTGCGCGCTGTGGCTTGCGCCGGTCGACGAAGGTGTCGTCATAGGAGCTGCTGGCAGCAAGCTTTTGGCAGCTTCGATTAGTATGTTGTGAGTCGCACCGCCGATGAAACTAGTGAACATGTTAGGCGGGTTCCGCAATGATCACGAAGTGAGATGCTCACCGAGGACGTCCGTACGAATCCCTCACCAAGGCTCCAGCCGGGTTTGCGTCTTCATCCTGGTTTTCATCATTGGTGTCAGAATCATCGCTATCGGATGATGAAGCCTCCCCGGCTACGGTCTCTTCGTGTGCTAGTCCAACGCTAGGTTCATGTTGGTTGAGGTCGCACACCACTGCATGTGTGTCTCCCTGAGCGACGTGGCCCTCTGCGCGCGTTCGAAGACCAGATATCGGGGCTCTCAATTCCGGCATGGAATTCAAGACCTGCGCTGCTCGTAAGACATCTTCATTGGGACTTGCTTGGTTCGCAGGACGTGGCTGATGCAAGGCTTCCAATGACCGGGAAAGCTGGCCAGTGAGAATCTCTAGTCTCTCACAAAGCGTGTCCATCTGTTGACACCGAGCTTCGAATGAGGTAGTATAGCTATCATAACGTGAGAAACTGGCCACTTTGTGGCGTGAATGTGCCTTACTATCTGCTCGCGGATGCATTGTCTTTGGTCCCTGGGAATTCGCAGGTTTGGTCTCGAGAGCTGCAATTGTGACAGGGATTTTTGCCGTCGCATTTGATCTAGTACACAACTATGGTCAGTCAAAGTTTATTGTTCGCGGTCGTCACTGTAGTGTACAACCTTCTTCCGACGACAAGCCAGGCACGCCTGCCAGACCCGGCTTCCGGCCGGCTCCGATGCCTGTGGGGCATTCGGGGCGGGTTCGTCTCCGGGGACGGAGCACCGTGGGGCTGACATCTGCAAAACCGTCTGCAGCAATGTTTCTACGCGTGGTGTACCCGAACAGAATCAGGCAGGTGAGATGTTGTCTCACAAGAGAAGAGAAGACACAATTAGCAGGTCCTGCGGGGGATAACATGGAAACGGCGAGTATATGCCGAGGTCTTATCTCCGGCCCCGATGTGTCATGGGTTCCCCACCATTCTTATCAGTTCATTGCATGGGTGCTTGGAGAAGTGCTTTGATCATAGCAATCTGTTGAAGCGCTCATTTGTGCTTGGCTATCGTAGTGTTTACTTTATGTTGCTTTATAAACACTTCTCCTATCAACTCAGGATTCCATATCCCTTCAGTGTTCACAACCCTCCGGTTTGCACGTAGCCTAAATCAACCTAGTGTGCACCTATGCTTCCATCTCAAGCAGTCGGAGTTGCCATCGCCGGAACAGCCATGTCTGCCAACGGTGCCGCAGTTCGCTTCATACCAGTGGGGCCACAAGTGCTAGCCTTCAATCCGGCATAGATCGAAGAGTAAGCTGCAGGCAGGAGTTCGTCTGGCTGGCCGGCAGGGATTGTTCCAACGTAAGGGTTGAAGTTGTATATCCCGCAGGGGCAGTGATCCAAGATCTGCATTCCGGCCGTTCCCGAAAGCCTCGTCGATCCTCCACGAGCCAGATTGAAAGAAACCGCGCCAGGCTTCATGTCGACGGAGAACTTGGCAGCACCAGCCGGCGCTTGGACCGTGACCGTGTTACCACCCACGGTGATGGAGACGGATGCGGCTTCAGTCAAGAGTGTGACGACGAAAACCTTGTCTTCCATGGTCTCCCAACCCGCAGGTCGACCTTTAAAGTAGTTGCCGGAAGAGTTGTTTGCGTCAGCCATCGTGGTATCTGTCGCATCGCAGTTGAGGCTTCTGAGCGTAGGGCGGAACCAGTAGACGATCTGGTCCTCGGAAATGTATGGTTTGACATCCTTTCCGCCATTATGGTATGCCTTGATGAATGGCTTGGCCATATCAAGCCAGCCGTTGTGAGGAAATCCGTACACCCACTTGGAGTTACCATCGTCTCCGTGAGGGCTATCAAGGCGGCCGACATAGTGACTCTCGCCGTAGTCGTTCCAAGTAACAATTTCCAGAAAGCGAGGCTGCAAAGAGAGGATTTGTTGCCACCGGTCATACCACAGGAAGTCCGAAGGGAACACCCAGTTCTTGGAGTAGGGGACTTCCGGTCCGAAGTGTGTGAAGAACCACGGCGACACCGGCGCAATGTAAGCCTTGCCGTTGAGAGCGTTGATGTAAGCTTGATCTCCCTGTTCAACAGAAACACTTCCGCTGCCATCTGGCGCCTTGTTCTTCCCATTGTTAGGCCAGCCAAGCCAGTTAAGAGCACCGTCGATGTTGCTGAAGTCCGTGCCGAATTCAGGGTGGTAGTTGGGAGCCCAAAAGACTGGCGTGCCAGCAGCACTGCGCATAGCTGCGACATCAAGTCCATCTCCAGCAAAGGATGAGGCAAAGACCTTGCCGTCGACGATGAGTTGGGCGGGACGAGATCCATACTTGGCAATCATCTGGCCGACTCGAACCGCATCACCAGTGCTGTACCAGTTGAAGTCGAAAGAGATGAACACCTTCATGCCGTTGTTGGCAGCAGACTGGTAGGCCAGGTCCAACTGGGCGTCAGAGTAAGAATCCGTCCCAATGTTGAGAGCGAAAGCATCAATGCCAGCTGCTTTGGCGTTACGCATATCGGCGTTATAGTCGCTTGGGGAACTACGAGCACCGACGATTCCGATCTGAAGTCCCTGTCAGTAAGACGAGCCGAGACTCATCAGCAAGCATGACGGCACTCACCATAAAGTGGCAGAATACAAGCTTGTCGCCGCCATTTTGGCGAATGATCAGAGAATCCTCCGGTGTAGAAGGTACAGCAAGACCAACAGCCGAATCAAATATGGCAGCCGCCAAGAGGCCTTTGATGAGACCGCTTAGACGCATCTTTCTTGATAATCGACGTTGTTCACAACGCGGTCTGCTTTGAAACACAAGTAGAAGATCGAATTGAGAAGACTAAAAGGCTCCTGTTTGGCTAGCCTTGATGACGACTCTGTGGCTTCGAGACTTCTAGAAACCGCAATGATATCGGCCTCTTTCATCACTCTTATATCTAGTCAATCGATTTCACATAGTCACCCTCTACAGACCTCTGCCTTGGCAGGATCCGCAAAAGTTGAGACTGCCGACATGCATAGGTCCGAATGCAACCCGTTTCGGCGTTATAGAGATCCCATCCAAGGCTTTGTTGGGCATCTGTTTGGGTCTGCTGGTTTGGGTTGTTCCGGACGCGCGCTCATGAGACTCCGGTAAGTCTCTTTGTTCATGTAGCTGCCCGCCTACTCCCGCCCAAGGTATCGAATAAAGGGCCTTCTCACGTTACATTGTCGATGCTTTCTATTCGCTCATAGTTGTGTAGTACAAACATCTTTTGCCTGCGACAAAGCAGCCTGGCGGCCAAAGGGATGAGTTTCAACCCACAGACAACGATGTTGATACAATTGCATGAGTCGTTTGCATGCCACATCGTCTGCAAAATAGCAAATCAAAATCGTAAAATTTTGTCACACGATCAGCAGCTTCTCACACCGGCACTGTAGTCATCTTCGGCCTCTAAGTGGATGTTTGGCCATGCATGTCATGTCATTCGGCCCGTGGCCCGTGGGAGCTGTCAGTCTCCGAAAGCAACCCTCCGAGCAGCTTTTCCGGAAGTTTTCTCCATTCGGGGGGACTCATATATCTGGGGTGCATATGCAGAACCCGGCATCTTGTGGCCAGAACGTCCCGCATGCTAGGGAGTGCCACATGATGATTGTCTCAACGGCTGCCAGATGGTGTCGAGCCCGGCAGTGCGGAGTCGAACCAATGAGACTCCCAAACATCGGGTTTCCTCCTAATGAGACCGCCAATCATGGATCATGAACAGAAGCTTAGTAGACGAAAACCGGGACATTTGCAGGTTGCATTCATCCGACTTAAAATGCCACGTAGATGAGATGACAGCGCCGGAAAAAATCGGGGTACCCTTAAGTCGACGTCACCTCGGGCCTCACTTCAACATTGTAAGCCCAGCCTGCCGCTGTATTTGGAGACTTGAGGCCATGACCAGATGGTCTTTTCAGTTTCAAAAATGATTTGGCTGTAGTTACCAACGTACACAGTCAGACAACAAGTCCCAAACGGGACGAGCCATTTCCGATGAATTTGTAAACCCCGCCAGTCTCACTCAATCCACCTACCAGATGGGCGGAACTGCAGATTGTCTTTGTTTCAGCCACAAGAAGGATTTTTAAGAAATTAGCCAATAGGGAGATGTCATGAGGCATCCCTCTAGAGGCGGCCCTCGACGGAAAGTTGCCTCCCGCCAAGTGAGTTCTTGTTGGTTGTATGCTCTAGAGCTTGACACCACTATTTTCTCTCAGTCTGAGTACGTATCTGCTCGAAAGCAACGTGCCAACACTAAGATTTCAAGTCGTTTTCACGTGTCTCGTAGGCAGAACTTCGCGGTACCGTTGGCAGAGTTGTGCCCTTCACTTGGTGTCAACTGACTCCGAGCTTGGGCTAATCACCACCGAGTTCTCCTAGTGAACTGAACATTCGGTCCGTTCCGGCTCACAAATATGCACGTGTCTTACGACTACTCTCACATCACGATACTAGTATCAGTGGCTCTGACCGGCTCTGCAGACTGCACCTGGCCAAGCTTATGCAGTCAGCTGTCGTCCCGGTCAAGCCACTCAGGGGCAGGATCTACCATCCGTTATAAAGTTCCTCCAATAATAAAGTTGATGCTTGAGATCATTTCAGAAACCAGTGATCGCAGTCGACCAGGGGCCTCCTATACGTTACATGTCTTTCTTTCGACTCAACCCAAAGGAAGTGACGTGAGAACTGCCGGTGGGGCTGCTCCAACAACAAGGGAGACACAACGTGGACCTCTCCCAACCTTCTCGTGGGCTTTAATTGGCCCATACGATGTGCTTGATGAATGTCGCGTTGTATTACGATGAGAGCTGCCGCCGGAAGCTCACAACTAAGTGGGAGCGGTAAACCCTGCCAGCCATGCTACCAGGCGAAGGTATCTCTGAATCTCATGATAGGATGGAGCAACATACACGAGATCTACAGTATCCATGATACGTCACATCTTCAAAAACTGATCAGTGGTTCTCTGGCCATGTTCTCGTCATAGCTACCCAACCTCGGCATTACTCTAGTCATTGTGGGTGCCTCAGTGATTGACTGATGTGGCCACTTAGACAACTTAAACATCTTGGGCCGGAAGACCTGCAACTAGTGTATGTGGCGGAAATCGCGCCTTATCGTTTTTCTACTATGTCGCCAAGCTCTACAACTGGCTCTTCGACGACGAGCGCCTTTGCCACTGGGGCGGGCTCGATCCTCACGACTGGGAGCTGTGCCCGGAGACCGCTTTCCGGGCCTTCATCGAACGTAAATCGACCAGAATCCAAAAGCAGCTGAATCCCGAAACTCTTTCTCTTATGTTCAGACATATTGCTTTTGAGGAGGCAAATGCTTGGGTCAAGATCGAGGGGGCATGTCATGATGAGCATGAGAATCAGTCTGTCGCTGCGAGGTGTAGATCAAAGTAGATTTAAGGGAGGCATTGAGTTATCATTAAGCAAGATGTACAAAGGAAGGAAGAGTACAGTCGAGCTGCAGAACCTTGTCACCGATCCAGATGGGCCACAATTTTTCATCAACCGCATGGTGTTTACAGCAAGGATGAAGAAATCCGAGCTTTGGAACCTCGATCCTGTTTTCTTGTTATTTGAGAGTGCTAGAGAATAAGGCATACAAGCTCTTGGGAGGCCGGCGGGCTACAGGATGGAAACGTAGCATAGACATCATTTAGCTTCATCGAAGTCTGTATTGATGGTTGTACAGCATTGCAACGAAAGAAGGTCCATAGCCCTTCACACTCCTCTGAACGAAGAAGAGCGTTCTCACGTTCCACTCTGACCAATAACCACCACGAATACAGCCCCTTAAAGTCCAACCTGACTCAGCACATCACTTTGAATCCTCCCAGACCAAAATGACCCCTTCCTCGTCTTCCATTGACAAATTTCGCATTCAGTGGCTAGGTTCCTGAAGCCCCTCAAGGCCGCGCTTGCTCCGGCAAAAAAGAGATATCCCACTTGAACGGGCACTGAACCGCCGCGCAGAAACACCCATCCTCCTTGGGGACAGCCTTGCACTTCATCGCAGGCTCGTCCGGGTTCGGGTCGCAACAGCAGCACATGGTCTGCGTCTCGGCGTCCAGGGTGTAAGGGCACGACTCGGGGGGCATGATGCCGCAGCTGCCTTGGGGGACGGTGCACTTGTAGCCTTCGTCGAGGTAGTCGCAGACACAGCAGTTGGCGATGTCGGTCTCCTGTCTGCTTGTGAGGGAAGATGCCTGGATGTTGGCGGCCATGGCGATGACGGCGAGGGTGATGTTTGATAGCTTCATGGTGGATATTTGGCCGATGATTGTCTGATAGAAATTGTTGTATATGTGAGCTGTGGGTTGGTTTCTTAAATGAGTCTTTGAATTTCCTTGAGTGCTCATCTGCTTTATAGTCAAGGGCGTCTAGCTTATATAGTTGCTGGTCACCTCAACTCAACAGCATAACGCTGTATCGTAATACACGCACAAAAGTCCGTGGCCCAGTGAGCAACCAGCCTCGTAATTCATCCTTTTTACCACATTGAGTTGATATCGGGCAAGTGTGTCTCAAAAACATTGTGCTAGCAGCTCCGGTCTGGTCCAAGGCAACATCTCTACAGCCTATTCATCTCTTGGCAGTGCCGGAATTGTAAGTCCTGTCTTGCTTGAGCAAGACGGAAGACGAATCACGGTTGGAAAATCTAACTGAAAATTATCTCACCTCGCCAAGCCTGGGCTGAAAACAGAGGCGTAAACGTCGTGGTCGTTTTTACCCGGAGGGGGTAGGCCGTGATCATATAAGGCCTCTTTCGGAGAGCTGTCAAACGTAAGCCGGGCATCGTGGGAGACGGGCCGACTTCTTTGGAGCTTACATGTCTCATTGCCGGAGTGAATACGCCATTCCGATTCGGTTATGAAGGGTTGGTAATGAACTTACTAAGAGGCCTTCTTATAGTTGGTGGAGGCTTCGCTGTGAAGCCTCGTTCCATCGCGAGTACGAATGAGATTCACGTACGAGATTCATATGAAAGAACAACTGTCTATTTGAGCATAAACCTCTATTCGAACTGAAATTACGGCCTTCTATTTCGCCACAGCCAATGCGCTCCTCACAGCAAAATTCTGCTCCGTATCCATATCCCAAGGCCCGGGCTTGATCCAATCCAGTCTGACCCCAGGCTGGAACACCATGCAATACGAACTCCCTCCGAAATGAAACATCCCAATCTCCTGCCCCTTCTCAATCCTCTGCCCCTCCTTCACCACAAAGCTGCAGGTAGAGACCTCGACCATGCCGATGAATACAGCGGCCATCAACCCGATCTTCGGGTTGTCGGCCTGGATGTAGATAATCCCCCTCGTGGCCACCGCGCTGAGATACGGCTGCGAGTACGTCGGCGCCGCGGGGTCAAGCTGTCCCTGTCCTTTGGCGCCGGCCAGCCCCTCGTAGTAGTTCTCGCTGTAGTACGTCCCCGGCACCGAGTCGATCCCGATGACCCTGCCGCTAACGGGGGCGTGCCAGCGGTGGTAGCTCAGCGCGCTCAGGAAGGCCTGGTAGACCGTGCCGCCGACGAAGTGCGACGTGTGCTTGCTGCAGTTGAGCATGTTGGCGAGGGAGTACGGCTGGCCCTTGAGGTAGAAGGTGTCGAAGAGCTTGACGCCCGTCCGGACCTGCAGCGGCGCCGACTCGCACGCGTTGGCGATGACCAGCGTCGGGTCCGGGAATCTCTTGTCGCGGTGGCCGTGGTCGGGTGCCTCGACGGGGCGGACGTGGTCGCGGAACCGCCGTACGAAGAAGTCATCCCACGACGTGAAGCCGAAGTACTCCCACGACGGGTTGCACTCGAACAGGTCCTCGAAGTTGTAGCTCGTCTTGCCGTTGTTGGCCTTCTCGGCGATGATTTCCCGCCCTTGCTTGGACAGCCAGCCGTCGAGACATCCACGTGACTCGGGGGTTGTGAGGAACTTGCCCCAGGAGTTGAGGATGGCGGCGATGGCGGCGTTAACCTCCGGGAGGAGGAACAACTCGTAACCCGAGTCGGTGCCCATGGGGTAGTCTAAAAGGGCATTGATGGGACAGCCGATGAATCCGATGGCTGTCGAAGGGTCAGACTTGCGGACGAACTCCGGCCCGGACAGCATCACTAGATTCAGGATCGGGATGAAGTCGTCAAACGACTTGATGGCTCGATGGCCGGAGGGGTCTTGGGGGTATTTCCTCGAGGACTCAGTGAACATCTTGTTGGCCAGCTTGGTGAGATGAGGATCCTCGGATACAAGCTTTTGGAGCGCAACGAGGCTGGGATCCAGAGGCTCAGTGCTCTTGGAGGCTTTCGCCTTGGCTTCTTTGGCCTTTTGGACGGTCCATTGTATGATGAGATTACGGTCTTTGGGAAGCCAGTGGCCCGGAGCCTGGCTATGGGAGGCCTTCTCTTGAGAGATTGTTGGCTTTCTAGAAAAGTACGAAAACATGCTGAAAGAGTCTATTGGTGTTGAGTATTGGACCAGGGCACGCGAGTGTCGAGGGTTTGGAAAAAGCTGCAAGACGGCGGTTTATACCTGCCGCGGGCATTAGTCCATTAGCTAATACCTCTGGTTGGGAAACACACGTGAGTGTCAGTTTACATGAACTTTTCGTTTCACGAAACGCAGAAACCCGCCATTTGCAGGCGTCGGATGTGCCATGACTTGTTTCTGCCGCCCTCTTGTGTCTCTGCAGCGTGTGAAACAACGTCCGGGGAGATGGACGTTGGCTGGCATCTGCCCCAACGTTTTCGACTGAGTCGTTCTCCAGATTTCATCAGACGTTTAAAATGCCGCATGCCGCGAGGGCGAGGACGGGGACGAGGAAGCAGAGAAAACGGGACACGGTTGCGGTCAGTAAGCACGCCGCCCGATTCGTCGAGTGTCTCTCAGAGTCAGACACGGCGTCCGGGCCGCCACGAAGCCGGCGTTTTTTCCCACCAAGACATCTTTCGTCCGAAGATGTTGGTGAGGGACGTATCGCGTCGGCGGCACCAGTCCGCTCGAGCCGATCCGTACTACACCGGTTGTGACTAAGGTACAATGTCGTAAGTGCCGTCCAAGCCGATGGCGGACCTGGTTCCTGGCTGCTGCAGGACATGTCTTGCGAATGCGGACGAGGGCCTGACAGAGGCGTACTTTTTCATCTGAAGGTCACGGAGGAAAATCGGGGACTGGGTTTCGGCTGATGAGGCGACCTGCCAACCTCGGTGTTGGGTCAGCGCGAGTCAAAGTGAGGTTTGAGTCGGCGACTGAGTTTGTCATTGGACTCAGCTTGCGTTCTGGAATGCGAGCCCGATGAAGTCGAGAGTCTTGGTCGGCGATGTTTTGTGAATGTGGACTCACAACACCACCTGGGAATGATGTTAAATGCTTCGCCGATTGCTCCAGCCGAGCTGAAAGTGATGAGGTGTCAAAAGAGGAATGGTGTTACTCAGCCAACACGGCAATTGTCTCAGTAGGTGATAGAATTGGAAAGATATCGAAACGGCAAAAAGAAATGCGCTCGTATGTGTGGGATTTAACCACCGAATCTCCCCGAGGTGGGCTCGAACCACCAACCTCCAGATTAACAGTCTGACGCGCTAGCCAATTGTGCCATCGGGGATGAGACGCTTTTAATTGCTGAAAGTTTTGCTCGGGTGGAGGCCTAAGGCGGGCGTGGGTAAGGGGAGCAACCAGCTCTGCTCAGCGTCCTGGTGTGGGCGGGTGCAAATCCAGTTCTGTCTTGGTCGGGGTTCCGCGAAATCCGCCTGAAATTTCCCCTCTCAGGTGCTACCCTGTGTGGACTATGTGTGGCATGGTGCGAGGCGTTAGGTGTTGCAGCTTGCATGCTTGAGCTGCGTTCTTCATCACGAAGTTTGCCCGTTGCAGTTCGATATCGTTGGCGTAAGCGCCACTGACGAGACCATCGATTCTGATGGCTCCCAAAATTCATTTTTCGAGGCCGGCCTTGGAAAGGTGCCAGGTCCGCAATAGAGAGAGTTCCGAATGCAAACAGCCGTAAATCAATTGGCGACGTGCCTCAAACACGACAACAGGCATGAAATGAGACAGGAGAACAGCCTTTCCAAAGGTAGAAGCCAATAAGGCGATGGACAAAGGCATCTTGGTCGTACGACTTCACGGGGAAAGAACTCGGCGCCAGCTTACCTGCCTTAGTGGCGGCTACCTGCCTCCAGAAAAAAGCAAACGCGACGCGTGCGACTGCCGCCTATGACATCAGGATTCATCAGACTTTCCTTCCAAGTTCACCTCCTCGTCGCGTCTTCCCTCCTAGCAATCAATTCTCTCCCAACAACATTCCTCTCGTTGTACCACCTTCGTTGAAGCATCGCGAATACCAATTGCCATCAATTGACTTGATCAAGCCTCTTCCCACTGTCGTCCGACGCAACACAGACATCATGGTCACCACTCGTGCCGCAGACCACGCCAACGGCAACACTGAAGCTCCTTCCGTAGCCGCTGGTGAGAAGCGCGGCATCGAGCACGATGCTGCTGATCCATCTCCTGATGCCAAGCGAGTGAAGAAGTCAGACGAGACCCGTCAGACTACACTGGAGGAGACTCTCGAGAAGAACAAGGATGATGCGGAGACCAAGACCGCTGAGACTGAGACTAAGTCCACTGAGGACAAAGACCAGAAGAACGGCGATACCGAGATGAAGGACTCGGGTGCTAATGGCCATGACGGCGCAGAGTCGGTCACTGACGCCAAGAACGAGACAGAGGATGTCGCTGTCGAGAAGAAGAAAGACACCAAGGCAGAGGCTACGGAGGAGAAGCACCAAACCGATGAGAAGATGGAGGACGCCCCGGTGGAAGCCGAAGAGAAGTCCAAGACCGAGGAGGTGCCCAAGGCAGACGAGAAGATGGTCGACGCCAAGGTAGACGCCGAGGAAAAGACCAAGGCAGACGAGAAAGTGGAGGATAACAAGACTGAAACTTCAGAGGAGAAGTCCAAAGGAGACGACAAGACAGAGAAGGAAGCGAAGACAGAATCTACGGAGGAGGCGACTACGGCTGACGAGAAGACGGAGGCTGACGCCAAGGTGGAAGCTCCAGAGGAGACGGCCAAGAACAACGAGAAGACAGATACCAAGCAGGAGAACGGAGACTCCGCCGAGATTCCCCACGAAGACAAGAAGGTTCCTTCCAACGTCCTCGAGAAAGGCATCGTCTACTTCTTCTTCCGCGCTCGCGTCAACACCGACCAGCCCGAGGAGGTTGACGACATTGCCCGCAGCTACATCATTCTCCGTCCCATGGCCCCTGACTCCAAGCTCGGCGACGGACCCATTGGCGATGCTGGCAACACACGCCTTCTTGCCCTCCCCAAGAAGGTGTTCCCACAGAGTGGCAGAGACCGCTTCATGGTGTTCGTCGAGAAGTTTGGTGCTTCTTTCTCTGAACTGAAGGAGCAGTTTCTGTCAAGTGGCGAGAACCAGACCCAGGCTGGAACTTCACACGTCCCTGCCGCGACTCCTGTGGGTGAGGGAGTCTATGTTATCACCACCACCGGCAGAGAGAGCCACCTTGCGTACATGCTTACGCTGCCTGAGAATGGGGGCGAGGTTCAGAGCGAACTTGGTCTCAAGGAGCAGGGAAGCTTCATCTTGAGCACCAAGAATCCCAAGTTCCCTGGCCCTGCCAATGCCCGTCTCCCGCAGGATCCTGACTTCCCGGAGAGGTAGGCTCCATGCCGAAAAGTTCGGATGTTTACTTACTAACATCGAATGACAGTATCAAGAACGACTTCCGCGACCTCCGCTGGATGCCGTCCAAGCCGGAGCACCTCGACTACGTCAACGCCCAGATCCTCATGATCGGCGAATCGGATGGTCTGAAGAACGCCACGGAGCCGCGCAAGAAGGACGTCCAGGACGGCAAAGACGAGCCGAAGGAGGTCCTTGAGGATATCGAGGAGGAGGATACCAAACGGATGGAGAGCCTCGCCAATGACGACTCGACCGCCATCTTCGCCGATCTGCAAGCCCGTGCCAAGGACTATCCGAAGTTGAAGACGACCTTCTAAGTACATCATTTCGTTGTGTACCGAAGGAAAAGCGGGTGGCAAGGACGGCGAAGAGCAGAGATTGCGGACTGAGCAAGCAGAGAATTGCGAGAACGGGGACTGGGACGACGGCGATTGTTACGGCGGGAGGATTGATTTTTGCAAGTTGTGAATGGCATAGCTTGATTTTGGCGCTGAGAAGCAGCCTGATATTTTAGAGGCAACGAGCAGGACAACTAGTAAGAAACCAATTTAAAGCATATTCCTGAGACAAACTTCCATATCATTCCTATCAAGGGAAGAACACTAGGAGTTGATATCACTGCTCATTCGGAGATCCTTGTCAACGGTGGCTACTGAACCTCGCTAATTTACCTCGTGCAGCTCAAGTCCCCTTCTATCTCTACCGTTTTCCGTTCCGCCGAGGCAGATATTCCTGGCCTCACATGGACAGAAACAGCACAGGGTACCCGGGCATTCGCTATGTATCTGTACTATGATACACATCGCAGGTCAAGTACGGCACAAGACAAGTAGATAGAGAACCAAAGGTGACGCATAGGCACGAGTTAATAGTCAATTCATCCTTAGTCTGTTGGTCAGCGAGGTGCTCTGCATATCTAGCGCCTCTATCAAGACGTATATGCGCCACCTTTTCGGCGTCCAAAACCCTCGGCGACCCCCGTCGTCTTGCCCTGACTTCTCTCGCGCTCTTTCGCGGTTCATCCGGCCCCAGAAGGTGTCACCCTCCTTTTTTCTATGTCGCGGATAACGCGGAGGCCCCTCGTGCCTTTCATGGAGTCTCGGCTTAATGGCCCTGCCGCCCGCACGCCCTTGGTGCGCGAAAGTAACGTCTGTTCGGCTCGTGAGCCGCAGATATGTTCTCTTCGTCGACAGCCCGAAACCCGATCGGGTGGAGGTATTCATCGTTGGTCGATATTCAGAGAAAAAAAATCTCAGATGTTCTTCAGATAATGGGGCTTGAACTTCTTGTTGGCCCGATCCGCGCCGCGCATAAGGAACTGGTTGCCGAGCACCTCGCACACGAACCGCCGCGAGTCACCACCCTCTTTGGCCTTATCCGACCCTTCTTCGGGCTCCTTGACGGGTATCTCGACCCTGAACCACGTCCCCTCCTTCGGCACGATCTTCATCTCATTCTTGCGCGTGATGATCTCGAACGCGAACTTGGAATCCTTGACGACGATGCCCTTGATGCCGACGCGGCTCGGGCACGAGCTCCGCGAGACCTCGACCTCGGCGCCGTGGAACTCGGCCGCGCTCAGCTTCGCCGCCGCGCCCTGGCCCCCGCCGTAGAGTTCCGAGCCCAGGACCTCCTCGACGTAGCCCAGCCAGAGGCGGTGGAGGGGCTCGAAGACGGCGTATTTCTGGCCCTCGCGGGGCACCTCGTACAGGCCGCGCCTGCGTCGTTCGCGGGCGGAGAGGGGTTTCGGCTTGAGTTTTTGTTTCTTGGCGAAGTCGTCGCGGGCCTTGCGGCGGTTGGCGCGCGCGTTGGAGGGCGGCGGTGGTGAGTTCGGTCGCAGGTAGAGGGGTCGGTATTGGATCTTGTCTGTGAAGATGCGGTTGACGCCGTCGGGGGAGTGCGCTCTTGAGAGCAGGGCTTGCGTGACTGGTTGATTTGCGGGCGCCATATCGACGGGCTTCCTTGCGCCGTTACTGAGGTCGTCTCGGCAGAGAAGTCGTAAGTGTTGTTGCTGACTGCAGGCAGCGAGCCTGACTTCGTGAAATCGGGAGTGGAGATGGAGATGGAAAATTAAATGTTAGTGCCTCCGGATTTCTTAGGTGGTGGGACGGGAACCAGGATGAACTGCTTGAAAAGATACGTACCGCCTTCAGTGGCAGCTGCAGCAAGGATTCGCCAGTCCTTCACATGCCGAAAAAACGCTAGAGCCGCCAAATGGCGTCGAGCTCGGCTGGAAATGCGCTGGAGAGTTGGGCACTTGACCTCAACGGTCCACCCAAATGTCCCGCGGCATGACACTGCGACTCTTCGGCTCCCGTCGTCCACGGTGCTCTGCTTTGGAGAGAGAGGAGAGAGAGAGCAGCGCCAAAACAATCTTTTTCCATCCACATCATTCTAGGTACCTTGTCTTACTTCGTTCTAAAGGAGAAATCCGTCACTCTGTAACGTCATCTACAGTTCTCCTTCTGCCCTTCCCCTCCGACTCTCGGCAATGGCAAGGAGCTTAACCGGATTGCTTTGAAGCATCTAATACGAAGCCCATTTATGCGATTCACGATACCCAAATTCAACGATTGATACCCCTTACCCGCCACCGCAATGGCCAAAAACGACGACTCCGCGCCGGATCTGAAGATCCTCGGCGACCAAATCACCCTCCAGCCCAGCGGCTACATCAAGTCACAGCGCGACGACGAGAAGGAGGAGGCCTTGATGAAGCACATGGCCCGCTTCCGCTCCGAACCCTTACAGTACGTCTGGCCGCGGTCCGCGCCGGTTCATCGCCGGTCGCAGCCTCCTTTTTGGATCCAGGAACAGGACTGACTAGCTCGTGCGCCAGGTTCCTCCGCGAAGTCTCCCTCTACGTCTCCGGCACCGGCTGGCGCGCCTACGACAATGCCATCGGCCAACCCATCTTCTACTCCGGCTTCAGCGACAAGATCAAGGACGCCGTGCTGTCGGCGCCCCTGCTTCAGGCGCGCATCGCCGACCTCGCCGAGAAACGCGTCAATGTTGAAGAGAAGGAAGGACTGCTGAGCAAGCAGGACAAGGATTTCGACCTGAAGCGCGCGCGCAGGCGAGCGGCCATCGAGGCCGGGATTCAGGAAGTGGCCGAGAAGATGACGGACGACATGATTTGCAAGTTCGAGAGCAAGACGTTCATCCGGAGCGCATACTACCTCGTCACACAACTGACTCTGCGGGCATACCACCAGGGAATCCACGTCTCTAGCGAGGAGGTGCTGAGGTTAAGAAAGGTCGCGGAGGAGGCCGAGAGGAAAAAGCAGAGCATCATATTCTTGCCCTGTCACCGGTCGCACGTCGACTACGTCTCGCTGCAGCTCATTTGCTACCGCTTGGGGCTGGGTCTGCCGGTTGTTGTCGCCGGTGACAACCTCAACTTTCCTCTGGTGGGAAGCTTCCTGCAGCACGCCGGCGCGATGTGGATCCGGAGATCTTTCGGCGATGACATACTGTACACGACCCTTGTCCAGACATACATCGACACCCTGCTGCAAGGGGGCTACAACTTTGAGTGCTTCATCGAAGGTGGTCGGTCGAGGACGGGCAAGCTGCTGCCACCAAAGTTTGGGATCCTCAACTTCGTCCTCGACAGCATTCTGTCAGGCCGTGTGGAGGATGCCGTCATCTGCCCGGTCAGCACGCAGTACGACAAGGTCATTGAGACAGAAGGCTACGTGACCGAGCTGCTTGGTGTGCCCAAGAAGAAGGAGAATCTAGCGGACTTTGTCTCGGGCGGTTCTTCCGTCCTGTCTCTCCGCCTCGGCAGAGTTGACGTCCGCTTCCACGAGCCCTGGAGCCTGCGAGGCTTCATCAACGAACAGCTAGTGAAGTTGGCTAGATTGCCGACTGGACTCAATCTGGACACGAAGAACCCCGAGAACACCGCCGTCCGCCAAAAGCTGCTGCGAACGCTCGGCTACAAGGTGCTCTCTGACATTAACGATGTATCGGTTGTCATGCCTACCGCCTTGATTGGTACCGTCCTGCTCACCCTGAGAGGCAGAGGTGTCGGCAAGGCCGAACTCGAGCGTCGCGTCATGTGGCTCACTGACCGCGTTCGAGCGAAGGGTGGTCGTGTTGCTCATTTCGGCAACGCGCCCCTCTCGGATATCATCGATCGTGGTCTCGAGGTGTTGGGTAAGGATCTGGTCGGCGTCGTGACAGACCTGCCAGAACACACCTACTACGCCGTTGACAGATTTCAACTCTCCTTCTACCGAAACATGACGATTCATCTGTTCATCTCGGAAGCGATAGTGAGCGCTGCCATGTACATGAAAGTCAAGCAGGGAGGCGGTCCAGCCATGCAGGACATCTCGTTCCAAGAGCTCCAGGATCAGATTCAGTTCTTGTCGTCACTCTTCCGCGGGGAGTTCATTTTCCCTAGCGACGGTCTCGCAGCAAACTTGGAGAAGACCTTGCGGGATCTCGAGGCCGACAAGGTTCTCAAGCTTCACCGGGACGAGGCAGGCAAGGTGACGGTGGTCGGTCTGTCTGATCACGAGAGAATGGTCGGACGAGAGAACTACGACTTTTACTGTTTCCTGATTTGGCCGTTTATCGAGGCTAGTTGGCTCGCGGCGGTTTCTCTGATGGGCTTGACGCCGCCTCTAGGCCAGAAGGACGATATCTGGATCGAGGTTGCGAAAGCCCAGGGCAGTGCGCAGCTGGTAAGACTTCCAGTACAAGATGATTTCTGACCGGTGACTGACATTGACTTAGCTCGGTAAAACCCTGTACCACCAAGGCGACCTAAGCTACTTCGAGGCTGTGAATAAGGAGACTCTGAAGAATGCCTATCAACGATTCGAGGAGGAAGGCATTCTGCAGGTGGTCAAGTCGAAGGATCCCAAGGTCCCCCCTCGTCTACGCCTCGACCCCGAATGGTGCCCTTCCCGGGACCCAATCACGGGTGTTCTGAACGCGTCTGGGCGACTCTGGGATTTCACCGAAAAGATTGCGTCTAGCCGACGTGAAGGCAAGAATCGGCGCGATGGCGCTACCGTCAGCACACGCGTGCTGCGCCTGACAGATCTGCTCGGCAGCAAGCTATTCGAGGCTGCCAGAGTGGGCGACAAGAAGAGCGCATCTCCGACTCTCAGCGTTGAAGATGCCAATCAACTCAAGAAGAGTGTCAAGGAGCAGAGGAGGCGTAGGTCGCTGGAGAATCGCGCGCATCTGTAAATTTTGTACAACTGTAAACATGTATAGCGGGTATGATATGATTAAAATGTAGCCATTCTGAATCCATCGCTGGCGTCATCGCGTCCTTGAATCTATAGAGATGCGACAAGCCACCAGCTGCCATGAAATATTTTCAAATTAGAAACCTATCCAACTTTCCATTCATAGATCCTACTGGGTATTTGGCTTGAGAATAATGTTGTCAATAAGTCGTACAGAAGGGCCATCGCTGTGGCCCAGGTCCTCGCCTGGTTGCGGCTCTTCCACCGGCAACATCTTGACGGCGCCGCTGAGGATCCCTCCCTTTGTCGGCACAACGGTGTTGATCTCCTGCATCGTGTCGGGATCCGCCAGCGAGATGTAGTCCACCTCGAACATCACCCTGTCTTTAGGCGCCAGCTTGGACTGCTCCGACAGCACATTCGCAGCGACCTGGTTCGCCGCACCGAGGATCGCCTCCCTGTCCAGCGCGCCCTGCTGGTACTTCTCCTCGGCAGCTCTCAGCGCGCGGTTCAGCACCGTGGCAACCTTCCGTCTCCGCACGCCGAGGTACACGTTCCGCGAGCTCAGCGCAAGCCCGTCGGCCTCGCGCATCGTCTCCCCGATGATGACCTCCGTCGGGAGCATGAAATCCTCCACCATCCGCCGGATCACGACCGTCTGCTGCACGTCCTTCTGCCCGAAGTACACCCTCTCGGGCTGCACGATGTTGAAGAGCTTCATGCACACCGTCGCGACACCCCTGAAGAACGTTGGCCTGCTCGCGCCCTCCAGCACCTCGCCCACGGGCGTGATCGTCACGAAGCTGCCCTTGCTCCCCGGCTCCTGTCCCGGGAAACCCGAGGGGTACATCTCGGCGGTGGTGGGCGCGAAGACGGCGCTGACGCGGCCGAGGTTGCCCCCGTCGCCGGCCAGCTCGCGGTCGAGGTCGCGCAGGACCTCGGTGTCGCGGGCCCAGGTGGCCGGGTAGGAGGCCAGGTCCTCGGAGAGGCCGAACTGGGCGGGGTTGACGTAGACGGAGACGACGACGTGGTGGTTCTCGCGGGCGGCGGCGCGGATCAGGGAGAGGTGGCCCTCGTGCAGGGCGCCCATGGTCGGGACGAGGCCGACGGAGCGGTACTCGTGGGTCTGGGGGCGGCGCCAGGTCCGGAGGGCCGAGACGGAGCGGAAGACGCGGATCGGGCTTGAGGGGACTGTTTCGGCGGTCGAAGAGGAGGAGGAGGATGAGCATGCCGTCCGGAGCTGGGTGCCGGCGCCGGTGCGCAGCGGGCTTGTCGTTGTGCCCGCCGCGGCGCGGAGGGTGCGGGCGAGCATGGTTGGGGCTGGGGAATTTTTTGGGGTGACTGAAATGACGAGAAATTGTGTATGTCTGGTTTTAGGGAGGAAAGAAGGGATTATCGGCCATTGTGGAGGCGCAATGGCTTATAGGGTCCGCGGTTGTGATGGTTTCTGCGGCGGATTTTTGAGGACGGAGGGAGGTTTGGTGGAGATACGGATAGTGGTGCTCGGTGCTATCGGTGAGCTGCCGTCGGTGCTGCTCGTGCTGGGAGCTCCTGTGGGTCTCGCACGTGAGGGGCATCAGCTTATCTAATCTGATCTGCCGGAAGATGAGTAAGCATCTCCTCTGGCCGAACCTCACCGAACCGCGGTTTCGAACTCACCGAAAACTACCACCGGTGAAGGGCTGGTCGGGGCATTTCAGTGTTATCCACTGAATAACCTCGCCAAACTCCCGCTGTCACTACCCTTCCTCCTGGGCTCCCATGCCAACAACTTTCTCCCTCTTCCTCTCCTTCCAGCCGCAATCATTATTTTTGTCTTGCAAATCAGCAAGTAGTCATACGTCGTGGCTACACAGGATTCATGCCAGGCCAATCCCTCGTACGACATGGCACCAGAGAATTCCCGTGCAACGCGAGGCATGCGAGATTGCCGTCGCCATCTTAGCACGATTTGGTCTAATTCGCGATCCCACGCCCTACGCATCTCGTCTTTCCCTGGACTCTCTTACCATTCCCCCCCCGACCTTCTCGCTTTCTCGCCAAATTTCTTTACTCATGGGTCAGAGTCATCGCCTTCGAGAACATTCACGGCCTCGCCTGATGCTCTCGTTTTCGACCTTGGAACCGATTTGTCAAATCTCCTGTTTCACGCCTGGGGACACTTTCTTGGCGGACATGGCTGAGATGTAGCAGAAATCATGGTTCTGCTGCATCGCCATCTCCCACTTTCCCCCACCATCCACCTACCACCGCAGAAGAAAAATTGGGTGGCCCAGTACTTCAGACGAAAAGACGCAGAAGATCGAAAGGCCTCGGGTCGTTGCAGGTGGCTGCATCGGGGGGATGACAGCCAATCTCCCGGCCGATATCTGTGCGACCCAACCTCGACGAGCTTACCACCTCACACACAACCAGCCATACAGAACAGCCCGTACGCGGACTTCCTCTGCCCAGCGCCAAAGTGGCTGCCAAATCATGTGTTGTGCGAGAACGAAAAGAGGTCTCGACGCAGCAGCTCTTCAGACGGCCAAGCTGCCCGATCAGCCTGGGCGTCGGTTGCAGATGTCTTGAATGCCGCCCGTTTGACAGCGACTGCCGCGGGCCCTGAATATCTGAAGATCACCAAGCAACTTGGCGTGTCCCCAAAAGGCAGGGCAAGTCGCATCTTGCAAAGAAGGCGAAGTCCGGAGCCGACACCAAGTTTGCAACGACTCAAGTCTGGCCATCCCGACGTCCGGACCCCCAGAAATGCTACCCGCGAGCGAGGCAAAAACTTCCCGAGAAGCTTATCCTTTCCCGCTGGGAGGTGTCAGCTTCACCCATGTGAAATGAGACCCTGGTGTTGTGGGGGAACGCGGAACAAGGCATGACGACGGCCGTGTATCGCACCCAGGGTCCGTTTTTTTGCCACGGAGTACGGCGTTCGGTGGGACAAAGCTGGTGTTGCTCGCCGTCTTCCTCGAACCTGCAAAATACGATACAACCTTGTGCAGTCCTCTGGATTGAGTCGCTGAGTGAGGGTTTGCTGCAGCGAGGATGAGGCTCGCTTCATTGGACAGCCCGCATTCGCTTCCAGGCTGTCTTTTAACGCAAGTCATCATCAGACGACGAAGGCTTCTGCGCTACGACAGAGGTTGTGCTACCCTCGACGCCAGAAAAAGCTACAATGCGCAGCGTTTCTCTCTGGCTGAACCTTGAGCCACTGGGAAGCAACAGCTGGGCAGATTGACTCCAAGATGCAAGTACAGCCTACATTTCTGTTTCATTCTGGTTCGTCTGGTGCGGGTTTCGCACTGCTCCAAGCGGCGCTTGGCAATCCAGTAACATCGTCGTCTTGGCATTCAAATGCAGCCTCGCCCGCGGGGTGCGCTCGACGTCTTTCTCGGCAGGCTCAATAGCCGGGCGGATGGACGGGTCCATGGCTCTCCAAGGCCCCACGACGGTGGACTCTTGACAGCATCACCAGGGACTTCGCGCGAAGAGATGGCGCTGCACACGACCTCCTCCCCTTCTCGGCGAGACAAGAACAGACGAATGAGGGTCCTCTGGGCAGGGTCAATCCTCAGAAAATCGTCCTTCTCGAATGCTCAGCGTGGGCAACGACACACCCAGGTCGACGCAACTCTGTGTTTATTCTGGGAAAGATGCATCTCGCGCTGAGAGCGGAGGGGCGAAGCGGTCGCAGACCAAACGAAACATGGGCAAAAGCTTCCCCGGGCTGCGAACCTTGCCCGCCCAGACCTATATCCGCGGAGGCTGATACTCATATGGCTGCGGTGGACGAGGTGGACGACGAGGTTGACGGTGTTAAAGCCTCCTGTTATTACGCCATATCTGGGTCGAGTCGAGACGACCCTCCTCGGTTCTACTCACCCGCCGCGGCGATCTGCTTCATCGGCCGACAATTTTCACTTTTTCGCTTCTCGCTCGGGCTTGCTAATTTTGTTTGACAACCCGGTCGACATTACTTCATAGCATCCAGCTTATGGGCTATACTTACCAGCGCAGCTGTGTCGAATTGCGAGATACTACGGTAGAGATGAATGTACACATCCCCACCGGCGGGCATGCCGCCGTAAGATCGTCCTTCCCGGCAGGAAAAACAGACGTGTACCGGGGCACGACGATCAAACCGTCCCGAGCGGCCTGGAGCAAAACATTTCTTCGCAGGCTGGGGAACATGAGATAATCGGGAATCTGGCATGACAGTGGGGTTCAGGTCTTTCGTATTGTGGGCAGCGGGAGCAAAATAAGCTACTTCGCGAAGTACCGCGGAATGCGCCATCATCTATCTGGCTGGCGAATGCCCAAGATCCACGCGGAAACAAAATACGCAACAGGAACCGGTGCTCAAGACTACCGGCAGCATCGTCAAGCGGTTTGCGACTGCAACTCGTCCCGTAACAAGGGCCTTGGAGCACGTTATTGCGCGGCCCAAGATGCGATGTGCAAAGATTCTGTGGGGGAAAAGGAAGCCCAAGGCCGGCAACAGATGCCAAACCGGCCGCTTAATGGGCCAATTATCAGAAGAAATCCACAACCAAGTCGCAGGTACGAAGATCCCCGCAAGAAGACGCGCAAGAAAGGGGACGAGCCGAGAAGAAGCCAAGCCGTGATCCTCTGTACTTGCGACCGTGATGGCACCCGCGATACTACGCCATACGCGCTGGTTTGTCTGGTTCGAAGAGGACGATGACACAGGACCGCGCACTGACGATGACGCCCTTACAAGTTGCGCCGATTTTTCCCCTGGGCAGCAGGATGCTATGGCTCGGCGTTCTGGGGAGCAAGAGAAGCCGAAGCAAGTCTCTGACAAGGCAGACAAGAAGACACGGTCACGGACGGGGGATGGCGTTCAGGAGCATTCCCTGGGGCTGGAAGACGGGATTGTTTGGCGCCTGCCTCGGGCTTCCGTGCGCACACTGTCGGGCGCCATTGCTGGCCATTCATCTCCGATGGAGGGAAGAGGCTTAAAGAGTCGAGATGCTAAAAGCAACCTCAGCGAAGGCCTGTGACGCTGATCGTCAGGCCCCGAGTCACCCTACCTCATCCACCCGTTTCCTTCAGCGCAGTCTGTTGCGATGAGAAAAGTCCCTAGGCCAGTGATGGTGTGTTCCCTCGAGCTTCATTCTAGCGGCGCCTGGAACCCCGGAAAGGCGGATCTGCAACACGTCCCGCGCAAGGTACGGGCATGTGGGAGCGGGTGCATGAGGAGGGAAGCGGGCGGCGATTGATTGGTGAAGCGTTGTGGCTGTGTGTCGTTGTGTGGTCCGAGAGTCTCACCTCTCTCTCTCTCTCTCTCTCTCTGTGGACATGGATCGCAGGATGATCCGTTTCCTTCTTCCGTTGTTCTTCAAGTTCGAATTGCGATCGTGGAGAATTGGCAATATGTGCAACGTCCGGAGCAGCTGTGGGCAGTTGCTCAAGTGTACGACAAAGGTAGTTCTTGGACTATTCTTGTGCTGTCGGGTAAGGGATATCGATCCGTTCTCCCCTCAAGCTGGCTGTATGGATGCCGGAGTTTGGTGCCGGTCGACGACTCTCACTCGGGTATCGGCTCCGTCACGGCTTTTCCGGCGCAATTGCTGGAAATATCGGGACCACATCATCACATGGGGCATATTCATCGCCGATGCTCTTGGAGTACGGGTAGTCGTTGCGGTAAACGAGTCGAGTCTCTCTAGCTGTCGAGCCAAAACTGCAAGAGTAACAAGCTCACCGCAAACATCTCCAGCAACGTCCATTAACAGATGCGAATATAACCAATATTCAGCCACAGACAGAGAACATTTGAGCTGTCACCGTCGGCAAACGCTTCTTCCATCTTAAAAAGTGGAAACCAGGGACCGCTCCGGTTTTAGAAGATCCCACCAAACTGCTAAATCAAGCGAGAGGCCTCGTCGGCACCGTGAATACGATCACGCCCCTAGGTGTCTTTATCATACACGTCGTGGTGTCTCTCAAGGTCGCTCATCTCTCTCACTTCGCTGCAAGCTCTCTCGGTCTCTCTCCCCTTTTCTTCAGGTCACAGCCACACAGACAGACGCGTACAAGTCGCACCCCCCCGTCGCCCATCGTCTCCATCGCACGTCGCCTCAACTTCCATCGACCGGATCTCCTTTCCCTCTGTCTCGCGACGTCTCTCCCTCTGAAGCAACGCCCTATCTCGCCCGCCGGCGCCCTCGTCTCCCCCTTCTCAGTTCTCAGCCTCTCCACATGCGCCCACGCGTGCGCTTTCTGCGCCCACTCCATTTCTCTAACGAACGACCCTGAGCTGAGCAAGAAGAGGTACCTTGGACGTTGACATTGGGATTCGACGCTGAGAGGGACAAGACTCACCCCCCTCGTCTACCAAAAAGACCCGAGCTCGACCAGACGTCTTCGATTTGTCTGTCTGGCTGGTCTGTTCTGCGTCTCCCGTGGAAAAAGGTTCTGGACTCACTCAATTCCAACGACGTCCATCGGCCACTGCCCACTCCGACAACCGCGTCTTTACCCGAACTTAACCATCCACCCTATTTTCTTGTCTCTGGATGTCCTAAAAGGAAGAAGCGAGCATCAGAGCCTCATCAACATCGACTTTCGAGATAGAAGCCGCGCAACCTACTTACCCTCTCCGACTCACGATCAAGCCTTCAGAGACTCAGCCAAGAACCGACCAAGTCGTTCATCCCAGACGACGGGAATACCAAGACTCTCAGCTGTGTTCTGCATTTGTGTCTGCGACATTCGCACTCGTACACTTCAAAGGTAGCGTTTTATTCAAGACTTTGTCTTGGCTCTCGACGCTCTCTCTCACTCTCGACCTCCACAACCCAGAACCAGCAACCCCCTGAACCTGACCCGAACCTGACTTGGGGGAAAGGGATTCCGTGCCGCCGAGAGATTCACTTCAGCGGCTTTCTCCATATTTACACACCCGCTGCCGACGACGCCTTTTTACTACGGCATCCTCTCTCTCCTTTGACTCTCGTCCTCCCGTTCTTCGCCTAATAATAATCAACTCCATCGCATACGCTTTTCTTGCCGGGTCGAACCCCGCCGACGACCGGAGATACACACATACACTCTCGACACTCGACACTCTTCTTCTTCATCCACACATTTCATCTGTACTTCTGTACAAGGAGACACACACACAACACAGCACACAATACATCGGTACACACACCACCAGGAAGAGGAACGAGAACTCTGTTCCGCCCACCCACGCGCCCCAGACAGGCCACACCTTTCGCCAGGGATTCCTGCATATGTAAACCGACCTTAGCGGCACGAGAACGGACCAAGTCTCACCCACCACCATTACCACCAACCAACCCAACGGCCAAGGACTGAAAGAGGGTACCTAGGACCACTCTTCACACCTCGCCATCTTGCGCTAGTCAAGTCAATCTGGCTCTGTCCTGGCGCAGTCTTTTTGTCCCTTTTCACTCTCTCACTCATCACTGGGACGCTAAAGCTTGTGACTTTTTTCCGCATCTCGACTTTTCCTCTCACGAAGCCGCTTCTCCGCCTCTCACCGACCGTTTCACCAACCAAGACGTGTGCCGCGCCGCCTATCCGCTTCCCGATTGCGCTCTCTCCACGAAAGCTTTTGCATATTCGAAATCACAACGTTTCAATCAACCATAGTGTTCTCACGGGGTCTGTGGTCTCGTAACATCTGAGCAACCTTACGCCTGCTCATTTTCCCCGCCTTGCGAACTCGGTCTTTCTCTCTCTCACTCTCATAGTGAGAGACAATTCCCGACGACAATTCTACGGAAAGCTCTCACGGTTAATGCCCACGACGACACCAACAAAGCCGCCTCAATCGCCCGACCCGGGTGTCCTCAGCCCTCAGTGAATCACCGTCTCTTCTCACCAGAGACGGCCTCCCGGTAGCCCTGGAGGCATACGACGCCTCTGCAGGCGTCCTCGTGCCAGGCTTTGGCCTTGGTCCGGCGGTGCTGCACCCCTTTGAGCATCCGCCCCTTGATTTCGGCAGCGAGTCTTATCTCGACGTCGACGACGACGACCAGGTCTCCTCTCTATCCTTCGGCTTCTCTTCCGACTTCACCACTGATTTCAGTCTTGGCAACGACGCAGCAGCGCTCCAGCAGCCCTCCAACTCGTCTTATCTCAAGCACTACCCTCAGCAACAACACCACCATCACCACCATCACAGTCAACCCTACAACACCGCCGATATGAATTTGCCCAGCTCTCACATCCCGCCCCGCCGCAGCGCGAGCATTCACTCTCTCACCCCCTCCCGCGACCTCATCGTCGCCGCAAAGTCCCCCGGGAAGTCGGCCGCCGCCGCCGCCGCGACAGCCACGAAATCGAAACGAGTGAGAACGGGGTGTCTAACGTGTAGAGAACGGCATCTAAAATGTGACGAAGGCTTGCCAGATTGTCTAAATTGCAGGAAGAGCAATCGAGAATGCAAACGCGGCGTACGGCTAAATTTCATAGACGTGCAAGTGAAGAAGCCGCCGTTTATGCCTCCCACGGTTGAGTGGTCGGGTAAGTCCGGAGAGATGGACCGTTGATCTCATAGCCGGGCCCTGCAGCGAATCACGATGCTGACACGTCTTCCGCAGTACAATTCCAAGACGAATCTAGGCAGATCGCATCAGAGTACGTCGGAGGACTGGGCCGATACGCGCATCTGGACAGACAAGCTGTCGCCGCCCCGCGCCGCGAGACGAGCCATCTGGAGCCGACACTCCGGCACCAGGGTCACCTCCTCCCTCACGCCCGCGCCGCTCCCGGCCCGGACATCTCGGTCTCGCCCCGGACTCACCTCCAGCACCACCCTCCGCCTCCGCCTCCGCCGTCATACGCCTATCCCCAACACAGCCGTCCCGAGCCCCCGAGAATCGCAGACTACCCGCCTCGCCGCGAAAGCGAGACTGCCTACCTCACCCCGCAGAACTCGGCCCACCCTCACCCGTACGGTCACTACGAGCACTATGCCTCCGTCCGCGATGGCGCCAACCGCTCTCACGCCCACCGCGACAGCGACGCCTCGTCTGCCGCGTCGATCGTACCGCAACCCACCGCGCCGCCCCCGAGCTACCGCTCCAGCGCGGCCGCCAACCCTCTGGCACCCGACGGCATGATGACGCCCCCACCCAGCGAGAAGGCCACCGCAGGCGAGCGCGAGTACCTCAACTCTCCCGAGGAGATACTCTACATGCAGGTCTTCGTGGAGGAGGTCGGCGTCTGGATGGACTCCCTGGACAAGGAGAAGCACTTCTCCCGTCTCATCCCCTACCACTCCCTCAAGTCCCCCATGCTCCTCAACGCCTTCCTCGCCTGCGGCGTCAAGCACCTGACGCTCGTCAACCCGGCCTACCAGGACGACAAGGCTCTCTTCTACTACGACACCGCGACCACCCAGCTTCTCCGCAGCCTCCAGAACCCGGACCGCAACACGGGCGAGTGCGCCACGACGGCCGTCGTGCTCAACGTGTACGAAATCATGTCCGAGAAGCCCGCCCAGCGCATGAACCACATCGCCGGCGCCCGCGCCCTCATCCGCGAGTGCAAGTGGGACGCGAGGTCCTCCGGCATCGGCGCCGCCTGCTTCTGGCTCAACATCGGCATGGAGGTCCTCTCCTGCCTGGCCTTCAACTGGCAGACGTCGTGGGACCCGGACTCGTGGGGTCTCGACATGGACTTCGCCGCCGACGGCGCCAGCGCTTCCTCTGGTGACGGATTCGGGTCGGAGGAACTGTGGGTTCACCGGATCCTGTACATCGTGGCCAAGATTGCGAACTTCCGCGCCACGATCCCCCGTTTCCAGGAACCAAGCCCGCACGACGAGCAGATTCGTCTGGGCAACAGGCTGGCGCAGTGGCAGGACCTGAAGAGGTTGTGCGACAAGTGGAACAACGCGTGTCCGAGGACGATGCATCCGTTTGGATACCTCTACCCATCGCAGACCAACTCCAAGTCTGCCTTCCCCAATGTCTGGTAAGTCCTCTTCAACCTCGAACACCTCCCTGCACGTACCCAGCAGACTGACCAACTCCCCTAGGCTCATCAAACGCGCCGCGATCATCGGCCGCCTCTTCTACCACACGGCCCAGTGCCTCCTCGCCCAGACGAACCCGATGGAACCAGGCAAGGCGTCCGAGGAGATGCGCGCCCTGCAGCTCCATCACGCCCACCAGGTCTGCGGCATCGTCGCGCACACAAAGGACCGCGGCGTCGCCTCCGTCGCCATCCGCTCCCTCGCCATCGCCTCTGCCGTCCTCACCGACCCCCGCGAGCAGGAGGAGGTCCTCGACATCCTCGACAAGATCCACGCTGAGTCCGGCTGGCGCCTCGGCAAGATCCACTCCGAGCTCAAGAAGACCTGGGGCTGGCCCAACGCGTCTGCCAGTCCCGCCGTCGACCCCAGAGGAGCGCCCGGAGGAGGCTCAAAGTTCTTCGCGACGACGGGGCCCCCCGGGAACCCGCCCGCGATGGCGACAGCGGCGGCGAGCTCGCAGCCCGCGGGCACGAGCAGCTCGTCGTCGGCGCCAATGAAAGCTCTCGTCAACCCCTTGAGCTTCGCCGACTTCTCCCTCCCGAACCACCCCTATCAGAACTGGTACGAGCCGCCGAACCGGTCCAACTCATATAACTCCCAGACCTTCCTATGAGGCGTTCTTTGCCGAGACTTCTTTACCACGTTCTTCACTTACGCCTCGCTCTTGACAAGAGCTGGGGTTATCCTCTTTCATATAATATTCTTTGGCCCAATTGGGAAGGGAGGCGTCCTGCTTTTCAACCTGCAGATGACAACAAAAGACGGCACTGGCTGCCAGGTTTACGATCATGACCCAACAAAACATGGCCTTCTTCCCGCGAACCCTTTTCTTTCTTCTTACCGACTTCTCATTCATCTTCCCAACAAAGGGGTTTTTTCTTTTCTTTTTATTCCGGGTGCTGCCCTTCTGACAAAGGCGGCAAAGGCAAACATGGATTTCCAACAGGACAGCCGGCAGCATCGCATCTGCGGCAAGCAGCAGGAGGAGGAGGAGGAAGGCATCGATCGATTCATGGGAGCGAGGTCCAGGCAGAGATTATGGAACCTCGGAGGCGTTCCGGCAAAAACTTTCAGAGAGGCGGGGAAAATGTCGAATGCGGCATCAGTGGGGGATGGGACAAGACAGACCATGCTCCAGGAGCATTCGATACCATGAGAATTTTTTTTTTTTGTCACATACTCGGACGATGTTTCGACCGCTACTTTGTTTTTACTTTAGTCTTGTTTCTTCCTTCACGAAAAACTGGGACAGGGCAGATGTTTGTGTGTTTGTATGCATATCTTGGTATCATTTGGGGGCTCTGCGTGCGTGTTGGGGTGGTATTCTGCTTTCTCTCTCTAATTCTGGGGGGAATCTTCTATCGCAATGCCAATGCTTCTTCTTTTTTTCGTCTCAAAAAAAGCAGAAATGTCTGTGCAGGTTCTCTTCCCGAAGGTCTTCTCTTCGTCTATGAATCCCAAACCCAATTCCGTGACCTTGTTCCGCTTCCATTATCGTTCGTGATCCATGGTCCATCTATCGTCGTCTTTTTTTCTCGTAAAAAATGAAGAAGCTTGCTCAAAAAAAGGGACAAAGGAGAATCCAGAGAAAAAAATATGAAGACCCAAACTTTGCGGTATGCCAAGTCGAGATTTCCAACGTTCTTTCCTGTGATGTATCGCAGAAGATAGTGGTGCCTAGGCGGAGGGAGAGCCGTTGGTGGCGTCGACGAGGACCTGGCCGACGTTCTCCTTCATGAAGGGCTCGTTGTCGACGGCGACGGGGGGGATGGTGATGCCGAACTTGTCGTAGGGGAAGTTCTCGAGGGTGGGCAGGTACTCGGCCCAGCCGTCGTCGATCTCGCCGACCTGGTGCATGTCGACCTGACCGGCCTCGCCGGTGCGTCCGGCCAGGACCTCCTTCTCGCGGCCGGCGTACTCGTTGAGGAGCATCTTGTGGGGGCACCAGATGACGCGCATGCCGGCGCGACGGCCGGCCTCGACGCCGGGGACGGAGTCCTCGAAGACGAGGCACTCCTCGGGGGTGATGGGCTTCTCGCCGGCGGGGAGGGAGTCGTTGACGGACTTGAGGGCGAGAAGGAAGATGTCCGGGTTGGGCTTTCCGCGGCCGGGGGCGATGCGCTTGTCGTCGCCGAGGACGCGGCGGTGGGAGGGGAAGACGGAGAAGAGCTCGGTGAGGTGGTCGGACTTGAGCTTGAAGTTGGCGAGGTGGGAGGAGGTGGCGAGGGCGATGTGGACGCGGTGGGGGTCCTGCTTGTCGGCGGCGGTCTTGTCGTCGGCGGGCTTGAGGTCCCAGTAGCGAGTGCGGCCGAGGTTGGCGAGGAGGGCAGGGACGCCGGGAAGAGGCTTGGTGGTGGGGAAGATCTGACGCTGGAGGGCGGAGAGCTGCTCGTGGTAGTCCTCGGGGGAGATGGAGAGCTGGGCCCACTCGTGGAAGAGGCGAGTGGCATCGGGGCCGGGGCGGCCCTGGAGCTTGGCCTTGATGGACCAGGGGAGGAGAGGGCGGCCCTGCTGCTCGAGGATGATGTTGATGCAGGCAGTGTAGAGGTCCTCGGTGTCGAGGAGGAGGCCGTCCATGTCGAAGAGGCAGGCCCGGACGGGAGGGAAGCTGGAAGGGGAAGAGGTCAGTCATGGTTGGAAGGTAAGCAGCGCGGTTGGAGGGGACTTACTCAGTGCGAGGAGCCATTGTGAAGGTAAGTGGTGTGAATGTGACGATTTGTGAAGGTAAGAGTTGGTGGAGGAAGAGTATTTTATTGCGCGTAGCGTAAGATGGAGGAAGGTAGTTGTCGCACAGGGAAAGATGCAACAAGTAGTTGTATTGTGATGGAGGAGGGTGGAAGTGGAAGGTCTCGTTCCTGGGTGGTGAAGTCAGGAAGAAGTTGCCTCAATTGGGTTGGTGGGTGAGGTTTTTGTAGTGGGAGAGGCCGAGGCTGGAGGTGGAAGGAGGAGGGAAGAAAAAAACAAAAAGGCCTTTTGTCTTTGAGGCAGGAACAGCACAATGGTGAATTGAGGAAAGAACGACAAAGGCAGGCAGGCGCAAGGCGGCAGGAGCAGCGGGGTGGAAACGGGGACGGAAGGCGCCGACAATGGAGGGGTCAATTCAGCTCTTTCCCGGGAGAAAAATTGGCTCAGGGACCAAAGTGGGGGTCCATATTCCCTGCAGCCATTGGCCTTTGTATTACGTCAGCGATTTGGGTGCATTCGACCTCGAATTTAGAGCATTTGACAATGAATGAAGCTTAATTCGTAAAAGGAAAATTCCAGAAATAATAGAGCAGCAAACACTTGGAAACCAGCTCTATTTCGGGACCTGATTCCCTTTTCAGGGAGCTTCAATTCATTACTCATGACATTGAAGACTCAATTCGCCAAGAGAACCGCGACATGGCAGAGACAGGCGCCTGAGCCGCTGAGGTTCCAGAACGGAGGGGTCCCCGCCATCTTACCTAGCGGCTAATAGTGCCCTGCATCCCCAAAACGGCGCATGTGAACGGCCTCAACGTCCGTCCCGTTCCACTGAGCTCAACGTCCAGATCCACGTGGGGACGAGACAGTGACGACATTTCCACCGTCTTCTGTGGCCGACCGTCTCCGCTTTCAGGTTGATTTCACCGGGCATCCTAAGAGACAACCACACCTTGGGTTTCGGTGACGAACGCAAGATGGCATCTAAAGACGCTGGCGCTGAGGCCCAGGATAAGGGCAAAAAGGTCGACAAACCTGAGGAGGAGCAGGAGCAGGTAGAGAAGTTCTCACCAGAGGAAGAGGCGGTAAGCTACTCTCATAACTGCGACTTGATGAGATGAATCACTTGAAATTCATTCGGTCTCAAAACGTTCTTGGCTCTCAGCTTCACTTTTGTGGTGAAGCATGAGAGCCGGGCTCAGAACTCACCCTCAGCCGGCCATTGATCGAGGCAACACAGTCACATTGAAATCACCGCTAACATCCGCAGTCCCTCCTCGCCGAGTCCAACGCGAACAAGACTGAAGCAAACGCCCTCTTCGCCTCGTCAAAATACGAAGCCGCCATCACAAAATATGACGAGGCAGTCGCCGTCTGCCCCAACTACCTCGACTACGAACTCGCCGTCCTCCGCTCAAACATCTCCGCCTGCCACCTTAAGCTCTCCCAGTGGAAAGACGCAATCTCCAGCGCCACCGCCGCCCTCGACGGCCTCGACAGGATCGAGAAGGAGGCCGCACTGGAGCAGCAGCGCCGTGAGGAGGAGAAAAAGGCCGAAGAAGAGGACGTCGAGGAGGAGATCGTCAGCTCCGGCGCCAGCAAAGCCGCGCCCGCACCGGTTGGTAGCGATGACGACCCGGAGGAGGCGGCGCGGCAGAAGCGCCGCGAGGACGTGCTGAGGATCCGCGCCAAGGCCTTGATGAGACGGGCGAGGGCGCGGAGCGAGGAGGGTGGGTGGCAGAATCTCGCGGGCGCCGAGGAGGATTACAAGGCGCTCTCGAAGATGGCCAACCTGACGCCCGCGGACCGGAAGATCGTGCAGACCCAGTTGCGAGTGCTGCCGCCGAGGACCAAGGCCGCGCAGGAGAAGGAGACGGCCGAGATGTGGGGGAAGCTCAAGGATGTGAGTCGTACCTCTGATGTTACTTGCGATCACGGCTAACGAGTATTCACAGCTGGGCAACGGCATTCTGAAGCCGTTTGGTCTTAGTACCGACAACTTCCAGATGGTCAAGGACGAGGCTTCTGGAGGCTACAGCATGAATTTCACTCAGGGACAGGGTAAATGAGCATCCGTGTTCACCTTGAAAATCTTCGACATTCGCGTAAACGAAAATGGGGTTGACAAGCGACCTCATACACATAGACTAATATCAAGCATACAACATAGCTACATGACAGCAAGTCCCCGAAATTCGATTCATTTCTACATCCACTCCGTCAGTGTGTAATGCTGGAATTCGATTATGAAGGCTCACTCAAGCTCCAGGCTGAGATAATGGAGTGCTCTTTCGCCACTCGGTATCATTTCAGATTCACCATTTGGGACCATCATAGATCATCAACCAGGAATCTTACAATCGGCTCCAGGTACAGAATCCTTCGTGCGACCGAATGGGAATGTGACAATAAGTAAGACGGAGGGCACCCCCAGAAATCGCCGACAGCAAAGAACGTCGGTATTAACGCCGTCCATCGGCGTTAAAAGAATGGCGAGAGCAACTTCCCCGATCGCCGATGGACGTCGAGGAAGGCATCAGACATGCAGCCAAACCTGAGCTATGCGTGTAAGTCGGCGCCGCAAGAACAAGCCATTGCTGTCATCTCTATGTCAGACCTGCGTACCTCGTGAATCTATAAATCGCCGTCGAACAACTCTCACAATACGATCACTTCACCAACTCACCTCCAACCTCAATAACATCACCACCAACCATCCTCATCTTTCCTTACAATGTCTCTCAAAAACAAAATCGCCATAGTAACAGGAGCATCCCGCGGCCTTGGCGCCAGCATGGCCCTCCACCTCGCCGAACAAGGCGCATCCGTAAGCCTCTCCCCCCTCATCTCACCATTCACCCACTTACAAACCTCACCGCGAAGATAATGCTCCTCTACACCTCCGAAACCAGCGCCGAAAAGGTCGACGTCCTACTCACCAAAATCACCTCCCTCCCACACCACCCCCTCGCAACATCTTGCAAAACAGACCTCTCATCCCCCTCCGCCCCCGCAACAGTTCTCGCTGCCCTGACAACATGGCTCGGCAGCCCCTCCTCCAAGATCGACATCCTCGTCAACAACGCCGGCACGGAGCTCAACGCGCCCTTGGGCACCATCACAACCGAAAACTTCGCAGCCGTCTACGACCTCAACGTCCGCGCCCCTCTGCTCCTCACCCAGGCCCTCCTCCCGCGCCTCAACCCGGGGTCGCGAATCATCAACATCTCCTCCGTCGGCGCCCGCGCCGGGTTCGCGGGCCTGGGGCTGTACTGCTCGTCCAAGGCCGCGCTGGAGGGGCTGACGCGGTGCTGGGCGCGCGAGCTCGGTGCGGACGGCACGACGGTGAACTGCGTCGCCCCCGGGCCAGTGCAGAGCGACATGCTGGAGAACATACCGCGGGAGATCGTGGAGATGCAGAAGAGGGAGACGCCGGTGCAGGCGAGGGTCGGGACGGCGGAGGAGGTGGCGAGGATTGTCGGGTGGTTGGCGAGCGAGGAGGCTTCGTGGGTTAGTGGGCAGGTCATCAGCGCGAGCGGGGGATGGGCCATGTACTGATTGCGAAAACGTGCTTCAACCGCGATGCTGTAGTCAGGTCAACAATGTCATCACAGTAAGCCAAAGAGATATGCAGAAACGCAATTCTTGTTCGTGGGTATATATCTCTTTCTTTCTATCCCTCCACCTCACGCCGCGGCAGCCTTGGCAGCCTCCTTCTCCTTGGCCTTCTGCGCCTTCTTCTCCTCGATCTGCTTCTGCTTCTCCAGCTTCTTGAGCTGGTTCTTAGTCATCTTTCCGTCGCCGCCCTCCGCCGCGGCGCTCTCGGCGCCCGCCTTCTCGCGGATCGGCACGTTCTTGAGGTTCTCTGAGCCGCCCCAGACGAGCGGCCGCCTCGCCATGAAGAGGTCGACCGTCTCCTCGTCGACCTTGGCCCGGCGCTCCTGGAAGGCCGTGCAGTATTTCGCGAGCTCCTGGGCGCAGCGCTTCTTGATCTCGCCCGTGAGCATCTTGCCGGTGCGGTAGTCCTCGCGGATCTGCGCCAGCTCGGCGTCGTCGTCGAGGAAGAAGCGGAGGTACTGGTACGAGACGTCGACTACACTCCGTCAGTATTGAGCCAGGAAAACATTCAAAAAGACGGAGGGACATACCATCAGGGTCGGCGCCCTCGGCGCGCTGCTCCTCGGCCGTGACCTTGCCGCCGCTGAAGGCGTACTTGTTCATCTTGTTCTCGATCTGCTTGGGGGTGTCCTTCATGAAGATGGCGCTGCTCTCGATGGAGGCCGACATCTTGGACCCGGGGCCCTGGAGGGCGTCGAGGAAGCGGGAGTGCAGCAGCGAGGGCTTGGCGTACTTGAGACCGGCGGCGCAGTCGCGCGTGACGCGGAAGTAGGGGTCCTGGTCGATGGCGCAGGGGATCAGGCACGGGATCTGGGTGGTGCGGGCCTCGTCGTCGCCGAAGATGTGGGGGAAGGAGTTGGCGAAGGAGGAGGAGGCCTGGATGGAGGCGAAGTGCACCTTGCCGATGTTGGAGCTGTCGTCGAAGCCGAAGACGGCCTTGGCCGTGTTGACCGTGATGCGCTTGGCCACGCGGGTGATGTTCCTGAGGGAGTGTGTTAGGATGGTTAAGGCGTGGTTGGAATTACGGGGGATTACTTGTAGAAAGCGCCGCCCATGTAGTCATAGTCGGAGAAGATGAACGTTCGCTCCGGGTTGAAGCCAATGGCGATGCTACAATGGTCAGTCGTGGCGGACAACATGCCGACTCTCGGTGTCGACTCACATGTCCTTGGCGTTCTCTCTTGTGTAGTGCATAACCTCCTCGACTGTCCTCTTCTCAGAGAACAGAAACTTCTCGTCTACCGCATTCGTTAGAAAAAAGTCGCTCGCAAGCCATTGAGTGCCTCACCATCCGTCATCATGATCTATACCAAGTCAGCAACTTACACCTCCAACTCGTCCATAGCCAGAGCAACATACCACCAGCGGCGCGTCAAGAACATCCGACAACCACTTCGTCAACTGGAACGGGATAACGTGTCCGATGTGCATGCTGTCGGAACTGGGTCCGCGACCTACACCATCACCAACCATCATCAGCATCCGCGTCTACAACTCCCCCCTTCCAAACCTCGTCGACGCACCGGTGTAAATGAAGAAAGGTTCCTTCTTCTCATAACGATCCAGGATGAGGTCGAGGTCGCGGTGGGAGAAGACAATCTGCCGACGCATAAAGTGATGCGGCTTGTGTCCCGTGACACGCTCAAAGCGCTCGAGAAGTGCGTCGTCGATCAGCTTCGTGCCGAACTCGTCCACGATTTTCTGTACACACGCGCGCCCACGTCAGCCCTCCGCCTCCCTGAACCCCAATTGTGCTCTATCTCCCCGTCCGCGGCAACACTCCCGGACGCCAATTGGAGGGTCCGTACCTTGTAGTCAATCGCCTTGACCTTTCCATCCTCGCCAACCTCGCCGGACACGTTCCAGGGATCGACCTTTTGTCCGCCGGTGCTCGTGGCGGCGGCGGGGGCCACGGCTTCGGCGGGGACCGCGGCGGTCGGTGCTTCGGGTGCGGAGGCCATTTCGAGTGTGCGGTTTGGATCTTGTGCTTTTCGTCGTCGACCGGTTCGGGAGGAGGAGGAGGGAATGGGGGTCACGGTGGCGGGGCTTCTTTAGGACCAGGTATCGCCAAAAAAGTGAGTCAATGGAGGGGTACGGAGGGGGAGTCACTGGAGGCGATCTGGCGGCTAAAGCCCGGTCAGTGCCCCGCTACCCCGCATACACCGAGGTTGTCTTTCGGTGAGTGCTCGGTGAAGGTCACTACGCTCGGGGAATGAAACCTGGAGCAAAGGATCAAGCTAAAGCGCCTTCAAAAGCGGCCGGGCTTCCTTCCGACGTCAACCCAGGCGGGAGTCCGCCGTGAGGCGCGAGTCCGCCCGGATGCTAAATACGTCCGCATAGCATTTTCATTTGCAATATTGTGTGGTGCAAAGGGCGTACTGGGTGCTGCCCTCGTGGACTTGAAAACTGCCAGCGCCCTGCGCATTGGCGGATGTTAAGAAGGATTGAAGGGCGGGTATTTATTTTGGACAGGCTGGTCTCATCTTGGTCATCGTGGATTATGAATCAGGTCCCGCGCCCTTGAGAGGATCGCCAGTGCCTCAGGCGGTGGTTCATACTCATCTTGTATAAGAGATCGTGAGTTTCGCCCGAGAAGATTCAACGGACAACACCACCAATCCAGTCTTTACATCTCACTTATACACACCTCAAAAACACATCTTCACTCACAAAACCCCCAATCCACAAAACCAACCCATCTCAAAATGTCGACTCCTATGCTCACCCTCTACCGCTTCGACGGCGCCTGCTCGCTCGTCCCCCACGCCATCCTCGCCCACTTCAACATCCCCTTCCACGCCGTCCCCATGGTCCCAGGCCCCTCCGCCGGCGACCCCTCTGCCCCGGGCCTCGGCCTCCGCGCCGCCGACGGCTCCCTCTCGCACGCCGACTACCTCAAGATCAACCCAACCGGCTACGTCCCGGCCCTCGCGACGGAGTCCTCCGCCGCTGTGATCACCGAGATGCCGGCCGTGCTGGCCTACATCGACGCCGTGGCCCCGCACGCCCGCCTGTTCGGGGAGACCCCGGTCCAGCGCGCCCAGGTGACGGAGTGGCTGGCCTGGCTGTCTGGGACGCTGCACGCGACAGGGTTCGGTGCGCTCTGGAGGCCTGCCAGGTTCGCGGAGACGGAGGGCGCGAGGAAGGAGGTCGAGGTGAAGGGGAGGGCGATTGTTGATAGGTCCTTCGCTAGGATTGATGAGAAGTTGGTTGGGCGGGAGTTTGCTGTCGGTGATGGGCTGACTGCGGCCGACTTCAATCTTTATGTGTTCTGGTTTTGGGGCAACAAGATCGGCGTCGACATGGCTAAGGTGTACCCCAACTACGCGCGACTGATCAAGATGGTGGAGAGCCTTGAGGGAGTCAAGAAGATGCGGGAGGTTGAGCACCTTTAAAGAGCATAAGGAATACCGGGGTCTCGTGTTGTGTTTACGGAGCATCAAATAGACACTCGCCTTCTTTACACATTAATCCATAATTCATAGGGTTATCTTATCCATCTCTTTCTCTCCCTTTTTACCAATATTTCTCCTCCCAAATCACAGCCCGAATGCAAACGTTCTGATTAAGTGTAAATACTCTCCGTGACCTGGTTGACTTGCAGGCCCTTCTCGGCCATTTCCGCGTCTCGCAGGAAGTCGAGCGGGAACCACACAAGGTGACCCTTGATCTGGTCAATCTTCTTGCGGGCATCAGCGGCAGGCATGAACTGGTCAAAGATGTGGCCGGACTTGAGTCCCTTGGGCGGCAGATATCTGTCGTAGTCATCAAAGGTTTTGACTGCCGCCGGGTTAGTACTGCTCTTTTTCTTTTTGCTTAAGGTATGGGACTTACTGTGGTCATCGGGGTCGGCGTGGAAGAGATGTCTGTACAACTCGGTGTTCCTCGTCGCGTTCGTCGTCCACATGTTCCACATGTCATCGTTGAGGGGATCCTCAACGAACTTCCACGTCTCATCGCGATCCCATGGGTCGTTGGGCGCGTCATCGCCTGGCGGCCGGGCGTTGATATCCTCCGAAGCGTCCAGGGGCTGGTCTGGCAAGAGACCGAGGTGCTCACGCCACAGGTAGCGACGAAGAGACGCCGCGTGCCATCCGGCCTCGTACGGCTGGCCGTTCATCGTGCTGGGCACGCGCTTCGTGTCCTCCATGACGATACTCAACTCGCTGTCGTGGTAACCCAGCTGGCTGCGGTCGTTGAGGTTGCTGGAGCCGCACACGACAATGCGATCGTCAACGATCAAGAGCTTGGAGTGAATGTAGAGCTCCTCTTGAATCCAGTTACGGATTTCAGTCTCGGGATCCTCGTCATCCCAAATCTCGTCCTCGACAGAGCCCGAGTTAGCCATGGCGTGGTGCGCGACTGAGGAATGTGTCTGATGCCCGTTCTCTCCCAAGCTTTGCTCGAACTTTCGTTTGGCATCGAGCGCGTTCACGGCCTCCTGGGGGCGTCCTCTTCCGGTCTGGTCGTTCATAGAGCCCATGTGCTCATCGCGTTCAGTCGAAACGGGATCGCGGGTGCCATGAATGCCACTACCCATGACCTCCTCGGCCTGGGCGCGCTGAACTTCCAGATATTTGACTCCAGTGTCCTTCTCTCTCTTCTCGACCGCTGAAGTTCGGCTCAGTCGGTCGTATGACCGGAGGTTGAAAAAGAAGATGTGGTTTCTGGGATCGACGCCCTGCGCCCTGCACTGCTCAAAGATGGAGTGTTCGCCACGGCAAATGGACTTGAATTGGTAGTCCATGATGGCTCTGGTTCCTGTGGCAGCGTCGTCTCTGAGATCACCAGCAAACCCGGGGATAGCGGGGATGAGGATGATGACTCGGAACTTGCGGCCCTCCTTGCCAGCTCTTACAACAGCCTCAACAATGGACTTTCCGATGGTGTTGTGAATTGGCGCCTGCTGGTCTCCTGTGGCCGTGATGAAAAACTGGTTCTCGATGTACACAAAGTGCTCGGCCTTGCGGATGATTTCCGCGTACGCGTTCTGAATGGAGTGATCGGTCAGGATACCACTGGACCAGTCGGCGCTTGATCGCACAATCTGGGCGTGGATGGTTCCGCGGTTGTCCAGGTTCTTGGTGCTAAGGTCGGTCTGAGGATGGATAATGTACTCTCCAACAGGATGCTTAGGCCTCTGGACTCCGACAAGATCCTCATCCTCATCCAGACGTCCTCGCATCTGGATCCAGTCAAATCGGTCATCACGCTTGTATTTGTCGCGCTTGACAAAGTTCCAGCGCAGGACAAAGTGCTCCGCGATATCGTAGACACAAGGGCCAATAACACCCATAGCGACGTCGTGCCAGGGCATGCGACCGTATTGCGCCTTGCTCAGTTCGTTCTGCTTCCAGTCCTGGACATTCTGGAAATCCATGATTCTGTTGTTGTTAAAGTCCTGACCCGGCCAAACCTCGTTCTGCACACCTTCGGGGTGAGCATCAGCCAGAGGGTGGGTCATGGTATCCCAGCGGCCGAAGCAAAGGTCAAGACCTCCAATGAAGGCCATGGCATAATCGATTACGATGAACTTCTCGTGGTGGGCCCAGTAGAAGGTCATGTCGGCGGCGTTCTCAAAGACGTTGTGGTCGGGGTGGCGCATGACTCTGATGTTGCCATAACCCGGGGTACCCTCGGGACAGAGGGCCTGCAGGGCGTGCTTGGTGTGTGCGGAATTGCAAGTCAGAGCGGCCTCGACTTCACGGTAAACAATGATGTAGATCTTGACTCCAGCCTCGGCGCGTCGCTTGAGGACCTGATCCAGTCTCCATTCCTGGTTGAAGTGAGGCGGACGGCGCAGGAACAGCTCTGGCGAAAGCCACCAGTCGGCGATGTAGATGGTCTCTTTGGCCTGCTCGAGCGCCTCGGAGACGGCCCAGAAGTAGTTGCGACCGTCCACGTACCACTTGATCATGTTTCCGTCGCGCTCGGGGAAGAAGGATGTGAAGCGGTGCTCTTCGGCGATTTTGGCTCGCTTTTCGTCGGTGGCCTTTTCGTGCTCTTCATCGTGGCGGTGGTTCGCGTTGAACTGTCGGATGAGTTAATCTACGTCCCTCGCTTACGCAGTATGTCAATTAAAGTAGATCAATCAGAGCTTACAAGGTTAGCCAGCTTGCCAATCTGATGCTTCTTGTGGGTGAGGTGAACTTTGGCATCGTGAAGGTGAGTTCCCTCGAGCTTCTCCTCGAGCTCGCGGAACGGCTTCTTCAGCTTGTGGAAGAAGCCATCGTTTGCACCTTCTTCCTTGTGATCTGTCGTAAACACCATGGCGACGGTTGGAAAGGAGGGAAACGGGTATCAAATAGCTTCCAACGGCGTCAATTTCGTGATTTCGTAATGGCTTGGAGGGGTATCATAAGAATCGCGGGGTAAAGCGAGGGGCGGTGGATAGGACAAGCCACAGCATTCCAGCCAACACGGGCGATGGCGGGCGGGTTGAGCGTGAGCTTGAGCTTTGGTATGAAGCTTGGGGACTGTGGAAGAAAGTAGAGCAGTAGACAAGACGGAAGACGGAAGAGGGGATGGAGAACGGCGCGAGACAAAAGCTTAAGGGAAAGCTTGAAACCCGGGCCCTATGTCATACGGGAGGGATTGGATCGGAAACTGGGCTGGCCAGCGGAGAGGGCGGACTGGGCCAGCGGAGAGATGTGAGGTCAGTTGGCTCGGCCGGGAGCAGGAGCGGACGCAGGCCAGAAGCAGGATTCGGGTTGGCAGAAGGAAGAAAAGTGTGGGCGGCGCTGGGGCCGAGACGTTTTGGTGGTGAGACAGGGCGACAAGGCTAGAGTGCCATTCGACGAGCTAGAGGCGGGGCATCTGACGATCTTCTGGGTCGAACGAGTCGGGTCTTGTCTTGGGACTTTGTGTGTATTGGAAGTTCTTGTTGTCTTGTTGTCTTGTCGTCTCTTGGAATCTTGGAAGCACAACTGAGGCTTGTCCGAGCGACTCTGCGTGTAACCGCGATGATCCGATGCGACGGGAGATTCTAGGTCTTGGCCCCTGGCTTCGATGCCACGTTCGCTCAGGAACACCACCAACCAAGTTGCCATTTGCCAAGGTCGGCCTGTCCTCAGCATGGAAGCTCACCCTCCATCGGGCCAGTAAAGGGAGGTGAGGGGCGGTACGGAGGCCGAGGAATGCAAAGCCGCGCGTCTTGCGCCTCCCCAAGCGATTGGGACTGCCAATTGGTGGCTGGGTGTTCGTGTGAATCGTCTCGTCTCGTACGGATACAGCTGCAGGCCAAGCTGAAGGAGGGGTGACAGCAGACTCTGCTCCAGTGTTTCTCAGCCCAGCAAGGGCTCGCGTGCTCGCTGCTGCTGCAGCGTGTCCCTTAGCCTGGGCCGGACACTAGCCCGGAGTCATTGGACCTGCTGCTTTTGCCATCAGCTGAAAAAAAAAGCTGTCAGAAAACACGCCAAACAATAACGTAAAAAGAGAGCCCCGCGCTCGATGCGCCGGTGGCAGGGAAAGTCGAAATTGGAATTGGTCAAAGTAACGCCGTCACTGGAAGGAAGGTGGGCTGCTACTCTATTTTTGTCTTGACGTCATTTGGAGATGGCAGGGGTACTGATAGGTCGATCTGATCTTGTTGTGGGTCTAGAAGCGGTATCGATAAGATACCGTTCGCGAGCAGGTGGCAGGAGCTTCCAAAGTCCCGGCAGGAACCTCTCACAGCTCAGGTCCTGCCTGCTGTGACACAAAACTTGCATCTGCTATCAGCCTTCCCAAGTCTGTCAATACCCGAAAATGATCAAAAGAAAATGGCATGGCCCGGTGCCGAGTACCGGCTTGTCCTTGTCATCGGACATCATGCCAATGGCGCCGTTTGGGTCGCCTTGGGACAGCTACCTTGGCGGACTGAAAGCTATCCCGACTCTCGACCTGTATGACATTGAATGTGACGTCACATCGCGAACTGGCCTCGGCGACTGATGTTTCCCCATCCTTGCTTGTGAAGTCACCAGCAATTCCAGGCTCGCATCGAATCAGGCGTAAAAATTTGCCGAAACTCGATCTCACGAGTCGCACGCTAGAAGTTGGATGGAAGCTACCCATGTCGGCCCTCGGATGGGGTGTTGGTCTGATCTCAGCAGACACAAAGCATGTTTTCTGGCACGCCGTGTGGTCATCGCTGCTAGAGTGTGCGTCTGTTATTCTGAGATATCGAAGATACTGCTTAGCTGGCGCATAACAGCCGTCCAGGTCTAGTAGATGCGGCTTAGATGTCTTCTGAAACTTTGCGTGAATCTGGGGTTGAGGTCTGAGACCTGGTCCAGCTAGCGCAAACACCCCGTTGAGTTGATCGTCAGCGACTCCTTCAGGTGAGAGTACGCACCCGTTTCGGCTCTAGATCAACTCAATCTGTAGATGTTCCACGTGTTGGTCCGACATGGGGTTCAAAGTAGGTCATTCACACGTGGCCATCTGCGTGGCTTCAGAAAACAGCTCAACGGCATCGTCAAATTGGTTTAGGCCTGACGGAACCAGTAAGACATGATCTAGACCGTTAAATATTTGTTCATTGTCACATTATATACGATCAGTCCGCACCGGCCTTCAGTGAAACACCAACGCCCGGATGTCGATGCTCTGCCGATGCTCCGCGTCGTCCATCTCCGCGTCCCGGAACGCACAATGCGCCGCCCGCCGAACCACCGACGTGTCCGAGTCGAAACACTTAATCAGCAACGGCTCGTCCGGCCGCTGTTGGTTCTTGTAGTACCAACGGTGCTCCGGGTTCGCCTTGATGGTCCACGTCTCGGCGCGGTGTCGGGGGTAAATGATGGCCCCGGCGACCAGGTCCTTCTCGGCCACTGAGTTGCCGTCGGCGACGGCCAGGGGGTCCTTCTGGACCGTCTTGATGGGCCGCCAGAGGTTGATGATCTGGAAGCGGCGCTTCAGCAGCTCGTCGGCCTCGTCCCCCAAGTGGTGCCGCGCCTGCATGATGGCGCCGTCGTAGGACTGGTCGACGTGCGCCTTGTGCAGCGGGCCGCGTCGCTCGGTGTTGCGCTCGCCCAAGCTGTGCCAGTTGGCCGGTCCGCGGCGGATCTGGTGGTTGAAGATGACGACCCTGGTGGCCCCGGTGCTGGTTCGGACGAGGGCCCTGGTGAGCATGGGTTCTCTTGATTGCGGCCCACCGGCATTCGTCGAGGCCCTTACACCGCTCCATCCGCATCGTCCACTGGGACGGGACACGGGCGGGTTTGCAAGTGAAAACTGTACTCACATCTTCTTGTAGAGCAGTTCCGATTCTGGGTAGTAGCGAGCTTTGATTTGCTCTTCGTCAGTAAAGTCCGTCTCGTCGCTCGCGTGGCGAAGATACTGGAAGCCGTGGGAGTCGAGAGTGAACTTGTCCTCGTCGCCGGTGATGTCAGTCACGGTCATGGTATGAGGGACCATTTTCCTCTCATTGGTGACTTTTTGGCTGGGCAAGAGGATGTGAGCATTCTGATCATCTGTCTGCGTGGAGCGAGCGAGTGGCATGAAGCCATTCGGGGAGACGACTGAAATGGCGTCTTACCCCCCAACGATGACCGGGGTCGGAGGGGATCCGTCGCCAGGGTCGTCGTAGTAGTTGATGCTGGTGACGATGTTTCGCCGTCCAGTTTCTGTGGATTTGGCGGGTGCCGTGTCTGGCACAGATTGAATCGTCGTCCCCACGGCCATTCTGTCTGTCTTTGTGGCAAAGTTGGAGTCTTGATTCACGATCTGAGGTGGTAGCGAGGTGGGAAGCGGCGACGGTTCATCCCGCATAGCAGAGTTGGGCCGTTCTGGCGAGAAAACGTGAGTCGCGGATCACAGAAGCCTCAGGAGATATCCAGGAACACAATGATGCTCGTCAACACGCTCGACAAGAAGAATGGAGCAACGGAACGAGGGTCGACCCTTGATCTTGTCTGATCTTAGCCGGCCGCACGGCAGAGGGAAGGCGCCCGACTGGCCGGAGCTCCGCTGTCTCCTTTTTCCGCGACCCCGCGATGGACAGTGCAGAATGGTGATATGCACAGTTGACATGCATAACTCACCGTACTTCATAATGTGAGCAGGAATGAGGGGTAATCTAGCTGGCACTGTACGGCGTATCAGGATCCAGGAACGCATCGCCTGCCGTCCACCATTGGACCCCGCTGTCCCACCTCGCCAGCTGAGGTTTAGCGCCGTTTCTCCAATCGCTACTGGACTCACTGCACCGTGCCAGGTGCTGCAGCATTGCTCCAGTGGGGTCGCCTGGGCCCAGACACTGTGGGCACCTGTCTGAGGTCCCCGCCGTGAAGCTGCAGTGGTGCGTGTCTTCCCGGCTGGGTGCTTGACCGCCCCTCGATTCCGTAATGCCAGGGACTGGACAGCTTGAACTCTCCATTTTCCCATTTCCCATATCACATTGTTCTGCTCTCAACAACTTATTGTCTTCCTCATCTTTCTTTCTCTTTTTCTCTCTATATCGAAACCAACCAGATCCAAATTCAGACACAATGGCTACTGCTGTGATCCCCCCTGGAGGCACCTACCTCGACACCTTCAAGAAGTCCTTTGTCGATGTCCCTGTCGACGCCGAAAAGGAGAATGCCATCGGCACCTCGGAGTTCCTTGATGCCGCCGAGTCTCTGACGACCATCTTCGGTAAGTAACACCAGACCTTCCCCAATGGCCCTTTATTCTAACGAGTACTTTTGCAGATGCCCTCGGTGGTGTCGCTTTCGGTCCCGTCAAGAGCGACATGGGAGGCAACATCAAGGTGCGACCTCCCCTTTGGCGACTCCCTCCATACTCTCCCTCGCTCTCCCTTGCCTCGATTCTCTATACACATCAAAATGCCGCATTGTCGACCCGAACAATAGCTTACATATTTTCGAACTGCAGAAGATCCGTGAACGCCAGCTGGCTGCTCCCGGCGAGTCTGCCAACCTCCAGGACCTCGTCAAGAACGAGCTGGCCACCAAGAAGCACGTTGCCACCGAGGGTCTTCTCTGGTTGACTCGGTATGTCCTACAACACACCATGCCTCAAATGAGAGCAACTCAAACTAACGGGTCCTGCCTCCAGTGGCCTCGAGTTCACCTGCATTGCCCTCAGCCAGAACGTCGCCAAGGAGTCTGAGGAGCTCTCCGAGTCCTTCCGCAACGCCTACTCTACCACCCTCAAGCCCCACCACAGCTTCCTCGTGAAGCCCATCTTCAGCGCCGCCATGAGCGCCTGCCCCTACCGCAAGGACTTCTACGCCAAGCTCGGTGATGACCAGGACAAGGTCGCTGCTCAGCTCCGCGTCTACCTCGCCGCTCTCGAGAAGATTGTCGGCATCCTCAAGGGCTTCCTTGCCAGCAAGGACGCCAAGTGGTAAACAACGTCTTTCTCTAGAAGAAAGAAAAAAAGGAGACAACGGAAGAAAACAATAAGCGCAAAAATAAGTTGGGAGATATTACAACATGTCATTATCAGCTGCGGTGCAAGTCATCCGTCAGCTACGAGCCAGTCTACGCAGCCTAGAAATGAATCACGCCGTCGAAGCAGACAAGGCGTTCTTTGATCTACATTGGACCAGTCCAATATCTTCGTCTCCATACAATGCTCTTTGACGTCTTCCGGCGCAGTCATTGTTTCCCGAGGACGTCCGTCCATATAGGCTCGTTGTCACCCGGTCTAACGGCAATATGACAAAACATTCGAATTCTCTACATCACCATTCAACTGACGAGACTAGGTAGCTCGTCGAACCACGATACATGTCGAACCAAATATCACGCATTCCTGGCCTCGCCGGCGCCTTAGGCGACTGGCAGGTCAATCTCCCACCTGAACTGTATCTCATGATCGCCGAAGAGTTGGGCAACCGCGTCGTGAGCGAGGAACTGCAACTGGATGACACGGATTCCGAAACAGATCACGCAGCAAACGATATTCCGGAAGAAGAGGTCAGCCCTCGGATCAGGCAGATAACAACCTACATACAAGAGTGTCCCAGCATGAGCATGCTCAACGCCAGTATGGTCAACAAATTCTTTCGACGGCCGATACTCAGCACTGCTCTCCGCTGGGACGCCATGTGCTCGAACCCAATGGCCATCTATCACGCAGCCGCAAGAAACTACACGAATCTTCTCAATAATGCCTTGGGGCAGCCAGGGGCCCAGCCAGATTATATGCCAATTGGCCACGGTCGTCCTCACATGCCCCCAATCATGGTGGCCGCTTGGATGGGCCACCTGGATTCCGTCAGGATTCTTTTGGACCATGGCGTCGACATTGAAGAGCCCATTGTATGGGACGGAAGATTTGGAGCAGCTCCTTTGGTCGAGAGCATCACCACAATGCTTGAGCACGCTATGAACATCAACATTTTCGTGCAGTGGACGCCTCTTCACGCTGCTCTATTGGCGCCCCAAAACGCGTCCGATATTGCCAAGTTACTACTGGATCGTCTTTCGCCGGCCTTCGACAATGAGCACGTCGCACAGTCATCGGAAAGACTCTTCGCCCACGTCGTTGCGATGGACCTCGTCGATCTGGTAGAACCCTTCATGCAGCGCGGAGCAAGGCTAGACCACGGTGGCCAGACAGTTCACGGCATGCAACTTCCTGTTCTGCACCACGCCGTTTCTGTCAAAATGATCCGAAAGTTGATCGACGTCGGCGCCACCGTACAGACACCTCGCAGCATCGGGCTTAATGCGTTGCATGCCGTCTGTCTTCGTCCATTGAACTGTACCGCAGCCATTCAAGAACTTGTCGCTCGAGGAATCGACCCGAACGAAGCCACAGCCGGAGGCCCGGAGCGTTCTGCCATCATCACAGCGTACCCAAGGCACGCCCTGAAATTCAGAATTCCCCAAACGCCGCTGAACCTTGCCTGCCGACAACTCAATCTTGACCACATACAGTTGCTTCTGAGATTGGGCGCCAGCGCTCTGGGCACGAATCACGATGTTTCACAGTGTACAAACTATAGTGATGCTGATTTTTTCCAGTCGTCGCCACTTCACGACTTATTCCTTCCTGAAAATCTGGCCCACAACCCATTAGCCCGTGACGGAGTGAGGCTCAGCCAGGCAATCAGAGGAGCAATCGCCGCTATCATCCACTACGGCGGCCAGGATGCGCTTCTACGCAGGCATCGGGTAGGCATGGCCAACATGACGACTCATTTATCCAATGTCGCCAAGATAGATCGATCTTTCTGGTACATGTTCGGATCTTCACAGAGAGTCACCCTACTCACTCCGCTGGAACTGTTTTTCTTGCAACCACTTGTGGATGACGCGAGAATCCCCGATGCAATGTGGAGAGCTGCTGATATTCGCGACCAGATGAACAGCACAATGCAAGTACTCCGTGTCACCCCTTTGATTGCCCTCTTGAGCCACCGTTTCGATCACACGTTCGGCGAAGCAAGATTTTACCGTCCCTACCTCCTTCGTTGGCTCCTCGATCATGGCGCTGATCCAAACCTTTGCGACGAGGAGGGCTTTTCGCCGCTCCACTACGCCGCCTTCTGGCTCGACACAGACGCCGTCACCATGCTTCTCGAATACGGCGCCAAGACGGTTGTCCAAGGGATGGTAAGAAACCTGACAGCCCTTGACGTTGTCGTTGGCTGCGCCTACTCACAAGTCCAACGTCAAGCAATGAAGGACCCGTCGACCGATGATCTAGACAGCCCTTGGAAAACGATGGTTCGGTTGCTCGACCGGCAGCAAGCAGAGCCGTACGGCTTACAGAATGGGATCGAACGCTGGGCAGCAGGCTCTCAATTCCCAATGTGCGCGCTCCCAAACTTCGAGCGCAGGTTCGGATACAACAGGCTTGACGAGTACAGTCACAGGTTTGGAAATGGTGCCCCCCTGCCGGAGCACATGAATGTGCCCGATTTTGGCAGAACCCTGCGCGAGCACATAGATAATCGAAAGGCATCAATCATCAGTATGTTGCTGTCATCTACGTCGTCAGGTACGCCCCTGGCGAACGGTCATGCCCAAGGGGCTGGTCTCAGGCCGTCACCTCCCAACACGTCTCTGGACTTTGCCTGTGCGACCGATCAGCACAGGGAATTGATTGACATGCTCTTTCAGGCTGGTTTCAGACTGAAGAGTTGCCCGTCGCCTCTGACTTACACTAACATGCCGCAAAACGTGGCTGACTTCAACTGGAACCAATGGAGACATCGTCTTGAGTCGTAACGACGAGGACGAGGTCTCGCCTTGGGTGTTCACGGAGGGGCTGTATACAATGAGAGCGTGTGGTAACGTGAGTGTTTGATGCTGTTCTTGGCTTATCGGCGTGTTTGCAATTTTTGTTTTGCATTTCCGGGCGTTGTTGAATAGAATCGAGCAGGTTCTCATGTCTGTTTTTTTGAAAATACTTCATGTTTTGGCACTAAATCAAGTGAGTTACTTGAGCTGATTGTGTTATCAGAGGTGTTTAGCACAGTAGAGAAAAGATCGTTCGCATTACTTGCCTCTCAATTGAAAGATTGACAAGCCCATTAACTGCTAAACGAGATAGGACGCAAGGCCAAGGGCCAATCCCAGAACAAGAGCCATGTCTATCCTCAAGCCCGTACCCTCACTCTGCCCTGGCCCAACTTCTCCCTCCTCCTTAGCTCGGGGACAGATGATCTGGACCTTGACCTCGCTCTTCTCCGCCCTACTCCTATCCCCAGGCCCAAAGGCGATGATCAGGGGATTCACAAACCCCCTCGCCAGCTCCAACTTCTCCCGATCCCCCTCCGCACCCGGCTCCGTCCCCCATCCCATGACCTGAACGCCCCTCGCGCTCCCGACCCCCGAGTCCCCCAGCCCCCACGCGAAAGCCTCGCCCGCGGTGATGGAGTTGGTGGTGAAGCCCGAGCTGTCCGGAGCGCCGCAGATACTCGGGATGCTAAACGGGCACCCGTCCTCGAGATCAAAGTCCTGCTTCGTCGTCCAGGCACTCAGCATCGAGGCCTCGATGCCGCGGAGACAGCTGGCGCTCCACAAACCCCCGCAGCTCCCGTCGTCCGAGGCCAGCCGCCGCATGATGGTCCCGTTGACGAGGAGCGAGGGCTGCGAGTAGCACACCCGCCAGCTCGCGTCCAGCTTCCACGCCCCGTCGCCGCCGCCGACTCGGAGGCTGGGGGGCGGGTTGAGGGCGACGCGGACGCCGGCGATGAATTTCGCGCGCTCGGTCGCGTTGAGCTGGTTCGGGGTTGCGGAGGTTAGGGGGATGTTGTCCTGGACGGCGACGGAGACGGACCAGCCGGCGATGACGGGGGCCGGGTAGGGCTGGGATACGTCGGGGGCGTCGAAGGGGTAGAGGGAGGAGTAGGAGGGGGAGGAGAAGGAAGAGGTCCAGGGGTCGTTGGGGATGTAGTAGGGACCTTGGGCGTTGCTGGTTATTTCGCGGACGGGTTCGGAGGAGGAGGAGGATTGGGAAGTTGCGAGGGGTATTAGGGCTAGGACGGCGAGGAGGGATTTTGTGGGAGGCATTGTTGCGGGTGCAAATGTAAGTGGAAGAGGTCAAGGTTGGTGTTGTAGTCGCACTGTTTGAGTTTCTCGAGTAGTTGAGAGACCTAGGCCGGGTCGACGTGTTATTGACAACCAGCTGAAGATGTCTGTAGATATGATTCTTGCCGGAGCTGCGTGATCGTTTGTTTTTATACATCTCGTACTTTGGTTGCGGTTGTCTTCTCACTTCCCGTTATTGGATCTCATCATTGCTGAGATGGTGGTACCGGTGGTCTTGGCTGACGATGCTGACTGCCTGAATAGGATGAAGAGGTCGATGGATTGAGACAGGCCATACGCCCGACGAAGGTTGGTGGGACTTCCAGATTGGCCAGCACGATGGGATCGGCACTTTGAGAGAATGCTGCCGCCTGACGGCGTGTCTTTTGGTTGGGTGAGAGACGGTTTCCCCAGATCTCGGAGCTTTTCGAACGCGGGTGAGTTCTCCGCATTCTGTGTAACTTGAGTCTGGAATGACTCTGGACTTTCGAAGTCGAGCCTAACAAATGAGATAATCGCTGGAAAACCAGACAAGTTCCTGGCCGTCTCCGTTGGATCTTCATCCAGCATCAAGAGCATGTGCCGCATGAAGTACCAACTGGCGCTCCCAGAAGCACTTTCTGCCGCCACAGGTCGCAGCTGGCTGTAAACTCTACCAGTTGCAGATTCCAAAGCTCTTCAATGATGATCTTGTTTGGTATCTTTGCAACCTTAGGGACATCGTGTCTCATGTCAAAAAGACTGCGCTTCCATGATCCATCTGGCTGAGTCTCATAGCTTGCCAAGGTTTCTTCGATAGCCCGGTACAGCTCATGGAGGTTGTAGGGCATGCTCTCCGCTCGTTTTCCGCGCACAAAGAAGCTGAAAGTCTCTCTACCGAGAAGAAAATGATGCCCAGCGGCGATGTAGGCCATACCGATGTCGTGGCTGAGACGTTCGTGGCGGCAAACGTCTTCGAAGAATGAGTGGTCTTCGCCGCCTTGGGCCAACACCCGTCGTTTGACTCGCGCCGCCTCTTCGAACCACTCATATGAGATCAACAAGAGGTCCGTCTGACGCGCCATGTTCAAGCGACAGTAAGTATGACGCCATGATCGTGTTAGGGCTCAGACAGCGCCTTCTTCTCTGCGGAATTTCGAATGGAAGTTTCGTCGAGGTTAGCTCGCTTTCTAGTCCAGGGGTGAAGAAGGCATGAACATGGTCGTTGATCGTGTTCCACGCGAGTTTGCCGAAAGAGAAATCGCATTCTTTTTTCGTGCGTCGGTCTGGGAGCTCTTTAGATGACCCCCGGTACCCATCTCCGATAGTGACAGAGTAGAGGTTGATGATGTGGCACAAGGCAGAGCCCTCAACTTCCATCGCCATCGCGCCATTCTGAGTGGTGATAATGCCGTTAGCCAACGGCCTCCAACCGACCACATTCATTCCAGGACGGATACCCAGCGCAAACAGCAAGTAAACCCAACATGCCGTTCCGATTGTGGGCATTCCTAGGTCCTGGTTTTGTTTCTGCCAGGGAGTGAGACTCCAGAAAGGTTTAATGCTCTCGCCGTCCTCGCAGGACGGGGAAGGGCTCTTCTGGGGAGCGCCGGGTATTACTCCATCAAGCCCCACGAGATAGTTCTCCAACTCCTTCAAGCGCAGCACGGGAAATCGGCATCGGGCATTTCCATCCAATGCCTCCTCTTGCCACGCTCCAAGGCTGCGCTTCAACAGCTTGGCTTTCACTGCGCTCTGGTAAAGAAGAGAAACGGGCTCGCGGATGAGGGTTACGATCGTGTCGGCAAGCGTGATCGTCTGGGATATATCGTTCTGTACTCTGGACACGTCGGATCCCGAGCCTACTGCCATTGCTACAATGCTGGGTTCAGGCTGTGTATCTTCCGTCGGGTATGCTTTTGTATCTGTTCTCTCGTGTGTTTTCGTAAGCGCTCTGCGTGTCTGTACACATCCTATTAGATAATTAATGACAATGAAGCTGCGGAGATTAGGCTGGCTTCAGCCGCAAGTAACCAGGAATAATTTGCTCTTCTTACTCGGTGGGCTATGGAGTTGGAATCGACAATCAACTGAACTGTGATCAAATATGGACTGCACAGTTTGTACGCGTGAAAGTGTTTCATGTGGTCTGGCTGGGAGCTGCTATCTTACGCATGAAGGTCCAAATATATTGCGGCATGGTTAGGTTACGGAATAAACAAAGCATTTCCTCAGCTCTGCCCTATTGCGTCTTTGATGCAAGACATTGACTTTAGTGTCAGTGTGCTGAAATCAGTTTGGGTCTAATATGGTTTTCGAAAATCCGCAAGCGGCATCTCGTGGTCGTCCTGGCACTAGATGCTGTATTACGCTTAAGCAAACACCTTTTGGCGCATCGTGACGCCGCAAGACCAAGCTGCACAACTTCGATGTGATAGCGAGAAGGGAAATCTGTCTTGTATCCTTTTCTTTGACTTTTATACAGTTGGGTATCTTGCAACCTTCCCCCCCGGGGATGATATCAACGCAAACATCACGAAAATCGGTTCGGTTTCTACCGGCAATTCATGCGTGAGAAACGACGACTACCCAGTCGATATCAAGGGGCCGAAAAGTCACGCGACTTCAAACTTGGTTAAGATTCAATAATAGTGGAATCAATTCATACCCAAAGATCACAGAATACAAGATACCCTTTTCGTCGCTTCAAATGATGTCTCGCAAGGATACCAACCCTTAAACTACGTGATCTGCATTCAAGGATGTGATACATCTCAAATATCAAGATTTTCTCTGGCTCGGCAGCTCAATCAGTCGCTGCAGATTCTACAATGACCAATGACAGGGCTTTTCTGGCAATGTCATTGTCACACCAACCACCAACAAGTTTGCTCTTGACCGAAGCAGGCGCCCAAATAGCTCTGCAAGACACAGAAAAGTGCCCCCATAACTTTCCATTGAATTGATCAATATTCTGGGTATGTTGCATGAAGTTAGGGACAGTGGTCCCTTGTTCAAATGAAGATCGTCGCGGTCTTGGAGTTGCCGTCCATGACATTTCATGTTCCTCAGACCTGTTAGTCTTCACCGTCATATTCTTGGTGTAGTCTGATACGCTGTCGAAAGGTCGTTGGTGTCTGCCTAAAATTTTCAGAGCTCACACTGGGCGCTCCCCTTCGCGAAGCAACTCTCCTGCCTCACCCATCAAAATCCAAGTTCTCATCACAATATTTCCAAGGTCAAGACGCAAACTCCCTCAATTATCGGCAGAAAGTTTACAGACTGCCAAAGTGAGACCATGGACGGCGACCTAGACTACTCGGACGACGTGGAAATATGCGAGCCGGTCGATAATCCACATTACGCCGAACCATCTCACCCCCTGCGTTCCAACATCTTCAACGGCGGACGAGGCTACCTCGTGGCGTATCCGTCGATAGGAGGCCGCGTCATCCTCACCCCGACTCCCGTCGACCTGCAATATCTCGATCTACCCCGCACCCACGATACTGAGCGATCCCTATCCAGCGTCGAAGAAGACGATCTCGCCCTCCGCATGCTCCGACTCGGTGCTCACTGGTGGCCGACATGGTCGATCTACGCCCGCCATCGCGAAAGTCTCAACAACGGCACGGTATACGACTTTCACTTCCCGCCAGACGTCGTCGGTGGTTATCCGTCTTCCGGAGGGGCATGGGTCGCCAAGTACACCCCTGAACGCATACAGCGCTTCAACGAACGGAACTTTTCGCTTCCGATGCGGCCATTCGAGTGGGACCGGGTTATGCGGCAGGTTCTCACCATGGACGAGAAGTGTGCCGCGCTGAAGGATTTCGGAGCGAGGTTCTATGAGGATGTGAGGGAGTGTGAGGATATACCCAAGTCGTTGGAAGAGGGAAGGCAGCAGTTTCAGCGATATGAGAGACACCTTGAAAAGATGGACGATGTTGAGTATCAGCGCCGGTGGTATGTCGCCTTCCACATCGGCGGCCGGGAGATTGAGGTGGAAGATGGTTTTGATGGTTCGAACGAGAAGGCGGGAAATTGTCAGGGTTGTGTGGTATCTTAGTCTATGTTTGCCGACTTCTCAATATCGATAGACAAGTCAAGCACGAGATTTGTATCGGGTTTGGACTACTTGTAGCTTTAGCACCCAACAGATGAGCTTCTAATTCTTTCTTCGTGGTGTCGAGTAGCTGTGCTAGACAAGGGGATGTTCGTAAAGCATGTCACCAAGTCTCTGGAACTTCCCCGCCGTGATGCTATCAATCCACTTCGGGATACTTCGCAGATGAAATGCACTCCGGCAGAAATGGATTGCCTCGAGAAAATCCGTCTTCAGCAGGCTCTCCTCGACTTCCGTTTCCCAGTCAGGTCGTGACTTTCGCATTCGTGCTGCGTAGGCCTCCCTCAACCGAGTCTGTTCATACTGCAGAAGATGATCCCAGTAAATGTCCTGTTTCCCCTCATTATCCAGGATGGGATATCTTGAGGACACGTCCGATTCGCTCTCATCCGCGTATCTGTCCCGGTTGGGCTTCTCTTCTCTTCGTAGTCCGCTCAAGAAGTCGGGCAATGAGGTCACGGCCCATAAGGGCACCGCGGAAACACATTCCCAGTCCAAGATGGCCGTGAGATTTCCATTATCATCTACCAAAATGTTTTGTAGAGACAAGTCGTTATGTTGCAGAAAGGTCCGTTCGGGAGGGTGTTGGATGGCAGGGAAAATCCGAGGCAGCAGGTCGAGAAGCTTTTGTGCGATGGGCAGAGTTCTTTCTGCGTCTTCTTTATCGTCTTCGTCCTCTGCTTCTCGTATTACCTTTTGGTTGTTGAGGATGATAATCCTGATAAGCGAGCTTAGCCAATCGTGGCTTGAGCGAAAGGGGCCACGGGGAACGTCAAAGTCGTAGTTGTCTCCCCAGAAAAAGGCAAGGGACATCATCTTGCTTATTACGACATGCCCTTCTTCGCTCTGCACATCTATGCTGCTTTCGAGGCGAGGGGTTCCGATGCCGCGGAATGGTTCTTGCTGAGGCCCAGAGTTGAGGATTTGCGCTTGATAGTCGGCGATCTTCTCCACCAAGGCTGTCTTTTGAGCCATGGACATTCCCCTCCATCGTGAGTAAGCCGAGGCGCCGGGCATAAACTCCATCAAAATCCACTCGAAGCCGATCTCATCGTTGTTCGAGTCGTTAAAGGTGAATACCTCGGGGACTGGCACGTCAGTCCAGCGTCGAATCCAGGACAAAGTCGCCACTTCTCCACGAGTTTTGTCGCCAGGGCATACCGGGAGAGACACCCGCATGATTCTTTTGTCGCCGTCGCTTTTGACAAGATACAACTTGTTGAAGGCACCCTCTGCGAAGAACGAGACGTCGCACCAAGCGCTGTCATCGACGCCCAGCTTCCGGCGGCAGACTTTCTCGATGGCTGCTATGGAGGGTTCCCGCGCCCAGCGCGGCGTAATGTCCCAGAGACCGTCCTCCCAGTAAAGTCCGTCTCGGCTTGGTCGCGTCATTCTGGTTATACTGCAGACTTGATGCTGGTGGAAGGGATACTGGCAGCTTGGGTGAGTGTGCGAATCGTGAGAGGGCGCTCAGATGCGGAGTCGTACTATTTATTACCAGGTCAGATGCTGCATGCGAAAAGGCGTTGAACGAAATTTAAGAAGAAGAGTACTAACCAGCGTGGGAGATATGTCGTTGCCTTTTTCTCTTTTCAGCCTTCAGCCAACAGGCCGTGTCTTGCTGGTGTATTTGTACCTACCTAGGTAAGGTACGGAAAGGAAGAGCAGTTTGGGTGAGAAAGCGGTTGAGTAAGAACATTGGAATCACCAGACCCGCATTTCTGATTTGCGATAATAAATTGCAATGCGATGGATGAGTAACCTTTTTATTTTTTTCCTCATTACAATAACTCTTCATATGTGAGAATCTTTTCGATAAGCTTCCAGGCCGATATGGCTCTGCAAAGAATTCTTGCCCTTCTCAAAATGACGGCTGAAATTGAACCTTGAGGTAGAGAGCACCTGGTTGCATACTCGGCCAGATCCGCGGCAGTTAGTCGTCTGCTTGCATGCCACGTATGATCTTCGACCCTTCTCGTTGAATGAATAGCTGAGATAGGAAAGGGAACAAATAAGATGAGAGTGTCATGTCTGAATGCTAGGCTGCGGTTCAGGCTGACACTTTAGTCGTTCGCGCAGACTAAATAATCTTCGCATCTTCTGTGCTGCCTCCAATTTATTTGTTTGTTATGCCCGTAGAATCGTTCAACATGTAGTGTGGCTTCAACATTGGGTAAGGTACCTGGGTTTGCCATCGAGTGCTCGATATGTTGATGGTCTGGAGGTCTTCTCTAGAGGTTTTCTCTGGATATGAACAGATCTGTTGTCATGTATGTCGATCGACCACCTCAACGGAATGCTAACGTCAGCCGATATGCATCTCTGACGATGGTAATGGGAAGCAGACGTAAATGAGTATTTGCGCGGACTTCAATCTGCCTACGAGGGCCTAGCAACTGCAGCGCAATGAAGGTCTTGTAAAGGCTTTTGACCCAGATCTTAATGAAATCATCTTTCGCAACATCAATCCCTCCATCAGTCACCGTGGCAAGACAAGCAAAGTCGAATTTGTTTTTGAAGAGACGAATTTGGTCTGGTCGAAGAGAGACGATCTTGCGGCTTGCCGCACAAGTTCATGACAACATGACAAGCTCCAAATCCAGAATTGCAGGAACGGATGGTTCATTGAGACGAGTCAAGGTCTTCTACGTGGCTGGAGAGCAACACCGTTGAATAGCGTGTGACGTAAGATCAGGTATCATATACACTCACTATGTTCCTGATGTGGATTATGATGAGTCGACGAGCGTCCAGTCTTTTAAGGCAAATTACGCGTGGTTGTTGATTGGTGGGAACATGCCCGTTACCTTTCGGCTGACTGCAGTTTTGATTGTTGCTATTCGAGATGCTGATTTAAACGAAAGTGATGAGAGATCTCATTGGTGTCGGGGTCTTCCCAGACGATGACAATCCGTCTCGGTTAGAGAAGCAGCAGACGCAAGGGGAGGGACTCAGAAGAGGGTACGCAAGCCCCTCGGGGCGAAACTTCTCGTTTCGCCATATGGAGTAGGTCCAGCCTAACTCTCATACGAGTATTGTTCAAAGAAGATGAGTGTGGAGAGAAACTCTAGTATGTTTCCTAAGATTGCATACTTGTAGTCGAGAATGAAGTTGACAACCGCAGGGTCCGAGAGCTCCGCTGTCCGGCAAAAGAAATCCGGACGTCTGGAAGCTTCGGCGCCGTTGGAGGTTCAGGTTCCCCTCGGTTGTTCCTGGCCGAATAATTGTGTAGTAACGATGGACAACAAGCTCAGCGCTAGAGGTAGCGATGAGTAGTTGCAAGGAAAAAATAGCTGTGGAGGACTGTGGTTTTCGCTCTCCGGGCGCCCGATCTGTTCCCTGCGATAATCATCCACCTACAGCGATCATTCAAACCCAAAAACAACCATTCTCCGAACAACGAACTTGATAGATCGACCGGCGGAATGCGACGTAGGAGGACATGACGTCCCGAGGAAACCTACGAAGCGCGCTTCCAGTCTCGTCCCGCCGAGCCCTACAACGGAAAAGGAGCCGTGAAAGCGCCACGGCGCCGTTACGACTTTGTTGATGGTGGAGAGACTGGAGTCGCTTGGCGGGAAATTTTCTAATCATTCGGGATTAGCGTCAGGGGCGGGATGGGCTCCTCTCAGATCCCTGTCTGCAGGTTCGTCCTGTCGCTCGCTGGCGCGCAAGGGCCTGACTGAGTTCTTGGGAACCTCTAGGCGATCATTGCCCGAGGAGGGGCGGTCGATTATGAAGGTCTAGAATTTCGGGGATTTTTGATTGTTGGGAGGACTGGACGATGATGGCAATTAGATTGTTACCTTGAACCTGGACGGATGGATCAATGATTTTGATTGGGGATGATTTGCAGAGTCATTGCTAATGCTCCGTAGCGGAAGATGGCAGACGTAGGGCGAGAGCGGCTATCTGCGGCGTGACCCATGGGAGTCCTGAGGATGGCTCGGGAGTTTTTGGCGTCGTGTCTGTGGGTTGTGATGTCAGGAATCTGGGGTCATGTCAGAGGCGTGTTGGTGATATATGAAGACTGATGTGAAAAAAGCATTTCAGACGGCGCTTACGGGTTTTACAGAGACAGGGTCAGCAAGGTGGTTGTTTGACATGACCATGGACGCCTCGCCTCGACTTGTCTTACGTGACGAGTTGTGAGAATCTCATCAATCAATCTCATTTCACGTAAAAATGAAAACGAAGACCATCCGTGACATCCGCGGAATCGGGTCACGGTGGTCATCGTTCATCATCATATCGAAGGCCCCATGGAAGAATCCGTATCTAAACGAAAAGCATCTGTCGTCGTCCTCAATCGCATGGAAGCAATAACGAACCCCAATTAAGCTGCGACTCGGTAAAGCTAGCCGCCTAGGCGACCCCGGGCGACGCTGACAGGTGCTGCAAGGATCTGTCCCGCCAGGAGCTGGACTAACGGATGAAGAGAGAGGCGAAGACTTCGAGGCCTTCTACTGCATAGTAGTCTCCAAGGAACGAGCAGCTGGAATATGAGCTGATGTGTTAGTTGATCGCCGTCAGTAACATGGACTTACATCGTCGTCTTAGGGCCGGGTTAAAGCGTCCTATTCCCCGGATTTTCGGAATCTTCCAATCCTCTCAGTCTGACCTGCAAAACTGCAAAAAGTGACCAACTGAACACCACATTTGAGCCAGGGCTTGAAACGAGACCCGGGTGCTGGGGTGACCCATTGGTGGGATTGAGCCAGCGTCATCCCCACCTGTTTGATATGAATTAAGGAGGGACGGGACGCTGTCTTTTCTGTCTTTTTATGAAGCTCTTGGTAAGAGAGGAACCACAAGGCAAGGCGCTACGGCTACGGTATGAGCGGCAGAAGAGCCTGGACAACTCGCCCGCCACCCCGACACCTTGTTCTCCGAGTCCATCGTCTGAAGTTGAGGAATTAAGATCGGGTGTTAAGGCCTTGGGATGGCGCGGGCGATGTGCAATGCCGCGATTGATGCAAGTCAGGGAACCGAACTTTACTTTTAATCCCTTTCATCATCAGGCCAAGACCCGGTTCGAGGTAAACGAGACCGCCATCGACGCAGAGAAACAGCCGGAGTTTAGAACACAGAGCAGAGATGGAGTCAGCATAGAGGATTGAGGATTCTGGGATTTCCCCAAGACCACACCGGCTGTCAATGTCAAGCCAGAACCACCTGACGTTCTGACAACGATCTAACCCCCGGTTCCCGGTGCTAAAAGCAAGCCATTCTCGGTTGGCGTTTCTTGCAGACAGCAAGCAGTGAAGCCAAAGCCACCCCGGGCCGCTGGTGGAGAGAGTCGAAATTGCACCCTCCGCCGCGTTTGCTTTGGTGAAACGGCCAGGGAGATTTGACCAGCCCATATCGACTTACACGCACATTACAGCAGAGCTCGGTTGCGCAGCAATATGGACGAACCCCGGCCTGGCCTGGCCTGTCTCCCGATGCCTTGTCGCTGTCGCCGTCCGACAAGGCGGTCCGCGCCCCCCTAATGGAGTTGATGGAGTTGTTGATGGGATCCATTTCAGACGTTGGCGGCTTCTCTTAAATGGAGGCAAACACCACGCTCCTCGCTTTCGGTGAGGCTTCTTTCTCTCCTTCTCTGCTTCAAGGGATTGTTGACCATCCTTGCCCGAACCGACACTCTTTTTTTCACATTCGTTCATTCATTCTTTCCAATAGGCTGAGCCCTATCAATCGCAACCAAACGAAACACCACGAAGACAGTAACTACTGTCATATCAACAATCCGACCGATTTTCATTCTTTACTAGGGTGACTTTGAAAGTTCCTGCTTTTTAGCCATCATGCGTTTCCTCTCCATGCTCGGCCTCGCGGCCGTGGCCGTCGCCCAGTTGACGACCTCCTCCCTCGAGAAGCACGTCGACTCCGTCACGCTCAGCAAGTCCTTCAACCCCATCAAGGAGGCCTACTGGACCGGCCTGCCTCACCACCGCCGCACTCCGTTCGCCGTCTCCCCCGACGGAAAGTCGGCCTACCTCGCCTACCTCGACTCCTCCGAGACGGGCGTCCACATCCAGCCCGTTGACCCCACCACCTTCGCCGCCACCGGCGACCTCGTCACCATCGACGGCGGCAAGGAGGCCGGCGGTCTCGTCGCCCACAACGACGGTTTCGCCATCCTCACCAACGAGGCCCTGTCCGGCGTCAAGGACCCCGTCGCCGTCATCTACCGCTACACCAACGGCAAGCAGACCTTCAAGACCTACCTCGGCGGCCCCGATGTCGATGATGGCCAGGCCATGATGTCCCCAGACATGAACGGTGACCTCGTCTTCTCTGAGAAGGCCGGTTACTACGCTGCTTACATCGTCGTCACCGCCTACGAGGGCTCTGCCACCGGCCACTTCGGCGATGCCATCCGCTACGTCGACACCGCCGGTAAGCTCACCAAGATCGCCGGTGCTTCTTCCTCCTGGGGCTGCTCCCACAACACCGGTATCGCCTTCGAGGAGGCCGACGCTCCCCCCTTCGCCTCCATCTGCGCCGAGGACCAGGGTGCCATCTGGCTCAACACCAAGACCCAGGGCATGACCAGCGACGGCGTCAAGATCTCCAACGAGCACGTCATCAACGGCGGTGCCAACGAGGCCATGGGTGGCATGTCCGGCTCCTACTCCTCTCTGGCCCGCTTCGTCGGCGCCGACTCTTACATCTTCTCCTGGGTCTCCCGTGGTGCCATGGACCTGACCGCCAACGAGTGGATGGGCGCCGGCTACACCACCTCCAAGAACCGCACCAACAACCGCAACGTCGCCATCGCCCTCTTCTCCGACAAGAACACCCTCGTTGGCGACCAGGCCACCTCCCAGGTCGGTTCCGCCGACGGTGACAAGCAGGTCAACTGGATGACCTCTGGCGCCAACGACTGCTCCAACGCCCACGCCGCCGCCTTCGACGCCTCCAAGGCCCTCGTCACCTGGGAGGAGATCTCCAACCCCATCTGCGAGTTCGACGCCATGGGCTGCAAGGGTACCTTCGCCGGCACCAAGTTCCAGATGGTCGGCAGCGACGGCAAGAAGGTCGGTGAGGCCATCTCTGCTGATGACACCTACGTCGCCGGTGACATGGTCACCATGTCCGACGGCCGCATCTGCTGGCCCTACGTCGCCATGGACTGGAAGCTCGACGGCCCCGCCCAGGGCTCTGCCGTGAGCAAGATCTCCTTCGCTTGCATGAGCGGTGGTGCCGGCTCCGGCTCCGGCGGCAACGCCTCTGCTGCCCCTTCTTCCGCGATCCCCGCCTCCACCGCCGTCGCCGCCGCTCCCTCCACCACCGAGGCCGTCGACGCCGTCGCCTCCTCCGGCGCCGCTGACCCCACCTTCCCCGCCGGCACCGCCCCCGAGCCCATCTTCGAGACCATCTCCGGCTCCGTGACCCCCAGCGCCAGCGCCCCTGCTGCCTCCGCCCCGGCCGCCGCCCCTTCTTCCGCCGCTGCCTCCGCCTCCGTCCCTGCTGAGGCCCCCGCTGCCTCTTCCGCGGCCGCCTCCTCCTTCTCTGCCCCGGCTGGTGCCCCTGAGCCTTCCTTCGTCACCATCTCCGCCGACCCCGTCTCTTCTTCCGCCCCTGCCGCCACTCTCCCCGTCGAGACCATCCCCGACGCCCCCGCTACCACCGTCTCTGACCAGCTTCCCGAGACCACCGCGCTCCCCTCCAAGACGCGCACCAAGAAGCACACCCGCACTCGCAAGGGCCCCAAGCCCACCGGCGGTGCCTCGCGCCCCAGCGGCAAGTGCAACACCCGCACGACCATCCACACCGTCTACGTTACCAAGCGATAAACGGCGCGCATGAAGAATGAGGATGGATGATGAGTGAGTGAGAGGGATGTGGGGGAAGGTTTGCGCGTCATTTTGGCGTGGAGAGGCTTACCTTGCTCACGCCCGGAGATGAGCAGTTGATGAGAGAGAAGCGCGCAAAAAAGCAACCCTCTCTTGAGGAGAAAGGTGAAAGGATTGGGCTTGAATGAGTTTCATGTACATACTATGTACTCACTGTACACAATTTTCCCACCTCGCGTCTCTTTTTCGCGTCATTCCACTTGGGGTGAAGTGACAAGAGAGCGAGTCAAGGCCAGTGGCCGATTTTGAGCAATTGAACCAACTCAGTTCATCTTCGGCACTCGGAAGTACTCCGGACACACATGAATGCTTCGTCCACGTGAGATTGCCTGATATGAGAGAGACGACCAGCCAGAGTAGACGGGTCAGGTGAGATATTGAACTCCACGGTTCCTTGGCTTTATTCAGCGGACCTGCTGGGTCTCACGGAAGAGGCCGTGAATTTTATTGATTTTGGGTGGAAGATTGCGCCCGATGCGAGAGCGAAATGCGATAAGAGCGTCCATGTTTGTCGTGGCCCCCCTTGTGAGAGACATGGCTGATGAGTCGTGAAGGTTTTTTGAGAAACGACAAACGGCAAACGGCAAAACACGTTTTCGAGGGCGGGAAATGAGAGAGTGTGATTCGGATTCCATCAACGATTGCATCCGGCCGCATTCGGCAGTCAATATTGGCTGGTTGATGGGTATTCCTCTCACAAACGTCCAATTGGATCTCATCGCGAGCAAGACGCCGGGAAATTCCTCTCAGAACTCAGGGTCCAAGCATCGGGCATCCTGTTTTCCCACAGAATTAAGAGGCGGCCTAAACACCCTGAATGGACAGCCGGCGGGTCCCTTCTTACATCTGAATCCCTGCCAGAGCATGCTTCCTTCAGGGGCATCTCCTGTCAGGAACGGCGATAATGGACGGCCATTGGGGGCCATCGTTGGTCGTCGTGGCCCAAAAGATCCAAAGGGGACGCGAAAGCCACGTTCCTGCATGGGATCCAGGACCAATGAGCCCCCCGCTGCGGACTTGAGTGCCTCAATTGGTCGTGGTGTAGGTTCGACTCTGCCACAAGGACGGGATCCCCTTTGATGCGCTTGATAGGGGCGGCGATTTGAAGGCGACACTGACCAATAATGAGGTCTAAAGCGCTTGAAGATGGTCCCTTGTGCCGAGAGACGCGTTTCTTTCGGGAAGGACCCTGGCCCGTCTTAGTTGGAGCTGTAAGTCGTCCACCTGATTCTTACCTGACGGCGCATCGTCCACGACTCCATCACCAACAGTTCTGACTCCTCTTCTCTTCCCAAAAGGCAGGTCTGTGATGAATCCTGTACCGATTCGGCAGGAAATCACTCAATCTTAGCCGGGGTTAAGGTCAAAGTCCTCGCCGCGCCGGCATCGAGTCCCGACGACGGCCATCATCCGACCTTGTCCTCGACCTTGCGCACATCACCAAACGCAAGATCGAGGGCCACTTCTGCAATGAGGTTGCATCCGTCATCTTCCAATGCCATCCTTTCCCCTCTTTCGGCCCTGAATACCCCGGTCTAGTGGGAACGATGCCAGATAGACTCGTGGCCCGGATTGGTCTCACGCCACCTCGAGCCGCGTCTCCCTCCATCCAGTGATGTGAGGCACATGCCTTCGACTTCTCTGGGAGAGGCAACGCGGCTCCTCTCGTCGCCATATGCGCCAATATCGGCACGCCAATCTGATCTCCCATGTGCTAATCGTCTGAAAAGGGTATGGCCATCAGAGAAGAGGCACGAGATGGAGGGTGCGGGAGAGGAAGCAACACAACGCGCGTGTGCTTCATATAAGGCCTAGTTGCCGCCTCTCCCGTCGAGACCCTTGGTGTTGAAGCTGCAGACGCACCTGTCCGCCGGTGATCTCGCGATCTTCTAGTCATTCCTTGACCACTCACTGCCAATCCAGCTCGAATTCTGAGCGTCCTGTCTTTCTTGATACCCTCTATTGCAATTATCACGACACGTTTCTTAATACCTTATTTCTAATACCCACACTCACTTACAATGGCTCGATCAACCATCGCCGGCCTCCTATCGGCCGCCCTTCTCTTCGCTTCCGGTGCGGCCGCCCATGCCGAGGGTTGCGGATGTTCCGACGGCGTCAAGCGCGTCACGTACATCGTAGTCGAGATGCCCGAGCAAGAGCCCGAGAACTTCCCGATCTACTCAACCCTTTCCGCCTCCACGACTCTCCAGACTCTGCCCACGCCTACGCCTACACTCGGCGGCCAGTTCGCTGCTCAAGCAGCCCATGTCATCGAAGACATTCCGGCCTACGAGCCCATCGCCGCGAAGCCCGAGACCCTCCGGCCTGCCGAGAACACCACATACACTTTCGGTCCCAGCGTCCCTCCTAACGTTGACACCAAGGACCCCGTGAACCTCGTGCCCGCCAAGAATGTCTCTCTCTACTACTCGGCTGCCGACTCCGAGGAGCAGGGAAGCATCAACATGACACTGGCTCTCAACAACCCTGCTGTGGTTCTCGAACAGGTCGATGCAGTGAAGAGCGTGGTCTGCGGCGATGATGAGCTCACGGTCTCCTTCTCTGCGTTGGAGGCCTTCGATGAGGCCGTCAAGGACTGGTCCGAGTCCGAGGAGGGCTTCATCTTGATCACCAACCACTTGGGTAACTGCGATGCCGAGTTCGAGCGCGGGTTCTTCCTGGCCACCGGCTTGAAGTCCAACAAGGACGACCTCTCCATCACCGTTGCTGCCTCCAAGGAGGAACTTACCAACATCGCCGGCCAATGCGAAATGTCCTTCTCATCCTTGCCGGCCGCCACTCTTTCCAAGCGCCTCACTCTCGACCCCAGTGTCTCCCTCTCTTTTGCCGAAGGCCTGGCAGACAACACTGTTCTCTACAGCGACGGTCAATACATCAACGTGACCGCTGATGAAGCCTGGTTCTCCTCCAAGATCACCTTCTCCGGCTACCTGAAGTACAACTTCTGGGGCTTCAAGCTCGAAGCCCTCTACTTCGACCTCGACACCACCTTCGACTCCGCCGTCGGCATCTCCGTCGACGTGACCGCCGCCTACAGCCACCAGCTCAAGTACGCCCCCGACGAACTTGCCTACTCCCTTGTCTCCGTCCCCGGCGTCGTCCAGCTCGGCCCCGGCGTCGCCTTCGCCGTCGGCCTCGACTTCGACGTCTCCGCCGCCGTGGGCGTCACCGCCGGCCTGAGCGTGGCCCTTCCCGACGGCAACGTGCACCTCGACCTCCTCGACAGCAGCAAGTCCGTGGCCACCGGCTGGGAGCCCAAGTACAGCAGCTACGCCAACATCACCGAGGCGGCGGACGTGCGCGTCGATGCGTCGGCGGACGTGACCGTCCAGCTCGCCATCAAGCTTCTCGGCGGCCTCGTCGACCTCAGCTCCGGTCTGACGGCGACGCCCGGCTTCGACAACCGCTTCAAGCTGCGCGGAGAGCAGAACCTCGGCCTCAGCGGCAACTTCACGGCCCCGCCCACCCAGGCGAGCGCCGAGGTCCCCAAGGACGGGCTGATTTGCGCCGAGAAGAACGGCGTCGAGCTGGCGACGGACTTTTACTTCAACCTTACCGCTTTCGCAACCAAGTTCTGGAGCGCGGAGCTGTACCACACCCGCGTGCCTTTGTGGGATCTGTGCTACAGCTTCTGAGTGTGAAATTGAGTGTAAAATATCGGGGGCAAGTCTCGCGCCAAGACGAGACACACTACTACTACCTGATGAATGATTTCTTTACGATGTATAATACTATTTCATAATACAATACCACATAAAGGGGGGCCTCTGCGCGAATTTGAATCCGCGGATGAAGGGCCCCCTGCTTCCACCAATATTGGCTTCGGTCTTAGACTCTCAAGGTTATTTGTAACCGTAATGGCATCGTACGTGACGAGACGGCGGGCTACGACCATAGCTGCCGCACCAAAACATGATCAGCCGGACCCGTGGGCGACGATCGCGATTTTCAGCGAGAGCGAACGGATCAGCAAAAGGAACTGCTTCCAGAAATAGCTCAGGGAGCAAGGCAGGGTGGTCGGTCTCGACGTGTTCCATCTGGCGCTGACTGAAAATCACGCGCCGAAAGCACGGCAGGAGAGTCGAGTCTCGACAAGTGCAGCCGACCCCGAATCCCCCACAATCCTTCTCTCCCGAGCCCAGAGCCGTGGTTCACCTGTTTCGTCGAGGCAATCAAGCTTATCCAAGGCTATTATTTTTGGCGTTCTGCTATTGACTTGCGGCCAAGGATTGGCGCCCATCGTGTTCATCACGTCTGGAGGTGTTTCAGGATCGCGAAGTCCCGGTTACGGATGACACATGTCGTTATTGACTGATGGGATTGTTCAAGCTCAAAGATTGGACGGTGGGAACCAAAAGCCGTGGGCAGCCACCCTCTGTGGGCAGAAAATCCAACGTCAAACCTCACAGTGAAAGTCTCGAGCCAAGCGTTCGACGTGTGAGAGAGAGAGAGGGCAGTGAAGGCTGGGGGCCAAGTCTTATGATGAGACGACGGAGCTCCTGAGACTGATGCAACTCGTCGAAACTTTTGTGGGGCCGCCTTCGACGTTTTGGATGGTTGCTTCTTCGGTCTGCCTCCTTGGCGGAATGCGGAGGACCCTTGCCGGGGGTGATTGAACATGGATACCCGGGGAACGTGGGTTGGAGGAGCTGAGTGCAATGGTCAAATGAGAGAACGACATACGAGCGAGAGGTCTTTTTTGACGTGTGATGCTTGGCACATGCCACCCGTCAGAGGATTCTGATCGGGACTCAGCGGGATGTTTCACGGGGGTATTATCCCGAGTTCAACGGGCTGAACGTCCGCTTCAGTTACCGACGCCTCGAGGGGCTTGAATGTTGACTTCGGCCTGATGGCGTGAATGGGTTGAGAGGTGAGGTGATGGTGAGTTAAAGTTGGGATATAAAGACTCAGCTCTTAGCTGATGGATTAAGCATCTTTTCCTTCACCTCCACCTCTCATCAACTTACCATCATCTCCTCCTCTTCCTTTCTCTTTCTTGAGCCAGTCTCATTCTTTTCGTATCTACTACTCGGGCAGTAGTCAATCCTTTTGCGTCTATTCACTTCATCCCTTCTATCTCTACTTGTGTATTAGTTCATCAATCACCTCACTCAAGATGAAGTTCACCCACGCAGCCGTCGTCCTCCTTGCCGGTGTCGCCGCCGCGGCACCAACAACCTCTCAAGTTCTTCGCCAGTCCCAGCGCCAGCGCAGGGCCAACGGCAGTGGTGGCAGCGACATCATCTCCCAGCTCCAGAACACCTTTGACAGGAATAACCCCAACGGCACTCCCGCCGCCGCCGGAGACCCGGCCGACCTCAACGGCGATGGTGTGATCAACGTTTTCGAGGCCGGCGCGCAGGCCAGCAAGATGAAGCGCGGCAAGGGCAAGGGCAAGAACCAGCAGGCTGCCGGCGCCGGTGGCAACAACAACAACAATAACAACAACAATGATGCTGCCGACGGAGAGGATGCTGCTGACGACGCTGCTGGTGCCGGTAACGCTGGTAACGCCGCTGGTGCCGCTGACGGCGCTGCGGACGCGGGCAACGCCAATGCCGGCAACGCCAACGCCGGCAACGGAGGCAAGAAGAACAAGGCCAACAAGAACGCTGGCAACGCCGGTGCTGGTAACGCTGCTGCCGGTGGTGCTGCCGGAGGTGCTGCTGCCAACAACGGCACCGCGGCCGCTGGTGGTAACGCCGGTAACGCTGGAAACGCTGGAAACGCGAACAACCAGCAGAACGGAAACAATGAGCAGCAAGGAGACAACCAGGATGGTGCTCAGAACGGCGGTAACAACCAGAACGGCGGCAACAACAACAATGACAACGCCGCGGACGCCGGAAACGCTGCTGATGGTGCTGCCGATGCCGGAAACGCCAACGGAAACAACCAGCAGAACGGCAACAACCAGAACGGCAACCAGCAACAGGGAAACAACCAGGACGGTGCCGCTGATGCTGGAAACGCCGGCGCTGGCAACAACGCTGGCAACGCAGGTAACGCAGGCAAGGCTGGTAAAGCTGGTGGAAACCAGAAGAACGCTGGCGGCAACAACAACAACGCCGACAACGCTGCGGATGCCGGAAACGCTGCTGGCGGTGCTGCCGATGCTGGAAACGCCAACGGTAACAACCAGCAGGGCAACAACCAGAACGGAAACCAGCAGAACGGCAACAACGAGCAACAGGGAGACAACAAAGATGCCGAGGATGCTGCTGGCGGTGCTGCCGATGCTGGAAACGCCAACAACAACAACCAGCAGAACGGCAACAACGAGCAGCAAGGAAACAACCAGGACGGCCAGGCGGCTGGTGGAAACCAGAAGAACGCTGGTGGCAACAACAACAACGCCGACAATGCTGCAGATGGCGAGAACGCTGCGGACGATGCCGCCGACGGAGCTGCTGCTGGCAACGCTGGCAATGCTGCTGGAGGCAACGCCAAGTCCAACAAGGCCAACAAGAACGGAGGTGCTCAGGCTCGTCGCTTTCTCCGCCGCGAGTGGTAACTTCTCGACTCAGCATGGCGGTCCCACCAGGGTCGTCTTTACCATGAAGGACTCTGAAAACACCAAGGCCCGGACGGAGAAGGGCAGGAAAACATCTCAGGGCAAGACTAAGCCTTCTTCAAGGAAAGGCGGTGAAAAAAAGCCTGATAAGTCACAGGACGGTCTCGGGGCGGAGGAGAGCTCTGCGATGATGGGCCAACATGAACAGTCTGGTTCTGGGATGGACATTTCTGACTTGTTAGAGTACTATGAGATTAGATGTGATGAGTGATGCGATAATTCTACCTGGCAAGGTTTTGTGCAAAAGCTGAAGAAAAAGTCTGTCTTTACCGTATTCATGTTCAATAAGCGATTTCTTTTCATCGCAATCTCTCCCAAGTGACATTATGAATTTCAATCCGCTCTCATGATGACTTCACTTCGGATGACCCCAATTCACCCAGACTCAATCGCAGGCCGTGACCCTGTTACAGCCGGTTGATGTGGGAGAGACAAGGACTGCCAGATTACCGGGCGGAATATAAAAAGAACGGAACGTCGATCAGCCGACCCAATGTGCAAACAGAACGAAGAGCTCCTCGCCAGTCATGCCGAGTGAGTTTGGTTTTCATCTGAACTTGGCACCTGTCTCACTATGACATGAGATGAGATCCCGGCGTGACACGCGACTCACCGATAGCTCCGAGCATTTGAGAAAGTAAATCATACAAGCTCGGCCGAGACTTACTCTCGCCTCGAAAATGAGATCGCGAGAAACTCATCCACCGGATTGTAAATAAGTGAAGTTCTCACCGCTGAAGCAGATGGCTCAGCGGCGATTCAGTGGGCTGATCCGGGTCTCGTACTGCACTGCAGTTCGCCACGGCCCCGAACTCGCGGTGGGACCGGGCGTGCCTGCCATGCACTGCCGGGCGTTTTCTATGACGAGCCTCTTGCGTCAATCATCGCGACGTCACAGGCCGTCACAATTGTGAAATCTCCATAGTTCGTAACCGCGAGATAATGACATGCGATTAGAAATCGACAGACAACAATACAAAACCCGAAGAGACGTGATCTCTTTAGTTCCAATTGCCAGTTCACACCAACCACTCCAATTAATCACGAATACACCTCCAATAATACAGCACACGCCAGAACACCATCATGAGTTCACAAAGTACCGTCTTCCAGCTGAGTGGAACATGCAATAACTACGACTGGGGCAAGAAGGGCCGCGAGTCGCTCGCCGGTCGCCTTTGCGAGAACACCCCGACCGGCTTCAAGATCAAGGACGACGAGCCCTACTCGGAGATGTGGTTCGGCGACTACCCAGACTTCCCCGCCCGCGTTCTCGAGTCACGCGAGCTGCTATCCGACGTCTTGCAGAAGAACAAGGAGAAGCTGCTGGGGAAGAAGGTCATTGAGAAGCTCGACGGCCAGCTTCCGTACCTGCCCAAGGCATGTCTATCCTCGAGCCTGACACACAACATCTACTAACACGTTACAGATCCTCTCCATCGCGAAGGCTCTCCCTCTCCAGATCCACCCCAACAAGTCCCTAGCCACCAAGCTTCACGAGCAGGACCCCGACAATTTCACCGACCCCAACCACAAGCCCGAGATCGCCGTCGCCCTCGGCAAGTTCGAGGTCTTCGCCGGCTTCAAGCCCCTCGACAACATCTCCCCCATCTTCAACATCCCCGCCCTGAGGGACTTCATCCCGGACGACACCAAGACCTGGACCGACGAGACGCTGCGCGAGGTCACGCGCCGCCTCCTCCTCGCCGACGAGGCAACCGTGGAGAAGGCGTCCAAGGCCATCGCCGACACGCCGCGCGAGGAACTCGGCAGCAACGCGTACGTGCTGCAGCTCCTGCCGAGGTTGCAGGAGCAGTACGGCAAGGGAGACCCCGGCACGCTGGTCGCTCTGCTGTGTATGAACTTTTTGGTGCTGGAGGCGGGTGAGGCGCTGTACATCCCCGCCGACGGCATCCACGCCTACTTGTCGGGTGACATCGTGGAGTGCATGGCCCGTTCGAACAATGTGCTGAACACCGGCTTCTGCCCACCTGGTGACCGGAACAACATCGATCTGTTCAGCAAGACCTTGACCTTCAAGGCTCACAGCAAGAAAGACGTGATGCTCCCCGAAGAGAAGAGCTCGAGAAGCGTTGAGGGACGGACGGTGGTTTACCGGCCGCCGCTGAGCGAGTTCGACATGTTGCGCACCGAATTGGATGAGAAGAACAGAGCTGAGACCATCAAGGCGGGAGAAGGACCTTCTGTTGCGATTGTCACTGGTGGCGAGGGCCTTCTGGAGGCGGATGAGAGACAGTTCGAGGTTAAAGCCGGACACATCTACTTCATTGCCCCTGGAGTCGAGGCGAAATGGGGCACCACAGAGAAGATGCAGATTTTCACGACCGTCGTTTAGACTGGCATAGATAGAGGCTGTAAAAGTAAGGTTAATGAAATCATGATATGATAGACTAGAGGCTTGTTATGAATTGAAAGAAATTATGTATCGATTAATGATGACTGTTGTTGTGGGAATCTTCTAAGTCTAGGAAATTATTGGAAATGCAAACATGATAAAGCTCAAATGGTTCGATGCGCCGAGGTCGCTTTTTCAACTCCAAATCTCAGAAAATCCTTGTGCTCCCTACGAACTACACGCATAACCCGAGTCCCTATCCTTGCTCGCCGCGCTTTTGACCGCATTTTCGACAGCCGATGCGATGTCGAGGTGGAAGAATGGTCGGTTGATACCGGTGACTGCTCCAAGGTGGCGGGTCCCGTTCTCCTTGTTGGCAACATGTAAGACTCCCTCTTCCAAGCCGCAAGACGAAGACTGCTCGGAATCACTCATGACATACACAGCTTTTGAACTCTCCCCAGCCGAGGGGTCTTCACAGAGCAGGGGAGGTTTACCAGCCAATTCGGCAAGGGTGAACACAGGCTCCCATCTGTCTAGGTGACCTGTTGTAGGACATCCGAAGCCAGATACCGAGAGGGCACGGCGGGTCCACCTGCTCTGAAGGCCCGCGAAATGCCATTCGACCGGTTCTGGTGCTGCCCATCGGTCGAGTTGATTTCGCAGGTCTATCAACCCTTCCACAGCTCCGGAGTCCATGATGTTGACGGCGGAGCAGTCAAGGACGACGGCTCGAAGTAGCGGCTTGGAAAGTGCCGGTGCTTCCGAGTCGGTCTCGACGGAGGATGGCGGTGCTGGCTCGTTCCATGGCCTGTCGCCTGGGTGGTCGTAGTGGGGAGTTGTCGTCCGACGAGTAGAATGAGTGATGTGTTCGATGAGTCTGTCGACATATTGAGCTTGGTTGAGGTAGTTGAAGCCTTCAGTGAAGCGGTAGATGAAGACACCAGGGTATAGTTCCCCGACTTCTACTGCCGGGTTGGTGCCATCTTTCCGATCAAGGGGCAAAAAGACGTCGCGGGGAGGTCGGGGAGTGGATGATGAAGTTCGGGTGTGCGACAGTGTTTGGGAGCTGCTCACGGAATGGTGATCTGAGTCGCTGTACTCCGAGGAGTTTCGATCGGGGTGACGATAGGTGCGGACTCGACCCAAGAAGCGACCCCGGGCCCGAGCGAGGCGAAGAAGAAGAAGAGCTGCTGAGAGGGCGACGGTGACGTAAATCCCATCTTCCAAGCTGGTGAACACCGAGACAAAAACGCCAGTGAAGTAGATGAACACGTCTGGCGGGGACATGAGCCACGACTTGAAGATGTGGTCTGGAGAGGTGATGAGGTTGACGACGGCGTGAATGATAAGCGCTGCTAGACTTGCCATGGGAATGTAGTAGAGAACGGAAGTGAGGGCGTAGAGAGCAAGGAGAAGGATGATGCCGTTGAAGATACCGGCAAGAGGCGTTCTGACGCCGGCTTTGGAGAGGATAGCCGTGCCGCCGAATGAGCCCGTTGAGGAATATGCCCCGAGGAAGGGACCGAAGAGGTTTGTGCAGCCGATGGAGATGAGTTCTTGAGATGGCTGAACGGTGTAGTTGTTGATGCGACCAAATGACTTGCCGATGGCGATGTGCTCAATCACCAGGATGATAACTGTAGCAGGAAGGTCCGGGAGTAGCGCCGATATCAACTTGGGGTTCAACGACGGTGGACCTGCGTGTGTGAAGCCCCTCGGTAAGGTGCCGGTGATGCGGAACTTGTGTTCGCCATCAGCGAGACCTCGGTTCACCAGGAAGCTAATGAGGGTATACAGCAAGATGGTGAAGGTCATGCGGAGGGAGCAGAACATCTCCCACATGCGTTTTCTCTTCGGTTGCGTTCTCGCCATGCGCTCACAGTACCACTTGATCAGCCCCAGCAACACCAGAGCCGTCAGCCCGATCGCAGCATCAAGCTTCACCCTTGGCAGACCACGGGCAGTATCGATAAAGACTTGGTATGCGGCGGCCTTGGAGTTGACGCCATCGATGCCCAAGAGCGACGGGACTTGGCTGAGCGTGATGGTAATAGCGGCGCCGGTGACGAAGGCTGAGATCGCGACGTGGGGGATGAACTCGACGATCCAGTCTAGGCGGAGAAGACCGAAGACGAGGAGAACTGCGCCGGCGAGGAACGCAAGTGTCTTGGAGATTTCTTCGGCCGAAAATTCTCCTGGGTGTTCTTCGAGGACTTTGGCGCTTACTTTGCCGACGAGGAGGGAGACGACAGCTGTTGCCTGCCAGATGTTAGACTTGGTAAGGTTGATAGGGCTGAGAATATGACTTACTCCTATTGCAATGTCTTTGGAAGTTCCAAATAGCCAATAGAGAGCTGCGCCAGTGAAGGATGTATATAGACCATATTCAGGGCTGAGGCGTGCGAGGAGGGCGTACGCCATAGCTTGAGGGATGACTACAAGTCCGAGTGTCACACCTGCCCAAAGTTAGTTGATGTTCTCGAAGTACTGTCATCAAAACGAACCGGCAATGGCATCAGAGATAAGCCATCGAGTGTTGTATCTCAGGATCCATTTGGTGAATGGGAACAGGCTCTTGACATAGCGGGCTGATCCATCTTTCGTTGGTACATGCTCTAGTAACCATTCCTTGACTGTTGGGTCTTCTTCATAATAGGTTTCGTATGGTGAAATATCTTTCGCGATATGGTCATGTAATTCTTGTGTTTGATGGCGGGTGCTGGCCCCGAGATCGATCCCGAGTGCCTTGGCCAGTGCGGAGCCGGCTTTATTCGCCGCCATGACGTTACCGTACGTCGAAAGTATTGGTTCGCCTTATATCGAGAGTTGGTTTCGAATATTCGGATCTGGGCTCATTGAGGGTGGGTTGTCAGTGATCACACCAAACAAGCAAGAGGAACCAGTCTGTTCTCAGAATCCTTTCAGATGAGCAGCGAAGCGGTGTATCAGTTTACAAACGATCCGAAGGTTACGTGGGCTGGTTATAAGATGGATCAACGGCTGTCTCGAGGGCATACCGCTCTAGAAGCCGCACCGCCAGCCGCCTTGGCGCCCGTGTTATCGGGAAGACAAGGGGGCGCTAACTTGGCGACATGCCGGGGAAGGCAGTCCTTACGTTTTTGGGGTGACACGGCGATCTAGAACGTCGACTCAAGTTTTTCCTTTGACGGGACGATAAGTTACTTCGGGCTCATGCTCCTCCTCGTGCCAGGTCTCTCCATGACGAGCAAGGGGCCGTAAACATGGACACATGAAGGCCCTCTCTGTCATCTGAGATGGGAGACATCGCGGCAGTGAGCGACGATTTCGCGGGGAACGGGGCGAGCTAGATGTCCCCATGATGCCGGTGCAAGCTGGGGCTCTCGGGGACCAAGAAAACAGCTCTAGTGCCCTGGAAGTGGACCTCAAAGGGGACGCGGTGGATCGTGAATTCGACCTTTGTCGGCGAAGTGGATGGCGTCTGCAGCGTTGGCGGTGGCGGGTGTCCTTCTCCGTTCCGCCGACAGCCGGTCCGGGCGGGTATCGGCCGCGGGATCCACGATGGTGGACGGTCTCGGCCCCGTTTGTCGGGACAATCAATGGAGACCAGGCTTCCCCTGCCCGGGAAGCAGAGTTTTGCTGCATGCAAGCACTTTCAACGGGAACGTTTCCCACGTTTTGGTGGTTCATGCGGCTCGTGAGACTGGGCTGGACACCACGTCAGCAACAGCTTGCCGCAGGTTTGATGGGGACTCAACGACTACATGACTGAAGCGGCACAACTTTGCAAACACAGCAGAAGCTTGAAAAGTCTCCGGGCGGATGCTGCCACGGCTAGATAAGACACGTCCCGATCCTTACGCGGCACTCGGTCTGCTTCACCTGCGACTCAGCTCGTTTTCAGCGGCAACTGGAGTAATTCTCGGTGGCGCCGGCTACCGCCAACGTCGGCGGTCGAATCTGGGGACCAATCCAGCCATTCCTTTGAAAGAAAAGTTTCAACGTTAGTCAAGTTTTCCTAAGATACGTCAGTATACACTAACATGTTGACTTGGCTTCGAGCCAGCCTGATCATGGGACCTTCGCAGTTACAAAGCTAAAGGTTGAAAGGTCTAGACCTGGCAGTCTAACTACATGGATTCGGTAATCATTACCTCAAGGGCTAGCCGTTACACGCGCACGCAGTGCACTTAGTTGGGCTGCCTTGAAACCAACAGGCTGAAGAAGCCCCCCGCGAGCCTACATGATGAACTTTCGCTCCCCGAACCAATGTGAATCCACTTGCCGAAGCGAAAACATCGGCAAATGGCCTGATGGTCTAGAGGTATGATTCTCGCTTTGGGTGCGAGAGGTCCCGGGTTCAATCCCCGGTCAGGCCCTACTTTTGTTTTTGGACCTCAGAACCATTTGAGGTCGATTGGTGAACGTTAGAAAATTGCGTGTTGACATTTTTTGACACTTTTAAACATCGGACCAGGAACGGCGGCGGCACGGAGAACATGTGGGCCCCGGACGTGTGGAGAAAGGGGGCCCGAGCGGGTGGAACCAGTCTCCTCCCCGAAACTTTTGGGTTTGGTCCGGGTCCTCCAGTGTCCTCTGTGTTTAAGGTACTGGTCGCCTCGCCGACTCCGAAGCTCAGCAACCTTTCTCTCGTGGACGACGGTCAAGGCTTTTCACTTTTGGCCGCAATGAATCTGAAAGTCTTGCGAGCATTGGTAGTCGCTGAGCTCCAAGCACAGTTCAGCTTGGTGTCTTCCCTAAAGCCAAGAACATAAGCCACGCGGGTATGATCTGAAGAGTTTCAGGGTGCATCCGAGCATGTAAGCTGCTTAAATACTTAATTCTCGTAGCCAAAGAATGGTGAAATGCCTCAATCTGGAAACAGAAAATGGAACAGCTCGAATTCGTAGCCGTCAGTTGCAGCTGTCAAGTTTTGAGGTGACGTGGGAACCCGGCATCTGTATGCGCCCGAATCTTTCCAGAAGGCCTTATGACGGCATACCATGTCTCTTCGCCGAAATGTACATACATCATCCAAATGAGTTCCCTATCTGGTTGCCCAAGCCTGCCAGACTCAGCAATAACTAACGGTCATCTGGCCTCTGAGCCGACACACGTTCCCTCCGGCGTTCCCTGGCAGGCCGAACTGCAGCAACAACCACGTCGTGTTCCAAGCAAAGAAGGTTCTGAAATGGAATCTGAAGTCTTCTCTTCGGGGATGTTTGGAGGTATGTGCGGCACAAAGCACTGCCTCGCTAATCTCCCGCCGAGTGCTACGTTCGGACGACAACTCCAACGGCGGCATCTGCGCCTTGGTGTTCTCCCCGAGAGAACTTCGACGTCACCAAGCATACGAACCGCATGCGTGAAGCAAGCTGCACAGCAATGCAATGCAACCTGCGGCTTCAGAAGTCGAACCAACTTCCTGGGTCAAGTTTTGGCGAGACATCTTCGAACTCGTCCTTCTCAACCTCGCAAACGGACATTAGTGTCTTGATTAAGGAGTTTCTGAGGGAATTTCCGCCCAAGATTTAAGCATCTTTCAGCAAGCCGGCAACGAAAGGCCGCAGCCCATCAAATAAGCAGACTGCCAGACGAATCTGCTCGCAACCCGTGCCAAGGCAACGCACAGCTACTATCAGCTCACAGGAGAAAGTCAGACTGCCGACTGACGAAGTGGTCAAGACAGGCTTCCGGCCAGCGAGGATTCCGTTCTGCTGCCGACTCACTATGTCCGACCGCCAGAGTAAAATAGTTCATCCCTACCATTTGGCCTTATCGAAGCATGTTCGGACTACACATTCTGACCGAACACTCCACGACCATTGGCGGCGGCATTATGCCCTAGAAGACCTCAACTGCCGACGCCGTTGCACAGGTGTCAAAGTCGCTGATCAAAAACGGTCATCCAATGCTTCTTGCGACGACGCTAGCATATAAGTCTGTCACCACCCCCACCGATCTAGTCTGGCTCGTCAGGCAGGCATCAACCCCGGAACCGTGTTCCGCTTTCCTCCCGTTGTCGATCTCGTCGATCATTTTCCAAGATGTTTCTTAGAACCTCCCTTGTGGCCTTGATGGCCCTGTTTGGAGAGTCATCGGCAGAATGGCTGAGTCCCGAGTATACTTGGTTTTTCCAATTTCCTCTTCCGATTCCGCCGGTTAAACAGCCCAAGTTGTAAGTTTTCGAGCCACTTGACCACCATAAAGTGGCGTAACTAACATCACACCAGCTCCGTGGTGAACCCGGTTACCAAGAAGCTCATCGACTACTACGAACTCGAAGTCACGCCGTTTACGCAGAGGATCTATCCTGACAGGGGGTTGACCTCACTCATTGGATACGATGGAATGTCTCCTGGGCCTACCTTCATCGGAACTAGAGGCCGCGAGACAGTCGTTAGGATGGTCAACAAAGGTGTCACGCCAAGTGCGATGCATCTGCATGGATCATATACGGTAACTCCACCGACCAAGTACTCCAGAACTAATGCTAACTTCAAGGCAGCGGTCACCCTGGGATGGCTGGGCCGATGATACCATCCTACCGGGACAGTACAAGGACTACTATTACCCCAACAGCCAGAACGGTCGTTTCCTATGGTACCATGATCACGCGGTAGACACTGTGGGTGTTCGAATTTCCAAAGCCTCCTTGATGATAACTAACCTGTGTTAAAGACGGCTGTGAACGACTACTTTGGCCAGTCTGGAGCTTGGATCATTCGTGATCCAGCCGATGATTCTTTGGGTCTTCCGAGGGAGTACGGGGTCAATGACATTCCGCTCATCATATCGTCCAAGCAATACAACGAAGACGGCAGTTTGTTTTCCCCGGCTGGAGAAACAGAGGGCTTATTGGGAGATGTCATTCACGTCAACGGCCAGCCGTGGCCGTTTCTTGCCGTCGAACCCCGCAAGTACCGGCTTCGCTTCCTGAATGCTGCGATTTCACGAGCATTCGTCCTCTCCTTCAAGCGCCAAGACCAGGAAGAGTACGAACCGATTCCGTTCCAAGTTATTGCTTCAGACTCTGGGCTCCTCACCAACCCCGTCACCTCGCCTTTCCTCGCAGCTGCCATGGCTGAACGTTGGGAAGTCATCTTCGACTTTACTCCCTTCGCCGGACAGAAGATCGACCTGGTGACAGCCCAAGAGCCCAGCGAATCGCGGGAAAAGCACAAGGGCAAAGGACGGGAATACTTGGAGCCGGTCATGCGTTTCGTCGTCAGCCCGACGCCGGTCGTCGACACCACCGTCATCCCCGCTGCGCTGCGCAACGTGCCGTTCCCACCGCCTCTCGGCGACATCGTCGATCGCCGTTTCAACTTCCATCGCGAAGACGACTTGTGGAAAATCAACGATGTGGTCTTCAACGACGCGCAGAATCGCATTTTGGCCAACGTTCCCCGCGGCACCGTTGAGGTCTGGGAAATTGAGAACGGCGGCGGCGGCTCGTTCCATCCGGTTCATGTCCACATGGTCGACTTCCGCATCATTGGCCGCTACAGCAACAGCAAATGGGGAAGCGATCGCGACGTCCTTCCATACGAAGCGGCTGGGCTGAAAGATGTTGTGTGGCTTGGTGAGGACGAGATCGTCCGTGTTGAGGCGCACTACGCTCCCTGGGACGGCATCTACATGTTCCACTGCCACAACCTCATTCACGAAGATCACCAAATGATGGCAGCGTTTGACGTCACTAACCTCAAGGATCTCGGATACAATGAGACGGCATTCAACGATCCAATGGAGGGCAGGTGGAGAGCTGTGCCTGTCAACAAGGCCGACTTCACCAAGGAGGCTATTACGAAGAAGATTACCTTCATGGCCTCCTTGCAGCCATACAACAATCTCGATGTTGTTACGCAAAAGCTCGATCAATACTGGGCTGCCCGCGGCGGACTTCACCAGAACCGACCTGACTTCGACCAGGATTCGGCTAAGAAGAACGGAGCCAAGAAGAAGAGCAGCGGAGTCAAGATGAGGCGCGTCACAAGAGCTGAGTTTGCTGCGGATGAATAGATACAGTGGAAGACGGGAGACTTGGTTTCATGATCGAGAACAGCTGCTAATGTGTAAAATGTAATCGTCGGCAATGCGTGTGGCAGGACCTGCTGAGCCAGAAGCTTCTTCCCTTTCCTTTGTATGTATATAGATATCTTATCAGTGTCATTCAAAAGCAGCTTAAGGATTAGAAACACAGTGTTGATATTGCTGGTGTATGTATGTAAATTAATGACAGAGAGTCTCGGAGTGCTTATGAATGATGGAGATCTCTCAGTCCTCCGACCTCTTCTTACTTTTCTTCGCCTTCACCTCCTCATCACCAATCTTCTTGCTCTTCTTTTCCTTCTTGTCTTTCTTTTCCTTTGTATCCTTCGTTTTTTTGCTCTCTTTGGTTCTTGTCCTACTCTTGTCCTTGCTCTTCTTCGATCTTTTATCTTTGCCCTTCGTCTCAGTCTCCGAATCAGAATCAGAATCAAAATCAGAATTGGACGCAGCGGAATCGGCCGAGGCATCCGAATCAGCATCCGAATCAACATCTGAGTCCGCCCCCGAGGACTTCGAAGCGCCGTCCGAGTCCGAGGTCTCATCAGAGTCGGTGTCAGATTCGGATGACTTGTAAACCACCTTCACGATTCTGCTTGGCTTCGCCGTGAACGAAGCAGTTCGAATCTGGTCTTGGGAAGCAGTGACAGCCTCCTCTTGACCGTGCGTCTTGTGCAGGTAGTCATTGAACTGATTGGAAGCTTCGGCAATGAGTGAAAACGTGTCCTGGTTTAAGACAGGCGCCTTGGGAGACTTGGGGGGCGGTGATGACGATCCCGGGCTTTGCTTCTTCTTCTTCTTCGGGCTGCGGGACTGGGAATTGAACTCCGCCAACGCAATGGCAGTTTGGAAAGCGTTCCTGATTTGACGACCGTTCCATTGCAGACCCTTGCAGTTGGCCTTGGCCCACCTGATGATCTCGTCTTTGCGGTAATCGATGAGCTCTTGGCCCATTTTGGCTCGCTGTTTGTTGACATCCTCAAGCTTCTTGATGTTGTTCTCCCAAATCTTGATGCTTTGCTTCGTCCGAAGCTTGGGATAGTAAAGGGTGAGGTGGAGGCGAGAGCGGAAAGCATCGTCAATCGCGCCGACTCGGTTGGTTGTCAAGAATAAGATACCAGGGTAGTACTCCAAGATGCGCAAGAATACTGGGCAAGAGCAATTAGCACGCATTGATCGCGTCTTCATAATCTTCCTGCTTACCTGATACGAGGCCGTTTCGCTTCACGTCGGTTTTCTAAACATGGTCAGCGTTCTGGCATTCCTGTCTCAAGCAGCGCATTTCCTCTTACGTTCCTCCTAGCAAGGAACACATCAGCCTCGTCCAGAAGTAGCACACAGGCCCATCTATGAGCGAGTTTGAAATGCTTGTCCAAATTCTTCTCAACAGCGTCTGGGAGATGCCCGATGTCACCTGATGGCGGCAAGCGCCGGATTAGCCACTGCGTTCCACCAGGACGGATCTTTGCTGATACTTACCACATGTGATTGGGTATAGAGGACGCTTGGTGTATGCCGCCACACACTCTATAAGTGTTTTCCGTATCAGTATGAAGAGCTTGAAGCCAGATTGATTGATCCAGGCTGAGAAGAAAGAACGCCTACCTGCAGTGGATGTCTTCCCCACTCCGGGCTCACCATGAAGCAGGATGATGCACCCCTTGCCTGCATCGGAATCTGATTAGCATGCATGCCATCAAAAATTGCCCATGGATGAGACAAGAACCGAGTACCTTTTCCTCGCACCAGATCCAGATCAATCTTTTCGGTAATGTAGTCATTGACCGCTTGAGAGCCATCCGAGCGTTTGGTGTAAGATTCGACCATGGCCTGCACCATTTTCCTGTGTCCTTTCGGTAGCACAAGGTTGTCCCAGTCATTCCCATGTTGAACGTATTGAAGTCTGTCTACATCCAGTTGAACTATACGTCTGTCAGCAAATTGTATCATGGGAAATCTCACGACCGAAACATACCCCATTTTCGGTTGCGCAGAGCATACCCTGGAACGGTACCCGGGAAAAGCTTCATGAGGTTGTTTTCTTTCAAGTACATCTTGAACGCCTCGCTCTCTTTCTTCGTTTGCGCCTTTGACGTAGTGTAACTTTCAAACACCAGCTTGAGCTTCCTTAGGACATTCTGACTTTGCGAATCTTGATGCTTATAACCGGTGACGTTATGGTGGTATTCGTCATAACAACTCCGGTTGACCTCCCAGCCACGAACTTCATCATGTTCGTACCAGTCGTGAACCTCACCCCTTGTCCTTCTTGGCCAATCATGCTTGATCACGTCCTCGAAGATGGGTTTGATCTCCGAAACTTCCATGCTTGGGATCGTGCCGTCTTCGAAAGCGAGTTTGAAGTCAACGATGACCTCACTGTTGATCTAAAAGTTACAAAAGTTAGCCTCAAATTAAGAACCAGAAGTAGAACGCAGGTGGTTCAGATTGCCCCAAGACCAGTTTAGGTGCTAAAACGTACCGTCTCACGGGTATTCCCTACGGTGGTTCCTTCATATGACATGTGCCAATTGCCTGTGAGATCCACAAACTTTTCTCCCCTTCCGTGAAGATGATTGAGCTTGTCGTCGCTCATGTATTGCACTGGGAAGATTTCAAGACTTCGAACATCTTTCAAGCCGTCGAATGGCTTGATCTCAAAAAGCTCCCTTTGGGCGCCATATCGCTCACCGTCGTACGCAATATTGAAGCAAGCAATAACGAGCGTAGACAGAGTGTTCTTGGCCCGTCTAACGGGGCCATGTCGTGCCAAAACTGGTTGCAACAAGTCTTTACGAACATCTTCAGATTCTTGCCTGAACAGCTTCAATTGCCCCAATCCCAAGAAGGCGTCCAGATGCAACATGTCGTTCTCTTCATCATCTTCTTCGATATGTCCCGGTATGAGAGCCTTCTTCAGAGGAACGCCACCTCTCGTCGAGAGAACGCAATATCCTTGGGGCGATGACTTCCGGTTGCAACGATGATTTGGGTCTGACATAGCCGTGTTCCGCGTTATCTCGGAGACGTTGTCGTAAGTAAACATCATTTCAGAGCGTTTGCCGTCAGGACAGTAGATTGTGGTTCCAGTATCGAAAAGCATCCATGCGTTCTCGAATGCAACTTCGTTTTCTTGACCGGTTCTAATCCTATCGTAAAGCCCTATCGCCTTCTCGATATACCGATCAACGAATTCTAGGAGTGTCCTAAAATGTGGAAGGGCATCTGGTCGTGAGTAGCTCTTCTCACCTTGGTCCAAAGAGTCTTCATTGGAATAAGTGTCATCTGGCAAAGTGGATGAAATTTCCGCGCCAGAGCCATCGTTATTATCTGCCGCAGAATCGGATAAATCCGCAGTTGGCGGCTCAACAGGGTCCGAGCCGACCCGGACATGTCTACTCAGAAAATAATCAGCTCTAAATATTTCGATCGAAATGAAATTGAAGAGAACGTTCGTCGTACCCAAACGCGTCCTCTAACTTGCTCAGATGCTGTCTCAATGGCGTGATGTTCCTAATCAGGGGACGAAATGGCTTGGAGAGACGGATAAAGCTGTGGCCGGGGCCGCAATCAAGATCCAGAATATCTCTGAAGAAAGACGCGATCGGGTCAGACATGATACTGAGATAGGTGATCTCGATATGTGCTGGATGGGGCTCAGTCTTGTTGATTGTCTCATCTGATATGGCGTTGTACAGCACCCCTAGTAGCTGGAGATGTCCTGCCGTGGCAAATTCACATGCGTAGAATCCACCGGCAAAGTCGCCATCGTTCCAGAACACCGAGCCATCGGCTTCAAAAAACCTGACTTCAACTTGCACATCGCCGGGGCCGTTGTAGGTTTCGTTCTCGATTACCGACGGAGCCATTTCTGAAGCGGCATGTGAAGCGGCATATGAAGCGACTTTTGAAGTAGTTGGTGAAGTAGCATGTGAGGTAACCGAAGAAGCGTCTTCTGGCATTGCCTCTGATTTCTCCCTCGTTTCGAGTAGCTTCTCCTCGATAGCGCGCAGGCGCTCATCAACCACTCGCATGTAATCAACCATCCCGGAAACAACGCTTTGGCTCGGGTCATCTAGAGGGAATGCTGCCAGCGACTTTACATATCGGGGATACAATTCGTATGGAAGCTCTTGAAGTGGCGTTGGAGGCTTCGGCGGACCTTCGATGTCTGCCATGGATTCTGCAACGGGGGCATTGGCCTCAATCTCTTCGACTTGCTGAACCGTAGCATTGTTAAGAGATGACTTAGTTTGAGTAATTGGAGAATCATCATTCGCTTGGTCTTCCACTTGCACTGGCTTCGGGAGGCCAGAGCCAAGCTCAGTCTTTGATGTGAAACCATCGCTCGTTGAATGCCCTGCAGCGGTGGGAGAACAATCACTCCTCTTGTCTTCTGCCAGTGCGGAGGATTTCGACAAGGTAGGGTCATCTTCCGTTGGCAGCTCATCTGTCTGCGTGGGAGGCCTGCAGTCCTCATGATCGGAGCTGTTCTCTGTGGCTTTGGCCGCCGTCAGGGTACCAGGGAGGCTTCCGTGAAAAGAACATGAAGCTATCTCAGCAGCCATCTTGTCGTCATAGGCTCCGTGTTCCAGTTGGCTGGTGTTGGGGGAAATATTGGCGACGAAAGTGGCCATTAGGGTGACGGCAAAAGAGGTTGAAAGTAGTTGGTGATAAATTCTCTCCGAGAGAATGGAAATGAGGGACAAAGAAACGATAGCAGAAAAAGGCCTCAACGGAACGGCCCTGGCGGAGCCCCTCAGTTTCGTGGGCCCTGTTCATTCCATACCAAGGATGCGAGTGATTTGAGGCGCTCAAAGTAGCAAATGAGAATGAGCATCCTTAAACGAGTCTGACTCACTTATCATGCATTTGTTATGGAAACGACTCGTAATCTGCAAAGCGGCCTTGGAGCTGCATATATTGAATGCGAAGAAGCGGCTCGGGACCGGGGCCCTTCGCTGTGCCATTGGTCAGCCTGATCATCAACACCATCTCAGGTCGTGATGGAGTGGAGCAGACAGCAGCAGTCATCCTGCAGTGTTTGGCAGAGGAGAGGAGATTACTACTTTGGGATAAACTTGCAGCTCCTGCAATGTTGCAACTTTGTTGCCGGCAGCCTGATCTATTAATACACGTGTTTGATTAATTAACTTGCAATGTCGTAACTGCTGTGACACGCAATGTGCAGCGCTCCCTGTCTTTGGGGTAAGCTCACAGCCTGATTGTCAAATTTTAGTGCGTCCGTCTAGATTCATTAGTACGGAGTACACACCTGAAACTGTTGTGTCCAGAATCTCGACTGCTTTAAGAAGCTCATGTCAAGAGTTGAGTGTGCTGAGTAGTATTGCATATGCGGCTCAACAACATTGATCCCGGCTTCCAAGTCGTCGAAACCGTTCCCGAGATGCCTGCGGAATGGATAACGACAAAGAATAGTGCTGCGCGTTTCGCCAACAGAGCTGTAAGCGCGAGCGAGACGGTTGGCACCGCCGAAGAGCTGGTATTCGTCGACGACCTCGATTGCTTTGTCCCAAAAAGCCAGGTTCCTGAGTGAGTAACGGACTTCTTCCATCTCTCCCATCACCTGGCGATCAAGCTGACAAGGAGAAGCCTAAACAAATGTTTCGATAAATCGAGGGAGCACCTGGGTCGCTTTGAAAGCACCCTTCAAAGGTTCGCCCAGAACATGGAAACTCGGAAAGCGTTGAAAAGCTTTGGGTACAAGTCAAACGATACAGCATGTTTGAACCTCACCGATGTCTTCATCATCGCAAACAGAGTCGTCGAACAGCGAGATGGTACGGGGAGTTGGGGGGCTTGCAAAAGCTTTGCCCGAAGATGTGTTCGGAGTGCCAATAGCCAAGACTCGGCGCTTGGAGCAATCATGTCTATGGTACCTAGCGGTGACTACGGCTCTGTTCTTTCTGGAGGGATCATGACTATTCTTGCTGTACGTATCTCGGTTCAAGCGTGACGCCAATGGACGAAACTAACGATGAACAATGTTTAGGTTGCACATGAACATGAGAAAAAGCGACAGTCCATTGAGAACGCATTGGCAGATATCCCAAAGAAGTTGGATAAGATCAAGCGCCTGTCGGATGTTCATATAAAGTCCAAACGTCTGCACGGAAAGGCTGATGGAATCCTGGTGGCCACATTTGTGGTCCTTGAAGAGATTGTTAACGACCTCACCATGGACTGGAAAGGTCTGTCTTAGACACGTTCAAGTTTCCACTGGAGACTACGTGCGCTGACAATAGTCACAGCCAAAACGAAAACGAAGATCAAAAACTTTGGGACTGAGGACAAGGTGGCTGACGCGTTAACGTTACTGGACAGCAGCATATCGGAATTCCAAGACGAACTACAGGTCTGCAGCGAACGCCGTATGGGGAGAATGCATGAAGCCATAACTGAGAACGGAACACTACTAAAAACTGTTGAGGAACTCGCCCAAGGTCGGTGAAATCAGGCCCCTGTGACAGCACAGACAAAAGCTGCCATGATGTGGCTCCCATTGAGTCCTGGTTAACATCTCAATTCGTGTAGGAATAGTGACGGACTTGAGAGAAGACAGGGTCAATGCCATTGCCTTTCAGAACAAACTTCTAGACGTTGTCAATTCTCTTACTCGTTTGTACGCGAGTCATCCTAACTTCAATCCCGTCAACGGCGGTGGTAAGTCTAGTCTACCTTACAGACTGGCGTTCTCTAGGGATTGATGTTTAACAATAACTCAGTGAAAAGTAAAGAGCCGTTAGCAATACAGCCTGCGCATCCCGTGGAAACAAGCAGCAGTGTCAAGGAAGACGAGAGTTTGAACCTGGCCACCAGGAACGCCAAAATTGTGAAGAAATGGGTTGACACCATCAAAGATTTTGAGCCAAGTTCGGAGAAACACTTGAGAGGGTGCATCCGTGCCGGCCTCGGCCAGTTAACGTCCGACGACAGAGAGAAAAGCCAGTGGATAATGTCTTCTTCTAAGCTTCGAGACTGGCTTCGCCTTGACAGGCGAAGCATCCTGGCCGTTAAAGCGGAAAACGCCCCGCAAGAGCTTTTCAACCCGTTCTCTTTCACAGCCGCCATACTGGCTGAGACATTGCAGAGGTCTACAAATTACGCTGTCTTGTCTTTTTTCTGCGGGCTTAGGAAGAACGACAATTTCGACAGCGAATTCTGCGACCCCATGGCGTGTGTCAAAAGCCTCAATGGCCAGCTCTTGAAGTTTTGTCTTGAAAAGCGGCCTGATGTCGATTTGTCCCAACTCCAACAACGACAACAGAACAAAAGACTGATGAAGAACTCAACCAAGAAGCTAGAGTATGCTGTCAAACTTCTTCGGGGGTTGCTTAAGTCTTTGGAAGATCAGGACGTCATCTTCATAATCCTTGAATCTTGGTCGCGAATACGAGGGGACAGAGATGAAGCAGACTGGGTCATCGAGAAGTTGTGCAAAGCAGTGGCCGGATTTCCTCAGTTGAAAATTAAGCTGCTTGTCCTGGACGCTCTTCCTGGTGATCCAGTTTACGATTTCGATATGACATCAACTCTCTATGTTCCGGAAGAGATTGACGGGTGGCAAAATGACGTTAGTCTGAGTCGGTTGGAGGGAACCAGCCTCAACATGGTGGATGAGCTTGAGAGGAGGCGACACAAGGACAGCGATTGCTCGTCTGGATCTGATTCAGATGATTCGGAGGAAGATTAGTAGAATCTGATTCTATCAAAGTTCCTCGTCTGACTTGTGTCTAGCATTCTAACACCGGCAGAGTTTTGTTCTTTCTAGTTTCTACATGTCTCAATGGAGATGTCCTTATCGCTGGGTATGGTGTATTGAGACAGGCCCCCAGAAAGACTGGTTCATTGTTTTATCATATTATGCGGCATATTGACGTTGCTTGAGCTCTAATACGGTTTCCTCACGTATATAGCGTGACTAAATCCAGTCAGTTGCGTATAGGAGCCTTTACTGTGGTAAGCAAGGGGGGAGGTGTCACTTACATGTTCCAATATCCATGCATACTCAGTTCGGCCCTCACTTAACTTTGTGAGATCGTATTCTTATAAAACTCTGTCAACTTGGCTTGCCTCTCCAAGCGCAGAATCGGCGTCAGAAATGAATTCATCGAAGTCGACATCCTGAGTGCGGTCAGCATCCACACCATATGAGGCTTGAGGAGGAAGCGTAATTAGTGACGTACTGCCTGCACCCTCTCGCTCTCCATTTCGGTCGTCATTCCTCCAGCAAAGCAAATCGCGCGCGTTACCAATGCAGAGGATTGGGTGGTCCAAACTGTCGGGTCGGTCTGGCCTTCGGCGGGGAAGTGGAATCAGTGCGGAGGGGGATATTGAAGACAACGGCGTGATGAGAAACGGGCGGACCATCGGGTACTTTTGAATGACGGGCCGCCGTGGCGTGCGCCGCAAAACTGCATTGACAAGGGTGGTGTCCGTACTCGTGGGTGAATTGCATTTAGCCTGGCCACCGGCTGTTAGCGGCCAGTAGTCATATGGCGATTGCGCAGAATCTGAGTGACTGGAATGTTGGTCTTTCGCAGCTACTAGGACAAGACAGCTCCATGGCATTTGCACTACGTGACTACCAGGGATTGGAGAAGCGCCAAAGCCGGAGAGTTTGATGTGAGTTGGGTCTCTGTGCATAAGCTCCCGTGTAAACGCTCACTCATGGATTATAAGCCAATTCCAACTCGCAGCCTGCACAGACGGGCACCTCAGGTGTTCTGAATTGTCTGGCCGGTTGGCCCAATGGCAAGGCGTCTGACTACGATACACCGTGGAATCAGGAGATTGTGGGTTCGACCCCCATGCTGGTCAAAATCTTTTGCCATTTGTGGGTAATAATTGTTGGCTCTCTCATTTTTGTGTCTGCGCATATCGGACCGCTAGTAGCTGCAAGACTGGCCGGCTTGTTGGGGTTGCATTTTAGTGTTGAGCGCCTGAGTTTGATTTATTAGTGGAAGTGGTTGTTGAAACTCTAGGGGATTGCTCACCACTGTAACAATCTTTGCCGCGCAAAACAATGCAGCTGCCCTTATCTTTTTGCTCTATTTAACATCACCATGCAGTAACATAACAAGAGTAACATTGGAAGTGAGTTTTTTTTGGAAGCTACAGCAACTTTAGTTCATGTGATTTGTTTCATCGACTTAGTTAATGTAGACTATGCTGCAATTTGCAAGTGATTGAATGTCTTGTAGGTAAGATTGAGTCTGTTGTTGGGACTGTCTATTTACAACTCCTTATGCTGATGCTAACCACCGTAAATGCCGTTCTAAATGCTCAAAATATTTGGTGTAAAAGATCAGGAAGAAGGATGCACCTTTCCACGCCTCCATATCAGATGGTTAAACAAGCCTGGCAACTCAAAGCTTTGCCTGTTTGCAAGGATCGTCAACCACCATCTCGTCAATGACCTGGATATCAGGGCCCCCAGGCGCACCTAGCATGAGCATTTTGCCGCCGCTGGCCTCCTGCCACCCAGCCTTCGTGGGATCATCCAGGTTCTGCGCGAAGCCAAGCCATAAGTCCTGCATACCATCACTAGTTTTGACTTCGTATTCCGAAGCCGCAGCGTTAAACTCGCCCCTGGTCCCAAAGATCTGAGGCAGCTCCGTCATGTGGTACGCCCCAGACCAGAAATAGGGGCTGATATCGGTGAAGTTGCCGCTGTAGATATAACGGTATGTCTTGCGCTTGGCAGCGGCTCGGAACCCGGCGGAGTGAGCGGCGGGACATTGGAAGAGCGCGAGGGTCAACTTCTCCGACAGAGTATCGTTCACACCCATGTGTATGGGGTCTTTTGGGAACGGAACCATGATGTTACCCTCGCGAAGGTTGGACCCGAAGATGGCAGGGCGGTCGCTGAAGAGACCCTTGGCGTAACGCTCGGTGTAGTTGGAGAACACCCACTTGCCGTCTGTAGTGGCGAGGAAGTCGAGGGCAGGCTGTTTCATGGAATCTGTGTAATTGGCGAGAAAGTCAACGATGCGCTTGGTTGACTGAGTGCGCATGCAAGCCAGCTCCGCCTCGGGGACAGGAGGACAACCAAGCTCCCTGGCAACGAATGAAAAGTTGCTGTGTGCTGGGTCGGATATAGCAAGACCGGTGGCAGGGGGAATCAGAACATTGCCGCTATTCTGGATGAAGGCTTTGACGATGGGATCCTTAGGGAAGGCGAAGTTCTGGACATCGGTAGAAGCGGCACCGGAAGACTGCCCCCAGAGTACCAATCTGTTCAGATCGCCGCCGAAAGCTTCAATGTTGTCCCGAACCCACTCAATGCCCATGCGTTGATCCATAAATCCCAAGTTAGACTGCTTCAGGCCGGCGGCGTTGGGGAAGCCAAAGATGTTCAGGCGGTATTGTATAGCCACGACGATATGGCCTTTGCTGCGCTGAATCCATGCGGGAGGCTGCTGCAATGGCACAGATGAAGAGCCGGTTTGCAGGCCACCTCCATGGATCCAGATAAAAACAGGTAGTTTGTCGCCCTTCTTCATGTCGTTGGGAGCCCACACTGAAAGAGAAAGACAGTCTTCGCTGATGGGTGCAAAGTTGTTGTACTCTGTGACAGCTTCGTTGATGATTGTGCGCATGCTGCTGATGAACTGGGGGCAAGCATCAGGTGTCTTGTTCGCCACGAAAGGCTCGTTGCTGGTGTAGCGCTCAGGCGGCGCGAAGCGCAATTTACGTACAGCCGGCTTTGCGTAGCGAATGCCTAGGAACTGCCGTACATCTGGATAGGTAGAATTGATGAAGCCGGTAATCTGCCCTGAAGATGTCTTCACGACAAGGTCATCGGCGGGAGTAGGTGAGCCGTCGGCTGCACTCAAGAGCCCGCTCAGCATCCATAGCGATGATGCAGCTGAGAATCTCATCTTCGGTGTTGAAGATTCTCCAGTAAATATGAATCGGTGTGATACGAATGAGAAAAGGGTTCTATAATCGAGCCTACGCCAAAATGACTTCTTGAAAGACTTCTGAGATACTTTGTGATATGAGCTGTTTGTGATGTGAAGAATGTTCTTGCTAATCCCTTCGACGACGTGCCCATCTTATATCAAGTCGAGAAGCGCCTGAAGCAGTGACAATGATGTTGGCTTTCTGGCCTAGAATAGCTCCTTCGCGCATGCTCAAATGCGAAAGGAGGCTGCGCACCGGACATAGTGTCGGAGACGGAAAGACGTGATTGGTTGTCATTAAAGCCTGTAAGAAATAAGAGCGTTCGTCGTAAATGACGCGCCTGCATCAAGAACTTGATGTGGCTGAGATTGTTCTCCTAGCGTGAAATATCCCAGCGTCAACCGCGCGGATAACCCCGATTTTGGGGCTTGTCAGCCTGAGAAGCTCTATTCTAGTAAAGCCGGTCCGAGGTCTCTCAATTGACGCACACTGCGGGCAAGGCAGGTTTTGCGGCCTCGTAAACTATCCCTAAAGAAGTTGTGTCAGAATCCTTACAATCGGATCTAAGCAGTTAGACTCAGCCACCCGCTCCAGGAACTGAAAAACGGGACAGAGCCATCTTGGAAGTCCCGAAGGCCCAGTCACACGCAAGAAGCGATGTCATATCCAAATCTACTCTAAGACATACGCAATGAAGGGTATCCAATAGGCATGAACCTTGCAGGCCGTGAATTTCAAAGTCAAACTCGTCGCGCTTCCGAGTGGCTCTGAGTGGCTCTGAGTAACCGGAGGGGGATTTCCGCATTTTAGCTCCGAGAATTTCTGTGTAGGAGAACGACCGTGATAAGTCGAGATTAGAACGAGTGAACATGGGAAGCTGCGGGAGACAACCGCAACTTGGAACATTGGGACTCGGAAAATGGTGCTGAACAAGATCACGATATGGATGCACTTATGTGTCTGCATGGACAGAAGGAAAGCCAAAGCCATATAATTCTTACGTGTGATGCTATGATTTACATCGTCCATGAAACAAGAGCAATTTTCATACCTCCCAGCATTGTAGTGTTGAGGTCTGGCTGAAGTATTTGGCGTAGAGTGTTTCCACGGTCCACTGCATAGGTAACTGAATGAATAGTGGATGGAAGTGAAGTTCTGAAGATGCATTTATGCTGTGCATCGAATTATGTATGTACTTAATAAAGTGTTATGAAAATGTGGTACAATTAACAAGCGGAGATCACCACGTGACCCGCCCTTTCATTCCACGCTCCTCCACCGATCTTTTGTTTGATGAAGACAACCCTCAGCTGCTATCGGGCATCTGGCCTCATGTCTCGACGCCGAATCGCAATTCCAGCTCTCTCTAAAAACTTCTCATAAACTGAGACATCAGCTCTAGGAGACATCGGCACCATGTCCCAGACAAACCCGGCGGGAGAACCGACGCTGGAACCGACGTCACAACCACTCCCAGGGCCCCTGAAGAGCGTTTATCGACAGTACAAACAGGATACCAATTTCGTGGCATCATGGCTCGCCATAACTGCCAAACGATGCGGTTATCCAACCGATCTTCTCTCCGAGACTACAGATGGCTCCAATCCCGGAGCTTCCCGTCCAAAAGCCACCGGCGGTAAAGGCAAAAAGAAGAAGCCCAACAAGAAACCCACGAAACCAGCTGGATCCACAACCAATGGCCCGAAGAAGTACACTGTCGCCGTCAACGAGTACATTCCGCTTGCGCAGTTCATTTGTAACTCGAAGAAGGATGTTGCCGCCGTCCCGGAATGGTTCGTTACGGCGATCAACCGGGTAATTCACGTGCGCAAGGAGTTCAGGGATAGGCTGGCGGCGCTTGGAAGAAAGACGGAACAGGAGTCTGATATGAAGCACAACTACTTCGTCGGCATTCTGGAAAAGGTACGCGAGGTTCTCAGGCCGTTGATGACCGCGGAAGCCGCGCACGCAAGCGATGTCGGTCTCTCCAACAAGTTCGAAGGCTTGACTGTCTCCGAGCCCTCGCAGGAATTCATCGACGCTCCCGATGTCGAGAAGCCAAAGGTCGATGTGGTCTACGAAGCAGAAGAAAATATGTCGGATGATGAGGCGATGTTCATCATCTCACTTCTGTGGCAGGATCTGCTGAAGACACGGTTTACCGTGAAAGCGCTATGGTTTTCTTACTGTTGCAAAGACTACGAACTGCCGGCCGTGGCTGTCGCTACCAACACAGCCTTTGATCTGGCGCGTCACATGATTCAAGAAGTGTTTCCGGTTCTCGAAACGCACGAAAAGGGCTTTTATGGCATCTTGAAGAACAACCACGCCCTGCTCTGGGACTGGGTGACAATAGCCGGGCCGAAAGAGGCCGAGCAAATCGATCTTTCTCTTAACCCCTCCACGGAAGAGAAGAGATACGTTGCGGGAAAGGAAAGCTACATGAACGCATACAACATGCTAGCCGATATCCTACCCTCCTTGCAGGCCGATGGGAAACCCATTGGACCTATCCTCCCGATCGATGGGGAGTTTACGGCCAAAAAAGGCAACGCAAGATTCGACAAAGACTACAACTACCTGAAGCAGATATTCGAAGACCTGATGTTCATCAATGAGCATATCGCACAAAGGTCAACTTCGCACTCACGCAATTGGCCCCACGTCATCGAAGACGCTCTCATGCGCGGTCTGAGGGAAACGCTCCAAACTCGAAGGATCCCCTTCTACCTCGTGTTTGCATCCCAGGTCATGATAGACGTGCATCACGAGCTTGACGACTCAGATGAAATCTCTATGCCTAAGGATGAGATGCTTAACAAGATGAACATCATGTACGATATGTGGGCCCACTACCACCGTGTTCATGATTCAGCAGGCACATACGATGACCTGGAAGAAATCGACACGGAAATTAGAACAGTCGCCCTGGGTTGCCTCCAAATGAAAGACGACCCCATCTACGAGCAGAAAATGAAGCTTCTGAAGAAGAAGAAAGGACAGACGGCTGGGCCAAAGCCTGAGAAGCACGGCTTCTGGAAGAGACATCCGGTTGCATGCGGCTTACTTTTGTATGTCTATCAATTGGCAGTCTACAAAGCCGGAATCCACGTTTCCAACGTCACACGATCTATCGCCGCCTCAATGCACATGTATAACGCCTTCTTGAGCGAGGGTCTTATCAAAGATCCCTGGCCGGATATGGAATGCGCAAAGACGTTCTTCGGGCCGGGCAACTTTTTCGTTGGACGCCTCCCTACCAGCATGGATGATTATGCTAAAGCCATCATGTTGCAACTGGGACTTTCGGTTGTCAGTGTTATGGATCCTTCGAAGAGACGCGGCAATACGCGGTCGAGAATGTTGCAAGATGTGCCGAACCGCATGCTCAAGTGGGACGTTCCCACCTGGATGGCCTTCGACACCAGATACCTGGACAAGCTGGGCAAGACTGCTGAGGATACCTGGACTGCGGAGGACGTTTACAGCATCATCGCCGACTTTATGAAGAAAGCTGGCGGTCCTTCGTCGATCGTCGAGGGAAAGAAGAAGCCTGCAAAGTCCAAGACGAAGAGCGCCAAGGAGGTTGACAGACAGCCGGGGAAGAAACCCCAAGGGGACTCCCTAAAGACCCATGACTTGGTGATCTGGCTTTGCCGCGCTCTCACGTCTGAGTACTCCCAGATCAGCTTCCCTTTCGTGGTATTGCACGCTTATGCCTGGTTCATGATGAGGTATATGAGGGAAGACTGCGAGTCTTTGGTGAAGAATGTCCTTGGGCCACCGGATGGGAAACTCAAGGAATACGCCTTGCCTTGTTGTGCTGCCCATATATTGCAAGCAGCTTACGTGGTACCGCATTGGGCGCAAAGCAGACTTATCATGGAGCAGGCAGCCAAAACGTTCCAGGAATGCTTGTTTTCGAGGCTGATGATGCAGGAACCAGGCGGTAGCCGGTCAGTACCGGCTACCACTGGTGACGACAGAATTAATTGGATATGTGGTGAAGCTGCCTTGATGTTCGTTAAGAGGCAGCAACATCTGCCACCTTGGTGGAGTGCTAGTCAGGGTATTCGTACCCAGAAGGGTGATGATGGCGAGTGGGAGTTGACCAAGATGGAGTAGTCCAAACGATTGCAGTGAATTGGCGAATACAGCTTTATTCATCTTAACCCAATAGCATTTGGTTCTATGTAATAGAAGTAGGCATAGATGTATGTTTAAAGTTAGCCACCAAGATCCGTGAGATCCAGTAGGTTCATATGAAGCATCGAGATCTATATGTGAATACCGAGAATCGAATATTATAACGAGGCCCAACCTGCCCTCAACTCCGCCCTCAGGACATTGGTATCTCCATCTCATCATCCCAGGGCCCCCTTAACTCGCCAAATAACTGCTCTTTGATGCTCATGAAACCACACCACACCCAATCTCGATACTCAAGTCCGCTGATCAGGTGTGACTGGATACTGATCTTGCCCGTACGTGGAATTCAAGGACACTGAACCAACCACGTCTCCCGACTCCAGACGAATCGAGGTGTCCAGTATACCCTTTGACAGGTTATCTCGCTTCAGAAGCAGTTGCCTGCTTCCCCGTATCCAGTTGCCATAGCCTCCGTAACCGGATCGCTGACCGAAGCAGAGGTTTACACCGGTTCCTTTCACGCTTACGCCGTCGACGGCGCCATCCCACTTGTAGCACCAGCTGTTGCCGTGGTCATGGCCGCTGAAAACTGCAAGCATCCCCGGTGTTCCCGTGACTGCCTCCATGAATGCTTTGTCCTGACCTCCGTAGCTGCATGAAGTCTTCTGAGATCCGTCCGAGCACCATCCCTCAGCCTGTCGAGAGAGCGGCGAGTCTTGATTGATACCGGGCTGTTTTGATGGGTCGATTCCCTTGTTCTGAACGCCAAGAGACGCGTCGGGCGGGATGTGAACGAAAGCAAGGGAAGTGATATTCTTCTTGTGCTTGTCGACCAGGCCTGAGTTGGTCGACTTGAACCACGAAACAACGCTCTCGTCAACCCAGTTGGGATTTCCCACCTGCTTCCCTGACGAGTCCTTCTGCTGGTATTTGAACCCGCCTCTGCTGTCGAAGAACCAAAGCAAGACCTCCGGAGTGCAGTCATCCTTCGTGCAATCTGACGCGTAGACCGGCAGATAGTAGTTGGTAACGCCGACGTCGCCTGACACCATGCTCTGAGTACGGGCATTGGACCACTGCTTCTCTCTGGCAAGGATGTCACTTCCAGAGAGGTTGAACTGGTAGTCATGATTTCCGTACGTGCTGGCCCAGGGAAGATTGCGGTCCAGCATTGGACGGACAAGCGTGTCGAGTACGAATGAGGCGTTTTCCAAGAAGGCGTTTTCTCCGGTGATGAGGTCGCCGTTCAGAACTACAAGATCAGGCTTTGCTCCGTCGAGTATGTCATTCATGACTTTGACGGTCTTCTTGTCCTGAGCAGGCCCAAAAGACCAGGCGTCTACTCTCTTGTTAGCTTGTCTGGTCTCATCAGTCGTAACGAAACAGAGCAAATTACCCTCTCCGAAGTGCAAATCCTCAAATATCGAAATCTTGAAATCCCCATTACTACTGAAACGGAGCGGCCCCGAGGCCTTGTCATTCTCTCGGCTGCCGAGTAACGGGATCTGATGCGAAGCCCCGGCCCATAGGGCGAACAGCAATAATGAACCGATCATTGTAGAAATATTATTGCATGCAGACTTCAAAACATGAATAATTGAGACCCGGGTGGCTGAGACGCAAGGCACCTTTAGAGCCTACATCCTCCTCGAGGGAATATGCGATATAAGTGCTGTCATCGTCTGATATTCTCCGCCGCTCGCGCCTGCAAAGTTGGTGAGCCCCGTTTCACGGCTGCAACCTAAGTGCATGGAAAAGTACAACTTGCATATGGAAGGGAGACTCGAAATATGAACGTTCGTGGAATCCGTGGAACCCACGAATGACATCCCTGAATTGCGGCACAACCAGTACATGATAGATCTATTGATGAAATCGGGGACAGGGGCCAGATGCGATGCAACAATAGGCGAAATTATCCAGACAGGGGATTGTTGACGACGCGTTCGGCGTAGTTTGCTCGTCTGATGCACGTGCGGCAGTCTGATATTCTTGTTCGGCGCTCAGGACTTTGTCGAGTCCGATTGACGTTGACCTTGGCCCAAAGACCAAGACCAAAGGCGCGTGCACTCGGGGCTGAGAAGCTGATAGTTTCCCCCGAGTCCGGGCAGCGTCGGCGCACAGAGTGGGGAAACGGACATCGAAAGGTCATCTCAGTCTGTTCATGATACCGAGAAGAGGGAGAATCTGGTGCAGCGCTGAATTTCCATCACATTGTTGCAATGTAAAATGGCCGAAATAAGTCCAATTTTATCGCCCTAGAAACCGACACGAGGGAGACTACACCAATCACTCATTGCTTGTGGAAAACCTCCTTCAGAAAAGCAGCAATCAACTCGGAGCTCTTAGCGTCATCAGGCGGCATGATGGCGCTAGCATAGAGGCCACCTACGCCCCTGTCGCGGTTGACAAACCAAACAAGATTCGGGATGCCAGTCATCACCAGCGTCCCTCCAGGTAGGATTGCGGAGTCCTTCTTGATGAAGTACGCACCTGGAGCTTGGCCGACTTTCTCAGCGTCGTACGGCTCTCCGGTAAGTCGACCGTACATCATCTTGACCAGTTGCGTCAGCTTCAATAGTTCAAAAACACGAAATAGATGAGGACTCACTGCTCCATATGCCAGCATTCCTGCGGCTGGAGTATCAGGGCCGAACTGAGGCGAGAATAGTTCGTCGACAGACTTGGATTGAAGCAGTCTCGGGGTTGGTTGAAGGAGATCAGTCGTCAGCTTTGCAATGTCGGGGACGGTGGACACCAGACCCATCGCTCCGCTGTCATCAGTCGTAACCCCAGGGTATGGCCCTTTCATGGGCACAAGAGTACCATCGGAAATTCGTGTGCTCGTCTCGACCAATCTTCCCTGAATGCTCAGATCCTTGTCAGGGTGAAAGGTTGTGCTCGTCATACCCAAAGGGTCGAATATGTGCGTCTTCATGTAGTCGCCGAGCTTCATCTTGTTCAACCTCTCGACGAGGATGCCAGCCCACTCGACGCCGCCACCATAAGCCCATCCCTGGCCCGGCTCGAACAACAACGGGATGGTGTAGGCCTTCTTAGAGTCCCCTGAAAAGGCTTGCGGGTGTTCGTCGCGGGACATTCGCCACGCTTGAAGGCGCGGATCGAAGACATCGACACCGACGCCACTGGTGTGGGAAAGCAAATGCCGCAGAGTGATTCTTTCCTTGTGAGGAGTAAGGCTGATTTGGCCCTGCTGGTCGTAGCCCAGCACTCCGAACTGTTTCAGTTCAGGAAGGATGTCATACACGGGATCATCCAACTGGACTTGACCGCGCTCAACGCATTGCAGTACTGCAATTGCTGTGACCGTCTTCGTGATGGAGTAGATCCAGAACGCGCTGTTGCTATCGATCTTGTCGCTTCCTATACTACTGGTTCTACCAAAGTATTTTTCGACGAGAGTGGCTCCTTTCAGGCCAGTCTGGATTAGTCTTGAATGCAATCATGACTGCATGTTATAGGGCCCTCACCTGAACTATCAACAGCGAGAACTGCCAGTCCCGCAACTCCGTCAGAGTCTGGGCTTGTCTCTTTCGCACAAAGCTCTTCAAAAGATTTAGACATGGCGAATAATATTGTGAGCGGATATTTCCTGCGAATGGTGTACCCTAGCGAAGGGTGAAAAGACGGACCATCGACATATTCACCTTATGAACTCTTCGGACCATATGGAGTCTCGTTGCCGGCATGCCTTTCGTCGCAACAACGCCAGTCCCGGAAGACCGGCTTCAAGTCCATTGCTCAGTCTTTCTTTGGTTTACCGTTGGCGATTCATTACTATTGGCAAGGAAGGGTTCGGGGTGGCACCGGAAACTGTATCAAGACGAGTTCCGGCCGAAATCCGACGCCGCAAGAGCGCCCAGCCCCCGCGCGATCCACAAAACTAACCGCCGGCCTGGCAACTTGCTAGGAATTGTAGGTCTGATGGGTACGACCGATGATGATCCCATAGGGCCGACAAAGTTTCCGCGAAAGTAGTATCCGGACTGAGTTCCGGCAGCCACGGCTTGACGCAAGCTAAGCTAGATAATGGTGAGGTCTTATAGTAATGGAGACTAAAGCACCACTACGCGCTGGGAAGTCGATGAAAAGGATGTCAATAGTTCGAATATTCTCATGTTTCCAGATCAAGTCAGAATAGCCCACACCACATTCAGTCCCGTTCAACATTCACCATGGAAGCCATTGCCAGCCGCAAACGGAGCAATCCACCTCGAGATGCCAGTCCCAACGCTCTGGCTGGTAAGGTGGCTCTCGTCACTGGCTCTACAACCGGCATCGGCGCTGCCGTTGTCAGAGAGCTGTCCGCCCGGGGTGCGTCGGTTGTGATCAACTACGGCTGGCCGGATCTCCGCGGCGCCGCCGAAGAAATTGGCCAAAGTCTCTCAAGCCCCTGGATCGCCGTCGAAGCCGACCTCTCCACCACAGATGGGCCGGCGAAGCTTGTTGCAGCAACCGTCGAAAAGTTCGGCAAAGTCGACATCTTGGTCAACAATGCCGCCAAGGCCACGCTGGCGAAAGTCGAAGAAACCTCTATCGACCTTTGGGATGCGTCCATGAACACCAACGTTCGCGGTGCGTTCCTTCTCTCGCAAGCCGTGCTGCCTCATTTGCCTCCGAAAGCCGAAGGCGGCGGCGGAAGAATCATCAACATCACATCTGCCGTCGCAACAGACCCGGAAATTCTTCAGACAGCTTATGCCACCAGCAAGGGAGCTATCACCACTTTAACGCGATGCTTGGCTAAGGAGCTGCCGCCGACCTATGGATGCACCGTTAATGCGGTGTCCCCGGGCATTGTCAAGACCCCGCAGTTTCTGGGCGAGCTTCAGAAGATGGGAAACGCCTTTTTAACTCAGATATTTGATGCCCGCACTCCGGTCGATGGTTGGATTGGGTTGCCTGAAGACATTGCCTTTGCGGTAGCATTTCTGGCGGAGGACAGAGCTAGTTGGGTCAACGGTGCTAGTATCAACGTCTCAGGAGGAATGTTTTTTGACTGATCTGAGTCTCGATTATGTTCTTCCTCCAGCTCGTTCGTAGTAACTAAAACTTGAGACTAGACTCTAAACCCAATGCACTTAAAACTGTTTTAGAAGCATATTGCTTGATCGCTATCTTGTTTCTGAGACACAATCAAGGCAAGTACACATTCATCACGAAGGCCAGCCTCCATCGATCCATCCAATTGAGGGCTGGGCACTGTACAGCTCCGCCAATAAATCGTGCTCATCCAAAGTGCCGAAGCCAGGAATAGTCGCCGTTTCATGAGCACCAATTGCACTCCAATTAATACCGGGGCCATCCTCAAAGACAGCCGGGAAGGGGTTGGTCCATCGAGGACTCGTGGCCTTGGACGACTCCAGGTGCTGCGGCTGTTGAGAATCAGAATGTACAACTGAGAAGTTTGCATTACTCGTCGCAGACTGAGTTGCCTGCTGTTGTCCTAGCGTGCTAGGTCTGCATTCTTGATTAAAAACCGGCCGGCATAGAGTCATGAAACCTTCGAAGAGTCTTTGAACTCCCATCAAGGCCGAGTTTTGACCAGCAAACCCCTCAAGATCTGTTGTGACCTTGGATAGAAGCTGAAAATCCTCCACACTAGAGGCGCTCACGGCGTGTGTGAAGAGAACGAAAAACGGATAGAGAGGGTAAAAGAGCACAAGCCTACAAACTTCAGTTGCTATACGGGCAGTATCGGGACAAGAAGATACGCTTACCATGATACGGAAACACTGAAGTTGTGCATGTCATCGAGAGTCTTTCCGTGTGCTAGCATGTCATGCAGGCACGACAACGATGTTCGCGCATACCCGAGCAGTTGCTGGTGAAGGCCGCCGTCCTCAGCAATGTAGGGGTGAAGCCTGACGATGGATGTCATCACTGAGTGATAGGCAAAATCTGCCCCCATCCATTCGCCGCGCAAGTAACTATCTTGGGAATGCAACGAAATGTTTCGGAACTGAATTATCGTCAGCATGGTGTTGCATGTCAGCGCTTGGAGGTCCTCCTACCTCTCTAATGTTCTCCTTGATTTTCCACATATTCTGCTGCATCGCCTGCACCGTCTCCAAAATGTCCTTCGGATCTTTCCGCCGTCTAGAATTGAAAATGATTTCATTCTGAATTTCAGCCAGCTGCAGGTACACGTGTACGAGCGATGTATACGGTTTCGATGGGTTGGACGGCATCAACTCCGAGATATTTAGATCCATCTCAGGCAGACAGGTAGTTCTGTTCATACTCGAAGCCAGCGCTTTGTCAAACATGTAACATAACGATACAGAGTATCTCGCCTCTTGAGATTCAACCGACTGTGTAGGGAACGATGTGATGAGACTATAGCCTCCCAGAGCTGTGCAAATTCGTGATGCCGCGGCGTTCAACTGCCAGCATCTTTCTAGCTTCCCAGAAAGCAACATGTACATGACCTGATTAGTGTCAGCCCATCTAGTTCATCCGTTTACTCAGTCTGCGTGTACTCACGCCTGATAAAAGAGCCTGGAATAGAGACAGACTTGGGTTATCAAGAACGCCAATGCGATGCAAAGCAACCAGAATATTCTGCTCGTACTGTTTTCGCTTTTCATCTAGATGCTTCTGCATTGTCGGACCAACTGTGTCTGAACTTGACGCACTCAGGTAGACCCAAGCTACGAAGTTCACGTTTACTACGTATTGGAGTCCGGTTGCGCCAGAGGCCCTTTTCTCGATCAACTCGAAACCTTGCTTGGCCAGTGTTGTTGGTGAGACCACACTGCTCATGTCTAGGATGAAGCACAATCCAGACTCTTTACGGGGACCTGGTCAATGTTAGCAGAAAGGTTGACACCGTTTGTAGATGAGACTCTCAGTACTGTTCAGGATGAAATGAAGAGTCTCAGCTGATGGGTACAGGGTTTCGTCAGACAGGTCTATCAGCGTCGTGGAATAGTCGTCGGAAGTCAATGAATTCATCGGAACAGAGGCATGTGTCGCGAAAGCCAATGCAGATTTCAAGATTTCGCGTTTTTCGTTGTCCATTCCGGAGCGGTTCTGTAACTCGGCCTGGATGTGGCTTTGCGCCTGCGTTGTGGCTGGGCCACGCTCAGTCGTGCTGGATGAGAATGATTGCCGGCCATTGTGAGAAGCAGGCGTTCTTGCTGGTTGCGGCTCTGCACTTGGAAGTCTGGTAGTCTGCTGAACGCTTCTTGCAGAGGTGGCGACCCGTCCTGAGTTTGTTGAGACCGCTCTCGGCGACAGTGATCGCCGCCAATTTGGCAAGTATACCGAGCTTTGAAATCTTCTTTGAATGCTGAGAAGTATAATGACTGTTAGCGCACCCGTGACAGCTTCATGCGAAATTTGGCTAACGACATGTACATATCGAGGCGATCTACCTATTTTGAGCTGTGTTCTTAATCCTCCTTCTTGGTCGTTCCCGTCGGCAAGCGGCACTTGCTGCCAAGCAGTTGGCACACGGATCTTCTCTGTCACACTTGATCTAAAGAATTGCTGTCAGAAATCCAACACCAAGCCACATTTTGAACCTGCAAGGGTGATAACGAACCTTCTTCGAAAAACATAGATCACACTGGGATTCCAGTCAGCACCCGTAATCGGTCATCCAATAGGAACCAGTGAGTGACCTACGGCGCGGTTCCGCGGCACAGCATCATCGGCCGCCGCATCCAAGTCGGCCATCCTTCAGTCAAGATACGGCTAACGGAGATCCGGACGAGATCTCGAATTCGGAATCCAGCGCCGAGAGTGGTGCGATCACGTCGGAGGAAGACAATTCAACGAGATGGGTTCTCGGGGTTGAATGAGAGGCAGGTTGCCTAGAACCCATTGCGCGCCGGATTTCGGACGGAAAACCCTTGACCGCATGAAAGACACGGTCCAGTATGCTGTGAAACAGTGCCGGTCTATGTGGGCTGATGATCCGCACATCTCTCGGAAACGCGATTATCGGCCTCCGGTGACCCGGCGTCCCGGCGGGATGGCCCCGAAGCTCTATCCTTGGTGAAATCTTCAGCCACCAATTCATCCTCGACATGGAGGCAATTGTTTTGATAATATGTAGGACATGTTTCCAAACCACCTTTCCGGGAGGGAAATATCAAGCATGTCATAATGACTTGAAAGCTGCACGCAAATCGCTGATAGCTCAAACATTATAATCTAACTTCTGACTCATTGACGACTGCCGTTCAATCTATGGAAGAAAAGAAGAAATCCGGATCCAAGACCGTCGAGAAAAGAAAATCCCCGTTCATTGACCACATAATGTTACATCTTCAAATTTGCATCGATCTTGCGGATCAAGACAGGATTTGCAGGATCGGGGAAGACCTACGAGAATCATGCTGTTAGTGCATTTCATGAAGAAGCATACCTGCGCTGATGACAACGTACCTGGTTCTCAAAGTGCACATGCTTGTGTCTCCCCTGTCCCTCTGGGTTCTTGATGTCGTAGTGCAGCAGGATGAACGCGATAATCAACTTGATCTCAACATCGGCCAGAAATCTGCCGGGGCAAGCCGTCTTGCCGTAACCCCAGCCAAGCATGTCCTTGCGAGCGCTGACATAGTGATGCTTGGCACTGGTCTCCTCGTCTTCGGCGCGTTTTCTGAGGAACCGGTAGCCGTCGAACTCAGCGGCATTGTCGTAGAAATCACTGTCCCGGTGGATGGCAAAGGTTGGAAATTCGAGCTTGGTGCCCTTGGGGATGAATGTGCCATCAGACAAGGTGACGTCCTGAGTTGCGCGACGTTGCAGCGTAGCTAGGAATCGTGGTCAGTGACTGAAAGGCTATGAAGTTGCGAATATGATTTTGACTTACTCAAATTGGGAGAGTTCAGTCGGTGCGCCTCGCGAATGAAGCTGTCCAACTTGTGCATGTCCCACAAGGCAGCTTTGGACAGGACGCCGTCAAACTTGGCCAAAGTGTCAACGACCTCCTTTCTCAGGTCCGGCACATACTGAGGGTGCGCGGACATCTCGAAGAGCGTTTGCGTGAGGACTGCGGAGGTGGTATGAATTCCTCCCACGGCGAGATTCATCTGTTCTTTCAGATGCATGTCGATGACCGATGAAGATGTGCCTGCTGCTTTGCGAGACATGTGGTACAGGACACTGGTAGGTTGCGGTTCCGGAATCCCTTGAGCCTCCCGCGTGTTGAAGTTCTCGATGGCTTTGACAAGGATCTTGCGGCCGTCACTCAGCTGTCTCTGGATCTCGGCATACTCTGGGAGAAACCGGTGTACCAAGGGTCTCATGAATTCGGGCCAGAACTTCAGCTGGTGAGCGTAGGATACCCCAGACTGGACATACTCGGTTGTGAGAGTAATCCAGGTTTCATTGTGAGGTGCCTCGTTGTCAACCATGACCCGAGCAGTAAGTATACCCAGCATGCGGAGCATCTTGGGGTAAAGATTGACAGGATTCCATTCTTGAACCTGTTAGAGAGATGATTCCGGTGGCTGCTGTACTTATGAACACATTACCTGTCGAGTCTCCAAAGGCAGTGGGGATGTATTCCGCGATGAGATCCGTGAACTCAGGAATGAACTTCGCTGTTGATGGAAATTGAAAAATCAGCATGGGACCAAAAGATGTCGTTTTCTGAGAAGAGTGGCATACGCAAGCTTGGAACGACCTCTTTCTTGAATGTCGACAGCGAAAACTGCTTCAACCCGCCCATGTAGGTGTAATCAATCAAGAGGTCCTGCATCGTGTCAGTCAACGTCTGAGGCATTGGAACTCCATCATCCGCCTACATGATCAAGTGAGTTGTGAAAACTCAAGCCGGGCTCTTTCGAAATTTCGTCCACATACTGGTGAGGAAATACGAGTTTGATGCCTTGAGAAAGTTTGTTAGCCAAGACAAGGATTGCCAAAGTTTTCTGCTTGGATTGCTGTACCGTCTGCCGTGTCTACGCCGAAAATACGGTCCTTGAACTGCAAAACGTATGAGTACTAGCCTGAAAAAGTCTCACATGCGTTGCGACATACCTGCTCATAGCCTTTTTGTACTATTCCCGGAGCATTGAAGCTGTACTGGTTCTTGCGCTGCTTCGAATCCTTGACATCGAATCCAACAAGGGGGACGTTGGGCGTCTTTGTCCAAGACTTGTAGACCGCTATCACTGTAGCCACGCCGCAAAGAATGACCCAGGCCAAGGTCGAGGCGTTCGCGTTGCCAGTGTTAAAAAGAGACGATACAATGTTTGAGGAAGACATGATTTCCCTTCAACACAAGGATGAGTCTGATGACGATAGTGGTCAAACTTGTTTTCGTGAAAGTCTTGCCATTTAAGCAATGCTTCAACACTAGATCTATCGTTGACGACACAACAAATTTTCATCCCATCACCGCATCACCAAGTTCGAAATGATCCTGCCCTTGCCACACGGACTCCGCTACTGGCCGACACGCTTGAAAACTGACAGAGTCTGATTGGCTACTGAACTCCGGATCTCGATAACTACAATATTCTCCGTGACGGGCCATCGACCGCACCGCATGCCAAGCTTGTAGATCATAGGATGGAAACGTTGCCGTCGCGATGCCAAATTTCCGGCATGTTTCACCACTTTCGAATCGCCGAATGTATGTCAAATTTTCTACACTTAGACAGCTTTTCCGGTTTCCGAAATCCGAAGTCCGGGTGGGTCCTCCTTCCGGTTACGCCGGAGCGGCCTGATGCTAGCCCGGCCCCGGGCTCTCATGAAGCCAATGGGTTGGCCAAGAGAGTGTATTCCCTAATAATGTATTGCAAACAAGCATGAGTCGTGTACGGTGATGAAGAATTCCGACTACGTTGCGTCATCTCATGCGTATGTCGAGGTTGTAATGTGAAATACAATCCAGACGTCATTCAGACAAGACAATCCTTAACGTACTCGAAGCAAACGCAGTCATTCTTTCAATATGACTGATTCCGGTCGTCTCCAAGTTGCCATCATTGGCGGTGGCATAGCTGGCCTCGCGGCGGCGCGTATTCTTCGTGAGCGTCACGATGTTACCATCTACGAGCGCAACGCGCCCGAGACCCCTGAAGCTGGCGCAGCGGTTGGGCTCGGACCTAATGGGACGAAGATGGCGAAAGCTCTGGGTCTAAGTCGTGAAAGCCTCAAGGCTGTGATCTCAAGTGGCTTCAGGACGTTCGATCAGTCCGGGAACCTGCTGAAAGAGTCCAGAATCGATTGTGCCAAGGCGTTTGGTTCCGAATGGTGGATGGTTCATCGACAAGACCTCAAGGACGCCTTATTTGAAGCAGCGACAAGTGACGGCCCCAAGTGGACAGGGAACCCGGCCAAAGTTGACTTCAACTCGCGAGTTGACGGAGTTGACCCAATGACAGGCTTGATCACATTTCGTGACGGCTTGACAGTGAAGGCAGATCTGATCATCGGTACTGGTGCCCCTGATTCAATCTCATGGCTTAGCTAATGCTTCAAATTCAGGCGCGGACGGCATACACTCAAATGTTCGCCCTTCCATCGTTGGTCTAGATCATCCTCAGCCGGTTCCAGCAAATCTATCGCTCTACAGATTCACTGTCCCGCTCTCTGAGATGGAGAAGACTTTGGGAACTCTTCCATCCTGCCTGGACTACAAAGACGGCGTGTTTCTTTCATCATTTATTGCAGCAGATGGCTCAAACAGAAACGTCGTCATCTATCCCTGCCGCAACCAGGAGCTGATCAACTTCGCCTGCGCTGTGCCCGACTCCGCTCTGCGCCAGGGAACGGAAGATTCATGGACGAAAGATGGCGACATCGAGGAAATGGCGGGTCACTTTCATGACTTCCCATCATGGCTCCACGATATCATGCGGTACGTCGGCGTTCCCCAGCCATGCAGCGTGGCCGAAACCTGATCTTGGCTGACGACATCCTGCGTTCAATAGCAAAGTGCCCAGTGTCAAGTTGTACCAGCTTCGAGATGCTGATCCATTTCCTACTTACACCAAAGGTGTGGCTGCCATCATTGGAGATGCTGCTCACCCAACGGTTCCCTACCAAGGTCAAGGCGCAAATCAAGCTTTAGAAGATGCAGAAGGACTCAAGCTTCTCCTTCGTCCAGACGTCACGTCAGAGAATCTGAGCAGTCTCTTGAGCGAATGGGATCGGAAAAGACGTCCCAGAGCTTCCCAGATCCAGCTCAACTCCCGAATCGCGGCGGCAAAGGTCTCACCTGAAGTTATCATGCAGAGAATGAAGTTCAACTGGACTTACGATGGCATAGACAGCTGCACAGAGTAGAGAATCTAGATAACTGAAATCGACAGTATCATGGAATTTGACTCATGTTCTGAGACTATGTGTATGAATATCAATGCGTATGTGTTGCTTTCATTGCCAGTTCCTAAAGTAACTCGCTGACATTGATTATATGGGTGACTGGGTTTTGGTCAATTCAACAGATAAGATACAAAGAATGGCCATATCGAGTTGCTATGAGCGACCAATTTGTTCCTTCAAATGCTGTTCCAGGGAAGTGGGCTTGTGGACATGTTCCAAAGCTACCACATCGTTCATTTTCCACAGACCCTGATCTCCAATTAGAGCAGCTGCTTGAGGTAAATACTCAAAGTACTTCCCTCTCCCCCTTTCCCTACGTAGGAGGGCCACTTCTCCCGCAAGATCCACTAAGTCTCCTTGACGTCGTACCTCAACATAGGTCCCCGTTGTCTCTTCATATATCAAAGCCAGCTCTTCAATGGTGTGTTCTCCAGATCGCATCCTGAAGAACCCACCATTGCCTTCCTGGACGCCATCACCGTTGATAAGTATCTCGATGGTCCAGGCTGCAGCGTCGTCCTGGTGCGTCCATGAATACTGCTGTTTGTTGCCGTCTCCCCAGTACTTCATGACGGGAATATCCCCAGACGTGCCGAATCCCCCAGGTCCGTAGTCGGTAAACAGTAAATCAGCGAAAACCCCGGTAAAGATGTACACGGGCTTGACGGTGCTCGTCATGGCGGCTTGCTGTTCGAAGGCAATGTGCGGGTCGTAGTGCTCGAATTCCCCGAATTTGATCTTGGTCCAATCGTTGTTCCAGGAAGATGCGATGAAAATCTTGACATTGGCGCGCTCGGCGGCACGCAGAAGCAAGAGGTTCGCATCGAGGTCGAGGATTGGCGAGGGCGTGTAGGCGCAGATGATGGCGTCAACCCCGGCAACTGCTTTGTCCAGCGCCGGAATGTCGTAGTAGTTCTGGCTCGTAACGAACGATTCGAGGTCGTTGAAGAGTTCGGGGCTGAGTTTCGCGGGGTCGCGCCCTAGACCTCGGACGGACAGGCCACGCGCCTTCGCAACAGCCGCCAGACGGTGGCCTAAACTGCCTGTAATTCCAGCGATGAGAACGAGCATATTGACAATACGGAACTGGACGATTGATCGCCACTTGACTGCGATGAGATACCCAGGTCAGTAGCGGTGTTCATATATAGTATGATTCTCTGAGACCCGGTGTCCGTCTTACCATCCAGTTAGGCACTCCATTTAGGTATTGTATGCGCCGAAGGTCCACTCGGAGGCCGCTCGGGGACCGGTCGATCGGCGACTATCAACGGTGGTGGTTGTCAATCGGAAAGCTTCCCCATAATCCAACTTTGTGATCATTGCAAAAGGCTCAATAGTGGTTTTCAGCTAGCCAACTCGCATCTATGCTGATAAATCAGCGCCGTGGAATATGCGCCGTGGGGTTTGAATATTATTATCTCTTCACCTTCCATGGCGCCGTGGCAGCCGCGGAATCCGCGGATGACTTCCGCCGGCTTTGCGGGTTGGAGGCGTTGTGATATTCGACGTCGAATTCTAGCATCTACGCTTCGGCGAAGTTGAGTAATCGGCTCTGCGATTGGACACTTTCCAGATAGGTTGAAATAAAGTAGGCGAAAAGTTCCATATTCGGCCGAAAGTGCCGTGTAAGTCGTAAGCTCGAGTCCCCTGACACACTGGATCGCCTGTCTTGGCTCTTGAGAACCCCACGATATGGATCCCTTCGTCAGTGCTGCGGAAATTGCTTCCTCGCTTTCGCTATCGGGGATGATATTCCGGCTCACCACGTTACCTTACTTGGGACGATGACTACTAATTCCGGCAGCTCATACGTTTGATGCTCTCTCAACTCACAGGTGAGATGCCAAAAATGAGACAAAAAGGGCGGGTCTTGCCTGAATCTACTTCAATGACAGGGGAATCTTTCGCCGCCGGATGAGGTTTTTACCGGAAATTGTTATTGCTCTTTCTTCCAGCTGTAAGGTAAGCTTGAATGAGTCGAAACCATATGACACGGCCTCAGACTTTAAGTGCATCTCAAATTGCTTCTATACAAGACTACAAAATAAGTCTTGATTGTCCGATATTACACTTGTAATTACATTGTGGACAGAGTACGGAGTTGGGTATGGATAATGCACAAAGAAGAAAGCCTCTAAAAGCTTGACCACCTACCAGTCCCGAACTTGTCACCCGTCACACGTGTGCCTCTGGAACGGCCAATGAGTTTGATCAAAAAAGATGGGATGACTTCGAAAATTTCAAGCATGATTTACGCTTGCGGATGAAGCCCCGATCACAAGTGGACGTCGGCGACATTCAAGCCGCCATGCGAGGACGCCGACGGAGCTCCAGTAATCGGATCGCGAATTGGTGGAGGAGTGTCACCGGCCCCGCACGGGAAATCGGCGTTCATGCGGGACTAACCGTCGTGAGCCGGATCTTCATAATGCATGAGCTGCAATGGCTTCTTTTCCCATTGGACTACTTGCCGGTTTCCATAAAATGACAAATTCCCGGTAGTTCGAGCGCTGGCACTGAAAGTGGGAGCGCACGGTGAATGGCCCAGGTCCATGTTTAAGCGCCACCTAGGCGGTAATTACATCACTATTGAAACATGAGTTCATCCGATATTTATTCAGAAGAGGGGTCTTTTTGGACAACCAATTTGTTCATCTCACGAATCTGCCTCTCTTCTAGAATTAGCAGGTCTACGCCAATTCATTTCAAGATGTCTGATATCCAAGATTTCAAGGTTGATATTCCGCGGGATGAGGTTGAGAGACTGCGTCGGAAACTCCGCGATACGAGACTGCCCGGGCGGCCTATTGTACCTGATGCTGGGGCGAATTATGGTGAGATCAATTCCCCGGTACACCTCTTCACATTCGACGGGAAGCTCATCGAATATCCCCAGGTCCCGAGTATTCTTGGGCGGAAAATCTTTATCATTCCTGGATTGACTCCTTCGACTGGTTCGAAGTTCAAGCGGAGATGAACAAAGTGCCACATCACATCACGACGGTCGAGGACCTTAAGATCCACTTCGTCCACAAGCGATCCGAAAACCCCAACGCCATTCCACTACTCACCATTCACGGCTGGCCGGGTTCGTTCTGGGAGTTCAGCCAGGTCTGGGAACCTCTCACGCGTCCAAGCAACCCGAGTGATCCCTCATTCCATGTCGTCTCGCCCAGTATGCCTGGTTTCTGCTGGTCGTCCTGGCCTCCTCGTGCAGGTTGGAAGCTCCAAGACAACGCTCGAGTTTTCGACAAGCTCATGAACAAGTTGGGCTACAGCCAATACATGGTTCAATGTGGCGACTGGGGCTCGTTTGTTGGTCGCGAGCTGGGTTCAAAATACACCGAGTCCTGCAAGCTCGTCCATCTCAACTTCGCCCCGAGTCCGATGCCAGACGGGGTTGAGTACTCTGAGCGTGAAAAGAAGGTTGCCAAACGGAACGAAGACTGGCTCCAGAACCACATGGGCTATGCTGTCTGCATGCGATCTCGGGTACGTAAATCTTCTACTGGGCTGCAAACACTAGCCATAAGGCTCATATTGACGTGTACGTATGAGGCAGCCTCACACCATCGGAATTGCATTGCACGATAATCCCATGGGTATCTTGATGTGGGTTGGCGAGAAATACAACGAGGCAGCCAACCCTGACAATCAGATGAATCCCTTCTGGACGAAGGCTATCTTGACGACGGCTTCACTTTACTTCTTCACAGGATGCATGATGCCATCGATGCTGCCTTACTACGAAAGTCCAACCCATGACAAGTTCCCCGAGTTTGCACTGAAGGAAGAGAACCGGATTAAGGTACCCTTCGGATACACCTCGTTTTACTGGGACACTGAACCGGCTTCGAAGCGGGCGGTCGTGAGGACCGGTAACCTGGTCTTCTACAAAGGTATGAACATTATGCCAACTCGTCTTCGCAACAGATTCTGATAATTTGATAGAAAGGGATGATGCCGGCCACTTTGCCGCTCTGGAGCACCCTGAGGGCTTGGTGCAAGATTTACGGGAATTGGCTGGACAGGCTTGGGAGGTTAAGCAGGAAACGCAGCAGACTGGAGGAGGCATCCGTCCGACTTTTCGGCCTGTTGATTCACGGGTCAGGCAGGAATACGCACCGTAGACGCGAGGTCGGTTGGCAATGGTCAATGGGCAGTAGTAAAGACAGATAGACCAAAGGTTCGTAGTTGCCACTGATGCAACGGGCGACGGTACGATAGTTTGGGATCAAATCAGAATCATGGATCTATGAACTAGGTACCTACCTTACCTTATAGATACTTGGATATGAAATTGTATATCTCTGCATTGCTGCAGGTCAAACTCAAAGGGCAGGTGCGATATCAGGGTTGGCCACTGCTGGTACGTATCCAAATCGGCATCGCGCCTAAAAACCTGGAAGTCGGCACCTTCCCTTCTAGAACAACAATTCCACACACAAAATTTTCAATTTCTCCGATCTCTCGTTCGACATGTCTCGTTCGACTTTTTCCTTCATTCCACCCTGAGATCGCGATCGGATACCAACTTGATCGTCATTTCAAACCTTTTGTTGGTGCTAGGCAGCCGCGGCGTTGACCGCCAATACCCAGTTCAGGCAGGTGCGACCACCAGACGGCCAACATCTGATAAAATCATTCGTCTTCCCTCACCGCAAAGAAAACTCGTTTCTCCGCTACATCTACCATTCGAAGCCTCATAATCTCCCCGAAAATGGGGCTCAACGATATTCCGACAGAGCTGCAAGGCCTCATCTTGGGTCAACTCATCGAACCAAAAGATATTGCTAGAGGAGGCGACATCCTCAACTGCAAAGACCTATCGACATCCCGTCTTGTTTGTCGAACTTGGAACGACCTTGCGCTAAGACATCTCTATCAAGAGATCGAACTGATCGACCACGGCATGCCATACCAGGACCAGGATCCATCTGAGCCTTGGAGTTTTAATCGATGGAACGAAACGGTTGACAACGAGATGATTCGAAAAGCCGCCCAGCGTGTCGTCATCAACAGCGCCCCAGACCACATGTCTATAACCGCCGACTACGACGAATGGAAATGTTGGGAGAATGAAGGCAAATATCCCGACCTCACCAGGTCCATTGACCGACTCATCGAGTTACCCAACGTCAAGGCTGTGCATTTGCGTTTTACGGCTAAGTGCCGCGGCAAGGAAAGCAACTCTGAGGACCTTTATGGCTGGACCGACAACGTCGAGCCTTTGGCGACGAGACTGAACACTCTCAAGGCGGTCTTCAGTGCCATGGTCAAGCGATCCACCGATCCCAAGAACACGACAATCCGATCCCTCACGCTGCAGAACGTACAGAATACCTCTCTCGAATCCCTGGTGGCACCTGCCATGTCGACGGTGATCAAGCACATCAGCAACCTTCACATCTGGGTACTAGAGGAGTACAACGAACACGGCCCAGATCGCGACTTCACTTTCGCCGAACGTCGGACTTTTGAGCCTCATCTTCAGAAGGAAATCCTCCCCCATTTCTGCGACTCTTTGACGACTCTGACATTGGGATTCCGGGAGCCCTGGGGTACCGCGCCAGCACACTTTGATGGAAAGGGCCTTATCTTCCCCTGCCTGAAGACGTTGAATTTGATACGATTCACCATCTCACATCATGACCACTTCGATTGGGTCATTGCACAGACCTCTCTCACAACATTGAGACTCGACAGCTGCTACATCGTTTCACACATGAGCTTCGACTGGAACGAGAAGACCAGAGATGTGCCCAAACACGACTGGGAGCTACTTCCGAGGGGCTCTTTTGGTTACGACTCCGATGACGACCTTGTCTACACGTTCTCAGGTACTTGGGCAACAGAATTCGACAGGATTCGTGCAAGCCTCACCAATCTCGTCGACTTCCGGTTCTGCGATTCAGATAAGGACAACACCTTTAAACACCCTGAACGCATGGAAACTGAACTTCATTGTACCAGATACATGGCGTTGGATGTGGGACTTTGCCCCAGCCCCTGGATATGCGGCGAGAATGGTGGAGTTCTGGAGTTTGGCGATGGCCCCCCTGATCCACGCGGCGACGATGAAGAAGATGATGACGAGGAAGAGGACTTTGAGCTGAATCGAGCAAAGGAAACAGAGGCAGTGGACTCTCGAGCCCTTAACGCCCTAATGCATGCAATTCGGGAAAGAAGATAAAAGTGGCCTAAGTGGATGGCATAGGAGTCTCAACATCACGAGATTATATGGCAAAAATCAGAGTCGTCATGGAGTAATTGATTTTTATTTGCTAGGAGACCAACAGTCAGTCCCCAAAATTGCTTAATTCATGACCTTTCATGAGCTGCTCTGCTCTGCTTGTAACAGTCCGCAGAAATCCAATTCTCCCGCTGGCTTAGCTGTACCAAACGACGTTGGCCGGACCCGACGCCAAGTCAAGGTGAGCAACGGCCGAAGCCGTCGTAGCAGAACCGCTGGCATCAATCTTCCATACTTCCAGGAAGTTGGAGCCGCTGTCGGTGATGGCAAAGTACTCCTCGTTGAACGGGGCCGGGGAGACAGCGTTCGCCGAACCGCCACTGTTCGTGGTGGGAAGAAGGAAGAGCTGCTCGACGATGGCGCCAGTCGAGCTATCGAGGGAGAAGGCGGAGACGTAGCCCGGGATACCGACGGTGCGGGATCGCGTGGCGGCGATGAGGTACTTGGGCGCCGTGGCGCTGGCGTTGCTGCTGGGGATGGAGAAGAGGACTTCGTCGGCCCAGTAGGAGGAAGAGTTTGTGTATCCTACTTGGATGTTAGCTTGATTTCCTGAAAGGCAGTCACGTCCGCATACCTGAGGGAAGCAGGGAGTAGGTCGTGTTGGTGAAGGTCAGTTCGCCGGTAGTGGTGTCGCGCTCGTAGGACGCGATGGAGCTGGCTGCTTCGTAGACGACGTAGACCCATTTGCCGTTGGGGTGGACTGCCAGGTGACGGGGATCAGAGCCCTCGGCAGCGGCGAGATACTGGACCTCCGTGACGGCGCCGGTGGTGTTGTCGTAGGAGTGCACCCAGACAGCGTTGCCCATGTCATCGGCGGAGTAGATGAAGTCGTTGTTGGGGCTCATGTCGGTGCCGTGGACTCCGGCGGCGCTGTCGTAAGTCACATTCGCCGTTGTCTCTTGGAGGACTCCGTTGTCGTCGACGGTGATCGCCAGAGACGAGCAGCCTCCTCCGTACGGGGTTCCGAAGACGGTGTAGGGGGGTGCGGTGGATGAGGTGATGAAGTTTGCGTTGGTGCCTATGGCATCTTAGCACCATGTTATGTATGATAGTTGGGTGGGTACTTACAGTCTGATGACAAGCTCACGTTGCTGCTGTACTCCAGGCTCAAGTCGTCGGTGATGGCGTAGCTCTGGAAGTAACCTGTGGTTCCTACGTACAGGTTCTTTTGACGAGACTATCAACAATGTTAGCGTCTGCATTGCTCGGGTTGTTAACAGCCCACGAGGTGTTCACGTACGTCGAGCGCGATCCATTTAGATCCCGAGGAAGCATCAGTAGTGATGTTGTTAACGAGAGTAAGCGAGGACTTCTCATCGTCAAACTCAACACCGACGATGGTGTTTCCGGAGAAGAAACCGGAAAAGAAGTAGTGAGTGTCAGCCAAAGCCGGCACGGCAGCCGCTGCCAATGAGAGAAGTGTAAACGAGCGCATGTTGATGAATGTGGGACAGATGGGATGAACTGGCGGGCTACCAACAACAAATCATCTTGGCAACGCAGGATCCAGAGGATATATAAAGTCTTTACACGCGTCTCTACAGATTCCCGTTAGATGAGAAGCGCCGAGAACTCCCACCCGGTCAATCAGAATCCCACATTACGAAGCAGCTCAGCCCCGTAGCATTTGATCAGGGGACGTTGCGCGGCTCAATAAACTTAAGTTACCAAGCTTTTCCCCCTGGGGCGCGCAATTCTACGAGTGGCAGATCCCCCCTGTGGAGGACCAAACGCCAAGAATAGCACGAGGTGAGGCTTCTCCCGCGGTGACGAACATCAAAGGGGACTGGCCTATGAGGGGGATGACGCTGCGTACTGACAGAGGCACGCGTAATCACGATCTTCCGCCTAATCTGATTGCAGTAAATGGCGGGTCGGGTTCCCGTCGTTCTGGCAGGGGAAACGTTCGTCCCGCGGCTAGGCAATGCTTGTCTCAATCTAAGTGGCACTACCGGCGTCGTCCGCACTGCATCTTTTTCAATTTCGGGCTGTGTTCAGTGTCCCGGGTGGCTCCCACATTCCGGTCGGCCGGAGCGGACGGCACGGAGCTGTCCTTGCAGAGGATTTCTTGCGGGAGTCCCGACTTCCTCGAAGCAAACAACACAGTCCAAAGCGCATGACTTCAAGGACTTAAGGACTTGTTCACCCTCCAAGGCTTCTGAGTTGAGCTGAGGTCCATCGGTTGGAGTTAAGGAGCGACTGACGTCAGGCCAGATTCACAACGCATCCCCTAACCATAGAATTTTCACCCAATTGCCCATACTGCTTAATTCGAGCATTTTCCTCATCCCGCTACTCCCCTCTCGTATTCTAGCCCGATCGCCTCCGGACCATACGCCGGAGCTACAGCTTCACCGCTTGACTTGAGGTGCTGCATTTGTCACACAAAGCCTCATGGGGCTTCCCTGACTTATGACCGAAATCGGCAACTGGACTACGCCGCACAATGCAACGCAACCACCTTTATTATTGATATTCGCTCTATTTGACATCTGACCGAAATCGGCTTTCCGCGTTCTTCGTCAAATGGCCGGTTCTGGAGATGTGGCATTGTCCCAATTAGGAGATGTTCTGTGAGCTGAACGGCCCCACTTCCGACCGTGCCAACCGGATCACCGAAGGAGATCGATTTGTTGGTGCCTCAATCAAATCATAGAATTGTTATTCCAGTCATATGCAGAGCCTGATGGAGAACTAATGAGAGTATCGAGGCTATGTAATTTGACCCAGCTAGATCAATAACAAGTTTATGTTGCCCGTGCTACATGAAACTTCTAGAGTTACTTGAGCTTTTGTCGTTGTCAATCAGAACCGCTGTATGACGTCCGCGGCAAACATCCGCCGTATGAAATCATCCAAAATCCATCATGTCCTCCGAAAGCATAGTCATCGTTGGGTGAGCAACGACAATGTTAACCCTCTACTGTGTCTGCCGCTTACAAGCTGTGTCAGGGCGGGGATCATCGGGCTCGATGTCGCCTTAGTGCTCGCGCAAAGGGGCTTTGGCAAATCCATCACGGTCGTCGCGGAGTATTTGCCTGGTGACACTGCAGTCACTTACACCTCGCCATGGTAATGTCTTTTTAAAAACGTCTATCCTCATCTTACCGCGGCTGACTTCATATGTCCAGGGCCGGTTGCAACTTTTCAGCAATCTCCGGCAGCGATACCAACGCGTTGAAATGGGATCGTTTAGGCTATGCACATCTATGCAATCTTGCCTCGGAGGCCGAGCGTGAATCTTTCGTTAAACGAACGCCGTCAGTCGAGATGTGGGACGAGGTTGTACCTCACGAGAAGATAAAGTCCATGTCAGACTACCTCGAGGACGTGGGTTTTGATCTGATTCTTGGTAACTTCGCCTGAACAGTAAGCTGACAATCTCAAAGTTCAAGATCATACCTAAGCACGAACTGCCAGAAGGCGTCAAGTTCGCCGTCTCCTTCACGACATTGACCGTGAATGCTCCCGCTCATCTCCTGTATCTTTACGAAAGATTGAAGAACGACTTTGACGTACGTTTCATTAGACAAAAGGTCAAGGATATCCGTTCCGCCTTCCTCAAGCCATCGACCAAAATCGTCTTTAATTGCACAGGCAATGCAGCGAGAACATTCCCTGGTGTTGAGGACAAGCTTTGCTACCCGACAAGGGGACAAGTTGTGTTGGTGAGAGCGCCGAAAGTTCGCACGAACGTCATGCGACATGGCGAGGACTACGAAACCTACGTAATTCCTCGTCCTGGTTCCAATGGCAACGTCATATTGGGAGGTTACATGCAGAAGGGAAATGGGTATGGTGGTCCCCTTATCAAAGGTCTTGATTTCGTCTAACGTGTAATAGTGATGGGGCTACTTATGCCCACGAGACGAAGTCCATCATGGATCGAACTCACAAGATTAGTAGTGAGCTTCGAGAGCAGGATCCAGAGGTGCTGGCGGTTGTTGCTGGTCTTCGGCCCTCACGCGAGGGAGGAGCTCGAGTCGAAGGGGAAGAGATCGATCTGGGTGGTAAACGAGGGCTTATTGTTCACAACTATGGCGCTGGAGGGACGGGGTTCCAGGCTGGGTATGGCATGGCGCTGGAAGCTGCGCAGACTGCGGGGATCGCGTTGAAGGAGCTCCGAAATGAGGACATACGATCCCGTTTGTAATATAAGCTTGCGAGACTTGTCATAGAGAATCTTTCGTTATGCGAGGCTTTCGAAATTGGGGTTTGCTTACCTGACATGGACATGGTTACAAGATAAGAACTTAGACAAACATTGGTCGTGAAAGCTCTGGATAGGTTCGCGTCATCCTCGAAGGGCCCGACGCAGAAGCTCATCAATAGTTATGCAGGGAATTGATCACACTTCCGTCCCCAGCCGCCATCACCTTATTGTTGGAGTCACATGTGTGGTACTTTTCATAATGAGAGCAGAAAATGTGTTCTTTCTTTTCACATGAGTTGTATTAGTGATCTGTCACTGGCTCGATTTGATGCTATCATGTTTTAAAGGTTCTTATTAGATAAGAACAGAAAACACCGATCAATTTCGCAGTAAATGACCAATGTTTCGATGATTGTTAGGGCCTAGTTTATACATCTACAGCTAGGCGGCGCTATAGTCTATCTCAAAGCTGTGATTAGGGTCGTAATGCAGAGCCCAGTAACCATCCCAGATCTTCTTCGTGATGGGTCCAACAACGCCCTTTCCATTGACCGGCTTGCCATCGAGCGTTGTAATGGGCATGATTCCACCAGCCGTCGTGCACATCAGAATCTCATCTGCCTCGTACGCCCTTTCCACGGGAATCACCTCCAGACGAACGGGGACTCCACTGGCTCTCGCAACTTCCAAGACGCTCTTTCGGGTCACACCCTCAAGAACCCCACGGTCAGGAGTAAACAGCGTGCCGTCTTTGATCAGACAGATATTGAAGCCAGAGCCTTCAGTTAGGTGCGCATCTCCATCGGTCAAGAAAGGGTACGTCGCACCACGGTCCGAGGCCTCAAAGAGACCCCGGACTAGGTCACCCCACTGCAGGTTCTTGACGGTCGGGTCGATGGCCCCGGGTGGCACGCGGCGGACAGTTCGGGCGATAACTGCGCTGCCTCCGTGAGGCTGGATCTCAGGGTCCATGCACCAGACGTAGGGTTGGATGAACATGTAGAGGTTGTTGTTGAGTAGGTCCTCGGGCTTCGCGCCTCGTACACCTTTCAGGCCGCGAGTGACGATGAGTTCGACGAAAGCATCTCGAATGCCGCTTTTGGCCACCATATCGACCAGGATCTTCTTGACTTCCTCGCGCGGTAAGGGCAGTCTCAACCGCAATTTCTTGCAGCTTGCCTCCAGGCGGGTCAGGTGATCGTCAAGGCGGAAGAAACGGCCGTCCCAAACCGAGGGAACATCGTACGTGAGATCGCTGTGCATGAAGCCCTGATCCAGCAGTGGGATTCGTGCTTCAGAAAGGGGAACAAGGTTCCCCTCAACCCAAGCGATCCCCTTGGCGAAGGGGTTGGTGGCGGTACTTTTGTCGAGGGCCGCCTGGCGCTGCTCGTAGGCAGCAAACACTTTGTCCATGGTAGCCATCTTGAATCTCGGGTATGATAGCGTCGTAATGATCTTCAAACGTCGAGCGGATGGAAAAGCTGACACTGCGTGGTCACAGAAGAAAGTTGTGGCAATGGTGGTGGTTTCAAATTGGACGACAGAAGCTTGACTTATTCCAGGCGGTCCAAGTTGTACAGCTTGTCATAGCACTTTTACCCTCAGTTATGTTTCGTGAGGCTTAAGTAGGTGATCCAAAACCTCACTCAAGATGATGTGGATTGGTTGCACGCTGTGGCCGGGTTGTAACCGGAAATTTCGCCGTATGCAGTGCTGAATTACTTCGGTCGACTTGCGCGGAACTATTCCCGATGGCAATACACACAATTCGGCACCTCCTGGCCGGCAAAACACCGAATTGGCTTAGTACTGTCTGTGGTTGGAGGTGCCCCGAACATGCTTCGGCTGGCGCCAACTTGAGATATCTCCTAAAACGGAAAAAGTGTACCAGTTTTTGCCCCGAGATTACTTCCCAGGTTAGCCCAAGTGCACCTTCCAATAGAAACGACTCAGAAGCTCAAAGATAATGAAAGATCTACTTGAATGTCGTGAAGACGGAAATGTGATTGGAGGCAAAACAATAGTGCTTAACGCGGTGGTTGTTCTAGGTTATACGGCCCATATTCGACGGAGAGCTACCAATTGGCATTCAATTGTTTGGTGACACCGGAGATGACAATCCGGCTCTGAATTGGTATTTTCATGGAAGCATTTGATTACGAGAAGACTACCTCAGCCAAGGCCCAGTTACATGCCGAAGGCCTTGTGCAAGCCAATCATCACTTAGCTTAGCAGATGAGTCGAATCCATGATCTCCTGGTCTAATTGCCAAGTGAGCCACAGACAAAGGGCTACACGCCTCCAACTTCTTCACGAACTTCATAGTCCCCTCTGCTGGCACTGCCGAATCATCCTCCCCGTGCAAGATGAAACAGGGTGGCAGAATAGGTCTCTTCTCATCGCATCCAGCCTCCAATGTCCTGAGAGGAAACAGTTGAGATTCCTTACCAAGGAAGTCTAGAAACCTGCCGTTCTGCACAGTCGCCAGAGCCAAAGCCAGACGGTCAGGTGGATCCGCCTCCGTCTCGAATTCTTGCTTGTGAGGGAGATCCAAGAAGGTGTCAATGAGTTTGTCTGGGAAATTCGGGACTCCAACGATGGCCTTGTCTGCAGCCCGAGTATAATGAGGCGCCTCGAGGTCAATCATGGGGTACGCCAAGATCAGAGCGCGTGGGTTTGCAAATCGAAGAAGACTAGATTGAAGTGCAAGGTAGCCTCCTACCCGCGGGACAGAGAGAATCTCGTCAGCCTGCCACATTCCTAATTGATGAAGTACGAGGTCACACAGGAGTGGTTGACTCACCAGCGCTTTCGCCAACGACTAATTGTCGCTGCAAGTCCAGCTTTACCCCGTCTATCCCGCGAGATCTCAACCATGACTCAACGCCCTCATTCCTCATCCAAGACCAAAAATTCTCCATGTCTTTCAATATGTCGACTCCTCTGACCTCCGGAAGGAGCCTGTAATTGGGGCTCACAATCACGGCCTCATGAAGCTCGGCATAGTCCAAGATCCACTTGGTGAACCAAGCTGGAAATAGGCTTGAGCCTGTGATCTACGTGATGTTCAGTGAATCATTACTCGTTGAAGCTTACGAGCATTGAATAAGGGAGGAAAACGTACCAGAAACCCTCCGTGGATACGAATTATGACTGGTCTAGGGCCTGCGGATTTCATCGACTTCGGTAGCAGTACATCAACTCCTATATCAATGTCGTCGGAGCTGTACACAGCCCGATGAATAACGAATGGATCAAATTTGGCTGGGGAGTCGGAGAGAAGCATGTCAACAAGGTCTCTGAAGCGGTCATCGCGTTGCTTTTCGTCGTTCGTAATTTTCGAGGGAGAACTCATGATTGATGCAAGTACTCGAGCGTAAGCAATTGAGTGCATGTTGGTTCGTGGTTTTCTGCGGTGCCTTCTTTGGTTGCCAAGTAGTAAGCAGTGTACGACGGAGCTGGGCTGAGTATGCGGGTTGACCAAGCCTTTTAAGTGCACGCGTCAAGCAAGGGAGTCAAATTTCCAGTTTTGACCTAGCTTCATCAACCAAACAGGGAACTGAGTAGGCTTCCATACACCCAAGTGCACTAAGTCTTGGAAGATATTGAATAAAGTTCAGCATCAAGCGCGTCATGTACGCACAAGAAGCAGTTTGAGTGCTCGCAAATGCGATGTATTACACGAAGAAAATATAGGCAAATTCTATTCAGTTCACTTGAGATAGACAAAGAAATGGGCCCAAAGCCATCTTTTCTGAGTCTCCTAATTGATATTGTGCTGAATGTGAGCAACTAAACAACCTTTCAATCTCATTTCGCTCTAAACCCGGATATTTCATGTTCTGTCGACTGTGTTCTTCATAGCTTTCCCCCGTCTGCCCCAACATTTGATTTTAGCGCGCTGTATAATTCAGTCTCGACTCTGTCAGAACACTCGAGAACACAAGGGTCTTGAATTCGTAGTTAGTGACCAGCTCTAAACAATCAACAGTCAAGTGCTGTTCTAGACTCACCTCCATACGGAGCAATCTGCGCCGCAATGATTCCACCAAGCTTGTTCTGTCGGTCTGCAAACCAGTAGAGGTTCGCCAAACCTTCCCAAGAGCCGCTTCCCGCGGCTCTGCCCGTTGGAGACTGGAAATGACTGATCGAAAAGGACAAGCCCCAACCTTCGGTGTGATCTTCCGGCATAGGAGTCAAGGGGGTAGGTCTCGCCAAAAGTGGCTTTGCGACTGGAACGAAAGTGTTTGAAAAACGAGGCTTATCGGGGATTTGGTCCGTGAACATTTCTAGACAGCAGAGTTAACAACCAAATGAAATGGCCAGGGGCGAGTCAACGGAGGCATGGGGAGGACATACCCTCAACGGTGGTTGGTTCAAGAATTTGAACGTTCGTTTGTGCATCTTTTCCGTTATTGAGAAGCACAGATATAATGCCTAGCAAATCATCAGTAAGCTCTATTGGACTTGGTTCAAGTATTGGTATTCTCGGGCCTTACGAGCGTATTCACTGGGCTTGCCAAAACAGCCATGCCCACCCGCGCAGAACAGACTTTCCCTCTCCTTGGGGGTCTTGACGAGCAAAGGCTTTCTGTAAATGTGGTCAATTTCGTAGACTCTACCATATGAGTCCCTTTGATGCATGTGGGCCAAGCTAGTCTTTGCGCCTTGGGAGGGCTTGAAAGTGATGCTTGAGATGCCCAATGGTGCAAATATATGATCCTGAAAATACGCTTCGAGAGAGCCCCCCGTCACACGCTCCACGATGATACCAGCCCAATCAAGAGACGTTCCGTACTGGAATTCCTCACCAGGCTGATTGACGAGAGGCCGACTGATGACATCTGACCGTTCACAGGAAAAGTCATCTAGACCAAGTGGACGATCAACTTCGGCCAATTTGTCGTCCTCGAACGCATAGCCAAATCCAGCTACAATACGTCAGACAAGTCTTGGTGCCAAAAGAAAGTCAGTAATGGGATGATGGCAAACAGCACCTACCAGTATGGTTCAGGAGCATTCTAAGAGTGATCCTGTTACGCTTTTCAACGTACTCCAGATCACCATCTGGATTTCTCTGAAGAACTTTGATATCGCGCAACTCAGGTGCCAGTTGCTCGAGTTGGTCCGCATCATCCAGATTCAGCAGGCCGCGCTCCACACATTGCATACACGCAATGGATGTTATGAGCTTCGTGAATGACAGCAGCCAGAAAATAGTATCTGCTGTCATGGGGGATTTTGTCGAAAGGCCCTTCCTTCCTGACGCGTGGCAGTATATGAGCTCGCCATGTTCGTTGACTGCGCAGTAAACAAGCCCAGGAAGCTTAGAGCTTTTGCCGGCCGTGTACTCATCGATGATGGCGCTAATCTTGTTTGAAGCAACGGCTGACAAAGTCATCTTGAATCCGGACGAATGAGATCGTGTACGTCAAGAGACCGATCATGTGTGGGTTTCCGTGATTTTGCGGCGATGATTCCTTCATTGCAAGTTTTCAAGGTCCATGAGACCGGGATGCGGCTTAGGTATCAACTATCTAGGGCGACGATAGGGAAAGATGGGATGCTGGATTGGTTTGTCAGGTTTCCAGCCAAGAGGACGTGCGAATATCTCCTGTTTGGGTAGTTTACTTCCTTGTCCTCCATTCCTATTTCGGATTTAGGTGGGTCGCCGAACCTAGGATCGCGGGGTGTACATTTGGACTGTCATCTCCGCCCATCGGGCTCGCTCCAGGGTTCTGTGCCGTACGTCAGTCAGGCTTAGCAACTTGCTCCAGTACTTCTGTCTCATCTTCAAAATGCCAGACCAAATTCAGTATCGATGGCTTCCCGGTCCTGTTGGCGATATGCTTCGGTCTTCTTCCCTCGCCACCACTGCAACAATTCCCCTCCAGGGGCATCTCGTCATCACCACAGGTCATATTGGAGTTGACCTCAAAACCGGCGAACTCGTTAAGAGCAACATCAGAGACGAATTCAATGCGGTCATCGACTGTCTCGACGCAGCGCTGCGCGATGCCGGGGTTGAGAAAGGCGTGGGCAGTGCGCACAAGTTCGTTGCCTACTTCGTTCGCGCGGAGGATGAGGTCACCATGTTGGAAATCTTTCGAGAAAGATATCCTGGTCACTCGCCTACATGGACTTCGGTGGTTGTGGCAGGCTTGGTTGTTCCCGAGATGCATGTAGAGCTTCAGGCAGAAGCTATTCGACACAACTAGTAATAGGACCGAGCTATTGGAACCAACAAAACAAGACAAATTGTATCCAAGACATTTCGTTCTTATGTGATTGATCTGACTCCTTCCTTCAATCCCTGTCAGGCATATTTCTGTACGGGTTCCCCGGGTCTGCCAATTCTTCCTCCACGGTAGGCAGCACCTTGACCACCTTTGCCGGAGAACCAATCGCGACAGAATAAGGGGGAATATCCTTTATCACAATAGATCCTTCTCCGATAGTGCTCCCCTTCCCGATGGTGACCCCTGGCAAGATAATTGTGCCACCGCCAATCCAAGCATCGTCCTCAATGCGGACGGGATCTCCGAACTCGACAAACTTGATCCTCGACAGTACGCTCGTCTCGTGGCCAGCACTGTAAATGCTCACGTTCGGACCAAACTGAACACGATTGCCGATAATCACCAAGCTTGTGTCCAGGATGGTACAGCTGACTCGATATTAGATACCCATCATGGTTGACATGGGGTCTCATCATGGGAGAGCGGCGTCTTACTTGAAGTTGATGAAGCAATTCTCGCCAATTATGACGTTACATCCGTAGTCCGGGATGAAAGGAGGCTCAATAAATGTCCCCTTGCCAACTTGGCCCAAAATGTCTTTCAGCATCCCCTGCTGTGTGGACATTAACTCGTCGTAAGGCTTCGAGTTTGGATCCAAAGTGTTGTACTTGTGAAGTAGGCACCGAGCATGGTGACGTCCTGCAAGCAACGCTGGATGCAGCGGGTTGTATCTGTTGGCATGAGCCGCCTGCTCCCCACGCCCCAGGACTTTTGACACCTCGCTTCAGTACTCACAGCATTCCCGATATCATTTTCTCATACTCATCACACCATGGTGTTCCTCTCAACTCTCGTGCAAGCCGAATGATTTCAGTATTCTTCTGTGTTCTGGCCATGGTTGTGGTTTCGTGACTTAGATAATATGATTGGTGAATGTATTGATAATGTAGCTTGATACAGTCAGCTGTTAGTGACAACTTTCTGCTTTATAACCTGGAATGGTCGAGTGATTGGAATAGCTTATCAGTTCTTCAGGAGTCCTTGACTCTCTATTGTCAATGGAATTGAAAAAAGCTTGTGCTTTCAAGCTCCCATAATGCCCCGAAATGGGGATTTTAATATGTCCTAATTTGGAGTTTTTTGTTCGAAGTACCCCGCACTCAGGTGCAAGTTTCCCGCTCAATCGTCCGGCACATGTAGAGAACACTAACAGGGCGGACCCTCATCCGCAGTATTCGGTGTGTGGTGTGTTCTAATGAAGCTATCAGAGGCTTTCCCAGAAGGGATCAAATTTGAACAGCGCTGCGTCCTTTCCAAGAGTGAGAAGAAATCAGGTCGATGATCACAAAGAGATGTACACCCAGAAAGTAAGAGAAACAAGAAATTGATTGATGGACAGTGAAGACAGTAGGCTATGATTTCTCCTCTACTGGTCCTGATACAATTGTTGAACACAACAGCTGTTTGAGTTCACTTGCAAGATGATAGTGAAGTGATGCTGCATGCGGTTAAAACCCCAAGGTAGGGCACGGTAGCCGACCATGTCTCGACCGGGTTTCGCTTTGTAACTACTGAGACTCCGCGCGAAAATGTCTATCAGGGAAATTCGGACAGACGGAAACAAGGTTCTGTGCCGGAAGTCAATGTCTCTCGGCGACTCATTCTCGTCCGTTGAGGGGTTGGATAGGCGGCAGCTGGACGGTTGACATGTAGTTGGATAGATGTCACCGAGACCCAGCAAATGCAGCAACATCAGCTCGGCAATAACGGCATGAGGTCAAGAATCCGGGGTAAATGGGCCTAAGCTTCTGACCTTCGCACAGGGTCCTTATCGGGCTAGGATCGGGATTCTCCTCAGCCCCGACCTGGATGCTGATAAGTGTTCCTGGACGCATTTGCAGGAGTACTGGGCGGCACCATATTGCCCAGTTTTCTAAAATATAAACATTCCGTTGCAGTCCCTGCTGTCCGATCATACAATCATCGTGCGATTCTATGCTCATATCATCCTATTATCGATCCATTCGTAAGAATCTATCAAGACCGTCATGAGGCCAGAAGTAGCTGGCAACGACTTCAAGGCTTCGCAGTCAAAGCCACCCGGGAGCGATGGGCAATCAGTAGTCCTTGGAGAGTCACGGAACCTCGACGATGATGCCATCCTCAGAGCGCAAGGCCATGCTCCAGCGCTGAAGCGAACGTTCAATTTGCTTGGAACGCTCGGCCTAGGATTTAGGTTAGCCGCTCTTCGCTCGACTCTACGAGTATTCTTTGTCTGACTTTGGCGTTCTAGCATCACAAATTCCTGGTTATCATACGCAAGTTGCTTCGGTCAGAGTCTCATCTATGGTGGCCCTCAAGCGACAGTGTTCGGCTTGATTGTGGCTTGCTTTGTTCAATGGGCTGTGGCAGCCGGCATGGCCGAGGAGGCATCCGCGTTCCCATCCTCAGGCGGTACGGGCACTTTCTTATTTCTTTCTTGCGCTAATAGGGATTAAGCTGACGATACCATGGAAAACAGGCCAATACCACTTTACCTTCATCCTCGCTCCGAAGAAACACAAGAGGTTTGCAGCTTTCTCAGTTGGTTTGCTCAGCATCACCGGCTGGTGGGTCATCACCTGCTCTGGACTATCCAACAACGTGCAATCGATCATGGGCATGGTACAATTTGTCAACCCCGATTTCGAGCCCCAGCGATGGCAATTCTATCTGGTCTATCTTGGTCTGCTGCTTGCAACACGTATGTTTCCATCCGATGAAAGGCCCTGACATTCGGTTTGAGTGTCTAACTTCTCACCTAGTTGTACCAATATTTACTATTCCGCAACGGCACATTGGGAAGTGGACGACGCTTTGTCTTGTCCTGTCGATTCTTGGTTTCTTCATTGTCACTATCGTGATTTTGACGATGTGCAAGTCATTCCAATCACCCAGTCAAATCATTACCTTCAATGGCACCAGCGGCTGGCCGGACGGCATGGCTTGGTTCATGAGCATCGGCAATGCAATGTATGCTTTCGCGAGCCTGGATGCAGTTATCCATATTGCGGAAGAGATGCATCATCCCGGGAAGGAAATTCCCCGCGTCATGTAGGTTATACGTTTGAACCTTTTCTAGACAACATCTAACACTGGAGAACAGAAACTTGACGTTACTAATTGGCCTTTTGACCTCCGTTCCGTTCATCATCGCCATGATGTTCGTCATCAAATCAGTTGACGATGTGCGCACGGCGATCTTGCCGAGCTTGGAGGCGTTTCATCAAGCAACAGAAAGCAGAACAGCGGCCTTGGGATTGCAAACACTCTTAACCATTCTGTTCTACAGTAAGTTGTCAAAAGAATTCATCATGAAGTATCGAAGCTGAATCTGCAACAGCCTGTATGCCAAGTCAATGGATAACATGTGGTCGATTGGCGTGGGCTTTCGCAAGAGATGTGAGTGCCTCGCCGCTCAATGATGCCCATATTTCCGTACAAGACTGACTTCAAGAAGAACGGGCTTCCAATGTCAAGCTATTGGACTGAGATCCATCCTTACTACCAGTTTCCGGTCCGCACGACGCTTCTATCTGCTGCGTTCTGTGCTATTTACGGCCTCCTGTACGTTGTCAGCACGCAAGCCTTCAACTCCATCATCGTCTCGGCTGTACTCGCAATCAACATCTCCTATGTTGTACCTCAAGCTATCAGCCTTGTGCAGGGAAGGAAGAAAACTTTGCCAAGTCGTTCTTTTAACCTGGGAGGGTTGGGATACATCTGCAATGCTTTTGCACCCATATGGATATCAGCGATCGGTACGGTGATCTGCTTTCCGAACATCCTGCCTGTATCGGCTGCGTCTATGAATTAGTAAGTCGCAAACAGCGTCTACCTCAGTGTTTTTTCTACTCTCTGGAAGAGAAGCACCGCTAATTTTATCCAATAGTGTTTCTGTGGTGCTTGGAGCGATTGGGCTTCTGATTCTGGGGACCTGGTACTGGATTCGGCGAGACTTCCATGGCCCGGTGATTGACTGGGATGTACTCAACGACCAGAACGCCATTGACTAAGGTTCGATTGTGTTGGTCTCAATATGGCTTGATTGCTTCCATGTTACCTTTTCGCAAATAGTCACGTTTGTTACCGTCAGACATCGAAGGCAGTCACCGGTGGGAATAAACATGTAACCTGAATTTCAATTCAGCCCAGTAGATATTGGTTCTGAGCATGTCCTCGCGCACCCTGCAGGCACTTCTCATCCATTATGGATCCCCACCAGTCACCAGGCCCCGTCTTTACCCAGACTTCCTCCAACAAAGCTGCTGCTGTCAAAAACATGTCATATCTTGTCCTTTCATTCCACCACTTGCAGTAATGCCTTGCCTGCTGCCTCAATTCGTGATTTGAAGTCTCGCAACCTGCCAAGAATACCGGAAGCAAAAGTTGCTTCTGCAGCATTGTACTTCGACGGCAGCAGCTGACGTGGTTGAGAGTCTTGCGAGCAAGTATACCAAGAACTGGGGAGGCCTTTTCTTTGCGATCCCACTTGAACACCCTCTCAATATAGAGAAGCAATGCGTACCTCCAAGCTTCTGCGCAATGGTGGAGATCCTGCCGGTAATCCAGCAGTTCCTCAAGATCCCTCTTATCTGCTGACGGCGGATCTTGCGTTGATGTGCCGGTATCTTTGATACAGTCTGAGTATCCAAGTGCTTCCCAGTTCCTGATGTCTGCCTCAACCGCCAGAACCGGGCCTTTGTCAAAGGTAACGCATGTCATCGTCATGACCAACTCGAATTCCCGTGCGTACTGTCCTAATCGCCTCATATGTCGGAATAGCTCCTCGGGGCATCCAGAAACGTTGTAGAACGTCTCCTCAGTACCTGAATCTTGCCATTGGGAATTATCGAGATACACTTCGGGCAACACATGGCCTTTACGTGTCGTGAGTGAAAGAGTCACATCCCACCTTAATAGGTCGTTAGTACGTGCCAAGCCCAGTGCCATTTGATGATGTGCTACGGCAACTTACCAAAGCAGCATTGATACCTGCGCCTGGACTTGTGGGGTCCGCTTCTTGCCAGACCTTTCCAGTGTCCGAAGTACTCGATGCGCGAGAGCCAGTTGAGATGTCCATGGACCATAAGCTGAAACTGAGCACTTTGAGCAGGGTTAATATTCAATGAACGACGAGCCGAAATCATGCTCAACCTACATTGAGAGTGAAAAGAACCAAAATTGCTTCTAGCACACCGTTCTCGACTGTTGAAACGCTCTCAGCGCTTTGATTTTCCTCCAACATTCTCATTGCCAGCATTTTGTGTTCATGAGCCTCTTTTCCACACTGCCCAGTGGCCTGATTTATGTGGCGATAGGACAGCGCAAGGATGGAGTGAAGGAGTAGCTTCGATTCTCGAGATTTGACAACGCTACAGCGGAAAGGGTTGGCGTCGAAATCAGAGGTCAAAGGAAGAACGCAGAATTCCTGGTCGTCTAAAGGTAATGTTTAGTTCGGAATCGATTGTCCAGAAAGAAATAGCAGAGAAGCGAAATAAAGAAGAGGCAATAATCACAAAGAGCATTAATGTAAAGGTAACATTCAAACTTACATTGCAAGAGGACATTGTCCATAGCGCCAGTGATTGCTTTCGGCGGCGGAACTTGTGGCGAATTACTAAACCCCATGAGCGACACGATCCCGAAGTCCTTCGGTGATAGACACCCATCGAAGTGCGGTTGATCGCCAAGATCCGAGTTATGGGCGCTTGAGCTAGATGTATCTGATGGTGTAGCAGTGGACGAGTCTTCAAGGCCGACCATATTATCCAGCGTCTCCAAGAACGGTGTCAACAGAGACGAAAACTCCAATGGGTCAAATTCGTAGACTGGGAAAGGCGCGTTATCTCCCCACACAAGACCTCCGTTCGTGGTCGGCTCCTCTGGCCACCGAAATGGACTCTCACGTCCATTTAGTTGGAGAGACGAGTGCAAAGGGGCTGAATCGGTGCCGTCGGGTTCGGGGGGCTCTGACATCTCTATCTGGCCACCGTTTTCGGGCTCAGTCAGTGATTCAAGGTTGGCATCCGGCCTGTTCTCTGTATTTTTTGGCATAGGGCTTTCTGATTTGTTGTTGTTTGCCAGAAATCGCGCCTCGCTCATACCGTTGTTAGAAACCTCATGATTGGATTTTTGAGCGGGCTTTTCGTTGTTCAAGTTACGGCGTCGTCGATTCTGGTGGAACGGGGTTGAGTTGGGCTTTCGCTTGCGACTTGGACCTCCGACGAATTTGAAGGCTCGAGGCTGTTTATTGACTACTTCAGCCATTTTTTCTCTTCGTTGCCTTCTCGAAACTTAGTCAAGGCTGGCCGAAAAAGCGATTATGGTAATCACTTTCACTCTAATAGATAGGTACGTGAGTTGGGATGGAAGATGGAGGATACAGAGACCCAAGGCCGAAGATCAAAGTGCCCCAAATCTTCCACAAGAGCTCATCCTCGGATCAGCCAGACAATGATAAGGATACCCAGTTCACCAGCCCGATCCTTGCAACGCGGGGTTCATGCGGGGTACGATAGACAAGATCATATGGGTTCTCCGGAGCGGTAGCCGGGCCCAGAGCTTAAGTGCAAGAAATAGGAATATATATCCCGCTCCAGCTGATCCGCTATCTCTCGCGAGGAATACGTCACGGGAGGCGCCACCATGTCTTTCGGAAATATCATGAAACCATTCCGACAGACAAGAGTTGTTGCAATTTAATGGTCATATCGATGAGAAATGAGGTGAACTTGCGCCCTTTTTGCCGCGGACTCAAAAACGAAAACGAAATTCGCAGAGTGACGCCGGGGTCTGTCAGACAGAGGCTCCGGAGCTATGCAGAAGGTTTCCTGAGATTCAGTGCCATGGTAAGGAACATGCCTAGTCTGGTTCCATGAATGAACCTATTCCTTTTGATTATTTCATTCATCACTAATTCCTGGCTGCCACACTAATTGCCCGTCCGGCACTGTCCCTATCATTATGCTATCTTTTGCTGACAATCCAAGTTTTGATATTGCTCTAATTGTACAGGCCTCCATTTGCCGAAAGGGTAGATCCTGTGGTCCATCGGGCATCCTCCGAACACAGGAAGGCCACCAAAGGCGCGATATCATCCACTTCTCCCACTCGGGCAGCCGCTGGGGTAGACTCGATCAACGGCTGCATGTCCTTCAAAAACTGTTCATCACTCTGGAACCACTGGTCTACATAGTTGAGAGAGACGTTAGTACAATGAGGTAGAAACAAAGGTTCAAGGCCCGAACTCACCCGTAGCAATGGGTCCAGGATTGACGCTGTTCACCGTGATACCATGCGATTGACCTAACTCCTTCGCCCAAGTCCGGCAGAGAGCCTCATTCGCAGCCTTTGTCGCCGCGTACACTGTCTGACCTGCGACGCCCAGGCGAGCTCCAGCGGACGAGATGAAAACGATGCGACCACCCTTTGGAAGATGCGGTTCGACCGCCTTGGTAAGGAATATCGGCCCTTTAACGTTGGTGTCGAAATGACGATCGTAAAATTCGGGAGTGGTATCGACAAGATTGGCCTCGTTGCCTTGGGCGGCGCTGAGAGAATCGCACGGGTCAGTTCACAGCGAAGTCGGAGGGTGAGCGGCAATTTACTTATGAATAACGATGTCAATCTTGCCCGAGGGGCTGATCTTCAGCGCGCTGTCGACAATTTTGGGGATATCTCCCAGCTTGCTAACGTCTGCCTGGCAGACAATGGCTTTCGTTCCGTTGGATTCGACAGTTTTCGCGACCTTTTCCGCGCGCTCGCGGCTGCTTTCGGAGACGTAATTGACCACCACGTTCGCTCCACGCTTGCCTAGCAGCTCAGCAATACCTGCACCCAAGCCTCTGGAGAGCCTCTTGATTAGCCATTGTTATATTTCGCACGACAGGTACCCTACCGGGATGCCCCAGTCACGATAGCAACCTTGCCTTGAAGGCTCAATCCCTTGAAATCAGTCATTGTTGTCGAATGAGGTTGTTAGTTGAAGAGAGTATGAAAAGGGATTCGAAATCGACCGAGTGAGTGTTTTGTGATGAGTGGTTTCTATGCAGAGAAGAATGATTCCCTCAACTTCTTATTTGACTTTAACCACTCTACTACTGACAACGACGCCATCAATGCCCCATCTAATGACGTGCCAAAATTCGCATCTCCTGCAGAAGGATTTCCCTAGTTCCAAGATTCAACACGCATTGTTCCCGTTCAGGTACATGTTCCAGATGAGACAAAAATCAAGACCAGGGTCAGAGGTCCGGCCAACATGAAGCGTTGAGTATTTCCTAATTAGGAAATATCATCAGCTACCCCGCACGATTTCTCCAAAAGTAGCCTGGCGCGATTTTCTGGCACTGCGCAAGATGAATTCCGCGTACCCCAAAGCGCCCTGGGTCGATATCGTGCATGGCGATGGCCTCAGGGTACAGTGGTAGCTTCGGCCTGCGTACCTGAACGCCATTATCCCTTGCCGTCACGGCGTTAAATAGTAAAAAAACAATAATAACAACGAGATGGCCTCGAGGCCAAAAAGGATATGTGCCAGTCCTGTCTTTAGGGTCTATTGTCTGACGAAAAGTCAACATCCAAAGATTGGATACTATCAGTTGTCGACGCTTCTTTCCCTAGCATTCGGCTGAACAATGGCTGTCAAGACCACTGATGGATACGAATGGACTCCAACGTCCACCACAGTTTCCAAAGGCTTGGATTGCGATGCTGTCGTCCAACCACCTAGACGAACTGACATCTCCTTCAACCGTCTGCACGATGTTATTGTCATCGGCGCAGGATACGCCGGCCTTGCTGCGGCCAGAGACCTCGCAACTAAGGGCAAGTTTGGCGTTGAAGCAATTATGGAATTCAAGAAGGCTAACTCAAGGTATAAATTGTAGGCCACTCCGTCCTGATGCTTGAAGCCAGAGATCGCATTGGTGGGAGGACCTATACTGTGAAAAAAGATGGTCGGTATCGAGGGTGACTATTCTTGTACAGCACAACATCTAACCAGACCTCTAGGCTTTCTCTACGAAATGGGAGGCACATGGGTAACCCACCACATGGGCTATCTCCTGAGAGAAATGGTCCGATACAACATGGATCGCGACCTCATAGAGACTGGTAATCCAGACCGGAGCAAAGCATACTACACCATCAATGTGCCCGGCAAGTCCACAATCGAACTTGTAATACCAAAAGCTCCATAAGCTGACGTGGTCGAATCAGGCGCCGAGCCGAGAAAACTCACTCAGGAAGAAGCCGGCGCGATGACATCCCGCGCCTGGGACATCTTCGTCAACGTCGATGGCCAATACTGCCGTACAATCTGCCCTCTACCGCACGCCCAACTTAACAACATCGTCGTAGACCGAGCGATGGTCGAAAAGTGGGACAGGTTATCTTGCCAGGACCGCTTCGAACAGATCAAAGACCAATTCAACGCGGAGGAACGAGGACTATTGGTCTCCCTCCTTCTCCACATCTCTGGAGGCGACATGGAGACCAGTAGTTTCTGGGACATGGCGCGCTCCCACGCCCTCATGACGCACGATTCCAAGAACTTCGGTGACATCTGGCTTCGTTACAAGCTCAAGGGTGGCCAGACAGCCCTCGCTAGGAGTATCTTCCAGGAGGCTCTGGACTACGGGCTGAACTACGCTTTCTCAACCCCAGTCCGATCAATCATCCAGCGAAGTGATGGCATTCTGGTTCACAGTTTGGTAGGCGAGACTTTTAGAGCGCGCAAGATCGTTTGTACCGTTCCTCTGAACGTGTTGAAAGACGTGAATTTCACCCCTCCGCTCTCAACGGTCCGTCAGGAGGCCATTGATTTGGGACACGTCAACCAAATGTCAAAAATACACGTTGATGTCAGTAACCCTACTCTCGAGGGATGGAATGGTATGCGATACCCTGGAGCTTTAATGTACGGATATAGCGACGGTGTGCTTCCCAACGGGAACGTTCATATTGTCGGCTTTGGGAAGGACGAAAAAGGAGCATTCGTTCCGGAGCAGAACCCTCAATCAGCTGTTGAAGCCTTCCAACAGCTTCATCCGATGAGTGTTCAGAGAATGGTAAGCTGCCCTAGATTAAGTGCAGACACGGTTCACCAGAGCTGACGATGTTAAGATCTTCCATAACTGGAGCACTGATCCCTACTCGAAGGGCGGGCCGGCTTGGTGGAGGCCGGGTTATATGTCCAAATATCAGGATGAGCTTCAGAGTAGACATGGTGATGTGTTCTTTGCCAACGGCGACTGGGCTCACGGGTGGCGAGCTTCGATCGATGGTGCTCTGGAGCAGGGTATTACAAATGCGCAGCAAATTGCCATGGAGCTCAGACATGTCGGGAACGTTCTGCAGTCACGGCTCTGATTCGGGAAGGCAACGAAATGGAAGCTGTTCAGCAAATGCAATATGCCGCGCAATACTTTATAACCACCCTTATTATTCTGGTCAATATCTCGCCATACCCCACAAGTGCACATTGGAAGCTGTTCAGGTTTCACCCTGAGTGCCTTATGCGCTTGTTTCTTTTGATGCCTTGAACTACTTGTCAGGCTGCCCCAACACATTACGGAAACCATTTCACCTCCAGCGACATGATCTTTACCACCGCTCTAAGTTCATCTTGATTCTCTAAACCGAACAACGTCTCCGATTGCAATCAAGTAGCTCTGAGAGCATGTCCATGCCGTTATGGCAGAGTAAAGCCCCCATCGACGATGAGGTTTGAGCCAGTCATATAAGTTGATGCATCGCTAGCTAGAAACGTGTAGATCTATCGCGAAGTCAATATCACGTTGCGCGGAAAAGAGTTTCGGAGTTCTTTTACCCCTTTGAGTTCCTGAGGCTGACAGGTTCTGCCACCCGGAATCTTACCAAGCCACTTCTCCATCAACTCTTTCGGCTGTTTTGTAATCACTGCGAGAAATTTAGTTATATCGATAATCCACAGTATGAATAAATACAGAGGCTCTCCATACTCTCTGTTTGAACGTATCCGGGAGACACGCAGTTGACACGAGCAAAATCAGTCCACTCCACAGCCAGAGACTGGGCAAGTAGTAACACCGCCGCCTTGGATGCGTTGTAAGCAGCCTGCGTTTGTGGGACGTTGACCAAGCCAGCGCTGACAGAGGCAGTGATGATAAGGTTCCCCATCTTCTGCCTTTTGAAAATCTGGCCAGCTGCCATGGCCGTCCACATCACGCCGTTGTAGTTCACTTTGTTGACATACTCCCAGGAGTCTTCTGTGTATTCGAGTGACTTGACGTTTTGGCAGACCCCTGCGTTGGCCACCACAATGTCAAGGCGACCGCCCCCGAACGTCTGAACGATTTCGTTGATCGTATTCGTTATTTTCGTGCGGTCGGTAACGTCAGATTGAAAAGCTTGGATTCTTCGACCTGTCTTTTTGGCGATTTCTGAGGCGAGTTGATCGGCTTTGGTACTTGCGTGATATATCAAAGCGACATCAGCCCCAGCTTCAGCCAAAGCTGTGACAACTTGCACTCCAATGCCACCCGAGCCACCAGTTACTATGGCGATTTTGCCATTGAGTGTAAATAATGAGAGGACAGATGCGTCCAGGTTTTTTGGTAAATGAAGAGGCATGTTCGACTTCAGTTTCTGGTAATTTGACCACTGAATAATGAGAGAAGAGGTCAGTGGGCGACGGTTGCTGAGTGATCCTCGGCAGATCTTGACATCTTCTTAACTTTCAACATTCTCTAGAGACTTTTCACGGAGCTTATACAATAAACAGAATGAGGGCGATTCATGAGATACGCTCCACGATACTTTGGAGATAGACTCACTCTTCAACTCTCGTGACGAGGGCCGCAATGGTCCCAGACGTCGGATCTCCGACGCCGACAGCCATCTGAGGCAATCCCAGAAGCTCTTAATAATGCTGACAAGAATGTAACATCCATAGTCGAATGTTACTGTGGGGACGTTACCGCAAGTACCGATTAACTTGCGACTACCGTAGGGAGATTTTGTTTGCAGCCTGAAAGTAGAGGTTGGGAACTGCTCGTCTCGAGGGTCATCGCCGATCACCCTCAGCAAGCTATCGTAGCCTGGCCGGCATTTCAAACAGCCGCCAAATACTATGGACTGTGGAGTTTCCCACGCAACATGGTTCGATCTGGGGACCCCAGCTTCTACCCCGTACGAGCGGAAGTTCCGCCATCGGCTCCGCCCCCGGACTTGCGGCGTTACGGGGGCCAGTCCTGCGACTTATGGCTTGTACCATAAAGACCGCCTGTATCCCGGCGCTTCACGCATATACTGATTCTGAGCCCCTTCTCGGAATCGAACGACGTTCTAGTTGAATGTATTGTGTCTGACTACCTATCAAATCAATGGTTTACTATTGCAACCATGGCCTTCCTGACATTCGACCAGACGAAGCCTTGGATGGTAGCGGCTAAGCTGAAGAAAGGCTCACTTCTGATCGCCGTGAACTCTTTGGCGGGCATGTCCATCTTCTTCTTCGGTACGTCATCAACTGTGAAAGTCTTTGATACATCGACGTTACTTACGTTTTTGTCTGTACAGGTTACGACCAAGGCCTCATGGGCGGCGTAAACCAGAGTACCGACTACATTCGCCGCATGGGCCTTGGATACATCGACGACGAAGGCTCCCCTGTGATTACCGAGACTTTACTCCAAGGCGGCATCATGGCGATATTCTATCTCGGCACTCTCGTAGGATGCCTTGCTGGCGGAGAATTCGGCGACAAGTTTGGACGCATTGGCACCATCGGTCTCGGAGCGACCTGGGCCATCTTTGGCGCCGCCATTCAGTCCTCGGCCATGAATCCTGCTTGGATGCTGGGTTCGCGTTTCGTCAACGGCATCGGCACTGGCATTCTGAACGGTATCGTTCCTGCCTGGGCATCCGAGTTGTCCGACCATACCAGTCGAGGAACCTTCATTGCGATGGAGTTCACTCTCAACATCTTTGGCGTCGTGGTAGCATACTGGCTGGCGTACGGCGTCAGTTTCATCGACAACGGAGCGTCGGAGATCCGTTGGCGATTCCCCATCGCTTTTCAAATTCTCCCTCTTTTGTTTCTCGTATCTGTCTGCTGGGCCTTTCCCGAGTCTCCACGGTGGCTTATCAAGGCAGGAAGGAACGAGGAGGCGCTTTTCATCTTGCGACGTCTTCGAGGTGTCGACGGAGAAGACGAAGGCGTTGCCGAAGCCGAGCACAGGGATATCCGCAACGCGATCGAGCTCGAAAGATGTTCCGAAGGCACTTCCTACTTCCACATGCTGTTCGGGCTCAAGTCTGGAAATCTTCACACAGGTCGCCGCGTCCAACTGGTTATTTGGCTGCAGATCATCCAGTGTTGGACAGGTATTGCTGGAGTAACGATGTACGGGCCGAGTAAGTTACTTCAAACATTGCCCCCCCTCACGATTTCAACGGTGCTAATGTATGGTTTGTCCAGCTATCTTCCATATTGCCGGCTTTGGGCCCGAAAAGACTCAGTGGGTTGCCGGTCTTAACAATATCTTCTACATGTTTTCGACCTTGATCTGCGTCTTCACCATCGACAGAATCGGGCGCCGATGGACTCTCTACTGGGGCTCCGCAGGGCAAGCTCTCGCCATGTTCCTTGTTGGTGGGCTCTCCCGAGGCGGACTTGATGCCAGAGCTGGTGGTAATGCCGATATTGCCAATAAATGGGGCGCTGCAGCCGCATCTATGGTGTATTTGTACACCTTCATTTTCGGCGCATCGTGGCTGATTCCACCTTGGCTTTACCCAGCTGAGATCTTCCCTATTCATGTTCGAGCGAAGGGTAATTCTTGGGGTGTTGTTGGATGGAGTATTGGGAACGGGTGAGCTTACCACAACGTTGTCCTTTGGCTTTTGCAGAAACTGACAAACCTCGCAGCACACTTACTCTTCTGCTCCCTTACATCGTGGGCGCTATCAACGAGAAGATGATGTACATATTTGGTGCTGTCAACGTACTCAGCATCCCCATTGGTAAGCACGACGTCACACTTAGCATTCTCAACGGCACCTTTGCTAACAAGACACCAGTCTATGCGCTCTACCCTGAGTCAAATCAACGCACGCTTGAAGAGATGGACCTTCTCTTTGCTGCCCCAACCCCATGGGCTTGGGACGCGGAGAAAACGTTTGCCCGGTTGAAGGAGGAAGCCACCGCAGCGGACAAGGATATTCATGACGTGGAGGCCAAAGACGGAAGAGCGTCCCCAAACCATGTTGAGACAGCATAGTATTGTAGTTCATTAGCGACTGTTCGCTTTGATCAATTGTAGTGCTATGATTCAGTAAAATCAGAAACTTCACTGCTCAACAATAAATTCCTAGTCTCATATCTGCTGTCGAACACGACTTGATGAACGACGCAACGCGCTTTGCCTTATGCAAGGACGCACCGGCGGTTAAACAATACCACCACCACGGCTATGATGAAGCTCTCGCCGCAAAGTCATGAGCATCGGAAATCCGACAACATTGGGAATTTGTCTCCGACAAAGTTCGTGGGGATATGTTGAGGAATCTTGCACGTGTGGAATTAGAATAAACATCTTCTGAGCGTCTTCACTTTGAGATCTGAATTCAAAGCACCACTTCATGGCAATGATAATCTCGTGCGTCAGGCCATATACGATGCAAATTGTCATAGTGTGGTTGGAGAAGGCTTCAGTGAAGATCCGGTATATACTAACTCATACATCAATGTGTCTTTCCGTCCTTCGTTCCTTCAATGCCTTCAAGGTCGCTGTACAATCTCCATTGATAATCCAAGCTAGGGTCATTGAATCTGGCCTTGATATCCAGGGTCTCAATAGCCTTCATGTCCTCCGGTTCTAACTTGAAGTCGGACTCCACGTTCTCCTTGATCTGCCAGTCGATGGTGCTCTTAGGAATGATTGAACGGCCGTTGTTGATACCCCAAGCCAAGACAATCTGCACAGCACTTTTGCCGTACTTCTTGCCCAGGTCTTTGAGTAGTGGCTGATCGATGACGCGCATCATGTGTGATACCTCCTTACTCCATCCCGTGGCGCGGTAGAAATCGTTCATGTTTCCGAGGGGACTGAACTGCACCACATGGATGCCTTGAGACTTCAGCCACTCGTTGAAAGACTTTTGCTGCAAGTATGGATGAACTTCCATCTGATGAACAGCAGGTACCTTTTCACACCAAGAAGTCAGCGAAATCAACCTCGAACAGCACATTGTCGGCAACTCACCATAGAGCACTCCTTGATGATAGTTTCCAGCTCGCCCTTGCTGAAGTTAGAAACGCCAATAGCCTTTGCTTTGCCAGCCTTCACAAGATTCTCCATAGCCTTCCAGGTATCGACGAAAGTAGTCTTTCCCAAGATCATCTTCCCATCAGCGTCTCTCGGGAACCGATCTTCGCCACGAGCGAATGTGCATGGGTAGTGCATCATGAGAAGGTCGACATACGGCGTGTCGAGGTCTGTGAGAGATTCGTCGAGCGCCCTCTCGACATCGTCCGGATGGTAGTTGTTGCACCAAAGTTTGGTGCCGAGGAAGATTTCTTCTCGAGGTATGCCACTCGCCTTAATCCCTTTACCCACTTGTTTCTCGACGTCGTAGACTCTTGCAGTGTCGATCAGTCGTAGACCAGCTTTGAGGGCTCTGGAAACGGCATCCTCCTGAGCGTCCGGGTCTTGGAATGTCCCGAATCCAATCGCGGGAATGCTCGCTCCGGTGTTCAGTTGAAAACGAGTTTGCCGCGTCGCGATGCCTCTTCGTACATGGAACAGATGAGTAGAAGGTTTGATGGCTGACGGTGAGCGAAGCTGCGGAACCTGTGCCGCTAGGCGAAGAGTGTATCTTAGGGTACTCATGGTGATGTAGGATTTTCTGAAGGTTACGAGCTGCGATGCAAAAGATGCTTACCGGAGTACTAGACTTGATAATGTTTCTTATAATTTCGACGCCAAACTTGGAACTGGCGCGTCGCCGCGAGCAGTGAACCCCGTGACAATACTCAAGGGTGCGGGGTGATGGATCGGTCAGATTGCCGCATCCCCCGAGACGAGGGCCACAAACGCTTCGCAGTCGTGACGAGTTTACGACAGAAACAGGTAATGTAACACTTTGGGTTGTAACATTAAGTCTTGTGAAATATTCTTCATTAGATTTCCCTCCCCTGATTCTACAACCTTTTCCCAAGCCCCAGCATCGACATCCCATGTTCGCGTATGATTTCCCAACAACCATGTTCAAAATAGTGAGGTTTGGACTCTTCCCGCCCTTCTTCACATTGAAAATTCGAGACCGCTCGTTACCATGAGACCGAACATCATAAATTGGCCGCGGTACCTCATGGTCTGAGGTTGACATATGCAATGTGAACTGACATGCCACATCCTCTGCCTGACTCCAAGTCAGACAAGGCACTAAGCGAGGTGGGAGAGCTTGACGCTGAAGAAGATGCTGAACAAATCAGTGATACCTTGGGTTATACGTAGGTACGTTCATCGTCTGTAAGGAGTCATGAACGGTCTGATGGTTTAGCGAAGCTATGTAGCCGTCATTGCGGCGTCGTGCTAAGTGACCTCACCCGCCAATGACAGGTCTACCAGGCTCATCGTTACACCGATTTGAAGAAGCCAATTCAGGTAGCGATGCTACACGGTCAAGAATCGATGCGCATGAAAGTCGTTCGTCCACATAGTCTGAAGGCTGACCCACCACAAGAGTTGTTCACGACACGACATTGGCATGGACATATTGACGTGAGATAAGGTACCACGAAGTGGATGTCGTGGTCCCGTGCGCAAGCTTACAGCAACGATCAGTATTCCGCCATGAAAATATCTAGAGACGTTGAGAAATCAGTGAGATTCAATGAGTTCTTTAGACGGTATAAGACCATATTGGGTTACGCTATTCTCACTCTATGCCTAAGAAAACCAACGGTGAAGTCCTTCGAACTGTCTACAGATTCAGAATGAGAGTGTAGTTTTGATAGTCATATAATGTTCTCATTATGAACTTTCGCCAAAAATGAATTATTCTTGAGATCGCTATAAGTAAATGAAATTTGCTATTGAAATCCATCCAACTGTCGACAGATATGTTGGCGTATCTCATTTTATTCATGTACTATTGTGCTTCCTATGATCTGAGATGAACACAAATGAGAATTGAGATGTCTTTTCGTTACTGAGATTGGAATCCGATGGCTTGGCTTGTCACAACTTTCATCTATACCACTATACGGCGGTAGGCTCAGGGAAGAGCGAGATACAATGTCGCACGTCCCAAATAAGGTCAGGTTCATATACTTATTTGATCAGTACAGTAAGTGTCGTCTGAGAACTGACGTTGAAACATGAGAGCAGCCGGTTTTCCTCACTCACTCACTCGCTTACTCATTGATAAAGAGTAGGCTAGCCGTCATTTGAGAGACCTTATCATCAAAATCTTACAGCAAGACTATTAATGTAGGAATCGCGATGACTGAAACTCTCACAGCCTTCCGCTATTTGTCCTCCAGCTTAAGATACCAGTCTCAGGTCTCACTTTGAAGCGGTGAACTCAGATGAAATGGACTGGATGAATGTCTATGATGTCTTATCTTCTTTCATCAAGCTGTTATGAGACGCCATTGGTATATCGCCACTGCCCATAACTATTTGAAACTTGATCTCTTTGTTCAGCAAATTCTTATGTAAGTACATCAGCCCAGACGCGGTCATCATGCACCAGACTCGGATGTCGGAAAGCAACATGACGCTCAAGGCGTTTTTAGTGGAGAGACGACCCCACAGACCCGGTCCGTTCACCGCAAAACTTTTTTTCGTCGCTTTACGCAGTGCATCTGCCCGGCTTCCTCAGCCGCTGGGACCGGAACTCTGTTTTGTCCCCCATCAAACATTGAAGTTGCCTTTCCTCCTTCAATTTCGGACGGAAGCACCTATCCGGCGTCGTCGGCCAATGTACCATCACACCCTCTCGAGATTAAGCACAGCAAGGTAGCGGTTTAGCCGTCCGTCAACCTAAATTCAGCTCCTTTGCAGTTGTCAGGTCCCAGGTCCCCTGAGTCGCTCGCTCCTTTTCCATCTCCTCCGTTCCGCTCCGTCGTCCTTGCTCCACGTCGTCCGCTCGCCCGTCGTCGCCGCCATGGATTCGCGTGACCGCGACCGCGACGAGGATGACTACCGGACCGGCGAAACCACGCCGCTGCTGTCGGATCAGCCGATATCAAAGACGGAGCCTGTCGTTAGCAGCTGGTTGACCGAGTCGCGGTTGCTGTGTCAGTACTCGCTGCCGCTCATCGCAACGTATCTGCTTCAGTACTCCTTCACCGTCATTACCACCTTCGTGGCGGGTCATCTGAGCGCAGATGACCTCGCCGCCGCCAGTATCGGTCTTACGACCATGAACATTATTGGTCTTGCCATCTACGAGGGAATGGCTACCGCTCTCGACACTCTTTGCGCCCAAGCCCACGGTTCCGGACGCCTCACCGCCGTCGGACTTCATGTTCAACGTATGCTCATTCTCATGGCCATTGCCACGATTCCCATCGGCGCCATTTGGATCTTTTCTCCATCAATCCTGTCACTCTTTGTCAAGCAGCACCACCTGGCTGTGAAGGCCGGCTCCTTCCTGAGGGTCAGCTTGATCGGTATCCCCGGCTACGCCGCGTTCGAAGCTTTGAAGCGTTTTCTTCAGGCTCAAGGCGAGTTCAAGAGCGCCATGGTGGTCCTCATCATATGTGCCCCGGTCAATGCCTTTCTCAGTTGGCTATTCGCTTTCAAGATGGACCTAGGCTTGGAGGGTGCTGCCCTGGGACAGGCACTCGCCAACGATCTCAGACCCATTCTTCTTCTAGTTTATATCGTCTTCTTTGGAAAGTGGTCTCACTCATGCTGGGGCGGATTTTCCCGAAAAGCGTTTGAAGAATGGCGCTTGCCTGTTCAGCTCTCCATCGCCGGATCTCTCGTCAACCTCGGCGAGTGGGCTGCTTTTGAGATCCTGACGCTGAGCACCTCCTATCTCAGCACAGAACACCTGGCGGCGCAGACGATCTTGACGACCATCTCTGTCGTCATGTGGCATATTCCGTTCAGCATCTCCGTCGCCATCTCGACAAGAATCGGTCATCTCATCGGCGCCGGTCTCGTGCCGATTGCCCGTCGGGCCACCACCCTTTACGCTATCGTCTTCACCGTGGTCGGCGTTCTGGACGGCGTCATTCTCTTCCTTTTCCGCAACCAGCTGGGACTGGTCTTCTCCGAAGACGCCAGAGTACAAGAGTTGGCGACCAAGTCGATGCTTGCCGTCGGCGCTTTCCAGCTCATCGACTCCATCATTTGTGGATGCAACGGTGTCCTCCGAGGCCTCGGCCGACAATCAGTTGCCGCATATGTGGTTTTTGCCGTCAACTACATCGCGGCCGTACCTATAGCGGTTTGGCTCGAGCTGGGATCTCCTGCGATGGAGCTCGATGGCGCTTGGATCGGTCTCGGCGGTGGCATGGTAGTGATTGCCATCATCGAGTGTATTTACCTGAAGGTCATCAGGTGGCAGGACTGCGTGGAAAGCGTCCGGTCAAGAGAAGGGATCTAATAAGGCCACACCATAGATTAGCGACGGTTTAGTTAGACAAAACGATTGTTTCTAGATACCCGTAAACAATGAGAAGCTTCTTAAATCTAAGATCCGAATCAGTACCCGAGACCATGTTTGACGGCGTTTGCTGTGCTTTTACCCATGATTCGTCAACCCCGTAGTCTTAGCGGGTCGAGTTCTTACATAAGCCAGCCTAGCATGCATTATTTCGGCAGTCGCGAGGGGCGCGCCTAACAAACGACTTAACCTAATAACAACGCATTCATAACCACGACCCGCGCCCAGCTTTGACGCACCGCACCATCACAAGCTGCGACCCCCTTTCTTTCAGGCAATCATGGAAGACGTCTCTGATGAAGACACACCAATGTATGAAGAGTCCAATTTGGACGCAGCGCAGTTGAAGCCAGCATGTCTCATCTGCCGCGACTTGGATAGAAGGAAAATCCGCTTGTCCGACGTGCGGACGTACGCCTTCGACAATGTACCCTTTGAATGCTTGGAGTTCAGGTTCAAAACCTTTGAGAAGAGCGCCGCCAGAGGATGCCAACTTTGCTATGCCATTGTCTCTGCGGCAAAACAGCTTGCGAAGCCTGATCTCCCCTCCCGTTGCATACACTCGGGCGCAGGGGGGGTGGCAATACGACTCGATGCCGACCCAATTGAAATAGCTGCAGTTCTTCCGTATGTCTCGCGAACGGCTGGCACGGGATTCATGAAAGTAAACTTCGAACTCTTCACAAGTCCCGGTAAGTAGATATACGATGTCCCCCTATGTAAATCCGAGAGAAACCGAAAAGCTGACGTGCCCGTTTTCTTGAAGATAAGCCATCGCCCTGGCCAGTCTTGTTTCCGGCTTATAGCCCTTCATTGAATCTTCATTCGACCAAACGGACGAAAATCGTCAGAAATTGGATCGCGGCCTGCGATGCTTCTCATCCGTCCTGCAGCCCGAATCTCTTTCCAAATGATTGCGGCATAGCCCCCCCACGAAGAATGCTGGAAATCAGCAAGAACCCGCGGAATGGCCTGCGGCTGGTTGATTTCTCTACGGATTCTGGACCTTATGTGGCGGTTGTTCATGCCTCCGTCACTCAACTCCAAGCTCCCTTGTCGACAACTACTTCGAACAACATCAAAGATCGCGAAAACATCATACGATGGTGGCAAATCCCGGTTGCCTTACAGGAGACAATCACAATCGCCCATGAGCAAAACGTACATTACATATGGATACAGGATCTTTGCGTGATTCAAGACGACACGGAGGACAAGAACTGGCATATGGACCGACAAAACGTCATATACGGTCGTTCACACTTTACCATCGCTCTACCAGACACCAAGGACTTGCGTATCAGCAATTTTGTCCGAAGAAAACCGGGTTACAGGACCTTTCCTTATCCCACCCCACTGATGCTCGGTCCCTTCCAACCCCAGGTTCATCAAACCCTTACAATTCCGCTCAGCCACAAGGGCCAACAGCATTTTGTGTACGCTCGCCCTTCCATGTCTAACGACCACCGGCTACTATCCGATCTTAAGCTACCTGGCTGCACGATGGAGTGCAGGGATCGTGATCGTTTCTACGGACAAGACTCCACATTTCAAGCAATCATTTCATCCTCTCGAGTCCTCCATTTGCGGAGTTCTGAGATAAGTTGGCAGTGTGTTGAGGCGGAAGAATGCGAATGTGAAGCCAGACGGCATAATCACGGTCCCCCTGCATTCGGTGCTGGCGGACGATATCCGGGTCACCCGACTTACCTGGACCTGTTGGCCAGGGAGGGATCAGAACTTCCGGAGACGCTCATTCGACAGCTGTACATGCAGTTGCCCAGCGCAGATCCCAGTGGCAAGCTTGATCGAATCAGCAGTCTCTTGCGTCAATGTTCTCAGCTCAGCTGTCCCCCGAGACATATGAACTTTGCTGGGATGCTTGTGAAATCCGCAGGCTACCTGGTACAAGAGTTGTTGTGGACTTTCATCAAGCCGCAGGTGTCTGTCGAGGTGCCCGCCGGCTCTGGTCCGGACGGACTCAGCCCTTCGCCCATGCCGATAATAGAGACGTATCGACACCACTCTCCCAAGATTCCTACATGGTCCTGGGCGTCCATGGTCCTTCGCCATTACGAGACGATGTGCCGCCCCGAGGAGATGTATTTCCCTTACCGGCAAGTCATGGGAACTTGGTCAAAGGACGAGTCCTTCCGGCTTGAAAGGTCGAAATGCGCCCCACGCGTCGGGGGCCGTGGGGACAGCTTCTTGGCCGCAAACTGGGTTCTACAGGTGGCCGGAAAGATGATCACGGCAGAATTCACCGGCTGGCAAGTCATGAGCGCAGTAGACCCGGCTGTTGGGCATCCTTACCTCTTCAAAATGTTGATGTCTATACACCCAGTCCCAGCCCTCAAGCCTACGTACGACGGATCGTTCTTTCAGCCCGATTGCTCTCAATGGCCGAAGTCACTCGATGCGGAAGATCCTCTCAGCAAGCGCGTGGAACTCCTCCTGTTGGGCAGGGTACAGGTGGCCGGCACATCTGCACCACCTGGATGCGAGTCCGAGTCGAAATATATTGACGTAGGCCTGGTATTGCGCAAGTCTTCGCGAAACTATGCCACAAATGCATACGAGCGCCTCGGCACGTTTGTTGCGCTAGCCGAGCATGAGATGTTTGAAGGATGCAGTGTACAAGACATAGCTCTGGTATAAGAAATAGTTGTGCCTCAGTTTAAACACTGGACTCCCACTTTGTCCAAGTATAGGAAACCCCCCCGTGCCTTGAGTTGTTCTTATCTGCACGTTTAGTACCCATATTCTGTTTCGAGCTTTTCCCAATTGCGGTCGCTTTTGGCCTTCAGCACAGCTGTGTACTTCTGCCACTCCGTAGAGTCCAGTGGGGAGCCCACGCGTTCGTCCTCAAAGACCAGTTCCCCACGAATTTGTCCCTCACGGAACTCTCTTCTGTGTATCATCGTGCCTTCTGAGCAAACATATCCGTTTCCCGCCTCTGTCTCCTTACCCAGAAGATCATGGAGCTCACTCTTCGAACTCTTTGAACCGCGCGACGGGCAAAGGTTGACCATGGAAGTCTTGCTGTCGGCAATAGAAGCAAGATGAATCTTTGAGAGGTGCGGTGCTTCATCGGATAGGTATCTGAAGATAGGTTTCCAGGTCCCTTCAGTGAGACGAACCCACTTGAACGAAGCCTTCTGAAGCATCGGACTCTTCTTCAGAAACTTGAGCAAAGATCTCTCCTTGACGGGTAACATGTCCAAAGATAGGTTCTCCAGGTACGGCAACGTGAGCGAATCGGCAATGAAATCAAATATCTCGCTGTAGGCATCTGTCGTTCCTATCAATGTGTCGTAGAAGTGAATGTCCAGTGTCTTCAGATTGGGCATGTGATGCAGCATGCCGGCGAGCCCGAAGAAGTTCTCCTTGGCGGTTGCTAATGAGCTTGTTGCCGGCAGGCAATGATCGTCGCGTTCACGGCGGCCCATGAGACCATGGCGCACTTCCAGGAGATTCCGTCTAGTGGCAAGGCTTGTGGAAAACTTCTTAATCGCTCCGGCGGCGTCCGAAAAACGTGAATTCTTTGCATTGAGCGTCGGAAGAAGCTCTGCAAAGACGATGCTCTGCAACATGCCCCTGCACCACGCTGGGGCTCGGAAGACGACAAGCTCCTTGATCGCGACCCCGCTCTTGGCGATGGCCGACATGACGAGGGTGAATCCCGCAGCAGCACGATGAGTGACTGGCTCAGACATGCGCGGAATCTTCGCTCCCCTTTTCATCGCCGTACCCTTCGCTCGTCCGCCCAATTTCTCCTGCGGGCCCCCGATTTCGATTCTGTCGAGGGAGCTGATTGCCCTGAAAGCGGTCGCCATGCTATCGACCAGCTCGTCGTCGTATTGCTCACTGTCGAGGAAGCTGAACCTGGTCGCGTCGATCGTTACGTGTTTGATGGCTACGCTAACGATGGCGCTGCCGGTCGACTTCTCGGCGAGTCTGGTGGTCTCTTCGAGGAGGAGGTTTAGCTTTTGATGTGCGAAGTGGCCGAGGAAATGCGGCGTGAGGCATCGTGAAGCAAATTGCCGGCTGGCTAGACGGAAACTTTGAATGGATTTGAGGTCGAGGTTGTTGATTATCCTTGCCGTGATTTCTGGCGGTAGGTCCAGGAATCTGAAAGTGCCTCTCGCTATGAAGGCAGTTTGACTGCGAGTCCAGACCATTGCGACCACTAATCTTGGGTTTTGCAGAAGCAAAGTCCAGTCCAACAGGAATGGGCTGCGGTCTTGACTACTTACTTATGTTGGGGTGTGGTGCGATTCCAGGCAGCGGATCAAACCATCCATGGCCGAATGGAGCGCTCTGGTTGGGCTAACCTTAACAACAATACGGCCGATCCTCCTGAGCGAAGCCTAGAATCTGGGCAAATGAGCACATGAATGGGCGGTGTAATCTCCATCGGGGATTCTAAACCGGGCATATTGGGACTTGGCTGTTGGTGCACAGTGCAAAGCGGTGACAGCGTATGTGGCTCGCGTGTTGCCACACGCATCAGCCACGGTCTTTGTAGTTCGCTGGCTGATGTCCATCATCATCGCCACAACTGTCCTTTGGGTGATATGATGGAAGTGCATCAATGTGGCGCGATGATGGACTCAATGTTATAAGCAAAGCTTCCCATCAGCTTCAACAACTCAGGTAACAAAGCAGTAATGTTGATGGTAAAGCACCAATGCCTCCCGGATCACCTAATTTAAGTAGATGCTCGAGGAGGAAAGGGTTCGTTTGCTGATGAATCTCTTCTTGCATTCCAATATATCGTCTTTGTCGACCGTCCCGATCTCGCCGTTCTTATCGTCGGCCCTTTCGGCGTGTGGGGCCGAGATAGATGGGCGCGGTGGGTCCCACTCCGAGAGCTGCCGGAGGCATCGGTATGACAGGCGTCCCACTGTCTTCACACGAGGCAGCGACAAGAATATCGGATATCGTATCAATGAAGTATTCTTCCCCCAATTGTGATGTCATGGAGTAATTCTTGAGGCTATCTATCTCCCCATTCTTTAATCATCATTCTTCGAGGATGTCAAACGCTATCTGCCCGATAAGCTATGTCAACCCCGGCTTGCGACCCCGCATCGCGGGGAAGATAGACTCGCGGACTATCGGCCGTAGAGTTATTCACCAGAAAGGTCGGTTGAAGACGACATCAAATTTCCCGCCAAACCTTTACGTATGAGAAACCTCATCGGATCTTGCGGACAGCGACAAACGCATAGCATACGAGGACCGACAGCACGATAAGAGACGAATGCTAGGATTATGTGCATAGCACTATCGATGGTTGCATTTTGATAATGCATGACAGGAGAGGGGTGTCCATTGGAGGTCTTGGCACGCAGATTCAATAGATAGCACACAAGTCTACAATGATCTACTACTACATTGTTATGGCGAGGCATGTACTCAACAGTTGTCAGCCACATGTAGGGAGAACAGTCTCGGTCTTCTTCTGTAAACCGGCCCGGGCATTCGGAGAAGTCCCAAGGACATGGACCGGCATCAGTTCCGTGAGACTAGGGCCTTGGCATCATTGCCTACGGCAACGAGAACTCTTCGATGATAAGCATTTCTCATAAAGTAATGTTCTCGAAGGCGCGATATCGGAACTACAGGGTCAAATATAAATGGAATCAACGAGGTCTTCGAATCTTTTCGGCTTTGTTCTTGATACTCATCTGCAGCACCAATAGTTGATAGTGATCGGTGCAATCTCCTTCGCCTCCACCATGACCATCAAGAAGGCTGCGTTGAGCTTATTGGCTCTTGCCATCGTGCCCGCGACATCGAAGCCTAACACAAGCCATCCTTTCAAGCGTGCTGCCAACATCAGTACATGCAATGTCAACGAAGCTGCACCTAAAGTCAAGGCACCAAAGACGAACGTCTGGTCTCCGATCTCCCCTGACGACAACTTTGCCGTCTGGAACCTGCTACATGATCCATCAACTGGTCTCAATCTCACGGATCCTAGTGTTGCAACTCTTACAGACAACTACGTGTACTGGATTGACACTCTTCACACCAACAAGTCTGATGTCTTGCCTTACCTCACCGGCACGGCTGAACCTCCTCCTAAGTATGCTCGAGCGGTCATCCTCTCTGGTGGTAAGGGCGAACCGGACTCTCAAGAGTATATGGTTGGACCACTTCCAGTCAGCGCCGAGACAAAGGTCGAGAAGCTCGACTACATCTTCAACGGTGGCAGTGGTGGCAAGATCCCGTTCAACAGCCGCTACTTCGATGCTGCCCGTACTGCTGCTACGGAGCCGCTCTTGGTCTCCATCATGAGCAACATCTCAGACATTACGTCCGAACTCATTGATGGGGTGTACTACGGCGCATCGGACAACCGAACAACTCTCACCTCCACAAGCGGAACGCCTCTCTCATACGACGGGACCCAGGCTTTCCGCACGGTCATGTTCAGATATCCCAACTCAGCTACCTACCTGACTCCGCTCGACTTCTTCGTAATTCTCGACATTCCTGGTACCGATCCGTCTCACTACAAACTGAGGGGCATCGTTACGAATGAGAAGTTTTTCTCCACTGTGGACTCTTTCAGAGCTGCATGGGAGGCTGGTGAGCTGGTTGAGACTTTCAAGCAGACACGCACACCAGACTGGGGCCTTCTCGATTACAAGCCAGAAATGGGCGTCCGAGACTTGGAGGACAAGCTGGCGCCTCAGAGTCTTGAAGTTGGCGGCAAGCGTTACAAGGTCGATGAAGAGGAGAAGTACATCGAGTACATGGGCTGGTCTTTCTACACGTCCTATTCTCGAACACTGGGGCTCATGTACTACGACATCAAGTTCAAGGGCGAGAGAATCATCTACGAGCTGTCTTTGCAAGAAGCAGCAGCTCAGTACGCCGGTTTCACTCCCAAGGCTGCCGGTACTGTGTACCACGACACTTACTACAGCTTGGGGACTGATCTCGGTACCCTCGTCGAAGGATACGATTGCCCTTTCGGAAGCACTTTCTGGAACGTCACATACCATGAAGGAAACTCCTCAGTTGTCAACACCGACGCTATCTGTATCTTTGAAGCTGATGCAGGATACCCAGTTTCGCGTCACCGGTATGGAAGCGGTAATGAATACGGGTTCAGCTACTTGGGAACTGTCAAAGCCTCCGCTCTTACCATGCGGTCCGTCGCGACTGTGGGCAACTACGACTACATGTTCGACTACAGCTTCCACGTCGACGGCTCCCTCGATGTTACGGTTCGCGCTTCAGGATATCTTCAGTCGTCGTTCTACTACGCGGACCAAGGCAACTTCGGTCCCAGAATTCAGGAAGCGACCATGGGATCCCTGCACGACCACATCCTGACATACAAAGCCGACTTCGACATCCTCGACACCAAGAACAGCCTCGAGGTCAGCGAACTTACTGTTGTAAACCAAACACAGCCATGGTACCCGGAGCTGGGGTCCTTCGAGCAGATGGAGCTGCAAAAGTCCGTCATGACAAAGGAGCAACAGTTCAACTGGCAACCCAACAACGCTGCGATGTACTGCATTGTGAACCCCAACGCCACCAACGCGTGGGGTGAGAAGCGCGGCTATCGCGTGGTGCCGGGAAAGTCCAACATTCACCTCACTCCCCTCAACTCGCCCTGGACGAAACACCAAACGCCGTTTGCCAAGTCACACCTGGCACTGTCGCGGCAACATGACAACGAGCCGTACGCAAACAGCCATGCCAACGTCAACCTTCCCCTGAAGCCTCAGCAGGACTTCCTAAAGTTCTTCGATGGCGAGAACACGGATAATGAGGACATTGTCTTGTGGTTCAACCTCGGCATGCATCACTTTACTCGAGCTGAAGACATTCCTGTCACACTCTACAGCGAGGCCGTCAGTAGCATTGTTTTTGCCCCACAGAACTTCAACGACAGAGCACAGGATGGTGACTTGTTGAACCGTAGATGGGTTGCCGTCAACGAGACGACTGGAGAACTGGAGTATGACTCCTACGGGGTCGAACTTCCTGGGCAATGCGAAGTGGACTTTTCTGAGCCCGTCTTCAGTATCAAGAAAAACGATGAGGCCTAAAAAGGCTGGAAGATACATATATGTGTGGACGGGCATTCTCGGATTTGTCTGATAAGCCAGATCTAATTCATTCATAATTACTTGAAATCTTGAAATCCCTATCCTAGTGATACTGACAAGTATATCATGGCTCGCAGTCCCTAGACTCGCTTCAAAAAGTCGTGTCTTTATGCCCCATTTGGCATCCAATTCGGATCTGCGAGTTCTACCCCAGATGGAACAAAACCAGGAGCAACTAACTGGCGTATAAGTGAAAGTCCAAATATTGAGCAATGGCAAATACTCACCGGTCGTGCCGACAAGAGTCCAACGACCGTGGCTAGTTGCCCTCTGCCACTGAGACTTCGGTATGACGTATTGCGGCTGTTGCCCAGCAAAGATATCCGGGCCGAGCGAGACATTCTTCAACGGTTTACCGTCATTATAGGACAGCGAGAGTGTGAGAGGGGCCCCTGCGTAGTAGTGCCACGCCTCTGCAGCATCGACGCGGTGCCAGATGGATGGACCGACGGACCCCTCTAGTAGATAGTATATGGCTGTGCTGAGGGATCGATTTTGACTGTTCGTGTCTGGGTCCTGGAACGTTTGAACGTAGTAGCCCTTCTCCTCATTCGGTATGAGACCAAGCTTCTTCACAACTTCCTTTGCAGATCGTTTTTCGATGGGACATGGAGCCTTGGATGCTGCGAGAGTCTGAGTCGCAAGAAGAGCAAATATGCTGATGATAATGGCACGGCAAGTAATAAACATTGTGATATAGAACCGGAAGCGTCGGTCGTTGAAGTTCGCAAGATTCTATAAACGAAGCTGAGTAGCCCATAACTTATATACAAATTTGAATATTACACCCCGAAGGTAAGCACTACTGTGAAGTGGCAGAGCGTCGCTGACGTGGAGGCGGAGGCGCGCTTTAGAACGCGCGCTTGCTGACTTGGTGTCGGAGACCCCCGTCCAATGTTATGAAAGAAAGGACTTTGTTATGGTTCCACGGCGCTGCATCATGGGCCAGCTTAATGACGTTATATTATATTGCTTACATTGATTTACCGCATGGCTTCAATTGGTCCTTGATAATCTCCTTATCTGCCCTTCCCTACTGCAGCACCCATGTTGGATCTTCCGTTATCAACTAACGATTTTCAATATGTATGGAAAGTCTCATGGATATGAGGCCATGAGTCTATTGGTGGTAATGTGTATATAGTCTAGTTCTTTAACGCTCAGCACGTCGTTAGTTTATAAGTATTAGTATTATAAGGGGTTATATATATATAACGTAGGGCTCTATTAGTAATAATATATTAAGTATATAGAAGGGAAGTTCTAGCCTAATAGGTATATATATAATAGCAGTAGTATAGTAAGGTGTTACGGCCAGCTAACTGATAGTGGGTTTGTGTTAGTAGTAAGTTAGGGATTGAGAACGGTAATAGTAACTAGTTATTCTATAGGTCTAATTAAGTAATTATAGGTCTTTAAAGGTCTTAGTGATTAGTTAAGGCCTTAATAAGAGTTATAGAGTAATTATTACTTAGGTATAGCTAAAAATATTATAAATAATAATTATAAGTTAATTACTAAAGAGCTATAGAAGTATAAACTTAAGGTAGGCTTAAGTCCATCCTATATATAAGTCCTACTTATGAGCGGTTACTGCTGCTCATGAGTGTTTTGCCTTCGTGACCATCAGCGTTCATTCTGATGTGGGGTGAGCGCTCATTCTAGTATCTACTGAGCGCTCATTATGGGTCCCTTATCTGTGCTCATTCCTTATCGTCACGTGACCTATACTATAGTTCTTCCGCGCCAGGCAAGCCCCTCATGTTCCCGTGATCCTATATATAAAGGTGACGTTCTAACCGCCTAGTATCCCTATGGGGCGTTCTTTATTGGTTATACTTAATGGGTTATAATATTAGGTCTCCCCTCAAATAGTCTTATCCTTAAGACTAATATAAGTAGGTATAGGCTCCTAGGTTAGGGAGTTGTTAATTATGCTTCCTAATTCTTCCCATAATGCTAATACTATATTAGGTCGCATTTAAAAGTCTAAATCTTCTAGTGCCTTAACTTATCGTCATTTACTTTGAATTCTTCATTTTACTAACGAGGGCATTATAAATAAGATGCCTTACTTAAACTATTAGTTACGCAGTATGCACTGCTTGCTTCTTCTAGACTCTAACGTCTACGGAACTTACTATCGTTTAGGGATTCCTTATGATGCTTCTGAGGACGCGATCTATACTTATAGGTTTCTTGGTCCTGCTGGGTGGGTCTTCCTTATTACTAATTCTTTTTTAGTAGTAAATCGCTTAGTAGCGGAGTTAGATCGTTTGGATAAGGCTGAGGAGGTAGAGGAGGCAAAGTTTTATAAGAGGGCTACAATTTTACAGCAAAAGGCTAAGGCTTACTAGAAAGCTTAGTTAGAGTTAAACAAGTTGCTTGCCAAGTTAGAGCAGCTTTATGAATAGAAATAAATAGTATTTAAGAAAGGGAAGGGGGCTATTGCTGAATCTTCTGAGGAGGCATCCAGTTTATTATTAGAAGTATAATCAATAGGGGCTTAGGGTGTCTCAAATGTAGATACGTTATTTAACTGGAATCCAGTTACCCCTAATTTTCTCTTAGAGGAGGCTTCCTAGTTAGCTATTAGCGTTCCCAACCAAACTAGGGGTTTGTCTTGTTGCGGCCTGTTTTCTCTTGCTAGCTGGAAGCGTGGTCTTGGTAGTCTTATGCGTTAGTGTCCTCTCTTTATCTATACTAGTGAGGTGATTTTGAGCGCTTCCTGCTCTTATTGTTATGCCTAATAATTTACTAGTGCTTCTTATGCGTTAGCAACGTTCTTAGCTAGTTCCTATATGTTATCTTTATATCTATATCCTTTCTATTTAATAAGGTATTATATATTATTTATGTCTTAGATATAGTTAATAATTTATTTAACTTTATATTCTAGCTTATTTAATTCTATAATAATGAGATTATCTATATATAATCCTTATAGTGCTTTTTTAAGAAGTAAAATATAAAAGACTAGATAATACTTTATAGTATCTAGTAGTATAAGTTTAAAGTTAATATTAGATACCTTCTTTATAATTTTAAAAGGTCTAAGTTTCTTAAAGTCTAACTTATTACTTAGTTATTTAGTTTTAATATTTTAGTAGAGAAGGTATATATTATCCCCCTCCTATAGAGTTAGTCCCTTAACTCTTAAGGTATTAGCGTATTTATATATTTATTTATATATAAATTTAAGTTCTTTTAGGAGTTCCTATTAGATTTCCTTAAGTTTATTAATATCTACTATAGCTTTAAGGGCTATTAGGCCTTATTATAGTTCTCTATAGGCTATTAGGTTAAATCTATAGTTTAGGTAGAATAGTAATTCTTTTATGCTTTCTCCTACTACGCTATTATAGGCAAACTAGGCTATAGGTAGCAGTTAAACCTAGTTATCTTACTAGTAGTTAATGTAATAGTGTAGGTAGGTTTCTATAATCTAATTGATTTGTTCTATTTAGCTATTAGTTTATAGATAAAAAGCAGTAGATATCTTATAGTTAGATCCTAGCTATAAGATTAGGGATCTCTAAAACTTAGAAGTAAATAGCTTATCTCTATTAGATATAATTTCCTTTAGTAATCTATATTAGCTAATAATTACCTATAGAAACTTATAGGTAAGGTCTTCTATAGTATTAGACTCTATATATAGGATAAAGTATAAATACTTTATAAGTCTATTAATAATAACTAGGATGCTATTATAGTAAACTTTAGTTATTAGTTCTTAGGACTTAGGTAACTTAGTAATAAAGTCTAATAAGAGGGATTCCTATATAGTTTATAGTACTAGGAGCAGCTATATCTTACTATAAGGCTAATATTAGCTAGGTTTGCTTTTTATATAGACCTTATAGTCCCTAATTACTAAAGATACTTCTTATTATATAGCTATTTTATTATAGTGTTATCTAATGCGTTTCTATATCTTAGTTACGCCTTAGTAGCTATATATAGGTATAGAGTATACCTCCCTAATGGCTTTAGGAGATATTCTTCTAGTTATGCTGGTACTATCTCTTCTGGCTATTATTAAGAGTCTAACTGCTAGCATAAGGTCTCCTTCCTTGTCCTTCTTGAGGATAACTTAGGTTTCTTTAGGTACCTGGACTTTATGGTCCAATCTCCTGCTGAGAGCGTCTACTCTTCCGTTTTCTTTGCCTTTCTAGTAGATAATTTTAAAGTTAAATTCTAAGAGGAATTTAGACTATTTAATCTATTATTTATTAAGTTCTTTTAATATAATAAAGTAGGTAAGATTCTTATAATTAGTATAGACCTTAACTTTATACTTTATTCCTAATAGTTAAGGTCTCTATTCCTTAAATGCTTTAATAATTGCTATAAGTTCTTTATTATAGATTTAATAGTTAAGTTTTAGGCTATATAGCTTATATGAGAAGAAGGCGTATAGGCGTAGCTATCCTTTATTATCTTGTTAGCCTAGCTGTCCTCTTATAGCGTAGTCTAAGGAGTTGGTTTTAACTTTAAATGGTTTCTTAGGGTTAGGTATAATAAGTATAGGTTCTAATATAACTTATTACTTAATCTTATTAAAGGCTTATTCTTGCTCTTCTTCCTATTATTAGGGGACGTCTTTCTTTAAGAGTCTTATAAGAGGGTTATTCTTATTTAAGTATCCTTTTAGAAATTATTAGTAGTAGTTTATATATCTAATAAAGGATTATATATCCTTAACGTTTTAGGGTATTAGCTAGTCTTATATTGCTATAATTTTATCTTTTAATATTTTGAGGATTCTAGGGGCTATTATAAAGCCTAGGAATTTGACTTCTTAGGTGTGGAATTTGCTCTTTTCTGGTTCTACTAGGAGTTTGGCTTCTTGTAGTTTCTATAGTACTTGGTGTATATGCTTCTTGTGGTCTTCTAGTGTCTTTAAGAAGATTAGGATATTATTAAGATAAACTATAATAAATATATCTAGGTATTCTTATAAGATATAATTAATTATTATCTAGAATATTATAGGTATATTAGTGAGTCTAAAGGGTATTACTAGGTATTTATAATATCCTTAGTGTGTTTAAAACGCTATTTTCTATTCTTTGCCTGATTTTATATATATTAGGTTATAGGCTCCTTTTAAGTTGAGTGCTATAAACTACTAGGCTCTATATAATAGGTCTCTAAGTTCTGAGATAAGTAGTAGTAGGTAGTAGTTCTTAATTATAATATTATTGAGTTTTCTATAGTTAATATAGAGTTATAGTTTACTATTCTTTTTAGGTATAAATAGGATTAGATATCCTACTAGTAATATAGAGGGTCTAATATATCCCTTCTATAGGTTTTCTTTAAGGTAAGCGTTAAGTACTTCTATTTCTTTCTAATTAAGTCTATAGATTGCTTCTAGCTTTAGCTCCTTCCCTTCTCTTAGGGGTATCTTATAGTTATAGTTACTATGTTCTAATAGTCCTATTTTAAGTTCTTTAGTAAATAGCTTCTAGTATTACTAGTATTCTTTTAGGATAGATAGAAGTTAATCTTTCTTATTAATATCTATTACTAATAATATCCTAGTATTTATATCCTTAATTTATAGGTATACTAAAAATCTCTTTACTTTAGGAGTTCTAAAAGGTTTATTTAAGGCACCTCTTCTA